GCATTGTTGGATTGGAGAGTGAAAGGAAGTCGTCGAAACAAGTCTGTTCAGAAGTTTTGTGAGTCATATTATACTTATGGCGCAAGCTTTTTTGAAACGCACCTGCTGCGCACTTCAGGAAGGCCCTTCCCACCCGTCTACGTTGGTTTAATCATGGTGTCCTTCGGCGCTACGGTTGGTCCATCCGGTATGGGGCACCGGGAACGAAGTGGTGCGATCTCACTCCCTCTGGTTGGCTGACCCGCTTTGGCCTCACATATCGCGCACACCCTCGTCGCCTCGCTTGGGAGAATACCATCGCCCACGCTGCCATTCGTGCGATTGGCTGTTGCCACGCCTTCGCTCCCGCTACTCACGTTTATCGCTGGAAGGAAGGGTTCCCATAGTAGGTGATCGCAAAGATGGATGTTGAATCTGACTGGGCCTCTCGTTGCTCCAGTGCCCGCCACGCCCATCGGTTGGTTATTGGGAGGAGGGAGATTGAGGAAAGTGGTCTCCAATTGAGTCCAGTAGTTGGGTCGAGCGCACATGATGGTTGATTCGAGGAAGGAAGGGAAAGAGCGCGCGCAAGTCGATGTCATTCGTCGTCACACCACTCTTTTTTCTCTATCAATCAAAATAATGGCATTCAAATTTTAAAACTCCGCGGGGTCTCGCCTCTGTAACGACATAGTTTATTTTTACAATTCCCCGAGATTATCCAGTCGAAATCATCGTCTTGGCGAAGAATCCGCCCCTGACTGCGCACCTTGAAGCTATAAGCTTCGATTCCCTTTTTCTCGTACCACGAGCGTGTCAAGCGGGGGCATTCTATCCCGCAGCTCCTCGTGAAGTATAAGCTAGAGGGAAGCAACGAGACCCATGGGTAAAGTGGACCAATGTGATGGTTTACGCTGTTCGTGAACCAAATCCATTGTTCGGCTTCGCCCCAGCCTGCCAACGCGACGCGGTCACGTGTGAGTCGTGGGTACGGACAAACTATATTGTAGCCGCTGATAAAGTTCATCTGCGATGTAAATTGGGCGGAGAACACGATCGGCAAAGCGGAAGTGGAATTTGTGACCATCACGTAAATGACATACGGCTTTTTTTGTTAGTCTCAACGGTGTCAACCTGGCTGAAACGACTTACATGTTCTGAGTGAGCAAACGTGTGTAGGCGCTATCGACTCGTCCCTTGTATTGGTAAGTAGTGGAGCTTTGTACGTATCTTGAAAATTTGAGCATAGAAGAACAGCATAGTAAGAAATGTAATTTACCTTCTGAATCCTAGGCGTCGCTCTAAAAAGGTTCGCCATTTCTCCGTAGCGTCTCTCGTGCAGAGCACTTCCAAGGTATTCACGCTTGCTAGGTCGTCATCCATAGAAGAGAAGGTGACCATAGCTAAAGGCAAAGTCGATACAACGATTGCCCCCGTTGCCTCCAAGAGATCGAGGAATGTTTCGGTTAAAGCGATGTTGGTAAAAGAAGATGCATCCTTAGCACCTTGGAAGTAGGGTCCCAGCTTCAAGATGAGTCGCTCCAGAAATATATCTCTGGCGTTCTCTGCGAGCAGTTTATTGCAACCTGCGAGAGCGTGAAATTCGGGCCAATAGCAGTGGCGAAGTAGGGCATCGACAAAATTGGGGGAGTTGAATACAATCTGACTAGCAGACGTAGTTACAGATGGCATGGTATACTCATTACGACCCAACAGCTTCCCTTTAATACCCTAGGATGCTAAGATATCACGACCGATAAGGCGTTCTCGGATTAACCTGGACCGAAATGTTATGGAGAAGCTGTCTCTCATTTAGGAAGACCCACATTTTCACGATTGCCTTCGCAGACAGTATGTCTTCACACCCTATATTCCCAATGCCATCTTGCTGTGGCTTTTTTCCCGTCGTGTTGCGCAGCGTGCGAACCACTACTATGTTACCGTACCAAGGGAAAGGAAAACTTGGCAACAATGAACGAATAGCTTCATTGGTAGGTTGAGATTCCATGGGGGAAATCAGAGGGTTGAGTGGTTGTGGGAGGCAGAAAACTGCGTATGCGTAGTCCAGTGGATCAGGATCCTCCATTGGCCAATTGCGGATGATTGCCATTGACGAAGGGATGTCCAGAACAGTGGCGTGCCGTTCCGCAGTAGGCGGAATCCACCAGAAAAGATCAAGGTCGCGAGGGTTTTCGGCTTGGATCTTGTTGAATTTTGTAGGTACAACAATTTCGACAGGTTCAGGATAGCCAGTCGCGAAGAGAAGACCTCTAAAGAGCTTAATCTGCAGTGTTTCGTCTTGCTAAGCAGAGAAATGTCAGTGTACACTCCACTGCCGGGTTTTAGGGACGCACTTCTGCTCTTTGAATGCCATGTATCGTTTTCTTCACATCCTCTATAACGTAGCGTGTATAGATTGGTGCATCTCGTAGCGCTGCCATCGCTGACTACGCGCAAAAAGAAGTGAGTTGACAAGAAATGCGAGGGTGTGTTTGTTGGCGGACGCGCCTTTTAAAGAATAAGCAGAGTGCCTTCAGGCAGTGAGAAACAGTCTTTGATGAATGTTGCAGTATATATTTGACCGATAAGTGGTCAACCCGTGGTGTGCATCGTGAGTAAGATATGCGTTCAGTCGCACGTTTGGTAGACGAAGAAGAGAATACGACCACGTCACACTGGCCTCGTAATGCCACGTGATAGAATCAGCACGTGCATGGCTTGCCTCCGCCCATGTTAGCGCTCGACACAAAATGCTATAGGTTTCTGTCTAGTAATTTTTTACTGGGCCGTACGACATAATCCACTGCAACAACCCTATTCTGACTCTTCACCTGGGCTATTTCCGTTGCTACTTGCCAGTGAATCGCTAACCGAACTTGGAGCGCTCGCTGATTGAAGTCCAGGTACCTCGTCTTCGCTGTTCGAGTGCTTCAACTCAACACCATCGTTGTCACTATCCTCTGAATCTGACTGACGAGTATTATGATCAAAGAGCTTCCTGCTGCCCACCAGGAAACGTACAAAATTCAGCTCTTTCGTCCGAGGCTTGATGAGCTTGATTTTAGTGGCCCAGATCTCGTAAGTCTGCGACAGTCTTGAGCTTTTGAGTCAAGAAAACAAGTCAGCACTCAACTCGCTCGCGCTGCGCAGTCTTGTGTGTGGTTGTCGTTGCCTCCGTACGGCTCAACTCGCATTCTAACACCACGGTATCGCCTACCGTGATTGGCAGCGGGGTTGGTCGAAGAGGGGGTATGAAATACTCATATTCCCAATCGTTCGCAGGCACAAGAATGCGCGCGAATTTGTTATCCGGACGGACGTTGACGTGAATTTGGTCCTCTGTGACCCAACTATGGTTGAGAGCGCCCTGCGGTATGTTAACCCATATCTAGCGCTAAACTATTTGACTCACTTGCGCAAACGGCAGATCGTCGTATCTATCGAGGAACAGTACTTCTCGGAGTGACTGTATCTGGGCGTCCCAGGTTTCGGCGAACTTCGAATATATCCCACCCGGATTGTGCCCAATCAGGCATTGCGAGTGTGAATTGAAAGCCCTCGTCGGTACGAAGGACATCAGGGAGGGTTGCTATTTCACCCACTAAAACACAGGTGAATACATCATTCATTGTCGTGCCGTCGCGGATGTTAACAAATGCGCTTTGATTGGTATTCATTGGCGAAGGAGGGTGGAAATCGAGAGTGTAGCGTGCGTTGCCTATGAAGTGCTCTGCGTGCCCATGCAAAGCTGATATCAAATGCAAAGGTTTGAGCGAACAATCTGGCGTGAGTTGTTGCGCAGTAAAATTCGCGCGTCGGTTGACTTCCATGTCGAGTTGCGCAAGAAGAAGGGAAACAGGATGGGAAGGGTGAAGCATACACAGTTTTACGGGGAAAGGTGACCTTATATAAGAGGTGAGGGCGTGCGCTGAAGGTAGGCGACTCTTTTTTTTTTTGTGCAACCACCTCATCCCCTTTCCCAACAGTCATCCATTGGACGTCTAATTCTAGTGCCAAGGATGGAAGAGGCTTTCAGAACTCACACACTGAGGGAGGCCTTTCAATTGCTAGACGAGTTTTGTCAAGTGCCTTCTAAGGCAAAGGCGTCATGGAAAAACCTATTCGCGTATCTCGCAACGTTGCAGCAACCACTCCAAGAACAGATCAAAGGCTCCGCAAGTACGCGTGGAGGGTCAAAGAGAAAAGCCAATAATTCGGCTCAGCTACAGCCGTCAAACCGCAGGAAACGCGTGAGACTGGAAATTCCCGTTGGAGAAACAGAAGCGGGAACCCTTGTGAATGAGGGAAACCTGATTGATAGCGACTTCCTGAGGGTTGTTCCCACTGAAGTCGTACAAGATTGCGTGTCAAGGTATTGTAACTTGAATAACTTTTTCGTTTAGGCTCCGTTCTTACAAAGGTTTTCAGGTTTATTGACCGCACGGGTAACGCTGCTCTGAAGAAATCAACGTGCATAGTATGCGCACGAAACTTGTTTTCTTCTCAAATAGAGAAGTTAACGCTGAGGGAAATTCCCAACAAGCATCTGCTAAAACCAACTCATCCCCACTCTGAACATCATCTAATCAACGGCTGCCTCTACTACGATACGGTGAAGGAAGACGAGCCCAACGACATTTGCTTCTCTTGCCTTCGCAGTCTCAAACGGTGCGATCGCCCCAAGTTTTCTTTGGCCAATAACATGTGGCTTGGAAGCGTCCCTTTTCCAACTCGCGATACTCACACTTCCTGAACAACTGTTGATATCGCTCTATTTTCCTGCTGCGTATGTTATCAAGATATACCCCAAGAACGTGACGGGAAGCGCACAGAGTTCGGACGGCATACCCACCGCCACGGTTTCCAACGAGAAATTACGAGGGAATGTCTCCACATTCAAGCTTCCAACTTCGGAAATTGCTGAAATGGTGGCAGGAAACCTTGTACCTCGTCCTTCTCTCTTGTTGGCTGCCACCATAGGAGTTACGTTCGTGGGTGTGGGCAAAGCAGCTCTTCGTTGTATGCCAGGCCTTTTTCGAGTCAGGAGGCAGCGCGTATTGGATGCCTTGATATGGCTCAAGGCAAACAATCGCCTTTACGACCAAGTTATAATCTCGGAACAACGACTTGGCGAGCTGCCTGTTGACGATGTGCCCGCTGAAATTATGGAGGCAGTAAGATACTCGGATGATATAGACGCCGTTGGTCGCGAACACGCGGGATACGTGCCGATGGAACAAGAGCAAGAAGAAAACGAAGGTTATTCGGATAGCGACACCGAAGACTCGGGGGTACCTCCGATTCAACACGCTGAAGAAGAAGAAGAGGATGATTCCATCGATGTAGAAAGTCTCATTGCCCAATTGGACGGTTCATTATTTCCCCATTATAGATAAGATCCATCATTGACTGATTTTTAGCGGAAGGGAACGATGTAGACGAAGATCCGACCGACACAACCAAGCACGAGGCAGACGGTGGTGCGAATTCAGTGGTTTTTTTTTCTTTTTGAAACATAGTGATTCCCACCCAGATGCCCAGGTTTTCCCACTTCAGATACATGGTGTTGTAGATGTGGGCGGAGAAAATATCCCAGACGCCACTTTGTTCGCTCATGCAGTGGAGAATGCCATCCCAGCTAACTTTGCTCAAGACTATGGAATTCGAAAAGGGAATGCCTTCGTGAATGAATTCGCGCGCTACGATGAAAACAAGGAAAGGTTTGATGGAGGTCCTGCAAATCCAAATCACCTGCTGGGGGCGTTTCCCATACTCTTCCCATATGGGTACGGCGGCCTGGAGGTCGATCGAAAAATCAAAGTTACATACGAAGAGCATGTCAGATGGGCTCTTCAGCACGCCTCTGGACGCTTCCGACGCCACACATCTTTCATTTTCCAGGTATTCGGCGTACTTTGGAAACGCCAAGTCTGTCGATCCGCCTCTCTACACATCGATCATAATGCCTTTATCGCCAGTCATGAGGACTTCATGAAAATTAGACCGAAGGACCTATTGGAGGCGAGTGAAGAAGAAAATCACAAGGTTGAGATATCCAATCCAACCATCAGGTTATTACGTCGCCATATTACCACCATTCGAGCGAAGGTCCCAGGTACAGATGAGAACAGGGTGTCTATTCGATCCCAAATTTGGGGCATGACGCTCAAGTTCAACCCCCCTTCAATCTGGACTACGATCAATTTATCAGATTCCAATGATCCTATCGCGCAAGTTCTAGCCGGTGTCGACATAGACCTCGATAAATTTGTTGCCAAAACAGGTCCCAACGCCACCCAACGTGCTCAAGTCATTGGCGCAGACCCATACGCTGCTGCAGAATACTTTCATCTCGTCGTCAAAATCATTCTGGAGGAAATGATTGGCGTCAAAAGTGGTACACAAGGCGCTATCAACCGCAAGATGGGGGTACTGGGTTTCGTCAATGGATACATAGGTACCGTGGAAGCGCAGGCCAGAGGGTCTCTGCACCTACATATTCTGTTTTGGTTGAAAGATGCTCCCACCGCAAATGATATGCAAGAGGCACTCCGATCGGAGACTTTTCGCGACAAAATCAAGGCCTTCATACACCAAAATATCCGTGCAGACCTCACGCAAGACATCCAGCAACCAACAAACAATAAACGACGAGGAAATGGGAAATCTAGCGTCGCATTCTCTCGTCCAGAAGATCCCCGTCTACCTGACTATGACATCAAACGCGAACAAGCTGAAAACCACAACGCGGGTATAGTTCAAGCTCACACATGCACCGTTTACTATTGTCTCAAAGGCCAAAGTGGTAAACTAGTGTGCAAGCGTGGGCATCCTTGGGCCACCTACACCGACGACTGGGTCGATGAATATGGAAATTGGGGGCCGAAGAGACGCTACAGTTTCCTGAACCCCTGGAACCCCGCGATCTTTGCAGTGACAAGATCGAATATGGACATAAAATTACTGACCAATTCTTGGGAGACGAAAGACATCGCCTTCTACATCACACTCTACATCGCCAAAAAACAAGTTCAAGCTGCCAATGCGTCAGCGCTATTGGCAAATTGCAATTTCTTTCTTGCTGAACCCCAATCGATAACAGTCGACAACCCAATTCAGAAGATCAACAAAAAACTCTTGCAACAATGTGCAAACACGCTCAGTCGTCAATACGAACTCAGCGGTCCAGAAGTTATTAGTTATTTAATGGGATGGGGGGATCGTTATATCTCACATACATTTGTCAAAGTATATTGGGACACCATTGTTCAAGCGCTGCACAATGCATACCCCCATCTCGTATCCAAGTAAGTATTGCTTGACATCTATCGCAAGTTAAGGTTGACTAAACAACAAAATTTAGTGCAAGTGATACAAAAAAGGTGTGTTTGACGTTATGTACTCTCTTACCTTCCTCATTGACCATGATTACAGACGACGCGTTTGATACCTGGAGAACGGAAAATTTGTGTTGCATGATCAACTAGCACAGTATGCGGACCGCGCAGAAGAGCTTAGTCATCTCAGTGTTTATGAGTTCTTCCTTACGACTTATCACGATTCGAGAGGCGGGTCTACATCCCAAGCTGAACAGGAAGAAGAAGAAGAGGATGAGAGTCAAGAAACGGTCAAACGAGGTCGCCCTCCTTCACAACGGTTTCCTTACCTCGCGAATTCGGACCGAAAAGGGGCACGTGTTATCCGCGGTCCGAAACAAGAGACCGCTCTTCACATTGTCGGCCGATGGCTACCGAGCCGAGATGATCCGAATGTCGAAAACTATTCCGCGCAACTTCTCTTGTTGCTCAAACCATGGCGCGCTCTCTCAACGACATTGCGCAAGGTTTTCCTTCTTTCAATGCCGCACGTGAAGCCTTCTTACAGGATGCCTCGAATGACATCAGGCGCCTGGTCGAAAACATCGAATATTACCACGAATGCGTGTCTAGTGCAAAACGCCGAAGAACACCGAATAACTTCATGTCTGAGGAAAACGATGAACCTCCGACACCCCCCTCCTCAGATAGCAATAACAGAAACGGCTCGCTTCACCTTACTGAAGCAGATATAGAACGCTCAAGAACCCACAAACTAACGAAAGCGGAGCAACAGTACGGTAGTCAAGCCTTGGAAATCGCCAGAGCAGCAGGGATCTTCCAACCAGTTGTCGTATCCCAGCACCAAGAACACAATTTCGCTAAAAGAACTACGGAAGAAGAAGAGGCTACATTCAAAGTTTGGGAAAGTAAGGTTGCGGCATTAACTCGAAAACGACAAGATATCCAGCATACTGGAGAACCTTCAACATCCACTTCAGTCGCGGGCGTATTGACTGGCTTCTCAGCATTGAACAACAACTTCGGCTCGCGCGTGATTCCACTTATCAACGACGAAACAAGAACAAGGACTCAACTACAACATACAACCTTGGAAAGCCTGAACACCGAGCAAAGACGAGCACACGATATCGTAGAAACTCATCTTCGCAATACGCTCAATGGAGATCAGCAACCTCAGTTGTTGATGATAATTCAAGGAGAAGGAGGAACAGGCAAAACGGTCCTACTAAATGCGATAAGTCAAACTTTCGATTTCCTAAATGCCACTCATCTCCTCGCCAAAACGGGGACAACGGGTATATCTGCAACTTTAATCGAAGGCCAAACTTTGCATCAATGGGCTGGAATTCCCATTCGAGGCGTCCGAAAAGGAAAATTGGATCAGCAGTAACTGTTCTTCAAGTTAACCGCAACGCAGTATTGACGCTACCTATAGAAGCCAGTCAAAAAATACAAGAAAGAAGGAAGCGAAATATACTCCCTGTCCAATATGTGGTTATCGATGAGTACTCGATGCTCACAAAGAAAACTCTGGCGCAACTATCGCAGATAATGGGTTCGATTAAATCAATCATAGGCGAAGCCCCTTCGTCACGTCCATTCGGGAATGTTAATGTGGTCTTGGTCGGGGACCCCCACCAATTCCCGCCAGTGGGAAACCCCAAGGCCGCACTGTACAACCCCGATTCCGGAACATCACTCTTGAGCCAATTGGGATTGATGTTTTACCGCCAATTCAATACAGTGGTGACCCTAGAAGAGCAAAACAGGGTAACAGACGAAGGCTGGACTTTATTCCTGCGTCGGCTTCGCCACGGTAATTGCAACGAAGGCGACATCAAGATGCTTTCAAGGTTTGTTGGTATCGCAAACCCAACAAAATCCAATGTGGCAACAAGACCCTTGGCACGAAGCTGTTTTAGTGACACCACGGCATTCAGCGAGAATGGAATGGAACTCAGCTTCCTTGTCGAAACACCGCTCCCTGTCGCAAAACAGCATATATTTATGCAAGGCTGAAGATTCTACCTCAAAACCCGCCCGTCCGTTATCCCTAGACGAGCGGTACATAGTGGCAGGCCTTAACGACAAAAAAACGGGAAAACTCGCTGAATTTATCGAAATATCAATAGGTATGAAGGCGATGGTTCTCTGGAATATATCAACGGAAGCCGACCTCGCAAATGGGACTCGTGGGACCATTGTCGACATCTACATGGATTCGAGGGAACAGATACCTTTGAACCGGGACAACAATGGCCGATTCATCCTCTCATACCCGCCTTCCATGGTTCTAATCAAAGTTGACCATTTCTCATTCTCCCCATTCGAGTCTTTGGACCCAGGTGTTCTTCCAATCATGCCCACGTCAGCTACCTTCTCGATCACTAAATCTTCAAACGAAACGCTATCCATCCGACGACGACAGTACGCTCTCACGCCCGGCTATGCGTTCACCGACTATAAGTCTCAAGGCCAAACAATCCCATACGTTATAGTGGATCTAGAACACCCACCTCATGGTACTCTTAGCCCCTTCAACGCATATGTCGCGTTATCGCGAAGTCGCGGTCGACAAAACATCCGGATCTTGCGTGGGTTCGACCCAAAGATTTTCACCACGCATCCTTCTCCAAACCTCAGATTGGAGGACGAACGTCTCCATACTCTCACACTCCTTACTCGCCAAAAACCTCTATCGCAAAAAAAACACAAAATAATTAACAACAAGTCACCTGTTTTCCGTCTACCAAATCCTATATATCCAAGCATGCATTCATCAACGCTCTCTAAAGTCCTCGCTTTCATCGACTTCTCGCGCACACCTATGTCTCGCACAACTCTTCTATCCAAGTGGACGACTCGCTGCAGCGCTTGCGGTAGCCCCAATCCAAAATTGTGTTGCTCGAACTGCAAAGTAACTCGATACTGCGATCAGCATTGTCAAAAGCGCGACTGGTCCACTCACAAAGCAGCCTGCAATGCCCACTCCCGCAGCCTGGAAGAAGTGGGAGACCCCATCGTCGCAAGTATTATTCAATTCTTCTCTCGTTATGTCGACGAATGGAGAATCTCCTTCGCACACTGGGCCCTCTTTTGCGCGGATCTCGCCAATCGAGATGATGACTACCTCAAAACGCACTTGTAAGTCTTCATTCTAACACCTATCAAGGTTAACGTCGTCAAGCTTTGGTGTTATTCTCCAACCCGCCACAGACCAATCCAAGAAAAATCGTCGCTCGGCTTTCAACGTAAGTGGCGCCGTCTCAAACTCAGCATTCTAAATCAAACATCTTATAGGTTCGTCATGCTGCAATGTACACCGATGAAACGATATCCACACTGCTTCCCAAAGACATCGTGAAGGACGAAAAAGAAGAAGCTACTCGCAAAGAACATTTCTTCTCGGATTTTTCATCCATGGAGAAGAAAAAGGACAGTGTCCGCATCGTGATATCTTCAAGTGTAGTTTGCACGATGTTCGACGCCTCCTATCGAGGCGATACTCTCCCCGGAGCTGATGCTATGGTCCTCCAACAAGACCATGGCTACATTTTTTGCAACCATGTTCGACAAGGAATTCAAGGACGCAGTCAAAAACGGACATAGTAAGTAACCACATAATACCGCTATGAAATCTCTAATAAGCTACCCCAGCCACCTTGTCGTTGCACCGGGCGGTGGAATTATATGTCTTTATGATGACAGGATGCGCAGTCACCCTCCCCCTGCGCGCGGATGACGCTGAATACATGAAGGGTACATAGACTTCCACGCTGCCTAGTTAGGAAACATCAAAAACACGTTTGAATCGAAAATCTGTCCAAAAGAAGTCATCACATAAGCTGATACCTCACTCCCTTCAACCCGCCGTCGCAAACTTCCCATGCACACCTGCAACAAACACCCAACCAGTCGCCGCTGTTCTCCTTTCAGCTGCAATTTACGCTGGCATTCTCCAGTATGCTTCACTCTCCACGCACCTTCACCTTCACACCTCGGTTAGAAAATGGGGTGACAATTGCACTGAATTTTCGCTCTCTACCCACAAACTTACTTGAAATGAACAGGTACACCCAAGAAAAGGTTATAACTGGGGGAGACTACGACAAGCTGTGGAATGCATAGAATCTGGACAACTGGTGTTAATGACCGACGATGAAGTGTGGTACGCCCGTCGAGATCCCCCACGCCCTCGAAACCCACCCACGCAAACCATTCTCGACTGCCGGACACACCAAACAATTTCTTTTCCTAGCGGAAAACTTCATTGCGCCTATGTGGAACTGGACAATTCTCTGGTCGACCTCAATCCTCTGATGACAACCGAAGAAATGACTTTATGGGAAAACGTGGACGAAAACTGTGCTTTGCGACATAACGACAGTAACAGAGGGACCAATGCTCGTGGCTGGTTGTCGAGTTACCATACCAAAATCCTCGTCCAACCACATATCACAACTCAGCGGCATAATAACCGAAGTGGAGTCTTCCGGCTTGTGCGGGGTTCGAGTTACACATGAAAACAAGCCACTCAACATGCTGTCGCCTTCCATATCAGACGACATTTTGAGCCCAACTCAGGATGGAGACGAAATCGCTATCTTTCGCAACTATCTCAGGCCTCACTTCATTTGGGGTCACGTCCAACTGGCTAGCGGAGACAGGGTGGTCATACTGGAGGGAAAGGAATGACTACGGGTCGGAACCGTCGACCGCATCCAAAAAGGTCGCAACCCTGTTTCTCTTACCATAATCGACAGACAGGTCGCTATTTCCAATATCCCTATCCACCACGCAGCAAGGTTATTTATGCCTGGAGACGTCATTAAGGTGGTATATGGTTTTTACGCTGGAGAAGAAGGTCACATCGTCGCCACATACGCTCTCAAAGATGTCCCATTACGACGCACACAATTTCCGCCTGGTGGCTTAGAAATCATGCTGGTGAGTAACTACACTCACGAATGAACAGAGCCTCACGTTTACCACTCTAGAAAAAAAACGGAGATGTAGTAAGTCAAACAACTAATCGAATAATTACTGTTGAATATAAGTCTAGATCCAACTACCTACTCAATTCTGCAAATTCAACGCAAGAGCAATGTTATCGAAACCAACACTGTTACATCAAGTGGACGTCGCCGCCCACTGGTTGGCTCAAAAGGAATTGGTAGGAAAATCGATGGACGTCCGAATTGGAGCTATCACTAGAGGTCGAGTATCTCAAAAGCAATCTGAAGCCATCGGAAGAGAAGGTTTTATCTTACTATCAGAGGCAATAAACGACCACAACTTCGACAACCCTATCGCAGTCGAATTTGAACACACACCCAAACGTATCGCCATCTCCCCCGAGTGGCTATACCCCATCAACGAACCCCACGAAGATCCACCGCCTGACGAACTTTCTTCGGCGAGCAGGGTTCTTATTATAGGCAAAGACACTCGAGAGAACGACCAATTTATAGGGAAATATGCCCTAGTAGAGGCGTAGCGAGATTGGCCACACAGTTCAAGCCACAGTTATAGGACGCGAGGGTACCCATTGGACACAAACCTGGTTTCCATTAAAATCTATCTGTAGAGCGTCTTGTACCACTACTTTAAAATGGCGGGATAATGAATAACGTAATCATTCTTGATATTTACACTTGTTGATTGACGTCAATGTTTACGCTTGTTTGTTTTTTTTGTTTACATGTGTTAGACATAATTTCTCACATACGGGACCTTAGCTAAAGCAAGGTAATTATTCCTTGTATACATGTTTTGTAAAAAGAGTTCAAACATTTATTGAGATGATCATGATAGTTTGATTCCACAGCGATCACATCGTTGTTCGGTGTCGATACTTTGAGAAAAATGAGAGCGCTCCGAATGACACGGGTTTGGACGTACAAAAGGCAAATTAAGCCGATAGGGAAACAGACAACCGCTGTGATAATACCGCAAACACCTGAGGAAATGATGAGAACAGATCGAATAGGAGGTAGATCAGCGCCGCTCAATTGACGCGTTTTTCGCGTCAAGATTCTTGTCAAACAGCGACGAGAGTTACTTACCATACTTCGTTGTAGGCGAATGTTGGCCTTGTGCACACTGAGCAAAGACTGGAACGACTATAAGTAGACAACAAGTAACACATAACGATAACGCACGTTGGGCACGGTAGTTCTCTCCAACCTGAGCAGGAGTGGGTTGTGGTTGCGGAGAGTAGACTGGCTGTTGTGCGTAGCCTTGCTGGGGAGCAGGAGCATAATTCTGTTGTGGAGGGTATCCTTGTGGTGGTGGTGGTGAAGCGTAGCTTTGCTGAGGAGGATACCCCTGGCCATCGGCTGGCGGTGGCGTGTAAACTGGCGGCCCTTGGGCTGGGCCAGCGGGAGGAGTGTAGGACATCGTAGCTTTCTCTCCAGAGGACGAAGGCATGGTTGGATGGAGGTATCAAATGAAAGGCACAGATTGGGATTCGCGCTTTTTATATGCCGCGGCTGCATCGCTTTTCGTACAGCTTTCACAATCCACCATCATCATGGAGTGGCAGTCGCTTCCCGTCCCACTCTCCCAGCTCCGCCTTGCTCTGGTCCTACCAAGCGGCCAATCCTTCAGATGGCGTGCCGCAGGCAACCAATTCAGTTTTTGTCTTCATGATAGAGTCGTCGTGGTGCGCCAAGACGCAGAGAAACTCTATTACCGAACCATCCTCCCAGACCCCCAGCCCTCTCCACTCGAACTGCCCTTACGCACAGCCGAAACCACGCTTTGGATAAACGACTACTTCCATCTTGGCGTGGACCTGGCTGCTCTTTACACCGAGTGGCAAAAACGCGACCAATTCTTTGCCTCGATTTCGACGCGTTTTTCAGGTAAAGGACCTTATCACCAACCCAAACACGCTCATAAATACGCGTCAGGCATTAGAATACTGCGACAGGACCCATTCGAGAACCTCATATCCTTCATCTGCTCTTCCAACAACAACATCACCAGGATAACAAAAATGGTGAACGCGTTATGCACCAACTTTGCTCCCCGCTTGCTCTCAGAAGATGGAGTAGACTACCACCCCTTTCCAACGCCCCAGGCCCTTGCCTCCCCTTCCGTCGAGAAAACTCTGCGTGATTTAGGGTTCGGATATCGTGCCAAATTCATCCAGAAGACAGCGCAAATGCTGGTTGAAACTCACGGAGACGACGCCCAAAAGTTCCTTGCAGGGCTTCGAACAACCCCTACTGACGTCGCTCGGGAAGAGCTATTGAAGTTTATGGGCGTTGGAAGAAAAGTTGCGGACTGTGTGCTACTTATGAGCTTAGACAAGGTGAGCACTTCTCTAGAGGTGCGATAGTTGGCTAACGTGGTTCTAAGAACGAAGTCGTGCCAGTCGACACACATGTCTACCAGGTCGCAGTCAAGCACTATGGGCTAAAGGGCTCCTCGTCCAAACCAAACATGACACCGAAACTGTATGCTGATATCAACACCCGACTAGCTTCAATTTGGGGAGAGTGGGCTGGTTGGGCACAATCTGTAAGTAGCTCCTTGAAAATCAAGAAGTTCTTGCGTCTTGACCTGAACTAGGTGCTCTTCGCCTCTGATTTGAAAGCATTTTCCTCATACGATGCCTCTGCAAATGCTGCTGAGACTCTCCCCACACCGCCACCGACACCAGCGTTGAAGCGTAAAAACGACTCGGATGAAGTGGAATCAACACCAAGTCGACGTCGGAAGCGGACATAGTTTCATGGCCCTATCCTGAGAGAGAACCTGTGACCGAATCGGCAAGGGAACATTCCGGTCGGGATGAGCGTCAGTTCGGAAAGCGAGCGCTGTTCGCTGTCAAGGAAAGAAGGTAGACTGGAATGCTCGGGAGTCGAGGGAAGGAGCATATCAACAATTGTCAAACGGGCAGGAACTTGTACCGGAGTAGTCAATGACGCATGCAATGTATGGAGAAATTGTCGGGCTATGGAGGGGTCGGTGTGCCAAAGTTGTCGCGGAGAGTCTAAATACCGTGACCGTTGCTCAGAGTTGCTCACGACCAACCGTCATGCGGCGCGGAGATTTTCGGCGCTCTAACCTCTCGGGCGACTAATATCGAAGAAGGCCCGCGACAGAAGAAGTCCGGGGCGTCAGTTTTCCACAAGCCGGAAGCAACTGACGTCCGATGGAACGTTCACTCTCGATATAAGGCTCAAACTGAACCCAGGCATGTCTACGTCGCGTCCCCTTCCGCCAATGCAGCCCGGCTCCTACCGCCTTCGTTTCCTTCGCGACATATTTAATGTCTTCATCGCTCCTTCGACCATCCTTTGGCTCGCTCTTTACACGACCGACAGGCATCTAGGACTCTTGCTCTCCACACCGGCCTATATTGTGTTTATTGTTGCTTGGGCGGTCGGGAAAGGCGCTATTCGCAGCCTCTTGCATGCGCGGACTGCCAAACGATTCGGGGCCCAACAGATTCCCCGTGTCGTGGGTAAATGGCCCGGTAACATTGACGTGTTGCTCCGCATGATGAAGGCATTCAAGACGAGCTACGTGCTTGATGTCTACCTCCAGCTCTTTGAGGAATATCAATGCACGACGCTCAACACCCGCCTGCTGTGGATGGACACGATTATCACCATGGATCAGCAGCACTCCAAGTTCGTGCTGGCAACGGGCTTTGGTCAGTATAGCTCCCCCCGGCGACCCGCTCGATGCTCATCAAACAACATAGACTTTTTCTGGCGTGGCTACAAACAGAAAGAGCGCATGTGTGTTTATTCTTACACGCCTCAACTCTTCCTTATCCGCACTTAGGGAGACATTTCTCGGACAAGGCATTTTCAATCGAGATGATGAGGTACGTCAACAACACTTCTGGTCCAATCGAGGACTCAAAACAAATATCTACAGATCTGGAAGATGGTTTGTCTGGCTCCGACATATCAGCCCCATATTATTATCTAATCACCAACCCCCAGCATCGCGCAATCGTCCGCCCCTTCTTCGCCCGCGAACGGATTTCTGATTTCGAAATTTTCGAGAAATTCTCACGCAAGACCATCGCCCTTATTTCCTCGATTTCAGCGCAGAACCAGCCCTGCGAGGCCCAGGACCTATTCTCGCGACTGACGCTTGATGCGGCGTCTGAGTTCCTCTTCGGCACCGATCTCCAGACGCTTGCTGCTGCCCTTCCCGTCGCAGGAGAGACGGCCATGGGGCCAAAAGGCTCGGCTACCCATGACAGCTGGGGAGCGTTCGCCGCTGCCTTCGAGACAGCACAGCAGGTCGTCACGAATCGCGGACGGATTGGGTATTTGTGGCCACTCTTCGAGCTCTTTGGCGACAAGAATGCGAAAAATGTGGCTGTGATCCAAGAGTGTGTACCGTTAAATTTACTATGTTCACCGTTGTGCTCATCGTACAACAGTTGGTTGGACCCTCTTGTTAGGCAAGCGGTTGAAGATAAGCACCGGGCCGAAAAACTCGGCATCTGCAGCCCAGTCGCCGAAAAAACTTTTCTGCAGCATTTAGCTGATAGCACGGACGGTAAGTTGAGCAGACATGGACAAACAGAGGAGTATTAAGCCCTTTTTCAGACTCTATACTCATCCGGGATCAGCTGCTTAGTGTATTGCTAGCGTCTCGAGACACGGTTAGTGCGCCTTGTCTTCATCTGCATTCTTGTATTGAACTCTGGTATCAGACTGCTTGTCTCTTGACATTTGTCGTTTATTTTATTGCTATTTATCCCGACGTGGGCCGAAAGCTCCGCGCTGAAATTTTGGAGCATTGCGGCCGTCACGGTTCGCCGACTCACGAAAACATTAGAAACATGAAATATCGTCAGTCGTTCACCAAATCTTTGTTCCAATTTGCTCATTGCCATTGATGCAGTTCGAGCTGTGATCAACGAAGTCCTTCGTCTATTCCCCCCTGTCCCACTCAATGTCAGAGAGTCTCGCGATGCCTGTACATTGCCCCGCGCGGACGCAACCTACCCGTATCAAAACCCACGTCCGTTTTATATGCCCGGAGAAACGACAATCATGTATCTCCCACTTCTCACTCAAAGGAATCCTGCGCTGTGGGGCCCCGATGCCGATGTCTTTGATCCAGAAAGGTGGCTCGACCCGGAACGCATGGCCAAGTTTGTAGCCAACCCGACGATGTATGCGCCGTTCAGCGCTGGGCCGCGGATTGTACGTCTCCTGACTTTCCCTATCGTAAGCCGATACTGAAGATCGCAGTGTGTCGGGCAGAACTACGCATATAATGAAGCATCCTACTTTTTGGTTCGCCTTCTCCAAGAATTCGACACGTTTACGCTCGCTCCCGAGGTGCAGCCACCTGGGTCGCTGCCCCCGAGTGAATGGAAGGGGCGGAGAGGACGTCAAGCCATTGAACGTGTCTGGCCTGCTGCCTCTATGACTTTATTCGTCAAGGGTGGGCTGTGGGTTCGGTTTGGTAGGACTGACCCAGACATTAACATCTGAATGAAGACCAGATTGTGTAAAACTCGATGTATTGAAGACCATTTGTATCATAGCCTTAGGGATTATACACGCGTTGTTGCCGGAAGCTCTCAGAAAATAGAAAGAGGTTGCGTGACATGTCACATCAATATCGATTATTTCCACACATCCATCACATGAGCAAGGTGGTGTTTGGTATGTTCAGATTGGTTCAGTCAGCCGCAGCCTTATTGGGCCCACAGTTGGCAACGTTCCCTACAAGATTAGCGAAGACGCACTGATTGAGGTCTTCAAATCTGTAGGTCAAGTTGTCGCGTTTAGGTCTCTCTATCCCTTGTCTTCCCGGACCCCAACACTCTGACCACGCGTCTATCAACAGACTGGTATTCGATCGCGACACTGGAAAGCCCAAAGGTTACGGCTTCTGTGAATTTGCTGGTACAGGATTTACTTTGAACACTGCTTGTTTCTCACCGTGTGAAGACCATGCTACTGCATTGTCTGCTGTTCGAAACCTTAATAATACTGAAGTTGGCGGTCGCTCACTAAGAATTGATCTAGCAGGTACTCGATTCTTTCTGATTGTGATTATGCAACCAACTGGCTGAGTTAGAAAGCGACCCGTTATTACAAGGCAAGACTACCAAAGGTGGTGAGATCATTGAGCCTGAAGGTGCCAACTGGAGGGCCAATGGTGATGACCAGGAGGGCGTCGACATTCTCTCCGCCATTCCTACCGGCAAACCGCTTCTGCCTGGCCAACGTGCCGAAGAGACGATCCGTCGGTTTATGCAAGAGCGTAACTCTGCAGAGTTGGGCGAGATACTTGCACAAATGAAGGTAATAGTAGACTCGAAAATGCAGTATGCCAGTTCCTCACATTACCATGACAGGCGTTTGCGTTCACACATCCGAAACAAGCGCTCGTACTTCTCCAGCAGCATCCTCAGGTTGCTTTTGGAATCTTCAGAGGCCTTGCCATCAGCGGGACGATCCCACCTGACTTGGTACAAGAACTCACCGACACCACAAATGGACGTGGACTGGCGCCTCCTTCAGCTTACCCATCTGGGCCAGGGCAATTTCCTCCTCCTGGTCCTCCTCCTTCTTTTAATAGTTATCCACCGGCTCGTCCACCAAGCCAGCCTCCTCTCCCGCCAATGTATAGCCACCCGGGAATGCAACCGACACCGCCACCACCGCCACCAATGCCAGGATATGGACCCGGCCCTATGCCACCACCATATTATGGCAGACCGATGTCCGGACCACCTGTTCCAGCGCCACCACCTCCACATATACCTCAAAATTATGGCCAGCCCCCTCCGCCCCAACCACCGCAACAGGGAACAGGACTCTTGGCTTCCTTGCAAAATGGCGGAAATGCCGAACAACAGGTATTAATTCAGCCTCTCCTTCTAGCAGGGCACTGAAAAAAAAACCCACGAAGCATGCGCTGTCCGTTCTCATGAGCCTAACTCCGGCACAGTTAGCTGGGCTCTCTGCACAGGATCGTGCGACTATCGAGCAACTGGTGGGTTCTTTCAGGGCTATGAACATCATTCAAGACTAATCTAATCCGTGCAGCGGAACGGGATGATTCGTTAAGGTTGTACATCTTGTCTGTAGATCAGTCAGAAGTCTGTAGCTACATACAACTCTCTAGGTGCATCGTTGCACAATTTGCTGTGGAAATACACGTGACCGTTCTGTGACACGTTTGAAGTGATGGCCTCTCAGTCCTCCAGCGTCGACGAAATAATCGACACCACCCAGCATGCGGACACGGACTCCGAAAACTCGGATGACCATGAAGAGATAGACGACACGGCAGCGCCATCCACATCGCAAAAGGGCAAGAAGAAGAAGAAGAAAAAGTCCAAGGCCGCTAAAGCGCTTGCTGCCCTGCGGGGCCGTTCAGAAATCCCCCAGGAACTTGTTGATAAGGTGGTCGACAAGATGAAGGAGGACAGCTCTATCAATCAGCAAGTGGATGAAGACACGGTGCGCCAGGCCCTTGAGCAGATGAAGATTATGGACGTTGCGAAAGGGAAAGCTGGGTTCGGGGGCATCAACAAGAAGGATATGGGAGCACACAAGGTCAGCGGTGGCCGTCATACTTGGACTGAATCTTATGTCTATAGTTCTGGGCCACGCAACCGGTTCCGCAGCTTGACGAAGGCCCCCCGGTCGATGACGGTTACATTGAACCATCTGTGCCTCGAGATCAAGTACGACAAGAGGCATACCCGCTTCCCAACGACTTTGAATGGTCCACTTTGGATATAAACGATCCAAAGCAGGTTAATAGTTGTGCCTGCTTTTGTTATGCACAACACTGACGTCTGGGTAGAACAAGGAAGTCTATGACCTGCTATCTCTCAACTATGTGGAAGACGACGAAGCCTCGTTCCGCTTCCAATATAGCTCCGAGTTTCTGCAATGGTGGGCAGCCTTTCCCACCTTGATGCCAAGTCACCGATGCATTTCGCCAGGGCTCTCAAGCCTCCTGGATACTACAAGGAATGGCACGTTGGAGTGCGAGTTTCCTCGAACCAAAAGCTTGTTGCCTTCATCTCTGGAGTGCCGATAACCATACGAGTCCGCAACAAGTCAGTCTCGCTTCTCTTGCGTCACACACTGCTCATGCCCCTCTGCGCAGGGTTTTTGCTGCTGCAGAGATCAACTATCTTTGTATCCACAAGAAACTCCGGTCAAAACGACTTGCGCCAGTTTTGATCAAGGAGGTGACTAGACAGGTCCACCTTCAGGGCATATTCCAGGCCATCTACACCGCGGGTGTTGTCATCCCCACTCCAATTTCAACATGTCGGTAAGAAATAGTAGTTTTGGCGTCGTTCTGGTGTGATAACACCTGAACAGTTACAATCATCGACCTCTGAATGTTCCAAAGCTACTCGAAGTTGGCTTCACGTTTGTGCCACGTAATTCGACCGCAGCTCGAATGATTCGCATGAATAAAGTTCCCGACAAGCCTACTTTAAAGGTCCGGCCGATTGAGGAACGAGATATCGTGGCAGTCGCAGACCTTTTCGCGAGGTACATGCGGCGGTTTGACATGGTGCCTGTGATGAGCATCGAAGATGTGAAACACCAATTCCTCAGTGGAGAAGGCACCGGGAAAATTGGTGATGGTGGGCCAGGTAAAAGGGTGGGCCAGGTTACGTGGACCTACGTCGTCGAGGTTTGAATATCTCCAACGCTAACCGCAAACAAAAACTTATCAAGCAACACAACAGGATCCCGAAACTAACAAGGTCACCGACTTCTTCTCGTTCTACTGTCTACCGTCCACCATCATAAACAATGTCAAGTATGGGACGCTCGAAGCAGGCTACCTTTACTACTATGCTACGGAAGTCGCATTTCAACCTGACGCAGACGAGAACGGGCAGCTGAAGGCGCGGCTTCAAACGCTCATCGGGGATGCATTAGTCATCGCCAACCAGGCCAAACTAGACGTCTTCAACGCGCTGACATTGATGGACAACGTATCCTTCCTTCAAGACCACAAGGTAATATCACAACTGAAACTCTAATCCTTGTGCTTATTGGTTTGTAGTTTGGAGTTGGCGATGGGTTTTTGAACTTTTACTTATATAATTGGCGGACGGCCAAGCTTGCTGGAGTTACCAGCGAGGGTGGCGTTCCAGCTGGTAGGGGTGTTGGTGTAGTCATGTTGTAAGCAGTATGGATCACGTGGAATAAATGTGGTATGCGACAAGAGAAAACGAAGGTGTAGTCGGTTTTTGGTAAGTTTTCTTAGGTTTGCGCCTTGACAGGGGCTTATCGACAGTTCGTTGAGCTGCAAAATACTGGAACCAGGGATTTGACTCTGCACGCTCATCCATCCACAAGGGAGCAAGAGTGCCACCCAAGGGGGGAGGAATCGGCGTGGGAGTTGAAAGCACTAGATTTTCCAGCTGTGCAATCAGAGGCTTCTGTTCTTCATCGGGAGGCAGTAGGAGCAGATGTTCAACTTTGTCTTCTTCTGTGTTGTCTAAGTCCATACTCGACCGCTTTTCCGTCGGTTGGGGAGACATTGGCGTTGGCGAGGCCAGTCCTCGCACACCTAGAGCCAGTTCTGGCAGTGGAGTCATCGGTCGCCACTCAACTGGTTCAGGCGCTGGGCCGAGGACAGGCGAGTCCGAGTCCATAGTGAGGTCAAGCACAACGGGCGAATGCACATTAGGATTAGCGAGTGACTCGGAGGGGACAACACTTTTCGGCGGCGCGACCTCGATTTCGTCGTCAGAAATCACGATAACTTCATTGGCTGGTGTGGTTGGCGGAGAGTCTACAAGGTCGATGATATCAGAGTGGGCCTTAGGAGAGTCCAAAAGAATAGGCTGAGAGGAAGAAGATCCTCGTGTCTGCAACACGATTCAACACACTCGGAATGTGCAGCAAAAGAACGAGCTCTTTACCTCGGCCTTCACGCAGCTGCTGCACTTCCAGAAAATCTCAGAAAGGTTTTTGTCCGCCAAAAATGCATCAAACATCCGATGCAGCTCAGTGTCAGATAGCGGTGGACGATGACAACCTATCAATCCGAGTTCAATAATTTTGTCTTCACAGAAATCGGCGACTTGCGATGGTGAAAGTGACGCTTGCAGTTTGGGCATTTCAACATGAAGTTGCGGTCCGTCGACGTTGTTGTATGGCATCTGTAGCATTCGTTTGACGCCATGGTGGTGCACTCTTTAGATAAACGGTCACGTGCGGTGCAGTTGATCGCCTTGTCCCGTCTTATGTCAGCGGTCAGTAATCTCTTGATCACGAACGACCATGACATCGCTGGTGCGCTCCATATGGGGCGAGCCAGAAGAGAGAAAACTGCTTTTCAAGGTCGGGCCACGCGTATTTCACTTTTCTTTTTAATGACCATATATATGCAGATTGACTTCTTCGTCCTCTCATTCGTCTGCCTCCAGTGCGTCCAATAAGTTTCCCCCTTGGCTTTTCGCAAACCCTGGTTGTGATCAGATACTTCTCCAACTGTAGGCACTGATCGTACGATGCGGGTATCTTCCCACTTTTTTTTCTTGCAGATCTTGACCGGGCAAATCTGACGAATGCGTATGTGAGCGGCATGAAGGAGGCTTTAGGAATGACTGGCCACGATTTCAACAAGTTGGCTATTTGCCCTCCTCCCTCGACGCGTTGACGAATACACTGAAGCGTCAACTCGATGTTTACTGTGGGATACACTATTGCCCAGATACCCCAGGTACCTATCTGAGCCCCACCAGCCTCGAGTGGCAGCTGATAGCTGACAATCTAGAATCTACTTCTCCAAGTGATACCGGCCCGAATTCTGTTTCCCGTGAATACTCGTACGTCTCAGAACAATTAACCTCTGCACGAATGTTTCAAACCACCAGTGATATGGGGATGCCTGACGATGGTCACTGCTGCCGCAACTCATGTCCGGCACTTGTATGTTATCCGCTTCTTCCAAGGAATGGCGGAAGCCTCTACTTTTGTGGGCGCGGTGAGATGATTCTGACTAGTGAACTTACCGGTTGACATTCTGTAGCATTACATAATGGTATTTTGACGCCCCGCACTTCCCCCACCTTGCTTGACGTCAGCACACTAGGGCTCGTGGTACAAGGACTCGGAGCTGGGTACTCGTGGCGCGATATTTTCGAGCTCCGCACAGATCGCAACAATTTTTTCTGGTGTACTCCAAGGTTTCATTCAAGTCCCTCTCGCTGTGTTCATCGTCTCATGGCTACAGCGTCCATCTACAAAAAATCTCGACCAACTACATGGCATTGCTGGTTCATATAGAGTCGATCCTTCCTGTCGCTGCTAAATCTGTGGTCAGGCTTCCGGTGGCTATTCATAATATGCGGCCTAATAACCGTGCCAATCGCCATCTATGGCTTCATTTTCTTTCCTGACACGCCCGAAACTACAACTGCAAAATACTTCACGGAAGAAGTTGGGCTTGCATTTATCCTGTTCTGCGTCCCATGAACAATCTGGCAGGAAAGGAAACTTGCAATCTCCCGCCTTCCACCCAAACCGAAGACCACATTCGACAGAACGCTTTTCCGTCGTGTCTTTCGACGGTGGCGGATATATGCTATGTGCTTAATCTGGTTCGCACACCTAACCCTAACCTTAGACTTACTTGTCAATCACAACTTGACTAGGGTATGATATTGGCTCTCTTCCCGCCGCAGTACTACACGCGCGCGTAGATTGTCGGCGGCGAGTTAGAGAGTATCGGAAGCAACTCGTTGATGGCGCTTTGGATGAAGTCCAGTGTCAATCCCAAATATTCGATCACACAAATCAATTACTATCCCGCGGGTGGAACTGCAGTCGCCATAGTGGCTCTTCTTGGAACTGTAGGCCACGCTCTGCTTTGGTTGTTTCGCCACTGACGGATGTAATAGGCAGTTTGGACTGACTACACTAATAAACGATACCAAGTGAACATACTGATCTCAGCCTGCATGCTCGTTTCAGCTGTAATTCTGCTTGTCTATACGCCCATATCGACGGGTGGCAAGTTCTTTGCATTCTACCTGGCTGGGTATGTTTCATGGCCGAGTGCATGGGCAAGTAATAACGATCGGTCTAGAGTGTCATACTCCGGGCAGGCGGCAAATTTTGGTTGGGCAAACGACATAGCACGCGATGACGACCAAGAGAGATCTGTCATCCTTGCCTCCATGAACAGTGAAACTTACCGTGACCGTTCTTATAACGCGACTAATTATTTCCCTAGTGATGAGCAATGCGTTCAACGCCTGGGTTCGTTGTCATATATTGTCTCTCCGCTTTGTTCATTGGTTTCAGTGGTCAATCGTCTTCTTCCCTGCAAACGAGGCTCCCAGGTGGCGAAGGGGCATGATTTCGATCATAGCACTTGTCCCAGTCATGATTATTCTGACCATCACAGCTCGTATCCAACAGCTGCGCGATCGGAAAAAACAGCAGGACCTAGAAACAAAACAAAGTGAAGCGGGTATCGAAGAGTCGGATATTAAAATGCAGGAATAACGATATATGCACTATCTACACGTACCAAAATACAACACGTGACCGCGTCATCCAACATCAGGTCGTGCTTCCGCCATGGCAGCCCAGCAAAAATGACCGCAACCAGCAGGACATCGATGTCCTTGAAGAGACTCTCCCGCCGACTCATCGTTGTTGTTGTCTCGTGCTCTTCTGCGACCTCGTTTCTCAAGAACTGGGCTTGCGATGGGAGCCATGGTTTGCTGGAAAAGCAAGCGTCGATAGCAAGCTTGATGCCCTCCGTGCTGACAAATTTCACATTGAAACAGCAGAGTACGAACAGGAAGGCGGCTTGAATACAATGTTAGCTTCAAGCCTCTGCGTACCCGAAAAAAAAACACGAACCAGATGGCACAGGTGACACAATTCGAGCTGCAGCCAATGCAAAACGCGAACCCTCCTTTCACTAGTTGTCCAGCAGCTGGCGTTCCCGCAGAGATTACCAAAGGTTTTCTGCAGTTGCCGCATGAGGTGTGTATCTGAGTTTCAATCTAGCAACTATTGAGAATGGTCTTCCTAGACGAGACAGACGGCTCACCAATGTTGTTTTGAAAATCTCCTCCCTGCCACAGAACTTGCGAATATATGCCGCACAGCTATGCAGTTGAAGTCGACTGAGAAGGTCTAAATTTCTGTTAGTAAATGTCATGACTGAGGAAAATGAAGAGTAACCAATATACGCATCCAGAAATTGCAGAACCCTCCTGCGACTCAAACGGAGCTCCTCAGGCGCCACAAGTGCAAGCATCGCACACGTCTGGATGTCTCCCTGGAGAGCGATTATGCACCGTTCCCATGCGAGTATTTGGTCATACCTCATCAGCAAAACTTTCAAGCAGTTCACGGATGATGTCCCATGTCGCGTCTTGAAATCGAGCCTCTTCCGCTCTGACGAATTCGCCTCTTCGCTCAGTGAGTTTGGATCCATCATCCAGATTTGAATCCCCGACGAGTTCTCCATCATTGCTCCTTTCGTGCGATATCGAGGGTGGCGGAGGTGGTACACGCGTTGTATTTCGTAGATCGCGTATCGTGTCTTCGGCTTTCAACCCATTACTGGTGGTTTCTTGGTGCGACATCTCTCCCGCAGTAACTGTGAGGATGCTGCTATGTGATGATTGGTGAACGAGCGTGCGTGACACTGTGGGCGCGGCAAGGGAGGCCAACGTAGAGCTGCGACTCCGGGACTTGAGACGGGTTGAACTTGTCCTGCGACTACCAATAGACCCTGAAGACTTTGATTTTCGATGATGCATTTTAAACCGCCCAGAACGAGGACGCCCGTCGTTATTCGACTTGTCGACATCGGTTGAAACGGGAGAGGGAGACGATGTAGTTTCATCATGTCCTTCTTCGGTTTCGTTCTCTGACCAATTTAACTCTGCAATTTTTGACAGAGGACTGGGATGAGATCGGGTTGCTGACAGAACACGAGCCGGGACGACAGATGGTGAAACGGTCGTCGCGGGTTCGTTCTCTCGTTCGCTTTCCGATGATATTACGTCATCATTGGTCATTTCGTCTCCAACATCGAGTCCTGTGCTCGCTCCACTTTCGGAGGAAGACGTGTCTGAATCATCGAGCGCTCCTTCACCCACGTGACGCGTGTTGCTGCTCGGACTAGGATTGCTGCTGCTTGTGAGGTTTGTGCTCATAGAAGGACGGCGAAGGTGAGAGGATCGCCGACTACCCGCTCCCGAGTCCCCGGACTGACGTCGACTCAACAGCGTCGGTCTTCTGGGGGTAACTGGAGGAAGGGATTCAACCTCAAAGCGAGGAGAGGACTGATTAGAAGAGGTCGGTGTCAGCTTGCGCGAACCGGAAGCACTACGGTCGTGAGGGGAAGCTTTTAAACTGGACCGTCCCGGACTTCCGGAGCTATCACGATCAGCTGCTTTTGCAAGTGGTGGAAAAGTATAATTCGGCATTGGCCTGGGAATTGGGACAGGGGCGGGCCTTGGGGGTTCGGGAGACACGGCACTAAGGGCAGAGCCTAAAAGCAACCACATCTGGGCAACCCGAATCCGTCCTCCTTCAAACGATATCTATTGTGGTTGAGTTTGTATTGACCGCGAATAGGGACGTGTCTCTCGCCTGTGCATTGATTTCACACAATGCATGCCGGTCAACACCTTGGAATATATATCCTCGAGCCAGTTTGGCGAAGACTTCTAGCTCTCCCGGATGGTCGTTGATAAACGTCCCTATGGCCTGGTTTTTTGGGCTTACAGGACGAGTCACCGATAGCTTTAAGGTGCTTCATCTTGCGCCGCGCATCTGGAACGGGCAGCGAAGTAGGATTTCTTCAACTTTATGAGCTTTCTCCAATGTCATGATGCAGAACGCGACCCACACATCGTCATAAGGCACTTCCCAAGCCCATTGTCTATCAGCGACAAAGGCCATTGTACCAGACGCCTCCCAACTGACCGACACACGGGGTATGGCGTCAATAGGCTTGGTCGCATCGCGCAAATCAATCTGAGAAAACATTCCGGATGCATGAGTTGCCCAAATCGCATGAGAATCGCGGAAGGCGATATCTAGCATTTACTATCAGTTTAAGGAGGATTTTTTTGTTATGCAAACCTGTGACGCCGCCCTCGATTGCGGAACCTCGGACTGTCCATTTAGCTATCCAACCTCTGCGAACATCCCAGATTTCCACAGCATCACCTGTGCCAAGAGCTCCTCTTTCACGACTCATCTTGTTTGCACTTGGGTCTGTCGCGTGACGCCCAGTTAAAGCTGATGCGTAAGTTGGGTTTGTAATCGAAGGTTCCGAGAGGTTCCCGCTCCCAAATTCGGCGTTGGAGTTCGAGACGAGGGCAACTTCACAGTCATATCCAGGTCGCCATATCACGCGTCGGACCGGAAACGATGGGTGCAGAGTATATGTTGCTTTTTGTGGTATGTGGCTGGCAGCGGTGGTTGCTGTTGCGGATGTGCCAGCATGACTTACGTCCCAAACCTATGGCCAAGGTCATAAGAGGAAGACTTTTTCCATGATGCATTACCTTGACAGTCCGATCCAGGCCAGAGCTGACAATCCATCCCAAGCTGCTAGTCCCGTCACTCGCATGGGTTTCGCTACTATCAGGAAGATACCAATCCAGGGAGGTGACGCTAGCTGTATGGGCGACTAAAAGTCGATCCAATAATCCCCGTTGACCCATTCGCAGGTCCCAACTGAAGAACAGGTGAAACAAGAAAAAAATAGGTCGAAAACGCCTACCGGTATATGCTCCCATTTTCTAGACCTACAATGGCCTGCAAAGGCTGCGATGGACTCGGAGAGAATGCGATTCCACGGATGCCGGTTGGATGATGAATCCGCATGCGAGACTTGTGAATTTCTCGGATGTCCTGCAGCTTGGTCCGCCTGACGCGTCAAGATAGGCGGAATTGACGAACCCAAGCCCGTAAATCGCCGTCCGCAGAGCCAGTGATGCAGTAATGGTGAACATTAGGGGAAACCGAAAGTTTGTGCACGGATCGCGTGTGGTCTTTGGCTTTGGTCTCTGGGACATAGTTGGACATGTAAAAAAAAAGAAGAAAGGAGAATTTTATACCGTATTTCGAAACACCAGATTTGTTGAGGTCCCATAGTATTAGCTCCCCATTACGGGCACTTGTGACGATTTTATGGTTAAATTCTGAGGGATCCAGTGACCAAATGGCTGAATTTATAGGACCAGACTTACGACCATGGGCCCATTCGACATCAGTGACTGAACTGTCGGTTTTGAGTGCAGTTGCGTCCCACATATTGCGTGATGAGTCGAGACGATAGCCACCGAGACCCACATTTGACCGATGCTCAATATTGGGGTTTGGCTCGTCTGGATCGGAGACTCGAATGATTCGCAAGTCTGCATTCTGTTAGCACATACTATGCATATCAGACCCAACGAACACTCGGCTCCAGCTACAACACAACGTATCCCGTCTTCGCTGGGACTTATAGCTCCTCCGGTCGGTGTGGCGCGTTGAAGACGGACATTCCTGGTCGCTGCTGGGTAGCGAAGGGCGATTCCATGAGGTGGGTGCGTCCGTGAATCCGAGAAAATGGGTGCATGAGTGGTTTGGATGCTCAAATGGTGCATGTGGCTGTGCGGTCACGGCGTCAAACGCGGTCATCCCCTTATGTAAGCGACTAGCTTGTCTTGTTTACACAGACGCACACATGCCGAAGAGAACGTTTATCTTCGAGACGACCGCAGGTGCGACATAGAAACCTCGACCACACGCTTTGTGTAACCTCCGTACTAGGATCTCCGGTCTTCTACCTTCCTGTTCCCATTTCCAACCTGTCTGACTACGAAAACGTCGAATTTCACTTCCGCAACACTGGTGGCAACCCTACCTTCTATATTGGACCAGCTGAAGTCGCTCTAAATGACAAAGACGCCGTAGACTATACGACAGTGATTCGCGCTGTGACTAAAGCAAGAAGTGAGGCCAAAGAATTCAGACTGGCCGAAGGAGTTCAGGTCAAGATCGAAGACCGCACCCCTCATATTTCGAGGAACAAGGGGAAGCAACGAGAAGATCAACCTACGAAGTACTCAGCGGAAGAGCTTCGTGCTTTTTCTCGAGGGGCATTTACTACTGTTGCAGCATATGCACAACAATACGAGGACCATCGCCAAGACTTTGCCGTCTCTTGTCAACCATCCCTTCCAGCCACCAGAGTCCTCACCGACGCGGAGAACACGATATGCCGTGAGTTATGGGAAGCTCTCCTGCGTCTGGACCGCATTTTTAGTGGTCCCTTGCGAGGTACTGAATCCAGTCGTCAATGAATCAGATGACATTGACAATCTATTTAGATGTAGCGGCTCTACAAAGCCGTCAGGACGAAATGTTTGAGGCAGCTGTGAAGCGTCTCCATGGTCAGGGACAAGAAGAATTACGACGGCGAACGCCTTTGCGTTGTATGTCATTTTGTCAAGAGACTCATATTTCCATTGAAACCCTGTACAGCAGCAGCGAACCAATCCACCCCCTCTAACCGAGAAGTAGTCACCGACTGGATTAAATCTTCCGCGCACCCTTCATCACTGCGATCTCGTGCTATTAAAGAGAATGTGGGCCAAACAACAGCAAAACGGAAACGACCCACAGACGCAGTGGAAGTTGACAATTCTTCTAATAAGAGAGTGCGAGAGGATTCTGTCGTCTCTACTGCTTCATCAACAGTCTTCAAAGACGGCCTTCGTCATAAAACGAAGGAGACCTTTTCCCCGCTCGGCCACCGTTATCTGGCTCTGATACCACAAAATCCTCTTCCTTCTGGGCAAATACTAACAACGGAGGAGCGCGACTGGATTCTCAATCAGCGCGATCTCTCGCGTGCCCCAGACTTCTGGCGTCCAGTGGAATGGCTGGCACTCGGCGCTCGCATGTTTGAAGTTGCCCTAAACAGGGCAGACATTCGCCCGCTTTATCACGGCGTTCTACTCGCTGCATGGGATCGGAAAGAGTGGCGGTGGCCGGGTCACGAGACTCTGGGTGGGGATGCGACCTGGGCAGAGTGGATACGGGGTCCCGAGGGTGAGCGGTGGCGGATGGGGTAGCATTCCGATCTGATGACAGAGGCAGTTTAGTAAGCAGTTCGTCTGTGAGACTATATCTACGCGTTAGTGCGCGTCATTCTATCTCGATCTCTCTTCACCACTTATTACCATGAAGTACGTGCGTCTGGGAAATAGCGGTCTGAAAGTGTCCAAGGTACTTGCTGTCTGACATGTCTTTATCAAAGATGAGCCTTGCTAGATCATCCTTGGATGCATGACCTATGGCACACCCGAGTGGCAATCTTGGGTCTTGGGCGAGGAGGAGGGAATTCAGCATATCAAGGTCAGTCTGTTGCGATTCATTGCCCTCCCTCACGTGGGCGCAGGAAGCGTATGAGAACGGCATCCAAACATTCGACACCAGCAATGTCTACAGCAACGGGGCCTCCGAGCGGATTCTGGGCAAGGCCATCCGTCAGCTGAACATCCCCCGCGAGGAAGTAGTTGTCATGACCAAAGTGTACTTCGTCGTTGGCCGCGCGCCGTCTGTCACTTTCCTTGGTGGGAGCGCGGCTGATCCGGACAACGAAGGCTACGTCAATCAGCATGGCTTATCGCGGAAGGTAGACTGTTCTTGTTGAATTCGCGCCGTGTTTGAGACTCCTGGGCACTAGCACATCTTCGATTCCGTCAAGGCCAGTTTGGAACGCCTGCAGTTGGACTACATCGATCTCCTTCAGTGTCAGTTCATGCTCTCCGCTTGATTCTGAGACCTGAAATTGATACTACAGGTCATCGTTTCGACTATGACACTCCAATCGAGGAGACGGTAATCCACATCTTTTCTCCGAGTAAATGTGACCTTAGCTCCCCATAGATGCAAGCTCTCCATGATGTAGTCAAGGCAGGATATGTGCGCTACATTGGCATGTCGTCGTGCTATGCCTGGCAGTTCCATGCAATGCAGAGTGAGGCAACATATAGCTTCGCACCGAAGCATGCTTAGCCGGTGCAGATTATGCAATCCAGAACAAGCTCACCCCCTTCATCTCTATGCAGAATCACTACAGTCTCGCCTATCGCGAAGAAGAGCGAGAGATGTTCCCAACGCTCAAAGTAGTTCTTCAATAACGACTCGGCTGCTGAGAGTCTGATCTAGGAAACAGTATTTCAAAGTTGGTTCCATCCCGTGGTCCCCTCCCGGTCGTGGTCTCTTGACTCGTCCGTTGTCTGAGCAAAGTAAACGCGGCGCAGTTGACCGGTGTGTATTCTTCAGAGTCTCCGAGTCTGAATCGGCTGATCATGTCATTTTCCAAGGATGATTGGCTCGTACCACAGCGAAGCCACTACGCAGATCGTGCAGAGGTAAATGGCTTATGAGACTAAGAGGACCATCTCATGATGCCAACAGACTCGAGGAAGTGAGCAAGAAGAAAGGCCATAGCATGGCCCAGATTGCTCTGGCATGGGTCATGGCAAAAGACGGCGTTTCCGCTCCCATCATCGGCACTACGTCTCTGGACAACCTAAAAGAACACATCGGTGAGCAATATCATCTGGGAATCAAACCCCGGTGGGCTTACGATCTACTAGCTGCGGTGGATATCACGCTCACCGAGGAGGAATTGAAATATCTGGAAGAACCGTATCAGCCAACTAAGATTATCGGGCATACCTAAGCCATCCCAAGCACAATGAACTTGTACGATAAGTAGACGGGGAGATGAATGAATTTTCGAACTGTGGTTTGCTTAAGTAAGCCACTGTGACACTCGCGTCACTCAGCCACCCACGACCCTCATGCACGGACCATCTTCTGCCTCCCGCGAAGCGAGTTTGCGCAACATCGTGCTGGACTATCTCGTCCACCATGGATACAGCTCTACGGCGCGCGCTTTTTCTCAAAGTAGTGCAATGCCACCGCCTGTCGACAGCGACGGCGACCAAGTCATGGGCTCGGTTGTTTCCTCACCCACCGATGAAAGCTTGCATCACGTCGACCTCAGACAAAGTTCGGCGCATGTCTACCACTTAAATGCTAATCCATGGTTGAAGGGGTCCGAAGTCACATTTTGAGCGGCCAAGTAAACGACGCGATTGAGCTGCTCGAACAACACTTCCCGACTGTGTTATCTGTCGACTCATCCTCTTCAAAGCCCACAAAATCTGTAACTGGTACCGACTTTGTGGCGTCCTCGACCGTGAACCCTGAGCACCTCAACCTCAACCTGCGAATTTTAGCGTTCACTGAAGCATTCCGTGCTGCATATCTTGACCGTGGGGAAGCATCGCTCGACAACGAAGACGACCGACATATTACCGATCTCCTTTCCAAACTCACCAAGCTCCACGTTCTCGTCAACATGCTCCCCAACCCCGAGCGTGCGATTTACGCTGACGAACTCAACAATGTTTCCGGTCTTCTCGCCTTCCCAGACGTTCGAAGCAGCTCTGTTGCGCGATATCTAAGCCAAGAACGGCGGGATGCCGTGGCCAATCAAATCAATACTGCCATCCTTTGTTGAGTAGACTAGTCATTAGCCATTTTGGAGACTCACAATACTTTTCAGATCGCATGGGACATCCTGCTATCTCGCACTTGGAGTTGTCGACGCGTTATACTTCGACTTTGGTCTCTTTCCTTAATGATCTCCAAATACTAGCTCCAGGCCAGAAAGAGGGCAAAGCGGGAGAGGTACATTCTTTGTTGCGGTTTCCAACACAGTTACTGAGGTCGTTTGTTTAGCTTGTTGGATTCGACATTCGGCAAGTGATACTACCAACAGCGTGAAACGGACGTGTGCATTTTATCATTGGATTATCTCTACATCATCCCATCTTCCTTTGTTGACTTCCACTACAATACCCGCTGGAATGGTACACTGCCTGAGTCCGAGACGCGTCAAATGTTTTAGTCTCCCCCAAGCAATCTTGCCCAACCATTCATGAGCATCATGCTCGGCAGCCAGCCATGTGTTGAAGGACAAATCTAGGCATTCTAAGAGGGGACAAGTGGATGGCAATCGATGAAGAGAGACCGGCGTTGGAAGATTTACCAGCGCAAGTTTCGAAAGCGTGGGTGGAAGAGCAAGCACAAACGATAAACTGAGAGGTGTGGATATAAGTAGGAGTGTTCGCATTGGAAGAGGCAAAGTGCTGTCTTCGTCATCCCAGTCCTCGTTATGAGAATCGTGTCGTGCTCCTTGGAGACCCCCTTCTGTCAACTGAGCGAAGGGCCCAACAACGATGAGTTCCCCCGAAACAGAACCATCGCTGCATAAGGCCTTGAGCTGGCCAGTTGTAAGAGGGTTTGAGACAGCAGTATGCCGCATGAGGTCGAGTCGTAAATGAGCTGGGATGTAGCTTGACACCAATTCACTCAGCTCTTCGTCTGAGCACGATACCACCAGCGATTGGAGGCAGAGCAGAGTCAAACGCGGGACCCTTGGAGGGCGAATATCCATATCCAGTACCAGTGATAAAACCAGAATCCGTTGCTCCTCTGAGATAGGTGTAAACACGCCTTCATCTGGATCTGCCGGTTTGCAGACGAAAAGCGCCTCCCGGGTGGTTCGCGGGCGGTTTGGCTTGTCTTGTGAGTATACGGCGTCCGATAAGAGGTTTCTTGGGAGCGTAGGAGCAGTGCTGAATGAGCTGACTCGCGAGGCTTGCTGCTGATTCAGTCGGTGCCGAAAGTGCTCTCCGCTTTTTCGTTCTTCAGTTGCGAGTCGATGGTACTGCAAAATCTACTCACCGGAGCTGATGCAGTTTATTTTGTACGACGCTTGAGCGCGACGGGAAGGTCATGCTCCATTCGCACCCATCGAGTGTGGAGAGAGGTGCTTACAGATCACGGTCACGCCGGCCCGAGACTTTTGGAGGAGGAAATTTTATTTGCTCTCAAACTTCCGCATTTTGTAGGTTACGACTGGCCGCAGTTTTGCGACAGGTGCACATATTCCCTTCTCCTCCATATCTTGAACCACACACTCAACATCCTTATATGCATCTGGTTGTTCTTCAATTAGAAGCGCAGGATCCTCACAAACTACCACCGAGCCAAGCGCAGTCTGAGTGAGATTGGCTTTGCTCGTCTTCGCTCCGGTATGCATCGTGTTACGGCCAAACCGACGGCCAGCACCATGAGCAAGTGAAAACGCTGGAGGGAATTAATCATCAGCAAACCCTTTCCAAAGAATGAACTCAAAAGCACGAACCATTATGCTGACCATCGCCTGTTGGACGGAGAAGCCAAGAGTGATGCCCACGACTTCCTGGACAAGGCGCGATGCCCTGATCTGCTGGCGCTGCCCCCTTCCGATGAACCCAAAGCTCCTTTGTTGTTGCTCCAACAGTTATTCTGTGTTTCGTGACCGAATTATGGGTGACATCCACAAGCTTCCGCGGTTTTGTTGGCTCGTTGGAGGGCATTATGCACTGCATGATGCGATACGCGACCAAGTCGCGGTTGGCGCGTGCCCAGGCGACACAATAATCGTGTTGTTCCAAGTAGGACGCAAGATGAGGCGAGTCTGGAGGAATATAAGGATTCGAATCGGATGTTGTCTCTGCCGCAAGAGTTGAAGAGCCCAACCCTCTCGATCCCGTGTGTACTGGTCAAGTTGTGAGTTGTGAATTAGACCCTAAGAAAAGCGCACCTAATAGATATAGCCCACCTTCAACGATGTCCAGCTGGCCGTCCTCTGTGATCTTGTCCACCACACATAATTCGGCGAAGTGATTTCCTGCACCCACAGTTCCGAGGCTCGAGATGTCGAAGCTGGACTGGTGGGTAATGCCGTAGTCGGCCAGCCAAGACGAGACGGAGCCCTCCCATGGCTCTTCCAAGCTTCGCAGTGTTGAAGCAAGTTTGGATGGGTTTGGTGTTGATTTAGGACGTGCATTGACTTCGTAGAGGGCAATTCCACAGCCAACATCCGAGCCAATGAGTGCAGGGTATACGCCCTCTGCGGCGATGGAGCAGCCAATTGGGAAACGACTTCCGGGATGCAGATCGGGTAGACCCACAGTTAGAACAATGCCTGGAAGTTGACCAATGGCTTTGAGCTGAGCTATGGCCGCATCGTCGATGAAGCTTTTCTCGCTGGTTGAAGGTCAAGGAGAAGAAAAACAAGCGACGGATCACGCACCCGATAAGCCGTAGTTCCGCTGGTCCGTCGATTCTTGCCTTTGATTGCGACACAGCTGGACCGGAATACGGTTCTGCTTTCGCGACAAATACTTGGGTCACAAGCTCTGGCAACTCGCTTTCTTTTTTGAGTGGTTCCCCTCCAGGAAGGAACACCACCGAAAGGCCCCTGATGCGGAACTTGTTCTGAGCATCGCGGAGAATCCTCGCTCGCGCGTTATCGCTTGTTGACAAGAGCAAGGCGAAGCGCTTGTTGTTGTCGGCGTTCAGAATGACGGTAAGTGCTCGAGAGGGCATTGTGTGACCGGAGGATGGACAGGCTTCTTAAAATATAGCTCTCTTCTCGCCAACTGACTCGATAGCACGGTACCGCAACAACAACGACTGAGTAGAAGATACGCAACTCTACTGAGTCTTACCGCCAACTTGACGCTCAAGAGCGACAAGCGCTTGCGTATGCGGATGTGCCCACAATGCCTCTCCTGCCGCTGCCGAGATCGGGGGCAATGGTCGACGTGTCGTCCCACCATAGCCATACAACTTCTCGAGAAGGAACTTGGTGCCAGCTATCGACGTCTAATGTGCTTCTTTTCAAGACAATGACGCCGTTTCCTGAACAAGACTGACCTTGGCGATGGTATAATCAGCACGCGCTATAATACCCTGCAGACGCTGGGCCTCTGGCAACAACGATAGGTCATTCTTAGCGGCCTCAGACAGATCGAAGAGCTTCCGAATTGCGTGCTGATATACCAAAAAGTCAGGCGCCCCATTCCAGATTGCAGAAAAAAAGCTCACCGGAGCGACATTGCCTAGCCCTGTGATCGCACCGTGTCCATTGGCAAATGCAGATGGGGTCATAAAGTCGATAAAGCCTCCTAGGACCAAAAATGGGTTCTTGCGAGAATACGACGAAACAGTGTCGGCAATGCGCGTGAGCTTGCCCACGTTACCACAACTGCGAAGAGGTTTGTCAACTTCTTGTAGTGCTCGACAACAAGCACCGACGTTAATTTGACTCCACAAAGGTTGGGGCACTCTGCAGCCAACTCCGAGATAAGGTCCGAGTCGAGGTCAATACCTCCGCTTGCACCTGGGTCTTTTGAGGGGAATTAGAACACAAGTTGGAGCGGGAAAGAAAGCGACGCGTTACAGTTGTAAATGATGACTGGAATGGGACTCTTCTCTGCGACCTCGGTGAAAAAGGCCTTGACAGCAGCAGGGTTGTTGGCGAGCACGCCAGCAAAGTATCCAGAGGTAATGACGATGGCGTAGTCGGCGCCAGCATTGGCAGCGTCGGTTGTGAGTTGGATAGTTTCTCTTGTACTAGCGCCACCCGTTCCAACGACGAGAGGGACATCCTTTAGCCCTGCCTTATCGAGGACATTGCTGAAGTCAACGTCAACAATTTTTTTTGTGGTAGGTAGAAACAATGCAAACCGGGCAGTGCGAATGAGAATCACGCGTTCCTGGGGTGAGAGATGTATGGCTTCGCCCATAGAGCCAGCAAGAAGTGGCCCGACCCCGGCAGAGGCAACGCGAAGAACATGACTTTCAAATGCTGGGAGATCCAAGTCTTCGGTATCCGGTAGAAAGAAGCTCGGGATAGGCGCAAAAATGCCAGCCTTGAGGGGACGATGAAGATGAAAGCCGTTCACGTTAGCGGACATCTGCCGGGTGGTGCTAGAACAACACAGACATCCTGGACTACATATATAGCGCCGCGGTTAAAACGGTGCGGGCCGGAGAATACGGTCCGGTATTGATACGACGGCAAAAGGAAAAAAATGGGCGAAAAACGGCGTTCTGACAAAGATGTGACGGTGTCCGACGAAAACGGAAACTTTTTCCCAGACCCGGCCATATGTCGGACTTTTCGCCTCGGCTCGAGTCGGCTGCGAACAGGAGTGACTTCTCCCTAAAAGGAAATGCTCACAACTTTTTATTAAGCGTTGTCCAAAGTTTCCATATTTGCCAGGATTTCTCGTTCCCATGGACGCCAGCCATCTTCCCCAGCCTGTTCGTCTGCTGCCTTTTCAAAAACCTCCCATGGAAGGCATCGCCGATCACCCTCCTCTGTTTCTGTCAACGCAAACCTGCCTTGACGCGTCCTACTTAGCGTCACAACGTGACCCGCTGAACCCAATGCATGGGCTAGATCGTGTACAATCGACCGGACATAAGTTCCACTCGAGACTCGCATCGTCAACACGAACACTGGAGGAATACCTTCTTCCTCTGGTGCATCTTCAAGTTCATTGGAGCCCGTAGCAGTCTTCAGCGCGGTTTTCTCTTCCGAGGAGAGTGATTTGGAGGGCCATCGATATTCGTGGGTATCCTTCCACTCAACCAGCTCCAGTGAATGTACGGTTGTTTTCCTTGCCTCGATCGGGCGAGGGAGAGGTATGCCTTTCCGAGCATATTCATATAATGGTCGCCCATCCATTTTCAATGCAGAGAATCTCTTGATGAATCAGCCCTCTCTATACGCAGGCAGAAATTTGCAACACACATCGGCGGGACCTGTTGAATCTCTCCTCTGAACTTTTCGAGCGTGCTTTCGACCATCTCTTTTGTTATATGCTTCCATGGGGCCGTCCTCACACGAGCGCCTTCGCTATCGTATGAGTCTGTCTCGCAGCCTAGCAGACAGGTTGTTCGATATTCCTTCACTATTTTCCAGTATGAACAGATTAAATTCCGAGGCGTATATACCTTTACGCACTCCAGAAACTGGTTCAGCTTCTTGGTCGCCTTGCCCACTCCCACCACTGCCGATAATTCATTCACAACCTGAATCGCGCCGAGAACTGATACAACTCACCAAGAACTCCATCCGCAAGAGGGTCCAGTGTCCCGCCTTGCCCAATTTTCACGTCGTTCTTGCCTCTTTTCGATATTTTCTTTCCCTTGCTTTTCTCCAGCTGATCTTCGGCCACAAATATTTTGGAACGCGCGACAAGATTCTTCAGGTCATTGATGACAGCCATCGAAGACGGGCCGGACGGCTTCACCACGCCAAAGAACGCAGACACGGGTAGCGCATACTCGCCAGTCGCTTTGGGCATGGTTCGCGTCGAGAATAAACGTCGAAACATGTCACGTCACAGGATTCGGCCCGGGTTGGTCCGGTCCACCCAATCCGAGTGGACAGCGCTAATGTTGTGTTTGCTCACATGGCATCTTGGACACAAACCCGTCCCAGTAGCGAGGCTTATGGGAGTCCAGTGCACTCGAAACATTCACCAACACGGGTTTTTACGCGCAAACTAGGGCTCAATGAACTTGGGTTTTACTACGATGGCAAAATTAATGGCACTGCAGATAGCGTCAGCCATTCAACTCTCCGTGCGGCCCCCGGAATTGTTACATTGACCAATGTCACCCGCGTATGGACAATGCTCAAGCACCGTTATCCCTTACTGGGAGCCTCGGTCTATCATGTGGATTCCGAGCCCCAACTCCGCGTTGACGAGGACCGTTTGGCATCTTTGTCTGTTGGAGAGCTCACATGGGCAACAGTGCCTACCAAGGAAACGGCGAACGCTTTAGCCGCCTCTATTGTCCATGAAGAGCGCAAACTCTCTGATGCTCTCCTCGCAAGGGTAGAAGTCTGGACTCAAAACGATGAACCGTCCATATCTCATCTCATGATACATCTGGCGCACTTGATCACGGACGGAGTCAGCGGCACCAATTTACTGAGGACTTTCCTGACTTTTCTTTCGTCACCTGAGGACAATTTAAATGGCCCAATACCAGCGATTGAAACCCGGCTGGCACTAGCAGTATCTGCGGAGTCGCTCACGCCACCTGCTCGTTCATTCTCTTTGGCGCGTCAGAGGTGGCGAAAAGCTGCAGGGAAGATCATTTCAAAAATGCAGGACTCCAAGCGCCAGGTTCGTAAGATTTCAATCTCCGCGTCTTGGATCAAGCGTTCATTTCGATTGGCAAGGGTGGACATACTCTGCCCAGAGCATTCGGCCCCATAGCGGCACGGATTCCGGCGCGCTCCGGTATCTATTTTTTACTCTCACTACCAACGCTCTTTTCTCACACATATCCAGCCATGCGGCGGGTACAACTTTCACCAGCTGAAACCTCACGTCTGTTGCAAAATTGCCGCCACTGTCGTATCACAGTCGGAAACGCGCTTCCTGTCCTTGCTCAGGTGGCTCTGGCCCGCGTGCTCTGTCGGAAATTCCTTCGCGGAGAAATCGAGGCTGCTGAATGGGAGTTCAGGCGTCAACAGCCTTCACATACTGCGGGGCCCGTCAATATACGGCCTTACCTCGATTCCAACTGGTATCAGGCAGGAGGGAAAGAGAACGTTTCCGTCTACGTCGGATATTTTTATTTGACTGCAAGTTTTACACCTCTCCCGCGACTCAGTCTCGGAGATCGCCTTCCAGAAATGACAGAACTGATGTCGCATGGCCGATTCCTGCTGCGCTGTAACCGCATGAAGCAACTTGCAACCAAGTATCTCCAACACCCACTCTTTTTCGAAATAGGGGCCGCTCGATTGGAAAACAAGATACCCATTCAAAAGGAAGTCGCACAGAAGATAATCTCAGGGCAGAAATTCGCTGACCCCAACACACTTAATGCATCGCCGATGGAGCAAGTCCGGCACACTGGGAGCGTGTTTAGTCATGCTTGGAGTACTTTTGGCAACGTGCTTTCTTTTCCTTCCGCTCAAAACTCGTCGCCTGACTATTCGATAACCTAGACCGACGATAATCTTCCTCGTCATTACCCACCTACACAGCCTACACTTCATCTCTTGGAAACCAGGGGCCAACTACATTGTCGCACGGGGGAGCTTTATCTGGGCTCCGGCACCGTTGGCGGTCAATTATTCTTCACGGTTTACTTCGATCAAAACGTTTTCGCAGACGAGCTCATCGCTGAATGGTTACGCGAAACACAGACGGCCGCATCCATATACCTAGGAGGACTAGTGTCGGCTAAGTTATAATGTCCTTACTAACCATGCGCCGCCACAAATGCAATTTTTTGTCCACATCTTCTCCCAAGCAGTCCAATTCTGAGACCCATGTCGTCGCAAAACGATTCCACCTCCAACCTCGGATTTTCCACCGCATCGAACGCAAGTCATGACAGGGAGATGTCCCTGGAACGCACATTTCGAGACAAGATCACGGGACCCATCTTTGCGTGGCTCTTCTGGCGAAATACCATCGATCAACTCGCTTGGTTTGATAAATAAGCGTGAACGATCCAGGACCGCTGTTTGTGCTAATTTTTCGATGGCCCCGGCGATATGGGAGATCATACTCTCGGTTGGTTCACAGCAAGCAAGACTGCGGTGAGTGTCATCGACTGTAGCCCCATCCAGTGAGAGAGCGACGATCTGGTAACGAAACAACATACCAGTAAACTTGGCGGCGTCCGCCATAAGCTCTGATAGAAGAGGCTCTAATGTATTCAAGTTTACGCCAGAGCATTGGATGAGATCCACCAAGACAGACTTGGCAAGATGCGAGCTCTCTTCAGTAGCAGATAAAGATGCGATTTTGTTCCTGAACTTGTTGACGTAGACCACAGCAGCATGGAGATTCTTCAGTGCTACTGGATGGGCGATATGTAGCATAATTGGCGTGGTGGCTCCGACTTGAGATCGGTTCAGTTGTTATTTCATGGGGTTTATAAGACATACCGGTAGCAACAGGCTGGGCACCAGCTGCTGCTTGAGGGAGGTCTGCGTTAGTTGTCACCAGTATACATTCCCGCAGGAGCTTTTCGACAAATGTCACAATCCAGGTTGAAAGAGCGACCAGTTGCCATACAGCCGCTGCAGAAGGTATTCAATGCAAGATATCGTTCTGAAAAACCAAAATCTGACTTAGGTCAAATCCATCACCTTGTTGGCAGTCTCCAAACGCCGAGTTGCAAGAAGAAATGGAACACATATCAAACGCAGTCCCCCATCGCAGCTCGAGTATACTGCTTTCAGCGTCCGACACTCTTTTGGCCCTTGTCCTTTGGAAGCGTTAGGTTCCCATCACCTTGGAGGCAGCATCATAAGTACCGATATGTTTCGAGGACCAGCCCAATCGCACGAGTGGTTGATCGCCCAAGGTCTTTTCCATTCCCGAGGAGTTTGAACGCCTCAAGGAAGGTTTCACCGACTCGAGAAAGTGTAACGCTGGGATGGGCCAAGAGGTGGCTGATATCCGTCGTCGGAGCCCCCGTTAGAATCGCGATAGCGAGCTGGGAAGGAGCAGGAACGCTTGAAACTTGTTTCAATCTTGGCAACGAGTATAGAATGATTGGTGACGCGCCAAACGAGAGCGGCGTCGAGCACAACATCATGCAGCTGTTGGGGCTAAGAGAGGCAGCGAGCGGGACTATAGTTTGTCAAATCTTGTCCCCACGCAGTAAGTAGTCTGACCATCTCTCCCAGCGTTTTCAATTTGCGTCATGATACGACTTGAGCCCCAAAGGTCGTGGTCTGCGAGATGCGGACTCGAGTTACCGTTAGAAAGAATGTAAAACGAACGAAGATCGAACATACAGTTTCAGCACTTGAATCACACCGGTTTGAATTTCTCTTTTACTATTCCCTGGTCGACGAGTCATACCGGCAGGGTGCATAAGACCCACAAAGAGCCCGAGTTTACTCGCCGATTGGCCCGGCGCACTACAGGTCATGTATGCCACGACGGAGTCCGTGAAGGAGCGTTTGCTCATTTGGCGACACGCCTGTTCAAGTAGGTTACTCAAATTGTTAGGGAGCTGTAAACAATGGCGCACCCAGGTATTTCCGTTGCTACTGTCTCTGAATAGCCCATAAAGCACTATATCCGATGTTGGTTGAGATGCGACTGCTCGTATACTAAGTAGTCGATTCCAAATGAGACAATTCTGACGTACAATCTGAGAAATCGAGGAAACTTGCAGCAAGATAGATAGAGTTTTGTTCGTCGGCACCAGAAGGTACGGAAACAAAGGTCATATTTGCTAGATTCGTCGCATGCCCATAGAGGGGTGGAAGGCGCGAAGTCGAGATGACTAGACCTAGAGAAATATGGTGTGCTACGACACCAAAAGGGCAAGACAACCACATACCCGAAGGACTTGTGCTTAGACGCAATTCACACAGTTCAATGTAATCATCTTCTCCCCAGGCACCCCAATCGACCGGGTATTCGGGCAGTGGTGGTGGCATCTCAAGGTCGAGAGCGAGATTCATCGTCGTTGGCAGCGGGGTTGTCTTAGGTTCAGAGGCTAACGTTTTGGACCGAGTTGCAATTACTATTGCACTGTCTAGAAGAATATATCAACTATAAAGTTAGGAAGGGGCGACGGGTGCTAACCGTTGTAGGCAAAGCCAACAGCTGCGCGGGTGCAAAGTTTGACAGTCGATGGTCCACTCGCATTCAGGGTATCCGCAGAAGTCCCGGGTTCAGTAACGGAGCACTTGACCATCCTGAAGGTCGGTTCGTACTGGGGAAGATAGCACACAGTAGTCATGCGATCCTCAGTGACCAAGACGAACGTCGGATTGGAAAGCGGAGTTTGTGGGCCTCTGGGAGGAAGGCGCGTTATAGCGCCCGCGTCATCGACTATCCACTGAGGAAAAAGTCATAAAGAAGTAAACGGTATCCAACGATCAACGGACCTCTCTCGGTAGATTCAGCCAAGTGGCGCCAACCACACCCGCACCCGGGTGGAACGACCAGAACTGCCTGACTGCCCACGCGTCGATGGGCGCACTTCGGTACCAGAGACAGCCCACGCCGTCCATGTCTGTATCACCACTTGGAAAGTAGGCGAAGAGCCAGTCTCCAGCCGGTGAAACCGAAATAACGGTTGGAGGATCATACGAGGTCTGGGCTGAAAGAATTGGAGATGGGGACGGCAGGGAAAACTGTTTGGTCGACGATAGGTGGCGAGCAGCAACTAACGGCTGACTCGGGTGTGGGTAGAATAAAACGGATGTCGACGCCCATGCAACAGGCCTGGTGCGAGTCAGTTCTGCTTTGGTGTACTTGGAGAATATATACCGTGGCGTATCGAGTAGGCTTTGGAAATCGAACCATGCGGCTTCTCGGGCTTTACCTTTCAAGTTCGTGGTCGCGTCCATCATCTGGATGTCATATGACTAAGCGCTACAAGTCGTTGTGAGAGGTCAGAGAAGAGTCTATCGTACTTATACATATTCCTACAAGTCTATGTTTATTTTGAACTAGTGGTTATTAACCGGGCCATGCCCTTTCCATACCCGTCCAAAACCTTCTTCCGCGAGTCTGTTACTTTCTTGGCCACATTCAAGACGAAGTCATGGTCAATCTGTGAAAATGAGCATGATGTTGCAGGAGACTGGACTGGACCGACATTAGAGTTTATTATAGGGGAACACCCATCGACAAAGATTTTGCGGCGCTCAGCAGTGCCCTCCGTCTCCGCAAGTTTGATCAGGCTTGCTGAGATGTCCCGAAGAGCATTAAGAGCAGCGGTGCGAATAGGCTTCAGCTGTTGGGTGAGCTGGTAGAGGTATTAGTGCAAGATACCTGGCGCCTGAACATCTGCTCACAGCTCCAAGTTTGTTCGTCTTCACCGCCGAAGGGTTCTTGAATCGGAGAGATTCAACCAAGAAGAACAGGCACGCCTAGCACGTGATCAGTATTCCACTTTTTATGTTGTATTGGACTATCCTCACTTCCTGTGTCAAGCTGGCGACGTGGAGCGCCATTGTGGGCGAAGGCTCGGCCTTAACAGCCTCGAAACGTGCTTTCATGTCTGGGTGGTGGATTGAGAGCGTACTTGAGCAAATGAATAAAGCAATGACCATCAAAGAACTGTGCAAGGTCCGTGGGAGGCGCAACAACGGCAGGAGGCTCCTCATCTTTCTTTGAGGAGCCGTTCGTAGCCGCAGTACCGTTCTTCGGCGGCAAATCGACACCTTTTAACGGTTGCCCAGTTTTGGCTTGCGTCAATTTCGCTGCCTCTGCCAGAACAACTGCTGGCGGTGGACGTGCATAGTCGTGGTATGGTTCCAACCAGTCCGCCAGTGTCGAGCAGTACTTGAGGAAGCTCAGTTCGTCGGTGGTGAGCTAAGAAAATATGAGGACAACAGAGTAAATCAACGAATGGGCCTTACTTCAACCAGATCTTTCTCGAGATGGTGGTGTAGTCGGTCTTTGAGGGGAATTTTGGCATCCGGGGAGCTTTGCTTTGGTCGATCACCGATCAGAAGTTTTTCTTCCACAGTATCATCCAGATCACTGGCTTGCTGGAAAGCCCGAGTATATATTTTGAGGAATGTAGTTAACCAGCCTCGCTAAATGGTGTCAGAAATTCTCTAAAGGTGCAACAAGGACTACGCACACCCTCCGGCTTACCGAACAGCAGTGTTTGGTCATTTGTGCTTGCAGATATCCTCGGTTGGTAATTCGCTAAAATATCGAAGTCTCGGTTATCATAGTGCACTATTGGACCAATGAAAGGGCGAAAACAAAAGATTGAGGGAGAACGCACGCCTATCTAGACTGAACTTGAGTTCAATGAGTTCCATGTCAATAAGGTCCGAAGATATAGGCTCATGAGTTAGTCGTATGCGAAGGTCCTCGACTTTGACAAGATCTCGCTGCAAAGAATATTCGAGTCTGTCCTCGAAGAGGATGAATTCAGGGATCTAAGAAGCAGATATGAGCTCATTCGCGGTGGTCGGCATCAGCACGAACCTGAGAGTATTTTTCCCCGGTGAAAGCACGTGCGATATATTCGCCAGTCTGCGGAGCAAGATCAGTAATGTTGGCTCAACAGGCGAGGAATGGATTACGTCTTGAAGATTCGAGATGTAGATTTGAGAGGATTCAATGCATTCCGTATGATAGGTAAGATCTCCAGAAGCGGCCAAGGAAAAAGTGGAGGAGCGTGAGATGAGGAAATGGGACAACGTGTCATGCTGAACTTGCTTGATCTGCATAGCACGATAGTGGTCTAGGGCCGCAGACGGTGCACCTTGGACTGCATTTTAGAACAAGACGCAACATTGATACAAGCTTCAGCTGACCCAGTAGACGGTATATTCGAACCAGTAGCAGTCTCATTTGGAATGCTTGTTTGCTTTTTGTCAAAGCAAACTCGAGGAGCGCAGCAGCATTATAGAGATGTTTCTCGTCGTTGGACAGCTGCCAAATACTAATAAAAGAACTGGCAGCAAGAATAGCGAGATCATCCGCAGGCTGCAGTTCTGTCGCTGGGAGACCAGACCCATGGATTAGTGATTCAAGGTATTGTTGCGTATATTGTGTCGCGCGGGCGGATTCTTCGGGTAGGGTAAGTTCTGGGGTGTTGTACCGCAGTAATTTTTGGGCATTGATTAGTTTCCTGAGGACATTGCTGTTGTCCTGTGGAAAGTAAACACAGGACTATGGCGAAGACAATCGTCTTACGATAGACACGTCTATTGATGACTGGAGGAACGCCGTCCACTGAGGTAAGTCATCACCCTCAAGCAACGATACGTAGGGCTTGAGGTCTTCGAAGCAACAAGCCTTGTCACCAAACAGCTCGAAGTAATGTTTCATTACGTCGATCAACCCATGTGGATCTAATTTTTCTAGTGAGCGCCAAGTCAATTTATCTGGAGCCTTACCAGACGAAAGATCGTAAAAGTTTGCACGTTTTTCAAGCTCTACAAGGGCCAGGGCAGCCGATCGATCTTTCAAGCCGTCGTCCTCTGCAAGTTTGGTGAAAAGCTGTCGTGTTTTGGTCAAACGGGCAGAACGATCCGCCTTTTCTGCCTCGTCTGGTTCTGGTTTTGATTCCACTTGCAACAATGCTGCATCGATCACTGAAAGAAACTCGAGCCAGTTGCGGTCGCTTCACCAATATTAATTTAGTGCAAAAGGAAAGGAGACTGAACTCACTTTTGCTGTGTGATTCGGGCCTCTGCCTTCTGACCTTCCTCTTCAAACAGTCCATGCGCCCGCCATATATCGCGCCGGACCTCGTTGCACGCTAAACTTGCGGCGCATATACTCTTGCCGACTTCGCTTTCTAGAAGGGTTCGCGCTTCGTCAAACAATCCAAGTTCGCGTAGGATAACAAGATGAAGATGGAATCGGTCTGCATTGACATATGGCGGAGTGGGAGACGCAGTTATCAATCGATGGGCGAGCTTGAATAGCAACACGCGCATGTCTGATGAGGTCGAAGGTTCGCTGGCCTTTATTAGAGGTAAGTATAGAGTAAAATGACGAGTATTGGGTGGGCGCACTTGTAAAATTGCGCTGAGAACGTGCCAGTAGATATACCTATCTTCCTGGAATTGCTTATGCATCCTACCCGCAATCTCCCAGTGTCAGAACAAGTCAAGTGTGAGAGGCTAGACACCTACTTGTTGAGCTGCCTTGAAATTCTGGACGCGAATATTTGCCAGGAATGTTTGGGTTGCAAGTTCTTCGCTATCCGGAATTTGTTTTGACGCCTCTTCGAACATAGACACAATATCCTTTTCTAGCCAAAGATGTTGTAATGGCTGAAGAATGGACCTAAAGAGTGAACGCACGTCGACCAAGGCCACGGAGTACATGGATCATCGCTGTAAGCACCGCATCGTTCGTAGGTTTCGCAGCAAGGACTTCGTCGCAGTGGGAAAGTGCCTCCTCGACCTTCTGCGAGCGAACCAATGCAAGAGCGAGAAGAGTTTTAGTGAGCTCGTGTTTGGGCTGCTTCTTTAGTATTTTTTGGCATGCTGCTATTGCAGTTTTGTTTGACCCGTTGTCGAGGGCATCTGCGTTTTATATTGGATGGGTAAAGGGAGCGGAAGAGTTCATACCGTATACAGCTCGAATTTGCCTCTCCATCGTCGCGTCCAAAAAGTTAAAGACGGGTCACGGGACTTTTTATTCTTTCCTTTCCGATGCCGCCCGTTCTTCTCTCCCGGTCTGCCCACGACATAAACACGCGTCATTAGCTCACTTTCTTTTGAAGATCGCTCGACTTTGCCTTAGGGATCTTGTAACCCCATTTTTTTTTCCAATGCGACGCGCATAACGAGTATATTGTAGCACTGGCATCGGTGCCTACTACCTCCACGAAAACCACCCACGTACGGGTATCCCACCAGAGAGGCGGCTCCTTCAATTGATTCAATGGAAGTGGAACCAAAGAAATACAACTGCGGTACAATAGTCGTTCCTCTAGTGACTAGCCAGACGAAATATGTAAAGGCCAACTCCCTGACGTCGATATTGGATCGGAGTTAACGCGACGAGTCTTCTCACACGAGCTCGAGAATCATCTTCATAACACCGCCAAATACATTCCTCTCGTGGGCTGTTAGATTTTCGTCGTCTGAGGAGGTCCTTTGGAGGGCTATTCCAACAACAACGCTCTTTCGAGTGACATCAAGTGGGTTCGAGCTGGCCGTCCAAATGATCGTCGCAATCTGGGCGGCATAGAGGGAATGAAGAGTTTGCATATGTTGAGAAGGCCCTTGCCCAAGCAGAGGGGTAAGTTGTATGGCTGGTGATGGCTCTGGGAGTTCATCGGCGGTTGCCGGTGGAGCCAAGGGAGTAGTTTCTGGTATCGTAGCTTGTATCTGACCGCCTTCAATTTGTTGCTGCAACGAAGGATGGATCGCACCAGATTGCCGACCTTCCCAAGTTGGGTTACGAGCACTAAAACTCGATCAACAAATCTCTGAATAACGACCTCAGTCTGTACGCCCTCCAATTGACGCGTAAGTTGACGAGTCATTGGAAAAACGCGGTTGTCACATGTGACGGTCAATCATCCCACTTGATCTCGTCTCCCATGTCCCAATGTACGCGCCGTTATGCGTACGCTCTTGCTGACCTCAACCAGACAGTCCTAACAGCGGTGGAGGCTTTGCGCCTAGCGGAAGCCAAGGCAGTCCAGGTCAAGTATGTTGACGCTCAAGTTTTTTTTGTTCCTTTATTGACGCGTCGTGTCGCGTAGAAACCTGCACAGACAATCCGACCAGTCACCATAGCCCAACTGCGTAAGGCAACTCAGATGCATTCGGACGCGGAGTGGAAGTTGGATGATAAAACCATTGGCCAAGTAATGTTCTCGTCTGAAGTGCTGTTTCTAAATCCTGACATGTGTGTATAGATCACACTTGTTGCCGAAGTTCGCGAGCATCGCGTCCAAAGTACCCATCGTGGCTTCCTCTTGGACGACGGCACCGCAACGATGAGTGGCAAGCTCTGGATCGACACTCCTCCTGATCAACAAGAATTACCGTTTCGCGGAGCAAGCATAAAGTGTGTCCTAGCACCTTTCTACTCCGAAAACAGAACTTAGGCGCAGCTCAGCGAGTCTCACCACTTCCGTATTACGGGAAATCTTCGCTCCCACAGTGGCAAAAAATACGTTCACGTCAGCAATATGCGGCTCGTAACAGATATGAACGAAATTTACTATCATATCATGGAGACAATTTATGTGCATGTCGCGCTTCAAAAAGGCCTGGTACGTTTAATATTTTCTCCGTGGTCTTTTTTTTGAACGCACTTCAGCCATCGTCCCCCATCCCAATCTCGTCTGATCAAAGTAGTGGTACTGGGGCACAGGCATATACGGTCCAGTCCCGTCCAGCTGCTAGCCAAAAGCTGTTCTCTTCGCTGGCAGATCAGGTTGCGCACTATTTGACAACTCACCCAGCGGAAGCAGAAGGTGTCAATGTCGGCGACATCGCCAGGGCTATCCAGTGCAACGCAGCAGACTTGAGGTCAGTCTTGTCTGTTCTACTCTTAGGCTGGTCATTGACTAGTGTTCCAGCGACGTGGTGGAGCGGATGATCGACGAAGGACATGTCTACACTACAATAGACGACTCACATATCCAGCTTGCTAACTAGGCAAGGACTGACTGCAGTGTAAGATACATGTAATTATAAACGATGCCTTTTCTATGATACAAATGTAAACAAATCCCAATCATTGCCATCCTTGCTGAATCATCGCCGCCCGCTGAGGGTTCATGCCCGCTGGTAATGGCGGTTGGCCCGGCGGGGGGAACCCTGGTCGATGCCCAGGAGTCTGGTACCCGTAGGGTGGCTGTGGCTGATTTGGCGGATAACCATAGGCAGTCTGCGGGATCCCCGCTGGTGGCGGTGCGCCGTAACGTGAAGGTGTTTGGGCCCCAGTGTACGGGTTGGGGGTTGCAGCTTGGCGAACAGACAAATGCCCCGGTGTTGCGTTTCCAGGCCGTGCCGGTGTCCTCCCTCCGGCCCCAAACGGAGTCTTGCTGCCTGCTGTGGTCTGCTGGCTTTGCGATTCATGGAGATGTCTAGATAAGATAGCGTCAGCCTGATTGATCGAATCACGTGGTGGAATAAGCCATACCGGACTTTGAACGCGTCGCACAGCTCGGGGACACCGACAGCCGCTGCATCGAAGAGCATGTATGATTCAGGGGTTACTCGAACGGGCTACAAGGATCATGAGCATGAGAACGCAACCGAAGACTTCAAACAAACCCAATTTTGAACATGTGAATTCTTGTTGGCGAGGAAGCAGAGGCTGAAATGCCCGGGCCTCTTGCGGTTCAGTGTAAAGCCATACATACTCTTGCCGGGATTGGCAGCGAGCGAGTTCTTGAGGAAGATGTCTATAGAACACATTTAGTGCCGAAATCTCATCTCCAGCAATTCACTCACGAAGGTCATCTTCGGAACCGGCCTTGTAGCGGTCATGCGCCATAAGTTCCTCGACTTTGCGAGCCATCGCTTGCACGTGGTTGACTATCAGTTCATCCAAATCCGAGTAAGTATGAGCAGAGTCGATGATGTATTGAGGACCATAGGCACGCGGATCATTGACTTCGGTCACGTCTTGGAAGTAAACAATCAATAATCAGGATCAAGCTGAACAAACGACCCATACCGATATGTTGATAGAGTTGGTCCTCCACCTTCCATGTAACCGCAAGGTGATCAGCTCCCTTGGACGAAGGACGAATAACCACATCGCCGCGCTGTTGCTTCTCCAAGAACGTCTCTGCTTGAGAACTGTTGAAATTGTGGAAGTTGGGGTGCTTGATGATCTTGCGAGTCCGGTCGACCTCGGCTCGTTTTTTCCTCGCCAACAGGTCCTTGTCGCGTTGGTACCTCACGCCATCCCAAAACAAGTCAGGCAGAGTGCTCCGTTCGTATTTATCGTCCGTTTGCCCATCGGAATTAACAAGGGCAAGGTGGACGAAGAATTCGTCGGTCTGGAGCTCCGATGTGACACTCCGAATAACGGTGGTGATGGTTTGTCCTTTCTGAGGAAGGGTCTTCGGTGCATTGAGCGAGTCAATTTCAACCGGCCCCTCGAGTCCGGAGTCTAATCGGGCGCGCAGGCCGCGAGAGTTTGCCTGCAGAACCACAGCAGAGACAATGAGATGAGGGCGTAAGCTTTTCGTTGTCTCTCCGCTCAACATGGTGAGAACCTCGGGTCCTGAGAGGTAAGGGAAGGGTGATCGTTTCTCTGCGAACGGTCGCATAAACTCGTTTTTGATGAGATCCAGAGTAAAGCGTTTGAGGTCGTGATTAGCTTCCTTGAGCTTTTCAGCGAACTCGTCCAAATCGAGCTCCGAAAGCTTCCGTTCATTGTCTGAATCGTCCATGATCAAGCCGACAACCCAGGACGGGTGCTTGTCTTGGATGTCGTCTTCATCGTAGCCAACAGCATCCATAGCCATCTTGCGCGCAAGTTCGTAGTCCTCTGGGTGGATTCGTGTGTTGTCTAGCGGGTCAGGAGTGTGCTCATCCTCCGCGCGGAATTTTCCTTGGGTTTTGGGGTCTTCCTGCTGCGTAATTCGAATGAATCCGGCAGCGTTAATAAACAACGACTTGGTCAAGAGTCCTGACTTGATGAATTGTTCCCGATTGATGATGTTCTCGCCCTTGTAAAAGAATTAGACAATATCCACACAACTAAGAGATTGTTTACCAAGCGCTCAATCATTTTCACAAGTTGTTGGGCCTTGCGAGGACCAAGACCACAGACATATGGTAACAGCGTTTGGTAGTACGCGTCACCCACTGCACGATTGATGTCCACCCCAACTTTGTTGACGACATCGATGAGCACCCGTTCACACCAGATCAACAATTTCTCTTGTGGTACCTAGAGCAAACCATTAGCGGACAGCACACAAAAAAAAAGGTTCCACGGCTAACCAGGTGTTGATCGATAGCCTTGAAACTGGTCTCTACCGGATCAGACAACAACAACAAAGTGCTGATGTCTGATCCGAGAGCAGCATACTCGTTTAGCGGGCTTTGGACGTATCGACCAAGACCAATGCAGTACTTGGTATCCGTAGTATACCCACTGAACTCGTCCTGCGCGCGTTGGCTATGCTGATATAAGCGTGCCACTTCGTCGCGAACATAGATGATCATGGCGTTTTCGAATCGTTTTGCATCAGACGAGGCCTCGGTCGAGAGCTCATGGATGATTTCCTTGACCTTCATCATCAATTTAACGGTCGTCATATTGAACCCGCTGATGCCAATAACATCTGGTTGGCGCCTGCGGAGAAGGTCGATGAATTCGTCACGGAACTTGCCGACAGTGAGATTGTCCAGTTGGGTCTGTTCTCGCATGCGGCCACGTGGATCGAGATAGACAACGGTAATGACGTTCCTATGCGGGTCGCCTTTGCCCCAAGAGATGGCCAAAACCGAGGGTCGATCTTCCTTCATGCCGGTAACAGTTACTGGGGTGACATCCACTCGCTATGGTTGAAAGTTAGTCAGTATATGCGTCGAGGAAGAGGTACAAGACGAGCCTTTCGTAGTTCATCAGCACACCGCTGGGCAAGAGCATCTTCAACCTCATCGCGCAAATGTTCTCTGATCCATTTAGCACCCATGGGTATTAAATGCTGCTCCAGAACTTCTCGAACGACCAAACTCCCCTGTTCGTTCCATGCTCGTGCCGATTCACTGAAGCTGTCTGATTCGAATGCGGTCATCAACCTTCGTTCGAATTTCCCTTTGTCTTCGTCCGCTAAGGAAATAGATATCGTGACTAGATTCTTCTCTTCGGCTTTGAGCATATGCAGGAATTGGGCATCCGAGTACATCATGTGTATCGGTTTATGTTCGAGATATTTGAAGCTCTAGAAACGGTCAGTTCGAGAGAGACAGTCAGGGCAAGAAACTGACAAATGATGGGTCATCTTCACTAATTTTCAGAATGCCTGTGTCCGTTGGGTGGATAGTGACACGGCCCTCGCTTCGGAATGTATCGCGCATTTGGGCCCTCAACAAGGGGTCTTTTCCGAGCTCGGTGGCAAGAATCATCCGTGCCTTACGAAGAAGTTCATCGGGGGTCTCTGCTTGCATAGGGTCAGGGTTGACAAACTGCTCTGCATAGACCAGAGGATTGAGTTCCTGTTCGACAAGGAAGTTGACGTTGGAAGAAGAGAGGAAATTTTGAACGATTTCGGGAGCCGCAATTCCAAAACCCTGTCGTGCGATGAGCAACCCTATACGAGAAGAATTGGGCAGGAAAAGCACACATCACGAGTAAGTTTTGAGATGACGCTCTTCTTGGCAACTTCATAAGCGGAAATGCGACTGGGCATCTTGTGTTTCGGGACATCTGCCTGTTCTTCTTCGTTGTCGTCGTGGAAGCGGAATTGCATCTCGTCGTCTCGTTTGTCCTTGTACTTCATCAGAAGCCACTCTGATGTATCCGCCACCACTTCGGCGCTTTCCATGCGAGGCACGATATCTTGTTCATAGTAGGTATCTGTCACCTTGAGCCGGGCGTAAGCCTCCGCCACTGCTCGACGACGGTCACGCAGAGAACAATACTTTTGGCCAAGCGCATAGATGCGCCAGAGCTCCTTCAAGTCCAAGAGCTCCCTGGGAGAAGAACCAGAACTAAATAGGAGGAGGTGGTCGCGCCTGTGATGCCAAATGAAGGGTACTTCAACAAACTCGATGAACAGTTGTCGCAAAGTATACGTCACAGCTTCAACGAGTTGCGGGCTGAAAGGGTTGAGTTCGCCGCTGGGGGTAAAATAGTCCATGGCTTTCTTCTTGGAGATGCGCGGAGTCACCCAGATAGCAGCATCATCAAGTTCGTCGGAGGAGAGATGGAGTGTCGGTGTTATGACTGGAGTTTTGGAAAGCGTAGAAGACGCGAGTTGCATGCGCTCAGGAGCATCCTTCACGCGAATAAGATCATCGTCTTCTGTTAGGAAGAGATTCTGTATTGCCGAGGGTTCGAAGACCTGAACGAGAGTTAATGGATAATTTTTTTTTTGGGAAAATGCAAAAGTTGCGCACGTCCGTAAACTTGGCTTCAGCTTTGCCGTATTCGCCTTCGTTACCGTCGTCATCCTCCATAGCGTAGTCGTAGTCATGCCCATCGCCGAAGACATCGTATATCTCTTGCCATGAGCTATGGCCCATGAGAAAATGTACAGGAACCTGTAGGGGGTGGAATAAACAAACCTTGCATCTATGCCTGTGAGTTCTGGACGAGCACGGGCCATCTTGCGACGGGCTTGTTGCTGCTTTTTTCTGCGCTCGTCGCGTTCCTGGTCATTCATTGCGTCTGGGTCGTCTGAATCGTCGATGAAATCGTCGGTATCTTGCCCATCGTCATCGTGATTGTCCCAAATGTTTTGGAGGTCCTGTATTGTTTGCCTAGGCTCATCCTGGTCGAGGTCGTCATCCGAAGAAACGACTAGGTTCGCTCTCCGATGACTTGGTGGTGATTCGGAGCCATCACGACGGCGCAAACGAGTCAGCCTGTTCTTTTTCTTTTTGAAAGATGCGCCAGTGTTCTCCTCTAGTAAGGCTAGGTCATCTTCTTCAAGGTCGTCGTCTGTCTCTTCTGCAAAGGGTGGTTTGTTATGAGTCAATAATTTATTGGAATACCACGCACGTCGTTTGACTCTTTTTCGCCTCCTTCTCCGTTCTCTACGTTCCTCATCATCATCTTCATCATCATCTTCATCAACAATGAAACCCTCTCTGACTCGTCGCGCTTCCTCTTCATCGTCTTCTTCTTCTTCTGAACTGTCTTCAGCTGCTCCTGGCATAATCACGTCCCCTTCGCCCTCGTCCGACGCTGGGGCCATTGGGTCATCTTCCTCGACTGAGGCCATCGCAGTTAAGGTCAACAAGTATGACACAGCCACAATATCACGCTCTCAAAATGACGCTCATGATGCAGGCTGCTTTGGCCGAAGCGCGAAAATGCGAGCCAGTCCCAACAGCTTTCAGTGTCGGCTGCGTTATTGCGGTGCCATGGCCAAATAACGACTCTGATCCAACAATCATATCGACAGGTTACTCGAGAGAGCTACCAGGCAATACTCATGCTGAAGCTAACGCACTCCACAAATATACCCAACTCACAGCAGCCGAACTGGCCGCCCTGTTCAAGGGTCCCAACCCTCCGTCTGTGTCCGATATAGCCTCTCGTCTCGATGTCTATACAACAATGGAACCATGCTCAGTTCGTACTTCCGGGTTGGCTCCTTGTGCAGATGCCCTTATCGCCGCAAAAATTCGGCGTTGTTTCATTGGCACAGGGGAACCAGATGACTTCGTCCAGTGTGAAGGTGCCGAACGATTGAAGAATGCTGGCATCGAGCTGGTATGGTTGGACAGTTTGCAAGAGGAATGTCTTGCCGTAGCTCGTAATGGTCATCATGAAGTATAGTCATCTGGTAGAATGAACGACGTCGGCGCCTTATCCGACGAAAAGTTACTCAGAGCGCGATTGAAGAATGAGTGAACACAAGTCAAAAAATTCCAGTTTCCGTGATCCGATCAGATATTTTCTCCTTCTTCCTCTTTCCTTTCTTCAGGCCCATTGTCAGTGATTGCCAACGATGGTTCGCATAGACCGCTGCTACTTCTGCAGCACCAGCATATACCCCGGCCACGGCACCGCATTCGTCCGAAACGATGCAAAAGTTTTCAGATTTTGCACCTCCAAGTCTGTTCATTATTTTTGCACCACCAGCTCAAAGGATCTCTAACAATGCCTCACAGATGCCACAAGAACTTCAAGTAAATCCCCCTGCTTCTCTTACCTCATGCTATCGGTTCTCAACTTGGTTGTCCTCAGGATGAAGCGTAACCCACGAAAGGTGCGATGGACAAAAGCCTTCCGCAAGGCTGCTGGAAAAGAAATGACTATCGTACGCCGCAATCTGCACCACCGAGTATTTTAAACTGAACCTCGGGCCATTAGGACTCAACACTGGACTTTGAAAAACGACGAAATATTCCGGTCCGCTACGACCGCGAGTTGGTGCAAGCTACAGTGAAGGCTATGAAGCGAGTAGGCGAAATCAGGAAGCGGAGAGAACTCGCTTTCTGGAAGACGAGGCGCGTTGCAAAGAAAGCTTGGAACGGTCGAATAGCAAACTTACAATATTGCACAGAATGGCCACCAGTCGGGACAAGCATCGTGCCCATCGCAAAAAGACCTTGGAAGCAGCCAAGTCTGCTGCTGTCAAGGGCCTATTGTCACCAACAACAGCCTCACCAAAAATCAAGGAAAAGATCAAAGCAAAATCTCGCAGTGCACTTGTGCAAGGCGAAGGCCGATCAATGGGTATGGATATGGATTGAGTGTGCCTTCTACCTTCGCGTTTGTACTATACTACGATCTATGTTTCTGTTTGTACTTGGCCTCGTTCTCCTGCCTTATGTCTGGCTGCAACGTGTTGTGAAGCCCAAGCATTGTTTTGCTAACAGCTTCCGTGACGCCAATGCCTGATTTGAGGACCGCAATTGGTACTGCTCGAACAACTGCCCGGACTGGACCTTCCGTCCCAGAGCGCTCATAAACCTCCATTGGCACCGCAAGGATGGTTTGGGCGGCAGAATGAAGGTTGCGCTGTAGACTCTTGTAGGCCGACTGGACTCCTTCCCTCAAGTCAGCTGGCTGTTCAGCATACTTGCTAAAGAGGTCATCATGCATGTCTTCGTCCTCTTCTTCGTCGCTCTGGCTTTCAACGACGTAGTCGGCGGAAATGGGTTGAACAGCTTCCGTTGTCACTGGGTCCTTGAATTGACCGCCAAGCACGTCTTCTGCTTGCTCCAGAATAACTTGAGTCCCAGTTGCAAGCCGTGCACCCAGTTTGATTGCTTCAACGGCGGTTGACTTGAGAAATGCTGTTGCGCCTTTCTGAACTCCGCGAACAATTCGTCCATCCTTCTTGTATTGTGCGATGGGTAAGAGAACGAGGTCCGCAACGCCAGAGCCAACATTCACCACCGAACGGATTGGCGCGACGCCAGAGATAACATCAACAAGCTGGGTGGCCTTGACATCTGGAGTCCAGATATCGTTCAGCAAGTCAAAAAGACGTGGCCATCCAGTAATCTAAGTTACTTCAGTCACCATATGTTGAATGCATTAGACCACTTACACCCGACAATGTGATGTGCCTCAGTGTCATTTCAGCACCATCAAAGTGGAAGAAGTTCATCAGTTCTATTGTTCGTCCTTCCCTCAGCGCTCGGTAGTCGACTCTGCGAGGCTTGTAATCGAGCTTCAGGTCTACAGGGAAAATTTCTGCGAGTTCTTTGGGCGAATCAGCATCGAGCTACTCCATCATACTTCCCACTCACGAAAATAGATGTCTCCACTAGAGTCCCCTTCTTGGGGCGGGGATGCTTGAGGATCTTTGAAGCTGAAGAACTTTTTCAAGAAATCAAGGGCATCCTGGTCGACATAAAGTCGAAGGGGAAGAATCTTAGCCTGCAACGAGGTATTAGCAAAAACTAAGGTCACAAAACCTTGATTACTCACCTTCAATCTTGCCTCTTCTGAATCATGCCCAGGAACTGGCTTGACGCTGCGCAACTCCACCCGCACCATATTCGAGTCCGTCTCTCGCACATTTCCCCGCGAATCAGAGCGCATTTCCGACAAGAACTTATTCCACGTCGAAGTACTCATACGGTCGAGGATTTCCAGATCCTTCACTGTCACAAATGTTCTCGACACGATATTTTCCTCGGGTCGATATTGGTCCACTTCGGCATCAAGACCCATGATTTGAAACTCGACGCTTGGTGCCTTTGCCCGCGTTAAACGTTTGCCATGGACCTTGGTAGACCGAGCACGAGGCTGATTGCCAGAAGACGGCCGAAGGGATTGCCATGAACTTTGACTTGCGGTCTCGAGGTCATCCTTCAGTTCTTCGTCGATCGCCGCAATCAATGCTGCAGGCTCAAATTCGTCAGCGTCTTGATTAAGGCCAATGTACACCGAGTTGAAGAGTAAGGCCCCAGTTTCTTCAAAGCTCGGGTCTTGCGTCTGACCACCTGCAACGAGTTGGCGGATCTTTGCCAGTCGCCGTCTCATTTGTCTAACTTCGTCTTCGATCGTCCGGCGAGTTCGCACCCAGTCGTATCCGTCATAGAGAAGGAGGTTGATATCAGCATTGTGTACGCGCACTTGGGTAACAATAACTCCCAACCTACAAGCAGTTGAGAATTTCTGTCAGTGAGAAAAAAAAACCATTGGCTGACTGCGATGCTATGTCCGTCGTTTCAGGTGGAAGGGTGTCGAAATGATGTTCGATGATACGGAGTCCTTCTGGACGAAGCATTTTAATCGTTTCACCACCTACTTTGGAAACTACGCCGGGGGCATCCTTGGTATCAAATGATGCATCGTCAACGTCGAAATCTTCCATGTCTTCTTCCACCAGCTCACGTAATCCTGCGGCGGCACCGAACGAGTCGTCCAGATAGTCCATGTTAGTGGGGAGATCGTCATTAATCATATCTGGGGGTGGTCCAACTTCCGGGACTCGATTGAAAGCTATGTCATCGACTGATGCTGAACAAATGTTGGCAGATATCAAAGGGAAACCACCAAAACAGACCTAAGAGAATCTCGGTTGAGGGTGGGGGGGAAACAACGGCGGGAGGAGCCTTCGTTTGCGGAGCGCTGGAGTTTCTTTCCATCATGAGTGCATTTAGGACACGAAACGAACTACATACGCTTCAGGATCGGATGGGGGTTTGAAGGCATCGGCCAAATCCTTGGCAAAAGCGGAGACCGAGGACAAGGAATCCGCACAAAGGTGAAGTGCAAGCCCAACACGTTCAACAAGCACCTTTAAAATCTGAGTGCATAATTGAGGTCTTCGAACTTACTACTCACCCTTGTTTGCGGCGGGTTTGACGGAGACCTGGTGTTCAGCTTGACGTCCAAATGGGAGATCTCGCTCAAGAGCGCATAACCGGATTTCTAGAAACCCGTGAATGATGATAACAACTTGGATAATGAGCGTTGATGTACATTCCAGAGTTGTAGGCCGGTATACTTATGGGCACTGATTGCCACAGTGTCGGCGAGATCATCAACCATAAGTGCAGCAAGGTTGGACAAGGATAGTTGCAATGAGAGATCAGTAGAACCACCCACTAAGCTGGTGGAGAAACCCAGTGCACCGATATGGAGAACGAGCGCCCCGGGGTGGCTTGTAGCAATCAACCGAATGGATCCATCGAGAACCTTGAGAGAGATGTGTGTCTTTTCCGTTGGTACCACGGATTCAAATGCCTGATAGCAAGTTGAGTGACATGATGCGCCTGTTGGACGAAGCGTACACCGGGAGGTGGTTTGACCAAATGACCCAAGTCAGAAATCCACTGAATATTTGGTGATAGATTGAAAGTGAACCCCCACAGCGTTGCCCGAATCTTCGATTCTTTGGCGGTCGTTCCGGGTAATATTAGAGATGAGAACGTAAACTTGAGTAAAGGGCGTGGTGAGGATGTCTACGGAAAGCACGAGCGGGTAAGAATGTGATACCATTGTGCTGCAAACAGCCTACTAGTCCACGTGGCGTTGTCAAAGACAACAATGTTTCGGTTGAACCAGCGACAGCAGACTGATTTATATCCAACTCCCTTGCAGTGAGTGTAATGAGACTTTCGTCCTGTTGAAGTTTTCATCATCATATTGTCAAGTGGATGGAAAGTGTTTGTTAACCTTGCCTCCAGGCTTAGATTGAACAAGAACTTCTACGTCGGAAGCTTTGATATTAAACGGGCGAAGGGTTGCTGAGGCTTTATCGGCCAAAATAATTCTCACCAGCGCTGTTATGATTTACTTCAGCATCTCTTCCATGATCTGGACACAAACCTTCACTGATTCCAACTTTAACAAGCAGACCATCCGAACGATTGTCGGCACTGACTGCGCTCCCACTTCCCGTCCTTGATTTTACGAAGAATCGGCTCCCAATAATACTCGTGTCCATACTTTTCACCGTGTCGGAATCCTCTACATTCTTACCCGACAATCGCTCAGCAAGCTGGGAGCAGTCATCAACAAGATACTGTAGGCTATCAAGCTGCGGTTTAGATATGTGGGCGTAGATGGATGGAACGTTCAATGAGATAATTGGTCCCTTGGCATTGACGGGCTGAGATAATGAAAGGCAAGGCAGCAAGGGCGACTCGGCATCGTTAGAGGAAAGCGGTCCTATGGATAAGATAGCAATAGCCTTGGTGTCGCCAGCTAACGAGGACGCCACTACAATCCTGTTGGTGCGGATTGACGCTAAGGTGGAGCTTTCTGGCTCTGTCGGAACAAATCGGACGACTGGTTTCTTTGATCCGGAATCTGCCGTAGCATGAACATCGTGAAAATCAACAACCAGAGCTCCCGAGCGAACGTCTTTGTCGGGAGGGGGAGGGCAGCGCAATTGGATCCGCAGCATCTGGAGTTTAATGTTGATTCTGTTTGAAGTTTCTACCTGTTAGTGGTCAGATGAGACAGGAAAATTTCGAACAAGAACATACCTTGGAATCAGCATTCAAATCTTCCAGCACAGAGTTGCCATAGTTCGGATGAGGCGTGGTGGGCGGGGTGTCCTCTTCACTATGGGATGGGGAATCCGACGGAGTGGATATTGGAATTTGGTTGGCAACCACCTCGACAAAGTCACGCAGACCGCCAACAAGATCGAGATCCAGAAATACATGTAAAGGTTGGAGATTAGCCTCGATATCCAAGGGCGTCTGGGCCGAATTCGACTTCCTCATGATGAGGTCCAATGCAACCGAGGGCCCAGAGACAGCGTGATGATCAGGGAGACCTTTACTGCGAGGGGCCTGCACTTTATTTCTCCACTGCGATACTTTGATCCCTGCCCTTTGCTGTTTTGGATCTGTCCAATCCACGACAGTGAAGTGGGGAATGTGAGGCTCTTCAGCCTGAGGCGTCAAGTCCGGGTGAATATGCGAAGTCGAATAGTGAGTGTTGAGGCCGTGATCAGTAATTAAGAGGGGAGAGGCAGAGGCAGAGTCTGGTCCTTGTAAAACGAATGCAGAGATTTCGCCCATTGAAAACATCATGGTCCAAGGCAGAGGAGAGACTGAAGCACGGATGACATCTAGATGGACTCGTACATATGATTGGGGCAACTTGGGAGGTAGGAGTGGTCGACTGAAGAATTCTGATAAAGGTTGCGGCATGGCACCCTCTATCGGCGCTGGAAGAAGTAAAAGCACAATACTTCGTAGCGATAGGGTTATCGCCATAACGGGGCCCGATCCAGTATCGGCTGAACTAGATGGTCGATGATTATTGGAGGGTAATGACTTTACCAAAGCAGTGGACAAAGCAATAGCTTCTTGTATGTGCCACGCGCTCAGGGCACAACCAATTGAACCCATCTCCACTGTTAGCTTTACGACCTCTCTGACCACGGGAGGGTTCGATGACATGTTCCCCGCTCGATCTGGGATGGCAAGACTGATCTTGAGAGGCTCGCCAGAGAAGGCAAGAATAACTTCGGGCTCAAGGGATCGAGCTCTGGGAGATTTACCGGAAGGACTGGATGATGCGGTATCAGGAACGGAAGCAGCCTGTTCATTCGGATTTTCAGATATGGCGCTCTGATACATGCTACTGGCAACGGAGCTTGCAGGAGAAACAGGGCGCGGCGGCAGAAAAGCGAGAGATTGTGACATTGCAAATTGAGCTTGTTCGTCCAGAGATGAAGAAGACGAAGCAGGAGAAGGAGAACGTGACCGCGACCTGGAAGTCGTGTTGACAGAGCGACTGTCGATGGCTTCAGGTTCTTCCATGAATGGATGAAGATCGTGAGCCGTAAGCGAAAACCCTGATATGGTTATCGTTCGAGTTGATGTCGCGTCAGTGTTCTCCACGGTCGCATATTCGATTTTCGGAATATGAGCGGTAAAACAGACGCGCTCCGCGTGCACAATGGAAATGGTAGTGTTTGATGCATCAAACTCGAATCTGGCAAGTAAACGCTCGATGAGAGACGCAAAAAGGGAAACACCAGCAGGGTCGTCATCGCTGTGGAACTCCTCTTGCTCTGGAGTGGAAAGAAAGGGGTCCAAACCACCTGGCACGTCTCCCGCAAGGTCTGGGTGAAATGACTCGCGCAGAGTTGCCTCTTCTCTTGGCGTAAGCTCGCCGTGGATGAATGAGTCTGCAACGGAAACCACAGATTCGGCAAGATTCTGGCTGAATGATGATGCATCTTTAGGCTGCGCGACATGGAAGGTCAAGTCAAGGCCGTCAATGGACAGTCCAATGGTGGAGGTAAGTGGATTGGGCCAAGGTATGCGTGTCGTAACGCTGGAAATGGTGCCGGCCGTCAACTCGACCGGAAGACCTGCTAACGATGCGTTGATAGCCTGCACAAAGATGAAGACAATTCCTCGAAGACTGGGAGACTCACATCATGATTCAGTTGCAACTCATTGACCTGCACATAACCGCTGCCAATCTGCGAGTCGATTTGGTCGACGTCAAGTTGACCAGGTTGCAGCAAGTGACCAAGTGACTTGCGAAGAATGAACGACAAGACTTTACGTTGGATCGAGGAGGGGAGGGGAATAGAAGGAAGTCCGGGGAGCCAGCGGGAGTACCATGAAGACATGCGCGCCACGACGCGAGAGCTTGAGCATGCTCTTAGATTGCTCGTCACAACCGTGACTTCGGTGTTCTGCCACGACTCGGAGCAAAGGTTGGGTGTGCAACTTCCAAGACTACGCTACAACAGATTCTATAGTATCTAGAGGGCCTCCCATACGTTGTACTAGTCGCTGATGGGGGTTGTCAGTGTTATACTACACAAATCGAACTTGGGAACACATACTTCACTTAACCATTGAACAAAGGCGATGATAGGCCAGTAAAAATGCCAAGTGGTCCACAGAGTCCACGGACTATTGAATCTGAGAAGCATTGACTCATAGTTTTCTGGCAAAAGTTCAAGTTTCTAATTCAAGTTATTCAGCAGCGACATACTTTCAAGACCCGACCGCAAGTCTAGGTACCGATTTGGATAGTCTGTGATAATTGCATCGACTTTCAGACGGACCATCTGGACGCAAATGAGTTCTGCAAAGAGTTATTCACTAAACTCTACCTCGATCATGTGCGCAGGCTCATTCACTGTGAATACCATGACTTTCTTGCCGGATTGCTTCGCTTCGTGGTAAAATCTACCATTGTCAATAGACGCTAATACGCCAACCTGATAGAGTTACCTCAGACCATTGGCAGTCATCAGAGTGTTGAACCATATGGACACACAATCCACCTCGTCCCATAGATGTGTCCTGGCAAGGCGAAGACTAAAGCTGATGCTGCTTCTCTTGCAATAGGGCAAGATGGCCTTCGCAGGACGCAGGAACTTGGGATGCCATAATCCCAGTAGAATTCGAGGTGCAAGCTGTATTGTGAGTCAGACACAACTCCTCATATAGTTCAAGTTCATCTCACTGTGGTTTGCCATTCAGGAAAGGCAGAGATAGACGCGTGCATAAGCGAGAAGAGCTTTTCAGGGTCGTTCGTTGGCTTGACATCTATATCGAGCATGATATGCATGTTCTCAGGCTGCATTCGATTGAACAACAAAGGGAGCGATGTTATGTTATGAAGCCTACCTTCATGAGCAGAGCGAGGGTTTCGGGGAAAGTCGGGATCGCTTGTTTGGGCTCTTTCTTGGTTCGGGCGTGTTCCATACCATCCTGACCATACCAGTTGCGATTCTTGATCTCTCCAGTATAATCCGTTGTTCTACTCAACGCTATTTTGTTGATGTTAGGCTAAGAATTACGGCCACTACATGAGACAACTCACTTGGGTCGTGAAACATAACAATAACATTATCTTGTGAAACGTGAACGTCGCTCTCGATGCCATCCACACCATCCCTGCTGGATTATAAGGAGGTGAAAGCTCGTCCGGACTAATTAGACCTTATTGCAGCCTCAAATGAGGCCATTGTATTCTCAGGAAAGCGAGCAGACGCCTATCTCGGTTAGATGGAATAACACGCCATAGCAAAGTACCCCTCGGTGACCCCAGCATTCTGAGTTGATGAGCACTGGCACTGGAGGAAGCAAAACGAAGGGCTACCTGGCAAGGTTATCGCGGTGAGGGACATGAAAGGTCGATAAGTTAAGACGCATGTGTCATCTCGATGACCAATGCCCCAAGACGCGTTAGTCACATGATTTCCGTGATTCACAATACGTCATTCTTCGTCCGAACCATTACCTCGACGCGTCCGCAGCGCAGTGAAGCTTGTTCAATCCACACATACACACTGAACGTTGACATACACAAGATGGAGATTGAGCTAGATGACTTTTCACAAAGTCGTCGGACTGAAGAAGTCTCAGAACCGACAGCAACGGCGCCTACTATTGTTACAACCTTGGATGCTGTTGGCTGGTATTGGGCTTGGGGTGCTGCGACCTTGCTCACCATCGTATCTATTTGTCTCTTTTTTACCCCGCGTATCCTGCTACTTCTATCGTCCGCCGACCAGCGCAACGAACTGACATCACTTGAATCCTTCTTGTGTCTACACGGCAGCATCTGGCTTTTTGCTCTCGCTGTTGGCTTAGTTCTCAACGTTTGTCGCAACAACTTGAGTGCGTATGACTGAAAAACTTCTCCAGGTGCCCTCAGCTTCTCCTGCCGATCTATTAGTCCCTCGTAATCTGGCACCAAGACATCCTCTGCTCATTCCCGTCACCACTGCCAGCTGTGTGTCGGCCTTCGTCGCATACAATACCAGCTCGATTGGATCTTTAGCGACGCTCGTACCCATATTTGCTGCCATAATTGGTGTCTGGGGAGCCTGGGCGGTATGCTTTCGCTATCGTGTGGTAGAATCGAACATTCACAGCGTGTAGGCCATATTTGGAGATTCGGCATCCGTATCCAAGAAAACTGGAGCGGACAAGCATACCTCTGCTTTCATATTTGGCAACAAGTCCGCTGCATCCAGTCAAAAGAAAGAATGGTTGAAGCAGCGTAAGACAGCGCAGTGAAATTATTATTACTATGCACGTAGAGTAGGGTCAAGTGAAGTTTTGGTATCGTTTACTAGGACATTTCGTCAAAGAGTGCCCATTCCTCTTCGTCGCCATCTGGTCGTGATGCGGGTACTGCTGGCGCTGGATAATCAATATCGAGGCCTGCAAGGTTCTCCATGCCTTCCCAGAGGCTATCTTCGTCGTCGGCGACTTTGTTTGCTGCTGGTATGGATGATGGTGGTGGGAGGCCTGTATCAACGCCGATCTCTGTTGGTGGTGGCGGTGCCGGCTGGCCTGGCGCGAGTTGATCCATGGCTTCCCAGTCGATGTCGTCGTCTTTGTTGTTGTTTGTGGGTGGTGAAGATAGCCCTTCCTCAACATCCAGATTGTCTTCTACACCAGAAGTTGGCGCTGCTGACGACGGCGGGCCTGACTCGGATGGACGATTATCTTCGTTGTCTTCATCCAAGTCTGCGTCTGGGTCGGGGGGCGGCTTGCCATGTGCCTCGTCGCGCCAAACGCCGAGCATATTCTTCCGAAAACACATTAACAACTAATAACTTGGTGGATCTGTTGTACCTACGCGCATGCGCTTGGAGTGGCATAGCTTCTCGACGCGTTCCGTTGTCTCTTTAAACGGCGTCTTGGGGTATAACTTGTGCGTCCAGAACTGGTACACCTGGAGCAGGCGATTGAGGTCTGATTCCTGCGTGGATCAGCTCTCGACCAGGCAAGCAGATGCCTGCAGCGCGCACCTCGTGACCTTTCCCCCGGATTCTGAAGTCTTTGGTATCGCGTATAAGCTGGGGAAAACCATTGTCGCCGAGCAGCCGACCCTCGTCAAGTCGCGCAATCTTCTTCTTGGGCTTTTTGCCCTCCTTGTCTTTGTCCTTGCCATCGTTTGCTTTGGGTTGGTCGTCACCGAGGTCGTTGGCAGCCTGGGGTCCCTTTGCGGGAGCCTTGTCTGGTATAGCATCGATGTTGCTGAATGTCGCCTCCACCTTCGCCGCGTCAGGCATCTCCTCATCATCTTTCTCGTCCTCAGGAGCAGGCAAAAACAGCGGCGGCCTGCTGACCGTCTCCGCGTCGAGGTCCCAGATCTGTTCAACGTCGGCCATGGCGCGTCGTTGTGTCGCGTCTTCGTCAATTCGCGTCTGTCACAATCAGTCACGCGAAATGGCGTTTCGGTCGTCCACGTTCCCAAAGTCCGGAATCCTGCTTCTCGGCAGCAATGTTCAGTCGCTCGTCCCATCCACTCTGATTTCACAGGCAGAGTCTCTTCTGGAGGGCCACAGAATCGAGGAGGCGGTCGACCTTGCTGACCAGCAACGGAAGAAGCTCCAGGCAAATGTAGTTGTAGACGAGGATGAGGTGACTTTCTCCATCCCTCATTGGACACACTTATGCATGCCTCAACAGGCCGACGAACTGCGCTACGTGTACCAGCGGATCGGGTTCCAGTGCTTTACGGAGACAATGTTTGAGGATGCAGGGAAGAACTTGTTCAACGGGGAGCTGGACCCGCGGGTGTTGGTCAGCTACTACCCTGAGCTCCGCGGGACGCTGTTTACTGCGAACGACTCGCTCGACATTTACGCTGGCGTTTCTGAGCGGATGCCAGCGGAGGCATCGGTCGACGATATAAGTGAGTGGGCCTCTCCATCTCGTCGTGGCCCGTCGCAGTCCCCCCTCATACACTTTCTTCTATTCGGAAACTAATCAGTTGCGGCCAACCTAGTCCGGAATTATTCGCCGTATCTCAAGCCAAACACCCAGACCGCCCCGCCGACCGCCGAGCTACGCAGGATTCTGGGCATGGCTGCGGTAGACATGTTGGAGGTGTTCTTAAAACGGTGCAGAAAGCGGAGAGCAGTGGAAGGGAAACTCGGGAACGATCCTGCCCAGGCGGTATCAGAATCGTCTTGGTCAAATTCTGTGACTGAAACGCATTTAGGTGGTTGACACGGTGCTAGCAAAGATATACGCCCAGTCAGAGAAAACCAAGGAACTCTACACTCTCATCCAAGAGCCACATTCCATCGTGCTTTCTGAGGTGGAATCTGTGTTCAAAGCCAATGGCCAGTACAATGCTCTGTGCATGCTGTATCAGCAGTTGGGGGATGAAGAGCGCCTATTGCAGGTCTGGTCCAAGTATGCTCACAATTACGCCTGTGTCATCGTCCTTACGCGGTATCAGGTTAGCTGAGGGCGAATGGTCAGACGAAGACGTCCAAAATCCCACCGAAAATATCTTCAACCTTCTCTCCAACTCCAAGAACAGAGCCCTTATCCAGACATGGGCGCTTTGGCTTACCCGGAGAGACCCCGAGCGCGGCATTAAGGTGTGCTGTCCTGCTATATTCCTTTTACTCGCTAATCTCAGGCTAGCTGCTCATCTCGCGCGAGTCCGGCAAGCGCCCGCAACGCCCTGAAGACGACCTTTTGCTACTCGAGCAAATACGGGAAGCGAGCCCTGCGGCCAGTGCTCAATTCCTTGAGTACCTTGTCTTGCAAAAGCGAAGTATTGTATGGATTCATATTATTGTTTGTCCACAACAGCTTATATTTAATCTAGTCCCGTGATCTCCACACCCAACTTGCAGCAGTCTGCACCGATCAGCTGCTTGCTTCGTTGGAGGACAAAAATGTCGCCAGGTTATGGGAAGTCAAAGGTTTGTTCCTTTACTCTTTCCCCCGATATATACCAATTTAATTGTCAGCCACGCGATACGCGGAAAAGCGAAACGCCGCCTCGTTCCTCTCCGTCTTTATGTCGACAACACCCGACTCGCCATCCAAGTTCACCCGTTTAAAATGTCTCCTGTTCTTCCAGAGTTCAGCGCTGTATGATGCCGAGCTCGTGCGCGAGCGGCTGCTGCCTCATGCGAAGCGGATTTTAGCGTTAGAGCTCGCTATTGTGAATGGCAAGGTAAGCATTCCATTTCCACTCAATAGCAAGCAAACTGACTCTTGTGGGAAGCTCGGGAACCATCACGATGCCCTAGCTTCACTCGTCAACGACTTACATGACAGTGCATCTGCCGAGACATACTGCACCCTGAATGGCGAGGTAATACCCGTGAAAGTGGCGCAGTCGCTCGCCAACGACCCGACGCTACGGATATGGACGGCCGCACTCACCAGCAAGAGCCGCCAAAAAATAATTGTAGAAGACAAGCGCAAGGAGCTGTTGAAGACACTCCTTCAGGTTTACATGGATGACGAGTATGCCTTTTTTTCTTGAAGAAAACACCAATTTTATTCAATCGATTTATCAAGATCGGCGAGCGAGCGAGCGGCACATCTGCTGAACTCGCAGGCCAAGAACTTGGACGTCCTCGATGTAAATATCGCCTCCCTTTTTTTCTGCGCTAAGTGTTTGTGCAGGTGATGCCGCTGGTACCGCCCAAATGGCCCCTCACAGCTGTCTCATCGTTCCTGACTCGCTCTCTGCGACGGACTGTCCACGCGCGTCAAGAAGGTCGCATTGTCCGTGCGCTCAGCGCCGGCCAGAACCTCGAGGTATGCTGCCCCCCCGCTCTGAATTATTTTCACGCTCAATACCAAAAGGTGAAAGAACGGACTTGGCTCATTCTGCGCGAAGAGGGCATGGTTGTCGAGGAGGCTCTTGACGGTGACGATGGCGACGGCGAATACAACGAGAAGGCGGGGATCGAAAAGGTTGTTTCGCCGGTCCAGGATGAGAAGAACCCGGGTGCTTGGGCGGATGATGCCGCTGTTGAAGTAACTTGACTTACTTATTTTCACCTAATCTCAGCAAACGTTTATCGTTATATCAGTTCAAGAGTTTTGGATCAGGTTGACAAGTGGGCCCAATCAAATTTGTGCTGCACAAAGCCAATGACCACAAGGGCGAGATATATTTTGCTAAATCAGGTGTGTCTGGCCTTTGAATTTTGAAAGGTTTCCTTAATGACGTGATCACGTGATGCATAATCAGTTTGGTCGTGATCGGTCGGACACGACCTTTGAAAATGTCAAAGTGTGAGGAACGTCCAAACGCTACTGTAAGTATTCATGCACATCCACAACAACCCACATTCCAACCCGTACGGTTTCTCTCCCAACCTGCTACCGACGTGCCCTCGTAAACTCACTCCGTGGGGCTCATAACACACTTGTCCCGACAATTTCCCAAGATACACGCGGCGCATGAACGGTCTAATGCCTGGACTTGGGTATGAATGGGGACGACCAAGAATTCCAGTAGCCTGCATTCCGGCAGGCCAACTAGTGCTCTGCATCGACAACGACCTCTGGTATGCACGTCCCCACGAGTCGCCCGACGCCTACGCATGCCAAAGCCATTATCAAGTCAACCTGCTTACGTGCAAACTGCATCGAGTAGAATGGCACTCGCAACCTATATCTGGGATCGTGGACTCCACACCACCTCCGACCTCCCAGGAACTTGAGCTATGGGAAGACATCCAAATGAACTCTTCCTGGGCAATCCCATGCGTGGGCAACGGACCGATGCTGGTAGCAGGCTGTCGAGTCACCTTACCATTGAACAACATACTCAAAGGCCAACCGGCTAGTGGGATGATTGTAGACACCGAGTTAAAGGGCACATGCCGAGTACGCGTCAGCAGGAAAGGAGAGCCACTCGACATGAATCGTCCAACTCTGATCGACGACTTGCTCAGCCCACCAGAAGAACCAGATGAAGTCCTCATAGATCGACGCAATTTGAGTCCCCACTTCATTAATGGACCGGTGGACATACAAATCGGTGACCGAGTGGTTATTCTGAGCGGTCATCACCTTCACCGAATAGGGATTGTGGAGCGCCTGCACAATGGTCGAACAACTCCATTGCTTACGATCATCGACAACCACATACCCATATCCAACGTCGCCATCTCCAACGTCGCTCGCCTGTTCTTACCAGGAGACCCTGTGGTGATTCTTTACGGTGCGCATAACGGCATACGAGGAAATATAGAAGGAACGTTTGCTTTGAGGCAGTTGGACGACGAGCAACATCAATTTCCACCGGGAGGCATTAGGGTGCAAGCAGTAAGTACGCCGCTAAGTTCTGAAGCAAAACCGAGCAATTTGGACACAGGATTACGCAAACATCGCTGTACGCTACCTCGGCATAACAAAAAATCATCTCACTGAAAGCAGGTCAACGTACCAACACAGTTTGTACGCTTCGATGTGCGTATCATGGGAGCAGATCCCTCAAGAGCGCCTGTAAACGTCGATCGCCACTGGCTAGCTCGGGATGCACTAGTGGGAAAGAGTCTCAAAGTCCGCCTAGGACCCGTATTGCGAGGGCGGATGACGGAGAAGCAGGCCATAGCGATAGGTAAACAAGGTCACATCATACTTCAAGAAGCGGTATGCCCCCAAACATATGCCGTTCCTATGCAAGTGGAGATTGACAGAGAACGAACTAAGGTCACCATTGCCCCAGAGTGGCTTCATCCATCGTTATACGACGTGAAAGCTCGAGTGATGGAGACCGTCGTGGTAATTGGCCCTGATGCAGAAGGTAGCGAAGAGCATATTGGGAGGTACGCGCATGTGGAACCGGGTCAAATAGGGTGGCCAGTGAAAGCGGTGATAACGACAGAAAGTGATGCCATTGCACACTTCCCTCAAGAATCGCTATGCATCACTCGCGATATTGTTAGCAAAAAAACTTAATGCAATAGACATTGTTTACAGGTATTTGGCACGAATTGTGGTAATTAGAGATTCCAATGGGAGCCTGAAGGCACACCCTAACTAAAGCAAGATACTATAGCTCAAAGACATCATTCCTCATCTTCCGGCGCCCACAAAACACATCGTCCACTAGCATTGCCTGACACCACCCTTTCGACGATAGAAGGGTGGGAGCAAGTAACTGCTTGCACAGCAGAGATCCTATCCCAAGTTAGACACAATGTTGCAAGGCAGCAAACAGAACACCCACTTGTCGCGGTCAGCAAGCCGCGTGATAAGCTCCCCCTTGCACGTAAAAATGTTGACCGAATGGTCCATATTCCCGATCGTGAAATGCGGGTAGGCCTCTGGATTCGGAGACCACTGTGCCCTGAGAATCGTCAGCCACTTGCCCGTTTGGCAGTTGTGTCGTATGCGATTGAACGGCCGTGACGAGGGGAAGGTGCTTGAGCTCTCCATATTCGACGAAGAAATATCCCAAACTTGAAAAGAAAACCTCAGTAAGCAACAGACGCAAAATCAGCGCACACTCACGCCGCAAAGTATCGTCGTAGCTCGTGCTGACAATATACCGCCCGCGTGGGTCCCAGTATGCCGAGCTAACTGACTTGTCGTGCCGCCAGTCAGCCCGCAGGCAGCCTTGGCCGCGCTTCGACTGCGTGTATTCCGTTACCGTGTCATAGTCTGCCTCAGAATCCAGCTTCGAAATTGGGTCAAGGAACGGTCCTCCGGGAGAAGACGGTGGTGGTGTTGGCAAACTGTCGTCCTGCAGAACGTTTTGCAGCTTGCGAATGTCCCAAATCCTGAATGGAGATGAGAACAATCACAGAAAAAACAGCAAGACGAACTTGAGCGAACGGCTATTGCTCGATGTGACCAAGAAATTAGGTCGTGTTGGGTTGATGCTCAAGCAGCCAATTTTGGTGTCAGAGAGCCCATATCGACTGACAACGGACTTGTCCTGGCGGAGGTCGCGATGCCAGACGTCCCCTGCCGCATCGGAAATCCACATATCATTTCCAGTCGGCGCCACATCAATGCTCGAAATGAGGACGTCGTCGGTCACAAACACCTCCCGTGACACGCCTGAAGGGAAAGAAGTCGATCGGACAGTACAGTCGTAAGCAGAAGTGTAGATCTAAAAAGGGCCGTGAATCAAGTACCACACGACGTAGGACTGCCTACGTTGTGAGAATTAATTGGGTCGATCTTCACGCACGATATGGACCTTTATTACGAAGTTAGAAAACTGCATCGAAATGTCCAGTTACGCACGATTTGCTTGTCGCAGGCCAATGGAGCTGCAGCCGCCAATATTTGCCCTCGCTTGCGTTGACGACCGAAACATCGCCGTCTTCGTCTTCAACCTCGTCCACTGCGGCGCGCGCGTCCCAGATTCCAAGACTTCCGTGTTTATCTGCCCAAATTGTCAACACAAAACAAACCTGAGACATCGATACGCTTCTACCTCCAAAAAAGACAAGGTCTATGGAGCAAGTTAGCAAAGCAGAAGTGGTCATCACTGAATGCACAACCTTTCGTAACTTCTGGGTGATATGCAGCAGAGTATACACGGTCTTGCGTCACTTTTGCGCGCGCAACGACCTTCAAGTCCTGCAACTTCTCCCGGAGCTCCGTCACAAACTTGTCCTCTTCAGTCTCCTCGTCAGAGCGGTAGCCAGCATCCTCGTCCATGATCAGCTTTGTCGTCTGAGACATGGACTCGAATAGCGAAGCAAGTGTTGACAAGTCTTCTGCGTCCCCCTCTTCGACCAGCGTAGCCAGACCCAGCTCTCCATGTCGCGGTCGTTTGGCGGCACGTGCCTTTTCCTCCTCCTCCAGCCGTTCCTCCTCTTCTTTCGCACGCCTTTCCTCTCGCTCTGCCTACAAAAACCAGTCAGTGCTAATGAGCGCGACAGAGACGTGTTTCGGCTCACATCCCGCCGCTTCCGCTTTGCAGGGCTCTCGTTGGGGTCAATCACCGACTCGCGAAGACGCGCTGACTGGCGCCGTGGTCCCTCTGCCACACGCTCACGAGGTTTCCTGGGCTTGTTTGGTTGAACAGGCTTTGCTTGAGATTTGGTAGCGGCAGGCTTTGCGACTAGGCCTTCAACGGCTTGTTTTAAATCGAGTTGCTCGAGCAGTGCTCGATTTCGCGCAATGTTCTTCTCCCTTTCAAGTTCGTACGCGGACGGCATTTCACAAGAGAAGAAGACAAGAGGTGAGAGGAGTAGTCACAGTCGCGTGACGTCACGAGCAAACAAATCAAAGCAGTCAAAAGCCTGTGTATGCATTCCTATCAACTACAAACAGCTACGACCAAAACATCTCTCAATCTGTACAATGAAAGCAAAGGTGGTAAAGAGCGACAAATTTCACTCATCCTTGTTGACGAATTCCTGCAACACGATGAGTGCTTCGTTAACTTTGGCATTCATGGCATCGGGCGAGTCCAGGAGATGGAGAAGTTCATTGTTGTCCATCTCGAGGAGCATGCCCGTAATCTTCCCAGCCAACTCGGGTTGCGAGCTACAAGAAAATTGATTAAGACACAATGAGAGATGGGAGATGAAACTAACCTGGCAATCTTCATGTAGATAACCTCACCAAGCATCTGTTTCTGTTCCATGGGAGAAGCATTGGCAAGGGCGGCAGCGGTGACCTCGGTAGCAGCAGGAGGAGGAGGGGCACCATTGCGGACTTGCGGGTTGAGCTTATAGCCAGGCTGACCAGCGGGAGGTGCACGTGATGCAGGTGCTGGTGCTGCACGTGCTGAGGGAGGCGCTGGTCCGCGCTGAGCGTTAGGGGGGGGAGGACCACCAGCACGCGGAATTTGGGCGTTGGGCAAAGTTGGCGATCCAGGGTTACGGGCGGCTGGGGCACGTGGTTGACCACGGAATCCAGGCATTCCACCATAGGCCTGAGGAGGTCCTTGCTGGTAGGGAGAGGGAATGGGCATACCTCCGTTGTTGGGAGGGTAGCGAGGACGAGGGGGCATCATTCCTGGTTGGCCATAAGGCATCATGCCACGGCCTTGTGGTGGGAAACCGGGCCCAGGCGGGTAATACATCGGTCCATTCATGTATCCGCCAGGCAGTCCAGCAGCAGCGGCTTGTTGCATACGAATTTGGTTGCGCTGCGCAATCTGACTCTCCAGCTGTTGACGACGAACTTCCCGACGTTGCGCAAGGGACACATAGAGTGGTTTCGAGCCGATCATCTTGTTGTTCATCTCCGCGACGGCTTTCGTGGCCTCATCAGGTGAGGAGAAGCACACGAAACCGAAACCCTTGGAGGTGCCTTTCTCGTCGCGCATGACCTTGCAGCTTGTTACAGTCCCGAAAGGCTCAAACTCAATGCGGAGCTTGTCATCGTCCATGTCGTCCTCCAAATTTTTGATGTACAAATTGACGCCCTGATACTTGCTGAGTTTCTCCATCTTGGCCTGTTCGTATGATTTGCGAAGCTCCTCTTCGCGCTCTGCCTTCTTCTGCGCACGCCCGACGTAAAGCTTGCGGCCGTTGATTTCAGTGTCATTGAGAGTGTCAACCGCCTGCTGGGCGGCCTCATGGGATTCATAGTTGACAAATCCGAATCCTTTGCTTTTGCCCTCCTCGTCAAGTTGGACAATAGCAGATGTGACGGCACCGAATTGGGTGAAAAGTTTCTCGAACTCCTCCTGGGTGTACTCGGGATCCAAGTTCTTGATGTAAAGATTGGTGAATTGAGCTTTCATCTCGTCAAGTTTGGATTGGCGCTCCTGAAGTCAGCGTCAGACAAGAACAGCTTGATGCTACGAAGAAAACTAGCCTTGCGAGAGATGTGGTGACCGACATAAACTTTCTTATCGTTCAAAAGCATACCATTGACGGCCTTGATAGCACTTTCAGCTGCCTCGCCCGTTTCGTAGTGCACAAAACCATAGCCCTTAGACATTCCGTGCTCGTCAGTCGCAACTTTGCAGGAAAGCACATTTCCAAAAGCCGCGAAGGTGTCGTGCAAAGCCTGGGGATACTGTTAGAACGACCAAGTTTCCAATGAACCAAACTTTACCTTGTTATCGATTGCTTCATCCAGGTTTTTAATGAAGATGTTGCCTTGGCCGGTCTTGCGAAGTGCGGGGTCTCGCTGAGACCACATGATGCGGCAAGCGCGGTTCTTGATCAACGAATAGTTCAAAGTTTCCAAAGCACGCTCGCCTGTTGTTGCGATAAGCCAAAGGGAGAGAAAACAGTTTGAGACGCACCATCGGCAGCATTAAGGTAGTTGACATACGCATACCCAAGGGAGCGACGAGTGACTGCATCGCGGCAGACACGAATACTGTGACAAGTTCAATCCAAGAGGCCAACGAGATCAAGATTGTGGGAGTACCTTGCGACTGGGCCAATCATGTTGAAAATTTCGAAGAGCATGGCCTCAGTGACCGTGGGATCGAGTTCGCCCACATAGAGGGAGGCAGAGGGAGCCGACGCCACCGTTGACTGGGGAGCCGGGTTGTAGGCTGGGGCAGCTGGAGCTGCCGTGACCTGGGGTTCGGTGACAGGCGCAGCCTCGGAGGGGGAAGACATATTTGTTTTTTTCAGAGATTTGAGTGGTCGTTACTGCTTTGTTTTTTCTGAAAGGAGATCGAACTGATGAGCTTCTGCTCCCATACGAGACGAAAAACGCACAGGAGCAACAAGGCAACCGCTTGGATATATATTTTTTGTGAGTTTTATGGCTGGGGAGAAAGTCAACACAGAGCAAAGCGAGGCGATGCCGACAAACCTGGGGGTGAGACTCAAGGGAGACTTGTCACACTGTCACACACAGACAGAGCTTTCTGCGATTTGATCTCAGGACAATGCGATCATATTGTCCTCAACTACATGAGTAGCATACAGTAGACTATCCACGAGAGAAATACGATTTTGCGCCATGTACGGCCAGCTCGTTTTTGGCCTAATTGGGATCATGAGTACTTGTCATCCTCCTCCTCCGAAAGACATACCTTTTCCATTGTATGACCAGCAGCACTATGGTGAGCGTAAATCTGCAGCCCATTAGTTTTGCGGGCACGACGGAAGCATCTTCGCACCTGTCGGTAGTAAAAGGCATTCCCCAGCCCCTGAACCGTCCAGCCAACTGTTGCGATCGTGCAAAAACACAGCCGACAGCCAGCTATCATCGCCATTAACACCGTTCGTGAGATATGAAAAAAAAAAGACTCACTGATGACCCGCATACATTTGGATCATCTGAATCAACCCAGCCGATCCAGTGCTATTTCATGCTCAGTTGAAGTGTTGTGCGACAAGATATATGTACCTTGGCACACCAATGATCCTGTGCAAAAGTCTCGGTGAGAATCCAAGAGTAGTAAAAGCCTTGACTAACATATAGATACTGAAGAGCAAGTGGAACCCTCCAAAAAAGAAATATAAATCTAAAAAAACGAGTCAGCTGCAGGGACGCGAGCAAATCAGTCTTACAATAATACAGAGCTTGTTCCTTAGAGTGGTGTCAATAGAGAAGAAGGTAGGACATATTGGACTTGCTTTCATGTAGCCGTTGTAAATCGGACTGCGAGGGTTTGGGAAAAGGCATTAACGCGTTGAAAAACAGCGTACCGATACCAGAGGAGGAACGAAGTGATAGAAATGAAGAAGACGTAACTAAATACCGGATGAGTCGAAAGGGAGCGGCCGAATTGAAAGTGACTGACCCGATACTAGCTCCAACGTCCCTTCCACCATCTCGCGACCCAGCGATGAGTATGAGGATGCATGCGACCATGTTGAAGATAAGCGTGGCAGCAAGGACAAGCCAGAGCTGATATAAGCGCGTGATGAGACTCTGGGACGCTTCAGGAATCTCGTCTCGGATCGAGTGGAATATGAGTGGGAAGACTGCAGCAATGTCAAATAGGCTCTGGCCGGAGGATTGAATGGGTACACGGTGGCCAATTGTTTCTGCCATTTCTGCGTATGTTGTCCGCCTTGGTCGCTAGTTCTTGCTCTCTTCGTTCCAAGTCTAATTCACGTTGTCGTAGCTGTTCAAGGCGAGCATCGGTTGCTTGTTGTTGGGGAGCTGGGTCGTCAAATGGATTCGTGTCGAGGGAATGGGTCGAGGCAAATGGGTTGGCTGCAGAATGTCAAACAGTCGAAATTTGGTGTAAGTTCATACGAACCCATGATGGACGCGGAGAAGGGGGGGTGAGGCGATGACAAATCATGATATCCCCATCCAGGGACGGCAAGAACTCTCCGGCAGCTTGCCGGCAGCGCTGCGGCGTCACGGTTGAAGTCACGATGTGGAGTTAAAGTTGCTCTCAACTTCGACTTGCATTCTTCCCAGCCGCTGTCTGCGGGTCTGCATCGTTGTAACTACCTGGCTGAACGGCGTGCTCATTTCCTCTATTAGGATTCACCTTCCTTACTTAACGAATCCAACCACCGACCACACTCGCTCTCAACACCCACCATGATCTCTCTGGCTTTTGCTCTTTTGTTGACTGTGGCCTCGTCGTCTGGCCATTCCCTCTCTGCGCGTCGCCACCATGCTCGTATTGCCGCCCGTGCAACACCCCCCGAGGGCTGTAAGCGGGGTTTTACTGTCCCCAATGCCATTCCTCACCAATAAAATTGCAGGGGCCACCAATTATCTCGAAGCCTACGACGACTACCACACTAGGTACCTTGATGTGCGTCTTGGACGAACTCGAGGGGCATTTTGACCTGATTCATTCTACCAGATTGGTTGTGAAGGCAAGCACAATACCACGTTCTTCGACTTCTGTTGCCATCCTCTGCTCGTGTGTAGTTTTTTTTTTTTTTGGCTTGATGCATGACCCTGACAACAAGATATCAGGCCACCGAAACGCTCGCCAAAAATAGACCGGCATGCTGTGCCCCCGGCGCGACTGCGCAGTGCCCATCTCAGACTTCTGGTGACTCTTCCAATGACAATGGGGATGATGATCTGGAGGACTGCGAAGATGACCAAGACAGCCACAACAATCAAGGTCAAGATGACGACGGCGAGTGCGAAGACGAAGACGATACTCCAGCCACGACTCCGCCTCACACACAGGCCACTTCCAAACCCATCTCCAACCCGCCACACAGTCAGCCCCCACAGGCCACGTCCAAACCCCCTTCCAACCCGCCACCAAAGCCTACAACTAGCACACCTGTGAAACAGACAAGTATTGAGCTTGTTCGCTTTGTTTGAGCATTGCTGATATCCCTTTCAGCAACGACTCCGGCTGAGTCTTCCACTAAGACCTCGACTTCGTCGTCCAACAACAACTTCATCACGGGTGGCTTTGGCACCTGGTTCACTCAAGGAGGGGTTGCAGGTTCGTTGCTATCATCACCCTTGAAATTCCCAAACTGATTCTTGTAGGCGCTTGCGGCACAGTTCACCAAGGTCTGTATCGTAGTTCCCTCTCGACTGTTTCATGACCTCCCTCTCAGACACTGATTTGGTCGTGGCCCTTCCGACCAAAGCATACGCAAATGGAGCTAACTGTGGACGTAAAGTTCACATCGTCGACTCTTCCTCGGGTGCTTCTGCCGAAGCCATTGTAGCAGACGAATGCCCTACTTGGCAAGCACAATTTTTTTTCGCCTCAAGACGAACACTACTAATGCTGAACTACTATAGCACCAACGACAACTGTCTTGACATGAGTGTCTCCCTCTTCCAGAAATTCGTTGACCTCTCGGTTGGCGAATTCTCCAGTGCGCTACTTTCTTTGCCATCACCGCTCTCTCTCTGACACATTGCAGTCAAGTATCAGTTCTTGGACTGAATGGCTTTGATCCATACTTCCTCCATCCTCGGTTCTGTTTTGCATTTGCTCTCGGACTCTCAGACTCTTGTTATCAGCATTTAATCTGCGATTCACACCAGCTGTGTCTTCGCCTCGGGCTAGTTTAGCGTTCGGCATACACCAATCGGCAACGAAGTTATTTACGAGATCTAACGACCCTGGTCGGCGGTAGAGCTCAACACTCAACGCAGTCCGTTTGTTCTATGCCAGACGCCAGTTACCGCTTTTACTGTTACATGCGCTCCAAACACTTAGATGGCTAGCTACAGCGTACCTTGAATGTAACTATTCAGTGAAAAATAAGTCACCGTTGAAAGATGGCATAAGTCGTTCAAAGTTCAAGTTGGATTTTTGGCAGTTGCGTGACATCATGTCACCCATCTCCAAACTTGTCGTTGTGGGCGGCAATGGGTTCATAGGTATTGTTTTTTTTTGCGTGCTTGCCAACGGATACAAACGAACAGTAACAGGTTCTGCTATATGTAGACTGGCTTTGGCGCGCGGCCTCCAGGTTACCAGCATCAGGTTCGATTGCATATTTCCTAATTCTACAGCGTCCTCATTATTGTCGCAGCACCTCTGGCCGTCCATATCAAACGCCAAAGGGACATACGCCTGCCTGGACTACTCAAGTAGACTGGCAAAAAGGCGATGCGCTACGCCCTGAGACCTTCGCAAGTCATTTAGATGGCGCAAGTGGTGTTGTCCATACTTTGGGTATGCTGCTTCAAGACGCGGAGTACAAGCGTGCCATTCGCGACGGCGATGTTCCGGCACTTCTCAACGCCCTCATTGGCGGCAGAAATCCTCTAGAGCAGCCCAGTCTCACCTACGAAAGCATGAACCGTGATTCTGGTTTGACAATGCTCGTGTTTTCCTTCCTTCCCAAGATCTGATGACTTCTTAGCCTTATCGGTCTGTGAGGCGTTCGTTAACTCGAAACCCCCTGCAGAAAACAGCGTTCGTCCGTTGGTTTTCATCTCAGCAGAAGATGTATTCCGACCGTGGGTATCTGCTCGCTACATCGAAACAAAGCGTGAGGCGGAACGAGGAATCACGGCCCTTCTGGAGCCACACCCAACGCGTTTTAGAGGTGTCTATCTCCGACCAGGTAAGGGAAAAGTGAACAAACCAAGTATTTGCGCCTTACGGAAACCCAGGCCTCGTTTACCATGCTCATCTCCGGCCAATAACCACTCCAGCGGCAGCTCTGCTCGATTTAACAGCATCAGTACACTCACAACTGCCTGGAGGATTGCGGAGCCAAGTCCGCTCTCTTATTGCTAATCTCCCGCGTGTTTCGCAAGAGACACCGTCTTCATTAGTTTCTGTGGCTAATGCGCTGACGACCCGACCACTTCATGTCGACCATGTTGCTGGGAGTGCTGTGAAGGCGTGTTTGGATGGAGATATTCGCGGTGTAGTGGGAGTTAAAGATATGCGAGAGTTGATGGGCTGGGCGGAGCCAGAATCGAGCTTAGCGTAGCAAATTGAATATACTGACGAAAAAATGGGGAGATTTGTAGCAATCGTGTGACACTTGGTGTAGTCAGGGGACTTGACCAACTCCGTCATGCAGGCTCTACGACGGCAGCCCGCAATACCGTCGTTTTCCTCGCATCGGTGTAGACACTATTCGCCCAGAGCGTCCCCATTCACCACTCTTCGACCCCATGATGAACGCGACCAAGGCAATATTCTTCGTCTCGTTATGTTTGGCAAACCTGGTGCGGGCAAGGGTACCCTGTCAGCTCGACTGGTCAACAAGTATGCCATCGAATCCCTCTCGACTGGAGACCTCCTCAGGCAACAAATCGCTGAACGGTACTTGCTCCTCCCGTCTTGCGGCGATCCCCCCCACTCAAATAAGCTAGCACCGACATCGGCCGACAAGCCGAGAGCATTGTTGCCTCTGGCCAACTCGTTCCCGACGCGCTAATGCTTGAAGTAGTCGCAAGCAAGCTGGCCAAGCTGCGGAACAAGGTATTGCCCTTCCCCAAAGTCGCGTCTAGCCTATTTCACTTACGTCTTGCGATCGAAGCATTGGATTCTTGACGGCTTTCCGCGAACCGTGGCTCAGGGCGAAATGCTCGATGCCCAGCTCAAAAAACAGACCACGCCCCTCAGCCTGGTCATCAATTTGGACGTTCCCGACCACATTATCATGCGCCGCATCTCGGACCGGTGGATTCACCTGCCCAGTGGTCGCGTTTACAATCTTTCCTATAACCCACCCAAGGTGGACGGCTTTGACGACGAGACTGGCGAGCCCCTCACAAAACGACCGGACGACAATCCCGTGAGCAATGTTGTGTTGTTGACTTGGACTGCCTTCACTAACCTGCTGAGCAGGAAATATTTGCGCGACGACTAAAACAGTTTTACGCTTCAACTTCCCCGCTTTTGGAGTACTATACCAAGGCTGCTGAGCGCCCGACACGTCTGAACCAGACGCTTCACCAACAACATCCACATCAACTTACTTTCCCTCCTACTCACAAGCTCTTGCTCAAAACCCTTTCGGGCACGACTTCGGATGAAATATGGCCGCAACTCGAGAGTGTTATCCGAACAGCCTTCCCTTCTCTCAAGGAACGTGCGGAATCTCGTCTGCGACATAGTCTTAGTGACGCAGTCCTCTCAGAGTCCATATCCTCACCCTCTCCTCTGACTTCTAGCAAGGCATAGAGGAAAAATGAGTAGACACTTTTACTTTCTTGACTGTCCTTTATTAATTACACTGTACTTCTACCTACAATGGCATGCTTGAAAAAACCAAAAAAGCGGTGCGTGCGCATCAAAAGCATCTTTATTACATACCACTCGGCAGCGACGAGTTTGATGCGCACGCACAGCTGATCGTGGATACCCATTGACCCGACTGGCAAAGTGGTGTGATGTGTTCGGGGCAACGGGTGGCTCCGCAACTAACGAAGTGCATACCTGAATTTCAATGAGAGTGGTAAAAAGCGGGTTGAGAATTGCCAACATTTTCACTTGGTACAAGCCCTCTGGAAGACCGTCCTGAACACGCTCCTCCACCAGAGTCAAATCTGCCGCCTCAAACGCGTCTTTCCACGCCCTATCAGACCTGAAAAATTGGTCCACAACAGGCTGGAGAGAAGTCGCGTGTCACTCACCTGGTAAGACTGGAGTCTTGATCGTCGAGGATCGTGACTGCTGACCCGTCTGGCGCGTCTGAACATAGATTTTCCTTGACCACAATCAGACTCCGGTCTTTCTCGCGGAGAGCAGCGTGGCTCCGGCGAAAAAAAGCGACCAAATCGTCGGTATCGAGGTGGCCAAGACACCACTGACACCAGATAACATCGAAGCCAGAAACAGCATCCGTTTTCTCCGGTGCATATCCCACGCGTTCGAGCATATTCGCATGATGGGGACGAGCCGGGTCGAAGTCCTGGAGTGTTCCTTGCAAAAACGTGACGCTTTTTGAGCCCTCAGCGATGCCCTTCCATGGATGTGGCTCGTTGGGGGTTGGGGATTGACTGGCCCGGCCACGGTCAATAGCAGCGCGTATAAAGTGCTCCGCTGGCTCGAGTAAGACGACATCGGAAAAAAGATGCAGCAAAACATCTCCAGTTACGCGTCCAATGCCCGCTCCGACATCGAGTGCGCGAGTTCGACGCGATGGGGGAGGATTAAGGGGCCGAAAGGCAGAGGGTACTGTGCTGAGTTCGGGAAGTAAATGCAGCAGGAATAATCGAGACCCCAGACTTTCTACGCGAGGCAGAGTCCCAGTTCCAAATCCGCCGAGAACACCGTCGTTGCTCGCTGGCTGCTGATTCCTGGCCAAATATCGTGGACATTTACGCGTTTCAAAAGGCTGCTCACCAGTAATCCAGGCCAGCTTCCACATCTACACCCGACATGAGCAAGCGCTTGAAATCGCCTCGGAAGATCGCCGATCGAGATGCGTGACCGTGACAGGCAGCTTGATGCTTTCAAGCCGACTGCGACGACATGTCGCAGCTGGTGCTCGGCGTTTTTCAGCTTTGCCAAAGTTGAGGCCAGTCCCACAACACAAGACACTGGATGTTCTTCAAGCAACCTCCGCGTTGCTCCCTCGGGTCCTCACCGACGCTCAGCAATTGCGACTCTGGGATGGCATTCTCGCAAGTGCCTTAGCGGACGTCCAGTCGTCTCAATCACGGCCCATAAGACTCGTAGGTATGCTCGAACCCTTGTCAGAATCTTCTCACTCATTTATTCACGCGCCTCCAGTTTGGGGAAGCAATCAGGCTGCAGCAGGCGATCTCGTGACAGCCTTGCTAGAGCAGCCGTTTGCCCAGAACGATCACCTGCGAACTCGATGGTCTACAGCGCAGCCCCACACAACCAATCTTATCCTGGAGTACGTGACACTATAATGACCTTATAAACCCCCCCCCTCATTATCATGCCAGGTATCCCTCCTCGCTGCCGATACCCATTCAACTCATCGAGACCCGGGATTCCGCTTTGCTAGCCACTGCTGATGTGGCTATTGTGGTTGCCCCCATTTCGGAGGCTCGAGCGCTGAACCTCCCTCGTTCCGACCTTGTTGTGTTGAACATGGACGATCTTGGAAGTGTAGAGACTCCGCTTCGCGCCTCCACTTCCCAATCTCCATCAAATTCACCGAAATACTTTCTCGTCAGCCCTTCCCAAGCCGCTGCCGCTTTGCAGGTCGTGCAACAATCGCCTTCGTCCTCCGAATCTGTACAGCGCTACCAAACCGCGTTTGTTGCATCGCGTATGCCCCAATTGATCCAGTCGCTCAACGAGACCCTGGCCTCGATAGACAGTGCTTCATTACAAGAACGTACTGCTCTTCTTCACACCCGAGCGGCTCTGGCGGCGTGTCGAGCAGCGCTTGAGACGTCGTGGGTGGAGACAGACCGACTCGCCACCGCTATCAGCCAGCTTCGCTCGCAAATGGAAGAAGAGCGTGTGAGGGTTCACCTTGATGTCTTGGGACAAGCGGATGAGCATATCGTAGACCGTGCAGTTCAAGAAGCTACGGCCTACGTCAAACTAAAAATAGAGCATATGAGACGATGGTCCCGTTCAATGTGGACAATTGATGAAATAACATCGACCATGGGCCAGATGGTACAAAGAGTTTGGAGGAATGATCTGGAAAAAGAGGTATTGCGTCCTTTCGAGATGCCCTTCAGCTAATAGACGCGGTTAGCTAATATACCACGCCGGTCGGCTACAACAAATGCAAGAGCGGTACACGACTCGAGCTTTTCGTCTTACTTCTCTGTCCAATACTGGACCGCTTCACTCACCTCTCCTGGAGAACAAGCTGAAGCAACTCGCGGCGGTCCCAACATTCGCCATCCTACCTTCATCACTGTCAGGGCCCCTTGTCAAGCGCAATTCCTCTATCGTCGAGATACCTACAGCCCGCCTACATGTGGCTGGCCAGCGAGCGCTGTTCGGCATGGGCGGTGCGATAGTGACTGGGATGACCATAAGCTGGTATGCGGGCTAGTATTAAGCAGGAGAGTTGTTTCTAACAACGACATCAACAGGACAGGCTATCTTGGCTTCTTTATGAACACTAATGGGCTCGCGAGCTCCATTGTTCTCGAGCCAGGGACCGCAGTCGCCACGGGCATGCTGATCTCCGTCTTGGGCGTGCATTGGGCCGCCAGGAAATGGAACAAGGCTCTCAAGGCTTGGCTGGATGACTTCGTCCGCGTCGCTGGCGGTATCAAGCAGGACGTGTCTGTGAGTAGAAGCAAATTTTGATTCTTGATTTGTGTGCTTATGATGTCAACCAAGCACACGCTGGACGAGACTATGGAAAAACAAGTTCTGGTGGTTGCCGACGCCGGTTGTGTTGAACTGTCGAAGCGGATTGACCAACGCCAAATTGAGTTGAAAAAACTACAGGAGACGATAGATACACTGCTTTCCCATGTATATTCTCTAGAGCACAAGAGAGCGAAATAATCCCGTGATACAGATGTGCTTATAAATACATTTCAAGCGGGGGTCACGTAGACTTTTGGAACGGGTGGTCCACTGTGATGAGTTGGTTTAGACGGCATTGGGGCAGCAGTGGGTGTCACGTCTTCATCGTCGCTGTCACCACCCACTCCAAACAACTCTTCGCGCTCGTCCCACACATTTTCCAGCCGCGCAGATTTCTGTGGTCCTTTCGCTGAACTCTGAGTTGTCCGATGTGTGGGCAGCAGTTGTAGGCCTTCTTCCTCATCATCTTCAAAGTCGGATAGCGAACCTCCGTCAAGTGGTTGGTACAGCCGAGCGATCTGAAGCATGTTATGAGCGATGACTAAATACCAAAAAGCATGAACTTACCTCTCGTCGTGTGCGGTAGTACCGTTCCAGGTAGTACGACACGAGGAGCCCGATAGATGAGCCTAATAGGTTGGCCTGGGTTTATCGATTGTGAGTAAGATTAGACGCCCAGCGCGATTATCGACCGACCGCAATGTCTCCAAACTGGAACTGAGCGACCCCGTCAACAACATGAGGCAAAGGAAGTTACTGGACGCACCTGTTTATACTGCACACCAAGTTGGGGGAGTTATTCTATGGGGACGGGAGGGTGACGCACTGGCAGCATGGATTGCACCACTTCGCTGAAGATGCCCCCACAGATAAAGCAGACGAAGACGGTGACGATTAACGCGACATTCCTCCAGAACCAATGTCGGCGGCTCTCCCTGAGGGCCGTGGTAAGCCCGAGAGTACGCGTCTAAGCCGCGAAAGACAGCATGCTTACTCTTCAACGTCAAAGATGAAATAGAAAACCTAGAGGATGGTCGGGAATGGTCGGAAAAATTGCTAGACAAGCCGTACCCCGGTTGCAATACCTAGGAATTAGTTATAAAGATAGCCCTGGGTATGAAGTGCCGTGCCCACCAAAACATAAGAAATGCAGTGCCTTGTCATTCAAGGGAAGCGAGTGGGAGAAGTTCGTGAACCCCAGGAAAGCCAGTAAAAGCATTCTAGCCATAGAAGCTCGATAATGCGTCGAATTGGTGTGTTGGGGACATACATGAGGACAGTCGCTAGTAGGAACCACGGTCGCAGGCGTAGATTATCAAAGCGCGGCAGTCGCAAACGGTATGACTTCATTATGGTCTTGAGCAGCCGGCGCCCTCGTTGACTGGAGGCCATGACGGGAATAACACAAGGTACGAGATGAGGGGGCGCTCCGAAGGCCCAAAGAAGATGGAAGACGGGAGAAAGCTGGGCGATGATGTGCCGATCGTGCTGACGAGGCATTCGTGCTTACCCTCAACGATGACCCGCGTCACAAATTTTAAACGCACCCACGTCCAAGCGGGCTTTGCTGGGCCCCAAGACCCGGCGCCACCTCTGAAAAAGTCCAAGACAGACAATTCAAACAGTGAGCCATCCAGGTCTTTTGGCTTGCACAGGTTATCATACTCATACCCACCAGAAGCGTCCTCAGAAAAGCGGAGGTTGAATAGGATCCAAGAGCGCAAGGCCAATACCACATGTTTTGCCTGCAGGGAGAAGGGTCATGATGCGCGTGAATGCCCACAGTCAAAAGGGAAACCCATTGTCGGAATTTGCTATAGGTGAGTTTGGATCTACGACGATGGACCCGTCTCTCACTCATCGTGCCAATAGGCAAGTTATATGGAGGCCTTCCTTCCTAAATCTAACACAACAACAGATGCGGCTCTTCTAGACATACTCTGGCACGCTGCAAGAAGAAAGTGGACCCACAAAACCCGCTTCCCTTTGCATCTTGTTTCGTCTGCGACACCAAGGGCCACTTAGCTTCTACGTGCCCCGACAACGTCGCGAAAGGGATCTACCCCAATGGCGGCTGTTGTAAGCTATGTCGCGAAACTTCGCATCTCGCAAAAGACTGCCCACTGCGGCAACAAGGTACGGGTTCCCACTTTCCCAAGTCAAGGCGAAACTAACTCCGATCCTCTAGATTCGTCGAAAGATGCTGTGGTCTTTGGCAGCGGCCGTGACGCTGGCGCTGACGAGGATGATTTCCACATCCTGAAACGCCACAAGAATGAGGTTGACCGGGACGAGAAAAACGAAGAGCGAAGGCGGCGCGCTGTTGATGTCAAAGCGGGCAGCGTTTCTGGAGTTGTGAAAGCATTCGGTCTGAAGCCAGACAAACCCAAGAAAGTCGTATTCTTCTGATCATCAGGTCTACTGGGCAGGCAAATCCTGCGTTCAGAGGCAGCCGCTTTTTATTCGCTGTGTGGTCCCAACCTGGAGCAGCAGGATATGTACCAAGCTACAACTTTAGATGTACAAGCGACTCAAATCACAGATAGGGGTCACTACGAATCTCACGTGGTTACCTCTTTTCTGACAATGACCAGCTGGCAAAACTCGCCTCCAGAGTCAACATACCATCATTATTTCTCTCTTACACGCCCTGAAGCCCCGGCGGATGCGTGCACTGGAACTTCCCTTAGCGATCAAGACAATGGCGAGGCTGGTGATGAAACAACGCATGTCCATTACCTCGATGTTGAGGACTTGACTCACAACATCTCTGATGCTGTCCAACTAAATCTCAGCGCAGTCCATGATATTCTCTCCTCCACTGGGCCAAATCTCTCCCCGCTGGGCCAATCGCAATGGCAGTTGCAGGAATGGCCCTTTAACATTCAGCAACTGGCATATACGGAACACGACTTGTACCTATGGCTTGAGTGGGTTATTTTTTGGCCAGCAACACACGCAGTAACAGCGGTTCGCGATCGTCTTTATGACCAAGCCGGCATACCCGTTCCTTCAGCATTGCGTGGCTCAAGCGACACTCGATGCATTTATGGCGCAAAACCTCGCGGGACAACCGACATCCTTTTTTCAATGCAGCATAACGGTAAGGATATGCACATCTGCCCTCACGAGGTCAAGCGGGCGCATGTACTCACTGCGAGCGGTGATGTTCTTGGTTGCCTGGTGCGGCTGGCCCGCAAGGAAGGTGGCTGGCAATTCAGAGGTGTCCAGCTCGGAGGTGTCGAGGGAAAAGCTCGGCAGCTACTCTGTCAGGTGCGAGTTGGCCATCCCTTTTCACCTTAAAATTCTTACGGTGCTACAGATTATTGATGAACTGATTTGGTATGAGCTGACTCATTTGGTCCTCGCGACACAAGAAAAATATGTCCTCCTCCTCCTTGATGAGACCCAACAGCTTTGCGTTAGCTCGATCTACACCATCAACAGCTCCGCTACGCAAACTTGCGATATGGAGCATCTAGTCTTGTTCTATGTACATGCACTCCTCAACAAGCGTCCCCCTTACCCGCCGTCTCCTTCTTCAAGCTCTTCGGCCTCCGTCTATCGTGTGGCCGTTCCGAATTTTCCACCTCGTTTATTTCAACTACCTGAAGCTCTATTGTGTCACGGCGCTTTAGTCCATCGTGTGAAGCTGGCCCCCATCTCAGTCGATGCAATACCCCGACCTTTTACCCTCCGTCTCACAACATCCCACGGCGACTATCGACATGATGGCGAAATTGCCATATTTTTTGGAAGTCTGGTATTCCTTATGTTTGAGGCAAAAATTGTTGTGAAGGCTGCATACCAGCCATTTGCTTTGAGTCGTCTCCAGCACGAGTTTGCGGTCTACCGGTGTCTGCGAGGTCTCCAGGGCGTGGTTGTTCCGTCTCTGTTTGGGATGTATCGCAACCTGAGTGATGGCAGCTCCATCCTCGTTGTTAGCTATGCAGGGGTTGCACTAGAGAATTTTGATCAGTTAACTTCAAAAGAACGGTATGTGCAATTTTCCCAATCAACCAACAACCTCATTCCTTGTAGGCAGACACTCTTTCGACGTGTCACGCAACTCCACCAGGCCGGTGTGGTGCACAATGATCTAGAACCCCGAAATGTCGTCCTTTGTGCACGTTACGGGCCACGCATTATAGATTTTGACAACTCTTCGATGAACCACACCTGCCCTGGAGGATCGTGCCAAGAACTTTGTCTGCTGGCGCGTTCCCTCGGTTTGGATCTTGGTGAGCCAGGCTGGCTTTTTTTTGCTATAAAGTGAAGACCAACCGTTGTAGAAACCGAGCTCTCCAAGATCCGTGGGAAACCGCAAAGCCTCTGGCAGATGGCATTTTTGTTTACCCTGATTGCGATGTTCTACTGGATGATTGCGTTTGCTGAATAATTCCTCTTGTTGGTAGCGACAAAACTTTCTCAGGAAAAAGTCATCTTCTTCTCATTGAACTACGCACAACACACTACTTTTAACGTCTACAAAACCCTTGGTTCAGAGCATCTCCCTTTGCCATTGAAAACACTCACAAATAACTTTGAGATGAGGGCGACGGCGTATACCCACTCGGCGTCGACGCCGAAAAGCCGTTGAGCTCCGGCGGTATCCCACTGCTCATTAGATACGACTCCCAATCCGCAAGCCTACCGCTAGTCAACGGTTTATTCGAAACGGACAATTGGAGACTTACTGGAAGCCCGACGGTGCTGCTGACCACATCGATAGGATGTCCGCGTCTGTGTCAACGAGCATGTCGTGCTGTATGTGGTGCATTGCAGGCTCCATACGCAACAACTGCTCCAGGTCTGCAGCGGCACTTCCGTTGTACGCAGCCATCAACTCCGGATTCGAGAAAATGTCGGGGGTCACGACGTTGTGGGCTACGGCGTGGTGGTTGGCCTGCACCTTGTCGATAGAATCGTTGAAGTCCCGCATTAGTTGTTGCGACATCCACTTGGACGAGTTGGACTGACAACGTTTAGAGAAGCATCGCGGTCACATGATACGCCACTCACAACGTTTGTGTGATGCGCGTCGTGGTTCACGAATGCCGAAGGTTCAAAGCCTTTGAGAGGCTGATAGTTCTTCTGCGCAAACGCCGGCGCCGTCTCCTCGACATATGGTCTCGTAAGGGGCGAGTTCGACATATCCCCCACCGAAATGAGCCGCACAATGATATCACTATGATCAAATGAATCAGCACAAGTAGGGCTTAGTCAGTTCTCTTACTTGAACCGCCCAGCAGACTGATACCGCTTCTCAGCAGCAGACAGAGTCTTCATGCAGATATAGACGTCGTTCATCTCTTTGCTTGGATTGTAAGCAAAACCGGACCGCTTCCCGGTCCAGGTGTGCAATAGAAGAACGATTGCAGAAGTGAATGCAGCAGCCTAATAGAAGCTTCAGCACGATTGTCGGACTAAAGCATGATGACCTACGATCAGGCTATGATTGGGTTCGATACCGAGTTTGTCGAGTGCGCTGAAAATTCGGGCACACGCCCGAGCAGCGTTGGTGCAAATTGTCAAAGACGGCATCGAACCGGGCCGTGAAACCTCCACTGGCGCAGGAATATACGGGCGGTGGACCTTGGGTAATACGCATGAGTGATTTACTCTGTGTGGCTGTGACTACACACCATTATCTGGACGTTGTAATATCCTAAACTCGTCAGTCATGGCAAGTCGCTCGAAAGAGAAAGGGGTCTCACCAGCATGAAGGAGCGCAGATTGGTTGAAGTGAAGCGGGTTTTTCCGTTCAGGATCCCATCGTACTGCGACCAGTCAGGAAACCAGAAGAATTTTACGGAGATGAAACACTTGCAATGTTCTGGAATATCGAGTAGCCAGGAATTGAGCGCAGAGTCAAATGCGATGATATTCTGTGCATCAGATACTTGTGGAATGGGTTTTCCGGAAATATCGCGGGGTTGTCGTGGGGAGTACTACCAAGGAGTTGAGCAGAGGTACAAAAACTTTTGCTTGTCATGATCACACACAAGTGTTGTGGTAACGCGAGCCTGTGGAGCTGATTGAGCATTTGGAAAGGATGAACATGACACCAAAACTGACTTGGATCTCCAAAAGCTTCGCTTGATGGATGAAGAAGCTCATCTCAGACGGTTTGCCTTTTGGTTGACGGAAGTTCAGCGGCTCCGGGAGCTCCCAGTAGTCGTCATCGCACTCAATAGGGAGCTCCTGGTCATAGTCTTCATCATGCATCGCGAGTGGTCGACCAGTAGCAGTCCCAGCAATCCAATCCAGAGACAAAAGTACCCAGAACGCCCGCTTCCACTGCTCATTTTCTGCTGTCGGGTGGCTTTGTTTCATTCGGCGGTGCGCCCCAACATCCTGTGCCCTCCTCAGGCCAAAGCCGATTTGATTCCAGGCCACCGGCGAGACGGCGAGCAGGAAGATGCTTGATAACGCAATTGTTTGAAGTTCATAGAGATTTGGCTTGTAAATGAGGTGCTTTGGTATGACTCGGACCTGTGGCCATCATGAGATCACAAAGTCAGTGGCAGAAAAAAAGGTGTACTTGACTATGCCACTTCCAACCCGCAGCATGAAAACTGTCCACCCCATCCAGACAGACTCGCGGATCATCACAATGACGAGCGCCAAGACTGCAAACCATTAATAGGGTGGCAGCATATCGGTGGTCGCGAAGATGTAGCTGGTCCTTGAGTTTGCGTTCGAAAGTAGGACGGTGGAGAATGGGGTGATAACAATTCACGTTGGCGACTGAATAAAACGCCGTTCAGCGACGGTGTGGTAAGCTGGCAAGCGACGGCTTACAGTAAAGATTGACCAATACAGGGAGGAGGTCGGGGTCGGGGAAGGTGTATTCAGGACGGTCTTGGTCGTCTGGGCTTGGAAGTATCCACTAGCAAATATCAGCGGACAAGCAACGATCCTAGAAAAATACCAACCAAGACTGGATCCCAGTACTCATTCCGCCTCTTCGGTATTGAAGGGTGAGAGAGACTGATGGTGCTCGCATAGCGGGTTCTATCAGGTGAACGAGGGTTAAACGGAGGAATGCATAGATTAATGGAGTAACGTGCTTGAAGTCCAACGCAGTTTCGAGTAAGCGGACGGAGCTGACAAGTCTTCAGTGCCCATATTCAACGACTTGAAACGTAAATTGAACCTCGATTTACCAAAAAACCTATGCTCTTCAGGATTCAGGGTAAGTTTCTTGATCGCACCTGACCCAGACACTCGAATTAGAAGTCATCTTGCACCGAGTTGATATGCGCACCGAGTAGATCGTCGGTGTCATTTCGGGGTAGACTCTCTGTACTATGCGTCAGGATTGGACGAAGCAACGTAAGTCGGCTCTAACCAGCGGAATTGGGTGAAGGGCTTTCTTCTTGCTCCAGCTGTTCAGAAAAGTCTATGCCTGGAAGCAACCTGTTGCGACCATCTTATTATATGCAGCTCTTGGCATACCGCTTCGCTCACTTGTTGAGTAGTCGCTCCATCTGAGGGGGAGAGGAATTCAACGACGGTCAACACGCTGAATGGGCCAACCGTACCTTTTCTAGACGTGTCTCCAGACTTTCCACATATCTAACAGACCTTGAACGGGTGTATCACAAACATTGATGCACAAGCTAACCCTTTGGCGGAGCCCAAAGTCTTGTCATTGGAGTAAGGTCGCATAAAAAGTCTGCAATATAGTTCCTACCTTCATAATCTCAGCGTGCGTGCATTCTTGACCAGAGTTGACACAGTTGGAACAACGATTTCCGGGTGTCTGTCCGCTATCGCATCGAACTAGCAAAACCGTTGGCGGAGGTAAGCTCCATGACTATATGCATACTCTTCCGCTTCTTGCAAAGATCACAGGCACCCGAGTTGCGACTTCGTTTCCGAGAAGAAGAGCGCTCAAGCTGGGACGACATTGGTGAAGGGTCGAAGAGGAATAGCGATCAATCGGCATCATGAGACGAAAGCCGATCGGCAACCTTCAATCACATCAATTCGAGGATGGTCCTCGCCGACTTGGGCCGGAAACTCAATGCTGCTCTTTCCTCGTTAAATCGCGCCCCAGTCGTTGACGAGAAGGTGACATCCGGCCCTACTCCTATCCTTATCTTAAACCTCCCAAGGTTCTAGATGCAACACTGAAAGAAATCACTTCTGCGTTGCTCGAATCCGATGTCAATGTAAAGCTTGTCGCCTCACTCCGGCAAAAGGTGAAAGTCAAGGTGAAAAGCGCGCTCGAAGCAAACGCAGGCGACAAGGCGAAGGAGGCCAACCGCAAAAACCTGATTCAGAAAGTGTGTTGTCGTCATCTTGTTACCCATCCATCCTCAGCCTAATAGGCCGTGTTCGATGAGCTCGTCAGTTTGGTGGATCCTGGAGTAGAGCCTTATAAGCCCAAGAAAGGTCAACCAAATGTCTTGATGGCTGTCGGGTTGCAGGTATGTAGCCGTTCCCTCTCTTGTTCGTATCAACCTAATCTCATTTCTAAGGGCAATGGAAAAACGACGACATGCACCAAGCTCGCGGTACACTACCAGAAGCGTGGTTTCAAATCCGCCATAGTTTGCGCCGACACTTTCCGCGCTGGCGCTTTCGACCAAACCCGACAATCAGCGACCAAAGCCAAAGTTGCTTACTTCGGTTCATACACCGAGACTGACCCGGTTACCATTGCGGCTCAAGGTGTCGCGAAATTCAAGAAGGAGCGCTTTGAAGTCATCATCGTCGATACTTCAGGACGGCACAAACAAGAATCAGAACTATTCCAGGAAATGGTGCAGATCGGCGAGGCAGTCCAGCCAAATATGACGGTCCTCATTTTGGATGCCAGTATTGGTGCGTTTATCTGGTATTGAAGCATGTTCAACTAAAGTAGCATGACCAGGTCAGGCCGCGGAAGCACAAAGTCGGGCTTTCAAAGAAAGCGCTGACTTTGGAGCCATAATCGTCACGAAGATGGACGGCCATGCTAAAGGTGGAGGCGCCATTTCCGCGTAAGCCGTTCTTAAGATTCATTCTACTCTCTCTCTTACATATTGTTAGTGTTGCAGCGACAAGAACACCCATCATTTTCCTCGGTGTTGGAGAGCATCTCCACGACCTCGACCGTTTCTCTCCCCAACCTTTCATCTCAAAGCTCCTAGGTCTTGGAGACATGCAGGGACTGATGGAGCATATGCAAGATTTAGCTTCACAAAATCCCGATAAGCAGCAAGAGATGGCCAAAAAGCTTGAAGAGGGCAAATTGAGCATCCGCGACTGGAGAGAGCAACTACAGAATATCATGAACATGTTGGTTCTCTGTCTACTGTCAAGCCGGCGCTGACCCGTGTTGCAGGGGACCAATCAGCAAAATTGCTTCGATGATTCCAGGACTGCCTCAAGAAATGCTACAAGGCTCTGACGAGGAGGGCTCGATGAGAATGAAGCGCATGATTTACATCACGGATAGCATGACCGCCACGGAACTCGATTCGGACGGCTCGCCTTTCATGGAGATGTCCAAGGACGGCAAACCGACGGGTGTCACGTGGCGGGTAACACGCGTTGCTCGGGGCAGCGGCACGCATGTGCGGGAAGTCGAGGAGCTGCTGTGCCAGTATCGCATGATGGCCAATATGGCAAAGCAGGCGGGTGGGAAGAACGGATGGTTGGTCCTCCATGGTTTGAAACTTTTAGCTTGCTCACGAAGGATAGGCTTTCAACAATGCAAAAAATGCAAGCTGCCGCTGGAGGGAAAGGTCGGGGTGTCAATGGGATGCCAACGCCTGCCCAGATCCAAGCGATGCAGGTAACTGAAGCTTCAAGTTGGTTTTCAATCTAACTAATTCTTTCATTAGCGTGCGTTGCCCCCTGGTATGCTTCAACAAATGCAAAGGCAAATGAGGAGCGGTGGTGGCGTGCAAGAGATGATGAAAGCCATGATGCAGGGCCAAGGTGGAGACCAGTTCGATATGGAGGAGATGCAACGCATGATGGCCTCCATGGGCAATGGACTCGGAGGCCTAGGAGGACTGGGTGGACTCGGGGGACTTGGTGGAATGCCAGGAATGGCGGAGCTGTCTAAAATGATGGGGATGGGTGGATAGGCTCCTCATGTTAATCGGAGCCACGCCTGACCCTGACCCCACTGACGCGGGAGAAGGTCAAGACCGATTGCATATACTCTGTTGTACAACTATAATCTCACTGAAAGCGCGGGCTCTTGACCAGTGTAGTACCTGTCAATGTTCAAGTCTACTTAGGATGAGATTCGCTGCTTAAGGTTGTTTTTTAGTCAAGTGGAAGGTTTGATTGCAAGTGTAACTACACAGGAAAATGCTGAAGGAAATGGACATCGCTATTTCGGCATCGGCATGACTGGTCGCCTCCAACAGTACCGAAAACCTGACAATGTTCAGTGGGATGGGATCGTGGTCCTTCGACTTACGCTCGGCAGCACCCTGAGAAACATATGAGTGAGGGCAAAAAAAAATGAAACCGAGGAACGGCCACATACGGAGGCCCAGAAAAAGGTCCCGTCATCCAGATGCCACTGCGGACCCTCCGTGACGCCAAATTCTTTCTCCAGTTTCTCTCTAAGGATTTTATTGGGAATACGCTCCGTTCCGCTTTCGCAGCCGACGACGGCCTTCGCTTCGGTGCTGTAGACCGCAACAAGGACCAGGATAGTATTTCGCTCCATGATGAGCTGAGCAAGATTCTTCATGCTCGGCGCACAGTCGATCTGGTAGACACGTTCAAGGTGAGTTGTGTTCTTTCGGTCAAAGTCATCCATGATTTTATAGCCGTAGAAGTACCCAGCTTCAGAATGTGGCAGAGGTGGGGGCAGAAGTGGTTCCGTGTCTTCTTCAGGGCTTCGAAAGGTTAAGTCGCAGACATATTGACAATGTCTTGTACCCACAGGGCAGGGAACTCTTTGAGCAAATCTTCGAGCATCATGATGGTGTTGCTGCTGCCAGAAAATTTGTGGTCAAGAGAGGTAAGTAGGATCACGAGTCACGACTTTTGTGACGGAACGCGAATTCTGACTTTGACGCCCTTGCGCTAACTTTCTCATATAGTGCCGGTCAGCGCTCACGACGCGTCGATTCTGACGCGTCTTGCTCTTTCCACTCAGCTGCATTTTGACCCACCCGCCTTTCCCTCCTGCTATGTTCTGTGGGCAAACACTCCTGATCCGGCCCGGCGTGTCCTCTGAATCCAGCGCGTTTCTTCTGGCTTCGTCAGTCAAACACACCCAGACACAGTAAATCCGGCGTGTCTCGCGCTTTCCACTCTAAGACCTCATGCCTTTCCCACGGCCGCTTTACACGCGAGAGCTACCCGATTCAACTCTACTTAGGTTGAGATTCGCTGTTCCAACTTGTTCTTCGAGTCTCCAATGAATGACACAAGTGGCAGGTTTGATTGTGAGTGTAGTTACACAGGGAAATGCTGAAAGAAATGGACATTGCTACTCTGAGTCTGGCATGAGTGGTCGCCTCCAGCTGTACCGGTAATCTAACATTGTTCAGTGGGGGAATTGTGCACGTAGTCGCCAGACTCACGTGCGACAGCATTCTTAGAAACACCAAGTGAGTCGCGCAAAACGAAACCGAGGAACGGACACATACTGAGGACCAAAAAAAGCTCCCGTCGTCCAGATGCCACTGCGGACCCTCCGTGACGCCAATTTCTTCCTCCAGCTTCTCTCTAAGGATCTTATTGGGAATACGGTCCGTTCCGCTTTCGCAGCCGATGACGGCCTTTGCTTCGGTGCTGTAGGCCGCAAGAAGGACGAGGACAGTATTCCGCTCCAAAACGAGCCGAGCAAGATTCATCATGCTCGGTGCAGAATCAATCTGGTAGGCCCGTTTGAGGTGAGTTGTGTTCTTCCGGTCAAAGTCATCCATGATTTTGTAGCCATAGAAGTACCCAGCTTCAGAATGTGGCAGAGGTGGGGGCAGAAGGGTTTCCGTGTCTTCTTCGGAGCTTTAAGAGGTTAAGTCACAGACATTATTGACAAAACCTTGTACCCACAGGGCAGGGAACTCTTTGATCAAGTGTTCGAACATGGTGGGTGGTGTCAGAGATGGGTCAACATGTGTGACCGTCACACACCACACTTGAAGCTCGAAGTTCAATGGCTACAAACCTCCACGACGTCGTCGCAATCCTTAGAATCGATCGGACGGTATTCACATCTCACACCCTGCGATGAAGACTGATAAATGATCAAGTTGCGTCGAAAGCGTATGAACTCCGGCATCAAGGATGCTGAGGCTTATACGACGAACATTGGTAATTACGAGGATCGTTGGGCATCTCCGGCGTCCATCGCCTTGGAAGAACTCGTGGATATCGAGGACTCTGCGCGTCAACGAGTCGATCATCAGTTTCGTGTTGGCGAATCCTTTGCTGGTCAAGCTCCTGCCACCCTGGCAGAATCGGTCCGGCGCGGAAGCTCGTCTCACAAAATACCTGATGTTATGGTTCAAATACGCTGCGCTCTACCTTTCGGAGGGGCAGGGTGAGTCAACGATAGGTTGTCAAACAATAATAATAATCATGAGCATTATTAGCGCGACTACACGCCTGCTGGTAGTAACTGCTATGGCTGAATTGAAACGCGCGCTTAGTCGGACGCTTACTATCGATGGCTACCCCACTTCGGAGGATGCTGTTCGCCTGCTTACGGAAAAACTCCAACTGGCTATGAAACAAGTTGAAGGGCAAGTTGCCCTCTATGTTCGAACCTTTGAACGTAACTACGCTCCATTGAAGATTCGACATCACATTGCGCTCATGGCGACCTGTGGACATTGGTTTGTGTTGGGTTGGTTCAAGGAGGATGGAACCGCCCTTCCCAACGACCTGCCGGACATTCCACCAGACCCAGAGGATGAGGTAACCTATGATCCTGCATTAGAGATACCAGGAAGCACTCGTCGTGAATTCGCAAGACATGTAGCTCATGTACCAATCATCAAACAAATCGTTTGGGGGCTTACGATTTATTCCATGAAGGAACAGAAGGGGTGGAATAAATTGCAGAGCATGCGTCCCAGTTTTCTCGAGAGCTTGCAAAGGTTCACAACCAGCCCAGGGACCGGAGATCTCGACGACTGTTTTATCGCTACATGGGTCCGTCTCTGCTGTTTCCTCTCCTTTTATGCTCAACTTGTGCTACAGCCTCAATAATGTACTCTACGGCTAAAACAGCTGTAAACACTCGCACAATACCATCGTCCCCAATTGTACCCAACCACAAAAAATGCATCACAGCATAGTTGCTCGAGCCTCTAACACCTGTACCTCGTCCAGACACCCTTGTAATAGTTGTACAGTATGGTCAAGTAGAAAAAAAAAGACTTGATTTCACCCTACTCTACGTGCATAAAATCCCATAGATGACGGCGAGCCATGAGTAATAATAATTACAGTCAACAAAGCAACTACGCAGCGCTCTCCCCCTCCTGCTGGAACACGTCCACATACCGACTGCGAATAGCGCGCTTGGACGCCTGCGACTTTGGCCGGCCCGGTGGCCCGGGCGGGGGGGAAGGCGTGGAAAGATTCCGGTGTGAGTCTGGCTCGGGTGTTGGCGCCAAGTTGGACCGCGCCCGCATCGGTGGCTTGTGCATCCCATTCCCAGTGCCGTTTGCGTCACCGAAAACAGACGCGGCACGCGGTGGTGGGGGAGTCATTCCACCCGGCCGTGGCCCAGTCATCCCAGGAGATGCGGTTTGTGGCCTTGACGGTGGGGGCGGTGGTGGGGTAGCCGGCTTGGCCTCTTCAGCACCGGCCTAGACGAAGAATGAGATGAAATAGATCGAGTCGTTGGCAACGCACCTTTTTGTTAACCCAGCGCTTCTGCTCCTTGTCGTAGTAGAACGACACCTCCTCGCCCAAATTGGCCTTGACGGGCCCGGGTGTTGTCGCCGCATCAGGGCGTTTCCACCACCTGCCAAACCATGATCCACTCGCAGCAGCCGGCGCTGGCTTGACATCTGAATCGGTTGTCAGTTATGTCGTGTCTTTTTAAAGAAAAAATACCCACCCGGGCGTTGAGGCTCCGCTGCAGCAGGCGCGGTGGTTGGTCCAGATGCGGCAGCAGCCTGATGCTCCCCATTCGCCTCTTTTTTCGGCTTCTTGGAATTTCCAAACCCAAGGTCGTCTTCCTCATCCTCCTCATGCGACAAAGACTGTCGCTGCCGGGAGTTTCCAGATTCGACAGTATAGGACGAATCCGGCATAAGCGAAATGAACCCATCTGCGTTGGAGTTGACACCCGCATCGACCTGCATAAATGTGGCCGCCATAGGCGTCTGGTTGGCTGAGTCGTCGTTGCCGTTGCTATACGACCACCACGAGACCTCCTGGCCCCCCTCTGTGTCCTCCTCACGAGAAGTAGTCTCTTGCGTGGGTCTGGGTGTAGCCATATTCGGGCTGTAGGGGTTGGGCGAGTAATTAGAGTAGGCGCTGACGTAGGAGGGGGCCTGCGCAAAAGTAGTCGTGGAAGCGTTGGCAGAAGCAATACGCGGGACAGGTGCTGGTGATGACGGCTTGCGTCGCACGTGTTCCATCGCTGATGCCGCACGATCAATCGGCGCGTGGGAACGCAAATTTGATTGCCCCATTGCAGAACCCGTTCTGGCAGGTGGCGGAGGAGGCTGGGCATTCAGGTTGTACAGCGACGGTTGCGGCGAGGGGCTCGTCGAAGACGTTGCCGAAGACGAAATATAGCTGTACTGCGAAAACGGACCAGAATTCGCGTCGCTTATCCGCATTTGGTCGTCTGTCGGAGTAGATGGGTCAGCATCACCCGTCACGAGCTTCGTGAAGCGGCCTTCCAAGAACCGCCCAATTGTATCCAGACTGGGTGTGCTCTTCCAGAAGCCAGATTTCTCCCCATGATCCAGTCCCACGATGCGGTCTGACAGCGCTTTCAGCTGGTCAACCAAGATCGGCGTGTAATAGGGTGATCCGCGACTGAAAGAAACCGAGATTGCCTCGCAGTACCTGCTCCGGTCAGACTTTTGTCAACAAGTAAAAGAAGCGCTCACCGACTGGCCAGTTGCATCTCTCCCAACTCCGCCAACCCGATTGCGCGAATGAAGCGATATGCTTGCAGATGGGGGAACCCATAGAATGCATCCTGCCCTTTGGCTGGCGTATTCAACGAGAGTCCAAATTCAAGAATCTCAGTCAAGATCGTCGGATCTGAGTCTTTGTAGAAACTTGTCCAAATTTGCGGGCTCTTTGATCCGAGTAGCACGACGCGGGCAGTCGCGTTGCCAAGTCCGCCCAACGGCGATGTTTGTGGAGACAAGAGGTAGCTTGACAAACGCGTCAATGATTAAATATCTCCTGGTTTCGTTATACGCACCATGCGTGAGCAGCCTCGACCCACTGATGCGCCAACAGCTGGTCACCCAGAGCAGTCAACGCCGCAGACGTGTCGGAAGTCATTGGACTTGAAAGCAGCATCGCAGCCGTTTCCGCCCACGAAGCCAACGATTCAGTCGGAATATTATTAGCGGTAGCTGGCGCGGCGAAATTAGGTGTCAGGGGTGTTTTGTGCGGCGCTGCAGTAGGCAGCTGTAAACGACCGGCAGCTCGCGAGAGAAGATTTTGTGGAACCATCTCTTGAACTAAGTAAAAAAGTGAGAACTTCCAGTTTTCTATCATTGAGATGCTCACCAGCAGCGGCTCCCTGTCCCGAATAGAGACTGTAAGCAACACGCAGACCCTCTCGCCCGTTTTTCAGCTGCGCCGAGTCGCCAAGACTATTCGGCCCCAACTCCGCCCGCAAAAACTCGTTAACAGCCTCCTTCCAAGCATCGCGGTCGACGCTGCTCGCAATAATCATCGCATGGGCCCAAAGCTTTTCATCCAGCGCGAAATGATACGCCTTTCGCCTCTCGCCTCGCACCAAAAACTCTTGAATTTTCTCTAACGCCTCGGGCCGCAGTACCGGCGCCATAATGGGTGCCTCCCCTCCATTTGATGTCGTGGTAGGGAACATCCCATTGTCCAACGGTCGTTGGAGGTCCGCAATCGACGTGAAGGACGAAGGATCAGAAACATCGGAATTTTCGCCCGCTGCTATGTCCAATCTGGGCACCAGAGCTGCACGAACAGCTAAGTCAATTTGAGGCCTTCTCAAAATTTGAATATGACATGAAATAAATGAAAATAATGCAACTCACGTTCCCGAGAGCTTGCCATCGTTCTCCACAAGCACTTTAAGCAAGTTCACAAGAACCAGCTTGCCCTCCGCTGAATAAGCCTCCATCGAACCCGTATGGAGGTATCCAATCGCTTGAGAGATTTCACTCGCTCTGTCGGTCAGGTACTTGACAAGCTTGGCTTTCTTCGCTTTTGTCTGACCAGACGCTGTTGTCGTCCGCACCAATCCCATCGTGGGCGTTCCAGGATCAGAGAATAATGGACCGGGAAAGACGACTGCAGTTGTTTCAAGAGCAGACTGTGGGATTATCTTGTTGAGCAATCGAACTTGAATACCCGTCGAGTTCTTGGAAGCCAGCGCGACATCAAAGCCAGTGTTAATCGACGCTCCATGGAAGCAAGTCAGGAATTTTCCTCCGAAGCCGAAGCTAAAGACTGGTGCACGGGAGGAGGTCCGACCAAGAGGGTCGTTGGCGCCAAGCAACGATGGCGAAGGAGCGTAAGCACTGGTCTGAGCGGGTTTGACTAATACCTCTTGTGAGAGGGAATGGTCAATGACAGGTGCCTCGAGGGGAGCAGCACCGTAGTTATAGCGAGATGAGTAAGCTCCATAGTCTGTTTCGCTTCGTTGTTGAGTCAAATGCCCAGTTTTCATTGATGGTGGGTCATAAATAGAGCCACTCGACTCTGACCGGTTACGAGGTAAAGGCGGGGGAACTTGACTCGAGTGCCCTGTTTGCATCGGTGGAATATCGTAGATAGAACCACTCGATTCCGACCGGTTACGAGGGAGAGGTGGTGGAACGGGATGCGATTTGGGTAATGAGTTGTACATGCCATTCGGCGCGTGGGAAGCATGACCATTGACAGCAGGGGGTGGTGGAGGAGGGTCATAAGCACTCATAGAAGACTTCTTCAAAGGGGAAGGAGCCCTTGGCATATATGGATTAGCAGGAGGACTCCGAGTTCGATCCAACGAATGAACTGAAGCTGGAGAGGCAGTTCTTTCGGGTGCAGCGACATTTGACTGTGTTTCTGGTGAATAATGTGATGGCGTTGCAAAAGAAGCAGGAGATGCTGTTCTCTGAACTTGGTCGATGGAAGAACGAGTCACAGACTCGGCGCGAGACGAAGTACGTGGTGGAGGAGGGGGAGGTAAAGTTTTTGTTGGCGATGTGGAGCGAATAGGCGGTTCCGCATATGCACTATACGGTGACGAAGCCATATGTGGTGGTGGTGGTGGTGCTGCCGACCAATTTGGAACTGGACTGGCCCGTTCTTGTGGAGGCGGCGGCGGCGGAATTGCATAGCCAGAGGAAGTGAATTGGCCAGCTGGCGGTGGGGCAGGAGGAAGGGGTGATGCATATCTCGCGTATGCCGAGTTCTGGCTGGTCGCCGATGGTTGTCTGCGAGAACTGGTAAATATTGGCGGGTCATATGCATTCGATATTTTCGGACGATTCAGCGTTGAGGTAGCAGGAGCCGGGGGAGGAGGTACAGCAACCTTTTGGGCTGAAAATGGCGTCGTAGTCGTCTCATAACGGTTTGTCGAGGCTGCAGAGTATTGTGGCGAGTATGGCGTCGACGGAGACGGCACTGGTGGTGCATAGGCGTTGAAGGTCGACTGTGCCGGAGTCGATGGAGTGTAAGGATTGGCTGGGGGCGTATACGAATTCACTGCTGGAGTGTATGAACTAGCCGGTGGATTATATGAATTCGTTGGGGGTGCATATGGGTTATAGTTCTTGGCAGGCTCAACCGGAGCTTCTTGAAAAATCAAGTCAGTACTGAAAAGAGTTACCGAGGGAGCAGACTTCGTACCTAGCGGTGCATCGCGAACTGGTGGAGGGGGAATTGAGGTATTAGTAGGAGCCGAGGGTTGAAGCCAATCGTCGGAAGAGTCCGGAGCCACTCCATCGCCGCCCAGCGACGCAAAAATGTCGTTGGAGTCCTGGTTCTCGACACCAAAGAGCGAGGCAGCGTCTTCCATGAAGGGAGAAGAGAGCAAACCGTGACCAGAATGCAACACGTCAGCGGATTCACGATCAGGGACACTCCACTTTTGGTGTCCAAAAGTGTTAAAAGAATTTTTTTCGTATGAAACTGCGACTATTTTAGAGTCTTGCAGATTGACCATTAGTATTTGCTTGAGTATGCTACGAGTGATGATGCTACGAAAACAAGATATACACAGCAAGAACGAATTAGCAGTGTGTGATGCGATTATATATATCCAGGTATTGCTTCAGACAAGAATTATGCACAATCGGGCTTGGGTGTGTGTTTCTGCAATTCCCGTTCGACTATAGGGAAGATTAGTATGAAAAAGACGAAAAATGGGAGAAAATCGAACTAGAGGTAAGATGTTTGCTGTAAGCAGTCGCATGTTTGCGCATAGTAGCCAGTTGGGGACGAATAGCATTAATGAGGGCCTCTTTCTGCTCGCCTTCCGCGACGGAAAGCGCTCGTTGGAGAACGTAGTCTAAAAAAACGAGTCAGAAGAGTTAATCGCGGTCTTGCTTAGAAAACCCACTGCCGTATTGGTCCTTCATGAGTAACCCAATTGGCGTCGGGCCGTCGGGTCGCAAAGCTGGTCCCATCAGTTCCTCGATCATCGCCTTACGACCATCTGAGTCGCCAAAGATCATCGCCTTCTCACAAACATTGGAGGCGAACTTATGGCGCGCCATTGATAGCATGCGCCCACGAAGCTGAGTAATGATGGATGCTCGGTCGCGGGGCAATCCGTTCTCCAGGATGAACTGGACGACATAGTTCTACAACCAACAAGATAAGCCAAGAGGAAAAACAAAAGCAAGCACTAGCACTGACCCCGAATTGATCTTGCATGAGATTAGCCGTATGACTTTTAAGCAGTTCATCGAGAAGTGGCCGGGTGTATGGTTCGGGAAGGTGACGGAGACATTGTTGCAAGACACGACAGCCAAATGGATGAGAAGCAAGCTCATGAGCGTGGCCGATAAAGGTTGAAATGAAACCAAGTCGGTCGGGAGAAACTCGTTCGATGACCTTCTGAATGACCTTGATTGCGAATCAGTCATGTGGATTCTCCAGTTAGATCACCTACATGGTTCCCGTTCGAATCTTTGACACATCTGAGAATATGGGGCTCGAGTTCTTGGACAAACTTGGCTTGCTGCTCTGGAGTTACACATTCAAAAGCCTTTCGCTGTTGTTAGCTATGTGTTGAGCTGTTTATTCGCGAACTGACTTTTTGCACGACGCGGCAGCCATAGACATTGGACGATAGATAGATGATATGGCCTTCCATGGCACCAACAAGGGCGTCTTTGTGGGCCTGGGTACCATGCTCCAGTAGCTTCTGTATTACCTGTGGCGAGCAGATTTGTAAGATGAAGACGACCGAAGTTGAAGCTACCCACATAATTACCGAAAACATCTTGAATTAGGTGTAAGGTATTGTCGGGGACGATTTCATCGAATACACTTTGGATTTCTTCACTTGTGGCGTCATTGAGCTCGGTTTGAATGAAACGTGACCCATGTTGATCGCTGCTGAATTCGACGATATGACCTTTGAGGTCCTTGAGCTCCCATTTCTTGCCCTTTGCCGCACGAAACTCGTCCAACATCTTGGACGAGAGTGTTTGGGTTTCGAATCGGCGATTTCCGCGCGCCATCATACCAAACCCAGGCCCACCACCGTACATATTGAGCATTTGGTTCCCATAATCTAGCTGAGGAGGATAACCCATGGGAGAGAGCGGCGGAAACATCATATTGCGCGAGGCGAGCTGTTGTTGCAAATTGTGCTAAATTTGACATGGTCAATAACGCAAGACAATATCAGTGGTGTCACGCTTATACCTGCATCTCAATCTTCTTCTCAGTCATTGTAACCGGCGTTGAAGGCAGTTGCGATGGAAGCATGGGTGACGGGGGCTGATAAAGCATGGGAGAGGTTGGATAGTAGAACGGCGGAGGGGAGTTGTAGTCGAAAAAGACAGGTTGCCTTGGGTCAGACGAAGGGGCTGGTGCAACAGCGGTATACGGAGACATCGGCGGTCGGTAAGCATTGAGATCTGGACTTGCGTAGTATGCGTATTCAGGAAAGGCTTCGCGTCCAGGAGAGTAATACCCGTAGTCGTAGCCACCATACCGTGGTTGTTGAGGCAGCGGCGATGTCCGAGAAGTGGAGACTTGTGGCGGAACTGGCACGACAGGTTGACGGCCGGAAAAGTCGTCTTCTACGGTCATTCCACGCATGGCTAGTGTGATATCGTTCTCAGCAGTCTCATATCCCAGCGAGGGCATCGGGAACGAGGGTTGGTTGTTCTGAAAAGTTGCTACAGGCAGACTAAGCAACAAAGAGATAGGGGGAAAAAATTAAAATCTTACTTGGTCTACCACCGGATGCACGGTCGTCCTGGGAGAAAAATTAATAAACAACCAAACTAAACACGGAAAGTTTGAACTTACCATTCTCGGCGCGGAGAATTTCCCTGCGTGACGGGGACGCGTCTAGTCCGAGAATCAACAAAGAAAACGCGTTGTCGAGACACAAAAGGACATACGATGTTTGATTTCAGAACGCTATCATCCCAGGTGCCACTGGCAGTTGCGGAACGGGGGGGCTGGCCAGCTCTCGCTAGCATTAGGACGGAGAGGATTATCGCTTGGCACGTCGCTAGCGATGCTTAAGGAGGACATGGAGGCATTGCGTTTGGAAGAAGAAGTGGAGCTCCAAACCTAGAGTTAAAACATTATAAGGGCATCGCCGCCGTTGAAAAAAAAAAACGGGTGCTCACCTGCCAGCCAGGGTTGAGTCCTGCAGCGTTACCACCTATGTTGAATAAGTTGGGGGGTGCCTGTTTTCGTGTCGCCTGAATGAATGTCAAGATTTTGAAACGAACTAAGAAGTGACGCGACTTGCGTTGGAGGAAGGGACTGGTGGGTGGCGAGCTGCGTCGCCCGACATAAAAGTGAGGTAAGAATTAGAGAGTGGTGGTAGTATGGTGGTTGAAAAGAGTGTGAGGGGCCACAGGTCGGGCCAGGACTTGGGAGAAGGTGGTGGGCGATCGAGAAAATATTTACTTTGCCTCCGTGTGCAGGTCCCGAGTGACGTGCCGCTAACCCCATTAGGTGATGACGAAACATTTTAAACTCTAGCTATCGCGTGGTTTCCCCATCCATGAGAGTTCATTAAAATAGAAAATAGCGTGATATAAGATGCGTGTACAGGTGGGTATGGCAGAGCAGTCTTCACCGTGAATTGAAGAACCAAGAGGCCCGCTTGGCTGGAATAAAATTGAACACAAGGCGGATGCGTAGCAAAAGTTAAACGTACCTCCACTGGAAATGCCGTACAAGGAATGAATCAGTCAGGGCCACCGGTGATCTAAAATATGTCACGCACCCTCCATCCTCGTTCTGAAGTCGCGTCAATGGATTCCCACTCCCACCAGAGATAGGCGCCGGAACAGCTCCGGTTGTCGCACCTCCGCCTCCACGAAGTGGCTTGGCGATCCGTCCAAAACTCAGCGGCGAACTTGATGCTGTTTTTTGGGCTGGTGATGCAAAATTAGCCTGGCAACAAAGACGGGCAAACGCAACATCACATACCCCGAGCTTGATCAAGTCGTTCTTTGACAGCTTGTAGCTGTGCTTCGAACTTCTGGTTCTGAACGGACAATCGTCGATCAGCATCTTGCAGAAGCGCTTCTAGATTTTGAATTCTTTCGTTGCGCGCTAAAAGCTTCCTTTCAGCAATGCCGGCCTCCTTCTTGAGCGTAGAATTTTGGTCCACGAGCTGGGAAAGCATGAATATCAAGCTCTTGTGTGGACCAATGACATCACAAACCTGCTTCTGCACTAATGTTAGTTGTTCCAAGTTTCGTTCAAGGAAAGCCATCTTCTTCTGCTGAGCTTTGCTGTTGCTATTGCGAATGACATTGTTATATTGCTCTTTGATCTCGTCGAGTTGAATTTCGAGCTCCACAACCTAACGTGGCAGCCATTCAGCAATCGGAAGTTAAACTGAAAAAAACCTCACTTTCTCGCAACGGTTCTGCAAATCTCGCATGAGAGACTTCTTCACCCCGTCAAACTCAGCCAGCTGAACATTGATAGCTTTTCGCGTCCGCTCAAGGTCCTGGGCACTTTCCGCCAAATTCTTCCCGCCCTCGATACCGGCGGAAGTGACAGCAAAGGCGCGCTAGAAAGGAGGTGAGTTGAGAGATCGGTAATAGTTCAAAATTCAAACCTTGAGCTCCTCATTCACGCTCTTCAGGCTCTCCGTCGTGGCATTCAAGCTGCGAACCTCATTGTTGCGCAGTTCAAGTTGCTGCTTGAGATCGGCTACTTCGCTGATGTGCGCCTCTCTTCGGGCAGCGTTTTGAGCTTCAAGTTTGTTCTGGGAGATAGGGTCAGATAAAGCAGAAAGTAGCAAAAAGTCGCACCTTGAAGTCGGTCATAGACTCGGCGAGGTCGGCGTTGCTCGTCTCTTCATCGTGAATCGTCTTCTCTGTAAGTTTGAAGCAACAATGTCAGCGGCGTTGGTGCAACCTTTTTGTTGCCACAAACCTAGAAGCTCCTCGTACTCCGTTTCGAGAGCCGTTACCCGAGCTTCCAGCTCGTCCCTCCGTCGCGTAATCATCTCATTCTCCTCCTGGCTTTGCCGCAATCGATCTACCGTTTCCCGTATTATGTTCTGACCCTCACTTAGCTGCCTTCTAACGGCGGTGAGGTCGTCGGCTGTTAATGAACTGGCCGAATCTATGGTGTCTAATTTGCCGAGAATCGCACGGAGTTGCTCATCCTTTTCGGAGAATGTACCCTGCTGTATACCAACCAGTCAGCGCCCAGGAAATTAAATGTTTCGTGTCGTACCGTGTCGAACTTGGCCATCATCATAGCCATCTTCTCCTGCTTTCTCTTCTCCTTGTCCTCCGCGCTGGCATCCTTCTGAGCCGACTTCATGTCCACGAGTTGTTTGCGGATCTCTTCAAGCTCGCCTGAGGCATCCGCATTTTGCTCCTTGAGGATATCGATTGTGATGAGACTCTCCTTGTTGTCGTAGTTCAAGCGTTCGACTTGCAAACGGAGCTCGTTTAGTTGGGTGGACATGGCTTTGTTTTCCTAAATTATATTCTTGTCTTGAGAAATTGCGGTCGAGCAAAAATGCGAAATGATATCACCTTATTCACACCAGCCTCCTGCTCCTTCAAGAATGACAGCTCTTCTTTGAGCTCCTTCACAAGTTTGTCAGCGGTTGTAAGCGCCGATTCCTTCTCCGCCAGGAGGTCGCTAAGTTCATTCTCGCGACGCAAGAAGTCTTCACGCTCATCCTTTTCGAGTGGAATGCCGATGGGTGTCTGGGGACGAGGAATATCAAGCTCGGACCTAAGACTTTCGATGGCGGGGTTGACGGGGGTGATACTTCGAGAAGTCGTAACAGGAGTTGAAGGTCCCGCAGACGCAGGGGAAGCGGGTGCCTTTTTCGGGGCAGCAGCCGCATCTCCAGATGCGGGCGTGACCTTGGCCCATTCCGACTCTTCGACCCGTCCACCTGCCCTCCATATAGCCAGCTCAGCCTCCAGAGCTGCAATATGTTTCTGGTAGCTTGTGTTTGCGGCCTGTGCTTTGTGCAACAAACCCTTGAGTTCAAGTGGGGAAAGTTCAGCATTGACGCGAGCCTGATTCTTGATGGTTTTGGCTCGGATACCGAAACGGAGAGTGGAAATCGTCTCGGTCTCGTTGTAAGAAGACGGCGAGCAGTTAATGATAAGTGTCGTCCGCGAGTTTCCTCCCAAAGACTCTTGCAGAATACGGGTGAGTTTCGAATCACGGTAAGGGATGTATTTGACCTAAAATGATCAAGTTAGCGCTGAACGGAAAGCAAACCAAATGCCTACTTTCGGGTCAGTAAGCGCGTTGATGACCATTCCCAAAGCAGAAAGACTCTTGTTGATCTTCTTGGCCTCTTCGAGTGTTTGACCGGATGCGCCAGTCTTTCCGACCTTCTCCGAGCCTGCGAGATCGACAAGGTATAGATTACCCGTCTTTTGGGCTCCAGTCTCAGTATTGCGCTGATTTATGCTGATAAGGAAGATGGAGTGGGATCGTGAAGACTCCGCATTCATGTCTGGTGTAGGTCAGCGAGAGTGAATGTAGAAAGGGGGAGAAACCAGGACGCACTGGTAGAGGACACTATCCGTGCATTTCCTCCCGTTCGCATGATCTCGTACACCTCTCGGGCACTGCTGACATAGTAGTCGGAGAGATTCTTGACATAAACACCTCGGTTCTTCTCCTCATGAACTTGCAAGTTGTCGTTTTGGGCTACGAAGGAGTTGATATATCGAAATAGGTGCTGCCACAGAGTACTCACGGGCTAGTAGATCGCGGATCTTCTCCAAATAGATTTCCATGTAGGACACCTTGACGAGATACTCTATATGTGCGTCGCTCTCGACAATGGACTGGAATATTTGCTCTGTTATTCGCGGGATGATGCCTTTGAGTTCATCTGAGTCTATGTCGGCCCCCTAGAGACCAAATAAGAATAGGGAGAGACGGAAGTTGGGAGACGGACCATCATGGTGAAGGTCTTGCCACTACCAGTTTGACCATATGCGAAGACAGTACCATTGTAACCATCGAGGACATCTTGACCGAGTTGGAAATCAAAGACGCGAGATGATGCGGGGACTGACCTTTCACGATACTAGAAGACACATTAACGACGCGTCAAGGAAGAGGTGGACCACATACTCCTTGACTCCATAGTCGAATACTTCTTGCTGCTGCGTGCCCATAGGGAAGACTCTGTCAAACGTGAAACCATCTTTCTCTGGACCAGAACCGCCCGCAGAGCGCATTTGGACCGTCGTCAGGTCATCGGAGAAGCTGGCCACGATCTCGCCACCCTCGCGATTCTCAATGGAATTCTGAGGCCGAAACCTTGAACACAATCAGGTCTGCTACTAAACACACCAGTCTGACGGTATAATCACCGACAAATAACTTTGATGGCATTGGCCATAGTGCCCGAACAGCAGGTCGGCGTAAGGAGGACTAAGGAAAGGTCGTCGCGATGATTATGGCGGTTGCGGCAAGAGTGTCACAGGCTTTTGTCACACCGAAATTAACTCTCAGCAACCTCAAGACCGAATTCTGAAGGCTCTCCAGGGCATTGTGGTACCGGTCGTTGAGATTGAGGTGGACTATCGGATTCTAAATTTACACGTAAGGATTCAGGAATTACAATTACAAAGTACAATGGCAAGAAACTAGTCCTCATCGCTATCCACAGCAACTGGTCTCGATGTGGATGCTACTGGCCTGGTCACCGGTCCATTCTTCTCTGCTGCATCGCAAGCATCGATCCATTCTGAGTAGATATCGACTGGTTCTGTGAGGTCTGAAGGGTTGTTGAGGGTTTTGGAATTGACAAGCTAGGAGTTGAGGGCGTACGGTTCACTTTGCTTTGGTATCGCTGGTCACAAATGCGACAAGCAAGGTGTGCAATACCATCTTTACGGTCAAGGCGAACGGTGACGGATTTCTCGTGGTGGCAGAAAAGACAAGTGAATGCAGTGTCTGTTTCGAACATTGCAGGTATAAGCAGTAGGCAGCAGCTTGATAGTCGAATGTACCTAGTGGCTCTTTGCGTCTGGACGCTTGTGGCTTCTTGGTCGCCTTTTTTCTCTTGCCCATGACTTGGGTGTGTGATCAATGAACGGTCACGCGCAACGAATCAACGCGTCTGTTGACAACAACGATGGCAAGCCGCAGACCACCGTCTCGCGCCAAGGCACCTCCCCCAGCCCCTCGTTCTCGCTCCGCTCTGGGTCGTCCAGTAGATGACAACGAAACAAACATCCAGGTCGTTGTCCGTTGTAGGCGTCGCTCTGAACTCGAAATATCCAACAATTCGCCCATTATCGTATCATCCAACGGTGCCAAAAGTACAGAAATATCAATAGAGACCGCTGTACCAGCTTCAAGCCTCGGCGTTGTCTCCCTTCCCCCAGTCAGAACATACCCTTTCGATGTCGTGTTTGGGCCAGAGGCAGACCAGGCTCTCATCTACCACGAAGTGGTGGCTCCCATGTTGGAGGAGGTCGTCATGGGATACAATTGCACGCTCTTTGCCTACGGTCAGACCGGGACGGGCAAAACGTGAGTGGCACAGATAATATTTGAGTTTTGTTTGACCATCTCTCAGCTATACGATGCAAGGGGACCTTAATCCAACTCCTCTCGGAAACCCTTCTGCCCACGCGGGCATGATTCCGCGTGTCCTATTCCGGCTTTTTCATACTCTCGAGTCCTCCGTCGCCGACTACAGCGTCAAGATTTCATTTATCGAATTATATAATGAAGAGCTCCGCGACTTACTCGCCCCCGATCTAGCCCCTCCTTCCACTCATGTTCAACCGATGGGTCATTCAGGCCAACGTGCTCAAGAAGGTCTCAAGATTTTTGACGACGCGTCGAAACACGGTGTAGTCATCCAGGGCCTCGAGGAAATCCCTGTCAAGGATTCAGCAGACGCTCTTGCTCTACTTACTAAAGGCAGTGAGCGCCGCCAGAGCGCGTCTACTAACATCAACAACCATTCTTCTCGCTCACACTCCGTATTCTCCATCACCGTCCATACTAAAGAATCCAGCCATGCAGGGGAAGACTTGCTCAAGATTGGCAAACTTAATCTTGTCGACCTCGCTGGTTCTGAGAATATCGGTCGATCTGGCGCCGAAAACAAGAGAGCTCGCGAGGCAGGAATGATCAACCAGTCGTTGCTCACTCTAGGCCGCGTTATCAATGCACTTGTGGACAAGGCGCAGCACGTCCCCTATCGGTCAGTTCTTTTATTTCCATTATTTCCAACAACTCAAGTCTCAACAGTGAATCTAAACTAACACGGCTTCTTCAAGACTCATTGGGTGGAACTACCAAGACATGCATTCTGGCTACCGTTTCCCCTGCGCGCTCGAACATCGAGGAGACTCTTTCAACTCTCGACTATGCCCTTCGCGCGAAATCAATCCGCAACAAGCCTGAGCTCAACCAGCGCATGACGCGCAACTCCCTCCTGAAGGAATACGTTGCTGAAATCGAACGATTGAAAGCGGATGTCTTGGCAGCGAGAGAAAAGAACGGGATATTTTTCAGTGAAGAATCATGGACCCAACTCAGCAACGAGCACGAACTGCGTCAGACGGAGCTCGAAGAAGCCAAGAAGCAAGTCGAAATTGTTGAGGGCCAGATGCGGAATGTGCGCGAGGAGTTTGAGCAGAGTATCGGGTTGCTGAAGAAGCGGGAAGGGGAGTTGAACGAAACTCGGGAGCAGCTCAAGGAAGCAGAGCAAGCCCTCGAAAACAAGAATGAAGAGCTGAATCGCGCTCTTCTGGCTCTTGAGCAAGAGTCAATTGTAAGGCAGGCGCATGCCGAAACGGAAGAACGCCTCAATGATGTTGCGGTTGGCCTACGAGGCGTTGTTCGCGAAACTATCAAGGATGTCGATAGTCTTCACAGTAAACTCAGTGCGTTGTATTTTCTTGTTCTCTTGTTTCAAAGGTGACACAAGTCTAGGTCGCACTTCCAGTACGCTGCGGGCAAACACCCAAGTTGTTCTAGCCCAAGGAAAATCAATCTCTTCTTCCACAATCGCCCTCTCCCGTAAACTGGACGAGTTTGTGAAGAGTTCTGCCGCAACCACTTCCAAACTGCGGACAGAGGCAAAGGAGTTTGAGGCCAAAGAACTCGAAACGCTAGCTGGATTCACAGAACGCGTCAACGAACAGTTGAAGCGCGTTCAAGCAGCCCTTGCCGTGGTCCAAGCTAAAGACACCGCTGAAGCCGATGCGCTTGCGATCGTCAAACAAGTCGTGAAAGACACCTACGAAGCCTTTAAGGTCGGATTTGGTGCCTGGAGTTTGTCTCTCAAGCAAACCTGTGAGACCGCGAGTGCCGCCGCCGAGAGTACAGGAACTACAGCTTTCGACTCAGCTGAAGCGGCTGTTAAGACGCTTGCTACTCTGGTCGAGACCTTGGCACAGGAGGCTCAGTCTTTCGTCGAGTCAGAGCACACAACTGTAGTACAGGTCAAATTGCTAGCGGCCAACGCCGCAACGGCAGAAGTGGAACGCCTCAAAGCTCAAAACGAGGTCCTTACTCAACTGCTTGCCAACGAGAAACTCAAGGGTGAGAAGGCCAAAGACGAGCTACTTCAACGCGTCTCTGGCTTGCTCGGTGAATTCGTTCAGGACCGTGATCGTAGTTTACGTGAAGCCGTCGGGGTTGTCCAAGCTGGAAATGTCGAAAGCACCAAAGCGATGCAGGCCTTCAAGCAACAGCACGCGGAGCTTACTGCGACTATGGATGCCAGCGGGAAACAGACCACGGCAAGTTTGACGAGGGCTTCTAAGGACGCAAAGAGGACGCGAGACGGCACTCTCAAGGTTTGCTGTCCAACATTGTAATGGTTAACATTGACTCACCGGTCAACAGTCTTTGGCCGAATCAAAGAGCGAATTTGGCGTCCAGCTCTCGTCAATGCAGACATCGATATCCGCATCTGTCGACTCTTACTCTTCGGAGATACAAAGTCAGGTCAAGACGATGGACGCCTCTTCAAGCGCGGGTAAGTCCGGTTTAGACTTGCAGTTGATTGACTATTGACGTCCGCCCCATAGCATTCGACAGACAGACGCATGCAAAACGGGCGCGTATCGAAGCAACAAACTCGCTTGGTGTCGAGATCCAGAGTGAATTTAAATCGGTCCAACGGGCTTTCGCGTCGACTTCACGCAATATTGAGGGTGCCGTGGCCCATATGGCTTCAGATGTTCGTTTCCCTTTTTGTTTGATGGGTTTATTTTTACTGATGTCTCTCTTCCACAGAGTAACACCTTGTCGAATGCTACGGAAATCTACCAGAAGGCTTCCAATAGCGAGCTTTCTTCATTGAAGGAAGCCACCAAGTTGCTTGGGGAACAAGGGACCAAAGCAGACGCGCCAACTGGTCACACGCCGAAGAAACGGACATGGCAATATGTCGACAAGTGGGAGCTCACAAAAAGCAGGGCAGAACTGTTGAAGTCACGAGGGCCCGTGGATGAAGAGGAGGAGCAGTTGGAGGAACAGATGGCGGTCGATGAATCACCACCGAATTCGCCAATTGCGGTGTCGCTAGCATCCTCGACATCATCAACAATGATGCCGCCGCCGCAAATTCCTGTTCTGAAGAAGACGAAACCGGTGGTCGTGCCGCTGGTCGACGCGAGAAATGTGTATACTACGAGGAGAAGAGGACGGTAGTAGTGTACTTGTTGATGTGATTTGTCATACTTTACTTTTTTGCTATTCTGTTCCGAAACCCCCATGGCGGCAGCCAGCATTCGAAGTGCGTTATAGGGCGAAACCCCCCCTTGCTACTTGCACTGATGGCGTATAAAGCGGTCGTTTTCTTAGCGATGGTGTTGGCGGTGGGGTTCCTGATGATAATACTGTCTTGCGTGCTCTGGCATAACTGGCTACCACTGCTCGTTGGTGCGTGTTGCGCCTCCAAATTTCCATCCATCTACTCACTTTTCGCAGCGCTGACGTTTGTCCTCGCCCCACTACCAAACGCCATCTTTGCCCATTGTGGCTCTGACGAGTTTTCTGCGAGCTACGATGGAGTCAACTCAGGCCCAGTCGATCTCGGCCGCTTCATTACTGCCATGATTGTCACGACCGGGTTCGCAATGCCAGTCGTGCTCGCCCATGCCCAAGTCATCCACAATGCTGCGTGTGTCATGTCCATTCTCGGGGGCGGGTATGTGGCTGTCATTGTTTGAGGCCCTTTTAACCTTCTCTCCAGCCTGGTCTATGGGACTATCCTCACCTATTCAGCGGCTTTCAGCCAAGAAGAGTCTGAATTCGACTAACTGTTGTCTGTGTCTGTGTCTGTGTTTAATAATGATACTGCGTGTACTTCTACCCCGCCCGCCGAGCGCGCCGCCCTTTCCCTCTCAATAGCAACAGGTTGCTCCTGGCCGCCGCGTGCGACCCACTTGCCAATGGTGGCCAACATCAGTCCATGTCATCAATAGGCCTCTTGATTAGCCTTCAGCCCGTACCATTGCGGTCAATCTTCCACTCCCCTTGCTCTCGGTTGACCCCACAATCTTGGCTTCCGCCGAAATCTCATACCGGCCATATGCGAGGAAGCATAAGCCCGTTTCAATCTCGCGTGATTCTCCGCTTTCCAGTCGCCCGATAGGCACTTCCCTGAAGAGCCCCTCAAAGACCACATCGGGCGACGATTGCAAGTCAAAGTCGAGCGTGAAAACCAGAGATGTCACTGGGAAAAAGTTCAGTTTCGGTTCAGCGATAAGAACAGAACGTACAGGAATGGTTCGTCACTTTCGTTCGCAGGTAGATGAATTCGCAGTATGGTGGGTGGTATTTACCAAGATGTGGTGCAAGAGGTTTCTTGTCAGTGTCTTGGTGATGTAGCGACATGGATATTGAGGCTGTCTCCGTTCGAAGAGTTTCAAGCATCGGAAGCGTCATTCGTTGTTGTCTCAAGGACAAATCGCCTGCCCTCGTTCCGCCAGCCTACATGATAATGTTAGGCACGGCCCACCGAGTGATCAAGCAAAACTAACCTCACGCCATCTGCCATGGATGCATTTAAATAGCTCTTCGCGGTACCAAAATAGCTCCCTTTGAGCCCTCTCTTGCTCTTTCGACAGCTTGGACTTGTTCACAACAAACTGTCGGTCTGACAGAGTAGGGATGGGCTGCGAGATATGATCTTCGGAAAGAATGAATTTCTTGATCGGGATAACCATTCTGAACAAGTCAGAAGTAGTCCACATATGCAGCCTAGAGAAACGCACCGAGAGGTGGAGCCTGGAGAAACTATTGTTGATGTTGTGCTACGTTGTTTGCCAGCACCTTCATAGAATGTCAGCGCGAATAGAACAGAGCTGATGGATATGACTTCCCTGCTTGAATCCGATCGAATGATACCTCGAAGGGCAAGCCGTATGTGTTGCGGACTTCAACGGAAAAAAGACACCAGCCAGCTTCGTTTCCACGATACTGCTCGTCAGGCTCGTCCAGGTCGGAAGGATATGATGTGAAGGGCAAGAGGTCCATTCCATGACATTCCAGCATGTGATAGACTGTGACCATGACTGGGTAAGATAATTGTCGAGTGTGGAACACGGATGGAGCAGGATCTAAGCCAGGTTTGGGTCGATTCACGTATGAATAAGATATGTGAATGGCGCCAGTAGTGCTAAGCAATGTTAACATGGGTGTCACTGCTAGAGCGAGTATGGACATACCAGCCAACTTTCCCGTAACAGTTGACATTTATGGTCAGCTTATGACCGGGAGGAATCTCTTTCGTGTCGTCTGTATTCCAAGAAAAGACGGGTCGGTGAAGCAGGTCGTATTCCGTCTCATACGTGTCAAAGACTGAAAGTTCGCCACTGGCGAGTGCTTGCTGACCAGGAGCAATGGTCGAATCATCAAAGACGAGTCGTAAGAAGTCAATTGGTAGCGGCGACACGTTTTCGAGAGTGATGCGGATGGTAGACCTGTGTGATGGTCAACGAGGATCCAAATAGTCAAAGCTATAACCTGCATTTCGCCATTATACATCATAACAGCACCGTGAGTAACCGAAGTCCTGCGTATTCTGAGTAGGGGCTGCTCGGGAACTACTGTATATTCGAGGAATTTCACAGCCGTCTTCGCCCCAGAACTCGTCAGTTGCCTACTTGAGCGTTTGTTTGCCTTTTCCCATGGGAAGCAATCAAGACCAGAGTACTTCGAACGGCCGACTTCGCATTCTAGTGCTGCCCGCTTACGAGAAATACGCTCTTCTTCCTCTCCAGTCGAGAGTGAAAGGGTAAATTCTCGTTTCTGACCCCCTGGTGCTTGTACACGGCACCCGCGGACGACCAAAGAGCCTGTCTCGGTCGCTTTCCCAGTCAGGGTTACTGCATGGAATGATGTGGCCGGTAAGAGCACCCGGATCGGTTTTGAGTCGAAAGCAACACCAGACGTGCTGTCGATCTAATATCAGATACCGACGAGAGCACGTGATCGTACTGACCTGAGGGATAACGATTGGATTTCCAGATCAAAGACGTATGGATTCTTCAGCACAACTACGAATTCAAGTGACTCGTTTTGTACAACAAGTGTTTTTCCCTGCGTGAAACCTTAGAGCGTACCAGCACAGACACCAATTCCTCCTTACCTGACCCATAACCCGTCGCGGATTATACAAAAAAGGGTCTGTTCCCCCAGTCAGAATGGGAGCAATATCGGACGTCCTCGGCTGGAGTGCAGAAAGTGGCTTTTCTATCGGTAGTCGCACCAAAGGCAGCCTAGCAGAATGAGGAATGGCATTAGGGTTCAGACAATCAACGTACGACGAAATGTTAATGCTGACTATGGGTTTACCAGACCAATATTCAACAGATCGTGTGTCACCTCGTCGGTGTGCTGTCATAAGAGCCCGTGCAGAGGTTGCATATAGGTGATATTGGTCTGCGGGGGCAAGTACGGCCTGCAGCGTCTTCAATGACGCGAGCGCATATTGAGCAACTGCAAGATAATCTACACAGGTTAGCTAATTAATAGAAAAAAAATGGATGCACACCTGGCAGAGCTTCCGCGACAGCAACCGCTTCTCTCACAACCCCGACCTGTAATTCTGGCCACCCATATGGTTCCATGAATTCTGTTGCCATGTCTTCCTCGATACTAGTAGGGGCGCTGGGCTCGTTTTCGGCGGCTTCCGTTGGATTTTCGATCATTTGGACCGCGTCGAGATTGATGCCCAGAGTTCGACAGATATATTTCAAGAGTTTGAGGATGCTCTCATTGCCGTCAACATTTTCTGTAAAGCGAACGCCAACATTTCCTCGTTGACTACCCGAGTTGGAGTTGAAGCCTTGAATGCCAAGACCTGGGGGTAATGGAACACTCGAAAGTCTCGAAAAGCCATCTTCTTCCCTGCCACAAACGATGAGGTCCAATATGCAGCCAAGCACTTCCCTGAGGATATATGCTTCTTTACGACGATAGCCCAGACAGGCATATAGACTTGCTGTACTCTCCAGAATACCGATCCGTTCCCGAGCGCCGAGATGCAGAAGCCATGGGCCATGGACCTGAGTCAGCACGGTGGAAATGGTGGCTCGACTGATGCCCGATAGTGAGCTTAATCGTTCCAAATCCGCCCATGAAGCAAGCCCTTCCGTAGAAATAGTTGGCGGGAGGTAGGGTGTAGGCCCGGGTTGAAGCATTGTGCCAAAGGCCAAAGGGCCCCAGCCCTTTGCAGACCATACGGAGAAGAGAAGCGATGCTTGCCGCAGGACAGCGCGACAGTAAAGATAAGAGAGGAGGGAGTAGTTATGTTCTCCATCGACTGGCGTTCGATGATATAATGTTACAGCTTGAGAAAGCTTCTCCATTACATCAGCCCATGGCTCTCTCAGAGCGGAGGTCGAAGTGTTCTGCTAGTTGTCAGAGACTTCAACGAGAGAGAACGATAAGCGCACTAAGCCTTGGCCTGTGGCCCAAGCTTGTATGATGGTGACGGTTGCTTGACCCTCTAATGTTGCAGCTTGCCAGATTGCGTCGGAGGACGACTTGAAGATCTGCATCGCTTCGTTATACCTTGACAATGTTTGAGCTGGTCACGATTTAACGGAGGGACACTGACCAGACGTCGGCCTCCTCAGTTCTCCCGGCTAGCAAATAAAAATCGCCCAGTACCTTGAACAGCCTTCCATGCGATGAAGCCACTCCAATACTACTCAGCCGCTTCTTGGCAGGCGGCACACTGAGAGTTTGTTGTCGGAAACTGGTTGAGGTGCGCTTTACCACTGCGGATGGGTATTGATGCTTGGTGTCTAAAACGCCTTGCGCCGGAATCGGAGGCAATGAATCCCGCCTCTTGCCATTATCAAGGGGTAAAGCGAGGTCTGACGGGGGCAGCATTGGCATCAGAGCAGAATTAAGATGCTCATTGCCTGCGGGACTTTCTAATCCAGCCACCTGGTTGGGGTTCAACAAACGAAGACGCGGAAAGAAATCAGCAACGAGCTCACAAGCGTGCCGAATTCACCCAAAACATGGGAGCACAAGTCGCCGAGCAGGGTTCCGATATAAAGTTTCTTGTTGCCCATCATACTTGGGATAACGACAAGGCCGGGGAGATTGTCGCCAAGATTGACGTTTGTGTTACCCTCGCCTTCCTCGAATACGAAACAATTTTTGGCTAGCGGATACATCCCTCCGCCAGGGAAGATGTCAAGAAGAGAGGCATTGAACTCCCCCAGTACGTCCGCAAGAGAATCGGTTTTGGAGCAGGCGGAAATTCCGATGACGGCCAGCGGAAAGTGAGAAGGTCGGAGGAGGGATAATGGGAGATGCGAGTGTGGAGGTGGGTGTGTAGGAAAGCTTAGATGTAGATAGCCAGTTGATAATGGACTTGGCATAAACCGCGCTATACGGTGGTCAGACTGGATAGCCATAGAGAATAGAGAACTCACCTTTCTCGTCCTTGGTGTCGGCCGGAATGTCACCAAGACGGATCGCATCGAAGGACCTGAGCTCGGAGGAATAGCGGTTGAAGGAGGACTGGGAAATATTGCCAACGGGCACAAGAAGTATTCGGACCTGCGCCAGAGAAGCAAATGAGTGGGTATCCATTCTGGGCAGGAGGGAGAGACGGAGAGCGCGTCACATCATTTCGCGCTTCTTGCTTTTGCACCATGGCAAGTATTGACGAAGCTTTGACGTGTAATCGCTCATTCTTTCTTAAGGGAACCAGCGATAAACTTCTTGGTGGCTCGATGCTGCTGGCGGCAGCTGTGGTATTTACCTACTACACTATGTGGGCCATGCTTCTGGTGAGACTGTCTCTTTTTCAGAGTCGCTAGCTAAGCGCAGTCAGCCCTTCTTCGATCCTACCAGCGAAATACACGCATATTTCCCCAGTAGAGAATGGGCTGTACGAATTCCAGCTTTCATCCTTGTTGTTGGCATTTCAGCTATTGGCGCGTTTGTCGGGTCTACTGTGTTGAAAGAACAACGGAAGCGAGCGAAACAGGCGCGTATGCGAGCAGCTTAGTTGTGAGTAGCCATTATGCTGTCAACGTCACTAAAAACCACTACAGATTGTCCGTGTACTTGTATTCCATTAGCTTCATCCACTTGTTCCCCTCGTCGTCAAAACCCGCATCTTCTCAGTGGCCACCAGCTCTTTCCCTGCCTGCTGGACTAATATATCCAAGTCCACGGCATCTCCAACAGGCTCCGATAAAGTTTTGGCCGTTCGAGTGAGCTGAAACGCGTTGAAGTAAATGCGGCAGAGCCTGCAAAGGACCACCAACCTTGCTCATTGCCGAATCTTGGCCACCATGGGAACGTAAACGGTTCAAAACGGCTATCTGGAACTGTGTCTCCAATGCAAGTGGACTACGCAAACCTCGCAAGAACAAGAACAAGTCAGCAATCGTCCCCCAAATCAACGAGGCAATGGTCTGTAATAATAGTCAGCTTCACCCGAATGTCACTTCATGTTTTACCATGGATAGCCCAAGATGCAGGTCCCCTTCTAACGTCGTCATCATTGCTTCTAACGGCGGCCACAATTCATTCCAGACCATGAAAAACGTCGCATTGCTCCCTTCGTCACTTGTTGCCCTTTTTTGCGCTAACAGCAACCAGAGTTTGATTGCGATGTAGGCATGGTTGATGTCTGCTGTCGCCGCTTCAAGGCCAGCGCTGGACTGAGAATACGGACGAAGGATGTTGTGATGTAAACTTGCGAGTGGCTCGAAGATTTCGAACATTGGTCGGACATGTTGGTCAGAACTGTCGAGCAGGACGGCGAGAACCATCAGATTCCACGAACGCATCCCCAATCCTAATCTACTGACTCGCTGCCATCAAGGTTCAGTTGGACTGCAATTCTGACTGAAGCAAATACGCACATCACCAGGGTCAGCTATCTTACTGAAGATGGAGCGATTGATTGCGGCAGCTTGAAGAATCATCTTCCCAACGGCCAAAGAGGCGGTGAAGTCGTTTTCGGATCGAATGTCAGTCCAGATATGGTTGTGTAGATAGTGTAGCCCGTGTTCGACGATATTCTGAACCTCTGCGGGGTGCGTAGAAGCCAGCGTTGTAGAGCCAATGTGATCGAGTGGCTCGCCAATTACCTAGCTCGTGTCAACGGTCGAAGAAAAATCCAACGCCAAGTGGAAATAATACCTCAAGAAGCGCTCTGACCGTCCCAGACGGTGTGCGATTTTTCAACCGAAGCGCGTCTGTCAGAATCTCGAATAGCGTGGCAATAATTGGAGCTGTCTCGCTGAGATGCGTCTTGCGTTGCAAACTTGCAGTGACATGGAGGAGTCGAGAGATATGAGACGCCTCGACATTCAGTCTCAATAAAATGTTTCGAAGTATGGTGTCCGCACAGATAAGCAGCTCCTATTCAGCGGTCAGATAAAGAAGAGCATCAATTCTGATTCGCACCCGACTATTAGGCTTATTATGCTGTATCAGAAGAGCTGGAATGCCAAGTAGCGGGGCGGGCTCTATCACACTTCCCTCATGAGCAAGATCAGCGACTCGCCGAGCGATAGCCAAGAGTTGTTGACCAGCGACTGTAAACACGTCAGTGATGGTGACTGGAAGCAACTTGCACTAACCCCGCATAAGGTCTGCGCTGTACCCCTGATGGTGCACAATCTCGACAAATGTCTCCAAATTGTTCAGAAAATTCTGCATCGTGGTATGGTCATTGTCGGGACCCTGAGACAGTAAACCCCGCATCAGGACATCGCGGAGACTTTCGGATTGAGGAGCGAGTCGCGCTTTCGCGTCAGTGATCTCTTTGAAAACAAGTAAGACGTCTTTATCCAATCGTCGCTGAAAGAAATCAAGATGACCACCTGTTTCTAAAATGGTAATCTGACCTTGAATAGACTCGAGATGAAGCCTGTGCGCTCGTATTGTGTGATGCTGTATTCCACGAAGGATTTAGCTTGGGACACGAGTGCATCCTGTGTGTTGTGACTTTGAAGCATGACCAGTTTAGAAACTTGCTCGATTGAGGTACTAGTTGTTTGTCAAGAGCGGACGAGCCCGTCCAGATAACAGTACGCACTAAAGGACAGTTCCAATATAGGCTGGCCAGCGTTTAATGAACGCCTGAGTTGCCGACAGTGCGAGCTGTCGAACCTCATAGCTCACATCTTCTAACATCAGGTCCAATGCACGCAAAACAGCTCGACGAAGGACTGGTTGTAAGTGCTTCATGCTCCTGTGATCGAAGTCGTGCTTGTAGATAATAACCCCCAGCGACTCGACAAGACTTTTCAAAGTCAATACAGGCAGTAAATGCAGCTCTCCTGTGCAAAAAAGGTTGAATGTTACGTCTACCAGAGTGGATCCCACGAGATATGTTTGCTCTTTGATCACGTGCGCAGAGTCTAGCACAGGCAGAAGCTCGTTGAGACAAGGAAGTATTGTGTCCGGAACCGCCTGAGCATCGCCAAAAAAGACATCGATTCCTCGCGCAGTCGACGAAGGCGTCACCGTGACATCAGCAAATCCTAGCGCCTTCACAAATGAAGCCTTGATCTTTTGGATGGTGAACCAGTCAATAGGTATACCATCCGCAATCATCTGAAGGCTGAGTAATAGTAAGGAACTTCGAAGAATGGCCATGCTTGCATCTGTATTTGTTGATTGCACGCCTACTTCATCTTTTGAGGATGCTAGGCCATAAAGGGACTAGGGAAATTAACGCTTGTCTCAACTAAGGGAAGGCGAACATGGCATACCAGGTGGGCTGATACCGCAGCTGTGGCGGTGTGGTCGGCTTCTTCTTCTTCTTCCGACAAAGCATCGACAAGCACGTCCCATGAGAGAACTGTCTCTTAGCATAAGAAAAGAGCCAGAATTCGATGAAAACATAGACCAACCTTGCCACTGGGGAAAGTAAGGCCTGAGCTGGATCAGGAAAGACGCCAGTTTCACGCGCTCGGCAATAGGCATTGACATGGATTCGACCCAACACTGCGAGATCGATTCAAGGTGGGCAGGAAGGAGGCCTGATGCAAAGGTATCAACGACGACACGGATTTCTTCCTAATTCACATGTCAGATCGACAGGTCAGACCGTTAGTATTACTTACTTTCTCGTCAGTCCACAGAGCAAAAAAGAATCGGTAAAAGACTTCGATGATGCTGGAGCGCCATTGACGTCCTTCGACATAAAATGCAGGGCTCGTAACGTCCAAGACAATGCGGAAGAGACGACTAACGCCTAGAAGGCTGGAATACGGATTCAGTCTCTGCTAGATGACGGGTTAAAACAACGGACCGCATTTCCCATTCGACGGCGGGTAGCAACGAGTCATGCAGTAGCTCTTGAAATGGTTGAGAGTCTACAAGCACCACCCGCAGAAGAAATGAAGTCCGTATTGAATGGATGTCGTGCCGTTGAATACCATAAAACTGCCATGCACTGCAAATTAGACCAAATTTGAGATCAAGTGAATTTTGAGAGCTGGACAATACCATTTTGCCAACATCCGTCCATTTCTTAGGATGAAATTATCGACTTCATATGATTCCAGGTAAGGAGAGTCGTTGAGGAATGCATTGAGAAATTTTGCTGCGATGGAAATGACTTCTTCGTTGTTGGCAGTGATGTAGGCTTCTAGTGCACTCAAAAGTTCGTGATGAATGACAATCGGATCTGTTACTACACCAGTCCGAACGTTGATTCGGCGACTGTCGCGGTCACGTGACATCAACAATCAAGTGGTTCGTCGGTTCACTCACCGCGAGGGAAGTTTAGCGACTTCAGGTTCTAATAGGAGGTTTAGATCAGAAGCATTCTTTCGATCACCGAACAAAACCAAGCATGCAGCCAGGGATTTTCGAACGAATGTTATTCTACGTCACATTAGAGGTGAAGAAAGTTTAGAGGCCAACTTACACTGAGGGGACATCGGCTTCAGCAGCGAGACAATGCAGTATTTTTTTCATCTGTGCAGAGTGAAGCCTGGAGATCGCTGTCTGAAGTGAGTTTCGATTGGTCGTCCTCAACCAGCTCGATGCTAAGATAGCGTCTACGAGGTGAATTGCGTCTGACAGCGGCGCATCGAATTCAACAGCTGCAGCTGAAAAGCGCTCGAAGATTGCTAGAGGAACGTTTACCCCCGAATTGGCAAAGACTAACAGTCGTTTTAAGCCTTCCGAGAACCGATCAGCGGATGATGCCCCGTCCATCACAACTCGCCACGGATCAAAATGAGACGACGCATCAGTAGGGCCATCAGCGGCAAGCTCCATAGCCATACTGAACCGTTGAGAGGGATCGTTCTCGCGAGGGAACAGCCTATGGAGAGAGGTCATATTCTAAACGGACATCAGGTCACGTGTGTAATCCCTTGAAGGAGTCTTACCAACCTCACGGACAACATCGACAAGTGAAATATGTTCAAGCCATCGTAGAAGCCAAGATTCAGACACATCGGGTGGTGCACCAGTTGATTGCGCGACACGGATTATAGCCCGCAACAATCTATCCGCATCCTCTGCGTCCTTCACCTGATACCATTGTCAGTCAAGGCCGCTGGAAGCTGAAAAATCAAATGGTAACCAGCTGTGTCACGTTTGAAAGAGTTGGAACGTCGAGATGTACTCCATTTTTCTTGGAAAGCTCCTCGCAAATTTCGTAGACGACAGTCGTGTACAGAGCGGAATCTTGGAGATGCAGTTCGAAAAGCCACTTAGCAGCATAACGGTTTTGTAAGGCGCGCCTCGAGGTGACGTAATCTCCACCAGTGTTGCCAACATTTGCGCCGGTGGCTCGAGACGATGCATTTGTAGGCCAAGGGCTAGGATCTGAGGAGGGGCGGATGCCCGGTAATGGCCGTTGCTTGGCTAGATAGTCGCGCAGAATAATACCAAGGTAATCGTCCTGTGAATGATGTCAAAAGACATCAAGACGACTGAAAATAAACTCACTTCTGCGAAAATCCAAGTGAGAACTATCCTGGTCAACCGTGTCACAATATATTCGGTAAACATCCCGTTTGGCCATAGCTTTCGAACGAGAAGTAGGAAACCCGCCTCATTGACCGACAGATCGAGGTCCGTCAGACAAGCTTCCACAGCAGCTACTAGTGTTTCTACATTGGTAGAAAGGTCGAGGCCCAGAGGAAGGGGGAAGGAGCAAACAGAATCCTGGTTCAACGACTTAACGTCAGTGTCGAAGAAACCAAGATGGAATATGTGTTTTAGGAACAGCTGAGCAGCCGCGTCCGAGTGAATGGTAAACTCATATCCAAGAATGTTGCGGAGATGTGCCAAGTTGACCAATTCAAAGGGGTGGAGCACGTGCACAGCATCATCTTGCTCGATGTCTGCGACGTTCAAAAAATTGCCTTGGGCAACGGGGAGGGGATATGGGGCTTTGATCGTACTGGCAATGAATGCTAAAGTTGACCAAGTATAGGCCAGTCCGTGAGGAGAAGGCTGTTGTTTTCCTGTATCAAGGTAGTCGGCAAACGCCATAGAAATGCGAAGGGATGAGGGCTCAAGCAGAAGGTCGTTACACGCGGATAACACCGTGTTCAATTCGAAAGGCGTGACACTACGGCCCTTGCCTAATACCTCGATGGAACCACTCGACACTCCGTTCGTCAACAGTTCCCACTGAGTCCACAACATGGCAGAGAGCAGTGAAATCTCTTCGTAGGACCGTGTGGCAAGTTGCGCTGCACTAAGGTCAAGAACATCGCCGTAGTGTTCGCGACAGGACTGTCGTAGATCAGACCATTGTATTGACATCGTTTTGGGGTCGACAACGTTGGCAGAACCGTAACAACGCGATGGTCGCTGTTGAGACTCGAGACAGCTGGAATGTGCGAACTGAGAGCATGAGACACATGCAAGTCCTTGTCTTGTGCAACCCCATAGCGGTTTGCGACATAGACAACATAGACATAGGGTGAAGATATTGACTTGTTGGAAAGAATGCCCATGCATATGAACTTGTTCATCCCTCCGACTGGAAAGTACCGGGGAGAATCGGAATGTTGCAATACGCTGAACATCTTTATTGGTGGAGTACTGCACAACCGCGCTGCCTTCTGGGTAATCGTAGCACCCGAAATGGACTGTGCAGAAGCAATGTGTACATGCTAGGCCGAACCCTTCGATATACGAAGAGCAAGAGTGACATTTTGCCTGAGATAACCCAGCGGAGAGGGGGTTTTGAGAAGAATAGAAGTGCCATGGCGTGAATTGATGAGTATATGGATGGTCTCTGGCCAAAGATGGGTTCGCTGAAAGCGCTTTGGCGACAACGAAATGACCGAATGCTTGAGGCCATATCGTTGAGAGAAGGCGGAGCGCTGATCGTCGTGCATGAGTGTGGTATGCAACAACCTCTAAGACGTCCAGATATGCGTCCGGTTTGGCGGCAACGATAAGTTGAACCAGACGGTTATATCGATGAATCACATCCGTGCGCACTTCTTCTTGTGCTACAGACTCCAAGACAGCAGCAATCAGCGGAGGAACTATAGCTGCGAGGGAATATATTGCTTGCGATTGAAATGGGGCAGTTCCAGAGCGCAAATTAACGATGTCCACGGGGGTCCACGGCACCCAGCCATACGGATTGGTGACACTTGTCCCAGCTCCTTCGTCGGCAGCTGAATCAACGGTGATGGATATGGCAGCAGGAGCGACATCGACATCTGCAAAACCTGGCTCAGGTGGCGAAACTATGGGAAGATCCAGACAAACCGTCTCCGAAAGGCTGTTTTGGGGAGTTCTGACCGCGTAGTCTTGCGAGGTCCTCCAGGATGTAGCGGATGACGCCGTCTTCGAAAAAAGCCAGGAGTCGAACATGCATGCTTCTTGGGAAGGTATTAAATGCCGGTATTAAAGCAAGACCAATATCGGAGACGACCTTGGCATCATGACGATAGATGCTCAAGAGGTACTAGAAGACGCAGCAGGGCTGAGATAGGAAGGTGAAAGGGAAGGCGACATACCAAAGCAACATCTAGGACGACCGCTTGGAGCGCATTAGGGGGGCGAAGTGGACCTGGATCCCGTATTTGAAACCGACAGTCTTCGAGAATTACGGAGGAAAGCACTGAGATGCACTGAGAGAGTAGATCGGGTGCTGAGTTGGGATGATTCGCAGGCGAAGGTGAACGGGAACGCCTTCCTGATGGCTGAAGACTATTTCTATTACGAGATAGTCGAAATGGGGACTTGCTGATAGAACGAGTTTTCGGCACTGCGCTAGAGTGTTGGAGATTCACAGGAGGATAATCAGTTCAATGAAATTGCAACATACCCTTTCTCGTCGAAAAGACCAGTAAATATGTGTAGAACGTGCCTCAATTGAACCATGAGACCTAAAGTGGGCTCTGGACTGAAAACGTGGCCGTCATCATCCTCGTCTTCCTCCTCCAAAGTGGAAGGTGAAAGAATTTCATGCTCCATTCGTCCTTGGCGTAGTTTGACCGCACCGCGAACGGTTTGAGCAATCGCAGCAAGACTATTGCTCGAAGATTCGCCTCTTGTCATGGAAATGTCGTAGACAGAAGGGGGAAGAGGTCGGTTCGTCAGTTGATTAAGGACATGACCAAGTAAAGTGCGAGATTCCTCGGGCCGGGGAGCAGATGCTGGTTTGTGGAGAGGGGATGGTGGTACATTGTCCAGCAGAGGACTGGAAGGTGCGGATAATAGGATAGAACTATTTCCACCAGATGTTACGAGCGGTGGCGGCCTCACCGACATGATTGTTGGCGCGGCCAAGCGCGTGACGCGATACGTCACATCGCCTAAATTTGGACTAGCTAATGCCTCCCAAAGTCGAAGTTCTCATTACCCGCCCACCAAACTTTGAACCTTCACACTATAAATCTTTCCCCGTATCCCGCAAAAAACATTCGATGCCCAAAAAACCAATTACGGGCAATAACAAATCATCCACCTCCTCTCAGAACCGCCGACCGAAATCTACGGAATCCAAGGTCAAGCAACACCGAGCACAAAGAGATGCCTCTCAGAAGAAGAAGAATAAGCTTTCATTGTTGGAAGAGTTGAAAAGTGAGTAGCCCCTCTAGATCCGCCACTTTCATTTATCCTCGCCACCGCCGCAGGAAAGCGAAAGGGTCTTGATACGGGTCCCAAAAGAGAAGAGGAGCAATATGCGTCTGCCAGCGATACCGACAGTCTCTTCTCTGCTAGCGACTCTGAATCAGACTTTATCGAGGAGGACGGACAGGTTGCAGTGTTGCCAAAGGAGTTCCAAGCGCAAGACCATCTTTCGCTGCAAATCAAAAAGGTGGTCCAATTCTTTGTTCATGTTGCCGTTCGCCCACCGGCAGAGCGGCAAGCTTTCATGAGTAGAATGCTGCAAAGTGCGTTTACCTCGTTTAGGAGTTATCTCTGGTTGTGACGATCTATCCCTTCAGCCGATGAATATTTCTCGATTCCACTAAAAAATCTCCGGCGGCGGACGTCTAGTCTTGCTGAAACCATCAAATCACTCCGGTGGACCCCAGAGCTATGCAAGCGACTTGTCGAGCGTCATGAGCTGGAATTGGAACCAACGGTAAACAGGACGGTTTCGAAAATATGCGATGCCTGCAACAAAGAGAATAAAAATCATTGTCGAGTGGCGTTGTTGGGTGGCTTCAAGTATGAGAAAATGGGTTTCGAGGTAACCAAGCCTGTAATGGAGGGGAAATGGTCAACCAATCATACCCTCTAGGAACCGCCGCAGAAGGCCAGGAAACCGTCTACGCACACGTTTGGTCCGTTTTGCGCTCAACGCATACAAGCCTACCACGCCCTCTGTCACTGGGAGGTATCATGGCAAGCTCTTCGTCCCTTGCAGTCATTGATGTGACCTCTTAGTACCATCTCTTCTCCTCCATCCGAAATGAAGTGAACCAACTGCATGAAGCAGCTCAAGGCAAGCGAATTGTGAATGATCGCGACATGGCCGTTCGTATAGACTATGAAAGCCTTGGGGCACCAAAGGATCTGCAGGTAAGCTTGGTGCTACACATCACTTGTTGAATCCACTAAACCTTGATCAGGATGCGGTCAGATTACTGATCTCGAGAATGGGCATTGTCTGATCTACTTTGTTTAGGATGCTATCACCGAATGGTTGGTGGAGAGGCAGTTCGTGAAAGTCGAGGGAGACAAACTGAAGCAGACGATTGAGATGGGTCAGAGTGTGGAGAAAGATGCGAGAGCTGGGAAGACAGACAGTTGACATGATGCAGGCCACGCTCGATTCTATTGAACTCTCCCAAGACCGTAAACACTGTGTACTATTATAATGCATTGTACCGTAACAATTCTGAAAGCAAGCGTGATACAGAAGCCTAGGTATACAGATGAAAAAGTGGATCCAAAAACCGTCCGTGAAAAACAACTCATGTGACCTCCAGCACGGAGGTCTCTAACAGGCGGAAGACTGTTGGATCCTTGCATTCCTCGGACCAACCAACAATCTCCCTCCAATTAGCTGCATTGGCTTCTTTCTCACCAGCGCCAGCAAAGATGCCCACCTCATCGTCGTTGAGGCCACGGAAGATGAGGAATAGACGAGTAAAGATACACGAATCGTGGGTGACGGCAATGTCGATGGCGGAAGCGACTCGGCTAGGAGAAAGGAATCGGTAGGCGATGTTTTTGTGAGCGGAGAAGGCAGATAAGTTGTTACTAGAAACATGATCAGGACCCAAAGCTAACAGAATCAACACTGAACTGACTTGATAAAATTCGTACGAGCATGTAGCGACATGCCCAACTGATCAAGAACATTCATCAGGTGGGGTATGAAATCCCGGAAAGACATGGCAAAGCCATTTCTGGGAGCGATATAGTCATTGGGGTCAATCATGCTGGGGTCCGGCCTGGTCAAGTCGTTAGATGGAGGACAGAGAGACGGGTAATACGGACATGGCTTCGTAATATAATGAGGTGGAGACCATTTCGCTTTCGAAATGCTCCAATGCACCACCAGGGTGGACTCGTAGGAAGTATTTGACCTTGTTCTCCGCGACATTCTCGGCTGGAGGCCACATAGTGCCGATTTTCCACAGCGGAGAGAATGTGAGCATGATGTCGCAGTATTGAACTGCTGGAGAGAGGACACTGAGGTTGCACTTGGCCGTGGTTGGCTTCGCAGCAACCGCCAATTTGGTCATGACGCGAGAATCAAACATGAATTCGGGGGAGTAATTTTCATTCGCGAGGCGTGTCCCGCTGAACTCCATCTTGTGGGTATCTCCTTGATGGACAATATCCAATTTGCCCCAAAACATGCCATCGACCATGGTGCCATCTTCCATTCGAGCCATATCGAGCTCATCGGAGTTGACCATAACATCGAGCGCAACGTGTTGTCCTGGCATGAGTTCGAGATTGAAAGCGGCAGGCATTTCCAAAACGGGCGGTGGCCTGTAAAAAAGACATTCGTGTCGCGTTAATAATGGTTGAGAAGCTTACGGGGTACTAGATACAAGAAAGACCGCCTTCAAAACGGGACACGAAAATTAAGGTAATAGTAGGAAATGATGACTCACGGAGGCTCATCCGGGGGTGGAGGTGCATCACTGACCACTTCGACGCGTAGACCAGGTACACCCATTATAGCGATTTGGTATGAGTCTTCGCCTGCGAGCTAGAAGCATTCAGAAGGGGCTGATTAAGCTCGGGAAACACCTACATAGATGTATGGACCGGCAACGAGACGCTGTGGACATTTAGTTTGAGTTGCGATTTGAGTTGGGGATGCTCACAGCGGCTTGCAGCGACGCGAACTCGACTGGGACGCGTAAACCAAAGACAGCATCAGGTGGAGGCTTGGTCCAGTCTCGTGCGACAGCTTCGAGCTCCTACGACACCGGGATAAGCAATGATACGGTGGCGATAGAGGAAAACACCAACCGCAAAAGTGGTTGGAAGCTAGGAATATATCAAAGGTTGAACAGGACTCGAGAGCAGAGGACGAACAACCCGGATTGTTTCCATGTCGCCATATGCCAAAGTTAGGAGACGTTGTCTTGCGAGGGCCATTTGGGCTTGTTTGTCGCGCATGTCGTCCTTGTTTTTGGGCTTGAATTTGCCCCAAAATGATTGGGAGGGCAAACTGGCGCTTGTTGATCTGTTATATAGGGCGAGCAGTTTGAAGAGATGGGGAGGGGACAAGGTGGGCGTACGCTGGAGAATGAAGCATGGCACAAGGCAGCCACGAGTTTTATAGATCCACAAGATAATCGTGTGCAAAGACCCACTGATGCGTGACAACGTGACAGACCACCAGAACACACCCGAAATGCTCCACCGGTTGGCCTTTTGAGCTTCAGCAGCGCCATAGATGTGCGATAACAATTCTACAGACGCGTCTTTTCGTTGCCCCGACGCGTCACTGCGGTGCGGCACGTGACGTCGGTGTCGATGAGCTTCAATCTCCCAGATGTTTCTCCACGCAAGTTAGAACCTCAAGCACAAATCGTGTGTTGAAATTATTTGCCGCCTGCCTGGAACATATACCTTGACAGCCATATCTCCCCGACTTTTATGAGTCGGCCAAGAAAAAAGGCCCAACCCGCCGAGCCAGTCGAGCCAGTGTTGCCCAAATTATCAGTCATTTCGGAGACTGACCACTCTCACAATCTCCAAGTAGTTGACGTAGAGCCAACGCCCAAGGAAGGCAGGGGTTCGGCTTGAGCATATCTTTTTGTCGCAATAATAATAATCCTATTATGCTTCACTTCCGACCACCATCTCGGTGTTTGCACCGGTCATGTCGTGTCTTAGCGGACCGTGTTGGACCTCCCCACCCCATCTCCAACATGCGCCCTGTAGTCTATGATGACGACGAGCCAACCTCTGCGCCTCGGGCTTATCATCCATATTCTCTTCACGAGTTTGACCCCACACCCAACACAAGTCCACACAAATTGCATTGGAAGCTGTTGAGGCAACAAAACGACCAGTTTCATCATGAATTCTGGATCGAAGTGAGTCGAAACACAGTCGTATAGTCAGATTGTTTAGTATTCGCAGAGCAACACTCGCTTTGAACGAGGGAAAATTGCGGCCTTGGCAGCCCTACCATCCACCGCGACCGCTCTCGATAAGGAACGAGCTCTGTCCGCCTTCTACAAACAATGGGTTACACAGGAGGAACCTCGAATCACTCGTTATACTGAAGAATGGCGACAGCGTAATTCAGCTGCTCTCAGCGTAGCCTTCCGTGCAGAATACCAGAAGCTGACTTCCCGCGTTTTGAAATTATTCAACAACTTTTAATGTACATTCCCCACGATCTCTCTAGCAGCGAGCTCTCGCACTCGCTCATACGCATCCTTTAAATCAAACTCGCCCAACTTGTCGCACTCCAGAGCGTAGTCTTGCAACAACGTCTCTACTTGCTCACTCGACAATCCTGGCCACCGGGACATAATTTCTGCCTCTGTTGGGGTCACCAGCGCCATATCCGGATCAGTATCGTAGCCTTCTGGAGGGTTGTCCAGCGCAAGCACTACACAGAGTGTGGCAAACAAAGCCGTAGATCGCAGTCGCTCCGTCAACTCATGGTCAGAAACGTTGGAGGTGCGGCGAATGGTGTCCCAGCTATCAGCCATTAGTCTAGGGCGAAGAGTCAGGAGTAAAAATTACTCGTCATGAATGTATATTCGTCTCCAAACCGATCTGAAAGCTGAGCTTCTCCGAGCCTCCGGAAGATTCTGATACTGTGTGAGACAATTGAGCGGTATTCACAGAGGTCGTTACCTGAGCCCGTGCAAGAAGATGAAGTGCTGTCGTATAATCTCCAAGCGTCGTCAGGTTGTCCTTGAGTGTCAGTAAATCCACCATGTCCTCCATTGTCAATGATTTTCCTTGTAACAGCTGATGGACCAAATCCTTGAATATCTGGCCAAACGTTCCAGTCGGTATATGTCGAACGAAACGCGGGGCCTACCAATGTCATCGACTTTTGTTCGGAAAGACGGGAGGCTTCGTTCTTGACGATGGCCTCAATCTGTGCGTCGAGAGACTGACGTCCACGTAAAGACTCGATAACCGGTCTGAATTCATCCATGATAGCTTGATGTACGCTAACAAAATCCAAATCGTTGTGGAAGCCTGCCATTATGGTCATTAGTGACAATAACTCAAAGAAACAAACGTACTGTCAAGCAAATCATCCTCCTCAAACTGGCTCCGTTCTTGCAGGTGAGCTAGATGGGCTAGTTTCCCGATACTCAACATTAGCTATGGAATGTCAGTTCAACGCCACGGCAACTTGAAGACGGACATGTTTAGTGTTCAATTGGGCGGTGGCATCGGACTCGGTCAGTAGGGCGACAGCCGCTTCTTCGTACCGACGTTGTTCAAGGTTGTGAATCCAAGAAATGGCATGCTGCTGTTCCGTGGCAAAAAATTTGTCGATATACACATTATGTGTGGCGTCCTGCGAGAAGAGGACCCGCAATTCCCCTGCTTCGTGTCAGCGTGACAACCGAGAGCACGTTCCAGACAAACCATGCTGAATGTACCACTTGTAAAGCTCATTAGTGAACTCTTCGTCGAATTTTTCAATGTAGGTTTGGATCTTCAGGGCATTTGGGTTCTTATGTGGTGGATAGACGTCCTCCTGGTGACACAAGGCCACAAGACTGCTAAAGTCGCGGTATTTTTCTGCCAACGTTAATGCGGCCGCTGCATGGCCATGTTTCCCTGACTTAGATCAGTCTACGGAATCATAACCCGAAATTTTGGCCACGCACGAAGAGTTTCAAAAATATCGGGCCTGAGGGAGCTGAATCGGTGCTTGAGCTCAGTCTGATCACGATCATGCCCAGAAGTTTCGCTGGCGATACGACTGCTTGCTGTCAGTTTATTTTGGATGATTTATATGGCAAGATAACTTGCCTCGCGAGCCAATCAAGACGCTCTTGAATACAACGGAACAACATGGTAGCGAGCTCTGGGAGTTGCCCAGTCAAGTATGATTGGTGAGGCAGCGCGGAATCAGCCTGTGGTGTGGTGTCCAAAATCCTCGTGCTCGTCTCGAACAATGCGAGAAGAACATCGATGAGCACAGGCTGACTGGTCCAAGCATCAATCATGGGCGGTGCTATGCCGTAGACACCAAGATTGTATTCTCGATACTCCGTCGCAGATCGAAGAGCGGTCTAGTTTGTAAGCTTAGACGACCCAAAGTGGAAGATAGCGGGCGCACTGAGATGACACGATTGGCCTCCGGGATTAGTTCTCTGATGTCGCGTCCACTGTTTTGCGCTAGTTTCGCAGTAACATCCGATATTTGAGAGAGAACAACCCCAAGATCGCTCACACGCAGACGGAAAAATGCGCGAACCAAATCTTCATGGTGGCCTTCCCCGATGCTTTCCATATAAAGCTCAATAACCTCGTTGAAAACACTCTCTGATCTGTAGCGCATTTAACCCAAATACTTGCATAGACAGCGAAGACACAACGAACGCGATAACCTCATTATGTTGCATCCAGAGCTGATACCCAGCATAGAGCTTTTCTGAATCTGTAGCCAGCCGTTGGCGACTTCTTTGTGACATCTGGAGTACTCGAATAAAAGAACGCATGAGCAATGAGAAAGAAATAGACCTTGCCCAAGACTGCATTGTCATTGATAAAATGGATCAGCCAGCTGAGACGTTCTTTTCGTGTTGTGAGTTGCGCCCCAAGGTCAGCGTTGCTCCGGACAACTTGTGGATCTGCGAAAATTAAGAAGCGCGAAGAAAGTATTGGCTGGACGGATACCTGAACGTAGAACTTCAGCGCTAAGCTGTTCGGCGCCTTGCATTAAACTTTCCGCGTCTATGGCAGGCGGAAAACTGAACTGGAGAGGGTTCTATGACACGTTAGTTATGGTATCAACAACTGGCTTGAGCTGAGCTACATCGGGAATTGAACCATAAACAATCGCCTGTGTCATGATTGACTTGATGAGACTCGAACGACCCGTCCTGGCTCGATGAGCAACAGAAAAGATGGCATGTACTCTTACTCGGAGTTGAAGTCCTGAATTGCCTCCATGTTGACCTGGGCTTTGATCATCGTGGCGGCAGTCATGATCAACAACGAGCTCTCATTGTGAATTACGCCCACACCCAATGTGCGGTCTGAGGTGGATTTGAGCTCGATGCGATCACTATATTGGGAGTCTCGCAAGTATAAGACTTATGCTAGAATGGATATGGCGCACATACCTCTGGAACACAGGGTCACCGCATCTCCAAACTGAACGCTTATTAGTTGACCATCTAGTAAGACTTGAACCCGGGGGTGCATTGGTGCCCCAGAGCCAGACGTCTAGCTGTCATTAGCTGAGCTGTAACGGATGAATTTGTTGACCTACGGTCTGGTAGGGGACATCGCGGACCGCATCCACTTTGAAGACTTCACCGAGATGGGACAGTTGCAGAAGGGCATATATTCTGCGTGCCTCCACACTCATAAGCTCCGTTTCTTCGATTCCCGCAAATGACACAAGTACGGTGAGTTTTCCCTCGCTGGGATGATTAAAATTAATTGTATCTTGGATGAAAAAGAGACGCACTGGTCGACAGTGAGATCAACAAATTCCAGATCTAGCCTGGCGTCATCATCTTCGACATTGGCGAGAGACTGTCTCAGGGCAGCCCTGGATATGGTAGAAATATCTTGGTCTAACAAGGGTTCCTCCCAACCCTCGGGTCTTATTTCCCACCTCTGGACACGGGTTTCGACAAGTGCCCACAGTTCACGACCTCCAGTAGGCGTCGGGCCCCCGAGGACGATTGAGTTGATATTCCCAAGCTCTGGGTTTATTCGGTTTGAGTGGAGTGACGCGGGTGAAAAGAATGGGATAAGTCGCGAGAGGGAAAGCCCCGTCGCTGGTCGCGAAAAAGCGTGCAAGGTGAGATGGTGCTTCCCTCCGGTGGATGTAAGTACCAGACGAAAGAGAAGCCCCGAGCTGGTGGAAAGGATGTACGTTTGTGGCTGTGGCAAGGAGCGTAAGAATGGGGGATTCGCAGCAAGGGAATGCCCACATCTGCGCGAATTAAATTTGTGACCTCATCATCGTCGGCCATTTCGAGCTGATTGGTCGAATAGTTCTGGCCACCAGCAAGGCCTATCCCAATACTATCCCAGAATCGAATTTCGCCCGAGACAGACACGAGCATCAAACCCGGTTCCCGAGCAGATGTGTAGGGAACAAGACCATGGAATGGTGGTGTGCTGGAGTTCTCGTCTTGAGGACAGGCAAAAATATAGCAAGTTGGGATACCCTTGAGAGCCTAAAACGAGTTCGATGGAGTTTGTGGAGACAGTATAACCCACACCTGGACATGTTGCCAAACGAAACAAGTCTGCACAGATGCGACTAAAGCAAAACCAGTCTCCGTGTCAATCGCACCGGTGTACGCCTCCGCAAAGAAATCTTCGTAGAGAAACATCAGGATTCGCGAGAAGAAGGAAATAGAATGGAATAACCTGCGTTTTTGAGGATTTGCTTAACCTCAGCTGGAAGAGCAGCATAGAAAGAGATAGTGAGCTCGTTAGATTTAGCAAATAACGTGTCAGCGGTGGGCCGCTGGAGCAAACTCCGGTCAGACACGACAGAGTCTACTTCCATCGCGGAGACAATGGAATCATTGCCGAATGGTGTTGCTCGTGAAGGGGTTGCAAGGCGCGATATTGGGTGGTGCAGGCGATGAGGTGGGGAGTTCTGAAATGGTCGATGGCGCATGGAGCGACGCGGCACAGGCGACGGTGAAAAACTGGCCATGGTGTTCGTGAGCGCGTTTGTCACACTGTTTGTCACAGCTTGTGGACTGATACAATGTTACAAGTATTGATAGTAGAGGACCATACAACAGTGATAATAATACGAGGCGAGCACTATTGCACGCCTTCAGATAATAGTAATGTCAGACAACGTCCCTCATTTAGTGGTGGTCGCCGACGAGAACTTGGTGACCGACTTGGTGCCTAACAAACACAGTCAACTAACGAGCTATGTACAAGAGAACGACGGGGGCATACCTTCACTGATAGCATGCTTCGCCAATTCTCCAGGTAGAATGAGGCGAACACTCGTCTGAATTTCGCGCGACGAGATCGTTGACTTCTTCGAGTACTGGGCCAATTCTAAGTGCGAAACAGTTAGGCACGGAAAGCAATTGGATCGTAACAGGTACGCACTCGACGCTTCTGTGGCAATACGCTCAAAGATGTCGTTCACAAACGAGTTCAGGATCGCCATGGCCTTGTTCGAGATACCAGTGTCAGGGTGGACTTGCTTCAACACTAGAATAACGCGTCAACCATGCCACCTTCCAACACCCCCAATGACCAACATACCCTTGTAGATGTAGGACGAGTACGTCTCCTTGCGGACCTTCTTGCGCTTCTTCTTCTCGCCGTCAGCAGCTGGTGCTGCCGATTTCTTGGTGGCGGTTTTCTTCCCGGCCTTCGAGCCTTCACTCTATCCAATCGTAAGTCGACCCATACAGTGCATTATCGCTCGAGCTAGGTACCTTGGCGGGAGCTTTGCCAGCAGTCGATGCAGGTGCTTTTCCAGCGGTGGATGCGGGCTGTAGAGCATCGTTAGCCATTACATTGCAATATCATCACTGTGCTTCGACCTTAGGTGCCATTGATCGTCTTGAAGTTGGAAGCGAGGTGGTGGTTTGAGGAAGAAGAGTGAACGCTGAGTTGCTTGGTGGTGGTTGCCTTTTAAAGGGTCACCGTCTTCTCACGATCACGCTGACAATCAACGACGCGTTGGAACGTGACTTGGCGATAAGATAACAGTAAAATTGCTAACCTTGCCTCTGGTTTAGGCTTAACGACCATTCTATCCGCTCATAATCATCCGGATGCTCTCGTCTCCCACATTTTACAAACTACGATCCATTCACAATCCCTCACCCCAATCAAATCAAAGTTTAATCAAAGTTTAGTCATCGTAAATGACACATCAGCACTTCTCTTCCATGCTCATGATTCGTCTTCGTTTGCAGACTCGGAACGGTACTTTCACTTCGTTGTCGTATGCAGACGACCAGCTTCGGATACAGAATGGTCAACATACTTCACCCCCAGCTTCTTCATGTTTGACTATGTTCTAGCCCGTACGCTCAGCCTCCCCTTGCGCCAAGTTATTACCGCAAAGCGTACTGGGCGGTCGCTGCAGCTTTCCTATATCATCAAAAATAAGTCTATGTCGCTTCAACAGCTAAGCGGTACCGTTGAAGAGGTGGCTGACGACGTCCTGGACGCCTGGATAGACACACTCCTCCACATGGCCTATGACGGTTAGTCCGTTCTTCACTGCGGCCAGCTTAGTTCTCAGTGCTCGGGAGACGTCGGGGCTAAACGCGGTCGTCGACTAAAGGTAGTCGTTAATCCTCATGGCGGAACGGTGCGCACGCGACTCTGATGTTGATACTTTTTAACAAGGAGAACTAGAAAAAGGCAGTCGGAATCTTCAACAAGACCATCGAGCCAATATTACGGGCTGCTGAATGTTCGTTAGATGTTATTCGTATGCCTCTTCAATGCTCAAAATGGAACCCGCTGATTCAAATGCAGAAACTACGCGTCGCGGACATGCCTATGACATCGCGAAAACGCTGACCCTGTCGGACTATGATGCGATAGTGGTTGTATCTGGTGACGGTCTCATTCATGAGATTCTAAATGGACTAGCAAACCATGAACACCCTATCAAGGCGTTAAGCATTCCATTGGCTCCCATTCCCACTGGGACTGGCAATGGTTTATCGCTCAACTTGCTTGGCTTCGAAGTCAATGATTATATAGACAAGCACACCATTACTGAATACGGCTTAGGACGGTTTCGATGTTTGTGCTGCCGCACTCAATGTCGTGAAAGGTGGGCGAATCGGCTGCAGGAAGGCTGGTTCTGACACAGGGTAGGGCTTCCCATGAAAATCGACTTGTTGTCAGTGGTTCAAAATGGCAAGCGAACTATTTCCTTCATGTCTCAAGCCATGGGCTTAATGGCCGACGCGGATATCGGCACTGAGCATCTACGTTGGATGGGTGAAGCGCGCTTCACCTACGGGCTGCTTCGTGGTTGTGAGAATACTTCATAGTTTCATCAGGATACCTCACTGATTGTCTGTTAGTGCTTCGTTTCAAGCCGTGTCCAATTCAGCTCTCATATAAAGCCTTTGAAACCGACAAAGACAAAATGTACGAAAGCCTCCAAAAGCGCAAGACAAATCCTTCGTCCACAACACCCACAACGGATGCAGAATCAACACAGTTACCTGAACTGAAATATGTTTCAAATGACGATGACTGGACTGTGGTCGAAGAGCCGCTTCTCTATGTGCTGGCTGGGAAAGGGCCGTATATTGGCCGGTAGGTTTTACTAATTCAATTTTCATCGTGTCCTCCTGAAAATTGTAGGGATTACATGTCTTTTCCCGTCTCAGTACCGGACGATGGCCTTATGGATATCGTGCTTCAGACTATGGTTCGCAAACAAGCATCCCAGTGAATTTTATGCCAATAATGTCCATCCTAGGCCGTTTCCAGAGGACAAATTATTACTAATATTGGCGGCGCCGCCAAGGGCGAAGTGTATTGGCACCCCAGTGTAACGTCAAAGTCGATTCCTTGAAGCTTCACTTCTCATCTACGTATTAGATTCGGTACGTCAAGGCTCACGCCTACCGCGTTAAACCACTCTCCAAAAATGGCGCACTAGCGGTGGACGGCGAAATCTTTCCATTTGAAGAATTTCAAGTCGAAACGCACCCCAAACTGGGCAACCTGCTAAGTTTATACGGCTCTTACGTTGCTGACTTTGCCCAGAAAAAGACATGCAACAAAGCATCGTGATCATAATATATATACCTTAGACCCAACCATTTGTCCAGTTCCTTTCTGTGAAATCTTTGAAGAAGGCACCGGTGATCGGTGGTTTGCGGATTATTGGATGTAGCACTCTGGCAGCGCCGTCTTGCCACGATAACGGGACGTCAAATTCCTCTTGACCATTCTTTCCGTTGTGAGTTACGCTGTGTTGGTGACTCAGATAGCCAGGGTCAACACTGTTGATGTAAACGCGTTGACCGCGGAATTCTTCAGCAAGAGTTTGGGTGCACATGTTGAGGGCAGCCTGCGTAAGACGTTGAGTAAAGGGAATCTAACGTGAACTTGAAACCTTGGCCATGTTGGTGTGAACGTGGGCAGCTGTCCTTCGGTTTCCCTCGATTTCGAACATGCCTTCGCGAGAGGACACGTTTATAATGTGGGTGTCGGTATTGTGTAGCATCATACGCACACATTCGCGTATTAGGATGAAGGGGCAAACAGCATTGATGGCAAGTACATCCAAGAGTTCTTGATAGGTGAAATCACAGTAGCGCGATTCCCAAGCATTTCCAGGATGTGGTGTAGTAACCAAGGCATTGTCGATCGCCGCAAGAGCGTGATGGTCTGCGGTTATTAGCCTCTGCTCGTTGGCAATGAGTCGCTGATATTCAGGTTCGGGTATTGGCACAGTAAGAGCGGCATTGTTGATCAGAATGTCTAATCGGCCACTGCTGGTGGTCTTGCAGATACCATGGATCGCTTCGAGGGCTTTCTGGATCGAAGAAGGGGAAGTAAAGTCGGCTTGGAGAATATGCAATTGCGCACACCACAGTTCATAGTCGCTTTCAAGCATGTAGCGTGTTAAAGCATCTTCAGGGAAGCGGGTCGTCACGATAACAGAGGACGCGCCACCACGAAGCAGCGCAAGAGCAACTGAGTAACCCAAGTTGATGCGACCACCAGTTACTAAAGCCGATTTCTGGTGAAAGAGATCAGGAACCGCAATATCTGCCCTCCTTGCAGCATTAAACGTGGTGCAAATTTCACAGAGCGGGGGAGCCTCTGGAGTTATGTCGTATTCTCGTTGGCGACGACTGAACGAATACAGTTAACCGACGAAATATGATGAGCTACACTTTCGAACCAGATGTAGCATCGAGAAAACAGCTTCCTTGGCGTATTGGGTTTGAAGTATCGTCCTGCTGCGATGTCCTTGGCGAGGATTCGGATTCGATTGGCTTTCTGCATAGGGATCCCTCCCAAACCGTGGGCCATAATGTGGCTCAGAACACGTAGAGTCGTATCAGCGTCCTCATCTGAGATGTAAGGTGGTAGCTGTGACATTGTGGTGGTCGCAGAGAAAGAAAGAGTGTACTTGAGTGCTCCTGTTCATCGAGAATCAGATCAAATCATATCAAGTCACTTGAACTCACACGATGATCTTCTCGTCCTAACCTCAACCGGAAATTATGGTTTCTGTTGTACGGCGCTTTCACTCGGTTTTGGCATCCAGCCAACTGGCAGCTCTCGAAAGCTACATCCGAGCGCCCAAGCGACTCGTGCTTGAAGACAAGTTCAGTGTCGAAAAAGTCTCCGATTTATTGATTTCCATTCCCACTCGAGATGGCACCCGTCGCCCTTACCAGCCACCCAAGTCTGGCGACCTAGTGGGAAATGGCTGGCATCTAGCCTTTTTTCATCCCAGAACACCCGAAAGCCAGCTTGCAGAAGACGGCACGGATGGCGTCGTCGAATTCGGACCACCAAGTCCGTTTACTCGACGAATGTGGGTCAGTGGCCGCATATGCTGGGATGTGAATCATCCACTGCGCGTCGGAGACAAAGCCATTTCCACTTCGCATTTTGGATCTGTCCAAAAGAAAGGCTTTGAAACCAGCAATCCCATGGTCTTCGTCACACAGAAGATAAATATAACGACCGCGGGGCAATCAACCTCTTCGATAACCGAAGAAAGGTCGCATGTATATGTGGGCGAGTCCGTAGCTCCCTCTTCAACTCCGCGAGTGGGTAAGTTGAAGCAACCGCCGAGTGTAAGATTCTCAGCTAGTCATCCATAGTCAGAGACATCCCAGCCACTTCAGACTTTTCTTTTGGTTTTACTCCGACGCTTACGACTCTTTTCCGTTTCTCAGCTCTCATGTTCAACGCCCACCTCATTCACCTTGATTTAGACTGGGCCCAGGCAAAACGCGGCTACCCAGGTTAGCAGGCCCACACAATCACACGCTTCTAACCCTTTCGCTAGAGAGGCTTGTTCATGGTCCACTCACAGCACTGATGATGCTCGAAGCCGCCCAGTTGCACAAACCGGAGGCGGAGATCATTGAATTCGACTATCGTGCTCGGAATCCCATGATAGTGAATGAAGGGCTCACATTTAATGTGAAATGGGGAGAGGACAATACTGCGGTGTTGTGGTGCGCGAACGAAAAGGGTGTTGTCGGTATGACTGGGGCGATCAAGATACGCGGTACCAAACTGTGACTTAGCACACGTGATCACATAGTAACGCGTCTTGTTTATCCAAACTTAAACCCAAACCACCATCTCGCCCAGAACCAATAATGGCACCGAAGGTTGGATGCTCTTGCTAATGCTTCAGTCCATTAGTTAATTGTATTCCGCAGCCCGCATCCACCGCTGGAAAAGCACCTGCATCGACTGCTGGCAAAGCTCCCGCCAAGGTACCTAGCTCGAGCGATAATGCACTGTATGGGTCGACTTACGATTGGATAGAGTGAAGGCTCGAAGGCCGGGAAGAAAACCGCCACCAAGAAATCGGCAGCACCAGCTGCTGACGGCGAGAAGAAGAAGCGCAAGAAGGTCCGCAAGGAGACGTACTCGTCCTACATCTACAAGGGTATGTTGGTCATTGGGGGTGTTGGAAGGTGGCATGGTTGACGCGTTATTCTAGTGTTGAAGCAAGTCCACCCTGACACTGGTATCTCGAACAAGGCCATGGCGATCCTGAACTCGTTTGTGAACGACATCTTTGAGCGTATTGCCACAGAAGCGTCGAGTGCGTACCTGTTACGATCCAATTGCTTTCCGTGCCTAACTGTTTCGCACTTAGAATTGGCCCAGTACTCGAAGAAGTCAACGATCTCGTCGCGCGAAATTCAGACGAGTGTTCGCCTCATTCTACCTGGAGAATTGGCGAAGCATGCTATCAGTGAAGGTATGCCACCGCCGTTCTCTTGTACATAGCTCGTTAGTTGACTGTGTTTGTTAGGCACCAAGTCGGTCACTAAGTTCTCGTCGGCGACTACCACCAAGTGAGGAATGTCGTCTTGGACATCCCCTTCGTATCATTATTATCGTCCTGTTTTTCTTGTAATTGTAAACACAAGCAATCCATTGACTAGTCAAACATCTGGGCGAGGATTTTTGGCAGGAACAAGGCTAAAAGCCTAAGACACATAAATCAGGTGAATAGCAAAGTTGGTGCAGCGCACCGTATTTGTTGCCGGCCTCTTTTCGATTGCGCTTTCCCTCTGCGATCTTTTCCTCCAGTGCCTCTCTGTTGGCGTAGGCTTGATGCAGCATTGTGGCCAACTGGTGACGCGAATTCGCTATCCTACTTGATTTGGAGGCCTATCAACAGTTCAGAGTGTTTCAACCACAAGAGGAAGAATGCTAACCGTGAGCTTGATGTTTGGTGCAGACGGCCCACTCCCGCCCATCGTCATCGCTTTCCTGGTCTCTCGTTCGTGGAACTCCTTCTTAGCCTTCTCTCTCTCCTTCTCCGCGTTTATTTCTTCCACCTCGGCATTGTCGAGCTCCTCGAAACCTTTGACCTTCCCTTTCTCCAGCGCGCGGACGTGTGCGTCGTATTCGGCTTGCCACTTCTTGGTAAATTTCGCATAATAGGCCGGATCATAGGCCGCCCAAGTGCCGGAGGGGAGGGTGTAGTATCCAGGATATGGGTCATTTGGGGTCGGCTCTGGGGGCTCGAATTTGGGGATGTTTGGCGCAGATGAGACTGAGGGACGGGAAACAGACAACTCAGGCGTCGCCGTGGACTGGGGTATTGACGGTCCTGCTGGTGCACGTGTAAATCGATGCAAAGCAGTGTAAAATAGAAGACATACCGAGCGAAAAGAAATCGACATTGGACTGGACTGCCCGCGTCGACGATGCTTTGCTGCCGCTTGCACCATCCTCCAGATTGACATTTGTCTTCCCCTTCGTCAAAGAAGTTGGTCGGAACGCAATCGACTCGCTCTTTTCCGGCTTGGCCGTCTCAAAGTCCAACGCTGGGGCTGCGCCACCACCTAATGTTCGTTGGGGAGCAGGCAGGATTGGATTCTTTTCTTTAGGTGCGGGTAGCATTGACAATAGCAACGATTTCCCAGCGCCGGGCTCTAGTCTCGCTTTCTTTGCGGGCGGCCGTTCTCCGTCCAGGTCATCATCTTCAACTGCTGGAGAAAGCGCAGGTAGGCCGATCGTGATTTTCTTTGGCGGCCGTTTCTTGGGGGCTGGGGCTGGGGTCGGGGCAGCAGCAGGCTTGGTTTGGACATCCTCTGCCTCGCTTTCGTGCTCGCTATCGCTGCCGTAGTCGCCGAGTCCAAGGTTCATGGTGGTGGTTGATGTCTAAGCTGGAATTATTGCTACGATTTCTATTGTACGACAAGATTTTGTGAGTTGGATGCCTATTGTAATGTTGCCAACTGCAGTCTATTTCCAAGTCCATGGGGGCATGTATGAAAGTCCAAGAGAGTGAGTGCAGAAAATAAAATGCGAAATGCTAAGTCTATAAGGGTTCGTGATCATGGCCGAGCTAGGATCAGGTTAGAACCACATCTTTTGGAACGTTCAAGAGACACGCACAAAGTTGCTCCTTCCTGAAGAAGAACATATACCCGGCCACGATGATCAATTGGCAAATAAGAGCAATCCAGAATATGGGTTCAGCCATGGGACTGCCTATAGAAAAAAAAAGGTTAGTTGTTGTTGCATAAGCCCTGGAATGGAGGGCAACGGACCTTTGAGGCCTTCGGAAAAGTCCCATTTTGCTGCGTCAGGGAACACAGTGCCAGGGCCAATACGGTTGGGAGCTGTGGCCCGAGCGACCATGACGCACACGGACCCAATGACTTGCGCAAAGGCAAGAGTGGCGGCGACATGGAGACGAGAAAGTGTCTGGGGACAGAACGTGAATAAAGAAACAAACTGGGACTAAGGTCTTACCTGGAGCAAAATCATACCCAAACCGACACCTTGAATCGCATCTAGCACACCAAGCCAGAGCCAAAGGGATATTCCCAAATAAGGACCGCCAGAGCCTGCCCACGGAATGTACAGCGCAAGAGACGAGGTACCCCACAACATCTAAAAAATTTACTATGGCGAAGGGAAGCGAGAGAAAGAGTTTTGCCCACCTGACACCATCGAGGAGCCCCGAGACCGACGGCGAAGACTGGCAAAAACCAGGTGTGGGTTTTAGAGAAGTGCGTCAGAATCAAGAGCATGACAGCCCAAACTCCAACGAAGAAAGCGACGACGAGGAGACCAATCTGCCACTTGGGAACATTGACATTCCATAAAAAGGTCCAGTTTCGTCCGTAGGGCTAGAAATACGTGTCAGTGGACAGTGGGCGATGACGAATAAATTATTACACCACTCAACCAATAGTCACGAAGTACCTCCGATGCCAAGAACCACAGAACGAGTTTGCGACGGAATAAAGTCTGCAAGAAGTGGGGGACTTTTGGGGGCGTCTGACGATAGTAGTCTGCACTTCTGTTAGCTGAATGGTGAACGCGGAGAGTGGAAACACAAACCTGGAAGTCCGTACAACATCAAGTATGCGAAAATGAAGCAGATGATGGAGAACGGCCAGACAACAATGCAGATATACCACGGAGGGACGTAGTTGTCTGAGACACCATTGAGAGTGTAGCCCCAGTACCACAGACCTGCCACCCAAACTTGTTGACTGCCCTGAACGATGCAAGCACGCATAGTCCATACTTCCGTCGCCGCACCACCCTCTTCGCCAAAGTTGAGTGCAAACCAGGCCCATCCCCTAGTAACGGTAGGTCAGTGTCAAGAACATAGAGATAGGCACAAATGCTGACGCAGCAGAGGCAATGGCGTAACACCAAGTAGCTATATTGGCGAGTGTCCTGTGGGCTGGCGCAATTGCGGTGGCAACAGAGGGCAAGCCTATGAGAAGGAACGCTAGGCCGAAGAAAATCCAAGGAATGGAAAGTACGTATATCGAGGGCTTGAGTCGGAAAAGAGGATACCAGACAAAAGAGGCGGCCAAGAAAACACCACCGAGGACATATAACTGGAAATTGTCCTCCCAATTTCTGCCGGTAAGTAGGGTGATTTGGAAACTTGTTGCGCTGATCATTTGACCAAGAGCCATCACGATTGCATAGAGCGGCCAGCCCCAAACTTCGCGTGACATGACGATTTGCAGCCTGGTCATAGGTACTTCTTCAGGTGGTCCAGCGTCCATATGCATGGGAGTGTCATAATCGCTCATCCCAAACTCCTGCAAGCTTGGCGAAGTCGGTCGAGAATAGATTGAAGGCGACGGAGTGCCCCAAACCGATTCGCGTTTCGATCTTATGCTAGCAGCACTCGACGCCAATTTATCTTTGCGGACTTTTCCAAAGAAGGCTTCTTCGCTCTTGAGCAGGAACTTTTCGATGGAGAGTTCGTGCTCCGAGTTTTTCGCATTGAGACCTTGGAGCTTCTGGACGAATTCATTGGCGACACCGCCATCCGCATCCGTGAACTGAAGTGAGTGCATTGAATACAAAATGAGATCAAGGTGGTTGGCTCTGGCTTACCGATGCAATAGCTTTGTTCAATGGCGAGTTGGATTTCTCGTCGACGATAGAAGAAATGGATTCAACAGAGGAGACGCGAGAGTGTGATCCGAAGGGTCGAGTTGGGGCTGAAGAAGGATCAAGGAATGGGTCTGGGGCATGACGTTGGTCTTTCCCGATTGTTTTGTTGACCCTCTCCAAGAAGTCATCGTATCCAGCTTCTGGTGTGCCAGGCGTGACACTATAGGTGCTACCACGACCATGATTTCCCCCGAAATAGTCGTCACCGCCTGTGCTGTAGGTAGAGTCACGTGGAACATGGCCATTTCCTGCAGTGAGCGTCTCTTGGCTCCACTGTCCTGAAGCACTTGGAGATCCGGGAGCCACAGCACTATAGCGAGGGTCTACGCTCCGCAAGCTGCTCCGCACACTGCGACTATCCCAGTCAGGTTGAGAAGGATAAGCTTGGGTGACAGGATTCCAGTCATCCACGTGACCAATCGGCTGTGTGTTGCCGCCATCGCAATCTGATTCTCGCCAGGCATCAGAACCAGCGGCACCACGGCTGATGTTGATGCTTCGTTTGTGGAAGTCTTCCATACGCTGTCGCCATTCAACTACAGGGAAACGCTGAACAGCAGAGCGCGCGCGAAGGACAGCACGCTCCTCCTCTGTCGATTTCAGTGCCATTTTTATAGTCTTGCCCAGTTGTGACAGCATGTGGGCAGCTGCACTTGATTCTACAGGATACCACCAGCCCTGTTCGAAATGAGATGGCAAACTCAAAGCCGCAAAAACAACGTACCGGCATAAGACCCAGCCCTCCTAGTCGAGAACCAACACCAAGAGCGCCCTTGCGTCCAAACTCTACGGCCACTAACCCGAATGGTTCATCACGTGAAGGAATGAGAGCAAAGTCGGCGCCACTAAATAAGTACGGCGGAAGTGCAGTGAATTCTGGCTTTGAGTAGACGCGATTTGGATAAAGTTCCATAAGACGAGCGAGTTTCTCTGCAGCGAATCTTCCATACAAGTCAATAACAGGTCCAACACAGATCAGTTGGATGGTGGGTCGTTTTTCAAGCCTACAACATGTTAGTGCTACTGATACGGAATTGGCTGTTACTCACATTGATGGCATGATATCCGCGATGAGGTCAACACCCTTCTGCTTTGACCATCGTCCTACAAAGACAAAAAGGTCGGACTTTGGATCTTGCGAAATTCCTGCCCATTCCTGGGCCTGACGTTTGTGTTCCGGGCGCTGTGCTTCCGCCTCTTGGTCAATTTGAATGTGTTTGGCTTTCGTCGGGTTTTCATCGAGGGCTGCGATATCACTGGGGTCGGGATTAGGAAGGGAGTCAACGTGTTTGAGGGTCCAAAGAGCCGGGTAACGTGCCCAACTGCGTTTTCCGTATTTGTCTGAGACGCCTGCAACACCGACACTCTTTTGGTGCACGCTAATGAATGATGCTGCCGCATGCAGTAAGTTGAAGGTGTTTCCAAATTGAACGTATTTCGTGCAGTGTTCCTTGCTGATATTGAAGGCGGAACAAACTTCTTTCATCTCCTCCTTTGTGCGCAAGGGCCAGAGACCTTGGAATTCGGCGTTGTGGAGGGAAAGACAAACGGGAATAACTTTGGGAAGAAGGTAAATGGGGGCGAGTGCACCATGGTAGTCGTTGATGTGGTAGATGTCGATGGTTGGGCTGCGTCTAATGGTTGCGGCAATGGCTTGATTCCACGTGCTATAGAAAATAGCGGAACTAAGATCGTCCATTCGCGCCGGATATGGGTCAGCTTTTGTTTGAGCACGGAAAACGGGACTGTCGAGGATGACGTAAGTGATGTTGTCCAGCACGTGGGTTTCGACCTCGATAAGATAAGGCTCTCCAAAGATGATGACCTCAATTGGCTCTGCCGGTTCGCCCGCAGGATACTCGACATCTTTGACCTTTGGAACGACCCAAACTAAGTCGACATCCGTCATGGCCTTGCCCATCAAACTGGACATCACACCGAGCCCTCCAATTTTGACTTTAAGCTTCCAATCAATAATCTCGTACTCCAGGGTCGCGATGAGGACTTTGCGCCGCTTGTTCTTGTCTTCTGGCCAGCCGATGATATCCGTATTGTGCTTGTGACCGAATAGCTTTTCTGAAGTGTGCTCTCCGTCTTTGGCATCATTGGACGATTTAGTGCCTAAGCCTAGAATCGGGAAATAATTCTTATGGCTCTTAGTCTTGACACCGTATTGGTTATGCTTAATCCCATAGAAAGACCACATGAAGACGAGGACGGAGATGGTACCCGTGATGAGGGGTATAGCGAGGAGAAGAGAATACATGATAGCTCCGACCGCTGCCTCGCCTCTAGGTTCGAGTGACCATGTCATGGTGGAGTCGTCAACGAGAAGAGCCCAGGCAAGGTGAGGACTAGGAGGAGCAGACATGTTGAGGAAATTGGGGGCTGCAGTGTTGGGAGGAAGACGGTCAAGGATTCCATCTGCATCGGTATCGCCATAATAGTAGTCATCGAAACCCCAGACGTTTAGCTGAACGTATGTTGGCCAAGACGCCATGATTTCCAACTCCCATAATCCACGATCATTTTGCTTCATCAGACTTGGAATGCCTGAATCGAAACCCCAAGAGTTGAACGGGCCGCGCGCAAGGAACTGTGGAACACGACGTCTGGCACCGGAATAACCATAGTCAGCATGAACGACAGCGGCAGTAGACATCGTTGCTTGACTCCAGTCTGAAAAGTGACAGTCAGATAATGATGGACGAACACGAAAAGCATCACATTGAACCATGATGTGGGCACCCTGCCAAAAGTGGTCCGAGTCTGAGAACACACTTTTTGAAATAACGGTATTGTCTTCCCAGTCAGCCCACTGAGTCCAATTGCGACCAAAGTTCCACGAGTAGCGGAACTTCTCTGCACCATATGCCTTGTGGGCGAAGGTGTATTGGCCGTTTGAAAACCCAAACGACGAGTCGGTGTCGTATTCATGATCGGGGAACACCATAACGTTGTTGGCCTGGCCTCGACGGAGGAGGACCGTGTCTGTCGTCTGCGGCAACCAATAAAATTAGATATTCACGACTTGCCTAAAGTAGAAACATACCCCAGTTGTCGCGCCTGTTGAAGACTTGGGATTTGTGATCGTAATGCTCAAGACACCAGCTGCAAAGTTGGACAGATTGGCGGACCATCTCCACGCTGACGTGTCACCGCCTGAAATGCGAGAGCTATCTGGGTTGTTGATAGTGATGCAAACAGGCTTGCCCGCAATCGCAACCTGACCGCCATGTCCAGAAGATGCCAGAGTAAATTTCATGGATTGAGTGACGCTATCGCAATCCATCGGTGTGTTGAACTCGAAGGTAACATTCTGAGTGCCAGGGTCGTTGGTGGTTACCAATATGCGGGCATCATGACCAGGCGTAAATTTCGTCAATGCGGGTGCGGGAGCGATCCAGTTTGTTGCTGGTACAAGAGCCTTGAAACCAAAGCCCTCCATTGTGAGACTGGGCAAACAACCGAAGAAAGGCGCCTTGTTATCGTTATTGAAGGAGTCTCCAGAGGCAGTGAGAGTGTACGATTCGTAGGGAGCGAAAAGATTGCGGAGAGGGGTGTCACTCGTGAATGGTGCTTTCATCCAGCCGTCTTTAGTACAGCTGTTGTCGTACTTTTTGGTGATGTTCTCGTTGGTATAGAGCAGCCAGACGGTGCCGGTGTACTGCCCAGTAGTGGAAGGAAGCTTCTGGGTGAGCAGAGCTTGACGAGAAACTGACCAAAGACCCATTTCGGTGTTGACACCATCGGAGCCAGGTCGTTGGACAAGATAAGTCCAATTGCCTTGCTGGGTGAGATCGAACCCGTCTTGGAGGGCAGGATACTGTTGTCGAAGAGCGAGGAATCGTGCAAATAGTCGGCGACTGTCCATCGTAGGATCAAAGTGATCCAATGCATTCCAATCATCATTGCAGCCGATGAGTGCTTTCTGAACTGCAAAATTGAAATACTGTTCTGAACCAAGACCGTAACAGCCGTGGCGCTTCCAAGCAGTTGTTGCGGTCATCGCTTGCCGTCTGCGCCTCTGTAAGTGATGGACAAGGTAGAATATTATGGAGGAACGGACCCATAGAGATAGTTAGCAGCACCGGTGTCAAACAGATATATGTTCTGTTCCTCCCCGTAGTACAGCTGCGGTTCATGTGAGGGAAATATGAGGTAGCGAACCGGAGAGACATACGAGAGGAATTCCGGGCATGACCAAACTGGTGATGAATGTGCCTAGCGCACTCAATTGCACACCATTCTGCAGGCTAGGCCATCTAAACACATCGAAGTTGCTGGTCCCATACAAATGACGTGGATCGAGTGCGTTGGTTTGGGAGTTGAGTAAATCATTCTCAACGAACATTTGGTGCCAGGCCGTAACAAAGTTGATGTTGGTGTCGTAGGCAGCTTGCAGGTTGCCGTCCATTCCCAGGAAACGAGTGAGAGCCCGGTATGTTGAATAATGGAATGCAACGCTATCCAGCGCACTGAGAGGCGCCTCCCGCAAGAAGTATTGGTTGTCCGACTGGGTCACATTGAGAACGGATGCATATCCGGGCGGGAGTTGCGTTGGAGTACGCCCCCGACCACTATAAGCCTGGATGAGGACAAGAGAAAAAGAAACAATGGTAATAACACACATGTACAGAGACCCAAAAGTGTTTCCACCTGTGACTTCACCCGGAATGAAAAAGTTGGTTTTGCCTAGTGCCGCAGCGCACGAACGGGTGCTTGAAGCCCATTCTGCCAGCGCGTCGACTGTGACTTGAGTTGCTTTATCGATACGGATAGCGTCGATATCGAGAGCCGTAATGGCCATGCATGAAAAGACCTTGAGCTTGGCAAGCACTGACGGTTTCCATTCGCGCAAACGGTCTTGAACGGAGGCAAACTTGGAAAGCTGACGTTGCCAATCCGGATGGACTCCAAAGGCCTCCATGTCTCCGTAGTGGTCAAAATCCGACTCCAAACACCCATTCGTCTCGAGCACAACCCGCGTGGCGTCGTCATTCCAGAAGTCAGGCATAACACAAGATGTGTTGCGCGTGTTAACCAGCTGGAATTTACATTAGTAAACGAGCTAGATGAGGCTGGACCGTACATTAAAATCGCGATACTGTGTGAAGTTCCAAGGCACATATTTTGGGTTTTTCCAAACCGCGTTGTGCTCGGCAAGTTCGAAGGGCGTACTCGTATTCAGATAACTGTGTCAAAGTCAGCAACAAGGGGCCTCCATCACGAACACGGACCCATCAAAGCCAATGAGATCGCCCATGGTTCCAACAGTGAAGTCGGCCATAAGATACCTGTAGCCAAGTCAGAGACTGAGACCTTGGGGTGGAATAGGCTTGGCACTGACATCCCTCGCGAATGAATTTCAGCAATCGTCGCTCGCCAGTCGCTTATCGTTCCCCAGTGCGGGTCCAGTACGGTAAAGTCGAGTGGGGAGTAACCTGGATACTAAGTGAAGCGAAGAAGATAGTAAAATGAGCAGACGTTACTTACTGTCTGCTTGCCATAACATGTTGAGGAAGGGGGTGCCCGAGATGAAGATGACGCGGACACCCATGCCATACATGTAGTCGAGCTTAGAGACGAGACCTTTGAGATCGCCACCGTAGCGAAGTTGCGTCTCCCGGTAGTCGCTTTCGTGCATTGTCCCGAAGAAGTCATTATTCGTGGGGTCGCCGTCTGCCAACTTGTCGAGAAGTATCGTGTATACGGGAAGTGCGCGCCAATTAGTGGGGGACTTTGTGTAGGAGGGAAGTTTGGGGGTCGAATACTGAGACGGGTCACTGGCTTGCTGGTTTGTATTTAAATTGTAGTTGGTTAAGTCGTCGCGGTAGGGACTGGCCCTGACCAACACGAAAGAGAGGAAAGCGGGCAGAAGACACCGCAGCATGACGGAAGAAAGAAAGGGAGCGAAAGGGATCGTTAACCGTGGAAAGGGACCTATGCCGAAATTGGACTGATCCTCAGTGTGCTGCTTGGTTTTCACGGTCAACTTCTATCATCTCCATGTGGCTTGTCACCAAGTCAATTATCTGGTCAGCTACACTTTAGAGAGTTTCCTTTTTTTCGAAACCAACTGGAGACTTGGTTATAATTGCAAGTAGACACAAAACCTGAGGCCTGAGTTTTGGTTTGAGGCTCAAACACCATTTCGCTTGTGACACGCGTGACTGATCTCTCGTTGTTGCCCTCGCCGCGACTCTTGCCCTTCTAGGTCCCGCATGTCCGTCATCGGGGCCTTGAATTTCGAGACTCCTCCATCGCCAATCTCGCCCTCGTCTTCATTCACTCAGAGATCACTCGTTAACACAATTAGAGGCCAGCGACCCACATTTCCTAGCACACCCACTTCATACTCCCGGTCTTCAGTGAGTTCGGCTCCTCTCCTTCCACTGGTTACAACAGTCCCTCATACTACTAGCCTGAATCCAAAATGTCTTTCGACTTCCCACCCGTTGCAAGCTGGTCCGATGCCCATATTTCGCGCTGGCTGGCAGAGATAAAGTGCTCCGGCCTTGCAGAAACCTTTCGAGCAAACGACATTCGTGGCGACATTTTGTTGGAATTAGACCAAACTACCTTACAAGAGATGGGCGTTTCCAGCATTGGAGAACGACTTCGCATTCTCAATGGTGTCAGGTCACTCCGTCAGCGCAAACTTCCTTCAACACCTGTCATCGCGACTCCAAGGCTCGATATATCGCCTGAAATAATGAAGCCAACAGAGCGTATGGACCCTTCGCCAACAACGAGACTAGCCACCCGAGTAATACGACCGGCTCCCCTCCAACTCGATGCCTCGGCTCCCAGAAACGATCTACCACGCCTTGTGCGCGAGCAGCCTCCCGATTCTGCCAAACTTGCTCCCAGTAACTACTCTGTACGACCTCTACCACAACCCTCCCATCCGCCTAATACCGCATCTACCACATCATCAATAGCAAATCGACCTGGACTTCCACCTCTTCCTCCACCACCCAGTAGCAAGCCTCCAGTGCCTCCCACCCGCACGACAGCCCGCCCAATGATCAATGGCAGCTCACAATTATCGGGGCGCAGAACGCCAGAAGCGCCGCCTTATACTTCCCAACCACTACCCCCCGCTCCAGTCCAGCCAGGTTTACTTACCCCGTCATCGGCAACTGCCTGGACTGGCCTTCATCTGCCCGAAAATCCCCGTCCAGGCAACGCTGGAGGGGGGAAAACACCAGGCCGTTCAAACTCCCCCCATCTTGCCAACCGCCCGCGCGGCGGGCCGCCAACAATACCAGCACACGTTCGGGGTAGTTCTCTAAACTCTCCGAATTCAAAGACTCCTCGATCGACAACGACACCCACCCACCCGTATGGTCCAAGTCAACCATCATCCCTGCAAACGCCTCACAATCCTCCCGCATCCAATCTATCTCCCATTGATGAGAGTTTCACTCAAGCGCCGACTACACCCTACACTGTTGGGAATGGCCCTTACAAAGTCCCAAATACTCCATCGGCCTCCACACCGTCATTGGACGATCTGCGGCGCAAGCTCGTACGATTCCTTCTTCCAGAAGAAGGTCTCTCTTTCACCGTCGATGTCGGTGCTTGTAACAACGCTATTGAGGTACTTGAGAAAGTTCTCAAAAAGTTTGGTAAAGGCAGCTCCCGAATCGCAGGCGAAAACGGGCCCGATGTCCGTGAGACACCTGAAGGAGGTTTAAGTGTTGATGGATGGGGAGTATATCTTGATTTGGGTCAGGAAGACGGTCCGGGAGAGGCACTTAGTGAAGCTGAGCTGCTGTCTGTGTGCCATGCCCCACCAAACCACCCAGTCCGTGAACATGGCCTGACCCTTCGCCGCACTGGCCTCCCTCCTAGACCTCGGCCAGTTGATGGTCTTGACACTTCGCCGCCTCTTCGCGGTAAATCACTTGGAACATTATCCAACATGAGAAATGCCACCAAACGCGCGAGCTCTATCAGTATTCTCAGTGGCCTAGGTGTCCATGATCCTGAACGTGCTTTGGAACCTCCTTCGCCCACAACAGGTGGTCGGTTGAGTCCATCTCTGGCCGTTCCTACTGGCAAGAGCGCTGGTCCTTCTAAACTCCACAATTTCTTCGGCCAGCGGCCACCAAGCGAACTTATTACCGACCATCTTACAGAATATTTCCCGATGACTGACAAGAAGGTTTTGGCCCGGACGGCGCGACAGAGTATGATTTTCCGCAATACTCGGTCGAAACGTGATAGTGCGGCCTCGTTTAGTGCTGCGCCGCCAGTCCCTTCGCGCTTCAGCACCAGCACTCAGGGATCCGGTCGGGCTTCTACCTCCTCTCCACGAACATCCTTCTCGTCACATGGCCCTCCTCCGCCTCTTCCGCCAATGCAAGCTACAGAAGATATTCCACGAGTATCGCTTTCGACCGATGACGGTCGTTCTGTTGACTTGCAAGATGTGTCGTCCAGCTCGAGCGTTCATCCTCAACTTCTTCCCCCGATACCTTTCCCCACCGAGTCTCTTTCCGAGTCAATACAAGGTGTGACCCGCCCTGGTGCTGAAGTTCGCCGCAGCTTGTCTGTTGCATCTGCAAATCGTCGTATGAGCTTCATGACCGAACTCAGAAGCAAACGTGACCGAACCGACACTGCCAGCTTGTTGACCGTTGATGAAATCACGGCTGACATCGTCACCGACCGTGATCATTCAGAGGACGAGTGGACGAAGGTGGAATCGGAGTCTGAAACCGCCGAAAGCACACTCAATAATCCTGAAGAAGAAGAGGAGTCGACGCTTAACAATGATTCTGAGGCTGAAGAGGCTGAAGAAGACGATGACGAGGAAGACGAAGAAGGCCAAGTGAAGACACGACAAGGCAAGGCTCCTTTGGCAATATGTTGACTTTAAATTAACCCTATCCTCTAGCTGGCAAGTGGATCAAAGGCGCTCTCATTGGTGCTGGATCATTTGGCAAAGTATACCTCGGAATGGATGCATCAACTGGTCTTCTTATGGCCGTCAAGCAAGTCGAGCTCCCCACTGGCTCTGCACCAAATCAAGAGCGCAAAAAATCGATGCTCAGCGCTCTCGAACGAGAAATAGAGCTTCTTCAAGACCTGCAGCACGAAAACATTGTGCAATATCTTTGTGCGTTTTTTTGTCTTATTTGGACATTTTCTGGATAATTTACAGATTCGTCACTGGATGATGATTATTTGAATATTTTCTTAGAATATGTGCCTGGTGGTTCCGTGACGGCTCTGCTCCGCAACTATGGGGCCTTCGAAGAGCCTTTGGTGAAAACCTTTGTTCGCCAAATCCTCTTGGGCCTCAACTATCTGCACGAGCGAGACATCATCCATCGTGACATCAAAGGGGCAAATATCCTTGTTGACAACAAGGGAGGCGTAAAAATATCAGACTTTGGTATTTCGAAAAAAGTCGACGGCAGTGCGTACAACTCGCTATTTAACGTGGTTTCTTTAACCATTCCCAGATCTCCTCACGGGCAATCGGATGCACCGGCCGTCCCTCCAAGGCTCTGTTTTCTGGATGGCTCCCGAGGTTGTGAAGCAAACCGTCCATACGTCTAAAGCAGATATATGGGGAGTGGGGTGTCTGATAGTGGAAATGCTCACAGGAGAGCATCCCTGGGCCACTCTGACTCAAATGCAGGCAATATTTAAGGTAACAGTCGTCATCCCATGCTTACTGGTTACCGCTGAACTTGGCAAAAGATTGGCTCATCCGCTAAGCCCACGATTCCCACCGACATTTCCAGCGACGCGCAAGACTTTCTGCAACGGACTTTTGAGATCAACCAAGATGACCGTCCATCTGCAGCCGAGCTGCTCAAGCACCATTGGTTATCCACCAAGAAGACGGGCGGTAAAAAGGCTGCCCAGGCCTCCTCTTGACCATGTCTTAGTCTTCTTTCGCTTTTTTTGTTATTGTTATCATTGTGCTTGTAAGGGACCGCCTCATCTGTATGCCACGCAATATACTACTTTTCGTCACCTACTCTTGTTCTTCCATGTCTTCAAGCTGGACATGTTTTCGTTTGGCCGGAGCAGGTTTGTCGGCCATAGCTTTTGCTTTGGGGCCCCAGTTGGGCGGTGGCTCTGGGTATCGCACTATTTTGAGGGTGTGGAGGACGACCTGCGGATGCTTTGTGAAATTAGCATCCGATCTGGGAATATGAGTCAGCGATCCTAGCAACGAGAGAGCGTTACTTTGGTTCTTTCGAGAGTAGTCGGTGTGCAGGCGATGTGGGGGACACGCTTTTAATCGGATGAGACTTGACCCAGCACCGGAAAATATCGAGAATCTCGCTTCGCGTCGCAGAGGTCTTGATAGACCCAGCAGAAGCATGTGACCGCGCGACCTTGTGACCGGCATGAAGGAGAGCAGACCTAATCTGAGAGTTAATTTGGCTCGAGCAGTGTGGATTTAACCTTACGTGATGTCCGTAAACGATGGGGTGACACAATGGAAGAATTTGGATATTTTCGCTGGAGTAAAGTAGAAAGGGTATTCAGGGAGTTCCTGTTCAGAGTTCAGTTAACAGCATCGTCGAGAAAGATAGACGCACTTCTTTGGCAACTGTCAACATTCCCTTCATGCGCGAGACCGTTCCGTAGGTGTTTTCTTTCCGTTCGACATGCTCCAGGACTTTGGAGACAAAATCTTGGTTGTGGATAGGTGCCGACCACATAGGACCAGCGGCCTTGCAGGGATAAGACGTGTAAGGAGATCAGAAAGATGATTCTGCCTACGTGCATAACTCCATTGCATTCTGGGCAGGTCTCCGAAACGGGCGGGCCAGCTTGCGTTTTGAAGGTCACATTGACAGGGCCACTTGGATGGGCCTTCTCAGAGACTTTGCCCATTGGTTGCCCATAAAACGACTGGCAGTCATTGCATATCCAATAAATCGAGGTTTTACTAAAGTCGTTAAGGGTGATTCTCCTCCCGGACAAGTTGGAACGCACGCTACGGCCCTTTTGACCTCGATTGGTGAAGTCCGTACCCGAATGAAGAGGCGAACGTAGAAGTCGATCGAGAGACACAAGAGAGGTTCAATGAAACGACCATACCGCGCCGCAGATGTCGATACCGTGTGGAGGACGAGACGAAGAGCCTGCTATGTTTGATGGAAGTCGCAAATGGAAAACAGCAGCTCACCGCTTCGTGACAGTATTCGCTTTTAGTTGGGATTCCACCATAGTTAGAGAAACTGGGAGGAAATCAATCAAACGGACAAAGAGTGCAGGTTTTAGTTCAATAACCATTTCTCCGCGAAGTTAGTGGTTGCGAGGATGGAGAGATCGGTGCAAGTCACGCACAAGAGTCCTTTTCAGGGAGGTTACCAAGATGTTTCACAGAGGGGACACACTTGCCATCGTCACGAACGCTCTGGACAGCAGCATCGATGAATGGTGCAGCAGTCCCGTATGGGTCCAGATCGACGCAGTCGACGCGTTTATTAGCTTCACGATGGTTATACAACAGAGTACTAACGCAAAATTCAGAGGGAAGGCGAGTGAATTGACTAAAGCATACCATGCGTCTCCTTCGTTCACCTTGATCTCAACTGGGCGAGGAGTTTTCTCAGGTAACGGGTCCGGTATAGTGAGTCCATTTATCTCGACATTCCGCTTGATAGCTTGCGCGGCGGCTGGAGACAAATCGTTGGCGATTACTTGACTTGGCCAGTTCAATACGGTGAAGCCATCAGAGAGGGCTCAGACCTTACGTAGGGTATTTCTTTCGCATACCGAATCGAGCGCAAACCGGTCGCAGAGAGGGCTTCAAGGATGACTATCTTTCGCCGCGAGTAGCCGCTCTGCAAACTCGTAAGGGAGAAAAATCACGATGAGGATGGGTTCACAGTGGGCTTTGAACCTTCAGCCGGTATGGGCGAATCAGTTGGTTCCGCCGGTACATCCACTATATGAACAGAAGTCTAAGGTGTCTTTTTTTACGTGCCATAGGGAGCTTACGCTTTGCGCGTTTCGCGGGTTTCTCGATTTCGTCGATAGACGGTTCCGCAGGTTCATGTTTCTTGTCTCTCGCCTCTTTTCTTCGTTTTGAGAGCATCCACTTTTCCTGCTTAGCTTCGTGCAGCATTTGGCTCCATGTAGTGATGCAAGCGACACTCAGATCGCGATTGAATTCTTGGACGGGGTTGAGGAAGGTTTCGTTTGACGAGAGAAGGATGTGGGACGTGTTTTCGGTGTGAAGGGTGAATCCCTCAGGCACTACGACTTTATTGTCGGCCATAACGGTGCGTACTAAGGCACGGACGGGCCGCAAGTAGCGGCGAAAGGCAAGAATGGCGAGAAAGATTAGCAGTCACAACGTGACCGGCGCAAGTTCACACTTTCAATCGCCTCTCATGCCGTCCAGCGCAAGATGCTGCAATTTACTCGCCTTTATACTCTCTTTTGTACGCGCGACAACTCACGAGATCGACCACCCGCCCGTTCTTCCTCTCACCACATTCGACACTGGTCAAACCCAAGGTCACTTCATCCACTCTGTCTCTTCACTTCATGAATCCCTTTGCAGAAGACGAAAAGCTTGTGGCATGCTCTCCTCAGCCAAGTGTCAATTCCGAAAGCACGATCAAGACGGTCGAGTGTGTCAGTCTTTTGTCCTGCTCGTCTCCTGCTGCATCACCACTGCTCTTGACCCCGCCACCACTCCTTGACTCCCCCAAACTATGTCCATCGCTACTCGATCCTTCCCCTCAACCTGCTATTGGACTTGGTAAACGCCGAGGCTTCAAAGGCGCGCCGTTGTTCACTGCCGACTTGGCCAAACGTCAAACATCCTCGTTCCTTGCTTCCGCCAAATCTCCTCGGACCCCATTGTCAGCTGTGACCAATCTCATACGCACCCCAACGACTGCACTCAAATCGCCTGCTATACCGGTTCCAGAGACTTTACAACAACTTTATTGGGCCGAAGATCCGTTCTCTGTCTCCTCCGAAAGCTTTTACGACCCAGATGTCTGTGGCTCCATTCCATTTTCAGCACTAGCTCAAATCGACGTGTACTATGTCCGAAAACGCAGAGTCTTTTCTAGGGCAATGGAATCTGCCTGCTCTACAAGACCGAAGCTTTGGGCAACCCACGTCTATGATGCAATGGTCTACAACTTCCAACCCTCACGGTCAGGTGCGCGAAGTGGCAGCAAGAGTAAACCGAAGGAACAAGGCACGGCTGTGCGAGCAACAATTGGTGTAGTTTGAAGCAACCCGGAATAGCTACAGTCTATATATTATGTAAATACATCGCTACATTCACGACACGGTTTCCCCAGAGCGAACCTGGGACCTGATGAGATAATACGACATTGGGTCAACTCAAGTCGCTCACCTCCTTGCCAGTCTTCTTGATTCGGGCAAGAACGTCTTCGTACGGGATGGTGCCTTTGACGAGGACCTCTTGGGTCTCGAGGTTGACGGTGTACTCGCTGACGCCTACAACACATTAGCATCGGAGCTTATGTAGTGCATAGTATTCCCCACCATCCGTCTTGGCCTTCTCGAGGACGCGCGTGACAGCCCCAGAGCAGCCAGAGCATGTCATCTGTAATCGCGGATGAGGGAAACCGGGAATTACCACCGCTTCGAGGCTACCTTGACGTCGAACTTGTAGGTGTGTTCGGCCTGCATAAAATGAGGACTTGGAATCGGGGCAGAAGTCTGGGACGACAGACCATGGTGGTGGTGGTGGTGGTGGTGGTGGTAAGAGGAAAGAGGTGAGACGCAGCAAGACGTGACTTATAAAGACGTGATTTATCAGCTGGTATAAACTTGGGCAGGTATGGTTACATCTATCATCTTCTAATCTGCGTAATCTCTATCGGCTCGTCTCCGTCGGTGGCTACTGCTTGCCATCCTTCTCCTGCTGGTCGTCCTCGCCATCGCGTGACCAAGGGAGCTATCCACCCGAAAACAGCGGGGAGTTCCCGCTCTGACCGATGTGTGAGGTAATAGACGGGAACTCCAGCCAGAACAAATCCTGGAACAAGTGATTTAGCAACGAGCCACATTCTCGGCGAGGGCACGGACCAAGCACAGCCACTGCGGGAAGAGGAGCAGCAATGATGGGCATACACAACAGAAAGAGCGCAACCTATGGATGATTTCGGATAAGACTCGCAGTTCCATCTTGACAGTTGGTCGCCTACCGCACAAAAGGTGAGTGGCGTAATGATCCATGTCTTATATGGCCTGCAACAGATTTAGTTTCGCCGCAGTCCGGTAAACTGTGACCCACACCTTTCTAATAGAGGCTCTTTTACTCGGAGAATAACGAGGCCAAGTACCTACAACAGGCTCGGAACGGACTCTATTCGGCGACGCAAAACCCACCGTCAGGAAGTAGAATGCCCAAGATGCAACAACGGAGAAGTTGATTAGAGAGCGGAACCCGCCACCAATGAGAATAAATGTGGTGGTAATGCCTGCTTGGAGAAGGGTTGCGTTGATTGGCGTTTTTCTTGTTGAGTGGAGTCGTCCGAACATTGCAGGAAGATAGCCTTCGCGACCGGCCGCATAGACCAAACGAGATGACGTATAGAAAGACCCATTGAGTGCACCGAAGCATGAAATCGCGACCATAAACGCAAATATAGTGCCACCAATTGGTCCAAATAGTGCCCTGCCAAAATCCATTGCTACAGTGTTACTGAGACTAATCGTATTCTGTTGTGCAAGTTGTGAGGGGAAAAATTGACTGAGTTTCCTTCGACTTGCCTTGTCAAGAACAACAAAATATGCCAGGTTAGCCAGCAGAAATAATAACTGAAGGGGTGTCAGAGTCACTTGGAGAGAAGGGAAGGACATACCGTCACAATCGACATGCTCGAATGGATGGCTCTGGGAATATTTTTCTCTGGGTTCTGGATTTCGCCCCCGACATAGTTAGCTTGATCCCAGCCGTCGAATGCCCATAAACCTGCAATGCCATGAGTGGATGACAAAGCTGAGGAAATGATATGCACCAGAGTAGAGCGCCAATGAGTATGCTGATGGACTTGTACTAGAGCCCGCAAACAAAGGTTCCGTCAACGACGTTGACTGCTTCCCCCTTGCGAGTTGAATGATTCCAAGAATTGTCATTGATATCTGTGTTCACCACTAAGCATCTTTTGACGGCCATAACTGAGACTCACGAGAGCAGCGACCTAGACACGCTTCAATCATGAGCGGCTGGAATAATTCTAGATATGAACCAACCTTGATAGTCGTGAAAACAACCGCAACATGGGTGCCTAGTTTGCGAGCTGCGACACAGAATCCGGTTACAATAACCACAGCGCCGATAGCTACTAGTTTGATAGCCCACTGGGAGCTGTCAGCGGGGAAGAGAGTTTTTAGGTTACATATTACACACCTGTGGTATGTCATCTGGAGAGACTTCAGCCCGGCCCGTGTGCCAGATAATCCGGTTTATATACTCAGAAAAGATGAGGCTAATGACTGCGTTTCCACCGGGCTTGAGCGCAATGATAGCTGTCCACGCGAATAGAAACGAGAGCAGTTCTCCGTAGGCGTAGGCAAGATATGCTTGAGCTCCACCGTTCATAGGGATTGCACTTCCTAGCTCGGCAAAAGAGCTGGAGGGTTGAGAATAATGGGTTCAGGATGGACTATGGCATACCTAGCGCCAGTCCAGCCAAGAAGGCCACTCGCAGCCCAAACTACAAGGCTAACGAACGCGCTTCAGTAAAACACAAATGTGTCTAGATATTGAGCATACCTTGCGCCAACACTATGGGTGTTTGCAACAACCACACCAGGGGAGGAGCTTGAATGATATCAGGTGCGATGGAAGTATGTTGGCTGGCTCGTACAAAATTCCAGAGCCTATTTGCAGCCCGACAATTAGAGCTATACCTGCTCAAGAGTTTTAGTGTGGTATATTATAGGTGGACATTCAGACCATTTACAAGCCCCACACTTTTCTCTCCCGCGTGTTCAGTTTGCATTATTTCTGGATCGCCTATACTTGCACTGAGCGGAAGGAGGTCGAACTCGAAACCAGAGACCGAGTAAGAGCGCCCCCTGGTAGTTCGTGTTACCGGAATTTCGGGGCCATCTGAGACTTCGAGAGCGCGGAGAGAGTCATCGGAGTCGTGAGATGAGCGTGGCGAAGAGTAGCCTTTGGGAGAGTACATTTGTGACCTGTCACAACCGTGTCGCGCCTGCGATGAGATAGCATGCAGCAGCCACCACCCACAACTCCCGTTCCTGCATATACTTACCCGACTTACGCCTATCCCCCTGGGACTCCGGGATACTCTTATGCATATCCATATACCTACTATGCCCAGCCACAACCAGCACGAGCTCCAGTGCCAACTCCCAAACCTGTTGTCCCCGCTACCCCTCAAAGAACCGTGGCTTTTGATCCAAATGCGAGTGCAGCGGCAGCAGGAACCGGTGGGGCAGCTGGTCGAGGGTCTCGCAAGCAAACGAGTGTGAGGGGATTGTTCACAAAAGAATGTAAGCCTTCACAAGGCCCTTTCAACTGGCATTGACTCAGAGGCAACACAAGTGAAAAACCTGATGTATGGATTTGGAGACGACCGTAACCCAGCGAACGATACGGTGAATGTAATGGAAGAGATTCTCATTGAGTACATAACGGACGTGGTAAGTGCATTCGCTCAAAATCCTAAGTTGGGTGAATTCACATTCTCTGTCAGTGCCAAACGGCCGCGGCGGAGAACAAACGGGCACGATTGTCGATTGAGGACCTCCGGAGAGCGTTATCTCGACCAGCGGATGCGAAGAAATTGGCCCGGATGGAGGAGTTGCTTTTTATGCAGGAAGACATCAAGCGAGCAAGAGCCCAATTCGAGGAAAACATGGATCATCCGCGCGAATTTTGAATGTCGGTGCCGATAGCTTTATTCTTCCATGTCTTCACCCTGGGTTTCTTGTTCTTGATTTGAAGCCGTGTTACGGCCACGGGCACCTTGGACGAGACTCAGTAGCCATATATGGTCAGACGCACGAAACCCTCACCGTTTTGTGTGCCCGGTTGGTTACCGTAGAGCTGCATGTATTGCTCACTTTCCCATACTGCAACTTAACTTCAGAGTGCGTTATCTAGATAAGGAAAATACACGCACTGGCTCTAGTTCCATCGGGCTGCTGGGTCAAGCCTTTGCTTGGTCTTGCGAGGTTGACTTTGATGACTTTACCATGAAACTCGTTGAGATCCATGTTGTCGATTGCATCTTGAGCGTCGGCGGCCGAGGAGTAAGTGACAAACGCGAAACCTCGATGCTTTGACTCTGACGCGAGTGAGCGCGTTTTTGCAGAAAAAGGAAACGGGAACAGACCGGCTTGTAACGCGGGATTGGTCGCAGCAGAGGGCAGCTGAACTTCAATGATATCGCCTGACGGCACAATTCAATCAGAGTGTGAGTTGGGTGGTGGACAGCATACCAAAGGTGGAAAATTGCTCGTAAATCGCGGCCTCGTCTATTTCTTCGCCGACCCCACCAACAAAAACTACACACGGTTGTTCAGAGCCAAGTATGCCTTGTGGTCACTTGCCTGTCTTCTTGTTCTTCGCACCGTCCTCCATGATGGACGCAAGAGTTAAACGGGGACTCTTCCTTCCCACGATTCTTGCGATCATCGGCAGTTTCGTTCAACACCCACGATCCTCAAATGGTTGCCTGTTCGTTATGCTGTCCTAAACACCCATGCAAGCGCTCAACCCACCTTCTCCGATGCTGACCGACTCCTCGTTCGACTCTGATTCCGACTCCGACCTTGAGGAAGACGATGATGAGGTTATAAACGCCCGCGTTTATCCTTGTTGGCTGGCTTACAGTGCAGTCCTCGAACAACGTGGCTTTCGACTCGACACTGTGAAAGAAGTGCGGGACTCTTACTCGGAAATTCCAGATCACTTTTTGCGCAAACATGCTGGAGATCGAGAAGGCAACTATACTGCACAATTGTCTTTCTCGGCTCACCGCCAATGTGTAGATGCGCTTTGTCCAGACGCTGGCCTGGTTCGTCGTCGTCGCTCATATACTTATCAATTGGCGCTCAAATCCTTGCATAGTGTGACAACCTCTTTCGTGGTTCAAGAACTTGCGATGGTTTGCGGGTTATGGTCAAAGCTGTTCATCGCTGGTCGCGCGAATTCCGTGTCATCTGCTTATTGCACTGTCTACGGGAAGACCCCATGAACCACTGCATACGTAATACCCCTCGTCGCCTTCCGTTTTATTGTTCAGACTGCCAACAGCCATCCTGGATCTTATCGAGTCGGACGACGACGATGTGGCCCTCATAGTCATGGAACAGGTTGGCTGCTCGTTTATTCGTTCCCATTCTTTGTCTGACGAATGGTAGTGGAGCTCTCAACTAATAGACGACGATGGTCCTTGTAACCTTAGATTGTTCATTGCCGCAATCCGCCAATGTATAGAGGTACTGCTCTACCATTCCTTCGCTAGTTCATCGCCACTGACCAAAACATAGCATGTCACCTTCATGCATCAACACCGCATAGCGCATCTAGACATCTCCCTGCGCAATTTGTTGACCGACTACAAAGGTAAGACCACTAATAAACCTCTTTCAACGAACTGAATCATCGAGCAGGCCATTATGCCTACATCGACTATGAGCTTAGTCGCTGTTTTGACTCTCAAGAGTCGATCTGCATCCACGACTTTCGTTCCACCGAAATTCCGCCTGAATGCGAACACGGTGAATGTCGTGATCCCTTCAAAGCTGACGTCTGGGCGCTGGCAATTCTTATTTTGAGGGCATGCAAGGTTTTTCTTGTTCTTATTCCCGAGTCGCTGGGTTTTAATTCGTTGTTTAGTTAGCGGGTTACTGCATCCCAGAGTTTCTTCGATTCACACAACCCATGCTCCATTCCGATTTGCGCCAGCGACCATCCATGACACAAGTTCTCGCTGCCTACGACGAGATGGTTTCGAGCATCGGAGATTTAGATCGTCTTCCTAGCCCTCATTGATATTGTACAGTTGTCATTAAGTACATACTTCTAATCTGGCTGTGCCTCTTCTGCTGCTTCTACTCGCAAGCGTTTCCGTTGTAAATACCGCTCACGTGCACTTTCGACAGCTCCAGCGTCATTTCGGCGAGTAACCACGCGTTGTGTCCGCTCTTCCTCCTCTCTGGCCTTCTCAGCTTTCAACCTCTCGTCTTCGCTGGCCATTTGTTGTTCGATCTCGCGTGCCCTTCTCTCATTGATCTCTCGGCGACTGGCTGCAGTACCGACTGCTCGATGAGCCTGAACATTTTCTGTATTGTTTTCCGTTGGTTTCTTGGTTCGTTGCAGGGTCCTGGTGTTTGGAGCAGAAAGATTCAGACCAGCCACAAGAAGATCGCGTTTGTCAACGATTTGGTTGTCGTCGTTGAGTTCCACGTCTTTACCTTCAGCACGGGCCTTCTTGGCTCGCTCAAGGTCAGAAACCGGAGTGTAGTCGGGCGGTTTGGTTATTGTCAAGTTCGGTGTAGGCCCGATAACCGGCTTTTGCGTGGCAGCCACAGTGGCTTCGTGCTTCTGCTCCGACTCATCCAGCAGTTGTCTATAGAAATGGGCCATTCCCGACGATGTGCCGCGTTGCTTCTTGAGTAATTCTGTATGTTTTGTTGAACATTTTTGACCAACCAGAAATGTACAACTTACCGTCGCGTCGTTTCTCCTCTTCTTCCGCTTCACGCACTTTGGCCATTTGGTCCTTGTAAGCTTGGGTGACGAACTGCTCCTTGTCGACGAATTCGTCCCCCTCAGCCTCTCTCTCCCGCTGCATCAGTTTCTCCTCCGCTCGTAAATAGTCCAAACGTCGGGTTTGTGCAGAGTTCAACAGGCCATGGATGTATTTGGGCTAAGCACCTGTTAACAGGCCCCGATATCAAGAAAGAATAGTATCCATACCTTTCTGTCTTGCGCCGCAAGCTCCTTTGCCTCCTTCTGCCGGACTTTTGCCTCCTGCATCTTGTCCCAGACCTCGTCATATTCATAGACGGTGGAGTCTACTTTCTTCTCGGCCTCCATTCGTTTCTGAGTTGTTCGCGAGACATGCACATTCTGGGCAAGCAATTTCTTGTTTGCTGCCGCGTTCTTGTTTAGCGAAGCCGACGACGTTGGGGCGGCATCGACTGCCTCATCGTCGCCAAAGGCAAAGGCGGCTGGTCGCTTGAGGGAGGACGGGCCAGCTGCCTCGGGTGCTGTGCTGCCCTTGTTTGGTTTGGCGAGAGAGAAAGAAAGCTTCATGTGACAACCACACTCAGACTTCACGCTCATCAAGCTATGGACAGAAGGCGAATAAACGGACCCACTGAAGAGAGCTTTGTACCTGTATTCGACGAAAGTCCTGATGCTTGGAAAGCCGCAGATGGGAGGAAAGGTCGAGGGCTTCTCGATATACGCCCAATCTGTATGGATGTGCAATTTGCTTATTCGTTGCTCAACTATTCTAGTTTTGCAGCCTGGCCTCATCAGCCAGGCAAACGGCTCGGCCTACATCGAAACACAAAAAACAAAGATTGCTTGCGCTGTGTGCGATCAACTGGAACGAGACAAAAAAAAACGCGTCTTAAACTTTTTGGCAGATATGGACCGCGACAATCGAAAAACACTTCCTACAGCGATATGGGGCGACTCAATGTAGAAGTCAAGTTCACGCCGTTCTCTTGCCCGCGTCGACGCGCTCCATTACGCGTGAGTGGACTCCAACTCGCACTGACCGACTTTGATGAAGCTAGTTGGTTGGGTAGGACGCTGAAGATCGATCCCTAGCAGTCGCTATTCATCAAGCTCTGGCATCATCCGTGCGACTAGAACTCTTGCCCAAGTCAACTATCGACGTCTTTATTACGATTATCGAGTGCGATGGCCTGGAAAGCTGTGTTGCTGCTGGATCTATAGCTGCCAGTACAGCTCTAGCAGACGCAGGCATTGAGCTATTTGGACTTGTTGTGTCTTGTGCAGCGGTCAGTTTAGAGGTTATAAACAGTTCCAAACACTTAGTCCGATCCAGTCTCTTATCGAAAATCAAGTCTGGTTAGACCCTACCCAAGAAGAGGAGGCAGTCTCTGGTGGCACATTAGTCCTCTCATGTCTGCCAGCGCTCAATAAAATCACAAACATCTGGCATACTGGCCAGATGTCCGCAATGGACGTCATTCGGGTGAATACTCCGTTGTGAAAGAATCCTCACACTTTAACCGATCAACAGTGTACAGAGGCTTGCCAACAGAAAATAGAGGCAGATATTCATTCTGTGGTAGCTCAGGCTTTATTAGAAAGCGCCAAGATATAGTTGCAATACAGCTGAATTGTTTTTTACGACTGTGCTTACAATAGCAGTCTGAAGGGGTAGCCTACCAGGCAGTGAGTGGTAGATTCAACAACATGACAAGCTTGTTACCTCTGTTTTTGACTTTGAAGAGGACAATCAGGATAGAGTAGACAAGCATGATAATAGTCGTCCACAAATAGACCTGCACGCGCTGGCGTTGGCCTGAAGTTTGGTAGGGAATCACCATGACAAGCATGAGGAACGAAAACCCAAGAGTGCCGTCTAACCAAGAAATTGAGACACCAACAACCCAGAGAAAAAAAGACCATACAAACGATTGAAATGACTTGGACTTCCTGCCCAAACTGATTCTGATATCCACCAGCAATCCAGCTCCCATCTTGTCCAACATAAGGCACATTACGAATGCGGGTGAACATATGCCCTGAAGTCATAACTAGGGCAGTGACAATAGTCCCAATGGCCCATGTCCAGCGACTCTGGAGTATTGGAGAGATGAAACGGATAGTGACAGCGAAGGTGAGCAGCCCAGCAGCAACGGTGATCCATTTAGCCCAGTCAAAAGGTGGGGTGTATGGAATCGGAATCGGGGTATGGTTCGAAAGATGCTGGGCGAGCGGCTCCGGCTCAAACCCGCTGTAATGAATTAGTCAGGCTCCACTTCACAAGGTTCAATAAATGTACTGGGAGAAGTCGTAACGCGAAGGGGATTTGCTGGACGCGCGCGGGCCTTCAGTGGGAGAATAGTTGAAAACGACGGGAGCAGAAGTGAGTCCGAGTTTCGAGAAAACTGCTTGTCCATCATCAAAGTCTAGGGTTGCAAAGAAGTGGGTGTCTCGTGTAGCTTTTGGTGCTTTAGACCAAGCTTTGGCGACTGAGTTCCACGACGGATTGAATTCTCTGAGGAGAAGTGTTATGACCCCAATTTTTAGCAAGCAAATGGCGACATACTTGCAAGGCATGCATCTTCGACGAGGGTCAAGGGCGGTAAAGTGGATTGAGGCCGACCAGTCGCGACGAGAGGCAGTCAAGAGCTCGTACGTGTCAGAATCAAGCTTGATGACGCCGTTGCCAGCAGCAGCGAGAGAAACTAGCTTCTGGTGGGTTTCTGAAGAGGCTGCAAGGACAAAAGGAAGGGCAAGGAGTGAATATAACCACCGCATATCGGACGACGTGGAAGTGAACTGAAGTGGATGCGTGACCGAAGGAACAAGCTATTTTCGTTTCTTGCGAAAACAACTTGTTTCACACAAGTTGAGGGGGTAGTCTATGCCCTCGGTGCGTTTCATAGGTCCTTTGAAGGAGATTTACTTGAATTTCGCAGACAAATCGGTGACAATAATTCATGGCTACTCACGGCCTCCTCCTACGTCTATTCACAAGTCCGACATTCTTCTCGGTTCACGTTGCTTTGCGCTATCTCAATGCCTACCCCGACCATATTGGCATTTCCTATTATCTTACCAGACGGTTGCGCCAACTAGACACGAGTGAACTCCGGGATGTTTTGGGATTCATTTGCCACCTCCTGGTTACACGCCCGTCGCGTTCTCGAGCATTAGAGGCATTTGTGGTTGACATATCTCAGCGGTCCACCCATCTTGCCATGAATGTGCGTTTTACAGAATGTGTTATAAGCTTACTCCAACAACCTTCTAGACTTTATGGTTTATGCAGGCTGCTCTTCGCGATCTGTCTTCCTCTTCAAATCGGTCTCAGTCTTTCTTCATCTGTCAGCGAGTCCTACACAAATGCCACGAAATTATCTTCTCTGATCTACCACCTCTCGCCGTTGCACCCTATTCTGGTCTGAGTCTCCCCTTCCAAAATCGGTTACTCCGTCGGAAAGTCAAGCCTCATTTTGAGCCTGCAGTCATTGGCATTTCCATGATTCTTGCCGGAGTCCCTGGCCTGCCCCAGCTTACTGATATCATGGGAGATGTTGCGGTTGAACAAGGGCGCGTTGAAGAGGAGGGCAGTCAGTTGAAGAGCATCGAATCTCACGAGGATGATGTCGCGTCATTTGGAAGTCCCAGCAGTGTAGCTCTTTCTCTGGATGATGAGGACGAGGCAGACGAGCATGAAGTGGGAGTTGGATACGCACCCCATGCTTCTACGCCAGAACTCGGTCTAGCGAATGGTCACATCCCAAGACGTCGGAAAACGATAGAAGCAGCACAAACCGCCCCTGCACTCCCTCTACACCTCCGCAACATCAGACGGTCAAGACAATCAGAAGATCCTTTAGGCCAACTCGACGCAGAATTCATAGCTACGCCATACCAGTCTTCCCCATCGCTGTCCGTGTCTTCGTCCCGATTCCCTCCGAGATCAGCCTCAGTGAGTATGGGGGATGCATTATTAGGCAACTACGACACACCCTCACAAGTGCACCTTCTCAGAAGTCATTACTGTCGATCAGAGGTATGAAGATTTTTTGGTCGATATTAAACTGATCGATTTGGTAGATTCAATTTCTCCTGACGCTAGAAAATATCTGCAAAAGGTTGGTCGTCGTTCCACGGCCAGCTCGTGTCAGTGCTCTGAGGGCCGAACTTACCGCTTTGAACCATAAGCTTCCAGCGGAGGTTTGTATGCCAATGTGGTGCTCCTCTGCTGACTCACCCCGGCCAAACGGTGTCCCTCATCCTCATCACCGTATAGTACGGATACCACCGGGCGAGAGCGTTGTCCTCAATTCCGCGCAACATGCTCCATATCTTCTCATAATTGAACTTCTGAACGACGACCTTGACTTTGACCCAAGCAAACGCGGCAATAAAGAAGTCCTCAAAAAGATTGTGGTCAAGGAGAACGAGCGGAAAGGCGCATCGGCAGATCTCATACCTTTCCACGCTCCAGGCCGACCCACCAAACTGGACATAATGAACGATGCAGACGATGCCATAGCCAACCATGCTGACCATACCTCCAATCAAGTCGTTCAAAGTCCAGCGGACGCTGACGAGGAAGAAGTCGATCTTGTCGAGCAGTTGTACGGTGCTGACCAATCTCTCCGATTCCAACCAATAGACCTCTCTGATTCCATTGTTCTCCCCCCCGCGCCGAAAAACAAAGACTTGGATATGGCCGCATGGTCTCGCGCGACACCACCATCTTCCCCGGGTTTCGATTCTCCATCTATCTCTCGCTCAACTTCGCATACATCCAGCATTTTACCCGACGAACCAGCCCCTGTGATAACACTCGATGAGTATTCCGAGCGCATGCGGACAGCAGCAATCATGCTTGCCCAACTCAATGCCAACTTGGCCCACCAATCCTCAGGACATCTCCCTGTCGCGCTGCCTAACGTGACTGCACCTTTGCGGTGGATTCCTGGCTCGAGTTGGATTGTCAGCGGCGACCAGGGCTCAAATGACACGCATAACGCAGGACGAATGCGTTTGCAACACTCTGAAGCTGCTGGTATACGAGATCGTATTATGAAGGAGATGATTGATTTGGAGGAAGAACGAATGGAAAGGATGAAGGAGAATCGTGAAGACCGTGGGACAATGCGCATCGGAGATCTCAGCGGAGGTCTGAAGACCCTTGAGGACGAGGGCATCATTCGCCGTGAGCTGAACAAAGCCGATCCCTCTGCCGTCGTCTTCAGCGAATCTTGGGCCGCCAAGAAGGTATCTAGCTATAATTCGGTCAAAATTCCACTCATTCTCTATAGAGTCGAATACGACAGGGCTCTCCCTATGGTCATCTAGGTGTGTTCTATATCTCATTGTTTTCATTGTCCAGTTGACCAAGGTGCTAGCTAACTGGGATTGTGTTTCGGTCATCGTCAAGACTGGTGCAGATTTGCGGCAAGAACAGCTTGCTGTCTCGTTAATACGTGAAATCCAACGCATATGGGAAGAAGAGAACTGTGCCTGCTGGGTTCGATAGTTAGTGTTCTGATTCAGACGCTGCACAGCACTCATGGTGTTACTAGTTTTCGAATCATGATCACCGGAGCAGCGTCGGCGTTGGTCGAAACAATCACCGATGCTGTATCCATCCATTCGATCAAGAAAGCGGAATACGCTCGTCGTTTAGCAGAGGGTCGTCTCGGTCATGTGACCCTGTTAGACCATTTCAAGAACGTAGGTTCTGGCACAATTGTACATGACCAGTTCTCAAAGGAATAGACATACGGCGACCCTTCATCGGCAAAGTTTCTCAGGGCTCAACGTAACTTTGTCAAGTCTCTTGCTGGTAAGCTATCCCTAGCACCACTCCCGCTTGCCAACGGCGTCATAGGTTATTCTGTTGTCACATATCTACTGCAAGTCAAGGATAGGCACAATGGTAATATTCTTTTGGATCGCGATGGTCGCTTGGTACACATTGGTTGGTCCATCTGTTTGTCCCATCATGATCACTCATGTCTTCTTTTCGCAGATTTTGGGTTTATACTCAGCCAATCGCCCGGAAATATTGGCTTTGAGGCTGCACCGTTCAAGCTTCCTCTTGAATACGTTGAACTCATGGGGGGTGTTGATGGTCCGATGTATCATGAATTCCGGCGCATATTCCGTGAGGGCTTTGAAGCAGTCAGAAAGCACGGAGACCGCATCATCAGTAGGAGACTTATTATCTCCCCTTGAAAGCCCCACTCACCTCGAGCCTAGCTCTTGTTGAACTTATGCAGAAGGGCACGTATGTCCCATAAACGGTTCTTTTTTAACCCCATCTTCAGATTCCACCCTTCCTTGCTTCGCTGCACTTGGAGAACAAACCGCGAATCATCTGAAGGACCGTTTACAGCCTACCATGACACACTCATTGGTTGGCGAGTACATTGACCGGCTCATTGACACTTCTTTGGGCTCGAATTGGACGAGATTATACGATTCATACCAGTACTACTCACAGTCGATTCTGTGACACGCTTTCCGATGTGTTATCTGTAGCTATCTGTATTTCATTCTAATACAAGGGGGGCTGGGGAGCGAGCACAAATACTCTTGGGTTTCCGTCTGTTCCGATCGCGTTTTTCAAGTGTCACAATCACGAGAGGAGCGTGACCCTCCGTCCTGTCAGCGTTTTTATGGATTCCATCGAGTCGTCGCCGCCCGCGTCTCTGCGGTATTCCTACTTCACGGCGCTCAATCCCCTGTTCAATGCCTACGACCGATTCGCTTTGTGGCGCGCAGACTTGGGGCTGCCTTCCCCTGGTACAGTAGAGAACCTACAAAAAGAAACAAAATGTGCGTAATGCCAGCTCTTTCCACTCTCTGTCTTCTCATGTAAACTAGCCACACATTTGTCCAACTTCATCTTCGACGGGGCACGCGCCGACCTCACCAAGAGCTTTTCAATAAGCCCGCTCTTCCAAGTGACCCACTCATTTGCCCTTGGCTCACAAACAGCACCTCCGTCATACAACTTTGGTGGAATTTTCGCCAGCCCAAAGGTATCTGGCTCTCGAGCTCCTGCTTCTTTTGCTTAGGAATGCCGCTAGGTTTTCCTACAAGGAGGCGTTGACCATGACGGCAATGTTAGCGGTCGTTGGAATTACGGTTGGACGCAATCGTCCGTCACGAAAATACAGACCCAGGTTTGTGCCCCAGCTATTGAAAATCTAGTGCTGAGCGCGACCAGCTATCATCACAAGTTGGCCACAACATGATACAGCTTGAACACGACATTCAGGCTGCGGACTTGAGTTTGAATGCGAAAGCCATTAACCCCTCCCCCACTGACGGAACCGGCATATATGTCGGTAGCTACCTCCAGTCCCTCACCAAAAACCTTGCCCTTGGCGTTGAGGGTATCTACCAACGACCGACGCCCGGTGTTTCTGAACTCGCGCTTGCGTATTTGGGCAAAATCACGAGCACAGACAAAAGCTGGATTGCAACAGCACAAACGCAAGGCTTGGGGGTACTCCAGGCCACTTACTGGCAAAAGCTGAGCGAAAAGGTCGAGGTTGCAGCTGAGTTACAGCTCATTGCCCTCCCAACGCGTAGGGAGGCAATTACCACGATTGGGGCAAAATACGATCTTCGATTGGCTACCTTCCGAGCCCAGGTAGATTCTACCGGAAAGGTTTCAGCATTGCTAGAGCAGCGCTTCACGCCCACATTTGCCTTCCTTGTTGCTGGGGAGATCGATCACTTCAAGGTTTGTTTGTTTTTTGGGATGGCTGTTGAGTGTTGACCGTTCCCCCCAGAACTCGGCCAAAGTTGGCGTCGGCGTTATGATCGAGAGCTCGACACTGACACCTGAGGAGATGGCTGCTATGGCTCCTCCTTCATAGTTATTGCATTTAGTACATAATCCTAACCTAATGTCCGTCCCCACTCCCTGTCCTTAAAACAATCATTATTGCACTAAAGGCATACAAGTTGTTTTTGTACCCAAAATGATTAGAAATAGAGTAAGGTCCATCCAAAGAGCGTGGAGACGAGAGTGAAGGCGAACGAAGCGTGAATTTGCGTGCCCCGGCCCTTTTTGGGTTTGTCGTTTTTCCCAGGTGCGCCAATAGCATTCCAATCGTTGTAAGCAGCTTGGAACATGACTGCGAAGGCCTGGCCTTCTGCTGATTCTTGGCCTTGTATTCCAAACTGATGAGGATTGACAACGGGTGTCAACCAACCGTCGCTTGTGAAATGCCTCAGATTGTCGAGGGAAGCAGTGGGTGTTGGGAGAGGAGAAGAAGAGGGTGCAATGCTAGGAGAAGAAGAGGGTGAATTGCTGGGAGAAGAGACGTCACCAGAGCTAGAGGAGGGTGCGGGCGGGGAAGTGGAGGTTGGTGTAGGCGATGATGAAGCTGGCGATACCGTGGCGAAAAGGGCTCGCCGACAATTCTCTGCGTTTGCCACGTAGGTATGGTCGTCTTCAACGACTGCCAGGCGGTAAACAGTGCTCGCAAGAAGCATTGTCGCGGCCGCATCGTAAAACATGCCGGGGCTTCCCGAGCTTTCGCCCGCATAATTTGTAAAAATGTTCGTCGAGTCGAGTGCTGAAAACATTGCGCCATGAATTTCCTTGACCCAGTCTTTCAAGTCCTTCTGCTCGTTGGAGAATTGCTTGTTGTATGGCGAGTTCTTCATTGTGCCTAAAACACGTAACATCCCGGCTGCTGCCCAGCCATTGCCTGCGAGACAATCAGGACATGTCTTTTTGGTGGTCAAGAAAACGAACCAGTGGACCAATGACCCTCGTCCAGGCTTCCACCATTCGTATTGTTCCCCAGTACAATATGTTTCCAGAGATTGTTCGCGTTGGTGTCACGAAGGTAGTTGCGATATAACTTAATTTGGTTGTAAGCTTCCGTTATAAGTGAGGTGTTGGACGTCAAAACGCCGTAGTAGGCGAGGAACGGAGGGACCTGTGGAGCGTCAGTTATCTAGACAGCTCGATGACGTCAGTCCACACCATGAAAACGCTGTCACTCCTAGAAACTCATGAGCGGAAGAGTTTGCCAAGGCGGACGGCTGCATACCATAGCTGGACTTGGGACACCCTGTGTGAAATGGCGCCATCTGGCGTCTTGGGAGTGTTGTAAAGCAGAAAATCGAGCTGATTCTTGGCAGCAGCAGCGTAGTTGAGTCCATCTAGAAACGAGTTAGACCAATGGAGCAAAAAGAGACACAACGACGCACCCTTTCCTTGTTGACCAGTCCAATTCGCTAGTAAGACTGCAACCCCGATCGACGCGGGGTCTCCGGCGGCCCCGTCGCCAGCGACGAGTTCCCCATTTCCCGAGGAATTCAGCGCGGAAACAATGTTGTGAGCGATCGAGAGTACGGGGGCAATGCCAGCGGTGACATTGGAGGGTATAGATGTTGGAGGTGGAACGGTGGAGAAAACAGAGAGGCTATGGGCATCCAGTTCAGTCAAAGCTTGCGCCCGCGTCCCTATTTCCCAACTGAATTTTTCAGAATCCACGGAAGTATATTTTTAGATGGCGAACCTCAATTTGGCGGCATCTGCTAGTCGTTGAGTAACCAGAGAGAGTTGGGATGAAGTAAGTGCTTGAGAAGAGGCGGGAGATAGAAGGGATGCCCCAAGGACGAGGGAAAACAGCATGATGGTTTACTTGTGTGCGCAGCAGCCATTTTAAACCGTGTGGAGACTCTCCTTTCTTGGAACCTTGGCCACGACATCACTGTCATCAGGTCGCGGCGCGGCGTTGCCATCTGGGTCAGGCACTTTATAGGATACTCGTTCACTGGCAATGATATGGTGCAGCAAGGCCATAATTGCCCGGTTTGCGAAACAAGAAGAAACCAGGCAAATCCGCAGTTCGTCTGAATCTGTCTGAATCCGCAGCACATAATCAAGTACAAAAGATCACGTGTCAACTGTGTTCCGTTTGGCGGCTTCGACAACTTTAAGCGTGAGAGCGATCTTCGACCACAATTTCGCATACGTCTCTGCATCGTGCTGGGAGATTTTTGCTTCCAATTCCTTGATCATCTCATCCACAATCGGTTTAACAGTCGAATAAACGGTCTCTTTTATGGGCGCTTTCAGTAGCATCACCAACGTCTCCAAGGGCAGCATCGGAACGGGGGCCGGTGGTTGCAATGCCAGAGCCTCAAATCCTTTCGTTATCGCTTCAAACTCTTCGGCATCCCTGTTTTGCGCTCCTTGCAGGGAATCAATCCGTTGCTGCATCTGATGTGCTGAATTTCATTACGAGAAACATGAGGCAGGCTATGATTTACCTCTTCCATAACCTTAACCAGTTGGCGTTTTTCTTGTTCATGTTGGAGGAACCGGGCCTCTACTTGAGCCCTTTGAGCCCGTTCATCCGCGAGTTCCTGATTGAGACGAGTAACATTGTTGCTGAGTTGGGTCATTTCCGTTATCAGCGCAAGAGTAGAGGCGGCAGCTCCTTCAGAAATGCTTGATTTACCGAGCTGACTGTTCAACTCCTCCACAACACTTTCCACGATATACTCCTGGTGCGAAGCAAGGTCGCCCTCAAGCTGCCAAGTTCGACCCTCCAGATCCGTGACCCTGGCCATGACCTTTCGCAAACGGTCATCGTCCATATCTGGCAATTCATCTTGGGACAATCGACGCCGTTTCAGTGGTCGCGTATTAGAGTCAGAATCAGCTTGTGTCGACTCATCGGTGAGCTTTCTGGACATGGTGTCGTTCAGCTCTTTCGCCAACTTGACGAGTTGGTCGAGTTTCTCGGTGCCATGCTGTGGCCCTTTGACCGCCCACCAGTCCAGAGTTTTCAGCGCCGCCATTCTTTCACTGAATAATGCTTCGGCATTGGCTTTGGTCTCATTCAAAGACTTCTGGTGCAGGCTGATTCTTTCTTTGTCGGCAGGAGATAATGCCTTGAAGCGTGGCGTTCTTAGCATTCGTTCGTGCTCTTGGAGCTCATCAAGGGCTTTGTTGTACGCTTCGCGAGCCGATATACATGTGGAGAAGACACTGAACAACAAGTTAAGCATGCACACACTGAAGGGTCAATAAACGCACGAAAAGACTTTGTCCCATTCAACTCTGAGGTCATCGGTATTGGCGAGTGGTGGGGGGTGTGCTGCAGCGCTGAGACTGGGTGGAATGGCGGGTGGAGGTGCTATTGTGGCAATATCAGGCATAAGGGAGTCCTTGGGGGAGTCGACCAAAGAGCGACGATGCTGAGATGGGGAGCGTGACCTGGCAGGTCTAGGCGAAGAGTAATCTCGTGGGCCCTGCTTTCTGTGTGGCAAAGATGCCCACTCTAAACAGAAATTACGATGGTACGTAAAATAAGAGGGGGAAAAAGAGTACCACGGTCGTGTGGATGGATAAAACGACAAGATGCTGGGTGATGCTTCATTTTATAGGCGATGGGTTGGCCATCGGAAGTGTAGTAGAAACAACGTTCATATGGCATTGCGGGAGAGGGAAAACACAAGTTCAAGTCCTGTCACCCCTAATCTTCCCATACATTGACTACCTCCGACTGATGGGTTTGAACACCAACATCTGCCCGGACCGGGTTCAACCGGGGGTATACGAACTGCAACAACAACATTAGAGGACACCCTACTTCAGATAAGGGCTACGTACTCCGGTGTTGTACTCATTGAAGACCTCTGCTGCGATAATTTCCTTGTCCTTGATAAGGGTTTTGAAGAAATGGGTGATCAAAAACGACTAGGTTGGTTTGATTTTACTTCATTGGAACACAAAGAAGCAGAACCCACCTGAGCGCTCACGAAACCCATGATGAGGATATTCGAGATCCAGTTTGAGGGACCCGTTGCGCACCACAACAGCGAATGTGCAGGAGAATATACGTTGAACAACATTGATTCGAACTCTCCTGGTGTCCACACCTCAAGTTGCTGGACACGGGCGACCTTGGGGGGAGGTGGCGGGTTGCGTACTGGTAATTGAAATCCCAACAAGAACCTCCACGAGGTGTTGAAGCCAAACAAGGCTGATCTGAGGACTCGGGTTGACAATGGTGGCGGCACCAGAGGCTGGAAGTCGAGCTGAGCGGCAACAAATTTTGCATTGGGAGACGACACTGGGTCCGAACGCAAGTGTAGACGATAGAGCTTGACCCGCGTCAATAGATAGAGCGCATTTAAGAAGGACGCCGCGACGAGCAAAAGTGTTACAGGCACCGTCTAAAAGGAGGGTGAAAAAATGAGTGAATAATAACAAGGTTTGTGGGTACACACCCAGTCGAACCAAGAGTGGCCTTCGCCCTCCCGATACATGTCCTCCCAGCCAAGGTCCGAGTCTGGGACGTTGTTGGCCTGGCTGAAGCGAATACAAAGGTGGATGAAGTGGAGAGTTCCTCCTACAATCCAGGCGGATGTTTGTGGCTTGGGTAGCGGGACATTAGCAGGAAACATAGCAATTTGGAAAGAAATCTGGGAAGGTATAGACGCGATACTTGAGCAGAAGTCAGCGATACTGTCAGGTAACACAAAGAAAATAGCTGAACCGCTCATAATAACTCTTCTTGCGAATGACACCTTTGCGAAGAGGGGTAGCTGACGCGCCCATGCTGCGCCGAGCTAGTCTGGCTCCAGACTGTGGCGTCGAGTAAGGAGCTCTTGAGCGGGCTGCCTCCCAATCGAACGCGACATTGGTCGAAATGGAGGGTGTTGTGGCGGGAGACTGACTGATGGCAATCGATTGTCGTGGACGCGGAGTCTTGGGAAGGGAGAGAGGCGTAGGGGATGACTCTGTCGTGTTTACCGACGCGTTTATTGCGCGTTTCCGGAGTGCCATTAGGTCTTGAACGAAAAGGGACAATGAGGTGTGACAGTGTGTGACAGCAGGACACGTGGATCAAAACCAACCAAAAAACTAACACCTGGCTTGTCCTTTTCTCTCATCATCCTCCCCCCGCGACACCCAAAGCTTTACAAGCTGCATTCTTCACGCAAGCCCAAGACGTCTATTTTACGGACAGCCACCTCACTCTCTCCATCGTCGTCCGTGTCTGTCCGAATGGCCCAGCCTTCATCGACCCACCACGAGCGCACTGAGCGTGACAGAGACCGCGATCGCGAAAGGCATCATCGCAGCGACCGCGAGCGGTCTTCTCACCACCACCATCGAACAATCTCATCAACAACCCTCCTCCTCGTACTTTCTCTGGTCCTCGCCGGTTTGGCAGTGATGCTCTCACTGCCACGCCAGTACTCAGCCGACTCTACCACCGAAGGGGGCTCCTCATCAGGTGTTTTTGGAATGCTTTCGCCTAAACGAACGCAAGCGCTCATCGCTAGGGAGAGCGCAGTCGCTGTACGAGAAGCAGAAGTTGCTCGCAGAGAGGCTGAGCTACTCATTGGGGCCCCTGGTGGAGTTTTGCCTACACCTACACCCGTCCTCTGCCCTCCTTGTGCGGCTACCACTTATGTCGAGACGGTCACGCCTCCCATCCAGACTATCATCAAGGAAATTGTCAAGGAGGACTCGTTAACGCCTCCAGGCTGGAATAATGGCCGAGCCGAGGATGTTCTCGAGAGAGAACTTCGTGTTTCTGAACGAGAACGCGATATCACTAAGCGAGAAGAAAGTGTCAATCGCCGCGAGCATGACGCGTCTCGTCGTGAAGGTTGGATCATGGAACAACTCATGTGAGCGTTCCTTTTTCTGTTGGATTGTTGGCCTATCTAATCAACATCAAGTGCATTGGGCAACGATCATCCGGAAGTCGAGGAGGAATACGTCTACGAGCCAAAGCGCAAAGTCAAGGTACCGCCGCCCTCCCCGCGCCGTTCCGAGCTTTGAGACGAAGGGGGGATGAGCCATGTCTTTTTTTTTCTTGTTATGTCCGTATAATTCCCTCCTTCGTCCGGGCTTGGGGCAAAGGCTATTCTCTTTTTTGTCGTTTGGGTCCGCGGATCGATCGCGTCGCCACACGTGGCCGTGCCCCAAGACAAATAATGCTGTTGCTTTCGATCATTGCTGACTATTCTCTCCAGGCGCTTCCTTTTGAAACAGAGACCAAGACCGTTGTCCAAACCCAAACTGTCACCGTACCCGCTCCTGCCAACACGCGGCGGGCATCTCCTCCAACTCCTCAAGTTGCCGATTCTTCATTCAAGACCGATAGCCCTCGAACAACTGCTATAGAGTTCATCACAGAGGATGACCTTAAAACTGTCGTTGTCCGATCACCTAAACCTACACGGCGACCCCCTCGTGGCTGGTTTGGTGGTTGGTGAACGGTTTAAATCTCCTGTTTCCTTATTCTCTATATTTTTTTCACGCGCGCAACCTCCCCCCTTATATCGGACACTGACTGGCTCATCCATTAACTAACGTCTTGACGCTCGTTACGATACTTTAATGTGGATTACGCCCTTGTTGTAGAGTACCACTTATGATTTTTGAATACATTTCTGGAAGGACCTGTGACCTCGTTTTAGTCATGCTTAGAACGCGACCACCTTCACTCTTTCCGCGTTCATGTCGAGGATACTCACTGCATGGGCCACCGTCCCAACTTGAAATTCTCGGAAACAGATATCAAACCGACGAAATCACGAATATCACGCCCTCGATTCTCTCCAAGCTCCCCCTTCGCCTGCATTCCCGTCCCAAGCATCCTCTTCACACTCTACGGACTCTCATTGAGGCTCACTTCCCCACGTTTTCTCACCATTCATCTCTCTCTCCCCTCGTCTCACCATACAAAAATTTTGACGAGCTCTCGTTCCCTAAAGACCATCCTGGACGCGCTGTAACTGACAGTTACTATGTGAACAAGGACCTTATGCTACGAACCCATACTTCTGCTCACGAGGTAGAAGTTTTCCGCCGAGGGGACGACAAATGGCTGCTGACCGCTGACGTTTACCGCCGCGATGAAATAGACGGGTCACATTATCCAGTGTTCCACCAAATGGAGGGTGCACGAATATTCCCCGCCACTCCAAACGGCATGCGGGAGGTAGAAGAAGACAATGCTTGGCTTCGATCACAGTTGGCGCAGACAAATATCGTGATCGAGGATGTCCCTCATGTTGCGCCAACCAACCCAGCCCAGCCAACTCATGACCCAGCTCATTCAGCCCTTGTGGCGGAAAACCTCAAATTGTCATTGAATGGCATGCTGTTGGCCCTCTTTGGCGGCTCTTCTCCTCTGCGCGTCCGGTGGATCGAGGCGTATTTTCCGTTCACCAGCCCGAGTTTTGAAGTCGAGGTGTTCTACCGTGGAAAATGGCTGGAAATTCTTGGCTCGGGCGTCGTCCGACAAGCTACACTAGATACAGCCAGTGAGTTTTTGCCATACTAGCCTTCACTTTCGCTAAACTGTCGGCCATGCAAGATGTACCCAATAAAATTGGTTGGGCTTTTGGACTCGGGCTGGAGCGTATCGCCATGATACTGTACTCTATTCCCGACATTCGTCTTTTCTGGTCAGAAGATGAAAGGTTCCTATCTCAATTCAAAGAAAACAAGATCTCGACCTTCAAGCCATACTCCAAATATCCTGCTTGCTCCAAGGATGTCAGCTTCTGGCTTCCACAAGGCAGCTCACTGCATGACAATGACTTCTGCGATCTCGTGCGGGACGTTGCTGGGGACATTGTCGAGGATGTAAAAAAAGTCAAGACAAAAATTTTCACGTTCAAAGCCTCCATTGACTCCCCCATAGATTGACGCTTTTGTTCATCCTAAAACGAACAGGTCCAGTGCCTGCTACCGTATAAATTACAGGTCTATGGATCGGTACAATAGTCTTCTCACCTTGGTTTCTGCCTAACGTTTTCTCAAGGTCGCTGTCCAACGAAGAAGTCAACGAGATTCAAGGGCAAGTGGTGTCGCGGTTGAGGGAGCAGTTTGGAGTTGAGATTCGGTGATTAACAGAGAGCTATAATACTTCTAGTAGGACCGTCTAGATCTAGACCTAATGCTCAGTAATTATGTGTGTGGCTCCTCTGAGTTTTGTGGTACATCCTGCGCAACCCCGACTTGAGCTGCCCTCAATACGCGATCACGAATGGTGAATCCAATTTTTTGGCAGTCGATGACTGTGCCAGGTGTCTTTCCAGGTATTGGGGCCTGGTACAGCGCTTCATGCCTATTAGGATCGAACGCATCCCCTGTTGGGTCGAACGGCTTCACGTGGTACTTGAAGAGAGTTTGGAGGAGCTGGCGCTGGGTCATCTCGACACCCGTATAGAGCTCTTGTAGATGCTCTTTCGCTGACTTGGCTGGAGGGGTAGTCGGTGTGTCCAAAGACCCTTCTGGTGTTTCTGAGGGAGCGAAGGCGGATTGCGGAACGGATTTAAGGGCGAGGGAAAGCACGTCAACGGTCTCGAGAAGGTCGGCTGCGAAATTTGAGACCGCAAAATCACGCGTTTTTTCTCGTTCTCGTGCCGAGTTGCGTTGGAGATTCAGGAAGTCTGCCTGCAGATACCGTAGTCGACTCTATTCGGAGAAATAAGTGTGAGTCAAAAAAAAGTGTATTGAACAAGACAGACAAGTAGGTCAGCAGCCTCCTCCTGGGCCTTGACGAGAGCGGCATCAACCTTTGGCGCATCGTCTTTTGGAGGTTCAGTTGACGACTCTCCGGCGGTGGCTGCATCCGAATAGAGGCGGAATGCGGGGCGGAAACGGCGGGCGCACGACAGCGAAGTGGTACGCAAAAGAGACATCCTCGGGTCACCCCGTGACAAACAAAAGAATTTTTACATATTTTCCACCAGCTCACTTCACGACGAATGTATAAGAACGAGTATTCACCGTAGGCCCGAGTGAGCTGCGAGTGTCTCCCCAGAAAAGTGAAAATATGGCAGCCCGTGCAACAATATTACGAGGCGGATTTCGGCCTTCCGTTGAATCCGTTCAGCCTATCTTGTCCAAATCTGCCATGCAAATCGACGGGACTGCCCTTGCAAAGTAAAAGTCTCTCTCTGTGTGCTTATATTCCCCGCTCAATCCAAACAGGACCATCCGCGATGGCGTTGCCGCGAAAATAGCAGCAAAACAGGCCCAATTTCCCCGCTTCCAGCCCCAACTCGCCATTGTCCAAGCAGGCGAACGACCCGACTCATCGGTGTATGTCCGAATGAAGGCAAAGGCAGCAGAGGAGGTTGGAATCAAGTTCCGCCATGTCGCTCTCCCAGCGACATCATCGGTCGACGAGGTTATCGCAACAGTCAAGCAGCTCAATGCAGACGACCAAGTCAGTGGCATCCTCGTCCAGCTACCACTTGGCGAGCATGTATCTCCCGAGGGCGAGCGCCTGGTTACCGAAGCTGTCAGTCCAGAGAAGGATGTCGATGGGTGAGTGAACCGCGCTATTCTCATTCGCATCCACGATTGAAATTTATTTGAGCTTCCACGCCTACAACATCGGTCATCTGTCCTCCCGCGCTTCTGTGCCTCTTTTCTCTCCATGCACTCCATCAGCCGTAATCCGTTTACTCGAGTCCACTGGGGTCTCGTTAGTTGGTGCAAACGCCGTTGTCCTCGGTCGCAGTGATATCGTTGGCAGCCCTGTCGCGTCTATGCTGAGGAATCGCGACGCAACAGTCACTCAATGCCATAGCAAGACCAAGAACATCGCAGACATCGTATGTTTTTGGTCATTCTACTGCTCCGATCGTCTCAAAAAAGCACTATCAGGTTAAAACTGCCGATATCTTGGTTGCCGCTGTTGGCAAGGCTCAATTCGTGCAGGGCTCGTGGATCAAGCCAGGCGCTGTGGTCATCGATGTGGGAATCAACTACATCCCTGGTAAATAAAAAACAACTGCTTCATTGCTCGACTGACAAATGGAGTTTAGACGCTACGAAAAAGTCGGGTCAACGACTAGTCGGCGATGTAGACTTTGCGTCTGCATCCGAAGTCGCTAGCCATATCACGCCTGTCCCAGGTGGTGTTGGACCTATGACCGTGGCCATGTTGATGGAAAACACTTTACATTCTGCTGAGCGCCTTTGGGAAAAACAACGGTCACTCAAGATCAGGCCGCTCCCGCTCAACATTCTGGAAAAGGTCCCCAGTGACATCGAGATTGCGATGGCGCATACCCCCAAGCGTATTACGGAACTCGGTCTGGAAATCGGCCTGCTTCCAGACGAGCTCGAAAGCTATGGAAAATACAAGGCCAAAGTCGAACTCAGTGTCCTTGAACGACTGGCCCATCGCAAGAACGGTAAATATATTGTTATATCTGGGTTAGTTTTTCCTTTGGTGTCCTTCGAGAATCTCACCAACGTCGAACAGCATAACGCCCACACCCCTTGGCGAGGGTAAATCCACGACCACAATAGGACTTGCACAGGCCCTCGGTGCAGAGCTTAGTCGTCCGGCCTTTGCCTGCGTCCGTCAACCGAGTCAAGGACCAACCTTCGGTATCAAGGGTGGCGCTGCGGGAGGTGGCTACAGTCAGGTCATTCCTATGGACGAGGTAACCCTATTGGATGTTAGATGCAGCCTAACTTATTGTCATCCAGTTTAACCTCCATCTCACTGGTGATATTCATGCTGTTACTGCTGCAAACAACTTGCTTGGTACCTCAACCCTTTTCCTCGTTGGAATTGCCATTTATTCTGTATCTAGCGGCTGCTTTGGATGCTAGGATGTTCCATGAAGCTACACAATCAGACAAAGTCAGCTGACTCTTCGTTAACTTGCGTTCTGTGCTGATCATTCTCCAGGCATTGTACTCGCGTTTGGTACCCACTAAGAAAGGCAAACGCGAGTTTGCTCCTCTTATGCTTAAGCGGCTTCAGAAACTGGGTATTAACAAGACGGATCCGAACGAGCTCACCCCTGAAGAAATAACCCAATTCGCCAGACTTGATGTTGACCCATCCACGATCACGTGGAACCGCGTTATCGATACCAATGACCGGTTCTTGCGCAAAATCACTGTTGGTCAAGGAGCAGCAGAGAAGGGACACGAACGGGAAACCGGGTTTGATATTGCTGTCGCCAGTGAATGCATGGCAGTTCTTGCCCTGACGACGGGTTTGAAGGATATGCAGGCACGGTTGGGTGCGATGGTCGTGGCAACTAGCAAGCAGGGCAAGCCAATAACAGCGGACGATATTGGTGTCTCTGGGGCTCTGGCTGTTTTGCTTAAAGATGCCATCAAGCCCAATCTGATGCAAACCTTGCAGGTCAGTTCCGAGTCATTTACCCCACAACCCTAAGACCTTCTACAGGGGACACCGGTATTTGTTCATGCTGGGCCGTTTGCTAACATTGCCCACGGAAACTCTTCAATCCTCGCGGATCAGATCGCCTTGAAGCTCGCCGGTACTGAGGAGGGCGATTCGTCTGATCGCGTTGGCTATGTTTTGACCGAAGGTGGTTTTGGCGCAGACATGGGCATGGAGAAATTCTGCAACATCAAGTGCCGAATCAGTGGCCTTAAACCCAATGCGACAGTGATTGTTGCAACGACGCGAGCACTGAAAATGCATGGTGGTGGTCCCGAAGTCACCCCTGGCAAGCCGTTGCACGCAACGTATACGCAAGAGGATCTTGTTACCCTCAAGGAGGGCTGCAAGAACCTTGTCAGGCATATTCACAATTGTCGCAAACTCGGAGTCAAGGTTCTTGTGGCAATCAACCGCTTCGCGTCAGACACCGACGCTGAACTTGCGTTGATCAGGGAGGAGGCGCTCAAAGGAGGTGCTGATGCTGCTGTTGTCAGCAATCATTGGGCGGAGGGTGGCGCTGGGGCTCGAGAGTTGGCGGAAGCCGTCATTGCGACATGTGAAGGCGAATCCAACTTCAAGTTCTTATACGATCTAGAACTTCCTCTCGAGGAAAAGATTGCCATTATTTCGAAAGAAATATACGGCGCAGATGGGATCGAGCTCAGTGACTTGGCCAAGACTCAGCTCGCGACATATACGGCGCAAGGGTACGCTAACCTAACCAGTAAGTTCCGCTTTTTGCGAGCAAGTGTTCATTACTGACGAGTCGACCCAGTCTGCATGGCCAAGACACAATATTCGTTCTCCCACGACCCCAAACTGAAAGGGGTCCCGTCGGGCTTCACGATTCCCATTCGGGAGGTCCGTTTGTCTGCTGGTGCTGGATTCCTCTACCCAATCCTGGGTGATATGGCCACTATGCCTGGCCTTGGCACGCGCCCCGGCTTCTGGGAAGTGGGAATTTCCGAGACCGGAGCCGTGCAGGGTCTTTTCTAGAGCGGCCACGCTCCTTTTAGACGTTTTCAACGAATGTGCTTTGCTCTAGATCGGATCGTCTCAACACGGTTATTGAGCTGTGGTTGGGATAGCGCGGAGCCGAGGGTAGTTAGATCGCGTTTATTCCATCACAGATCTCGTCGGTATGTAGTAGAATAGCTATAGATGTGGATGCGCTTCAATGACCGTGACTACGACCGGAAGGAAGTCTTGCTCCTGCAAAGCTAGCCTGGGCTCCATTTGGCGCTTCACCGTCAATGGCCCCTGTCTTCGCTTTGGAGGCGAGCGAGCCACTCTGAATATCCAGCGTGATGTTGTTAAAGGCAGCATTGACCCGCCTCTGGAAGGTGTTGCCTTGAGTGTCGACATACGAGAATCTAAGTGCTGCATCAGCATGAACACAATGAATAAAACCACAAGACGCAACGTGTTGTTGGAGGTCCCATTGCCACTGTTTCCCGCAGACGAGATGTTGAAGAAGCCAGCTAAGCGGATCGGTTAAGGAAGTTGAAGACTCTGACGAGTGCGACAATTACCAGCAATCTGGCGTTCAGCAATCGTCGATCCCAAAAAGATACCCGGGAGCAGGTTGCGGTTGTAGCTGTGGTCGAATCTCGTGAAGACTACAACCCGTCAGCTAGTCAATTATTGGAAAAACAACAATGAGGCATACAGAATGAACCACTCGGGTTGAGTGCAGTGAAGTTGATCGTGACAGGGAACGACGCTTGATCTTTGACTGTGGGGACTCCGTTGTGAGTGGAGAGCGAGGATCCTGTAGTGGACTGGAAGAGATTCTAGTGACCATAATAAGTCAAATGCCGGATTCGACGTTTCAGTGATATTACCTGGACGAGGGTATCGTTGAGGTAGTCTTGCTGATTCGAGTAGGTCAGCTGCTGGTCCCAGTTGACTAGTGTCTTCTTCCCACTTCCACTGATAATTTCCGATGAAATGTGGATCTTGCGTGTTGCAGAAACAGTGATGTGGATGTCTCCATTAGACGAATCGACGCTTCCGGTATTGCTGGAGATTGCGAAGGGCTCCGCCTGATACGACAGTATTTTGCCAGTCGTGCGTTTCGATGAGCTATCTGTCACTACTTGTAGAGCCCCGGACACAAACCAGTTCTGGAGGATAGTATGGTCTGCTTCGGCAGATGCGACATCCAAGGTAAATGTATGGGGTAAGCCATCCGTCAGAATTGGAACAAATGGTGTCACGTCGATGAAGTAGGTAGGCAAGTCGACAGCACCATATGAAGTAATTGGTCTCCAGAGCGGAGGTGAAAATCCGCCAGTAAATACGACCTTTCGGAGAATTGAATATTGCAATGGGACCACGGTATAACGCACTGGATAGGGGAACGCAACGCCCGCAACTTGTCCATCCACCAGGAGTCTGACTTCTCGGAACGGTCCTTGGCCAAGCGTGCCGGAAGGAAGCTCGGGCAGGAATTCGTTGGCAACATTGAAATACTTTTCCAGAGTTAGAATCAGTATTGGATGTAGTTAATAACATACCCAGAATTCTGCAGAATCAGTGACACGGGTTGGATCACCAAAAGCATACAACTAACCTTCATTTCCGTTCCCGGAAGGAATTATTTCTGCGTAGATCGCCACGGCATTTTGCGGAAGGGTAACGTTTATCTGCGTGTCAAAGGTTGTGAGAATCAAGAAAACAGAGTTGCGGGAAACGCACAGAGAAACTTGGAGGAACAGATGCATCGTTCCCGGTTGTGTTGGAAAGTGTGGACAGTGGGATAATCTGGTTGGCCTTTTTAGCTGGAGGGTGCGCGGGCGAGGATGCATAGAAGGTGGCGTGTAATGTCGCTGGAAAGAAGGTGAAACCGGTGGGGCGGCAATGGAAACCAAACTAACTGGAGTAAATTCCATCCAGTCCAGTCTGAATCAGATTGTCGAGCTAACCGAGTCAATTATCTGGCAGACCTAATAGTGAAGAGTAGATACCTGCAGAATAAACGTGCCCGGCTTTGCGAATAAGGGCGTGAAACGAGTGACATCCTTGATATAGCTGGCTGCTCGTCAGGGAAATTGATTGGGGAAGCATTGAATATAACATGCGTCCATATGATCCCAGTTCGTGTCGGCTCCGGTGTCGAAGTCCGCCAAACTGTACAACAGTTATTTGACTGCAACCCAGTGTTGTTGTACGCACTTTCAACATTTTGGAAGGTGAAGATTCCTAGACGGTCGAATTGTGTGCCATTGCTGGTCACCGTAAAGTTGAGTGTGATTGCTGCCCAAGACCCTGGTTCACCGCAATCGGTCGGGGGCCTGCTCACCACATTAACCTGCAGATACCACGGAAAGGAGCGAAAGACGTACGCGAATTGAACAACCTCAGCCCTGATCGTGTGAGCATAATGGATCTGGTCCAGTGGTTACTCACAAGCCGAATGAGAATGCGAAGTCACGTCTGAGGAAACGCGTTGAGAGAGAGAACTATATGGGGCACATTACTCACTGAAGGATCTGGATGGTGCATTGCTTCGCGTCTTGGGGAACGGGAGGTGGCTGAGCGACCTGAAAATCAACAAGGACAGCGTTGACGGTGGAGAGGGCGACAGAAAACAGGAACGCTAGGGAAAGTCGCATGCTGCCCTGACTGTCGCAGTAATTGGTCAAGTATAAGTACGCGCGAACGCGAAGTTGTGATGCTGGGAAGCATGCTTCGTAAAATCTTCATCGCATGGAGGTCGATAAAGTGTGAGAACCTAGATGACATAATCTTGATGGATCGTCTGCAAATTGCCCTCGACGCGCTTGACACGCTCCGCCTTCAGTATGCACAACAGAGTGCTGCGCAAAGTGCCCTGATAGAGAAACACAACGACCAACTTTCGTTTTTCCGCGACGTCGCCCGTGTGGCCGAGTTTGAGAGAGACAATTTGCGGGACGCTGTTATCGAACTGGCAGAGCGTGGTGAGTGACTTTTTCTTGCTATCATCATTTTCATACCGAGAAGATTTCCCAGTCGAATCGTCACAGAAAGACTTTTTCTCTCTCCCCAGACCGCGACTCTTTCTCCCACAAATGCTCCAGCCATTAAGTCCACCACCAGTTGTGCTTCCAAGCGAGACAGACAGTGACCTTTGGGCGTACGCTTCTGCTACGATTGTGGCCCTTCGCTCTAAGCTGACGGCTGAGCAGCAAGCTCACGCCGAAACTCGACGTATTACCAAAGCACAAATAGCTATTCTAGAGGCCCAGCTTGCCCGACGCGAAGCTGACTTGGCGGCAGCTGGGTTATCCCTCAACCCAAGACATCATGCAGACGAGGAGATTGCACAAACTGAGGCCATTAACGTGAGGCTAGCTGCGGAGGTTGCTCAACTTGCAGCAAAAGTGCGTGGCATCATGGTCAAAAGTCTCTGGACTGAGCTATTGTTAGGTTGAGGAGATGCAAGCAACATCGTCAAGACCGCCAGTCGTCCCTCCAATCGTTCTTCAACATGATCCAGATCGCACCATTCGCCCGAGGCAACGGGCATCCTCTGCCCCTAGCTCGAATTTTGCATCTGACTTCGCCAAAGACATTGAAACACTAGGCAGGCAAATTGAAGAATTCCGAATCACCAGGGCACAAGTGGCCCATAGCACACCCAATCATCCGGCTCGGCATTCTCCTGTAACCGAAAATAATGACCATATTGCCCTTGAAAGGGAAATCGCAGAGCTAGGAGCGCAAGTTGATGCTCTAAGAGATGAACGAGCTCTTTTAAGGGAACAAATCCTAGCTTCCCCACCCATCGTATGCTCTCATTTGAATCACGTTGCACATCTCACGTTGTTCAGACCTCACCGGCCTCACCACCCACGGTTTCGCAACTCCGATTCCCACGACCACCGACGCCAGGTCCGCGCCACACTCCCGAACTACCACCAGAAACTGGCAGTCCGTCAGAGAACGGAGATATTACGCGGCCCAATTTACTAGAGTGGGACGGCGAACAGTCAATGGATCTTGCCACACCCCTTGTTCCCAGCCTAGTTCTACCAGACACATTCGAGCCTATTCCCCCTCCCGATACTGCTGAAAACTCCAACTATGCGCTATTGCCAACAGCAGGCCCTTCGCCCATCTTGGAGTATGGTTCAATTGAATCCTGACTTGTGTTGCGACATGTTGTACTACATTATTGCTCTGGGGGGCCTAAACGCGTTCCACTTCGCCGATGTGCCCTTTGGACTCTGAATCCATAATGTCACTCTCGTTCTCTGGACTGTCGAGACCGTGGCTTCGTAGTCGACTATGATCCTTGTGCATTTCAATCACCTCGAGATGCGCCGCAGGAATGACTGGATCCGCCTGTTAACGGGACAGTAGGAAAGAGTGTGGACCTTACCGCGGTATGAATCCGAAATCATGAACTCATACATCACGCGGGAGAGGATCTTTAACAAAAGTTCGGCGACAACCGGGATATAACCAACACCTTACCGTTGCAGGAATATTGGTCAGAGCGGCTAGTGCAGCGTAGGGGCCTCCACTCGCTGTAGATAGTTAGTCATCCAAACCCTTTGCTAATTATGTCAGACTATACTGACCGCCCATTCCGAAAACGGTCAAACCGGCAAGACGACCACCCACATCACGTGCGGCATTTGCAGCCACTGAGAAAACGTTGAGTGTCCCAATGCGACAATATATCAGATAATGGCGCACAGCCAATTCCACCGAAGCTCCAGATCGCAGCAGCATATGCCAACGAAACGATAACGGCACCCAAGAAAGGCGGGATCAGCTCGTTAGTGGGATCCAACTGTCCAAAAGTCAGTCTTGACGAGGTCAGGAGGACCGATAAATCGTTTTACCGTTGCCCATATGACAGTTCCGAGAACAAAGTCCTGCGGAATTATGAGATTGGCGATCATCCGCGGGAAGGCGGGTAAAAAAGAAGACTTACGACTACAAACTCGTTGACGAAGACCTGCCCCAGATTGGAGCCCGGCTATGTGAAGCGACAGATGGTCAATACAATTTTTACTCTTTTGTTTGAGTTGTCGGGACGAACCGTTACCGAAAGTGCCAGGACTCCTCCAGGACCTGATGGTGTCCAGAATACGCTTTCCTTATGTCCGGGCCCTGCGGCCTCCAACACAAGATCGACAGCGCCAAAGAAAGTCTTGTACTGAACGTAGACCAGCAAGCAGGCGATGTAGCCTCCAAATACCTGGGCTACCATATAGCTGCGTTGCGTTGAATGTGGTGGACTGACTGTGATCTATATCTGGAACTTACCGGAGCCCCTTGAGCGGCGGGAAGCCTTCGAAGAGGACACGGGTGATGGTCACGGCCTGTTTTCACCACGAGATTAGCAGATCATAGCGCCGAAGATAATGGTGTTTTACGGGATTGAAGTGGCCTGAAAGAAGCTCAAATGTCTAACGCAGCTGATCGATGGCTTTCTCACCTCCCGATGTCGCATTGCACACAGTGATAGCCAGTAAGATTCCACATGCGTACGCGAGCCCAATTTGGAGCCCCGCTGTGGGATGTGGGCATTAGCTGCGAAGTCAAGTCATGGAGTAAGCCTACACGAAGCGCCCTCAAGTTGGAGGATGTTGCCAAGGACATAGAGAGCCTGAGACCCAACACCTGAGACGATAAGAGCTGGTTATAGTTTAATCAACGGCGTCTTACCCATGTAGGTGCTGGACAACATGTCAGAATATTCGAGGGAAGGCAGAGCATAGTACGTACTATAGAAAAACACCCAGCTATAGGTCAAGGTGAGTTCAGCACTGCGGTGGAGAGTGTAACTGACTGCTTCAGCGTAACATTCTACGAGCCAACTAGCGCTGGTATGCCGACGACGCTCGAAAGCAGCGAAAACGCGTGGTCGGGATGTTCGAAGGTTGTTGAATCTCACAACAGGGCGATGCATGGATGAAGAGCAAGTCCAAGTTTGATTTGTGGAAGTGCCGGGCTTTTGTATGGGGTCGGGTGGGAGAATTCGGCTGCATTGAGTGGTATGCCGTTGTGGGGGGGAGGATCACAAGATACCGCCAAACATTTTACACGGTCATGGAGGCGCTCAATTTGGCTGAACAAGAATCGCGACAAACGAACCGGATAGGACCCGAGTCAGGAACGGCTGCAGTCTTCAGATTAAACGATAGGCTAGATAAATAACTGCAGGAGGTAATAAGTACAGTGCTAAAACTCGTGGCTGAAGATGTCATCCGCATTCTGGGTCGTAGGTTGTTGTTGTTGCTGCTGTTGGTTGTTGGTGGATCGACCACCACCAGGTCCATAGTGGCCACCCTCTGCTGGCTCAGGACCATCGAGACTTTCCGCTGAGTACATCGATGGTTGACTCTTCTTCTTCTTGCTACGCTTCTTACGTGATTGCTCTTCCGTAATCGAGTACGCGTCCTCTGTCCGTGCCCAACGGTCCTTCTTTGCGCTCTTCTTCTTCTTCTTTGGCGTGTCGGTTGTCAGCGCTGCATCGTCAAAGTTGGCAGGGTAGTGCCAGCGACCAGAGGAGCGAGAAGAATTGTCTGTATTATAATATTGCTCGTCTTGTGAGCCCCATAATTCTCCATTATTGGTTTGTGTTCGGTTGGTCGGTTGGGGATCAGAAGAGAGACTCGCTGAGGAGCCTTGTTCCTGCCCTTCAGCATAGGGAGCCCCTTCTAGTGTGGAGCGCGGAAGACGATCATTATAGCGGCTCGACCATTGCGACTTGCGCTCATTACGCTGAATTTTGGTGGTGTCGATGAGGCCATAGCGTTGCGCCCATTTTGGCGTACGGGCGTGAGTCTTGTTGTTTCGGATGTTCTATACCCGGTGAGTCGATATAGCACTGCAGCCGGATTACACACCTGGATGTAAAAGTTGTGGCCATGCCCTGAATGAGTTAAGTCTCAGGAACCATTGAGTAAGTTTGGAGCCAACCTGGAATGTAGCCGCAAATCGTCAAGATGACATTCAACCAAAAGTCTGTCCCAATGCCGAATCTAGCCGCCACGGCTACGGCAAAGCTTTAGATTTTCGATGATCCAGAGTGGAAGGTGAACTCACCCAGTGGAGGTAGGAGAGTGCCAAGAATGAAGAGAACAACTGAGTAGCCATGATGCCGACGTGGCTTGAGCTGAGACCTCGTCTGCGGGAGATATTGGGACATATTGGAGGCCATAGCCCGCGAGAAAAAGAGGGATGGAGACGCGACTCTTTGGTCGATCTAGTGGACTCTTGAGTGTAGGAGAAAAGCTGCTGTGTGTGTGTGTGACAAATGACGTGACCCGCCGCCAACCTCCGACGACACATGGCCGAAGATGGACCACGACCACACCATCGACGAACAGCCAGCTTCCCAGGACGAACCAGCTACTTTAGAACTTTCAGATGTCGTTCATGACGAAACAATCGATGATGAGGTTGAATCGAGTCTTACCCCCAATCAACCTTCACCCATCCCCGACTATTCCTCTCCATCCGAGTCCTATGCTGTCGAAATATTCCAACGAGAAATAGTAACTCTTCTGAGTCAGAATGCCTCTGCTGCGTCAGCTGCGTTGCTTTGCGCTGTGGCTGAGCAGCGCCAAGAGTCTCCGGAGGCCAATACGACAATGGATCTTGGTCTTGCAGCCGCCTTGCGAGCAGCCAACGCGCACAATTCTCCCACGGACACAGAGTTTAGTCGACAGCTGAGACCAGGAGATGAGCCGAAAACAACTCGAAGCGCACCAGCATTTCACTCCCTCACGGAGAGCCACCAGACCTCTAAACGAAGCGACTTTTTATATACCAACAGCGAGCAAAACAGTGAAGATGGACTCCCAGACGCGTTCTCCTTGCCACGTCGCGCATCTACTCCCCAAATGGCAGAACTTGCCGAAATGGACCACATGTTGACCCAGTTTGCCACTCGCTTCGAACCAGAAAACCGCCCACCGTCTCCCGACGACTTCCTGGAACGCGATGACTCGCAGCCTGTTGCTTCTACTTCCGCGCTACCGACACCCAAAGCCAAGGAGCCTCATGTTTGCGACCATGATCAGTGCAACAAATCTTTCAATCGACGTAGTGACTTGATTCGTCATACGCGAATCCACACTGGTGAACGGCCGTTTCCTTGCGAGCATCCTGGCTGTGGTAAATCATTCATTCAGGTATTCCCACTACTCCCGTCTTTGGCCAAAAAACTGACTTGTTGTTAGCGGTCCGCCTTGCACGTGCACCAACGGGTGCACACGGGAGAAAAGCCTCATTCTTGCGAGTACCCGCGTTGCGGCAAAACCTTCGGTGATTCCAGCAGCCTGGCGCGACATCGAAGAACGCACACAGGAAAACGGCCTTACAAGTGCGAAGAAATGACCTGCGAAAAGACCTTCACGCGAAGAACAACGTTAACTCAGCACATGCGAACTCATGACCCAAGCTGGGAGCCAGATCCGAACGTGTAAGATCCAAGAACAAAGATATATCCTATTCTAATCGCTTTTAGTCGCTACAGCTTCAAACCCAAACGACGGAAACATTGTGATGATGAGTTTGAATCTGAGGACGACGACTTGGCTGACTCTGTGCGGACAATATCGGCCATATTTCAAACCGAGGAGCGATTGGAGGTTAAAGTGGCGAGCATTGGGGCAGAAATCGCGGCTGCTTTGGCGCAGTCTCGGACTTCTCGGGTGTTCGATGAACAGGCACTTGGGCCCAACACCAGTGGCATTCGGGACGAAGAGGACGATAGTGATGCGTCGTTTCCGTTGCCGTTGAGACGGAGAAAGGGTACAGACAACCCCTCGAAGCGTAAGAGGTTGTAGTCAGCTGTAATAACACGTGCTCATTTAGGAGCGATTGGTGAACTCTTGTCCCTCCGCTCCGTTATTGCCCGGTCGGAACTCCTCCGGCTCTCAATACTTAACTTAAACTTTCTCTCCTCGTTCAACCACAACCATGGCTGAAGAACTCCCCAGCACCGATATCGTTACACTCACTCGGTATGCTTTACTAGCCGAGAAGTCTATCTTTCCCACCTGCTTGCAGCCATGTACTCCATGATCAACTCAGATTAGGCGCTGCAGCCACCGGCGATCTCACTCTCCTCCTCACCGCCATCCAAGTTACCTCCAAATTCATAGCGACAAACGTCCGTAAAGCCCGCCTCATCAATCTGTATGGCAGAATTCCCTGTCAGGCTGGTCGATAACTGATTAGACAAAATAGGGTTGGGTTGGCTGGCGAGACCAACGTCCAAGGCGAAGAGCAAAAGAAACTCGATGTCCTCTCGAACGATATCATGGTGAATGCGCTGCGCGCCTCTGGAAAGACTGCAGTCCTTGTTTCGGAGGAGATTGACGAGGCCATCATTATCGAGGACAAGTACAAGGGGACCTATTGTGTCGTCTTTGACCCTCTGGACGGCAGCAGCAATATCGACGCTGGTGTGAACATTGGGACGATTTTTGGCATCTACAAAGTGGTGCGTGAGCCAGCTTGGGTCAAGTTGCTTCCTGAGCTGACCGGATTCCAGCGGCCCGGGTCCAAGGGTACGGTTGAAGATGTCTTGAGACCCGGCAGTGAGATGGTAGCTGCTGGGTATACTATGTATGGATCGTCTGCCAATCTCGTGCTCTCCACTGGCTCAGGCGTTAACGGCTACACTCTCGATGCCGCTCTTGGTGAATTCATTCTAACCCATCCTAATGTCAGTCTTATCAGCCCACAAATTCTTGATTGAGGCTAATATGGCGCAGATCAAGATTCCTCCTCGCGGCAAAATCTATTCATTCAACGAGGGTAACTCTGTGTACTTCAACGCCCCCGTAACCAACTACCTCAAGTCAATTAAATTCCCGCCAGCCGGAAAGTCGCCCTATAGCGCCCGATACATTGGCTCTATGGTTGCCGATGTTCACAGAACTTTGCTCTATGGCGGTATCTTCGGCTATCCAGACGACAAGAAAAGCAAGAATGGCAAGCTGCGTCTGTTGTATGAGGCTTTCCCGATGGCGTTTTTGACAGAGCAGGTATGAAATAGCAATGTCGTGCGCTTTACCGTGGTAGCTTACACTGTCCAACCAGGCTGGAGGTATTGCTACGACAGGCACGAAACGGATATTAGACATCGTTCCCACTGGAATTCACGAGCGATGCCCCGTGTTTCTGGGAAGTAAGGAGGATGTTCAGGACTTGATGAAGTGTTATAGTGAGGCGTCGTAATTGTAATAGACAGAATTTCCATGCATTTTCTGGCCATCGCAAGTGTGACACGCATTCAAGAGATGAGCTCAACACTCAATGAGGTGCAACCAAGTCTTTGAACAAAGAAGGTCAATACTCACGCTTTAGACCATCGAAACACCCCAGGCCCGTAGGAGAGTCATAAGACGTGTAACTTCTGACGACGAGGACGATGAGTCTACTTCTTTGGTGGACCCACAACCGCCATACAAGAAACAACGACTCGCCAGTGACCCCCCATCTGAACCCTCAACTTCACGCCATCCACCTGGCCGGTCAAAAGTCAAAAAGTCTCGCCACAAAGCTGCTTTGTCCGAGTCGGACGATTTCGACGAAGAACCAGAGCCAGAGTCTGATCTCCCATTCGATGATGACGAGGAGTACATGTCGGAGCCCAAGGCCACTGGGAAGCGGGCAGGCGGAAAGAAGAGCAAGGGCAAGGAGAAGGAAATAACGGTCATGGCTCGCGACGAACGGAAAAAGCGGCCAGATACCGAATCGACTTTGCGGCCCAAACCAAGACAGTCGGATTTTGCGGCTAGCTCTCCAGCAATGCGTGAGGACGCCTCACAGCCCAAGAAAAAGCTGCCCAATATCAAGAAAATTAAAGGTGCTGGGGAGTCGACAACCTCTGCTCCGTCAACTCCACCAGTCGCGCTGAAACATAACCCGCCACCCGAAACTAAACTACCATTACCAGTGGTTGCAGCGCGCAAACAACCAGTCGGCCCTCAATCTGTTGACCTAGACCTTTCTAATCCTTCAATGTATGCCCAACTCTTCAGCAAGTCGGTGCGTGTGTCAATTCGGCTCAAAGGCAACGATGTTGAAATACCTTGCCAAGAACACGTCATCCGGATTTACTCGACGCGACAAGGAAGAAGAGCGGAGGAAGGAGTTGATTAAGATGCGCGATGAGGCAAAGGCAAAGCGATTGAGTGAAGCGGTAGGGCTCCCACTTTATTCATACGACGAATAACACTGAATTGGACCTAGGCTCCACCTTTTGACCTCCAAGGGCAAATGGACAAGATCATTCGTTTCGAGGAGAGGCTTAGAGCGGTCAGAAGTCCTTCGGTCTTTCCAAATCACCTCGCCGGCGGCTTAAAACAAATACAAGCCAGAATGAACTATCCTACAACAACAACAGACCCCGATGCTACGCTTGAAGAAGGCGAAATGTAAAATACTCGGGCGGCGAAAATCCGCCACGGAAGGCAATCAAGGCTAAGACACATTGGAGTTATGGCTGGATGACGGAGTCGAGTGCTTTATAAATCAAGGCAAAAGGAGTATTAAGCCCGGTCTTTGTGTCGTTGCTCTCCATAGTTAGATTCGCCAATTGTACTTGGAGTGGATTAAGCGATGATTGGAGGCGAGATATGATTGAGCGGAACTCTGTGAGTTCCTTTTGGATTTTAGCTGGATCTTGTGGCGAATAGAGCGTTGCAACAAGATCGTCACAGCCACGGAGTAAGTCACTCGAAGTAGAAGCTAACGCGTCGAGGGTCGCCTCCGATTTTGAGACATTCTCAACGAGGATACGCTTGTGCAGCGCTTGAAGTAGCCGTAACATTATATAGATCTTTCGAAGGTCGAGTGTTATGACAAAAACAGGGGGTAACATACCTTTTTTGTACGTTCCAGCTCGTCTGGGTTAAGTTTTTCATCCTTCGGTAGGCCAAGCTCGTCCCAACCATCATCCAGGTCATCGTCTGGGTCCTCTGATGCGTCCGCATTCTCAATCATTTCTCCGACTTCTCGATATACGTCCTCGAGGGAAGAGGTATAAATTTTCCAACGCTTTTGGACAGCAACAAGGTTCGTTGAGGAAATATCGCGTTTCAGAACGTTGTGCGAGGCGGCAGTGCGAACGAGGTATTCATCGCCAGCTTTTCCAGTGCCTACACGGACTCCAGACGATTCAATGTCGAGAAAACACTGGGCAAGCGCACGGATCGCTTCCATAGCGTCTTTCACGAGAAAGTCAATTTCTTGTCTAAGAGTTGCGCCATGGCTGTCATTGAAGTGTCTAGAGCAGTGAAACAATGCCGATAAGTGATCAGATAGGTCTTTCAGAGGCGCAAGAGCAGCGCTATAGGTGGGCTTGGATGGCTTCAGGGCGAGGGAGACTTTTGTGACTGCACCATAAAGCAGTGAAAGTAGAGAAACGAGATCGCGATGAAGAATAGCAAGGGGGTGTTGGGATTCCTCGTAAGCTTTTTCAGCAGTTAATGCTGCAGTGCAAGTCTGGACGACCAATGTAAGTGAAAGGATCACCCGTTGTTGGTCGCTCATTATTTCTGCGAGTTGGATATCGTAAGACGGAGTCACGTCACACCAAACTTCTCCAGAGGCCATGACCAGCCTTGTGAGTTCAAGTATACGCCCATTAACGCGTCTAACTGAGTGCTTTCCAGTTTCTGGCCGCCTGTAGGGCGCGCCCTCCGCCTCCTACCCTTCTTTTTTCCAGGTCACTGTCCTCATTACAGGCCAGCCGGTTACGCGTGTCGTTTCGGCCGCCACCACCAACTTCCGTATCCTCTTCCCCGACACTTCGTGTATTATTCTCCCAATCCCGACATATCTCTATTGGTTCTGTTTTCTCTCGCTCAAAACCGACATCCGCACCGTCACCACACGTCGTCGTCGAGATTTCCAAACTGGAAGCTGAAGCAGACATTAACCGCCACGATGTTGGCAAACAAATAACACTCTTCCAAGCCTTGGTCTCGACTAACTTCAAGCAATCATACGAGGTTGTGATTAGCCGGTGGGAGAAAATGTGCGAATTCGTGAGTTGTAAGGTCCTTCCTGGTGATTAGTATAATTTTACCTGGACTGGATAGGACCCAACCTCCCCATTACTGCACTCCTCAGAGGCCTTCCGTCTTTACTTGATATGTTTGGTGAATACAGCTCAACCTGGCTCTGTGTTCCCCGCCATTCGTAGACGGGATGCATTGCTTGCCGCTAACCCTGCGCCCACAACCGTGACGGAGTCAAATAATGCTTCGCCATCAGAGACTTCACAACCTTTGCCTGCAACCCTTTCTGAAAGCCAGATAATTGGTCAATCTGTTTTGGCTGGCGCTGGTCAAGCTGGGGCAAACGGCTCATTCTCTCATCGACTTTCCACCGCTCTTGAATCTCGCGGAGGCCCTGTGGATCCAATTCCAGTGGTTATCCAGCAAAGTCTGAGCGGCCCTTGCATTAATAGCCCGTGCTGAAACATTTTAGATAAATCATGGGGCCAGTCACTCGTCAGATATGTTTTGGGTCTTCTCGTTGGATCTTTCTGTAAGAAAATCGCTATTCTGCACAAAAAAATATAGACTGACCAAATGTAGTCTTCTTGGTTATCTTGTCGGTTTTCTTTGAGAACACTGGACTTATGAAAGTTGGTCCGACGAAGGCGCAATACGAGCCAACGGAAGGAAACTTGGTCAAATTCGGCGATGTCCATGGGGTAGACGAGGCAAAGGAGGTCAGTTTGGTTTGATCTGAGGCCTCGGCGATTGTTCACGCAGACGGGACAGGAATTGCAAGATGTCGTCGAGTTCTTGAAAGACCCGAGCGCTTTCGCATCCCTTGGCGGTAAACTAACAAAAGGTGTCTTGCTTACCGGGTATGAGTGTTCTATCTATACTATCTTGTTGTTCAACTCTCTACAGACCGCCAGGTACAGGGAAGACCATGCTTGCTCGAGCTGTGGCGGGAGAAGCAGGCGTTCCATTCTTCTTCGCGTCGGGGTACGTTGCAGTCTCACGTCATTTTTTCCCTTTCCAAACATATCTAGGTCTGATTTCGAGGAAATGTTCGTTGGAGTAGGCGCCAAACGCGTGCGAGAACTGTTTGCCGCTGCCCGCAAAAAGGACCGCGCAATCATTTTCATAGACGAGTTAGATGCTGTTGGTGGAAAGCGCAGCAGTCGCGACCAGCAATATATGAAGCAAACCCTGAACCAACTGCTTGTTGAGATGGATGGCTTCCAGCAAGCTGAGGGTATCATCGTGATTGCCGCAACTAACTTCCCTGAGAGCTTGGACCAGTAAGCTGCTTATGTCATACTCCTCCCTCGTTTTCCGTTCCTGATTTCTTCAGAGCCTTGGTTCGTCCAGGACGGTTTGATAGGATTATTGCTGTTCCCCTTCCCGATATTCGCGGGCGTGCACAAATACTGCAACACCACATGAAGGGCGTCATTACGGCCAAAGGCAAGCCATTTTTGCACTCGGTTTCTTTTGTGCTGAGTAACGGCGACTAGATGTCGACACTAAAATACTCGCGCGGGGCACTCCGGGCTTCTCTGGTGCCGACTTGCAGAATATGGTCAAGTAAGGGTTTCCCAGTGTTTGCCGCCCGCCATTCAATTTCGTTTCATTTTTAGTCAGGCGGCTATCCAGGCGGCAAAGGAGCATGCTAGTGAGGTTGCGTTGAAGCATCTGGAGTGGGCAAAGGTCAAATAACCCTCAATCGCTCTTATCTTTTGACCCAATATGAACAGGATCGGATTCTCATGGGAGCCGAAGGCAAAAGTCGATTTATCGACCCCAAGAACAAGTTGGCCACGGCCTATCATGAGGTTCGTGTTGGTGGGTACGTCGCCCGCCGTTTGTTAATCTTGACAGGGCGGACACGCACTCGTGGCTCTTTACACAGAAGGTGCAATGCCGTTACACAAAGTGACCTGTCTTCCTCGTGGCCATGCTTTGGGTTATGTGAGTCCAAATCGTGACCAACTTTAGCACGATGTTCACTTGGCTTATCTAGACGTCATTTTTACCTGAAGGCGACCAAACTTCCGTGAGCCTCAAGGAATATTTGGCGAGGATTGATGTTTCCATGGGCGGCCGGGTGGCCGAGGAATTAAGTGAGATGATCTACAAGCGTCTTGTTCACGACTGACAGCTGCTTCCAGTCTATGGAAGTGAACATGTCACTAGTGGCGCTAGCTCGGACATCATGGCGGCAACGAGTACCGCCCGGAGGATGGTTACAGTACGTGGGTCCCCTTAACGCTAACTGTTCCACTCAATCGATTAGAACTGGGGTTTCTCAAAACTTGGGCCTGTTTACTACGACATTCGTGATGGCAACCTGAGCTCACGAATAAAAGACACAATTGAAGAAGAAGTTACCAGGTCAGTTGTGCGGTCGGTTCCGGTTCGCTAGAGTTATCTCATCAACACTGGGCAGTCTTATTCTAGCAGGACAGAGCCGGGCAACGACAATATTATCTTCTCGGATAGAGGAACTTCATCGGGTAATGTTTTCACACTTCATGCGACCTTCGCTCCTTCTAACACTTTGCAGCTTGCACATGCATTGGTAGAACACGAGACGCTGGATTCTGATGAAGTCAAACGCGTTATCAAGGGAGAGCCGATACGAAGCATTACTCAGGTTTTAGAGGACGACCTTTCTCAATCTACTGCTAAAGACTAGTTGTACCCCCCCAACAAAAACCCACTAATTCTGAACCCACAGACCTACGATTTTATCTGATGACCCAAATCGCATGTCTCGGCTGTCCAAGCGAAGAAACGTCGAGCACGTCAGAATATTTAAGTACCAATATTTGGGCGCGCGAATTCTTCCATCAGAAAGCGGGGGGGCGGGAGCTCAGCCCCTGGTCCCCACCTCGCCGCTAAAAAGTTCGAGATGGGGGCGATAGTTGAAGTGGGCAGAGATCGATGAAGTCGAACACATTGCCGACGCCACGAAGAGTTTGGCCTCGAAAGAAAACAAACGAACGGGGAAATGGCGCATGATGAGATCTGAGATGGGCTCGGCGATATATTCACAGGAAAAATAAAATAGGGCCAAAAGAAAATGCCATAAGGCATGGAAAGCACAAATTGTCGCTGAAAACGGCTGGAAGTGGGTGAATCGCCCCCGTGGCCTTCGGACGAGGGACACTTTCGGCAGTTAAAAGAGCTCTTACCGCTTTTCCGTGGAGGCACTCCCAGTCGCCCACCAGAACTCGACAACGACTCGCCCATCTTCTATCCAGTAAATCGCGGGTTGTCTAGCGCCTACAAGGCCCCATACTCAGTCGAAGAAGGTTACTTCCGGGATTAAGACCCATTTCCGCCGACCAGACGGTGGTGCCTCAAGATCTACCTGTGCTCGAACCGAAGGCTATTATGTGTCATAGAATTCTGTATTTCACCAAAGTAAGCCCCCATTGACCGCTCCAGACACAAGTCAACCTTGGAGGTATGTGCAGAGTTCTGAATCATGGCCCATCAACCCGCTCACACAACTCTTTTCGCTCTTTTTGCCTAGCTCACCGCTCCCATTTTTTCAGGCCACGTACTGCGGTCATTCGACCTACTCGGGCGAGGAGACAGTCGACTGCCAGTCGCGATATTGTCGGTTGTCTGGCGCTCACCCTACGTCTTGCACCACATCATCCTGTAGGTGTCGTCGGTGAGTGCTATTAGTTATTGTGTACGATTCTTTGTTTGATCAAGTCAAGGTACTACGGTACGTGTTAGTTGGCGTCCAGCTTGCCTGCCCTCAACGATGCCAAGGCCAACCCGAGAGACTGTATCGAGAGGCAAGTCACAACGCTAGTTGACAAATGAGGCGTCGTTCCTAAGATTAGGTCAACAGAGTGCTTCTTATTGTGCCCAATGCAGCAGCGCGCGAAGATGAACCAAAGGACGGCTTACGAAGAAGAAGCGGCATTGTATTTTTATTTCACCAGTATACCACGCACAACGACTTGTTACGCCCCCCCCATACTTAGAAACTTTCCTCGGAAAGATGATTGATCAATCGCGATCACGTGTCTCTATCATGACTAAGCTACGAGTGAATTCTGAGAGCAATAAACGACGGGTACACGATAGCGATGTGCGTATTGTACAAAAGAGTGAAGATCTTACATTTTTCTTTTGTCATTACATAGTTTCCTCCTTGTCCTCAGATAGCTGTGACGGCTTGAGCATTCCCGGAATCTGCATGGCGGCCTGCCGCTCGGCTTCTTCTTTCCTCTTCAGTTCTGCCTCCTTGTCGTCTCGATAAAGCTCGGCGTTGTCTCCAGAAGAGAACTCCCGCGTTTGGATCAAAAAGTCTCGGACCGTGAGCTTGAACCGATTGGGATCGTTGTGGTGCGTCGCGAGCCCGTCGACGAATTCATGGACATCGGACCTTCATATGCAAGTTTAGAGTAGACCTACGGTGGAGAAATTTGACTTACGCAAGGACATGACCGAATGCATTGCGGAGAAGGTTGTCAGTGTACTCTTTTAGGTACACTAAATTGGAGATGCTCGGATCTGGCACCTGTGAAGGGTCGAATAACTGCGCAGGTATTGGCTCAGTGTCAACGAGTTCAAACATCCGAGCGAGAACGGTGATCTGAAGTTTGAAGCCGCTCTTGTGGTCGGCGTCAGTGAGAACGAATAAGATGTCTTGAACGATGTTGATGAAGAATTGGGAGAAGAATGAGCCCGAAATCTCAGGCGGGGATGATGCAAAGTTGTTAACAACTTCCAGGCAGACTGTAAGGGTTCAGCTGACTGTCCAAACAAGACACCAAACAACGAACTGGTTAACCCCATATCGGCGATATCTCGCACGGTGTGTTTGATGGCCCACATAATGCTGTCCATAAATAATTTGAACTGGGCAGGTTGCAGGCCGAGGAGCGCTACAGATTGTGTCAAAAGCCAGTCGAAAAGTCTCCGGTGACGAACCAGGGAAACATCTGAGATTGACTTCTCGTAATAACTTATATAAGCCAGTGCGATGTTCAGGGAACTCCGTGAAATCCCGGTTTATCATGTCGAGTGTAGGTTGGAAGACAGCGTCGAGCGTAGCAGGAATTTGTAGCGTCAATAGGGACTTGTGAGAGATCAATTAGTGAAAGTTCATAGTCAGAAAAATGGACACGAACAGCCATACGCTTCACAATCACAGCCATTAGATGGAGAACCTCGGCTTCTCGAGCAACCGGGATGTTACTATTGTAGTCGCCGAGAATGGCATCCAGCAGAAGTGGTATGAAGTTCGTATTGACGTTCTCCAAGTCGCTAGCCGCTTGGATGTAGGTTTCCATAAGTTTCAGTACATCCTTCTTAACTGCACGCAGTTGTCGTATGCGGGGGGTCTTACTCGCTACAGCACCTGGAAGGAGCATTCAGTGACAAGAACGAAAGAGCACTTTCACCAACCTTCTTGGGCAATAGACTCGCTTATTGTCGCACTGACTGTCTTGTACAGTCCCAACATGTCGACAAAAATACGCGCAAGCTGGGGAAGATAGAGCGTCCCAATAGATTCACAAGCAGAAACATTGGTCTTGAGAACATTGGAGAGGACTTTGACGTTGTCCAGACTATTGAGAACCTCGAGGCCTTGTGATGCTTGTGCCATCAACGAGTCCCACTGTAACTGCGTAAAAGAAACGAAGTCCCGTGTCGAGTGATGAACTCACAGCGTTATTGGGCAGCTCCATCAAACCAGAAATAAGACGTTCTTGGACTTGTTTATTCGGTTGCGCTGATATGATAGTGCCGACGGCTTGGTAGAATGTGTGGACCTGTGTGACCATAAGTGGTGGGTCGGTAAAGATGGTAAACTAAGACCTGTTGTGCACTCAAGTCGACTGTTATCCGCGAAAGCGATCTCAGAATCTCATCCACGAATGGTTCTGTCTCTCCGCTTTGAACGATGACAAAATGTCTTCGACATTTTTGGGCGATCTTGATGAAAGTATCGCAAGCCATATCTTGCACTCCTAGAAAAGTCGTGCTTAGCTAATGCGATAGGGCATCCAGTCAGCCCTACCTTCGTGTTTCTCGTGCATGAATTCGAACAACTTATTGACGACAGTTTTGAGGAACTTCCAATGAGCCTTGAGGAATCGTGGATATTGCTGGACGATGTACATAATGTCGCTTGCGATCACAGCTTTATTGTCTTTGCCGCGCTGGAAAATGTTTGAGTCATTTGTCAGGAGAAAAAAAGAGGCGAACCTTGAGTTCGACGAGGCCAAGAAGTTCCTTAACCAATCGTGAGCATAGCAGCACGAGACAAAAACACAGTATACCTTGATCACCGTAACGAGGAAGCGTTTCTCCTGCTCTTCACTCATGGTACCAGATATACTGCCAATTGCCCAGCACAGCGAATTGATGTTTTGCCAACTCCATTCACTGCCATCTACTTGCTTGGCGAGCTTTTCTGACAGTATAGTTTCAGTGTCGGACACGTCCAGATGCGTTAGATAGACGAGAACAATTCGCATGGCTTTATAAAGCGCAAGCGTGTCGCCTTCTTTCATGAACTCCCGTACGATCTCGCCCTCATCGTTTTCGACGACAAGAACCTACATAAATTTAGCTTCAAGGGCGAAACGAAGTTGTGGGTTTACCTCCTCTGGCTTCGCCATCCGGGCGATCATCACAAGGCGCAAATTAGATAAGACGGCAGCATACGCGTCTTTGCGCAAGGGAATGCCATCCAAGCGGCCTCCGCTTAGACTCAGACCGACAAGCAGTCCAGCTTCCCCACCAGTGGTGGCCTGCACTTCGTCATACAGTCCAGCAACCAAAAGGGTCCAATACTCCAGACAGATTTTGAAAACTTCTCTTTCTTCCACTTGAGAAATCTTGACCAAGTACATGTGGGCGTTGAGAAGCACTTCCTGGTTTTCTGGGGTCTCCAACGGCCGTAGATGTGCAGAAAGGAAGCTCGTAAGAAATAGAGCAAGGTTGAGTATGAGTTGTTGTGCAGCATCATCCGCCTCGGCATAAGCACTAGCGATGTCAGTAGATGGGGGGAGCATACGGTTAATCGCCGCAAGCGTCATCGAAAACAATACAACGAATTTGCCGTCGTATTCGGGCCCCACTTCGAGTCCAGCAACCGACGCCAAACAATTGAGGGTGACATTTCGGATTTGAGGATCGGGGCTCTCGAGGAAGCGGTTCAAAAGCAGGTCGATGATTTGCGTCTCGAATATGTATCCCAGAGGAATCCAGTTCAGGAAGCGCAATAACGTCTCGAGTGTTGCCCTGATAAGTGATGACTTGTTGGCCTCTTTAAGGACCTCGGAACAGAGCTTAAAGATCTCCGAGAACTCGCCCGACATTTGGTTTTTCAGGTTTTTAGTTTTACTCTGCGTCATTTGTTCCTCAGAAAAGTCAAATATCTCTTCGGATAAACTGCAAGTCAAGTGAGGGAAAATAATGTGATAAGATTGGTTGCGCACAGCTTGAGAATGGCCATGTTGTTTTCACATAATGATAGGTTGACGGTGGAAGATTGAACAAGCTCGGAAATGAAGTTGGGCCAGTTATGTGGCCATTCTTGCTTCAGAACTTGAACTAGAACAAGGTTTAACTTGCTCAGATACGTCCTTCCTCTCCTGAGGGATGCATCATCTGATGCCACCTTGACGGTCTCGCCGACGATGAAATTTCGGATGCCTGAAAGGCAGTTGGATTATTAGACTAGAACGAGAAGGCGACACACCTTGCCTCTGGGCTTCTGGAAGCGTCTTCCACCGTGTGGTAACAAGTCGTTCTAGTATTTGAAGGCCGATGAACTGCATCTCGGTTAGATGAGCGGAAACGAGCGGGTGTTGCTGCTGACTTTGGATTGAGGGAATTCGGACTTTTCGAGAATCTCAGGGACGCGAGTCCATGAGTCTGTGCGGGCCCCATTAGTTGTGGTCTATAACATAGATCCGTAGCGCACCGGGATGTTCTTCGAACTGAGTCAATGCAAGCTGAGCCATTTGTTGCTAGGAATAGTGAGTGAGAGGCTGTTCTCATTGATAACTTCCGCACCTCCTGGCCTGAGCCCGTGTAGAACGATGAGGCCACCCGGTCCAACAATGAGACATCAAATGGTCTCGAGAAATCGAGTAATGCCTCCATGGCTATTGGAATGAACAAGTTTCAGTCACCAGCGATACAACAAGGACGATGCGTGTCGCTGATCAGTGGGAGATCCACGCAGTGGCTCGTCAAGATTGGAAAGTTATTATCGATGAGTGCGTGCACGTCGGCTGGAGTACAGAGTCAACCTCAGGACTGCTGTGACGAGCGTGACATGAAGACATGATCAGTCGTCGCGGTCATTCTTCCAACTCCTCGACTTTCTCGACGCGGCCATGTCTTTTCGATATGCTTTTTCTCGCGTATCGGGGTATTTCAATGCCGCAAGACGCGTCCAAGCTCGTTTAATATCTTCGAGTTCTTATCATTTCCACGTGGCTGCCAGCTGGGCTGCAAAACCACCGTATCCCGCTACTCGCCGGATGAGGCCGTTTAAACCCAACCCAGCTATAGTTTCATGGCGCGACAAAACTTTAACAAAACTCGGGAGCCCGCAAGCAAGCCCAGGAGAAGACTTTTTGTTCACAAGGACACAGGGCCAACGCCTCGTTTTTGGTGTTGCAGATGGTGTTGGCGGTTGGCAAGACCAAGGCGTGGACCCTTCGCTGTTCTCTCAAGCGCTGATGTACTACGCTGACATGCACTCAGTGAATGCGTCGCCGTCAGAGTGCATGAAACTCGCCTATGATTCTGTCTTGAAAGATGACGAGGTGTCCGTAGGTAAATCCCATTGTCATTTTACAGACCCGACTGCTAATCTTCTTTAAGGATCTAGCACTGCTTGTATTCTAAGCCTCGATGCCTCATCTGGCTCTCTCACAACAGCGAAGTACAGTTGATTCTGTTCTACGTATGACATTACTCAGGTGTTGATAGCCTAGGGGACTCTGGCTTCTGTATATACCGAAACTCTACTATATTTTATGCCAGTAGGCCCCAGACACATCATTTTAACTGTCCTCGGTGCGTTTTTAGCGTCCGTCAGGATCATAACGAACAACTAGACAGCCAGTTATCCAAATTGAAGGACAGAAGCTGGGACTTCTCCTCTGACCGTGCTATTGTGGACCATCCTCGTGCCGCGTCTCTTCATGATGAGGCGTTGGCGGATGGGGACATAGTCATCGCCTACGTTGGTGACCCGTTCCAACTATTCGATTTCTCTTGAACACATTCTTACAGACAGATGGAGTCTCGGACAATGTTTGGCCAGGTTAATCACCCTTTCCACGCCTTGTAAATTTATTCTCAACTGTCTAAGCCGAAATTGCCCAAATCTGTGGCTTAGCACTAGATCGGCAGGACTCTGAAGATACCAAGGCGCAACTAATAGCTTCCAGTGTCGTTTATAACGCACGCAAGTTTATGTTCAACCAAAACAGGGTTTCTCCGTTCGAGGCAGAAGCCAGACAACACCACAAAAGAATGCCTGGTGGGGTGCGTGACGATCTCTCCAATTTTTCAACATCTCACCCCCCGCTCAGAAAGTTGACGAGTGTGTGGAATATATTGTGCTATGTGTTTACCAACTATTTCCAGTGCCACAGTTGTTGTTGCTGTTGTCAAGAAAGCAGAGTCTTGACGCTGGTTTTATTCATCTTGTTGGCCCACTACTAGTACATGGCAGTCCTTTCAACGAAACTCTCGATCACCCCCGCGGATGTCAACGGATACTCCTTCAGGGTGACATTATCGTTAGCGTCAATGAACAAGTTTGGTTGAACAAAGATTTTTCGCGCGAGTTTCTTCTTAAGTACCAAGTCGCGCACTTCTGATGTGAATATGTCCATCGGAGTTGTCAGTTCAGTGTAGAATTGACGAGCGCCGGCCCCGTCCGCAGTGCTAGCAGGTGCATATCAGTAACTATACCATCTATGCTTCGCTGGAACTGACCTTTTGCGAACCTGCAAATCGATCAAAAGTTTGCCCATCACGTCTTTGCCATCGGCTAAGACACGATCCCGATCAACCTATCATAGATAAGACGAAAGAGATTAGATCAGATTAGATAATTACCCGAGTGTAAAGATTTTCCAAAGATCCATATGCCCCTCGGACTTCTTCTAAGCGGACAAGCCCAGATTTGAGAAGATGTTGCATGATTCCGAGGCTGTTAATATTGAGTCACATATCAGACGAGAAATGGAATATAACTGACCGAGCTTGCTATTAATGGTGAACAGGTTCAATGATCAAAATTGGAAGGAAACAGGCTCGAACCATGTGTGCTTGGCCATGTTTCTAAGAGTGGGCTCAGCGCATAACCAATGCCGAACACAAATCACTGACCTTGGTCGCTGGGTCGTAAAATTCGAGTGCACGAATGCCTGCCCGTGCCATCAATAGGAAACTGATCACCTGAATATCGGCGATGTCTTTGGGATCCGTGTACTGCAGTCCATGGGTAAGCAAAACGAGAGAAAAGGTATCAGAATCTTACTTTGAATATGCTCAAGATTTCGAGATTGCTCGCAACTTGAAATGTGGTCAGCGTAGAGCAACTCGAAACACGTTATCACCAACGGTAGAGAGCGACGGATTCCCTGAAACCCTTTAATAAGTCATAAAACGGAGATGACCAGTCCTTACGCTCGACATTCCTCCATGGAGGACGAAACTTCACCGAGAACCGAGTCAGGGGTTTGACCCGGACGATACCATGTAGCCCTTGGCTAGTTAGCTGGCGTGGTGCAACCGAGAGCCGCCTTACACAGGTTTTCCGGTCAAAGGGTTGATGATCTGTTTTTCCCTGTGAGCAGCAGCATATATCGATTTTGCTTCACCTACATTTTCAGGGGAGAAGTTCTACGACAAAAAAACGATTGAACGAGCAATGAACAAGCCTGTGAATCTCTACCTTCGTTCCGTCTGCGTATTCTTGGAACAATTTCCCGCTACCGTGTCCAAGGAGCTCGTGGTTAGCCACTTGAAGTTCAAATGCGCGGGAGTCCCATTCGTTGTACAGTGCCGCATCGTCTGGGTGAATGAAGGTGAGCTCTTCTCCGGGAGCTTTTGCTGCAAGAATGTTGGCCAAGCTGACATTCTTAAACCCTGTTCCGACTATTAGACCGAGTTGAGGCCTTTCAAGTGGGAAGCAAACCAAGTGTTTCTCGGATCTCGTAATAATTAGGAATCTATATCGTCTTGATCAGAGCTCATTCAAGGTCACAGTGTTTGGTCGTTGACATTGATACCAGCAGGGATTCCACCAGTTGCAAATGATACAACTTCAAGAGCCGTGAAATCGGGCTTGCGGAACGTATCGACTTCGAAGTCCGGTCCCCAGGCGAGTGACTTGAGTGGATTCGGTTAGGCAGTGCACTTACTGATGATTGGGTAAATCACCTCAATGAAGTGCGGGGCATTGTCAACCAGCTTTTCATACTTGGCACTCAATTGTTTGTTGACGATGGCAGTAAAACCTAGTAAGAGTGAGCTTACACCGCAAGATAAGGTAGGTTTTATTCCACACCTTCCCATTCCGCTCGCCCACCATATGGGTCGAGGTAAGTTTCGATGAACTAACGTAGTCAAAAATTAAAGAACACAAATAATTTCTCGAGGCGCACTCCGATATAGCTCTCAACAACTGGTCCGATGTCCTAAAACAAACTTGAGACTCAAGTAAGATCCAACAACCAAGGTGTTACCTGAACCCAGTGTCTTGACGCTTCTTTGTGCGCCTCAATCGAGCCTGTTTTGAACGACTGAGAAAGGTCTTATGTTGAGAGCTCTAGCCACTGGCAAGAAAAAAAAACTAATACCTTGATGTAACCCTCAATCATGTTAGTCTGGACATGCCTAAGTATTTGCCCTAACAAGACAACTTACTCTACCTGGTGCTCGTTCCGCGTCCATTTCTTAGCCTGCTCGAGATACGTGATGGCTTTTTCCTAGAGGAGCAGACATATCGCCATATTTGATCGTCAGACTGGCGTTCTGACCAAGATCGACAGTCTTTTCAAGTTCCGGCTGGGTGTCTGCTGAGGCAATAAGGAGGGTGAAGCTTGTGTCAGTGTCTTTCTTCACACTGCGAGCGGGTCATAAATCTGTCGCGGACGCGCAAGGGTACCTACCGGGTGTTGAAGAGGTCGATGCTCAATTTCTCTGTTGCCGCTTGAATGCTCGCAACCTCCTCGTCTGTGATGACCTCGCCCAGGTAGTAGTTGGATATATGGCCTTGCTTTGGTTTGCCGATCGAGGTCGTGTCCTCTGGAGTGGTTGAATAAATGTGTTCTTTCAACTACACACCGAAATCAGCAAAGAGACATCAAGTTAGGTCGGCGTACACTCTTCCAGAGGCTTGATGCTTTGGTTGCATTGGCGGACGCATTAACGACGGATTCAAAGTGTTGGGCATCAGCTCGTGGGATGATTTTTGTGAAGCCAAAGCTCTTGAAATTGACCAGGTTACTCAGTGTCTGACAGAGTGGTGAGGGAGGTCGACCAAGTGATTGAGTAATATCGCACCTGTGAAGCGTATTGAACTAGTTCTTCAAAGATTTCGTCCGAAACAGCGGCTTTTTGTTGTAACAGGGCCAAGTCTGCGAGTTTGCCATCCGGAGTACTGAAGGTGGCGATCAAAAGATCGTATAGGTCAACTGCTTGAGGAGTCCATTGGCTCTGAAGTATTCGGGCGCCTGCCCAGGAGGCTTGCGTAAGATAGTACGTGTAGCGTTTCTCGACGTCGCTAGTTAGCTAACTCAGTCTCTTGCGTCTAATATTATGATCCAGACGGCGCACCTCAGAAGATCAAAACTCTGCTTCACTTCAAGGCTACACAACGGGGGAGCTTTGTCTGCCAAGAACTTTGAAGCAGTAGACGCCATTCGAAATGCAGACTGGGAAGGGGAGGGAAGATGTGCCAATCGGTGAAGCACGCGTGTTCCAAATCGGAGCATGAGGTCACGAGACTACGACAAAAATATAGACTACTCATCATCGACTCAATCGCTGATAATTTTTCTGGATATCTGACCATTCTTCGCGCATCATAGTACTCGATGGAGCGTTGAGATTTCCTGCCCAACTCAAAGCCCGAGTGTAATAGGAAAGCGCCAAAGCTGAGTCCATCTTTTCAGTCAATCTTCCCATCAAATTCCATGAAAGGGCAGCACTTCGCTGAGCTTCTCCCAACAAACGCCGGGCTGGTAGTTGAAGATGATCGTTGTCCGCGTACTGAGGAAGGAGGGACTCAATTGTGCTCGGCGTCATCTCATCTCGTATTGGTGTCCCAACTAAGGCGAAAGCCACCCTTTCGGAGGAATGAGCAGCATTTTCCAAGTGTTGCAACGATTCAGAAGGAGGGCGACGCTGAGCGTAGCTGACTTCAGCAAGATGAGAAGAGAGGATAGCTGATCTTTGTAGGAGTGTTAGATAGTGTAGCGATTGTGCAGGAGTTGTCGAAGCAAGCGACTGTGGCGTCTCGATGGAACGGAGAATTTCTAAGCCACTGAGCTCGATTTTGCGGGCTGCTTTGAGCTGATTGGTCGTTGCATAGTGGGCTGAAAGGGAGACTAGAGTCAATGCAACTATCCGCTGAGCGGCTGGTGTGGAAGGAGGAGTAATTGGCACGCCATCTTTGAAAGGAGCATTCCCGCCGGCAAGTTGCAACGAGCGAGTCCACCAATTCAGCGCGTCCTTCTGGCCTAGTCTGCCAAAGATATTGCCGAGCTTGTATGCAGTGCGTGCTGCCTGGATCCCCACTCCTCCTTGCATTTCCCAAATTCTTTCGTAGCAGTCTTTGGACTGGACAAGGCCATTCTGTCCCAGTTTTCCCAAAGCTTCGGCGTGTTGGATGAGAAGGGCAACAAGCGTCGATGGGTTGGGTGGCGGATGTGCTTCAACGAGAGAGATCAAACTTGCAACATCATCAATGAAGGATAACTTTGCGTAACAACTTGGAATGGACAAACCTGCGTAACGCTGTTTCACTCTGTTGGTACATGGCATCGACCACATTTTCACCCGACTCCAAAGAGGGGCTCGAATCGGGAAGTCGGTGAGACAATATCCAAGCCTCGCGGATGGCATTTTTTATGTTTCCGCTCAGCTCGTCGTCCATTGGCCATTCATCATTGTCTGCGTTCCATTCCCATTGTAGCACATCTGGATCAACAACCGTGGCTCGGCGCTTCAAGAGATCTTGCGCATAGTGGTGGGTGGCTCTGTCAGTGAGCAGGATTCCAGTACCAATCTAGATTTGACGCTCAGCATGACGAGTGAATGCACAGAATGAGTACACACAGCCAATAAACCAACAGCAGATGCTCCAACGAGAAGCTGAACTTTGCCGACACGCACACCGGACAGGCGCAACGTTGAAGCAAAGCGCCTCGAAATTACAGGGAAGTTATGTGGTCGCGGTCCGCGTCGAAGCAGTAACATCACAGTCACGCGATCTGTGTTTGCTTCAAGCCACTAAATCACCGCACTTGTTCTCGCATTCCGCAAATCCACTTTTTCGCCGCGTTTTTTTTATTACAGTGGAACAAACACTCCGGTTCATTCTCAGACTCCAACTGGAAGAGGCGTTTCACAACTGACAGACTAATGTTTAAGGCTATTCTGCCTTTTTTTGACACGGGCGTCTATCGACCACAAGGCACAATCGCGGCTTCTTCACTCTCACATCGCCTTCTATCTGTCCAGAACTGTCAATCCAGAGCCCAACGGAATGTTTTGCCGTGCGGCGTCTCTTAAGGTAGCACTGCAAGTCTAGACTTGGGCTCCCACTCGCTGCATGTTGTCCTTGGTCGCTTGCCTCGTCCTAGGCGTCACACGGGGACTAGCAGCGTCCTCTCCAACGCCTACGGTGGATAAGACCTCCTTTGTCTCCGCCAAAGGCACAGCTTTCCAGGTCAATGGCAGGTCGGTCCCAGGTGATACAGAAAAACGCCAATATTGAAGTATATAATCTAGCGATTTCCGGTTTGTGGGGACTTCCGCATACTGGCTCCCGGCGTTGAACAGCGACGAGGACGTCGATTTCGTTCTGGGGAACATCTCTCAAGCCAATATCACAGTGGTCAGAACATGGGCATTCAATGGTAAGAAAGTCTCCTTCATACGGGTGACTCCCGCTGCATGGAGAGAGTGTTCCGCCCACCTACTGCAAACCCTGACCACCGATACATTATAGATGTCTCCGTGATCCCTGAAAATGGCACCTGGTTTCAATTACTGGCTAATTCAACGGCCACCTTGAACATGAACGAAACGAATGGGATACCGAAGCTTGATCGAGTGCGTGTATTGAGACCTCCTCATTAGATCTGATTGTCCATAGATTCTCTCGCTAGCCCAAAAGCACGGAATTTATGTCCTACCCGTCCTCACGAACAATTGGAATCCATTACCAAGCGACAACCTGACTAGTAGTTCCACTGATAGTCCTTTTTCCCGTCGTGATGTCGCAACGAACAACAGCCTGCCGCGAAACTATCTCTCAAATGATTACGGCGGAATAGTGAGTGAACGTGCGTTAGGCAACTCAAGTTGAACAGTTTATAGGATGCCTACGTCCGAGCTTTCAATGCAAGCTCTCACGACGCCTTCTACACGGACCCGAATATCATTGCTGCTTTTGAGAACTACACGACAACTTTGGTTAAGCGGTTTGTTAATAGCACTACGCTGCTTGCGTGGGAAATAGCCAACGATCCACGGTGCGCTCTTTTTGGCATGGTCATTCGACCTCTCATTACTTATAGATGTAACTCCTCCATATCAGCTGCACCCACTTGCAACACGAACACGATAACTAGTTGGCATAACAGGTCTGAAGCATAACTTTGTCCCAATGCCCACTGATATCGTGCATAGAATCGCCAACCTGATTGCAGGTATCGACAGTAACCACTTGATCTCGGCTGGGACAGCTGGATTCTTCTGCCCGGTGGGCAACCCCCAGTGCCCGAAACTATTCCAGCAAGTCAACACTCCTCCGCCATCACAGCCTTCAGCCGCGCCACAACGCCGAAAAATCAGAAGTAAACCACTCACGGAGAAGCGTGTTTTACAAGACCGGAAGGAGAGGCAGAAGAAGAATCGAGCCCTTAAATTGAAGTCCTCACCTTCGACTGATGGCGTTAGAGTGCGAGGAAGATGGATCTCCACCCCCACTCGAAGACAAGACGACACGGGCGTTGGTTCTGCTTTGTTCGGTTGCTTGCTTGCACTTTTGAAGGTGACTAACTAGCCACGCACAGTGATGGCTCCAGCGGTGTTGACTCGGAAGACATCTTATCTGTGGGTAATGGAAAGTCCAACAAATCCTATGTCTGATCCAACGTCTGTAGATAGCAAACATTGGATTTTCAAGTTTCCAGCTCTTCCCTGATCAAAATCAGTATGGCGCCGACGATCCCAATTTGTCCGCTTTCAACAACACATTGCAAGCTGGGCTAAACTGGATCAAGCAGCACGCTGAGAGCGGCCAAATGTTTGCTGGTCTTTGTCCCGGATTAATGCAGCTTGTTGACCCTCTTCAAGGTTTGGAAAACCTATCGTGCTTGGTGGTTTTGGACTCGTCACTCAGAACAATGCACCGTCATTCGTGCCATTCAATACAACCATTGCTCCCTTCGCAAATGATCAAATTGGTACGCATGCCCAAAGCCTTGTCATTTTAAAGACCATATTTTCTCAGGAAATATATCCTTGGTACCTGGTGTGCTCCCATTTGGAGTCACTGACTCGCAGCAAGATGACGCCTATTCGCAATGGCTGCAACAGGGCGTCATCAGCGGCCTCGCGGGGATGATTCAGTATCAGGTCAGGGCTTTCTTATGCATAGTTGCCCATCTGAACTCGGGGACTAGTGGAGTCAAGGCAATCTCACAGCTGTGAATGGAACTGCCATTATTCCTTCAATATCGGAGAATGGAGTGGTGACTGAGAATGGGGAAACTGCCGTTACAAATGAGAATGGAATTTCTCCGATAGACGGCTACGGGAGTGCGGGGCAAGCTCAGGCAGATATCCAAGGGACACTTTCGATTACCGCTCAGAAGTTCGCACCAGACGGATAGTGATTAGGACTGTAAACTACATTATTTTTCATAAAGTTGGAACCCGTCGTTGGATAGCACTTTGTGTTGTGAGGGTCACGCGTGTGTCACGCGTGCGCGCGTCTTGTGAATGAAGTTCACGATTGACGATTTACCTGTCTGTTCTACCAATTGCTTTGTTCAATATTCGACTTATTCTTCCAGGTCATTTTTCCTTATGACCGTATTTACCCAGGTGCTATAAGAAAGACGCGTTTACCAGCATCCGCTTACCTCCGAATGAAGAGCAATATGCCTACATGTGCGATCTCAAACGCGCCCTGGACGCTACGGTATTCCTAAGCCTATTCGAAAAGATCCAAACCGCGAACTTTTTGTAGGGTCACTGTGTGTTAGAAATGCCCTCAGGCACTGGAAAGACGGTCTCGCTATTGTCTCTCATTGTATCTTACCAGCAGGTCTGTTTCATGTCTCATTCCCCTTGCTTTAGCTAATGCCAAAAAGTTCTATCCAACGAAACGAAAGCTCATATATTGTTCCCGTACGGTCCCTGAGATCGAGAAAGCATTGGCCGAACTGAAGAGGCTGGTCGCATATCGCGTCGAGTGTGCAGAGACTGAGGAGGAAAAGCAAAAAGAGCGCAGTTTCATGGGTCTTGGACTGACAAGTCGCAAGAATTTGTGCATTCACCCAGAAGTGGGTGACACTTCGTTCTTCGCGTCTCTCACCAAGCCCTTTTAGGTCGCCAAAGAAAAGAAGGGGAAGGTGGTTGATGCGAGGTGCAGGGACTTGACGAATGCCGTGGCATGCGAGAAGGGTCGAGCAAACCCTGGCTCTGTTCCACTTTGTGACTGGCACGAAGTAAGTCGCGCGTCGTTTTGTTCAGTTCGAAAGGTTGACGGTGTTTCCAGACCCTCGGGCAATTAGAGCCAGGAAATCTCATCCCTGCGGGTATTTGGACGCTCGCAGATGTTCTCGAGTACGGAAGGGAGAAAGGAATCTGCCCGTACTTTACTGTTCGGCGAATGGTGTGTCGAAACCATCTCTGTTGGCAACAAACTCAAAAAAAAATTGTGGCAGATGCCCTTCGTCGACGTCATTATCTACTCCTTCCATTACCTCCTCGACCCAAAAGTCGCAGAGCAAGTATCAAAAGAGCTGTCCAAGGACGCCATTGTTGTATTCGATGAAGCGCACAATATCGACAACGTTTGTATCGAGTCATTAAGCATCGACTTAACACGTCCCATGTTGGACTCGGCAGGAAGGAGTATAACTAAATTGGGAGAGAAAATCGAAGAGTATAGCCCGACCTTACTTCTGCAAACGAGTCGTGTGATATTCTCTGCAGAATTAAAACAAAGGATGCCTCCAAGCTTCAGGAAGAGTATGCGAGACTAGTGGATGGACTAAGGGATCCCGCAGCCGAAGAAACCGAGGACGCCTTCATGTCGAATCCATGTGCGTCTCAACTTGCAACTCTGACCCGTCATTGATGAGTGTTATCCCATAGTATTGCCAGATGACCTACTGGACGAAGCTGTCCCTGGCAATATTCGAAAAGCTGAGCACTTCGTCGCGTTCCTCAAACGCTTTGTCGAGTATCTTAAAGTAACTCAGCATTTCCTCAACTATTAGACGACTTATTCTCGCTAGACTCGAATGCGGGTACTCCATGTTGTGGCCGAAACCCCATTATCGTTCCTTCAACATTTGAAGGATATAACCTATATCGAGCGTCGCCCATTGAGGCAAGTATTCCCCCAAGTAGTTGATTCTCAAGTTAATTCAGCCCAGATTCTGCGCCGAGCGCCTCCAATCCCTTATCAGGACGCTCGAGCTCAGTCGGTTGGATGAATACTCAGCACTACAAAAAGTCGCCAGCTTCGCGACCCTTGTTTCTACTTATGAGAAGGGTTTGTACCGCATCTCTCTTTCTATTTTGCTGACTTCTTTTCCATAGGATTCCTCCTCATTTTGGAGCCTTTTGAAACAGACAACGCATCAGTACCTAACCCCGTCTTCCACTTCACGTTCGTTCAACATGCCACCATTTAATATGCTGACTGCTGCTAGTTGCCTCGATCCCTCATTGGCGATCCAACCCGTATTCGAGCGCTTCAGTAGTGTTGTGATCACCTCGGGAACCATTTCCCCACTCGACATGTATCCCAAAATGCTTCAATTCGATCCTGTTGTTCAAGAAACATACCCTATGACTCTGACACGAAATGCATTTTTGCCACTCGTACGTCTTTGCGACCACTTCTCAGCGTCTCTGATGAGCAAAGGTCATCACCCGTGGTAGCGACCAGGTCGCAATAAGCTCTCGATTCGAAGTCAGGAACGATCCTGCGGTCGTCCGTAATTTTGGCAGCATTCTGGTCGAGTACAGCAAGATCGTACCAGATGGTATTGTTGCTTTCTTTCCTAGCTATCTTTACATGGAATCCATCGTTGCGGCTTGGAACGATATGGCAGGTGCATTTTCAAGGCTTTATTTTGGCTAACAGTCGTTCGTTCAAGGGCATTCTGAATGAGGTTTGGAAGAATAAGCTCATCTTTGTTGAGACTCCCGACGCAAATGAAACAAGTATCGCCCTGGAAAACTATCGAAGGGCGTGCGACAACGGACGAGGTGCTGTCCTCTTGTCTGTCGCGCGAGGAAAGGTGTCAGAAGGAATCGATTTTGACCACAACTACGGTAGAGCGGTCATTATGTTTGGGTTAGTTGGCTTCCAAGTCCCCTACTGTCTTCCCATTGATTTTTTATAGGGTACCATACCAGTACACGGAGAGCCGTATACTCAAAGCCCGTCTCGAATATCTTCGTGACGCATACCGAATTCGAGAGTCTGAATTTTTGGGCTTCGACGCGATGCGCAACGCAGCTCAATGCGTTGGGCGTGTCCTACGGGGTAAGACGGATTGGGGACTGATGGTGTTTGCAGACAAAGTATGTCCTAGAGCTTGACCTTTCAGGAGAGATACTTATGATGTTAACACCAGCGATTCGCCCGAGCAGACAAACGCGCGAAACTACCTCGATGGATTAATCAATACATCACAGAGACCGCTGCAAATCTTTCGACTGATATGGCCTTGACGCTCTCCAAGCTCTTTATGCGGGGCATTTCGCAGAACCCAGAGGAAAATCAGACGGGCATATCGCTTTGGACTTTGGAGGATGTGTTGCAGGCACAGACAAAACAAAGAGCGTTGGCCACAGAGGAAGCAGACGAGGACGAGTATGGTCATGATGGAATAACCGATGAAATGCTCGTCGATTTGGATATTTAGTTTACTTTTTACCCCACTTTGTCCAGTCGAATAAAGCTGCTTTCTTCTTCGATTGAGCGACGGGTCTGGGTTTCGGCTCTGACCCCGGCGGCAATGTGGGTGCGGTAATGCTTGTAATGGGTTTCAAGGGCTTTCCAATAGGGGATTGTTGTGCGAGTTCTTCCTTGGGTTTCCTACGGAAGGGATTTGCCGGTAAGCCGGATGCAAACATCGACGTCTTTGCTTGGGTTGTTGCATCGCTTTCTTTTTTCTGTCGTTTCCGGGCCACAAGTTCATTGGCAAAGTCGGCCATTTCGGCCATCTTTCGCTTTGATGCAGCAACTTTTACTATTTCCACTGGTTGGCGCGGCCTGGTTGGCGGACGCATACTAGCCAGATCGCTCCAAGGGGGAGGATCGCGATAGAGCATCAGAGAGATGTCTTCCTTCCAATTCGAGTTCAGGGTATATTCATGCACATGTGAGGTGTAACTCTTTGTGAGCGTTGTTGAAGAACGACGACCAACGCCATAGAAAGAGGCGATTCGGCGCACTGTAGCCTCGGTTGACAACTCTTCCGTTGCTATCTGCTGTTGCAACAGCCGGTCCGTCGGCTTGTGTCGGTGATCGAAAAGTGACAGTCGGCGACGGCACCTAGCACAATCGCAGCTGTACGGGTTGTGATCGGTTTCACGTCCACCATCCGGATCATTCGACAGCTGGGCGGTCGAGTGTACAGAGTACTGACCCGTATCTGGATGCAGTGTAACGCAAACGTCGTCAATGGTCGATTTACGGGAGGGGAGGGGAATTGTTGGCAGGGGAGCGTAATACAGAGTGTTAACCTTGAGGATAAATATATTTGGTGACGAGAAGACAGACGGGGTTTCACGCAGGGAATCTATCACTGTGTGCAGAGGTGTTGGATGGAACAGTGCACGTCGATTTCCTGGTGAAGGCTTGAAGGTAGGGAGGAAAGCCTTGGAGCTACACCGTGTACCCCTCAAATCTACAGACTAATCAGGCACTACGGAAAATATAACTGTTGGACATACCCAATAAAGATAGTAGAGGAAACGAGGACAGATGAGGCAAAATTTTGTTGTCGATTGCCTTGCAGTTTCGACAACGCAAAACGCGAAGACACCATGGACCCCTTTGTTCTGCCTCACTCCAGAGTACAGTTCCAGCGAGGACTCTGATGGCGTGCGAGGAAATATTTGGAGCTCCACTCACATCTAATGCACAAAGTGAATGAAGTCGCTTGAGTTCAACGATGGTGGCATCTGTCAATTCTCGACAACCCGGAAGCTCGAGAATTGTGACGAGCGAGAAATTAGGCGTGGAAGGAAGCTGAAGCGCTGGAAGATGCTCATCCGCTAATGGGATGGAATAACAAGTAAATGACGCGGGTAGATTGTCGTATATTTGCACGATGGTGCACCATAGTCGGGGGTCAACAAGTGCCCAGTCGAATTCAGATGGATCCAGTGGTATGAGAGACCGAAGAATATCTTCGTCTTGAGAAGATTTTGGAGGTCTGTAGGTGAGTCGAATGTTGCCTATAGCTGCTACTTGATCTGGAAACTGAGCAAGTTTGTGAAGGCAAAACCACACGAGGGAAGGAGTATATGGTAGTTTTCTTGGCATGGCAAGAAGCGTATAGGGCCCAAGAGTGCATTTTGACGCGTGAATGGAGGTTGGGAGAGACGCGTCCGGAGCACCCAGTGTGATGGCGGTGGAAGGCATGATGAGAAGTCATTGATGACGATATTGATGTCTGATGTGATTGATGATCTGGAGGATATTTGTAACACAACGACAAGCACTTCGATTCGACCGTTGCCCTCCCCTTCCCTTCTTAGCCCGGCGCACCCTCCCTCTTGAACACAGTCCTTTCGTTTACCCTCCATGGCTTCCCAGGGCTACCGTCCCCCGGACCCACGTGCACCCAACCCATTCGCAGACCCACGACAACAACAACAACCGGGCCAACCAGGAATCCAATATGGCCAGCGTTCTCAATATGAGGGCTCTGAGTCTGAGCATGACCACTATGGCCCTAATGCGAGCACAACGCGTCTAGCTCCTGGTCAATCTTGTTCGTTATGGCACTTTTCACCCTGCTTACTCCACCTGACTGACGGTTGTAGGGGACGCCGAAGCCAATCGTCGATACAACCCTTCAATTGACTCTCACTCTAGCATGCCCAGTATATCGCCATTTGCTGACCCTGGCCTCAATGCCGACCCATACCCGGCTTGGTCTGCCGACCGACAAATCCCGATGTCGACTGAAGAGATTGAGGACATCTTCCTTGACTTGACCCAGAAGTTTGGTTTCCAAAGGGACTCTATGCGCAACATGGTGCGTATCGTTGGAATACTTTGCAAACGGCTGATCACTCCGGCAGTTCGACTTTCTGATGCAGCTCCTCGATTCACGAGCCTCTCGTATGACGCCAAACCAGGCACTCCTCACCCTTCATGCTGACTACATCGGTGGACAACATGCCAACTATCGCAAATGGTATTTTGCAGCCCAGCTGAACCTTGACGACGCCGTTGGTCACTCACAAAATCCGGGGCTCCAGCGTCTCAAGTCGGTCAAAGGCGGAAAAAACAAAGGCGGCAAGTCTTTAGACAGCGCTCTTAATCGCTGGAGGAATGCCATGAATAATATGAGCCAGTACGACAGACTCCGACAAATCGCCCTCTTCCTTCTATGTTGGGGTGAAGCGGGCAATGTCCGCTTTGTGCCAGAATGTCTCTGCTTCATTTTCAAATGCGCAGACGACTACTATCGCAGTCCTGAATGTCAGAACAAAATCGACCCCGTTCCAGAGGGCTTGTACCTTCACACCGTCGTCAAACCTCTTTACCGGTTCATGCGTGACCAAGGGTACGAGGTGGTTGAAGGCAAATTCGTGCGGAAGGAAAAGGACCACAAAGACATTATTGGCTATGATGACATCAACCAACTTTTCTGGTACCCTGAAGGTCTTGCCCGCATTACGTTGACAGATAATGTACGTGCAATACCCCCCCAAGTAAGTTGAATACCTGACCGCCTTGCAGTCCCGTCTCGTCGACGCTCCGCCAGCTCAGAGGTTTATGAAGTTCAGCAAGATAGATTGGAACCGGGTGTTCTTCAAGACGTATTTCGAGAAACGGTCCAAGTGGCATCTCCTCGTCAACTTCAACCGAATATGGATTCTCCATATCTCGGTCTACTATTTCTTCACGGCTTTCAACTCACCGCGTGCTTATGCCCCCCGCAACAAACTTGATCCATCACCAGAGATGACGTGGTCCGCTGTTGCGCTTGGCGGAGGAGTTTCGACTCTGATCATGGTTTTCGCTACCCTTGCGGAATATTCGTACATTCCCACCACCTGGAATAATGCGTCTCACCTGACAACGCGTTTACTTTTCCTCCTCGTCATCCTCGCACTTACTGTCGGCCCGACCTTTTACATTGCCCAAAACGATGGCAAGCCTAACCAGACTTCCCAAATCCCACTCATCATTGGCATTGTGCAGTTCTTCATATCTGCCGTTGCTACTCTGCTGTTCGCGCTTATTCCATCTGGAAGGATGTTTGGCGATCGTGTCGCCGGGAAATCCAGGAAGTACATGGCCTCACAAACATTCACTGCCTCTTATCCCGCTCTGTCTCGAAGTGCACGCAGCGCCTCCATATTCATGTGGATTCTCATCTTCGGCTGCAAATTCGTGGAATCGTACTTCTTCTTGACGAGCTCGTTCAGCAGTCCCATTGCGGCCATGGTTCGGACCAAAGTCCAGGGATGCAATGACAAGATATTTGGGTCGAGTTTATGCTCCAATCAAGTCCTCTTCACGCTGGCCATTATGTACGTCATGGACCTGATCCTGTTCTTTTTGGACACCTACTTGTGGTACATCATCTGGCTCGTCGTTTTCAGTATCGGCAGGTCCTTCTCCTTGGGTCTCTCGATTTGGACGCCCTGGTCAGAAATATTCACTCGGATGCCCAAACGAATCTACGCGAAACTTTTGGCAACAGGCGAAATGGAGGTTAAATACAAACCCAAGGTAATTGCCTCGCAACTCTCGTTTCGCATCCGCTTTATGTTTTTTCAAGGTTCTCGTGTCTCAAATCTGGAATGCGATCATCATTTCGATGTACCGCGAGCATCTACTCTCCATCGACCATGTTCAGCGGCTCCTCTATCACCAAATTGATGGACCTGACGGCCGTCGTACTCTCCGTGCTCCTCCTTTCTTCACCAACCAAGCTGCCGGCTCCAAGAGTGCCTTTTTCCCACCCGGAGGTGAAGCTGAAAGACGGATTTCATTCTTTGCGTCCTCCCTGACAACGTCATTCCCTGATCCTCTTCCCGTCGATGCTATGCCAACCTTCACCGTACTCGTACCTCATTACTCCGAAAAGATTCTCCTCAGTCTCCGGGAGATCATCCGCGAGGAGGACCAGAACACACGAGTCACGCTGCTCGAATATTTGAAACAACTGCATCCTGTTGAGTGGGACAACTTCGTCAAGGACACGAAAATCCTTGCTGAAGAATCTGGGGCAATGGATGGCACTACGTCCAATCCTGGCAGCGAAAAATCGACCAAGGTTGATGATTTGCCATTCTATTGCATTGGGTTCAAGACGTCATCGCCCGAATACACTCTTCGAACTCGAATTTGGGCCTCCCTCCGTGCACAGACTTTGTATCGAACCGTTTCGGGTATGATGAACTACTCCAAGGCCATCAAGCTGCTCTATCGTGTCGAAAATCCCGACATCGTCCACAACTTTGGTGGCAATACCGAGCGACTGGAACGTGAGCTTGAGCGCATGGCTCGCCGCAAGTTCAAGTTTGCCGTATCGATGCAGCGATTCTCCAAATTCAATAAGGAGGAGCAGGAGAATGCGGAGTTCTTGCTTCGCGCGTATCCTGACCTGCAAATAGCTTATCTGGACGAAGAACCCGGCAAACAAGGTGGCGAAACCCGTCTTTTCTCTACCCTCATCGACGGGCATTCAGAAATTGACGAGGCAACGGGCAAACGCAAACCGAAATTCCGTATTGAGCTTCCGGGCAATCCAATTCTGGGCGATGGTAAATCAGACAATCAGAATCACGCGATTGTCTTTTACCGTGGCGAATACCTCCAGCTCATCGACGCTAACCAAGACAACTACCTCGAAGAATGCATCAAGATCCGCAATGTGCTTGGCGAGTTCGAAGAGCTCTCTGTTTCAAGTCAAAGTCCTTACGCGCAATGGGGTCATAAAGAGTTCAATAAATCGCCTGTAGCCATCCTTGGAACCCGCGAGTACATTTTCTCAGAGAACATCGGTGTTTTGGGTGACATTGCGGCTGGCAAGGAGCAGACATTCGGAACAATGACAGCCCGTGCGTTGGCTTGGATCGGAGGCAAACTGCATTATGGACATCCTGATTTCCTCAACGCTATCTTTATGAACACGCGTGGCGGAGTTTCAAAGGCACAAAAGGGTTTACATCTGAACGAGGATATTTTTGCTGGTATGAACGCGTTCGGCCGAGGTGGGCGCATCAAGCATGCCGAGTACTACCAGTGTGGCAAAGGACGTGATCTCGGTTTCGGTACCATTCTCAATTTCCAGACCAAGATCGGAACTGGTATGGGCGAACAAATGCTCAGTCGAGAATATTACTACCTTGGCACCCAACTCCCCATCGACCGTTTCCTCACCTTCTACTACGGTCACCCAGGTTTCCACGTCAACAATATCCTTGTCATCTATTCGATTCAAATCTTCATGGTCACTTGTAAGTGTCGAGTATCTGCACCATCAGCTTCCTCTTATCTCGGTTTTTAGTGGTCTTCCTTGGTACGCTCAACAAGCAACTCGCGATATGTAAGGTGGACTCGCAAGGCAACGTGACTGGTGGTCAGCCAGGCTGTTACAACCTCATTCCAGTTTTCGACTGGATTCGTCGTTGTATCGTATCTATCTTCCTTGTCTTCTTCATCGCTTTCCTCCCGTTGTTCCTTACAGGTATGTGGGTGTCGTTGTTGTCTAACCATCTACTAAAATTTTGGTCAGAATTGGTGGAGCGTGGAACAGGCAAAGCGCTGCTTCGACTAGGGAAGCACTTCCTTTCATTGGCCCCCGTATTCGAAGTCTTCTCCACGCAAATCTACTCGCAGTCCATTCTGAGCAATCTCACATTTGGTGGAGCGCGATATATTGCCACTGGTCGTGGTTTCGCAACGACTCGAATGTCGTTTGCTATTCTCTACTCCAGGTTCGCTGGACCCAGTATCTACATGGGCATGCGTAACCTTCTCCTGCTTTTATACGCAACCATGGCCGTTTGGATTCCCCATCTCATCTACTTCTGGCTTTCGGTTCTCTCCCTCTGTGTTGCGCCGTTCTTGTTCAATCCTCATCAATTCTCCTTCGCCGATTTCATCATCGACTACCGAGAATTTTTACGATGGATGTCACGTGGTAACTCGCGAACAAAGGCCAGCAGTTGGTATGGGTATTGCCGTCTGTCGAGGACGATGATTACAGGTTACAAGAAGAAGAAACTCGGACTGCCCTCTGAGAAGCTTTCTGGTGATGTCCCTCGTGCGCCTTGGAGCTCCGTCATTTTCTCTGAAGTCATTTTGCCGATCTGTGGTGCCACCATCTTCGTCGTCGCCTACATGTTTGTGAAATCCTTCCCCGATGCCAAGACTGGACAGAATCCAAGCCCGCTAATCCGTATCGGCCTTGTCGCCATTGGACCCATTGCCTGGAACGCGACAATGCTCCTCACGCTCTTCTTCATTTCACTCTTCCTCGGACCCATGCTCGAGTCATGGGCTAAATTCGGCGCTGTCATGGCGGCACTGGCCCATTTCCTGGCTCTGCTTGGAATCATTGTGTTCTTCGAGTTCTTCGTACGTCACATGACCAATTAAATGCCCCCATTTCTAACGCTCAGTTATAGTGGTTCCTAGAACTCTGGGATGCATCCCACGCTGTACTGGGACTGATTTGCATTATTGCTATCCAGCGTGCTGTGCACAAGATTCTCATTGCCGTCTTCCTGACGCGTGAGTACAAGCACGACGAGACGAATCGGGCGTGGTGGACTGGTAAATGGTATGGAAGAGGGCTCGGCAACTCCGCGATCTCGCAACCCGCGCGAGAGTACCTGGTCAAAATCGTCGAGATGTCGCTATGGAGCTCCGACTTCGTCATTGCCCATTTCCTGCTGATCATCCTTACTCCCCCCATCCTCATCCCTGGCGCCAACCGTTTGCATTCGACCATGCTGTGTAAGCGCTACCTTTTCTTGGTTTTCAGGTCGTTAACCACTGCGTTACGTTTAGTCTGGCTGCGACCTTCAAAACAGATTCGGGCACCTCTCTTCTCCATGAAGCAGAAGCGCCAACGACGATGGATCGTAAGTTGTTTAATCGTTCCTATTCTACTCGACTTATATGCTGTTGACAGGTCATGAAATATTCAGTCGTCTACATCGTTGTCGTCGCATTCCTTGCTGCACTAATCGTCTTGCGTAAGCTCCATCACTTTGTTGCTGTTGCTATTTACTGAGTAAGCAACTCCAGCCGCGCTTTTCCGGGACACGATTACGTTCAACTGCACGCTGTGCAAGTCTATCTGACGAATTTATGAGTATCTGGCCATATACCTTGGATCGAGGCAATGCTATCTTCCGTTTTCCTGTACTACCATATAATATAGAGGCGATAATCAACCAGTCAGGTTCTTTCGCAGTTACACACAACAAGGCATAAGTTACAATTACTATACAAGGTTATCATCTCCCAATCTGCTACTTACCTCATCAACATCTCCCTGACAATTTACATAAGCAAATCGGTTGGGTGTAGACTTAGACCTACAAAGATGGATGCTGTTCTTCGAAGTAGAAATGCACGGAGGTCCCTCCTGGGTTTCACTGGAGACGGATGGTGGATTATGGGCGTCAATGGCTCGTCCATATCGCTTTTTACATCAACCTGGGCAAATTAAATAAAACTCAGTTCCAGCCACTGCATCGGAGAGTCACGCACAAATATGCTCGAATCGGCCTTGAACAGAGACCACTCTGGTCTCTTTTTGGAAAGAGTAGCCGCAACGATCGCGGACATGGGAGGCTTACGCTTGGATGCCGCTGTCCGTTGCGAAGGAGCAGGAGATGCGACTTTAGTTGAGCAGATAGACTCCGGAGTTGTGGGTGATCGGGGTGGAACTATTCTGATCGGGAAGCTCGAGACGACAAAGGTACTCTGCGCCGGTGTCATACTGAGCGCCGTCGTTGCAACCACGGGACGCTTAGTCACTTTTGCCACAGTCAGGCGTCTCTTTCGGTGTTCACGGACCCTCTATTAAGTATTCAGTATCAATTCTTTAATGATAATTTTCAACTTGCCTTGGAAGTAGCGACATGGCGATAGCGCTCAACGATGCGGTCGGTGGTGTCGAGCTTCAGCGGCGAAATGATTTTCTTGTCGAGCCGCAGAGAGACAGGACGCCGTTTAGGCGGTGAGCGCTTGATCCAGGCGTCTGGGGCATGTCCATCGGGAAATGCCTCTTCGAGGGAGTCCAGCCGGGTTTTCAGTGATGTATTCTCATCCGATAGTAGACGGGACCGCTCCTCCATGTCTGAGCGTAGTTCCCGCTCGAATTCTAGCGCTTGTGAGGACGAGTCAACGCACATGACCAGTTGTTCTTGCAGTAAAGCGACCCTCTGCCGCAGCGTAGTGCACTCTTCTTGAACAATCGAAAGTTGCTCTGTTGTGATTTGAAGCTCCTCCCGAGCTAGGAATAGTTCGTCTTGCGCCGTTTCTTCAACAAGCGGAGAGACAGCAGTGCGACGGGCCAGTTCAACTTCCAACGCAGTCCGCATATACTCTTCGGCCTGGGCCTTGGTCATCAGCTCTGATAAGTCTTGTTGTAGAGCAGCATCACGCCCAGCGAGAAGTTTGTTGTGTTCGAACAAAGTCAGGTTGAGCGAAGATAATCGGAGGACCTCTTCCTCTGCAGCCTTGCGTCCTCCACGCTCCTCTTCAAGTGAGGCCGTTAAAGACGAACACGTGTCTTCTTGCTCATGTAGCGAGCGAGACAGAGTTTCATTCTGTGCACGTATCTTTTTTAGCGTGCTCTGAAGTTCCGTGCGAAGCTGTCGTTCGTATTCAACGTCATTCACAGCCTCCCCTTGTCCCTCGGAAGGAGAGGATGATGTTGAAGAGAAACGGGCATGAGACAATGTCGAAAAGCGATGACTGGATCGTCTGACTGCCCGCTCGTTGTTGAGGGCATCGCGAGCTTCTTCCAGCTCTGAACATACTTGGGCGTGACGCGCTTCCATCTCAGCAATTCGCGACTCAAAGTCCAAGACAAGTTCGAGGGCTTCTACCGTGAGTGCACCACCATAGGACTTGGGCCGTTGGCGTCTGGGTTCGCTGTGGAATAAAGACTGTCGCCGAGAACTGTTTATTCGTGGGGGCGTCAGTTCATGCCTTGGATCTTGAGGGGAAAGAGGTTCTGGAGAATGTTGTAGCGGCGAAGGGGTCTGATGTCTGCGTAAATACGGCTCAAGAATGAGACTGGATGCTCACCAATTCTTCGATGAGAGGTGAAATTGGAGAAGGAGTGTCAAATGGTTGTACCAAGACGGAGAGCCGCTTCTGAAGAGGTGAAGGAGAGTGTTTATGCATCCCGAGAAAAGACAAAAATGGTGGGAGCAGCGATGGAGAACGAAACTAAGAAGAGGTTGACAAGATAATGGACTAGTTGCGCTCGCGCATGTCAAAAGAAGGGCGATAGACGTGAACAGGTGATATATAGCAGATTGAGTGCCGAGCGCTCGTGTCGCCACTGACTCTCCGGCGCTGATCGCGACCGTGGCTCTGAATTCTTGTTGGCCACAGTGGGTAAGCATCAAAAGAGTTGAGTGTCACGTGCCTTCAGGGTGTCCCAATGAATTTCGACTATTTCTCCAAGTTCCTTCGGCCCAATGCTCAACCAGTGCCAAAACCCCCTCACGACCATGCACAGGAGTTCCACAAGTCGTGGCAATGCGTCAAGGTCTCTACGTTGGGCTAGCTTCATTCTCTAGCTCACATTGGCGTCAGACAACTCTTATGCACCCAGATGAACGACAATTGACTCGGGGTATCAAGTCCACCGACGTACCGGCCCATCTCCAATCGATGGTTGACTCACTTGTCTCCGAATCGACGCGAACTGAAGAAGGGTCCGTCCCTTCAATACCTTCCGAACCTTCCTTCCCTTATCGTCATTAGCGGCACCGGCGCGTGCCTTGAATATCTACTCAAGAACGGTTCGTTACTCTTGTTTCCGGGAGTAATACGCTATACTGAGTCCTCTGCAGATGTTTTGGGCACACTCGTTCGCCTTAGTGAAACCGACAGACCATCGGGAATCCAGGCGGAAGTACTCAGAGCAGTCCAGAATATGGTCATCCTTCTCGATGAGCAATTTCTTGTTCACTCTGCCGTCCACCGTGCCGTGTTACGTCTATTGCGAAACTGCGCTGGCGATGACTTGCAAGAGCAGCTCGATGGGAAGCACAAAGTAATGGGCGCGGCGCAAAACGCCATTCGCAGTCAGCCATCTGAATACGAGACCGATTGTGAGTTATGCCTGCCTAGTTCTGGGAGTTGAAGTTGATAAATTCAGTGGTCAACCTGCTCTGCATTCTCTGCAGTCGAATACGGACATATCGGGAATTACTGATGATATTCTTCCACGACAAGCACTGGTATCGCTCTGAACCACTATTTTCTGTTGAAGAAGAGCAAGAGGAGGAAGATGACGAAGACGATGAACCAGAAACACCCAAGGCTGAACAACCTGCTACTTCCCGGTCACCTTCACCTCATCCAGCCAATACAACTACCAAAAAGACGGAATACGAGTTCCTTCTCTTTAATTACCTCTTGCGTTTCGTCCATCGGGAGGGTCAGATCGGTGACTTTGCCCGAGCCGGTCTGCTATTCCTGATGGATGTTGCAATGTCGCCTGGAGAACCTATTCACAAACTAGGAGACTCTTCCTCGGACCCTCAAACTTCTGACCCAATCACCGATGCAGCGTTGGCCCTTGCTGAATATATCCTCGATGGCGATTTCTCTGAAGTGTTGGGTGCTGGCCTGGGTGCTGTGTATTCGCTTCTGCCTTCCAAACTCGAGTTCAGAGCGTCGCCTTCATCGCTTGAGTCACAAAGCGGAATGGTTATAGGCAGTACTGGTCCGGAAACGGAAGACGAGAAAGAGCGGTCAGAGGTTGCTAGGGACAGATCTCGGGCGATGGGTATTGAAGATGCTTCCAACGCTGATTTCAAGTCGCGTCTCGACCACTTCCTCAAACTACTTGAATTCCTGCAGGACGTTCTCAAGCGTAATATCGTTCACGACACGATGGATGCATCAGCTCTTGTTGGCACTGCGATTGTGCAATCAATACTCGATGCTGTAAGGACTATATTCCTCGAAAATGTGCTTTATCCGTCGGTGCTGGAGTGCTCCGATGCAGATGGAAGTGCAGTTGCTGTCATGTCTTACATCGAGGTCATGATTCGTACCCTTCAACAAGGCCAACTCTCAGAAGTGCTAGTCAACTTTTTGATGAGCGAAGACAACGATGAAGTTCGGTTGCGTCAAAGACCCCATTCTGTTCTGACGCTCGGTGGTGATGCTCCGCCCCAAGCAAAATCTGCCGAGAAACAAAATAAACTGCGTCGACGCAAGAGCAGTGCAATGGTTTTACTGGAAATGGAGGCTCCCGACTCGAATAGACAGTCGGAGTATTTCACATCCATGGGCCGCTTCACTCTCAAAGACTTGTTATTGTCTAATTTGCGCTCCTCCTCTCAAGCGACTGGCGCATCTGCTCTGCAACTACTACAATCCATGCTACTCCAACACTCGCAGCTTTGCGTTGAACGTTTGTTGCGAGTTATACCAGACCCCAGAGCCACATGTTTCCCTCATCCTGCGATGATACCCGCTCCTCCAACATTTTCCAAACCCGAAGTAGATGATGATGATGACGAAGAAACGTTTGTTTATCCCGGAGCAGAAGACGATTCCTCGCCAGAGGAGGAAATACCATCTGGGCCTGTCTTTTACCAACCTGAGACAACATACTCGACCCATGAGCGAGAAATGGGCTTATACCTGACTCTTGTCTCTCGGGTTGATCCCTCTCACAACGACGATGCTTTCAGCACGGGGTACGACCACTATCTTCGAGACGCTCTCTTTGGGATCCAAAGCCAGTCAGCATTCCGCCTCGACACGGAAGAGTCATTTGACATGGAGGCGCGCCAAAAATTAAAACATCGTCTGAACCCCAACGATCCCATTTTATCTCTCATCCTTGAATCTCTGCGAAAATTCTTCTCCAACACCCCTGAATTCAACATGGCTTTGACTGGCGTGCTGGCCGTCCTCGCGATGCACCCTGACCGCTCATTGGCTGGCTGGCTAACATTCGCACCGACTGACCCGTATTCCGAGCCTTCCCAAATCCCCGAGAACGACGACTCTACAGAAGCAGATGGTGATGGCGACGACCGCTCTGTCGACTACAAAATCGATGAAAAATTAGCCACCGACACCAACTTCCTCCCTGCTTCCCGGATGGATGCTGCTTCGAGACCAATAGTGCACACAATTTTCCATGGGCTTGTTTCGCAACTGGAGCGATATCGGCAGCTGGTAGACAACTTTGACAAATACCTGCTTGAGCGCCGCCAGGGCTTGCTGTTCTCGGAGAATCTCACAGACGCTCTGTCGCTTGACCTTGGTGAAGAGCTCCTTCGACCTGCAACGCCAGAACAGGTCACGAGACCGAAACCCAAACCAACTGCCTCTTCCTTCATGACCTCTTTGTTGACACCCAAGAAGAGCAAACCATCGAAACCCGCTGCAAGCGACTCGACCCCACTCCGGACGGGACAACGGAGTGTGTCGGCCAGTCCGTTTGGCCCACACTACCAACACACAGGTTCGGTTGAAGTCGAGCCTTTTATCGCACCTGTTCCCCCCACTGGTGGCTGGACTCCAGCGAAATCATCACGGTGGTCTACTGACGACGACGACGTGTTTGGCTCGGCCTGGTCAGACAAACCGCTGACCAGCGAGCTTAAACCGAAGGACGACCCAGATAGACCTGCCAACGTGACCCTTTCGCAACTGCTGGACAACGTTGTGATCTTGGAGGAGAGCATCAAGGAGCTTGTAGCCATAATTTCCGCTCGTAGGGCGCTGGGAATCGACGCCGTTCGCTATGTATGACCACCCAACTGTAACACATTTGCTTTGCTTTCGCGCAATAAACAAAAATAGAAGTACAAATCACCTCATCATTAATATTTACTTGGCCTTGCGACCCTTTTTGCCTTTGCCTTTACTTGCACTGGCCGTAGTGCTGCTTGCCTTGTCCTTGTCACCGAAAAGCTTCTGCTGCAGTTTCTCAAACTCGGCATCGTCTATTTCAGGTGGTGGTGGCGGCGCCCCGCGTTGCTTCTTGGGTGGCGGCTCATCATCCACCGAGTCTTCACTCGCCCTTTTCTTCCCTTTGCGCGCCTTGGGCTCCGGTTCAGCGTATTTAGCAGCAAGACTGTCGAAGAAGTCATTTGACTTGGCTTTCTTCTTGAGTATGAGCGCTTGGAGCGCTGAATGATCTTCGTCCCCGTCATCCGTTTTCTTGCCCTTGCCCCGACTAGCACGTTGCGTTGTTTTCCCACTACCGTAAAACTCGTCCCATACGCCAAGCTCCTTTGCCATCTCTTCCGCCTCTGCTGCCTCTTTCTGACCCTGCTTTTTGCGGACGAGCTTGGCCTTCTCGTCCTTTATCTCCTTCTCCCAAGCAGCCATCGTCGGGAGCTCTCTGCTGGCGACCAGTTTGCTGATGGCCACAATAAAGCGCGGCTCGTCGTCGAATGTAGAATGTGGAATGGCGTTCATGATGTCAGCAATGGAGCCCTGCGATTCGCTATATGCCGCCTTGAGGTCAGCAAGCTCCTCCTCTGACCCTAACTTCCCTGTAAATTTCCCATTATAAACTTAAGCACTTGCACGGACCTTGATACTCCTTCTTCATTTCGTCGAGTTTGTCACGCGTAACACGGTCGAAGAGGTCTTCGAAGTAGGCCTCCCAGCCATCGTCGCCCGCCCCCAAATCAAATCCCTCGTCTGTCCTGCCCGTTTTGTCATACCGCTCGCGGCGCTTGTCGTCGCCAAGAACAGCATACGCAAAGCCGACTTGTTGGAACCGTGTTGCTGACTTGGCCTTCTGCTCGTCGGACGCCGCTGCTTGTTTGTCTGGATGACACGTCAGGGCTAGTTTGCGGTACGCCTTCTTGATAGCATCGGTGGTGGCCTCGATCGTAAGCCCAAGCACTTCGTACAAATCCACGGACTCTTGGTCGGGGAAGAAGGTATTAATTGGGTCGGCGTCGTCCATGGGAGTCGAAACAGTCAAGGTCACACAAAGGCACGTGGTATGTGACCGACGTGTTAGACCAGAGGCTATACGCGCGGGTAACCAGGCGGGTTACCCGCCAAGCATGCGTTCTCATGCAGACCCGTGTTTGACCTCGATCGTGGCTTGAAATTTGCGGCTGACCACCCGCAACTCTCATAAAGACAACATGACTGAGAAATAAACAACAACAATGCGCCTCTTTACTGCCATCCTCGTCTCGTTTTCCTTCATGCAAGCCAACGCCATAATTCAGATATTCTCAGGCCAGGACTGCAATAGAAAAGCAGGTGTGGACTTCAGCTGCGACGGCAACTGCTTCCCAATTACTGGGGGCAACTTGTTGAAGGTTCACTCAAAAATTCTCCTTGCGTCCGCTGCCCATTGATTTATTCCCAGATCCCAGAAGCCCACACCGTCACTTTATTCACAGACGATAGCTGTAACGGCCGAGATTTCCGCTTTGGCTATGAGGAGCCTGGCAGGTGCATCAACATTAAGACCGGTGGACCAGATGTCAAGTCTGCTAGATGCACTTGAACAACAGTTCGTTACCCTCGAGCTACTGCTTGACTGTCGTAGAAGTCTTAGAGAATGACCACTCAATACCCTACAGCTACCGCCTGTTCCTGTTTGTTTCGCCCCGTTGTGGTTGAGATGCGAGGTCCTTCATCTCTTGTTTATCAAGTCCAGCTTCGGCCAAGATCTTCTCGACCTCTTTGAGTATAGGCTTGTACGATTCTGCCAAACGCGTCATGATATATATGCCCGTTAATGAAGTATAAGTCCTTACGGTACGTCTCTTGCGCAAGACTAAACCCATCTCGACGTAGTTGTTTTCCTTGATGCTCGGTCGTGGCATGCGCTTTTTGAACCCAGTAAGCGCCTGCTACAGGTGAAACCCCTGAAATCTGGATGACTTAAAATGACCTACGAGTACGGGCATAGAAAGCTGCAAGAGTCTCCCCGGGTAAAGGAGTGCTCAACGAGTCTTCTGCTGATCTCTCCTTGGCGACTCCCATGAATGCTGTAGCCTTGGCCCTGATATCGCTCTCAGGCGGCTGTTCAGGCTCTACTATGACCTCTTCTTCTGGCGCCGCTTCTTCCTTGTCTGTTTCTTCATCACCTTCCGAATCGTCGTCGCTGCTGCCAGTGCTGTCGCTGCTGCCAGTGTCGTCACTGCTGCTGCTTTCCTCGTCTTCTTCTGGTATGATGATTTCGCTCTTCTTCAAACACACATATTTGTCCAATTTGTCGAGTTGCACCGAATAAAAGTCATCCATCGTAAACTCGCGTTTTCCGCGTTCATAAATGCCGCCATAGCTAACCGTATAGATCAAAATCTAATCGGACGAATGCACGTGACTTACATGTACAGGGTATTGCGCAACACTGCGAGCATCGCGTTGTATCGGGGAAGTGGTGTCGTCAGGATTGGGTCATCCAAGTCGATTTCCTGACACTTTCGGTTTGTGGAAAATTTCCAAGTCGGGCCAACTAACCTCAGTTTCTGGTTCACTATCATCATCGTCTCCCTTGTTCGCGACTTTCTTGGGTTTCTTGCTCTTGCCCTTTGGTCGCTTTAACGTCAACGACACGAATTTTCCTTTTCCTGTCATTTGATAGCCGTTACTGAGAGGGTGGTGAGAATGCAGGTAAGATGCTTGTCCCTTCGACTCACAGGTCATTCCAAAAGACGCTCTCGAGTGTTTCTTCGCTGGTGTCTTCATCCGTTACCCCTATGGCGATTTAGATATCATGCTCTTCGTCAACTTCTGCCCTAACCTCCAAACATGACCGCCATCTGTTTGGCCTGCCACAGTGTCATGGTGCTGGCTTGAGCATGAGTTTGGAAGCAAAACAGCATATGATGGTCGGATACCATCCAGATCGGAGCGCAGGCGCATATGCTGTTGAGGGACGTTTCCTTCGCTCCCATTTGAGCAAAACGGGATTATTTGAGGGCTTGTCACTCGGAGCCATCGACATACTATAATGGTGATAAATGCGAAAGCAAATTTTAGGCGACTGGTGAGGCCTACTTGAGGAACCAGGTGTCTTCCAGCATTACTCCAACGGGTCGTTTGCCTTTGGCGTACTCTTTGCAATAACCGCCTGAATCAAATCGGTGAAGATGGGCGGGTCGAACCATGGAGGATGTTGTTGACAAACCGTGCAGGAGAATACCCTCTGGCGTAGATATAAATGAGAACCCGCTTCGAGGACTGGCTAACAAGTTAAACCACGGTCAGATCCACGAAGAAGAGCATCAATGTCTTACGATGGTCGCAGTTCCGTCTCCTTGAATTCTGCCTGCCTCCACTTGTAGTCCTGGAGGTCAAAGAGCCACAAGTCGTTGAGGTATTTGGCTAAGGAGCTTGAGGACTTGTGCAACGTGGGGTAAAACACACACTTGTAGTCCCAGGGTCGTAAAATCCAGCGAAGAGAACAATAAAATGCTTCCAAATTGCCATACGATGGCCAGAGCGAGCACTTGGCCGAACTTTGGTGTCGATGCGATCCCACGAATGCGTCTGAATATCGAAGCACCAAAAGTCACGATAATGGTGGAAGCTGTTCTGGTTCACGGACGAGAATTCCCCGCCTGCTCGATGTGAGTAAGTGACCTCTAGAAATCGAAAAAAAAAATGACATGCCAAAGATGAAAAGCTTGCCTCCCCCCGCGGGTGAGGCGGCAATCGCATGCGCAGAACGGGGCCCAGGACATGTTGGAGACACGAATTTGCGCCATTCATCCTGAAAGGCTGTGAGGTCCCGAGCTCAATAGTTGTGGATGTTGACAACCTTATCCGCTGAGTATCTGTACACATCGGAGTAGAAGTACTAACAAAAATGCTGTCAGACGGACACAATAACCCCAAACACTTACGGCCTTGCCATCCTCGCTGAAAAATTCACCACCAATCGCCCAGAGATGTTGCGCGCCAGTTGGGCAAGGTGTCAAGGTGCAATTCGCCCGGCGAGAGGGCGGGCCATCGGCAACTTCCTCGATGACCTTGTGCTTTTCTTCCCATTCAACACGAAGCTAGCACTCGTTCAGCAAAGAGGGATGGTTGTAAGTTAAAATCAAAGACTTTTTCAAGAATAGCCTCCAGGTCCTCATCGTCATCACCGTCCTTCTTCCGCTTTCCTGATACTTTCTCGGCTTTGCGTTCGTTCTTTTTGGCAGCCTTGGACTGCTTGGCAGCGGTCGATGCTGCTTTATTTGCTGTCGTTTTCTTCTTCTTCGCCATATTTCAAGAACATGGTCACTTCTGTCACTCAGACTTGCCATCGGTTCTCGGTCCGATAAAGGGTCTGCCCACCATTTTAAGCCGCAAAGTAGCAGAATCTCGGAGGATTGTAGCCTCATCTCAACCACTCATGTACAAGTTGCTCCGCCGCGCTACCATACGCATTCAGCCCACCCGCAGTCCACAATTTTAGGCTGAGCCAAGCGCAAGCTATCCCATAACCACACCCAGCAGCTATCTGAGCAACGGTATGATGCCCAAGCCATATTCTGGATAGCATCACCAAGATCGCCCATGGGATGGCCACCACAGGGAACAAACGCGCGGCCGGAGGCAGAGAAGGGTGGAGGGGGAGTTGGAGGGCGGAAAGAGTGATGTAGGTAGCGTAAAATGAGACAGAGGCAGAGTGAGTTGAGGGCATCCTGTGAACGTGCCTATTCAGCAGCTTATATCGTCGTAACAACTCGCGGAAGGCACACCCGTATGTCTTTTTCCTGCCCACCGGTGGTCTTGGTTGCTTGATTAGACGTTTCAGAACATACTTGACGCTGAGTGTTGTCGCCAATACGGTGCTTCCAAAATAAGCAACCCCCGCTGAACGAGTGAAGAGAATCACTGCCGCAGTCAGGGTAGTGACGGTGAAGTTGGTCTAGAAGAGTGTCCTAAGCTGCGTGAGCGGACAATGACGCCGTTTCCCCAACCTTGTCGAGAAAATAGAGCCACCAGTTCATGGGAGAAGGGAGGAAAGAGCGAGGATAACGAATAATTTATTAGTCCTCGAATCCTAGGTATAAGGTATAGTAATGTTTACAGCGTTAGATGCATGGAAGATCGTCAAAGCAGACAAAGAGCGACTATTCTATGGAAATTCTGGGTCCTAATGCTGTTCCACCGCTGTAAGAGCCTTGCTGTTGGGTCATATTCCCTGCGGATTCGGCCTTGCGTGAGTACTGCGGTCTCGTGGGCACGTCTAGAAGAAAAGGATTTATTACCGCTCAAGATTTCCATTTTGGTGTAGTTTGGCTTGGACCCACCGTTGACTTTTGCCGTTACCAACCCTCTACCGAAGTCTGAGAAGCATCTAAGCCCAACAGCGAAGGTAGCAAACAAAAGCAAGAAGGCAACGATAGCTATGGAAAGCGTCACAAAACGTCAACCTCGAGAAAGAATCCAATCATACTGAAGATAGTCAGAGATGCCCGCGTCGTCACATATAGCTCCTTGGTGGATGGTGCGTAGATTCGAACCAGTTTGAAAACTGAAACCTAGGTCAGCAAATGCGGCTATTATCACTGGTGGGCCAATCCTCACGGACTACGAAAGATTAGTCGGCGAACTGGAGTAGACAACAAAGAACTCACAGTAGCTGAGTGCGGCTAACATTAAAACCAGCGAAATACTCATGAGCCACTTGATCTCTCGCTGCACAGCAAAGGCGGCCAAAGCAAGCAACACAAGAACAACAGGAATCGCGGCAATGGTCACACCAAATTCCGCGGTATCCCTGGCCAGCACGACGATGAGAAGCTGGAAATACGTTGGAATGAAGGCGCGCAAATGGTCAAGACGACTTGCCTGCATCGTCACAGCCACGAAGAAGAAGAAATCAAACTCTAAAGAGAGGTCAGATTGTGGAAGAAAACGGAGCTGAGCCTGACTGAGTAGGCATAGCATAATCTAATCGATTGTTCAGCGCACTATTTGGTTGTCTATCAGAAAGCTTACCTGATACCACTGGTACATTTTTTTCATTTTGGGATTGGCTCCAACGACATGGAATATCGCCCAGCTGCGCAATTTAATCAGTTGGGTTCTTGGCTGAAAAAAAGTAGAGCTTACCCGAACTCTGAATACAACTCCTTGATCCAGAACATCATAAGCAGCCAAGCCGCCGAAATAACGCAAGGAACGACGATGAGGAATGGTTGGACAGACCGCCAGAGAGAGCCTGGACCACCGCAAAACTACCCTGGCCTCAATTCAAACTTCCATAACAGTTGTCTACTCACGGTTGCATTGAAACTCTGTGCGCAGTCTTCGTCCGAAAATTTCACCAAAGCTGTCCTTGTTTCATGGACTTGAATAGCGGCGAAGACGATAAGCGCCATATGGAACACTGGTGCATCGGTTAGCATAGCCAACAGAAAGCCCACGGGTCGACGCACACAGAATGCCCATAAGTTGTATCACGTTTCTCAGCCGTAGGGCATCATAAGCCATAAACAGCTCAAATATCCTTCGAGCGACCATAAGAGAGTGCGAGATCTGGAGGAAAGGGGGGGACTAACTCGGCAAGGGCGAACAATGCCAAATAACATGGCAGCGTCTACAAAGAGGAGGTCAATCCCAGAATTCAGAACAAGACAAGAGGAAACGCACCTTGTAAGCTGATTGGTTGAAATCGACCTTGACCTCGACCTGAATAGCTTGTCAACCGAATGCAGACCGCTCGTGTGAATGAGGCGTGCCTTCCTGAACGTGATGCCGACCATCGTAAGAACAGCAATGGCCTCTGTTGAGCGAGTCAAAACAATCAGGCCTCCTTGAATGCGAGGATGAGTGCATACGAAGGGTAACTGCACGTCGAGTGAGGCGATTAGACAGAATTTTAGTGAAAAAAAAAAGTTTACTAGTTAGGATGAACGCCTGTTGAGGGCGGGTTGCGAGCAGCTTTTCGACTGCCATGGTTGCGTCGAAAAAGCGTTGACGCTGGGATGGAAGGAAGAGACAACTTGAGCTTTTGTTGATGGCGGGCTGTCAACGATCGGCTGTGCCGCATCACAATAATGATTCAAGTACTCTGCAGGCAACATCTACTTCTTCTTTCCAGAGTATCTCGACTCTTTTGTCCTGACCTTGAGCCCGAACCTGGCCTCTGTCGATGATTGTACTACAAATCATCTTGACCGTTTCTTTCCATCGAGCCTCGTTTGCGTCTGACACAGTCTCCTGCAGTCCCGCAAGTACATCATACCAACGGCGCCTTTCGTCATCCGATACCACATGTAGCAAGGATAATGCCACCACGAGGCGGTAAGACACTGTTGGCGAGGCATCCAACTTCCAATCTCTGTTGGCCGGTCAACAGTTTGCTAATCAGACCAAAATAACAATCTCACGCCCAGTAGCCAGACTCAACCAGAATTTGCTGTTTTTCTGGGCTGGTGACAAGTGGTTCCACGATATCATCAACATCAACCTCCGCTCGAGGGTCCCCAGGACTGCATTCAACGACAAACCCGTATTCAACGAAAAGCTTTGCATTGGAATGGGCGCCGTATGTCAAAAACAACTCCTCGCCTGCTTTTATATGCACTGGAGGAGAGATGACCGTTAGAGCCTCTCCCATGCGGTTGATTGGCGCTGTATTCGCTCTTTCAGCGTCAGAGACTCGCAAAGTCATCGAGGGCCCGTTTATTTGGTGGTTTGCAAAGTCAAGTATCGGGCACCTACTAGGGTTGAGTTTGGAGGTCTAATTTTTCGAAATAAAGGGGAACATGCATCGTCTGGTTATCAGGATCACCGCGGTTGCTTTTTAATCTGTGGTATATGCACCTGGTGTTGACGTTGAGCCATCCCCACGAGAAATTGCGGTCTACGAGATCAATGTCGGCTTTTTGTTGTAGCACGTCTCGGTGATCTTGCTAGTCTTGTTGAGCGATGCACTCCAAACTTGAGCTCAAGAAACTGACAACATAGACGCGCACTGAAGCTAAATCACTGTCATATCGAGTGCGTAGCCTTCTGAGTTGCTTGACTACAGAAGGGGGTGGCTCGCTCGTCAGCTCCCAAGGTTCATCGAACTTGGTTGGCAACGAATCAATGTATGGTCCAAAAAGAGGGTCGATGGATGGGTTGCCAGACGGTCGGTACAGAGACAAGTGGAGTGCCATAAGCTGTAAAGCCGATAACCGCGAGGCCCGTGGATAATGAGGCGCAAGGGTTCGCCAATTCAGAAGAAAGCGGGCAGGGATCGTAAAAAGGACAGAATTTGGCGCGATGTCGGCTTTGGCACATATAAATCTTCCTGCATCCACAGACTCGCGAACGACAACAGTAGGTTCCAGCTGAAGCCAGCTCAAAAGCGTCTGCCAGTATGTTGCTTCCGCCATGCAAGGTTCTGGCCAACTTCCGAAATGAGCACGGTCATCATGAACTGATCGATCAGATTTGATCCGTTTATCTTTCCGTTATCCGCAATCTCCAACGATGGTTTTCAATGCCTCTCGTCTCTTGGGGAAGACTGTACTTGTCACAGGCAGCAGCGCCGGCATAGGAAAAGCCACCGCTATTCTATTTGCCAAGGTGTGAAGCAATCGCGCTAGCGAATCTTTAGTCAAAGGACATTAATGTCCATAGGCTGGATCCAATGTCATTCTTCTTGCACGTCGCGCAGAAGCACTAGCAGAAGTCAAGCAAGCATGCATTGAGGCACATAAGGCGTCAAATCTGCAAGAAGGTGGCCAGTTTGCAGCCATTCCCTTCGACGTTTCCGACCGTGTCGCAATTGGCAACCTGTTTTCTCTCATCCCCACTTCCTTGCGCAACATCGACATATTAGGTTCACCAAGCTCTAGCTTCATATCCATATCTCACTTGGCGTAGTCAATAATGCTGGATTCGTTGTGGGCCGCGACAGTGTCGGTGATTTGGACGAAAAAGTCGTGGAATCTATGTTTGCAACCAACGTTCTGGGACTCATATCCTTGACCAACCTCTTCGTGAAGGGTAATAATTTTTCATACCCATATTCAAGTGTGCTTAGATAACGTAGACTTCAAAACTCGGGGCACAGGACACATTATCAACCTGGGCTCAGTAGCTGGGCGTGAACCATACGCTGGGGGAAGCATTTATACCGCAACTAAGCACGCAGTCAACGCATTCACCGCGTCTATGATGCGTGAGCTCATCAACACGGTATGTCGGAGAAGTAGCTTCTCCTCGCAACAAGCTCAATACCCAAACAGCCCATTCGAGTGACGGAAATACAGCCAGGAATGGTGGAGACGGAATTCAGCCTGGTCCGATTCAAAGGTGATGCGGACGCTGCCAAAGCAGTCTATGCTGGCATGGAACCTCGTGAGAACAGACACCTGCGTTCCGCGATTCAAATTTCTTAAAATATTTGTCAGTCACCGGCGAAGACATTGCAGAAGAAATTGTCTGGGCTGCATCCCGTCCACCCCATGTCAACATCGCGGAGACCCTCATCTTCCCGGTCAACCAAGCCTCGGCCACCACATTTTACCGTGCACCAGCGTGAACGCATGTCAACCCCATGTTACTACCTCTAGCTCTTCTTCTTTGACTTGGAACGTGTCTTGACGGGGACGACTGGTGGCGGCTCGGGTTCGTCGTTGTCGTAGACAAATTTCTTAATCACGATATTCTCCTCGACGAGCTCTTGCAATGGAGATTCTGCCTTTGGATGGTTGCCCATTGAATCTAACCTCAGTGCCTGCGAAGATGTCAAACAGAGGAGCAAGTGAATTCCGCGATTGGGTACCTTGGCGGTTGGTGCAAGACAGCCCTTCAGGGTTACCTCCTCCTTTGGTCTTTTCCGAGGCTGCGGTTCCAGTTCATCAAGGAAAACAGATGTGGACAGACCACGATCCCATTTGACCCTCTTCTTCTTCTCTTCCATAACTTCATCCTCGCTCGAGCCACCAGACCAAAGCCGCTTCCCAGTCGGTCTTGGAGTTTCATAGTCTTCTTCATCTCCAGGTCCCCGTTGATGTCTAAGCGGTGAGCTATCCAAGTCGCTGTCTACATCCATCTTGTCGTCACTTCCAGTCATATCATCACCTTGCCCAGCTCTACGTGCTGCCCTTTGTTCCCGTTTTGCGTTGCGTTCATCCGCTTCTCGCTGAGCGACGGTCTTTACTTTCATCCCAGGGCTCTCCGGTCGATCGCCATCTTTCTTGATCACCTGCGTCTCCAGTTTCGCTGCCAAATAACGCTGGTTCTTCGTGGTGTTTGAGGAAGTTAGAGTTTTTAATGCAACAGCGCTCATTCCAGCAAAAGGGCCTGAGAGTAACGATGGAAAGATTGGTGCTGCTTTTCTTCGCGTAGGCACCGGCTGTGGGGGATCGGTGGTTGGGAAAAGCGATCTTCTTACACGTGTTGTTCGACGTAGAGTCTCTTCTGGCGGCGGAATGTCTATTGGGGGTGTCGGGGAAGGTGATGGCGATGGCGGCGGCGGAATTGCGACTTCAGGTATAGAAATATTGTGAACCAACTGTGGGATTTCTCGTGATAACTGAGGGGTGAGCTCTGTGACGAGTTCTGGTGAGTTATCCCGACATGATGATGCTATAGATGAGGCATGCAGGTCAACTGCCTGGAATTTGAGTGTGGGAGTCGCCGGTTTGATCAGACCGTCACTGCTGCTCTCCGCTTTTGACTGGGCCTCTATGCCAACTGGTCGATGAAGCTCAACCACGCGTGGTTTTGTGACTGGCACTCGTTTTACCGGACTGGGGATCGACGTAGAAGCAGAGGCTGCTTGTGCATTCGGAACAACATTCTGAGGCGGAATTTGACGGGAAGTGGTGGGTCGAGTTTTATTCTGTGGCGAGGGAGGTCGTTTGCGCTTCAAATTACTTGGACCCGCTTCAGCCGACTGCGAGCTCGTCGTATTCACAACTCTGATCACTTTGCCAACTTTTGACTTTGCAAAGCTCAATGACAAGAAAGAGGGGAGCCAACGGATTACTTACTGTGGCTTGTTCCGGCCCAAGCTTTGTGGCCGCTGATACATTGATATTTGGGCGAGCATATGGTTTCTGACCAATTCTCGGAATGCGACTTGTAGGTTGTTTGAGAGTTGACCTTGGGATCTTTATCGTGGTTGGCGGTGGTTCTGTAGACGGTCCAGAGTTGGCGTTAGAAGAAGATTCAGAGACCGTAGATCTTATAGGAAATGGCAGTTTGTCCTTTGTTGGTGAGGAATTTGTTCGTGAAGTGGAAGCGCCACGCGGTGCTCCACTTGTACTACCGTTCCAAGGTGGGCGTGCCTCGACTGATGGCGCGCGTTCTGGTGATTTGCTGCGCGTTGGGCTGCCAAATCTCATCCCCTGCCATTTTCCCTGGCTTGGTGTCGGTGGTATCAACTGGATACGCCGTGGTGGAGAATCTTGAGGCGGAATATGAAAAACCGGGACTTTCGACGAAGAGCCGACATTTGTGACGCCTGAAAGAAGTTGGGCTCCTCTCTGTGGGGAAATCTGTCCGCTTGCAACAGCTTCTTCCACAGGTATTCGACGAGCGGGAGATTGGAGAACGTTTTCTGTTGACTGCGTCTGAAACTGTAGCCGCAATGGTGAGTTAGGTCGAGAATTTCGTGGAGGGCTGGCGCGCATCGGAGATGACGGCTGAGGAGTTGATTCTGCCGCAAAAACCGAGAAAGAGAATGGTCTCTGTGTTTCGTCTGGTTCGGCGAAGGGAGTGGGTCCAGATAATTGAGAGAGAACATTGGCCGAGCCAGGAGAGAGCGATCCGAGTTGGCGATGTCCAAACACCGTCGATGGTTTCTTGGGCGTCTTGTTTCTCTTTGGCAGGTCATCCTCCGGTAGCATAGCATTAGCTAGAGCTGCGTTTTCTACATCCTTCTCTTTTCCTTTCCGTCGTGTCCGTGGAGAAGTTTTGGTCGGTGTCGATTCGTCGTCGCTGAGTGGTAATGGAACGAGATGGGCATGGGGAGTACTCCGTCTCGGTCGGGTTGACCGCCTTAGGGGAGTCACTGGGGCCCCGCTGTCAGCATCCGAGTCACTGGGGGGGATTAAAGAGTCTGCCACAATCTGGAGTTCTTCTGTTTCTGGCGTGCTACTTTCGGTCGTTCTTTGTTGCTGGCCTGACGGGCTCCATGCGCCAAGCAACTCGTCTATGGATGGCGCATTCGACAGAGAGGGTTGGGGAGTTGGTAGCACCTCTGTCAATGAAGAGTCGAAAGAGATTAGATTAGCGGTGGGGACATCTAGTATGGGTGGAAACGGAGATGCTGGTGCGGCAACTGTGGCGGGATTGTGGATAGCTAGTGGGAATGGGATTGGATCTTGGTTCTGAGGAGTGGGTGGCCTCGAGTCTGCTTCCTGGGGAGGAGGCGAAGGGTTGTCGTGGGCACGAGCAACTCTCGATGCCAACACAGAGGAAGGCTCTTCAACGATGGGCAAGTTAGTGGTCGTCTGAGTGTCAACATCTCAACACACCGTCTTGCCATCCATCATTATCTGGTGTCGCTGACCTTGAGCGTGAAGGCCCTTCATCCACTTCCATAGGAGCGCTGTTATCGTTGACTTGTGGTACTAGTAATGGACTGGAATGACGCGGAGAACGACGAAGCGGCGAAGGAGTCGCAATAGGGACAGCCAGGAACCGTTTTTCTGGACTGGTAAAAGGACCAATAAAGACCCCTGCAGTATATCCCGTGTCTCCCTCATCCATGGTTGTGTACGCCATGCAGACGCGCCAGTTCAACTTGGCAATCAGCGCGTTGAAGAAACGCAGCACGTGGTTGATTGATCGAAATACACAGATTACTAATCACGACACTCTCCATTCGACTGCTTCAACGTGTGCTTGAGCTGCAACCACGTTCAGTCACCGCTACTATCCCTTGAAGCTCTTACCTCTGTGTTCTCTTTGGTCAAAACTTGCAAAGAATAGGCTTGCTCGTCAATCTTCATCTTCATCTGGGCCAAAATGTGTCCAACGCTTTCGTCCGTGGGGGATGTCCCTTCATTGATTCGACGACGCTTGCTGCCTGAAGAGGAATCGCCTTTCCCCAAGTCATCATCCGCCTCAATCCGACCTCTCTTTCCTGGACTTTGTGCATCATCGGAGGCCTCCTTCAAAACGCCGATCGCATCTTGCAACTTCACATCAATCACTCCAGCAATCTGAAGAAAAAAAGTATAGCAAACACATTGGCAATCGAGCAACTCATACCTCGTTGCAAAATACATCAAAAACTTCGTCCCACAGTCCACCGAGCGCCTAAGTTTGTTGAAACGCTATAACCCTTTTGACTCGTATTCTCACCTTGAAGTTCTGGTCAACACGATGCTTGCATTGCTCATGCCGGATCATGATATCGGCGAGAGCGGGAGCCACTAGAATGATTTCGCGTCAATAATGTCGCACTCAATCACTGTCTCTTGAAGCCAACCTGAAGATGCGGCGGACTGCGACACTTTGGCCAATGTGGATGATATCTCGGTATAGGTCTGTAGCTTTTTCCCTTGATGCTCCTGGGCTGCTGTTGCTGTGACAAGTTCGTTCGATATACTTTCGTTCCTGAGTGACTTGTGCGAATGAAGAAATTGTTTCTTACTTTGCAAGACTCCGAAACAAGCCAACAATTCGTTCTGCGCGTTTCTCCTCGTCGCTATGTTGTTTCTCCTCTGTTTTTCTGAGCGGGGAGCCCCATTTCTCGGCGCAACGGGACGAAAAATCGTCCTTAGACGATGGCTCTACGTTGGGAGTTGTGCGGGGTTCAACCTGCACGACTTATTATGAGCCAGCATGGATGTAGCGAGCAGGACAATACCCTTGCATCTCCTTTCCTCTCACTGTCTGGGACAGCTCGACTCCTTGGAGAAGGACGCATTGGAGTCGTACTTCGATTTCTATGATTTCGATTCTTCTCGCGCTCGCGAATGCGTTCACTTCTGTCCCAATCTTTCTGCGAGCGACCACGGTCATCATTACCCTTTCTGCGTTGGAACAAGTCGGATTGTGGAGCAAGCGGCGGGCCACGACCACTGTCCTTCTTCAATCTCGTGTCGATGAATGGCGTTTTCCCTGGCCAGTTGGGGTCTGAAGGATGGACGAAACGACACTCGGCTCCGTTATTGCAAATCGGACCTCCAGGCACTGGAAAGCCATCTGGCCCGTAATACTGTCAATTGAGCATCAGCGCGCGTCCAGGACGGATGACTTGCTCTTACACGGCATCTGTACTTTTTGGTCACTGGAAGGGACATGGCGATATTGAAAAAACGAATGTGGTTGGAGACGGAGCGTCGAAAAGAGGGAAAGAGAGGAAGTAAAGAAGCAGAGTTACGCGTGACGCCTGTCTTGCGCGCTATGTAATCGAGACGGGTAATATCTACGCGTCTTTGGGTGTCAACAGTATAGTCCAATCATTCAATATTCAAGACGAGCTCTAAGCACTTGGAGGTGGACTACTTTAAGATTTCCTCGCCTAGATCAAACTTTGATGTATACCAGAGATTCACGTGTCATTTTTACCTCTTTACTCTTCGCTTGCAGCTTCCTCGAGCTACACGCTCAATGAGCGTCTTCTTTCTCTGGGGCGTCGTTCTTCTTATAATGGGTGCAACTTTGGCTCGCATGACCCGCAGAAAGCCAACTCTCTTACATTTCGCCGATACTCCGGCAACTCTCGGTGTACGCAATTCGGATGGGTCGAAATCCACGGGTTCCCTAAGAGAGCTTGTGGAGCGCCATTGTCCAACCTTGTTCTCGGGATTCAAGCCGGTCTGGTGGCTCTGGAATGGCCATCTGCAGACTATCTATTGTGTTCTGGGTGATTTCTCCAAGACGGACGTGTTGCATTATAGCCGGAAGTTATTGCAGGTTGTGGAGGGAGGTACAATGTGCGTTATAACCAGAATCCAGCTTATCTTGCTCAATTTTACAGAGGAGTGGATTTTGCTCCTGCGGGGAGGCGTCTGCAATACCCGACGATGCGCCTATAATTGTCGTACTTCACGGCTTGACCGGAGGTAACTTAGCCTACGTTACGCGACTTAGAATTCATTTAGACTTCGGATAGGCTCCTACGAAAGCTATGTGCGCTCTATCCTTGTACCTGCCATCGAACACGGTGGCTATCGTGCCGCTGTTGTCAATTTCCGAGGATGCAGGTTTTTTCTTCCTTGCACTTTTCTGTCTGTCTGATGTGTGGTGCCTAGGCGCTGGGGTGCCAATTACGAGCGGCCAGATGTACAGCGCTGGTTATACGGGTGACATTCGTCAGGCATTAATCTACATCTCAAAACTCTACCCCCGAGCGCAGTTGTTTGGTCTCGGCTTCTCACTTGGGGCAAATGTGTTGACTCGATATCTGGCGGAGGAGCAGGAAAAAAGTCGATTGCAGGCTGCATGTGTTCTAGCATGCCCTTGGGACTTGGCCAGAAATAATCATGTGTTGGTGGAATCCGACTAGTCGATTGAAACCAGCTGACGCCAGAGACAGGCTTAGATATAGTTTCCTGGGCCGCTTCTACTCTCGCGCGATGGGGACAAACCTGATAAATCTGGTCAAAAGGAATTTTGACAGCCTCACTAAGCATTCCAATCTCATTGAACCCGTCACAAATGTCATAAACCTCAAGAACGCACTGTTGGATGATTTTGATGAGAATTTTACAAGAGTAGCTGGTGGAAGTCCACCAGAGTTCCCTTTCCCTAGTGCACAAGCCTGTGAGTCTGATTGCTCATCGCTCCTCCAACTCAGTATTTCCAGACTACAATTGGGCTTCGAGCCATGAAATCGTGCATAAAATCCGCGTCCCCTTCCTAGCGATCAATGCGGCGGACGATCCTGTTGTGCAACATGTTCCATTTGATGGCGGCGGCAACGGCTTAGCTGTGATGGCACTGACGGCTTCTGGGGGACATTTAGGCTGGTTTCACGGCAAGACTGAGCGATGGATAACTCGGCCGGTTTTAGAATGGATGGATCTCGTCAGCAAAGTCCTCGTGCAGTCTCCTCAAGAGCGCGCCATGATCTATACGCATGATGACGGGTTTCTGAAGGAGGAGGGAAGAGATGGCGGTGTCAAGTTGGTGGGCGAAACCTTGATAGAGGCCAGTGCTTGGGATGGCGTGGAGGTGAAGGGGAGCTTACAGGGCCTCTGACACAGCTTGGTTGGTCTGGTTGATACTTAGAGGTATAGATACATAGAACTCAATCGCTGTCGCTAAACGTGATGCCCTCTTCCTCCTCTGGCTCATCGTCCCGGTTTGAGCGATCGTATTGGCTCACGTCTACAGAGACGGTGCCTTCCTCCATCAGACTATCTTCCTCCAGATTACGATTGCCCTCGAATAGTTGTCGGCCTATAGTAAACAGCAGTTAGGCAGAGCTGCACATAACTCAGTTAAAGAAGGTACCAGAGAGACGTGTTGCAGCACGCCTGCTTTCCTCGCGTTCTTTGGCTGTCAGTCCCCGCAATTTCTCCTCATCATTAGCGCGCTTGGCTGCCGCTTGCTCTTGGTCAAACTTGATTTTCCAGGCCTTGAAAGATTCATGAGTAACAGCAGTCCCACGAGTTCTAGCCTCCTCTGCCTGTAGCAAGATGAGATCGGGTAGTCTCGCTTAGATCATTGACATCTGGCCTACCTCAATCGCCAGTCGTTCCTTTTCCATTTCTTCCTTGCGTATCCTCTCCGCCCGCTCCTTTACGAATGCAGCTAGGCGCTCTCGTAGATGGGACACTAATGTGAATGTCATGGCTATTCCGAGATTTTCTTCGCCCTGGGTTGTAACATGAAGAAAGTCGCGTTTGCGCCATTGGAGTAACACACCACCGAGTAGAGATCCTTGAGTAGCATTGCAATTTCTTCGTCATCGATCTCACCACCGTCGTCGAGAGGGTGGAGTGATAATTGGGGAAGTACATCTGGATAGTCGGGTCCGTACGCGACTTGTAGCTTGAGTTTGACTATCTTGAGTGAGGGCTCAGATGCTGAGGCGTGAATGGCGCGTACTGAGCTCTACGCTCTCCATGTCTTCTTCTGGTTCGACATCAATTTCGATGACCGATTCCGAGATTTCTTGGACGTAGGTTTGATCATAATTACCGAGCGCGCAAAAAGCACCAACTAGTGAGTTCTGACGGGTATATGGCTTCCAAGACCTAGCATCACGCGTGCTGAGTAATGCTACGAGCGATGCACGATATGTTACCTCGAATTCCTCGATGAGCGCATCTGCGGACATTTTGTGACATATGTGACAATCAAACTATGTTTTCACCAGCACCACTCTTTCGCGCCGTCTGCCGCCGAGCGTTTGGGACGCGAAGTTTCCTACATCAAGAACAAACGACGACACAGCAGCCAGCTTACCGCAACATCAAGGTTCAGCCAACGTTACCGAAGAATGGTCTTACTTGGAACGAAAACTCATTACCAGAGGGGGCTCTCCCGCCTCTTGAGGTGGAAGCAAGATGGAGGGAAATGTCTCAACAAGCCCTGAGTGACTACAGACACCACAAAATTGCCGACGCATACAGTGGTGCGTCTGCATGCTTTCATTTGCATTCGGATCATTCACTGAGTTGGCCCAGGTCGGAGGGTGATGGTGAAAAATGGCAATTTCAATGAGGCGGTGAGGGAGCTGGACCAAATCCTCATACGAAACCGAGTTCGTGCCACGCTCTACGCCAACATGAGACATGAGAAGAAGGGAGTGAAGCGACGACGAATACACAGCGAGCAATGGCGTAAACATTTTGCGGCAGAGGTATGACCCTGTCTCCTAGCCATGTTTTCCTTCCCCTCATCTTCGTTAGGTTCGGAAGAATGTCCAAGTGGTTCGTGAAATACGGCGGAGAGGTGCCTAGTAGAGCCTGTAGACCTTTGACGGACGACATTTAATTTCGGCCACTTTACTTTGGTGCAATCCAGCTGCTTCTCGCTCAAACGTCGACCGAACTGTCTTGAAACTGGTCTGGGGTTACTCCGCTGCCTCGTGCAAACCACGATGAGAATAATGCTCCCGGACTCTTAATCTTATTAAAGCTACGCGAAGGCCAGCCATCTACCTCTGACGAAGGACATCACTGCGCCAGTTTACCGTGACGTCCAGTGCACCAATCGACGTCGAGCGATTGTGACCCCAGGCTTTTGAGCGGCATGCTCCGCTCCGTGAGTCAGAACGAGGAGGCCGGCATGCAATCCCAAATACCGATAAATTGCCAGAGTCCTGACATCCAGCTTTCCCAGCCTACCTCATTCCTGAAAATCAATGTGTCGCAATGTGGGTCCTCCCGGTTGCAATTCCCGCACCTGCTAATACAGTCACCTAGATCGTCGAAGGCAGAAGCCATACTTGTGGTCATTTCGTTGGACTGGCTACCCATCGAGAAGATTGTGAGAGTGCATCTCTACGTCAGAAATATTCAACGTGTTGACAAAATGGGGACAGGTAGACGACCAGACTGTCTTTTTAGCGGTCATCATAAGCACACAGGTAAAGGCGCTTCCTTTTACCCAATGGACTCCCTCCCTCAAAAAAGTCATAGTGGGACCATGTAAATCTGCAAGCTGTATCCGCCTAATGGGTACATTTCCTCCGCTCGTTGTCGACCACCTCTCACTCGATGATCAGCGCAACCTGTCCTATTACCAATCCGTGAATCACCAATACGGTGCCCTCTATGCGTGGCGAGAACAGGTTCTCGATAGCTTTGTAAACTTATCTCTGACATATACCAAAAAAATTGGAATTGCACTATAATTGGCCGCATCAAACTCGGGCTGCTGATCCGCTGTCACTATGTGACGAACGCGACTCTTCCCGCATTCCTCCGTCTGTTTCTTCTTGTTCGTTCTTACTTTCCCTCTATCTTGTCGAATTGGTGTAATCACGGGAGGAGATGGCTCCCAACTCCGCGGCACCATGGTCCTACGCGGCCATCATGGCGTTTTGGAATGTAGTGACCGCTATTTTCTTTCGGTATGAATGAATGGCCCCCATCTCTGTTTAGTAGATGTTAACGAGATCGTTCACCAGTGAAATAAGACCCCGCGGTGCTTTCAACATTCCTTCGACTGGTACCCTCCAAATGCTCCATAACTATCTCTGTTCTCAAACTCCACCTAGGTCCCGTCATTGTTGTTGTCGCGCCGCACTCGAATCAATTCGTTGACCCATTATTGGTATCTCAACTCTCGTCCAAGCTCCTGCGGTTGACTCGTAATAGGTCTCGCTGAATGTTTGGCGCGAGACCAGACGGCCTGTCCAGTTTGTTCCATTTTTGTCCTCATTCCTGCCTGTTTTACATTTCCTAGATTTCTGGCCGCTGCCAAGAGCATGGAACGCAAAGCTATCGGGTTCTTCAGCCGTGTTATGCTTTCTATTCCTGTCGCTCGTGCTCTGGATTCAGCCAAAAAGGGCACGGGACTCCTTCGACTGGCGGAAGACGATCCGTGTCTCGTTCTCGGTTCTGGAACCAAGTTTCTCACCGAAGTTGGGCCCAAAATGCAGCTCCTACTCTCAAAATCAATGAATTCCTTGGTTGCCGAGGTAATCGAGGTCATTAGCGACACTGAGCTGAGAATCAAGAAAGAGTTTGGCGGACCAAAGGGCACGGCAAAGATCAGAGAGCGTGTTACGGAACTTCAGGCTGGGCTGGACTTCAAGATTGTCCCATTCATCGACCAGGCAGACATGTACCGGACGGTTTACCAGTGTCTTTCCTCTGGAGGAAGCATGGGCATTTTCCCGGAAGGTGGTAGCCACGACCGCACGGATCTCCTCCCATTCAAAGCTGGCGTATCTCTCATGGCTCTTGGCGCAATGGCCAATGACCCTAACCTTCGTGTCAAGATTGTCCCATGTGGATTGTCCTATTTCCATGCTCATCGGTTTCGTTCTCGTGCTGTTGTGGAATTTGGAAGAGCAATTGAGGTGATAGAATGGCTATATACTCCAACTACTACTTATCATCCGCATAGGTGCCTTCAGAATACGTTGAAATGTTCAAAAAGGGTGGCGCTGATAAGCGTGAGGCCGTGTCGAAATTCCTTGACCTTATTTTTGATGGACTGAAAACTGTAACGGTGCGGGCGCCTGACTACGACACCCTCATGGTGAGCTACTTGTACACCCCTGGGTGCTTGGCTGAGGTGTGCTTAGTTAATCCAAGCCGCCCGTCGACTGTACAAAACCCCCGGCCAACATCTGACGCTGGGTCAAAATGTAGAGCTTAACAGACGCCTACTCGAAGGCTATGAACACTTCAAGGATGATCCACAAGTGCAGCAGGTTAGGGACAGAGTATTGAAGTATAACCGGCTTGTTCGTGATCTGGGTCTGCGCGACCACCAAGTAGGTCCAATGCATCTCTCGCGCAATTGACTAAACCCGTTCAGGTACCGAGAGCTACAAAAGCCTCGTGGAAAACATTGAGTCTTCTTGCTTATCGAGTCGGTCTTTTGGCTGTCTGGACGATCTTTGCGCTCCCGGGCACTATTCTGAATTCCCCTGTCTTCATTCTGGCGTCGTTGATATCCCGCAGAAAGGCAAAAGGTAACAATTTATGTCTGATTCTGTTCTGCTGTGTGCTGACAACTTGGTTGTAGAAGCACTTGCAGCATCTGTTGTAAAAGTCGCAGGACGCGATGTACTTGCTACTTGGAAGATCTTGGTCACGCTTGCGATGGTTCCCATCCAATGTTTTTCTTACGCTTGGATCGCTACCTTCCTTCTACCGAGCGGTGCCCCACTCAAATGGAGACTTCTCACCCCATTGGTGGCGCTATTTGGCGTGCCTCTGATGAGCGTCGCAGCTCTGAAATTTGGAGAAGCTGGTCGCGATGTTCTTTTCTCCCTCCGACCCCTTATGCTCGCCTTGACTCGGCAGAAAGTGCTTGAGGATCTCAAGGCCAAACGAATTGCATTAGCCAATGATGTTGCGCAGCTCATCACCGCGCTTGGCCCCAAATTGTATGAAGACTTCAATGAGGTTTGTGTGCCCTGCGAAACCCATGTTGTTCACTCAACAAGCTCTCTAGTGGCGTATCTTGGTTCCTGCCTCAACTGCTCCGCCTTCAACCAGCACCCCTGGTGGACTATGGAGAAGGAAGAGTGCAACCGGAGGTGTTGACTCTCAAGGCCTGGGCCTGATTCACCCCATGACTTGGCTCGATGAGCGGCTGTTTGGGTGGTCTCGGAGTTCAGTTCGTGGCACGAGTGCATGGGGAGGGCATTCCACAGACGCGAGCAGACTGAATTCACCTAACGAATCTGAAGATGAAGATGCTGGAGACTACGAAAATGTGCTTAGATTGTTGCCTGGCGAGCCTTCGATGAGCACTTCACGCAGTCGACAGAACTCATACGCTGATTTGCAGCGCCTTCGCCTAAACACGCAACCCTTATCATCCATTACTACCACCACCACTTCCTCCAAATCCATATCTCCCACGGAGGGATCGCCTCGGAGAGACAGAAAGGCGAGTTTGTCGGATGGAGTGCCAGTGGAGAGAATTGCTAGTGTCGATCAAGTCGAACATTTTGATCAGACAACCCAAAACCTTAACGAGGAGATCCAGATGATGAGAAAGCGGAAGAAGACAGTCGATTGACGATGTATTCTACTATTGTCAGTTTATGGGTCCAGTCAGAACCTCTACTCCAGTTTCTGTTATTCTGTTGCATGTTGAATGTAGAGCAAGCCATCCATGAGGAAACGCACAGTAGTGTCTCTTCAAATTGAGCACTCCTCTTGCCGTCGACAGTGGTCGCTGTCCAGTTGTCTGGCCAGTGAACTTCGCTCCAGTTGGAGCCCAAATTGATCATCTAGTCTGGCTTGAGATACTGTTAGGACCAAGGGAATTATGCCTACTGGTTCGATCGTAAAGACCATCCCTGCTTTCATGGTCCCGACTGCCTTATTCTGTACTCCGATGTTAACACACCATCAACAGTGGGGGCGGGGGACCATATACCTTGGCGTAATGGGGAACGTTAGGGACAGTATGAAAGAGCGTGTGGATGCCATGGCCAGTGTAGGTCTTCACGGAAGAGCAGCCGTTTGTTCGTGCGATAGGTTCACTTCAAAATCAGTCAAACGAATGAACAGGAAGAGTTACTTAAGAAGACTTGCATCACTTTACCCACATCACGAATGAGAGCCCCGGGTTTACACATGGCGATGGCCTTGTCTAAACATTCGCGGGAGGTCGCGATGAGCTTTGCTGACTCGTCGTCGATTTTACCAACAGGGTAAGTTGCGTTCACGTCGCCGTGATAACCTATGTTTCCAGATGATGAACAGCGGTGATCACAAAGAGTGAAACCATACCATCATAGAAAACACTGATATCTGTCCAGAATGTTAGGCCTAACCACGTCGCAACTCTGAAAGCTTGCCCAGATTTATGATGTCGCCCTCTTGCAGCTTCCTCTGGTCCGGTATACCGTGACAGATGACCTCGTTTACGGAGGTGCATACCGATTTTGGGAAATTACGGTAATTGAGAGGCGAGGGATATGCGTTTCGCTCAATGGTGGCGTTATGGACAATCTCATCGATTTCGTCGGTGGTGATGCCTGGTCGTACCGCGGCTGCCGCAATGTCAAGAATTTCACGCGACATCTGACAAGATTAAAAGGGTCTGAAGCGACATTAAGACAAGACGCACCCTACAGACGGTTCTCATCTTTTGGATCTCTTCCGCATTGAGTATTTGGACCGTTTGAGCAGCAGCACGTGCTTCCGACCTGGGCACGCCTATGCGGAGATGAGGACAGATGGTGGGAAGTGGGGTTCAGAATGCCCAACCGTCTTTCACATAGTCCGGAACGGGAATGTGTTCGGGGACTTTGCGTCTAGGGGAGAGCGGGTATACGGGACGCATCGAGCCGGTAAACGAAAAGCTTGGGAACGGATTGTAGCTCCCATCTAGTAGTAGTGTGGACACAACACGCGCAAGTTAACTGCAATTCCTTACCAGGATTGACACCGCTAGCGACATTGTGTATTATTTTGTGACCTTTCTAGGGTACGGAATGGGTTGCGTGCTTTGGAGACAGGAAGCGAACCTACCCCTGCCGATTATCAGTGACTAGCTAGCTACTGCGAGAAAAACGGCCGCCTACATCCCGATTTAAAGCAATCTTGACCGCAAAAAAACGAGCCTTTGATGCCAAGTCTAGTCTAGGTTGGAGAATATGGAAGTTGTAGGTTAGAGCCTACTTATTGCAAGTTGGGCACTCGAGGCGCGAGGGCGGGTTTCCGTTCGGACAGTCGGGGTTCTGGCAGAGTGTCATGCGTGACAATTTGTAACAAGACTATACGCGAAGTCGGTACGGTAGTTATGTAGTATTAGAGGGTTTTTTTTTGTAGGGCGTGGTGGTGGTAGATACAGAGTATGTGGTTGGATGCAATGGAGGGGAGTCATTAATTTATGTGCGTGAATCAAAGAATGCAAGAAGTGGAAGGAGAGCAATGCGAGAATTAGAAAGCGCGTACGATAGTCAGATGCCTCGTGGCCTGTTTGTGTTTTTTCTTTTTCTCCACCACCGTCACGACCAGTCAGCGACGATGGGGAAGGACTTCTAACTTGAAGGCAGTTGCAGTATCGTTGCAAGCTTTACGAAGAGCACTGGGACAAGATATTAGGCCACTGTTGACAACAAAGAACGGTGTGCACATACCGGAAATGAGCAACCCCGAATATCTCGACCAGTCTCTGTTCGTTCGCATTTACCCACTGGACTGGAGGCAAGCCTCGGGTTGTGCGGTATATGCCTTGCGGAAGATGCTCCTCGAAGACGACGGTGACCACGCCAGTCAACAGACATTGGATGAGGTGGAGAAGGTCGCTGATAGGAGGGCAGATTTGGCGGACGGAAGAGAAAGTGTCTGAATGGAATACGACCTCCCATTGGACTCTTCGTTGTGGGCTAAAGAACGAAGTTGCATGGACTGGGAGTTGGAGACGAAGGGCGGGACCAGCGGGTAGACCAGCTGTGGACCGCCATATTGAGGATGTTTCGAGGCAAAAGAGCATCCTGGAGTCGTTATTCTGGGCATTCGTCCAACGGTGGTTGTGAACAAGGTCAGCTCTGATGGCCTGAAACCAACGATGAGCTCTCGCATAGGTTACGCCGAGAGCGTCAGCCGTAGTGAGCGGTATATGTGTCCTTTGAGCCCACTCATCCATATTCCGAACATCGCTAGAGAATACGACCTCCTTTTGCGCCGGTTTGCCTTGCATGGGTGAATGGGGGGATGGCCAAGCTAAGCTTTTCGGGCGCTCCTTTTTAAAGTCGCGTAGGTCATAAAACGAGGCCCGCCGTCAAAATTTGTTAACATTGCCGTAAAGAAGCATTTCTACTTCCCGCTTTACTTCTCGTGCATCCCAAAAAATGCCACTCCTTGTCAGTCTACCGTAGGCGCTACTTCTCTACCCATTTGCTCTTCTTCGCTCGCGCCATAGCTCGCTCAAAGATTGACTTTTAGTCTCCTTTCACCGACTTGGACGCGCCTCGGCTGACCATTTTAAGACAACCCCAGGGAGAAATGCACGCGTCCCTGACGTCGTCCTTGTATTTTCTTTGAAACACTCAATTTTTCTTTTGAATTTGTGCGTGGTCGCGCCGTTGCCGTTGGCAGGTTACGCCGCCGTAAGCCGTGACCGTGACAACGGGTCAATCACCCGCTGATCGCGCAATTTTTTCTTTTCAAATTTGCACCAAAGTGACCAAGATTGTGCCGCAAAGATCGTGCGAATAATTCCTGCTTCGACCGAGTCAATCATCATGGCCGATATTTGCGAGTCCTACCAACGCAAACTCAGCGATGCCCAAGCGCGCAACACCTCTTTGGCCAGCGCCAAATGAACTAATGGCATCCAGATCTCCCCACCGCTGGCCGCGATCCTCGCCCTCACCGAACTTTGTGCGAAAAGCTCTGGTACGAACTCGGCTTCCTCCTCTTTTTGCTCAATAACACATCGAAGCCGGAACTATGGCCCAGCTGTCCCAGCAATTAGATGAGGTTGGCGCTATCGACCCGATCGATTCTTTAATCACTCATTGGCATTCAAGGGCGCCGAATTACTCAAGAAAAGCGTCTCGAATCCAATCAGTCTTACTGCCGGCTGCGAGCTGTTCATCGCATTCATTACCTACTTCCCCCACGATGCAGCTGTATGAACTTGTGCTCTAGAATCACGTTCAACCCTCACGCTTGCCAGAGCTTCTCTGATTTGAAGATGGAGCTAGTAAAACAAGGACAGACATACGTGCAGCAGGTACGCGGCAACTTTCTTCCGGATGCTCTCCGCTCACCTCGTCTTCTCAGGCATTAACCTATCGCCAACGCATAGCCAATCTTGCCGTCGACTTCATCAAAGATGACGCGGTGGTAAATTGAACGCCAATCATCTCCAGCCAGCTTAAACACACTTTGCTTTCTTTTCAGATCCTCACCCACTCCTACTCACGAGTTGTGATGGAAACTATTCTGCTTGCACATCGGAGAAACAAACGCGTGTCAGGTCAGTTTTTCCTTGATGTATTGCTCAATTCGCTGTCATTGACCGATCTCTCTTAGTGTATGTTACTGAGGCACGGCCTCGTGGCCTAGGAATTAAGACAGCGGAGGCCTTGACAGCGGCCGGAATAAGCTGTGCGGTGGTGTTGGATTCGGCGGTTTCCTACGTGATCGACAAGGTGGACTTTGTGCTGGTTGGGTCCGAGGCAGTGGTTGAAAGTGGTGGACTCATCAACGCGATTGGGTCGTTGAACATTGCTATTATTGCCAAGGCTGCCAACAAGCCTTTCTATGCTCTAGCCGAAAGGTGTGCTTGGGTTTTTTTTTCATTAAACGACTGCCCATCTTCTCAACTTCGCAGTTATAAATTTCACCGCTTGTTTCCGTTGTCTTCAGACGATCTGCCCAGTCACAACCCTCGGATATTGTCTTTCACATCATCCACGGAGAATGCACCGTCGTCCGATAGCTTGACACCAGAACACATTGCTCAAAACAATCCAGATGTCGACTACACAAGGTAAAGAAGTCCTTCTTCCTCTCGACTCCCGTCCATCCAACTGTCGCTCTAGGCCGGATCTAATATCGCTTGTGTTCTCAGAACTGGGAAGTCTGACCCCGTCGGGCGAGTCCTTTGTCGTTGGTTGTTCCTTGATCAAATCTAACGGAAAGGTCAATTTTCAGGTGTAAGCCAGTACTTAGTAGGAATGTTTGCAGTATAGACTTAGTCCATTCCTCATCTATGATCGCGATGGTCTTTTTGTTATTGTTCCGATGCGGATTCAGAAAACTACTTAATCGGGCGTGTAGTGTAGACAACAGGTCATACGAAGAAAAAGCATCCGCGGAGGCAAATCCGATTGAACAAAGGTACGCGGTGACAGAACGTTAGAGTTTTAAGAATCTTACGCCAGGCGAATTGATTGCTCTCAGGCTTGGAGCCAACCACCCGGCAGATCGTGATTAAAAGTCGAGAAGCAGGAGGCTCGAGGACGCGGGGGTTTTGGGTTATCGCAGCGTTATAAAACACGAACACAGTGAGGGTTTGTTTCTCAACAACCCTCTACAATGTGCCGCTGGAGACAGTACGTTTTTATTCTGCTCTCTCTCTCTTTCCGTCTCCCTCCTGATCACACTCTCAACCAGAGTCCAATACCATTACACCGGATGCCCGCACTTTGTCGAGCTGGTACTGTTAAGCTTTTTGATCTGGTGTCTGTGGCGCTGAGTTCCACAATCAAACAGCCCGATGAAGAGGTCTCTTTCTTTCTTTTTTTACCCGCGATCGGTCACCTAGTTGACTATTTTCCCAGATTAAATGCGAGAGCACACAGTGCAAGTTCAGCCCATACCATCCAAGAGAATGTACTGGCCCGTCGTGTCGACGAAGTGCGTTTCAATTCAAGGTTTGTACAGTGGGCGCTAATATCGATTGTAATCCAGCATGCTGGCAATAGTAAGCTAACCGGTCACTCAATTCAAACGGAATGGCTAACCAAGAAACGCGCCTTTAGCCGCCAATTTCCTGAGCAATATAGTGGGTCTCATTACGCGCCATTTGAACGAGTCTGACGCGTGGATGGCAGACAGAACATTTCAGGGTGTTTGCGCTCGCTGCCAGCAGGGGAGGTAAACTGTGGTAGAATCGGATGTAGTTGGTTAGTAGTGTGTACGAATGAGGCGTTTATCGATTATGAGCAGCTGACGTGCGGCATGGGTTCTAGCCTCCAAACCCTTGGCTGTCGTTGTTGGAAAGCAGCAGCGCGAAGCGAAGCGGCCCGTCAAAGAATATGTCACCGTGACACGCCATCCCATCTTGCTCTCACACTCCGTTCCGAATCTCCATGAACCAATGGATCTTCCCTTTGACTGCCCTCCATGCAACGCCCTCAACTTGGCCCATGCACAAACAACTCTACGACCGTGCCAGAGGAATAGAATTTCTTTTCCGTCTTGGCTCGTCTCTTGTCCTGTTCGTCTATTGCCAAGTCCTCGTTTCAAGTCTCCTCATTGCAACACTTTCAGACCTACTTCTGCCATCCTTACTGCGGCAGTATGGTTTCATAGATTTTACATGCGATTTGCGATGGAGGATTACCACCGTCAGGTGTGTGTGTCATGTTATTCTCTCGAAAGTTCCTTTTTTTCCCGACACGCTTTCCGTCAGGATGTCGCTGCATCGTGCATCTTCCTTGCCACGAAAACGGAGGAGTGTGGCAGGAAACTCCGTGATGTTGCGCGTATAACGCAAGCCAAGGTCCTCGGTCGTGATATTCCGCCCGACAGCAAAGAGGTGGAGCAGTGTCAGGCGCAAATACTTCTCACTGAGGAAGCCCTGCTTGAGGCATTGTGTTTCGATTACGTGGTTGAGAGCCCACACAGCAAGCTCGTGGACCTGTTTGATGCCCATGACCAAGATATCCTCGTCCAAGAATGTGCTTGGAGTTTTGCCCACGACTCGTTCGTGTTTGGGACAGTTGGTGTTGAAACTGCTGACTTGCCCAACAGGTTTCGGACGACACTATGTCTCCACTACCCACCTCAAATCATAGCTGCTGCATGCTACGTTCTTGCTCAACGTGTTATTGATGGGCCCAATTCCATTTCCCTCGATGCTCGAATTTCATCCTCTGCTCCAAGAGCATCGCTTCCCACACCCCCAACCCACAAACCACCTTCTCCAGACGTCTCTCGGATTGCCATTGACTATTTTTCCTTTGGCGAAGTGGAACTCGTTGCTGTTGCAGGTGATCGACGTTGGGTGTGACCCCATGAAACGAATTCTCACTCGCACACACAGAGGCATTGAGTATTCTCCTCGAATTTTATAGAGCACAGCGAGTCGAAGACCACGAGCATCTGTCGTATGTTGTCGAGGTCAGTCTCCGCTCCAATTATTCGTTCTGTGCTTATGTAATAAATAAGGTCACTCCCCCTACTACTCCACCTCGAGAGGCACTATATGTTCCACTATCTCAGATCGCAGCCCCACCTGTCCCGCCTCCAAATGACACAGTTTCTGGACGAACTCCCGCTTCGTCCTATGGAGGGCGTACACCCGCCAATATCCAAGAACCCGGCCAGGTGGCGGAATAACTTAGACAAGCCAATCACCGTGATACTCCATGCTTTGGTGGAACGATTGTGGGGGTGCTGGGGAAGGTGGTCTGGAGGCAACACGTGGCGCGTAATTGGAGTCGACCCGATTTTGCATCCACTCTTGGACCATTTGTGCCAACGGCCGTCCTTCAGCGCCAGGTAAACCATTGTCAGAAAAGATGGGTGACATAGAACGCGCGCGAGCCGACGATTCGGCATCTGCAAATTGTAGTATTAGATAAGCTGTATTGTAGTAAACTGTTTAAGACCTTGGCTTTTGCCGTTCCAATTGGACTCCGAATTGGCTGGAGTCTCCAAGTCAGCGTCGTAGTTTGGAGGTATAAAGACTGGCCCCAGCGTGACTGGTTCTGGCACCTACATGGCGGGTTTTAATAACGACTCATAGAGAATAGAGAGCCAGGGCCGATTCGATGCTACCACCCGACAAGATGTCGTAGACGGTACAAGCAGTTTGGCTGGCCACATATTCCGGTTCATCACAGACCTTGGGAGCGTGTCGCCAGCCTTTTAAGCGCATCGCAGAAGCGACCCAGAAAGTCAGCCATTCGATTACTGTCGGACTGAACGAATCAAATTCGCACACTTCGCTGACGAAGGCGGCCGTCCAGGCTGTTTTTTAATTGTCAAATGGGTGGAATGCTTGGGTTATTAGACCATACCCGAAGAGAAGACACCGAAAACCCATTGATTGTAAGAGGTCAATACGAACCACGGAGTGTGGTTGGTGACACAAGTGTCCCACAACTATGATCCGTTGACGGGAAACTTGTGGACGAGAGCAAGTGCTGACCTTGGCCCATATTCGCTCTTTGCTGCTCAGTTCGCTGGGAAATGCGTGGCCCGCCCCAATATATGGCGGAAACTAGGCGCCGAGTCAATGAGGAGGCAAGGCAACAAGCAACGAGAGAACGCTACAGAACGGCATTTGGTGAACTCGAGAATATCCGCGCTGGAGAGGATCCATGGTGGCTGGAACGCCACGACAACTGATCTACGGCCAATTTCATGCTCACCGACAGCCATATCGTCTCTCATGCACGTCCACATAAAGTATTGGAAGATGCGCGAGTCAACTTCGTCTGAATCTTTCAAGTCGAAGGCCCAGCCAAGCGTTTGTGGGTAGAGCAAGTGGATGATTCGTTGTGCAGTCATGAGCGGCAGGTTGTCGATCCATGGAGAGAGTCTAAAAGATGATGGGTATGACTCGAAGGGCAGAATGAAGTTAGCGAACCGTTGGATGTTTGTTGGCCGTCGTTCGTCGCGGAGGGGAATGTTGTAGATGGGTGGACACGGGATGGTGAGCCTTTCACCGGTAGCAGCGTCGAGGTCTTCTACTCCCAAAGACTGTTCAGGCACGTGTGTGTCCACCCCTGAAATCCAGAGGTCAACAAGGTGGTAAAAGGACTGAGCAAATACGCACAACGCACAACAGCGTCTTGCATCGAAAACTCCTTGAACGGGTATATGCTTTCCAGTCTCCGCCATGGCTCTGGCCGCGCACTAAGATGGTTCAAATGGCTTTTGTGGCCGGGAGGTGGCATTTTCGGTGCAGCAATGTCGTTTGTCATGGGAGGCAGCCTAGCCTCACGAAGATAGCCTCTCAAATTGTCGGTGCCTCTGGAGGTCATGGTGGAAGGAAATAAGGGATCAAAGTTGCCCACAAGGTCCTTTTTAGCGTTTGAACCATTGTTCTTGTTTGAGAACAAGAAGTCAAGATAAGATTATCTAATGCCATCAGATTGAGAAAAAAGGAATTATATGCTACAAGCAAATAATACATGCGATGCTACAGAGTAGTACACTACTGGGATGTCCGTGGACCGTTGCTCAACGTACTTGACCGATATTGGAATAGATTGTGCAGTCTCGAAAGCTTCTCTTGGTCAGCAGAGCCCGACTGTCGGGGTGATCGAGGCTGAGGAGGTTCTGACGTTGCCGGGGATGTGGGCGAGCCAGGTCGCGTATTAGACTCGAGTTCTAGATGATTAGACTGTGAGCAATTGGTTAGCTGCTGTAGAATTAGTCACATACTCTGCAGGGTGTCGGCAACAGCCGCCTCCCTTTCCTGGTCTTCGGCTGCTCGACTTGCCAATGCCCGCGTGATATATTTCCGGAAAGCAGCGCCAGTAGAATCGAGCAACTTATCAACTCGCGGCCGTTTATGAGGATACGCCTTGAGGAAGTGATGGAGCTCTGTGATGCCTTCCTTGTGTAACGCGCCAGTCGTCTCACTCGATATGTGACCAATAATGACCAGCAATTGGGCATCAGGATCTGGTTCTTCGGCGTGAGTTGGGGGAGGTCCACTGTCCGCATGGCTGGAAACGCTTGTTGGTCGACTGGGTGAAGAGTGGTGTTGTGAAGCAGTCTCCTGGGGAGACATCGGTCGACTAGAAGCAGGTGAGGCTGATCGTGGATGGTGGTCACCGTTGTGACGAAGAGGAGGTTCGACACCAGCAGCAGCAGCAGCTCGCGCATTAGAGTTGAGGATGCGATAAACGTATGGGTACACAATAGTGGCGGAGGGGTCGTCAAAAGAGGCCGATAGTAAGTCGTAAACATCGTCACCATAGAAGGCTAAAACACTTGCTCAACAATCCCGACTGACAACAGAGAGATGAACGCACCGACAACATGTTGTATTATGACCTTGATTGTCCGCAAGGGCATATCACCACATGGGACCTTGTTAGTTGCCCGGGCTCTCCACTCATTTGGAGGAACTGATTGGAGGAATTGCTCGATAGCAGGGAATAGCTCCACAGGATCAAGTCGCTCCTCTTTCAGGTCTTGTGGAATATTGCGAGCAAGCTTCCAGACGCACTTCAACACAAGTTCAGCGACTTTGGCCTCTTTAGAATCGGGTGGTGTGCCATTGGCGGGGAATGGCTTCACAATTTGCAACAGGAGAGCAAATAAAGCCCTGTACTTGTCAGCGAGCCACACTTTGCGCAACGGAGAAGGCATACCGGAATATGGACATCCTGCGGCCTGTTGAAAACAGTCGGAGGATTATCATGTTGATGAAGCGAGACAGGTCCTTGACTTTTTTGACTGAGCTGTCATCAGTTTCGAGGAGGCGAAGGGTGAGCTCTTCCAACAATGAAGTCAATATATCCACGGTGAGGGATTCTGCAAGGAATGGATGGTCGCAGAATGTATTCAGTGTCTGAATGAGATGTTTTGCCAGTCTAAAGTTGTCGTCGGGTATAAGATCTTCAGGGCGGTCGAATACGTGGGCCATTTGGAGCGTGATAGTTTCAATGAGACCCTCGGTATGTTCCGCAAGCTCTCGATACTGTGGAGACTCAGGACCGGCTTCCGGACCGACAGATAATATTTTCTGGATTTTCTTTAGAGCGTCAACACTCCTGGCTGGATCGCTGCTAAGGATGCCCGATATGGTAATTGTGATGGCATCAGGGCCGTCAGCATGATGGGGTTCTTCTTTGCGCTCTTCTTCTGGCGGTGGAGAAACAGGATGCGGAGATGGCACACGACCATCTGGAGGTACCGCAGGTTTGGGTCGAGGTAAACCAAATCGCGATGGAAGCATGCTTTTCGGACGTGCAATGCCACTGGTAGGGGAAGTAGGTATTGGCAGCCCAGCTGATGGGCGGACAGGCGAAGCAGCTCTGGGTAAATTGGCGGGCCCCGGCGAGGCAGATCTCGGAAGTTTTATTCCAGACGGACTAGAAGGACGACCAAGTCCGCCGATACGCGAGCCAGTCGCCGGGGAGCCAGGTCGAGGAATACCTATTCTAGTCACATGAGCAGGAATAGCGGAGGCTTCCGAACTGGGTCCTGCAACACGACGAAGTCGTTCTTCAAGTTGTGTCTTGTCTTTGGGAGGCAACGGCCCGACCAAACTCCATACTTTTTCTCCCACAAGTGTATAACCCTCACTAGACGAATTAGATAATGGAGGCAGAGGGACACGAGATCATTCACCTCAGGACGGACAAAGCGGACTTGCGCACCTGCGAATCTTTGTCTGCTATCATCCCACCAATCACTGGAAACGCCTTCGCTGGTTCACAAGCACTCATTCCAGACTTCTTCAGTATCCCAGCGAGCTCATCAAGCGCGCCTTGTCGGGTCTTGGCCACCTTGGACTTGAGGCCATATTCTAGGAGTAAATGGAAAACGCGGCTGTAAGCATACACTCTAGGCAGGTCTTGGATGATTTGCTGTACCCGGACCCTGACGGGCTCACGAGCATCACCAAGCTTTCATGATCAGTGAGCGGAGACTGATTCTGTAGTATAAAGAAACCGAACCTTGTAGACTATGGTCGGTACAAAGCAGAGCGCCTCGTTGTCAGTCAACTGATAGCTAACTGCTCGCAGGAAGGACGATACAGCCTCAACGACTTCCAAACACTTGGAGACTAGGTTTGGCTGGGGTTCATGAAGCTTAATTGAAGCGTATTTGACGGCCAAGTCAAAATTTGCAAGACATATGGCTTCCGCAGCTGGATCATCCTGCGCACCGGCGAAGAGATCGGACATGGCCGTGAGTCCCGCAATGTGGTCGTTAACAGCGTTATGATCGTGGCTGAAGAGCTGAGCAATAAGCTCTTTCGAAGCATATGGTTCCATTTGGGACTGGAGCAAATCGGCGAGGTCCTTTCGAGTCGGTCCGCCTTCGTTAATCCATTTGCTGGAATCTTTACCACAACGATTTTTCTTGACGTCGAGATTCGTCCCGGAAAAGGCGAGGGACGTTGATGGTGGAGGAGTGGATGGAGTAGAAGGCTTGCTTGCTCCCACCACCTGACCAGGCCGACGAAGTCCTGGTGCAGTAATCTTGCTGGATCGAGCAGGAACATCAACAGGAGTTTCTGCACGTGAGTCAGGCCGATTAGGCCCCGGTATTTTCCGCCGGATTCCCAATTTATTGGCCGGTTTGGGGGCTGAGGTGGGTGGTGGCGACTCTGGAGGAGGAGTGACAGACGTCCTAGCCGAAATAGGTGGAGGTGCGGCCTTTGGCGCTGGTTTAGAGGCTGGAGGCTTGGCTGGAGGCGCGGAAGAAACTGCAGGACGCGCTGCTTGTATGAGAGGTACGGCAGTGTTGCGCGACGCGGGTTTGAGGGAATTGGTTTGATGAATCACGTGGTCGTATCCGGCTGATGCTATCAAAGTCGGAAGTAGAGCTTGAGCACCTTTGCGAACATCTGCATTACGATCGTCCAAGGCTCCTACGATTACTGATGTCCAACTGGTAAGATCGAGAGTCGAGGTTGCTTCGTGTTCACGGAACCAATCAGCAATCCAATGCATTAAAGTACCCTTTTGTAATGGGTTCGTCGCTTCCAATGCGGTTTGAAGTCCAGAAACCATAGAGTCAAGCACTTCACACGCAGAAGCCATTGCGGTTAACGTTTGAAGAGCAGCAGCTCTAATGGGTGCCTTTTGGTCGGCTAGAACCGAAGCTACTGGCTGGACGAATAAGCGACTATGCTTCTCGAATGGCTTTCCCATCCCTGTCGCAATGCGAGCGACAATGTCGAGCGCTAAAGTTTGCACGGCCTTGTTTGTGTCGGTTACTCTCGCTTTCAAAACCTGCCCAATATCCCCTTGCCATGTGATAAGGAGTAAGTTGAAATCAGTTTATTCAACTCACCCATATTTCCTTTGAGACGCTTGTTGCTTCCTTGGTCTAGAATCCCTTGCAAGCCCTCAAGAGCTTCCTTTTTTGTCTTCCACGATTCGCTCTTTGCATCAGCAAGGATTGTTGTGCCTTTGAGAAGCCCATCAATTTCGACGCGCGGAAATAGATCATCCAGCGGATCGCTTCCGCCAGCAGCTCCGTTAGACGTCGAGGCCGAAGTTGCCATGTTCGCGAGGTCAGCTGACGTTCGACTTGGTTCTGGCGCCGTTTGACCTTCGACTTTGTCAAATTCTGAATTGATAGTGTTGAGAAGCTGTGGGTTGAGATCCTCCAAAAAGTCTTTGATGCCTTCAATAAATGTGAATTGAAATTGACTCCGATAAAATTGTGAAGGACACACTTGAACCGGCGAAGAGTTTGACGGTCACAAGTGTCTTAGTCGCATTGGTTCGGACCGCCGCATTCGAGTTCTGTAAAGCTGTCTTGAGGAATTCGATCAGGCCTCGTAATGATAATCCTGCGATTCCAAACTCGACGAGGGCAGTATTGACCCAAGTCAATGCGTCCGCAAGAACTTTGGGAGCCTTTTGTTTCCCCAAAGGTTCATAAGCTGGATACCAATTAAGCATTTTCCGTCTTTACAACAACGACAACCTGCCTTGATTGAGCACAAATTGCAGGGAAGTTTTCTCCGCAAACACCAAAAGAGTATCCCCAGCAGCCTTTTTCAGTTTGAGGTCGCCAAGTTTGTCGCAAAGATTAGATGCGGCGAGAGCTACGCATGAGCGTCCGAACGAAGGGCACTTCTCTGCCAATAGAGTACAAATTCCGTATATTTTCAGGACCACCTATTGATTGAGCAAGATGCCGGACATAAATGATAGCATCATACCTGGAAATTGCTGTCTCCCCAGCCTTTCTTCCCCACAGCGCGCACAATGACCTCAGCGTCTAATTCGTCAATAACACCCTCAATCCAGGTAGTCATTTCCTCTAGCGCTGTTAGTCGGGTCTTCCATTTGCTATCAGCCAAGTCGGTCAGTATAGAGGATGGGATGATGTCGTTTGCGAGGGCTTCTGCATCTTCTGGCGTATGTTTGTACTTGAATGTGTCAAGACCCCCAGCCGCTGGTGGCGCAGCAGCTTTGGACGGTTTGCCAGCTGAAGATGGGGCAGGTGCCTTCTTAGCAGGAGCCGCAGTCGGAGGAGCGGCGGGTTTCTTGGCCTGTACTTGGAAGTGAGAGACGATCAATAATCACACAAATAACGCCAACAGGGGGAGGTTTGGCTGCTGGAGGCTTTGCAGCCGGCTTCTTGGGAGCCTCGACGATCTCTTCAACAGGGGCAGCCTTTGGAGTAGGAGTTGGTTTCTTCTTTGCAGGAGGGGCGGCCGCCGCTGGTGGCGCAGTTTTGGCTGGCGCTGAACCACCACCAGCCTTGGACTTGACTGTCGCTTTTTCAAACGCTTCTTTGACCTTGGCCTTCCGAACATCCGCTAGTCCTTCCATCACTGGGTTCAACGGTCTTTCCCCCACCATCTTCATCAACGTGCCGAGACATGTGGCTGCCTCATTTCGTGCGCCTTCAAAGCCATCTTCGAGTAGGGACGCCAATGTCTCTGCCAGCGACTTGATCTGACCAGTTTGGATTGGTGTAGTAGCAGTGGTAAGACACCTGCCGAGAAATTTAAGTGTGCCCTCTTTGACCTGAGGGTTCTTCGAGTTGAGAGCGGGTCCCAGATCTGGAATAATATCCGGCAGCGTTGTCTGACAACCATTAAGCAGCACATTTCTGAACAACAGAAATCAGGTTCATACCGTGGCAAATACTGCATCTAGTGCACCACCAATTGTGTCGGTGACCGTCGCCTTCCTTTCCTTCATACGCTCCAGCATGAGTCCTACGACAGTTTCCCGATATCGAGCAAATGATCCAAGCATTGCCTTGGCGAGAGCTTCCATGCAGGCGGCAGCGGTCATCACACAGTTTACGTTCGCATCACTTTGAATACGAACAGCCAAAGATTTCGATAAATCTCCAATTTCGGGGCCGTCTTTAATGCGCGGCGTGGAGTTCAGCAGCGTAAGAAGCTCGTCTAGCACTTCCTTGCGCTCTTTCCATTTTGACGACGTGAGCATCGCCTGTAACGACGATGGAAGCTTGATGTCAACCGGCTCAGCAAAGGCACGAGGATCAAGAGCAACTGTTGGTTGGATAAGAGTCCCATCTGAGTGGACCGGTTTCGATTACGCACCGGGCTCTTCCTCCTCTTGATTTTCTGCAGCTTCTTCACCTTGTTCACCGGCAACTGCAGCATCTCGAGCATGCGCACGCGTTAGTCGCTCAGGTTTGACGGTACCCTTGCCCTTGCCACTTGATTCCATTGATTCGAACGCTTCCTTCAACTCCTTAACTTGTACTGGCTTTAGATCTGCAAGCCATGGCTCGAGACCAGGTCCCAGATATTGATATAAGACATGTGTAAGTGCAGTTCCTTCTGCACGAACAGTCTTGTCGCTGTGACCAAATATCTTTGGGAGTGCCTTGAGGATTGGAGGAGGTGGAGTTGTTTGGACACCAAAAAGTCTAGCGTGGAGATCAGAAAGATTGAACAATTCTGGGTTGGAACACACCGAACAATCTCTTTCAACGCCAAAACTGTTCCTGCCACTGCTTTAGGTTGTTTGGCCGCCAGTCCAGGAAGAATATCGCCCTAGAAAGAATATTAAAATGGCATTAATGCAGAATTTCAGTGCGTCCGTACAACAACACCGGCACCACCATTCTCGACCTCGACGTACTGTAGTGCCAACTCGATCGCTTGGTTCTTGGTACCAGCTCGCGTGGATCCAAAACACTTATCGACCAAGGCTGGTACCACACCATCTCGAGTCTTAGCAGCAGTTTCTCCCGCATATTTGACGAGAGCTACAAGACACTCTACGCCCTTCTCCTGTGCCACTGCATTTGAGTCCGTGGCAATCTTCTTCAGCAGCTCTGTGTTGTTGATGTATGGTCTGAATGCCGGATCGTCGTCCGAAGCAGTGCTTTCGAAAGTCTTGACCAACGCCTCATAACCACTGACTCGTGCTTTCCAGTTCTTGTGTTGCAGTCGTTCCGAGACGCTTAAAGTTGAGAAGTCTTCTTCAACCGGTGCGCCATCCATGAGTTCGGTTGACGCGTTTGGCTACCAGTTGGCGAGATGTCGCGCGAGGGTTGAGGGTGCAAGTTGAATACGTGATGGCGGGTCACGTGTGACAAATCTTTCTATCAACTTGTTTACAACGGCGACCAACGTGTCGCCAATTTCACCCCTACATGCTGAACAGCTGCCATAACCTCCCCAAACCCATCGCTTAGCGCCCCGACCTCTTTCAACAGAGCTTCAGTGGCGAAATGTCGTCGAGCAGCTTCTTCACTATCAGCTCTCCTGCCCATGTTTTCGTAAACAATTGCAAGGAAATATTGGACATCCATGACCGCTTGGTGCATCGATATGGCGACATAGTCTTGTTCCGCTTGCAAGAAATAGGGAAGAGCTTTTTCAAGGGCCTCGGGTTTAGGTTCATCCTCAGCGACGATGATACTTCGCGCCATCGTAAAGCATCCCAGAGCTCGTTGCTCGAGATCAGTTCCCAGAATAATCTAGATGGCCTCAGAAAGTTGAATAATAGGACGGTATTCCGACTAACTTGGGGCATTATGTCTTCCATCATCTTTCGAGAACGTTTGGTCATTCCAAATGCTTTCCCGACATCTGCAAATAGGATCATTCCAGTCCGGTAGACATTCAATCGTCCCAGGAACTCGGCATGCCACAGTGATGTTAGCAGTCCATCCATGGTGTTAGCCGCTTGGCCACAATGCTATCGGTTGTGTAAATCTGAGGAGTTGTTTCTCATTTAGCGCCCACCTGCATTTGAATCACCTCCCACAAAGGATCCTCGATTTTAGGGAGTTTAATGCCCTCAGTGTCGAGCAAATAATGGCGTGTCTTATACTCTCCAGGTGGTTTCCTAGGTAGCAGAATATCACGATATGCGCGATCTTGACCCCTTCAGAAGAAATAAGTCACGAGGGCGCGAAACCTGATATAGATTTACCGTCGCGTCGCCCACAAAACAAGAATGTGCCAGATTTCTTGAGCCCATTGACCATATTCTACGAGCGAAAGACTGCGCCACACGTTGGGGTGTAATAGAGCAGCCAGACTCTTTTCATAGTGTCCTTGTCGCGCTTCCTGTACAGTGTCAATAACTTGGGAAATTCACCCACGTAAAACTTGCTCGGTATGCTTGGTTGAGTATCGTTGTGATGCGGTTGTTGTCACTCCCGCCAACATCTGTGAATGCGGCGACAATATTTTCTTCAATTGCCGCTATTCGCTCGCAGCCTAAAAGCCGTCAGCCATGGATCTTAAAAGTTGAGACACAACTTGCCTGCTGCGCTCCAAACAACGGACTGGACCGCGTGCTGTGCCCATTGGTCGCTGTCACGAGGCGCAATGGGTTGATTGTCGAGCCAATGGTCAAGGACTCCAGTGGCCTGTATGATTTTTTCGAACGATGCACTTAGAGGTTGGTTCTGTCAAAAGCAACATGAGGTCAAGTTTGAAGCGCAAGAAAGTAGGAGTTGCGTTTTGTTCGTCCATGAGTTTCGTCACATCAAATAAGATTTCAAGAGGGTGGACATCCGCTTGGATTTGATTCAAAACGGGTCGACGACCTTCAATCTTGGGGGGAAGGCGATTTTGCAGACTGTGCTGGAGTAATGTGTATGCATAGAGGTGAGGGGGTTGAACGCACGTTACGCAATAGGCCAGCGTAACCTTATCGTTGTTCGTGCGAGCGACCCCAATTGCCTCCGATAAAAGCTGTTCTTTTGTGAAGGGCACATAGACGTGCGGACTACCGCGACGTACCGTTTGTGCAGCCCCAAACTCTTGCCGGAGGTAATGCATTCTAACTAGATTCAGCAGCGCATGTTGTCGAAACCCTCTGAAGCCAATCAACCCAGGTGAGTTATAAACGATTGTGGACGCACAAGTCGTTGTCGTGGAAATGCTGCTCAAAGTACTTGCGCAGATTTTCAATGGCAGCATGTTCGTCGCCTGCTGACAACGATGCTTGCCATCTATTCGCATAAGCGATCTAGACGCCGAGGAAAGATAAATGGCCACTAAACCTGGCGTAGAGTCCTGGCTGCGCCCAGCTGATTTTGTCGCTTGATGTTCTGAAAATCTGCGTGTCATCTAAGATGAAAGTTAACCAAGTCGTTCGTTGGCAGATGGCCCACTTCACTATGTAGGTCTGCCTTAATCATCGGAAATTCATGAAAAAGGATGGGAGTCCCACGTCCCCAGGCCTCGTATTCCTTTTGAAGCTTTCCAACGCCATTGAACGAAAGTTTCAAGAAGCTTAAAAAGCATCGTCGACAGAAGAACCCAAAGACGGAGCGCCGATGCTGTTTTCCCATTAGTAGTAGATCTGCCTGTTGGCAAGAGCGTACTAGTGTTGCAGTCGAGGTGGCGTCCTACGCATAGCTGATTAGAGAGAGCATTGAATCATTACTACTATGGCTTACCTCCTCAATTTCTCCTTTGTCAACGAAGAGCGTTGGGATACCTATACTGCGGTTTGTTCTACCAAACAGCAACAAAGCAACAAAAATATACCAGCAAAAAAGTTGTGCAGTTCTTCTGCAGAATTGAGCTTTTCCCGCTAGTATCGTAGATCAAGACACTGGTAAACGTGGTAGAGAGTCATACAGCCGTGTCGAATAATTGGATTAGTGAAGCGGCAACAACATCTTCTGATTTTGGGCCAGCGACGAGATCCTGATAAATTTCTGCAAACGACCGTAAAGGCGCGATCTGACTATAATGAGGACAGAAGCCAAAGCCATCGAGCATTTCTTGCCTCGATTGATTCTTGCAGCAAGAGACGGAGAACATGAAGGAGGAATGGTGGAGGGAGTCGTCCTTCGAGATCCTTAAATGTAAGCATGAAAATTGACAATATTCCGACGTGATGGCCCTGCAGCACGAAATCCTTTGGAGGGACCTCCATTGCAGAACGCGTCAAGTCATACACGGGACCGTGACAGCATGTGACCATCACGCTTATGGGGAAACGAGCCGCAACAAATTCTTCCAGTAGTGTTCCTGCAAAACGACGGAAGCTTGCTCCACAGCAGAAGAAGAAGAGCAAGAAAGACAAGGAAAAACCTTCCGAACGCACCACGATCCCCATCCCCGCCGCTGCCGACAGCGATGTTGACCTTTCTGACCAAGACCTGGAATTCCTCGACGAGTATGGCGGCGCAACATCATTCTTGACGACCCTAGACAAGTCGGGAATAGCAAGGTCTTTTGAGCTGCAAAGGTTGAATTGATCTGAAGCACTGACATCGTTTTCAGGAGTAAAAAAGAGACTGAACGGCTACATCGACTACACAAACCGGTCAGAACGGCTCCGAGTGCGGATGATCTCCCCTCAATAGACTCACATGATGAAGAAGGGGAGGACGAATGGAGCTCAGATTTACCATCCGAAGATGAAGGGACAGGCATAGACTCGAACGAACAAGACTCCGACATGGAGATGCCATACGAGGCAATTCCAAGACGAAAACCATCATGGGAAGAGCCCAAAAAGCAAGAAATACACCGGCTCCCTATCAAGCTAGCAGATGGACGAATCCAAAAAACTGGTGTCAAGTTAAAGCAACCTGCTGAAAGCGAGGAAACGAGTGACGATGAAGACTCAGTTGTTGGGGAACCGGTAGAAGACGGCCCGAGGGAGGACGTTGCAACAGGAGCCCGTTTTGGGAGGCCTGCTGTTGTGGATGTCATCGCAAACAAGTCGCGAGCTACTCGAATACAAGCCGCCAAAGATCAAATTGCTAGTATTTGTCAAGATATAATGGCCGATCCAGAGAGTAGTGTGTGTCTACTTTTTCCAGTTTCTTCAACCCATAGGCTAACCTTTCTTTCCAGTTGGGACTTCTGCGACGGCTACATACGTTTTCCCTAGCGGAAATAACTACCCCTACGCACCCAGAACCAGTTCCTAATGACATCGTCGTGCGCAAACTGGCAATGCTGTCTCAACTTGCCGTTTTCAAGGATATCATTCCTGGATACCGCGTCCGGGAGCTCACAGAGAAGGAGAAGGCCGAAAAAGTCAGCCAGATAGTTGCGCGAACGCGAGACTGGGAGCAAGGTTTGGTCCACGTATACCAGACTTACCTCCGAGCGTTGGAGGCAGAAATCAAAGGTTCTTCCATGTTTCAGCACTGAATCTCAGTTAACCTTATACCAGCGCAAAGCGAGCTTGCAGATATCGCCCTTTCTAGCATGTGCACTCTACTAACAGAGCTGACCCACTTCAATTTTCGCGGCAATATCATGAGCTGCATTGTAGCTCGGCTCAGTAAGAAATCGTGGGGCAAGGTGCGGCCCGTGTTGCCCGGAAAGAAATCTGCTGAATCGATGCTAGTCGTCTGAACTATGCTTGGACTCACTTGTCAAAGTCTTCCGGAACGACCTCACTGGCACCGCATCGCTTGAGATTGTGCGCCTATTGAACCGGATGATCAAAGAAAAGCGTTTCAACGTGAACCCCAATGTCTTGTCATGTTTGCTACACCTCCGTCTCAAAACTGAGCTCGGCGTCCGTGCTTCCGAATCGCATGTTGACAAGGAGGAGCCCGCCAAACGGCATTCGGCTAGCAAAGATGCCGCTCGCCGGGCCAAGGGAAAACCTACTGCCCAACCCCACCTGAGCAAAAAAGCTCGTAAAGCACTCAAGGATAAAAAAGAAATTGATCGGGAGTTTCGGGAGGCGGAGGCTGAAGTGGACAAGGAAGAACGGGCCGTAACGGTTTGTCAACGCTTATTTCTTTTTCTTAGTATCGTCCAATTCACTTCTTTTCAATAGCATACGGAAACACTGAAATTGACATTTGTGTTGTACTTCAGCATCATCAAGAATCCTGCTCCGACGCCGCTCCTCCCCGCAGCTCTACAGGGCATCTCAAAATACGCGCATCTTGTCAACATCGACTTTTTCAAGGACTTGCTTAAAGTTCTGAAAGAGCTGATAGTCCGAGAAGAGGATGACGACGACGATAACGAGAAGCAAAAGCAAGCCGTCCAGCATCGTCTTCAGTGTATTGTGACAGCATTTGAACTGTTGTCAGGCCAAGGTGCGACGGTGAATTTTTTTTTTCCTTTGGACTAACAAGAACAGGCGAGGCGCTCAATATCGATCTAACCGACTTCATCACGCATCTTTACGCACTGATAATGCCGCTCAGCCTGTCGGATATCGACTCGGGACCGGCAGATATGTTATTTCGGGCGCTAGAACTAGCATTTTCTCCGAAAACCACAGGCGGATCACCTGCCTGGCGAGGTGCCGCTTTCGCCAAACGTTTGCTCACATCGGCATTACATTGGTCACCGGCAGCTGCTCTCCGCGTGATCCAATTCGTGCGCGGGCTCCTTGCGCGAGACTCCCGGCTTCTCTCGCTGTTGTCCACTGAAGAGCAATCGCTGGATGGGACCTACCGACCAGATGTGGACGACCCACAGTTATGTAACGCGCTGAGCACGTGCCTTTGGGAGCTCGTGACTTTGAGTGACCAGCACTGGGACGCCCACGTACGTGAAGCAGCCAAAAAATTACTAGAGTTGTAAGTAACCGTTGTGATGTGGGTGTGGGACGATCGCGATCCTCGCCGAAACTGTCAATTTATGATCGTCGCTTGTGCAACTCTATTCGGCCGCCTGACAGACACGCGACTTACGTGCTGGTGACTGAATTCTCACCGACAAGCAAAAAAAGAGATCCTCTGTAAAAAGACACACGCGTTACAACTATCTACACGGGTTTACAGTCCTGAATGTCACAATAGGGATACAGATTGAATGGGCAAGAACTAGTCGACTAAGAAATCGGAGTAAGGGCCGCTGAAAGAGAAGATGTGGTTGATGGGGTGTATTGCGGGTAGTAGAACATGGATGGGGTGGGTTGCGCCATGGCGGTAGTACTGGCATCAGAGTTGCTGACGTATTTTTGGAAGGAGAGGAACTCGACAGAGGGCATCGAGTGACCAGAGTGACGGTCAAGCTCATAGACAACGAATAGCAGGGTACTGTTGTCGACAAGGAGTTGTTGTGTGATGGTAGAATGCGTAAGAGGGTCACACCAACGCGATCTGGTGAGAGCCGACTCTGGGAATTCCGCAACGACGGTCCCGAGGTCAATACTACTCGCATGGAGAGTAGCAGCATCAGTCACCGCACAACGACCGGCTGGATCGTAAACGTGGGTCAACACCTTTGCGTGACCGGACCAGATAGCAGCCAGACGGACACTAGCGAAAAAACCATGCAGTGATGTTGGCGCATGTGGGTCATCTGTCCGGGGTAAACTTAGGCGAAGACGGAGACTAAGAGGAGGTGTGCGAGCGGGAAGGGTGGCTGGTAAGGAAAGCTTGTCGAGGTTGACGATAAAGGGTGTCATGCCTTCTGCAACCTGTTACAAAGTGTTTTGAGATGAATCCGATTTAGCAAGAAACAAGTTGAACGAACAAGTGTGAAGCTTGTTGTACGATTGGGGGGCTGGTGTGGTGAAAATGATTTTTGATGGGCTACGTAAGGATACGGCGCAACGAGATTGGCAAGCGAGTGGGGAGGGGAGTCGACGATGTCTGGTATTGAGGAGAGGGGACTTGTGGGGGAGTAGGATAGTCCTGGGGCTGGTGAAGGTGGGAACTCGCTGAGCTGATCTGGGGGGGAGTTGGAGGCTGAGGAAATGTCATCGTCATCAATGGTGAGGAGGGTTGGTTGGTCCTCGAGCTTGACTGGGTCCTGAAAAAGCTCGTCGGCGCCGGCCACAAGATTGTACTCTACGCTAGGATCAGCGATCTTGAAATGGACGGAAGCAAAAAACTGCATTACGAGGCTCTCCTTTCCACATGTTTCGCAGCACCTGAATGTGACTAGCGACCTGCTTCCGCGGTCAGAGACAGAGAGAAAGCGAGACAAGCTCCGACTGACTTGTTTCTTTGAACGCTGTATACCCTGAGAAGCTAGGTAGTCGACAAGGAACTGGTTTCGCCAACGTGATCTGCCTCGACCAGAATAGCTGGCCCATGGCGATTCCCAATACTCCCGCAGACCTGTTATGATGGTCAAAAGCAGCAAGACAGATAGGGCGACGAAGACGGACCCTGGACGAATATTTGCTCGACATTCTCTGGCCACACTGCAGTACCACTGCCATCCTTGAGAAGTTTGTGATGTTTTCGCTTAGTATTCTTGGGTAGGACGGAGGGGGAGAAAGACATGTTGTGGAAGAGGGAAAGACGGGTAGATGGTGTTCACTTAAAAGCGAGTCACGCGATGGATCTCGATTACACAGCCCAAAGGAGTAACCTCTCGGTACTGAATAAGGCCAGACAGACCCAAACGAACGGATTGGTCGTCTTGATATATCGAGCGAGTTCTGTTTGACTGTCGACATGGACCTCACCCGCAGATGGCTCTCAGAAAATGTCGCCCCATATCCAGCAAAAGACACAGTTTACGCCCACATCGATGCTGCCCTCACTCGATACCCTTCTCTACGACCCAAAGCAGACATTTACACTTATGACGACGGGAGAACCCAACTCTTACTCTGTCTCCATGGCTTGCTGCCGATAACCTACAGAGCTGCCAGCTACAACATTCCAATTGCTGTTTGGATTCCTAGGACATACCCTAGAGAGCCACCATTGCCGTATGTTGTCCCTACAGCGGACATGCTAGTCAAAGCAGGGCCAAACCTCGATGTCAGTGGTCGGTCAAGCATTGATTATGTCCAACACTGGGCGCGGAAACACGAAGGATGTGATCTCGCAGCTCTCATCGATTCCCTCCAAACAGAGTTTTGCCGGTCACCGCCGGTCTATGCCAAACCAACAACGACGACAACAACCCCAGTTCTTCCACCCAAACCAATTACCTCACCGCCTATTCTTTCCGGCCCGCCTCCCATTCCACCAAGACCCGATTCGGGACCACCACAGTACCGCCCTGCCCCGCCACAATATCAGCCTCAGTTTGTTCCGAGGCAGCTCCCACCTGTTTCGCCTCCCCCTCCGATACCACAACAATACCAAACACCTCCCCCTCCCCCGCCTCCGGCGCCAAACCTGCTTGATGAAGAACCGGTAGTCCCCATCCAGCCAATCCAAATGACTGCACCGCCTCCCCCACGCCCACCTAACCCGGAACTTGTCCGATTACACTCGGCCATCCATTCAAAGCTGATCGCTGAGCTTTCTTCTCTCCAGCAAGCCCTTTCCATTGACGCAGAGCGCCTACGAGCCCATCAGGCTGACCTGCTGGCGGGTGAGCCCGCGATCCGTGACGAAATGGGGCGGCTGGAGGCTGTGCGTGACGTGTGTCGGACTGCTGCTGGCCGGATGAGAAACACGGTCGAAACAGCCGAACGTAACGTGAGTGAGCTCCGAGCAAAGAGCGAGCCCGAGGTCGACGAACTTGTTTGTTCTACTACGATCGTCCATAACCAGTAAGCTGAAATCACCGGCACATTCCGGTCCGGAGCATTGACGTCTGTTTTTAGACTGATCAATCTAGTCGCTGAGGACAACGCCATTGAGGACACTATTTTTCACCTATCCAAGGCACTGAATAGCGGTCGGATCGACCTAGACCGGTTTCTCCGAGTGCGTTATTGTTTTCTCTCGATCACCGCTCCACCTCTCACATCACCACTCAGTCATGTCGTCTTCTTGCCGAGGAGCAATTCATGAAGAGGGCGCTGATTGACAAGATAGTCTCAGCGTTTCCGATGAGCCCAGCATATTGAACCAACTAGTTGCTTAGATAAAGTCATACAACTACTGTACATCACTTGGTTGGCGACGCAGCGCCAATCCATCGCCATACCCGCATCTCGTCTCCTCCATCTACCTCTTCCAAGTTGACACGAACATTGGCATTCCCTTCGACAACCTTTTCAACACGTGACCAAAGCTTGGTCCGACGGGAAACCGAATGTTCATCTGCCAAAACGACATCGCGCAGCTGCAATGACGACAGGTAAGGCACGCTGGCTGACAGTGGGTCCGAGTGATAGGCCCGATCTTGTTCTTTGAGAGTATCCAATGCGGTCTGAACAAGTTCCGCGACTTTCGCGTTCTCGGTAGCATTTTGTGTCCGTCGATGGCGTCCATAGAGCATAAGGCATGTCACGCCTATAATTGCATAAACAACCAGTTGCCATTCCGTCCAGACGGCACGTGATTGAACGATGATTTTGCAATCCCAACTGAGGGCGGGAGTCTTAAGCGCCACAAAACGTTGTTTGCTGAAATAGCAAAAGTAAGTCACACAGACTTGCCGGCGAATACGGCGGACCGACCTCGAGACATCTTCACCGATGATGATCTCCTCGAATCGAGTGAGTTGCTGGATTGCCTCAGTAAACAGTTCCTTGAAGTTTGATGGCGCCTTTTCCTGCGTCCTCCGTTAGCTATGCTACTGATGAGATGACAGGAACTAACAAACCTTGGGAATCTTAGCGCTGACGACCTTGGCAAGCTCGCTCTCTTCGTAGCCCCAGCGTCTAGCCTCGCCACCATAAGCATCCAACAACGGTTTGGTATCGCCTTGACAAAGACGACGACCACGAGTTTCGCCCAACTCCTTCTTCGCTGCTCGACCTAACCAATTGACACGCCGATCCTCTGCGCAGTGTGGGGGCAGTCCAATACTGCCCAAGCCGGGTAAACCATCGGTTGCCCTCCTGATGGACTGTTCAATCACCTTGGGCGTATTGGCACCCGACACGAAAAACAAGAGTGGGTGGGGCTCCAACAAGTAACCAGCGTCGCATGTGACATGAAACTGAGTGCATCTTCCGTGGGCGGGGCACGGCGTACAGGTGTCAGGATGAAGGAACGGTATTTCAGGAAGCGGGCAAGGCGATCCGTCAGCCAGCGTCTGGTTATCTCGATGGCATACTTCAACAGCATGTCTCTTTGCACGAAGATGTTCCAAGGCTTGGTTTGTTGACTGATTCTTGTTGCAATATCCGATGAGCGACGATTCCGATTTGTACCCCCATACAGCATAACTTGACGCTAAGCTAAACAGGAATAGCATCACTCGAATGATGATGCCCCAGCCTGTCGCTTTCGTCGAAGCTTTGTCAACACCACCCTGGGCAATCTTGCGAGAAATAACGGCGTTATATTCGTCTTCAGGTGCGGCCTCCTCGTCCTCTTCTTCGTCTTCTTCTAGCAGGCCAAAGTCCTCCGTTGGACCGTCGCCAGGATAATCTGACTCGCCATTGTCGAATGTTTCGTCATGTTCTACCTTGGTCTGGAGAGGCGAAAATGACGGAGCAGGTAATTTAGGAGACATCAGACGCATTTCTCGTTTGATGTTGGATGGAAATTCTGGTGTGAATTTAGACTGGGGCGGAGAAAATGGTGACTCCGCCCTAGGTCGGGGCGGCGATGATGAAGGTGCAACTTCTGGAGGAGCAGACACAGATTTACGTTTCTTCTTTGGAGCTATGCTTTTCCGAGTAGGCTTTGGTCGCGCAGGAGAGGACGACTCGGCACCAGATTGGAAAACATTATTATCCTCCCAAGCGCTATCTTCCTACAGAGAGATTGTTACTATTAGGAAAATGAAATAAAGCTCTGAAGTGCATACGGGGTGGGATACTCGACGGCTTTGCTGACCTGCAGTTTGCTGCTGCAATTGAAGTCAATGAAAGTCTGTCTTTGAGGGCCAAAACGAGCTAACCGTCTTCTTCCTGCCAATCTTGCGCACGGGAAGTTCCTCCTCCTCGGGTTCGCTCTCTTCGACGAGAGCTGGTTCCACTGGTTCTGCTTTGCGGGATGGCCCTCCAAGGTTTGGTTGGGCAGACGATCGCCTCCGTTTCGGCTAGGAAATGTAAGTTGTTGAAAGAAGTCAACTTGATAGCTCACTGCTGGGGCTGGTTCTGGTTCTTCGGTAGGAGCACGAGACAGTCTTCTCGATGAACGTCGGACAGGCTAACCGAGTGGCAAAGATAACTAAGACCAAATTTGGCAGGTAAAGAACACACACCTGCGGTGCGGCAGTCAAGGGTTCGCCTGTTACACCATCGGTAATGCCGTCGTCGCTTGCGATACTCGACGCCGCTTTGAGACGAGCGGTTCTCAATTTGGATGCTTTAGATTTGATTTCTGCGTTGAACAGGTTGATAAGCTTCGTCTTTGAGTATGGAGTGGGGTAGGCAATGCCATGGAACCCAAACACGCCAAGTAGTTGAGAGACGGTGAGGGATGCGGGGTCAAAGTCTGGTTCCAGATAGTGGCCTTGCCTGACGATTTCTGCCGCAGTCGGACGCGACATGGTCGTGGCTATAAACAAAGTGTGTTGTTGTGCACGTGCCCTCCCATCAAATTCTGTCATCGCAGCGTCAGTCAATTCAGTTGGGCTCCGATCACCTCTCCCTCTTTCGATAACGACCAAGATGTATCCTGCAGCCAGCCATGTCCTCCGCACCTGCCGGAATCTCATAAGCGTTGGTACTTACACTTGCATCCATCCTTGATCTTTATTTCGAAAAGCTTTTGCCGTCTGCCGAGCGAACGAAGCCTCAAGTTCTCTTAGTTGCTGCTGGTGTCGGTGAGGAAGAATCTCGCTACCATTGACGTTGATGACCCAACTCAAAATGTCCTTCCAGTGGAATTTAGAAACGACACCGACCGTGAGCTCGCATTCCGTCAAGAAAGCAACTTTTTCTATCTGTCCGGATGTAGCACTCCCGGCTCGTATATTCTCGTCAGCTATCAGCTTGGAACGTCGCTTGAAAGACCCTCAATCGACCTCTTTATTCCCAAAGCCAATCTCGCCGATATGATGTGGAGTGTCCCTCCTCCGTCTATCGAGGCAGCTAGTGCAACACACGACGTAACCAAAGTCCATCATGTGGAGGATCTCTCGGAATCAATCAACACACTCGTAAAATCTTTGCCTGGCGCTCTTTGGCACACGCTACCTCGCAACTCTCCTCTTTTCCCTGCACTATCGGAAGACCATCTCAAAACTGTGCTTGAAGCAGACGATGGAGCTGTCACAGACTTTTACCTTTTATCAGCTCTTCACCGTACCCGCCTCATTAAAGACGAAAATGAAGTAGAGCTTATTCGCAAAGCATGTGACATCAGCTCGCGCGCCCACGAAGTCGTTATGCGTGTTCTCGGTGCTGCAGTTAAAGGCACCATTACCGTCGGTGCGGGGGCTGGAGTCGATCGGCCTCTGTTGCCAAATGAATGGCTGATCCAAAAGGAAGCGGAAGCAGAAGGAATATTTGTTGCTTCTTGTCGGCGCGAAGGGTAAGTAGTTTGAAACAGTGTCCCCGTCCATTAATAGTTTGCAGCTCTGTTCATCAAGCATACCTCCCTATCGTCGCTGCTTCTACAAGAGCCTCAACCCTTCACTATTGGTGATTCTTTTAGCGTTTCTAGCGTCACCGAACTTAACAATACACAGTTGCAACGGGGGCAATGATAAAGAGTTTGCCTGGGGTCCAGTCGGGCCTCACGATCACCAAAACAGCAACTCGCTTTGCACCGGACGAGAATTGAAGCCACAAGTCCTGCTCATCGATGCGGGCTGTGAGTGGTCATGCTACGCATCCGATATCACTCGAACTATGCCCGTTGGCAATGGCGGAAAATTCACCGACGAATCTAAAGCTATCTACTCTCTTGTCCTCGAGATGCAAACAGTGTGTTTTCAGTCACCTAATTTTGTTTTTTTGTGAATATTACCTTCAGGCGTGCATGGAAGCTCTCAAGCCCGGCTTGCATTGGGACGCAGCCCACCTACTTTCGCACCGCACTTTGGTGAAAGGATTCCAGCGCTTAGGCAAGGAACCTCTTCTTGCTGCTTGTCTCCCCGAGTTTATGCTCTAATCAGGCATCTTCAAGTCACCGAACTCTCCTGGAGCGGGCTCGTGGGCGTCAGAGGAAGCGATACTTGCAAGTGGGGTCACCACCGCCTTCTACCCCCATGGGCTTGGTCACAGTCTTGGAATGGACGTCCATGATGTCCCTAGCGCATCGAAGCCCGGCGTGAATCCAACAATAGCAGAAAATAATGCGGCCGTCCAGCTCGGTCACTCAAGCATCTACACTTACCTCAGACTCCGGCTACCCCTCGAGGCGGGAATGGTTGTGGTATGCAATCCTGATGCGAATTGAGTAGCTTCGACTGAAACTATCACCTACAGACCGTTGAACCTGGGATTTATTTCTCTCCTCATCTTCTAGCGGCCGTTCGTGACTCGCAAGTCATCGACCACGAAGTCCTCAAACGCTACGAACCGGTTGGCGGAGTGCGGATTGAAGATGTTGTGCACATTACTCCGGCAGGGGTTGAGAATCTGACAAAGGCAAGTTAACGTTTTCGCAGTCGCGAGGTTGACTAAAAAGGTGTTTAGGTAAAGAGCGATGTGGAGTGGCTTGAAGGAGTTTGCTCTGGACATTTGTAGTAGCCGACAACTCAACGTGAAATTGTAAAACACTACCGTGACTGAACTACACACGTGATCGTGGCATGGTCCGTGCGCCAACGCGAACCGACAAAACCAGCACTCTGTTGCTCTGGATCTTCATACTTACCTTGATGGCACAGTTCCCTTCACATACCTGGAGCTGTGGGCTGCGGGAACTCTCCATAGCACGGCGACCCTGTCCACACAGAGAGCGCCCGTGGTTTGTATGGGCTTCGGCTCATGCACCGTCTTAATATTTCCCAGTCCTGCCACGGCCACTCGGCTAGGCGGGCAACTTTTTTTTATGACTTTTAATAGTTCTAACCCTAACCCTAAGTACCGGTTTCTGAATAGTAATGTTTCTTTTCAAGTGATCCTGATACTGAGAACATGTCCACACAAAAGAATATATAATGAAGTCTCTATCCTGTCTTGTTACGACTCCGCTTGCCAACCTGGGCTTGGAATCCACTCTTGATGGCGTTTACACTACGACGACTGCCGCACGATTCACAGGCCATGAAGAAGATACGGTTCTCCTTGGTCAGCAGTGTGTCGGGGGACTTGCATGTTTTGCAGGTCACGTATTCCACTATAAAGCTATCTCAGCATCCAGGACACAGTAAAAAAGTAAAGCTTTACCAATATATCGCCGCAAAACGTTCTCGACTTGTTTCTGTTGGAAACGACCCTTGATAACCAGCTGGCCGTTGCCGTCGACGGAGCCGGTGGTACCCATTTCAGAGAAAAGGAACTGGATAACGTGTTCGGGCTGCGAACGTCAAGAAGAGGGTGGAGGGTAAAAGCTAGGAGATCACTCACCTGTCTGTGCATCCTCTTGCAGATATCAGTGACGTTGGCAAATATCGTCTTCTTGGTTCCTTCACGGTGAATAGACGGGGGCGCAATAGTGTAACGCTTGGAGGAAGAGAGCAGCGCGGGGTTGGCTTGATGGAGCAATTCGTAGAATCGGCCCAAGAGCTGTACACTGTTCAAACGACTTTAACCCAACAACAATGGAAAAGCATACCTCGGGATAGGTGTAGTCTCTGTCACTCTTCAGCCACGCCTCGTTTCCTGACCCAACATTGGCCGCGATGTCGCCAGCAGGCTGGGCAAACGGATCGTCTCCGAGATCAGCATCATCATCCAAATCGACCGCTGGTGTAGGCTCTGCGTCATCATCCGCATCAGCATCCACAGCAGTAGCCTTGAGCTCTTTCTCAAACGCCTCCATGTCCAGGTTTGCCTTCTTTTTCGATTTCTTTTTCTTCTTCAGATCAGAGAAATCCAAATCTTCGACCGCGTCCCCCGATGGGCCAGCATCGGCGGCTGGTACAGGCGTCGAGGTGCCAGAGTCATCACCCTACACTGGTCAGCCATATTTTCCGCCCAAAACAGGTAAGAATACGGACAAGATCGAGCGGGATTTCCTTCTTCTTTTTCTTTTTCTTCAGGTCTCCAAACATGGCCTTCAGATCTTCCTCCTCTGCGGGCTTCGTCTCCTTCATCCTCTCGTGGCTTGTAGTTGGTCCAAGATCAACGACTGTGCCATCGGTAGTCGTTGACTCTATCGTTTCTGGCGCGGGGGCGGTCGGATCGGCATCTGCTCCAAGCGGATCGACTGTAAACTGCACTGTCTTCTTTTTACGCTTCTTCAGCGATGGGTCGAACATGGGGGTTTCCTCTGCCATGGCTATCAACAGCACGACGTTGGAGGATTTAAGCAAGTAGTAAGGTGACCTTTTGTGACTCGATTTGGTCAGGTCATGTGACTCTGATTCAAGTGTACTTGGATTTAACCGATCTGTTCATCCACAGCCATTCCGGTTGCATCGCGCAGTCCCAGTCGATTTTTTTCCATACCGGGACGCGATGTGTATGAAATACCACCATAACCAAGTTTATTTCCAGACATTGTACAAGCACTACGCGTACTTCGGTCGGAAAGGACCGCTGGTGCCAAACCACTTTCCGTGCACCATGTAGTTCCAGTAGGCCCACGGGAACAAATCCTGAAAACAACAATGAGACGATATGTGACCAATATTAATGTCCAAACCTTTTTGAAGTGATAGAATAGCCTGAGGAAACGTCAACATCACCGCTTCATAGCGCTTATATGGGATCACCTGTTGCTCTTTGCCTGATCAAACTGTGCGGAGAAAGTCTCCTTAGGCTCTAGTCCGTATTTGAATTCCGCCAGCATAAGCTCGTTATAGCCCGTCAGCAGCTGCATCCTCGTTAGCAGAGACATATAATGGAAAGCGCAAGACGAACAGGGCAACTGGTGTACCCATCATATGTGGCAGAGCTCAGTTTACCGGTACTGACGACTGAGTATAGATTCTCGACAAGGACGGGAGCCTGCGCTGTGATGGCTGCCGCCGTTTTAGACTGAATGGGATCAGCAAAACTAGACGAATTAGACGAAACAGGTACTTGCGGTCGGCAGGGAGGAACAGTCACCAATGGCCCAGATGTTACTATATTCTGGCTTGTTGTGTTGGAGGGTGGCAGAATTTACATCTACCCATCCAGCACTGTCAGCGATTGGCGAGGATTTGATGAAATCCAAAGGTCCCATGGGCGGAGCAACGTGCCTGCTGCGCAGTCAATGCCATAATCCACAGAATGGAGGAAGATCCACAAAATAGTGTAGTCCACGACCACAGTTTCATCCCCCTTCTTGAACGTTGCTTTATGGTTGGCGTCGTCCACCGCGACCAGGTTGTGACCGAAAAAGCCGCCAACGCCTCGAGAGATACGAAGTTTATCGAGCGCCTCTGAGTATTTTTTGACGCTGAACATTGTGGGCATGCCGGTATAGAAGTCGACGTTGACCTTGGAGCCCCGACTCGTCTTGCGGTACCGATCCCAAGCCATCCACATTATTTTCTGAGGTGCTGTCGACATTGAGTTGTGGTTTGGTGACGTAGAAAGAGTTGAATACCCCCTGCGCATTTTATAACGCCAGCCGGCTGTGTGAATATAGCGTTTCCTGAGCGTAAAGCGTCGATATCTGACCAGACTTTATCGCAAGTTTCGTAGGAATAAATGCTAGAAACCCCAGAGGTGTTGTTCATGAGTGCTTGAGGGAGGCCTTTGACTGCGTCCCAGTTGATTTTGATACCAGCTGCAACGACGAGGGACTCATATCCAATGTTCCTCCCATGTATAGTTGCAAGGGAGGAACTCTCAGGCGAGAATGCCTTGACTTTGTCCGAGATATGGGTAATATGACTCGGAATGAGCGATTGAAGCGGACGAACGAACTCTGTCTTCTGCTTGAGACCTGCACCGACGAGAGTCCTACGAAGCAATTAGAACGAAGAGATTTCTGCAATGAGACGTGTTTACCAGCCGGGCTGATAATAGTGGTTCTCTGCATTGTCGATGATAGCAATATCACCACTGTTCAATGGGGTACCAGCCGCCTTGAACCGGTTGAAGATTTGGTTTGCCACGGACAAGCCGGCAGATCCACCACCAACGACAACGACCTTGAACTTGGCGCCATCTGCTGCGGTGCTGGCGAGTCGTGTGCCTAAAGAGCGGAGCATTGTGGAAGTTTTGGCTTTCTGTTGCAGGTTGGTTGCAGGAGAAAGCCGGAAGGAAAGACGCGTCTTTATTACATAATGGCACGCCCCAGGCCATGATCAAAACAGTCATCAGCTTGAAGTCGCTTACAATTGGCCCTTGAAGCACTCTATGGGGGCGGTCCCGATCGCTGGTCTATATGTTGCTCTTCCTCGACGCGGTATACGAATACCTATTCCTCACCGGAACGGTTGCAGTGACCTACCCGGATATTACTGCAGTCGCGTGATGCGCAAATCAATACTCTTCTCGAACCACCACCAGCTGCGCTGGTTTTTCTTGAATGTCCCGTCCCTCTCGTTCTGGCCTTCCCTCTGGCCCCGGGCCACGCTCTCGTTCAGCAGTCAGAAACAGATATGATGATGATGGCGACCGTAGCCAAGCGCCCTCCCAGTCGCGTCGCCAAGTTCGCCCGCAAAAGTCCCTGAATTCTATGCGATCCGAATCCCAACCGCCGCCACCCATGCCCTCCCGCTCTCGCCCTTCTTTTGATACTCGGCCATCAGACTCGAACAGAAGTAGCGACTCAACTGCGTCGTCCAACTCTTCTTTTCTGGACCGAATGCGAGGCTATGCTTCATCCCGGACAAGTCTCGATGACGAGCCACCCCCAAAGCCATCTGCTCGGTCCATGCGGAGCCGGCCATCAAGGGCAGAGACACCTCCACCAGGTACTGCTGAAACAATGACTGTTCGAGCCCCACGCTAACATAGTCAGTAGAAGATGATGATGATAACGAGCCACCTCCACAGGGAGATGGCTTCACATTGTGGAGCAAAGTTGCTTCAGCAGCAAGCTCGCTGACAGTCAATGTGGGCAAAGCTTGGACATCCAACGTTACCACATTCTCCGGCGAAGGTCAGTCACCGCTCACACGGCAATCTCTTGCTCACTCCTTGATAGAAACCCCGCCTGGACAAGAGTCACGTCTGACAAGGGCCATGAAGGCGTACCATATTGAGAAAGCTCGGGATCCGTCTGATTTACCGGGGTGGCTGTTCGACGAAAAGGAACGGAGAAGACCAGCCCCGGCGTCGAGTCGCTCTTCTTCAAGACATGACGAAGTTGGAGAAGACGATAGACGACCCACTCGCGCCGAACCCCTTTCGTCACGTGGTCTTCGCGATATAGCAGCTGCCTCTTCGAAAACATATGACCGATCAACTCGCGCTGGGCGTAGCTATGCCGATGACACTCCACAACCCTCTCGAGCTACAGATCGTCTCAAGGCACTTCGAGACGCCAAACGCAGTGCTGTGAACCCTAATGTTATGCAGGAGGAGGAAAGGGCCAAGGAAACGCCCAGAGTAGAGCCAGAAGTCCCTCGAAGGAGGGTTGGTTTACCTTCGGGCCCAATATCGCGTCGTTGATGGTTGATGGCCGCATCCAATATTAGCGTTGCTATGATTACCCCAGTAATAGTTACTTATTTTCGCCCGGATTCAATTTTTTCTGTTGGTTGGGAGAGGGAATGGCCTGAGATAATTTCTTTCTTGTGGTCTAGACCCAGTCCCTAGGGAGTCAACCAATCGCTGCCAAGTTGCCATCGAGGACCAATCTCCAATCAAGTTCCCCGTTTCAGATGCGACAAACCCGAGGGAGTGGTAAGCAGATCTGGTTTCCATATCATCACCGCATGCCCGGCCCAATAAAAGCCTCAGCCCACCCACTTCCTCCCACCTTTCTCCTTTTTCACGTTTTTCCTTTCTTTTCTCTATCTCTCTCCTAGTCGAGTTGACTCGCGCCAACTTTCGTTCCTACGAGGTGCGTGGCTACCCACACTCTTTTCTTCTCCTCGCTGAACAATGCCTGCCAGATCACCCTCTTTGAAAGAGAAAACCTCTTCGCGTTCCTCCTGGGAGGTTATTAGTATTCAGTCTTTCGACACCCACACCTCTACGGTTCACTAGTTAATTTTTTTGCTACCCTTTCACAATGGTCCTTATCGCTCCCATCCTCGGCGCTGCCGTCTTCCTCACTGGCTTCGCTGCCGCCCTCCCCACCAACCCCTACGAGGACTCGTCGTCGAACTACGGCGGCAACTCGTACGACAAGGGCAACAACTACGGTGGTGGCTCGTACGACAAAGGCAACAACTACGGCGGCAACTACGAGCCGTATGAGCCCAAGTACGACACCAAAGTCATCCAAAGCACAAGCACCGAGCCCAAGATGATGAAGGAGACCACCACCCCCATGATGATGAAGGAGACTACCACCACCCCCATGATGATGAAGGAGACCACCACTACACCGATGATGATGAAGGAGACCACTACCCCGATGATGGAGAAGCCCAAGACAACAATGATGGAGGAAAAGTCGACAAAGATCATCCAATCGACTTCGGTACCACCCCCCAAGGAGACTCCTAGCTACGGTTCTGGCAAGAGCTACTGGGGCGGCAGCGGCTACGACGACTGTGTCAACCAATGCATTGCCAAATACGGCTCTCCGGAGAAGGGTGGCTCGTACCAGGCCACTCAAACCTCTGGCAACAGCGGCAGCAAGGGCACTGGCGCTACCCACACTGTCATCGTCGCCCCGACCAAGGGTGTCTTCCGTATGGTTCCCTTCGCCGTCAACGCCTCGACTGGTGACACCATCGAGTTCCACTGGGGTGCTTCCAACCACACCGTCACCAAGAGCTCTGCTCTCACTCCTTGCAACAAGAGCTCTGACGCACCCATCTTCGCATCTGGTGAGCAAAACCAGGGCTTCGTCTGTACGTCTATTGTTGTTTTTCTCTCTTGTTTTTTCTTTCTAAACTCTTGTTTAGTCACCCAGGTCGTCAACGACACCAACCCGACCTTCTACTACTGCGCAACCGCTGGACACTGCCCCAAGGGAATGTTCGGTGTCATGTGAGTGTTTGATCCCCCCATCAAACTTTAATTTCGGCTGACTGGTGTTTGTCTAGCAACCCGCAGATGGCTGTTCCTGGAGCCCCTACGTCGCTCGGTGGAATGATGCAAACCATGGCCAAGGACGACTCTGACCTCTCTGCTTATGCCGCCTACAGCTCCAACGTTACCACCAACAACGCTGCCGCTTCCACCTGGGGAACCAACTTCGAGATGAACTCGATCCCCGACTGGGCTCGTAGCCTGTTTGCCGAGAACGTCCTCTACACTCGTGCTGTCTTGGCCATGAACAGCGAAGTTCTCAAGACCGACAACTCTGTTGACCTTGCCAGCGTTGCCGCCACACCTTTGATGCTGCCCATGGACATCAAGGAGGCCCTTGACAACTCTAACTCTGCTCCATCACCGGCTGCTCCCGGTGGCGCTGCTGGTGGTGCTCCTGGCGCTAGCGGTGCACAGGCTGCTGCCGCCGCCCCAGCTGCTCAATCACCAGCTGCGTCATCACCAGCCCCATCTAACGGTGCTTCATCAATTGTCTCCTCCAAATTCGCGGTCGCTCTCTTTGTTGCCGTCGCTACCTTCTTCGCTCTGTAAACCAGCAGCGTCGATACTCCTTCTACTTGTTGTTGTTGCATAATGTACGGACACTTGGGCATATGGACTCTTGCATTTAGAATTAACTATACCGTTGTGGACACCATACTATTTCCCGCGCGATTTTATAACGATCTCTCCTTTTTTTCCCTCTCTAATCTACCGCAATGCGCTTGAGATCAACGTCAACCACCACCCAGTCAGCCAAAGATCGCATCAATTTCGTCCCTTGGCTTGGACTTCTTTCTCCTTGGCTTGTTGGCTGCGGGAGGGTGGACTACCTTGGTGATGCGTTCAACCACGACTTGCCGTGCTAGCAACGGATAAGCGTATTGTTGGCGCACATGTCAATACTCACAACCAACCGCGGGCTCGTGTGGCAAGTCGACATGGAGATCGGGCTGGGGATCCTCTTGGATTTGCTGGCGCCGACCATTATTCATATTAGGCTGTTCAAACTCAGCCATCGTTTGATACCTGGGTATGGCTCACATCGACAAGACTTTGAATTGTTTCCACAGATCGGCTGAGAATTTCCGCCAGCGCTGATACGAGTGCGGCCATCCGAGACGAAATTGCGGAAAGCGTCAACAGCACTTGGGCGAATGCCCCGGTTTGAATGGCAAGTGAGAAGGATCTATTAGTCCGCGTCAGTCCGCGCTGATTTCTGGGTGGGGGCCTCACCGATAGGCGTACCCCAGTCGCTCGGTCATCTGTGATGTGGATGGTTAACCAGCAATACGATCATGTTCGTCTACCACCTTCTCCAGAAGAACGAGCGACCCGCTGATCCGCTTGAGAATGAAAGATACGAAGGGCTTTTCGGGTAGGTGTGTCCATGAGCCCTTGAGCAGCTTTGCGCTATTGCAATCAGTTCTGCGGCATTGTAATGGGCAAATCGGTTACGATTGTTGCTGCGATTGGTCGAAGAATGAGAATCGCAGAGAGTTTATTAGGTCCAACAGAGCTAGACTTTCTACGCGCTCGGCATAGCGCCGTATTTCAGTTACGCGTCGCCAGAAAAGAGAGATTCGGTGTTGGTTTTTGGTGCGGTAAAAAATTTGATGCAGAACGAGTAATTCGTCGTTGAAGGATTCAAGCACAGGTTGGAGGGCCCGTGACTGCAATTTGAGGTCTCTAAGAGAGGCATCGACGAGAGGCAAGACATCCGGGTGTAGTTGAGCCTTGAGTATCTGGCCAATATCTGGGACGCGTTCATGGCGTTGCATGAAGTAAGCAGCCCGCGTGACAACCCCCGTGACCCTTCGTCATAACGCCTTCGTCAAGTTGGTCGGACCAGCGCGATTCCTCGATTTTCTCGGTCTAGCGGTGTCGATTCGCAATGGCGGCGGCTGGGCAGGACGCTAAATTCTTTCAGCGGGGCAAGATCGAGGTGCGCCAAACGAACATTAGGGATAATGCTGTTGCCGACCAAGTCTCGAGGAATTCCGTGCTGAGCTTCAAGCCGCTGAGGCAAAGGACAAGAAGTATGTGAAGCGTAAGACGGTCCTGAAGAAGATTGTGGCGAATATTACGATGGGAAATGACAGTCCGTGGTTGACCTCCTCGCGATGGCCTCCTCCATAATAACTAACTAGTGTCTCCGCTGTTCACCGATGTCGTGCAATGCCTGGGCACCCCCCTGCTTGAGATCAAAAAGAGTAGGCTTTCGTCAACTTCCTTTTGTCTGTTGACCGATCTTCTAGTGGTTTACCTTTTCCTCGTCAGCTACGGGCGTTCCAAGCCGGAGCAAATACACCTGGTCATTCCCAACTTCCTCCAAGTGCGCGGCCAACACTGTCTCAATGTTTCCTTCTAACCGCGCTAAGGACTGCAACGATCGCAACCCGCTTATTCGGGCGTTGGCCATCCGAACGATGTCCTACATCCCCATCCCGGTCGTGACAGACGCGTTAAACGACAACTTGAGGCACTGTCTGAAGGACAACGACCCTTATGTTCGCAAAACGGCTGCTATATGTGTTGCCAAACTCTACGCGGCCGACCCACGCAGGGCAGAGAAGAGCGGGTTTGTGGAGATGCTGCGTGACCTCATGCTCGACAACAATGCCACCGTTGTTGCCAATGCTGTTGCAGCGCTTTCCGAGATCGGAGACCGTCAGGACGGTGTCATTTTCAAGCTCAATTTGACGACGACCAACAAACTGTTAGCTGCCCTGGGAGAAAGCTCCGAGTCAGTCCGAATGCTTCGTTGTTTGCATAATCTAATGCGACTTAACAGGTGGGGTCAGATCTACATACTTGACTCCCTGCTTCGTTACGTTCCCGAGCGGCACGCGGATGCGGAGGTTATGGCGGAACGCATCATCGTCCAACTCCAACACGCCAACTCGGCCGTCGTGCTGACCACGATCAAGGCTCTGTTATACCTGATGAACTACATGGAGAACAGGAAACTGATTGACTACATCTGTAAAAAGATGGGTCCACCTCTGGGTGAGTCGGGCTTCTCATGACAAAACCTACATCCTTTATATCAAATTCCAGTTGCTCTACTGTCTTCTGGGCCAGAAGTGCAATACGTCGCTTTGCGCAACATCTTGCTGATCATCCAACGCCGACCCGCCGTCCTCAAAAACGACGTCAAAGTGTTTTTCTGCAAGTACAACGACCCGATCTACGTCAAGCTTGCCAAACTCGAGATCATGTACCGTCTTGCGCGGTCAGAGAATGCGAACGAGGTTCTGGCAGAACTGCAAGAGTTTGTTGATTCTACTGATTCATTAACGTATTTTCATTGTTCTGCAGATATGCCTCGGAAGTAGATCTTGACTTTGTACGTAAAGCGGTGCGATCTATTGGGCGGCTGGCAATCAAAGTCGAAGATGCCTCGGACGCATGCATTCAGGCGTTGCTATCCCTCATCGAGACCAAAGTGTCGTATGTCGTGCAAGAAGCCGTCATCGTGATCAAGGACATTTTCCGTCGCTACCCTGGGAAATACGAGGGCATCATACCAACATTATGCGAGCATTTGGACGCTTTAGATGAGCCCGAAGCGAAGGCGGCCATGGTCTGGATCATTGGCCAGTTTTCCAACAAGATCGACAACGCGGACGAACTAATGGACGACCTGTTGTACACGTTCTTGGAAGAGAGCACTGAGGTAAGAGGCGATGATCGAGTTCGCCTTGGCTCACCTATAATAGGTTCAACTTGCATTGCTCACAGCCTCTGTTAAACTCTTCATCTACAAGTCGAAGACGGACAAATCAGACAAGGCAAAAGAGCTTGTATTCAAAGTTCTCAAATGGGCGACTGAGGAGGTTGACAACCCTGATCTCCGCGACCGTGGCTTCATGTATTGGCGGCTGCTCGCAATGAACCCGTCCGTTGCGGGAGAGATTGTGTTGTCTGAGAAGCCACCAATAACAACCGACTCCGATAGGATGGACCGTGGCGCTCTGGACCAGCTATTATTGCACACGGGAACGCTGGGAAGTATATACCACAAGGTTAGTCTTCGCTTTCCAACGCGCAACCTGCATCTCAATGTAATTCTTAGAACCCTGAGGTGATACCTAACCGCGTTGGTTTCCCAGTGATGCTGATTCGCATAGACTTTCATTCGGAATGCGACGGGCAAGTCGCTCAAGGACAGCCCCGCGCTCAATGCGCATTCAAGAGCTGTGCTTATTGGGGTTGCGCGACCAAATCTGCCCAGCACTGCCGTGACCGTCGCTGGTCCCGGGCCAGTCGAATCACATCAGCACCCAACTGAAGAGCCTCCACCCCCGCCTCCGCCCGATACGCCTGGGACATCGAAGCCTACACCGCCGCTGCCGCCACGAGAAGCTGACAAATCATCAGACGACGGGGGCGATGAGAACGAGCCCCCAGCCAACGGCAAGAACCACGACCCATATTCAAACCTGGACGGTGCATTTGGCAATTATCTGGCGGACGAGCCACGGCCAATGAACGGTGGACGACAGGACGAGGACGATTTATTGTTTTGATACCCGAATATTATTGGATTAGCAGGAGGACAAACCAAAACAGAAATGAGTGTTAGTAAGACTGGTACAACTGAACCTGACTAATTATAATACGCCTTTTGAGTTAGCCACTCTTCGGCGGTCGTCCGCTGCCACGACGTGTCGTACGTTTCTCGCATTTTCCTGCGTCTAGCGGGTTCCGGGGATGTGACGGCAAGGGGGAGAAACACCACAGACAGCATGCCCCGTTTCGTCAAACCGGGCAGCGATTTATAAAGGAATCCCAAAATCACGTTGTGGTCAAAGGTGCAAGTCCATCCGAGGCTGTCGTATACTTGGACTGTCACTTTTTTGAGATGAGGAAACTTGGCAAGTGCGACTCGGTCGAGTTGCAGTCCGGAGGTGTGGCCGGGGCAGCTGCGGGGGTAATCACCATCGCCAAAGCATTGCCATTCGTAGTGCGGAGAGGTGAGAGCCAGTTCAGTTACCCAGTTTCTCTCGTCCATTGCAGAAAAGAAGCGCCATCCGTGGGCAGGATGGCCAGTTGAGAACGCGACCTCGATCTTCTGGAGGAAGGGGTAATGGTTGAGGTTGAATTGAACGCCCAATGTTTGGTCTAAGATACTTCAAGTTAGCAGAGGTGTGCGGGGAAAGGAGGCAGGTGCCACCTCTCGAGACGATCTTCAGTTGGTCGATTCCGGGGCAAAAAAGGCCCACGGGTTTGACAGGGTCTGGAGGGAAAGCACCCTCATAGCTCAGTGTACGTATTTCCTTCAAATTGAGGGGACTCTTCAGCTCGCGAAGGACTGGCACCGCATCGGCAGAACGAACAAGACCCAGTGTCGTGATTTTAGGGGAAGACGAACTTCGCTTTGGCGCAGGGCCGATAAACGAGAACTCTGTCGACTGGCGAGAAATGTTTTGGCAATCATGTAAAAATAGATCTGTGATAGTCGGGGAGCAATGGGCAACGATGTGGCGGAAGTAGCTGGCACTCCATGCTCCGGAGTCGAAACTGAGCGTTAGATGGGAGAGTTTGGGGGAAGCGACAAGCCATTGCAGACTCCCCAACATCAGGTTATCTTTATTGGATGGAATGCCCTCAAGGTGGAGTACCTTTAGACATGGCCATTCCCTAGACGCCAGCAATTCGAGGAATGTCGGAGGACTGGATTCGAGTTTGATTGTCTGTACGTGGAATGCGAGGTGAGGAGAGGCCTGTAGAATATTCATGAGCCGCGTAAGCCGGTTCAACCAGGAGACACGAGGGCCGATGCCACTCCGAAGCTTCCTATCAGTTGGGATATAGAGACCAATGTGAATTTGCTTGAAGATGCGGGACTGGGCCCAAAGGGCGAATCGCCCGCATACAAGAGCACAAGATTGGAGGGTTATGTCATCGTCAACAACGTAGTCTGCGAGGATGAGATGCTCGAGGTCTGGTGGGAGAGCCATAATAGGGGTGTGACATCACAGTGACTTGGTAAACAGTGAAAGCACGACGGAGCCAGACGAAAGATTTTAGGTTTAGCGTCAAGCTTACGCGATTGGGCCGTTGTACTTGAACTCTTTTAGGACTTTGAATAAAATTTATTGGATTGGCAGGATGTTTTGGATAGCATGAGAAATCTGCGAACGCGTAGATCGACCGCGTAGGGAATTGTAATGCTGCATCTCTTTCTTTCAGTAGGTCATAGGATCGGAGCAAAGGAAACTGACCTCGCCCAGTCCGTACATTCTCCTGTGATAGCTAATACGTACCACAGGCTGATCTTTCCCGGGCTCCTCGGTCGAGGGATTGTGGACTACAATGGGCGGTCGACCACCTTGTATCACGTGGATTGGGACTTTGTAGGCCCGACATAACGCCAAAATTTCTGGCTCGCCTCCCCAAATGGCAGTGTCACGTATAGACGCGCAATATCCTTGGAATTCGCGGGGTGACATGAAGGCAGTCTCTCCTCCGTCATCGTGGGCAGATGGTAAAAAGGGAATGAAGTCGTCTGGATGAGCATACATATAGGCAGCTGCTGTAGCACGAGTGATAGCGTAGGTCGCCTGTGCAGAGGGTAGAATGGATAATAGTTGGAGTTGATCGGCAACGGCAGAGAAAAGACAGTGTCCGTCAGGACTTATCTGTCAAGATAAGAGAAACTACAGAACAAATGGTTGGTGGGTTACTCACCTCGTGTATTTTCACATTCAGCTCATCGCAAACGCGATTGATGTCTTTCTCCTCGTCTTTGGCCTCCTTCTCCAACCGCGCCTCAGCTGCTGAGTCTGTTGCGGAAAATGTTTCCGCAAGAGCAGCAGCCTTACGAGCCTGACACGATTTAAAACCTGATTACTAGCCTCCGGTCTAGTTACCTGACGAGCATTAAATCGCGCTTTCGAGTCCTGTTTCGTGTCTTCTGCCTCAATCTTGGCTGACTGCATTTCGTTCAAAAGTTCTGCTGACTCTTGCTTCGCGGCGGCATCGCGCGAGTCAAGCTGGGCGAAAAGATCATCTACAAGCTCGTCGTCGTCGATTGCCGGTGGTGCGTCGGCCAGAGGCTGCTGGGATTTCTTTGACTTTTTCTTCGCCATTGGAGAGTTGATTCAAGAACGATGATGTCACGCGATCGTCCAGTTGCGAATTTCCAGTTTATCTCAGCGTTTTCTCTCACACCATCATGAGTGCCTCCATTCGCGTCCCGCTTATCTTCGGTACGATGACCATGGGGGCTCCTGGCTCTCAAGGCAGCGTGCGCAACACCGATATTGCGGAGGTGAGTGGTTGTGGGAAACGACAAACAAATCAATAACTGTTCACTAGTGCACAGAAATCCTCAAGGTGTTTGCCAGCTACGGTCAGAAAGAAATCGATACTGCACGTATGTATGGCGGAGGGACAACAGAGGAGGTTTACTATACCAATCCAACGAAAACCCGCACTTGTCAATGCTAATTCTCCAGTATCTGGCGCAGATCGACCTCGGGGACTCCACCATCGACACCAAGTACTCCCTCCCTCTCTGATTTCCTATCCAGACTAAGAAGTAATCAGAGTATACCCTGTCAAAGCAGGAGACCACAAACCCGAGAATCTTCGGGCAACTTTCTTTACATCTCTCAAAGCTCTGAATCGCAAGAAGGTGAGGGTGCTCTACCTCCATGCACCAGATCGCAGGTTAGTTGTGATGAAAGCATTTCTGAAGCATGGCTGAGCGCAGAAATAGCGTTCCTTTCGAGGAGACCCTTGAAGAAATGAATAAATTGTACAACGAAGGATACTAGTGCGTCAGACGTTTCGTGGCCATTCTTGTCCCATGACGCCCTAAAGCGAGATATTCGGCCTTTCTAACTTCGCGTCTTGGGAGGTAAGTTCATGCGAAGTGAGAATGAAGTCACTTGGACTGTTCCACAGGTCGCTGAGGTTGTGAGCATCTGCAAGGCGAAGAACTGGATCCAACCAAAAATATACCAAGCGTGAGATGACTTGACCTGGTTTTTTGACGCATTTTTAATTGTGACGAAGGATGTACAACGCCATTACACGTGCCATAGAGCCCGAGCTTGTGCCATGTTGCCGCAAATTTGGTATCAGAATTGTTATTTATAACCCCCTTGCGTTTGTTTGGCTCGTTTTGTCCGTCAGTTTTGGCTCACTACAGCTCTAGTGGGGGCCTCTTCGCTGGAAAGGTTACATCTCTTACCGATGTTCCAACAGACGGACGGTTCAACGATTCGACACCTTCGGGAAAGATGTACCGGGAGAGATACTTGCGCCAAGGCAATTTTGACGCTTTGAATGTCGTCAAGCAGGTTTCTGTAAGTTTATTCCGAGTACTTGAAGCAGCGGTAGTCTGACTTGAGCTCGAGGAAAAACATGGTCTTCGGTTGACGGAAGTCGCTTTGCGGTGGTGCCAACACCACTCAGTTCTGGGCCCAAGTGACGGAATAATCTTGGGGGCGAGCAGTGCAGAACAGCTTAAGATGAATTTGGAAGATTCTTCCAAAGGGGCACTGCCAGAAGATGTGGTGAAGGCCCTTGACGAGGCTTGGAATATAACCCGGAGCACAGCCAGTACTTATTGGAGATGATGTTGCCGTCTTTATCTACCAACTCTTTGAGTAAAAGTGTGGAGAAGGCATTGTTTGTTCGTGAGCGCTGTTGAAGACCGGACATCACAGTATAAAGTCAAGCCGTGTGCATCACTATGGCTTGAGCCGAGAATGACCTCTCTCACTGACTTTGGATATCGGTTGTGCGATCTCTCCAACTCTCCTTCTTCCAGCAACTGGCACGATGTAGAAACGACAGCTCAAGCACTGGCAAATGGGCTTAGAGTCCGCGATGGCCCAAGTCAGGCGATAATTCTTTGTTGAGTTCCTACCCTTTCTGATATTCTTCTTTCACCAGTCGATAACCATACTCCATTGGGGAAGACTGCTCTGCCTCAAGCTTTGACCAGCCTTCTCAGTTCCGCTCTACAAGGAAGCCCCACGCCGGCATCAACACACGTTCCTGTTGTGTTTGAGCTACTTCGCGTCTCTGCCAATCTCTGCATTGACCATGGCAAGTCCTTCACATCTGATTACCTCCTTCTGACCTCAAAACAGACGAAAATCGTGGCCATTTGCTAGAGTCTGGTCTCCCACAGGCAGTCGTTTCGCTTCTGGAAGGATATGCTGAATCGATACCCAATCCTCCGACATCTTCACCGCTCCCTCTCACAATCCCCCACCTCAAAGTCGTTAGGACGGCCATTGGCGTATTGTTGAATGTCAGCTTGAACTATGGTTCGCGTCTAACGCTACGATTCATCGGATTCTGACTCTCCCTCGCAGACCCCGTCAAGTCGCGTTTGCGCTCGCTCGATGCGGCATTGACGATCATGAGATTGTCCACCGCTATTTACCCTCCCGCCGCCTGGCTCTCGGCGGTGCCAACGGAGGGAGAAGATTTGGAGGAATCATGGGCTTTGCGAAGTGGTGTGTCCAGCTGGGCATGGAAGACAATCGTCGATTTGAAGGAAGTCAAGGATGAATGTGCGCATTGGATTATTTCCTTTTGCATTTTTAAACCTTTTCCAGCCCTGCAGATATTCAATCAAGACGTTCTGCCCCTCTTGACCCCGGCACTCGAAGCTTTCTCTTCCCCATACCCAATCAAGTCTGCCACGTTTGAGGCAGACACTGAGCTGTTCGAAGACCTTCTCGTTACCGACTTTGAGGTGCTTGAACAGTCGTGTACCTTCTTAGAATCGCTTTCTCTTGACATAGAGGATGTCCGTCTCTCACTCGCGCGTGGATTCAACTTCCCTGCGGAACACGGAGGCACCCCATGCCTGTCTACTATCTTGGACTTCATCGAGAAAGGCGACTACCCTGTGCTCTGGCAGACTGTTTTCCTGGAGGCGGACCGAAGGCGCCGCGAGAAGGTATTCGACAACTGCAAAGCAGCACTCATCAAGTCCGTCGTTGAGGTTGCTGGTGAAGAGCGCAATGAAGATGTCCTCTGGGATGATTCAGAGAGCAGGCCGGGCGGAGATTTTGTCTGTCGTATGGTCGATTTGATCAAGAAGTACCTGGCAGATGTTGAATCTGGCGCTTCGGGGAAGGACTCGTTTGCGCAACGGGACGATTTAGTCATCTGCGCTACTCTCTCGCTTGGGAATCTAGCACGAAGAGGTATGTTACGGGTGAGATTAGCACCTCGCTTACGCACCCCAATACAGAAAAGAATTCGAGTGTCTTGTTGTCTCCTCCACATTCGTTGGCGCCATGTTTGACCTCTCCCCATCTCCTGGCCCCGTTAACTGACATCAAAATGAAACATGGTGTCATCGGGTTGCTCAAGCACCTTGCCCAATCCTCCGCGCATTCTACTGTGATTCATGACGCACTGTCGGAGGCTCAGGTTGTTCAACGTATGACGAAGAGCGGCGTTTGGGATGAAAAGGTAGACGAGATGGCTGACATCGTTCAGCTCAGTGCGATTGGTGTCGTCAAGCATATGTGCAACGCAAATGGTACATTTTATCGTACCCTATTTCGCTCCAAACTGATAAGTATGGTCAGTGGAAAACACATTCACGTTGATACTCGGAGATGAACCGACGGGGCTCTCTCTGATAATGGCCCTCGTTAAACGGACACGGTCAACTGCAATTCGAAGCGAAGGGACCCGCGTGCTGGTAAACGCAATCAAGTCATTGTGGTCTACAGAGCCAGCGACCAGCCCTGTTGCACAAGGGCTCAACACAGCTGAAGCCGTGACGGAGCGACAAGAAAAGCGCAATGCGGCAATGCAGAAAGTTCTGACGCACGATTGCGCATTCGCTCTCGCAAGCCTTGTCGGACGGAGTGCCAAATACCCACTTTTGGTAAACGAGGGAGTGGTTGCGTTGAGCTTGATGAGCACGATAAAATCCGGTGGTCGGTTCATGATCTCTCTCCCTGGCAACCATTTACTGAAAAGATTTGGATAGGACCACTGGCCCTGACCGCCATTCTAACGCCGATCCCCTCGGATGCACCCCCTCCAAGTGAACCAATATCCACTCCGGCTTCCGCTAGCAGCGAGCAACCAACGTCAGGCAGTGACTTGAGTTCGCCAGTTGTGACCACGCCATCAACTCGTGGACGGCCAACGATACCACGAAACGCACTTGATATGCTCATTGCTGTCCTAAGAAATGTCGACAACCCAGTCAACTTCCAGATGGAGGTCCGTGTCAATGTGTGCTCGTTCTTTGTGCAGTTGACACGCCATACCTCTGGCCCGGAATTGGGGCGGATAAAGGACGCCGTCAGGCCGGTAGTAGAGGGTGTTGCGGAAGGCTTACAGACCGGGGAGGCGGATCTGCTATCCAAGGCAACACAAAAGCTGCTAGATTTGTGGGCTTGATGGATCATCGTGTGTACGTAATTTTGACCGGCTTCCTTATACCCGAGTTCGACTAGGTTCCTCAATAAATTGATTGTTTGACCCGTCTTCTTCTTCTCCACAATTCGCTACCGGGCCATGAGCACTATCACTGTCGATATCTCTGCTGGAATAGCCACCATATGCTTGAATCGCCCAGATTCGCTGAATTCTCTTACTGTTGAGGGTACGCGAATGATTGGCCGCCTGAATTTGTAAACCAACGGTCACAACCTCTGTAGACTATGATGCTTTCGCCAAAGCACTCCGCGACATCGACAAGCGGGACGATGTTGTTGTTACTGTCTGGCAGGGAACCGGGAAATGGTTTTGCGCGTAAGTTCCCTGCTTAATCTGGACTTCCGCCTCTGAGTAACTTAGCGGAACGGACGTAAAAACAGCTGGCGCAGCGCAGGACTCCGTCATAGGGAATGTCCGGGAGGCATTTCTAAAGGCGGTAACTCTCAGCACGACCGACTGTGGTCAAGCCGTAGGCTATTTCCTCACCGGCCAATGTTTAATTGTTAAGTTCTTCTCTTTAATAGCTCTACAGCCACCGCAAGATTCTGGTTGCGGCCCTCAATGGCCCGGTGATGTACGTTGAACGATACACTGCTTGTCCCACTTGCTTAGCCTCGCAAGGGGTATGACTCCCTTCCTTCGTTCATGCTGAACTTTCGGACCATAACTTTGGCAGGCATCGCGGCGGGTAGGTTTTCCCGCGACGGCGGGACTGCAACCTTGACAGACTCTTACAGCTTTCCTGGGCTACTTTGACTTTATCTATTCTCTACCGAATGCGTGGCTGTCAGTGCCCTTCACGTTCATTGGTAAGACTGGCCGCCCACGCGACAACTTGGAAAGTTTGGCTAACAGCTGTATTAAAGGCATTATCGCGGAAGGTGGATCAAGTGTCAGTTTCATCAATCGCAGTAAGTTCCGTTGACCATCCCAGTTGACTTGGAGATTCAAGTGAAGGACCTTGTAGTGGGCTTGGCGAAAGCCAACGAAGCGTTGATCTGGGGTAACACACGCGTGGCTTATCGGGCTTGACATGTAACGAATTTCAGGAAAGAAAAAGGATGCGCAAGAGCTCCTGCAATGTGGATTCATAAAGTAGGTTCACAGAGACGAGACGAACTCATCTGAATGGTCATTTTCCAAGCAAAATATTCCCTCAACAGTCGGTAGAGAGCTTTCACAAAGCTGTTCGGGCGCTTGTCCTGGATGACATGGAAGGTTTAGATCCTTCAGCAATCTTCGAGGTGAAACGGTTGCTGAAAAAGGGCCTGGATGAGAAAAATTCCATGGACGCCGTTAACTTAAGGGAAAGCATTGCACAAGCAGAAAGATTTGCAAGGTCAGCGGTGGTGGAGCTACAGCTGTGTGTCTCCACTGAAGCCTTTCTACCAGTGGAATTCCTGCTAGACAGTTTATACGGATTGCCAACAAAGAGATTAGGCACAAGTTATAGAAGACTCAGCATCATATAATACCAGCGTCTTCTTTTTCGGTTGTGCCTGTTCGTGTGGGGTTCTTGAAGTGTGACAGGGCAGTGACCTTAGCCGGGAGATCTCTGGTGGGTGGTGATAACGAGATAGTGATGTTTCTTGGCGTCTTCTCAATACTTATGGTTTGGTGTCGAAACACGGCTCTTGCTCCCATCTTGCCCTCACGCCTCTTCCATGTCGGACGACGAAAAGCAATATGGCAAGACAAGCGACACCGCCAGCGTCGAGCTGGCGTCTGTCGACAACGAATACTACCATGACCCCAACGAGTTGAACGACCCAACCTCCGTTGACCACAGTCTCCATCGCGGGCTCACCGCCAGGCAAATTAGTATGATTGCCCTAGGTCATTATTATCCTTTTTTTTCACTGCGTTGTGCTGAACATTGTTCTCTTTTTTTTCAGGTGGAGCTGTAAGTTATCTGTAGCTCGCGTCGAGGGAATGCTGAGCCCACCTTCCACTTTAGGTAGGAACCGGTCTTATCATTGGCTCCGGAACTGCGCTTACTCGGTACGTGTCCTTTGACTCTCCGACAACCCTGGAGTGATCTCTTTGCAGAGGCGGTCCTTTGGGTCTGTTCTTGGGCTATCTGTGAGTGAGGCCATCGCTGAGTAACTACAATTAAACCAAGTTTTTAGTTATGTTGGCGCGGTGTGCTGGATGGTGATGGTGGGACTGGGAGAAATGTCAGCCTACCTGCCTCACTCAAAAGGATTCGCGGGTTACGCGACGCGTTTCGTCGATCCTGCTCTCGGCACGTTTTATCCATATTGTTCATTTCCTCATTCTGAACAGGATGATTAGGCTTTGCACTTGGATGGAACTACTTGCTAAAATACGTCAGTTGTGCTCCTTCGCATACTCGACGGTATTGACTGCGACACAGCTTATCGTAACACCAAATAATATCAACGCCGCTGGTGTGGTCATTAGTTATTGGTCTGGAGGTAGAAAGGTCCCTCTCGAGGCCTGGATGGGTAAGAAAACCCACCTTTCGCTTGAGCCTGCCGTCTGATCCTATTTCAGTCATCTTCATCGTCTTCAGTAAGGACGTTTCGGTCATCTTTTCGCCCATTTGATGATCACTCAAGTTGCTGTAATTAATCTGCTTGGAGTCCGTGTCTTCGGAGAGCTCGAGTTCTGGTTCTCCAGCATAAAAGGTTGTTCTCTGCGTCAAATTTCGTCTCTTGCTAAGTTCTTTCAGTGGTGACTTTGATTGGACTGTTGATCATGGGCATCGTAATTGACCTCGGTATGCTATTTTTCTGTGAGCGGAACGTAGCCTTTGACCTCGCACAGGTGGAAATCCTCACCACGACCGCCTTGGGTTCCGTTACTGGAAGAAACCCTATGGACCCATGGGTCACTATAAACTGGACATCGTCAAAGACGAGTCTTTATCCATCTTCTTAGGATTCTGGGCGACCCTTACAAATGCTCTGTTCGCTTACATTGGTACGGAGCTTGTTGGAGTACGATTCTCAGTCAGAACAAAACAACAATGGGTTAGACTGAAATGGTTTCTAGGTAACTGCAGGAGAGGCCCAAAATCCCCGACGCAACATCCCCATTGCCATCCGGAGGACGTTCTTCCGAATCCTCATTTTGTGCGTAACACATTAACACATTCAACAGTGATGAACCCACTGACAATTCCTCCAGCTATGTCGGAGGAGTATTTGTCATCGGTCTTATCGTACCCTCGACCAACAAGACTCTGTTCACCGCAACGAAAGCCAAGACTGGAGGTTCGAATTATCATCCAGTTGACTCTCAAAACTGAACTTGATTGTAGCTGCGGCCTCGCCATTTGTCGTTGGTAATGATAAACATTCCCGCTCAATGAACCTAGAATTAACACAACCAACCAGCTATCACGCTCGTCGGCATTCGTGTCCTCAACCACATCATCAACGCAGCCATTCTGTCCTTTGTGCTGTCTGCAGCCAATTCTGACCTCTACATTGGATCCCGTACACTCTACGGTCTCGCCGTCGAAGGCAAGGCCCCAGCCATCTTCAGTCGCGTCAACCGCAATGGTGTTCCATGGCCGGCTCTCACGCTTTGCACGCTGTTCTGCTGCCTTGTGTTCTTGAATGTCTCTGCGTCGAGCGCCAAAGGTCAGTAAATCTGAAGCATCTGCTAGTCGCTGGTCTGACTCCTTCACAGTCTTCACATGGTTTGGATTCCAGCTTGCTTCATGCTTGGCTTTTCTAATCTTATTTCCACAGGTTCGTCAACTTGGTCAGCACATTCGGCGCGATTACGTGGATTTGCATCTCCGCTTCACATATGTGCGACTTCCATAGTACTGTCAATAGCTTGGCTGACGCGAAAAATAGCGCTTTCATGAAAGCTCTTCGGGTCCAAGGCAAATCACGCGACGAACTCCCTTACAAGGCACCTTTCCAACCATACGGAAGCTGGTAATTGGTGACCCATCGCTCTTGCGAACAAAACCCTGATCCTCCCTAGGTTTGCCCTGATATCGACCATTATAATCCTCATTTTCAAGGGCTTCGACACTTTCATGCCATTCACCAAAGACACATTTGTCACGTAAGTCCTCCATCCTAGTCATGCTAGCAAAAGTCTAATAGGACCTTCAAGATCTTACATTGGTTTGCCGGTGTTCGGTTTGCTGTACTTCGGGTACAAGTTCTACTACAAAACCAAGGCCATCCCAAGCAGCAAAGTGGACCTAGTAACAGGATTGAAGGCCATCGACGATGCGGAGAAAGAGTTCTTGGACGAGGAGAAAGGACAAACTCCCAAAGGCTGGCTCGCCAGAGCGTGGGACAACATTTAATGATGTCCTTACTTGTTTTCTGTACGACGACGCTTTCTACGATCCGATTCATCATCACTCCCAATGTTTTCCATTTCGTCCCATACGTCGTCGTCTTCGTCGGGCGGCTGAACGGGAGTCTGATGAACACCGTCCCACGCAACCACGGTTGGCACACTGGTGGTGAAGATTTTTTCAATGACCTGACCCTTGCTGCTATTGTCCTGATTAGAACCAGCAACAGCGGGCGGGGGAAATGTGGTGTGAATTCGGCAGTATCGATCGAGCGCCGTGGAAACCAGTAAGTGTGCTCCTCGACCGTCTGAATGCGATAGTGAAGATGGAGCCACAGAGGTAATCGCCCCAGAAAGACCTATTAGATAGTTAGATGGCAAGAAAATGGTTATATTGAGCTATTTGACCTTTGTATGAGTAGACGATGCGACCGTTTCTCAGGTCTACGGAGGAGAGATTGCACCCATGATCGCCTACAAGCACCTCGTGGTCAGCCAAACCTTTCTCCAATACTTTGACTCCGCCTGTCTTGGCGATCCCAGCCCACTGGGATATAGGCCTACGAGCGGCTCGCGTATCATAGCGGCGAAGGTCACCCAGCTGGGTCCCGGCAAGAAGTTGAGGAGATGAGGCTGACGGTAAATAGTTCAACGTTGTAATGCGAATAGGTTGTCGAAGGCCAAGGTTATCTGTTTGTACATTCTTGGACCTCCAAGTTTCTCCCGGGAATAAATCATTTCTTTTTCGTTTCGAGGACGAGACACTAGCATCTGTGGAAGCGAATGCTGCTTTAGAGTCCCACACTGAAACGTCGACCTCGTTGCCACCATACGAGAATGTTTGAGAGGCAGGATCATGTCTCCACACACACAAACGCGCTGGAAGCGATCCGAGAGAAGTCTCGCCATCGTCTGTGACAAGACGAAGAGCCCCATTAGATGTGCAAGAGTATATGCCTCTACACGAATCAGGGTTATTATAGGGAGTGAAGATGATAAACTGACCTCTCCGATTGTTGTAAGCCAACAAATGTTTCTTGAGGTCGTAGTCGCGTCTCTTTCCAAGAAGATGTTTGTGCGAGTTCCTTGTCTCTGTCCCACGTATATCTTGTCACTAAGCCACTTGCAAATGCGACTGCGACCTTGCTTTCGCGAACAGAGATGGCGGCAACAGAAGACGGGGTTGAGTCGCTATCCAGCTGGACGAGCTCAGATGGAGTTCCTGAAGCGTTTATGTGCAGTGCTTTGAGATGACCTAGTTCATCGCCCACGAGAAACATTTATCGAAAAATTGGTGGTGCTGATCGAAGAAGCTTATGAGTGTGACCAGATGTCACAGACTTGGCTTCATTCACTCCCTCGACATGGACGCGCCATTGAAGGAACTAGCGAAGCTAGAGAAGCTTACAGCGAGCAAGGGAAAGGGACCCTCCATATCAGACTCACTCGACGCACTTCTCATCTCACTGAGGGAGGCAAAACATGCAATTTCCGAGTCGGCAGCATCCGGAATAACACCCGACCAAGTGATCAAAGAATTGGGACAAGCCGTCGACTCGAAGAAGAAGGAGGTTGAAGAGCGTCAGAAAGAAGTATATAATTCTGTTTCTCGTCTAGGGAAGGCTCTCGATAAAGTGAGCAGAGTGACACCTCTCTTTACCATTGCTGACCTCTCAGAAATTCCCGACACCACTCCCATCTTATCCAGACATATTCTCATCCCCCGCTTCAATCACTGCTCTCGAGCGCACCATAGCCCTTCATCTATTGCGCACTGGGCAATTCGACACGGCAGGAGTATTTCTCCAGGTAGGTATCATGTTCTCATTGAAGTCGGACTGAAATCGCTAGGAATGTGCACTTGATATCCCAGCAGAGCTTCGTGCCCAATTCATTGACCTTCATCGTATTCTTCAAGCATTGAGGAATCAGGATGTTGGTCCAGCCCTTGGGTGAGTCCATAACTCCTTGCATCTTAGTTTTACTCACTCTGGTAGATGGGTTGCGAAGAATCAGCAATTTCTACTGAGCCGTTCCTCACCCCTAGAGTTCAACCTTCATCGATCGCAATTTATTCGACTCCTACTCAGTTCACACCCGCCGAACTTTATGCAAGCTCTTTCCTATGGCAAAGAGTGCTTGACTGCCTTCACTGATGAGCACCAAGGGGAGCTGATGCGACTGTATGGCTGCATGGCGTATCTTCCTTTGTCCAAGTTGCAAACGTCGCCTTATGCAGACTTGGCCTCCCCTTCGTTACACTTTGACCTGGAGCCACTCTTTGCGAAAGAGTACTGCGCCAGTCTCGGAATGAGTCGTCAAGTTCCACTCCGTGTTGTAGGAGATATTGGGGGTGGCGGAGCACTCGCCAGAATCGAAAAGGGCCGCAAGGTCATGCGAGAGCGGAAGAGCGAGTGGAGTCAGGTGGACGAGCTTCCGGTGAGAATGTTCTCAATTCATGTTGCCCTATCTTATGGAAACAGATCGAAATACCCTTGCCACCAGAGAATCGCTACCATTCCATCTTTACTTGTCCAGTGTCGAAGGAACAAGCTAGCGACGTGAACCCTCCTATGATGATGGTTTGTGGACATGTTGTGACCAAGGATAGTCTCCACAAGCTCAGCAAGCCCACGGGGTGTGTTTTGTGGTCTTCGCTTTTCCCTAAATTGACCTCCTCCACAGATACGACGCAGACCGAAGGGTCAAGTGTCCTTATTGTCCAATGGAGTCGAACTTGTCGTCTGCTATGAGGGTATACTTCTAGCTGACTATTGTATCGTAGGAGGAAAGATGTGTATTTCTAGCTGTCCGAGGCGTTCAGATGTAGAACAATGTCCGTGTTGAAACAATGTGTCACACTTGCATGTGACCGTTTCGCCACGCGTTGATGGCTTTTCGCCCAACACGGTCATCTTCACCAGCCAAAGTTTCTGAATCGCTCCTCGCCTCTACTCTATCCGCTGCAGATGCTTCCCGCTCGTCGACAGTCTCTATCCGTGAACTTGTGGGCCTCACACCCTCCGAAGTGGAGTTATTGGATGCCATAGTTGAGCGGGCAGGCTCTGCAACAACATTCCCCGCCATATTCACCGCCTATAATGCGGTACTCAAGGAACGTGGGCTGAACACCTCCGAAGTGGTTTTTTATGGGAAGCTACTCAAACTGGGTACATTGAAGGGCAGCTGGGCGGATAAATGGCGCATGATCAAGTTGCAGCAAGGTTATGTTTCTCAGAAGCCCACAAAACACATACCACCTACACGACTCCGCAGGCCCGTTACGGATGACTCGGACGATGAAAGGCACCCCAGGAGGGCACCCTCACCCTTTTCGGACTTCACGTCTGTTTCCCGCCAAACACCCCCCGCGCGGAGTCGGCTGTTTGCTCGGGACACTGATGCCACGAGCTCAGATGCCACCGAGCAAATTGGAGCCCCTTCAACGACCCCTCCCTCGTACCGAGCCGCCATGCGTGAAAAAGCGGATGACAAACCTACGGCATCAGCACTCGCCCGTCAACGCATAGCTCAGGCTAGGCAACGAGGCGGCAGTGTCGTCAATGCAGCCGACACATGGAAGAAACTAAAGATGGAGAGTGCCGAGGCGGACGCCATAAAATTCCATGAGGACAGGTTACTGGAGCGTTGTTGGCAGGTGTGGAGAGCTGGGTATGAGTGGATCGTGGTGAGTAATCAGATTGAATTCCGCTAGAATCTGGTGTTGAACAGACTCAGGACACAGATGCGCAAGTTGCTGAAGCCCGCAATAATCATGTGATCCGTCTCTGTATTCATAAATGGCGTCTTCGCACTGCTGCATCTCAAGACCGCTTCGCCTCTCTTGTCCACTTGGCTGACGTTCTCCGACTGCGGCGTACTTTTTCGAAATGGAAACTCCGATCCAGGGAGAAGCGTCAGGCACGATGGAGAACAGAAATGCGAGCGAAAATGAAAATCATTCGCGGTAAAAGAGAACGCAAGGTTCTGACGCAAACTTTACAACGTTGGAAACAAGCTAGTCAGACTCGCATCGCAGTTCGCCATCACACCTACTCCCTGCTATACCGGTATTTCTCTCGTTGGAAGCAGGCCACGGTTCGCCTCGATCAACTTGATGGACGGGCAGACCAATTCTCTCTTGTGGTGGATCGGGGCGTCGTGGAAAGAGCTTGGTACTATTGGAAACACGCTTCTCAACTCCAACTTGGCTATCGCATCGTGACAGAGAATGTCGCGCTCCGCGTCAAAACTGAGGTGATGGATACTTGGAAAAGCCGTCTGTGAGTCGGGATATTGACAAGTCACGTTATGCTCACTATATATCAGTGGAAAACTCCGGATTGCGGATGATTTCTATGCTAAGCTTGTTCAGAAGCACGCAATACGGGCATGGAAAAGTGCGCGTCGAAGACTTAGAGTTGGTTCAGTTGCAGTATAATAAGCGCCGCGCTAACGCTTCTTCTTAGGCTTTAGATCACCGTGTAAATGTGCATTCTCAGACTCGGGAGACCTCGCTCGTACGCGCCGCCTACAAAACGATCAAAACAAAATATCTCGGGAGGAAGCTGGAATGGATGACGGACAATCGTCGCTTGCGAGAGGCCTGGAATGTTTGGAAGGATCGAATTCGTCAGCAGCAGAGGCTTGAAGGTTAGTGTGCAATATTTGGCTGGTTCTTCTGGCTAACAGGTTCAAGCCAATGCTCTCGCGTTTTCTCAACGCCCAAGCTCATACTTGGCAGAGGTAGCGCTGCGAAAATGGTATCAGGCTCATGCTCGTCACAAGAAGGCGCATTTAGATGCAGCCTTTTGCGATGCAGTCCTTGTCCGCCGAACATTTTATTTTGCGTGGAAGGCGCAGGTTGAACGGCAACGTGTCGAGGCAACTAAAGCCGTTGCTATCCATAAGAGGTTCCTCCTTCGTTCCGCATGGGTCAAGATTCGGTTAAGGTTTGCTGAGCGACAACGCCAACTCGCCCTTGAGGTTCTGGAATTACGCAAAACCCAGCGGGTCTTTTATGGTATTTCGTTTCATGAACTACCTGAACCCCATTGACACCCTTTCTCTTAGCTTGGTTTGAACGTGCGTACCGCAGGAGAACTCTGAAGGTAGCGGAACAAGAGATCCACGATAGAGTCGTTCAGGTAAGCAACCACATCTAATCCAGTCATATCACTCATCAGCTTGCTAGCGAATCCTCAAGAACACACTCCTTGCCTGGACGAATAGAACCATTGACGTGAAGAACCGAGAGTTCCAAGTCACTCTCGACCGTGATACTTGGCTGCTGAAGAATGCCTTCAAGAAATGGAAGATAGCGAGAAGCAGTCATGCTGAACAACTCAGACTGATGGAAAGCTATGGAATTGTCAAGCGGGAAGGCGAGTCACCAGTAGTTGGCGTCAGTAATGCTTGTTTGACGAGACACACAGAAAATCTCCGCAAATATTTCCACCGCTGGCTATCCGCCGCTCGGACAACTGCTCGTCGTCGCGTCACTTTAGAACGAAAGGAGGCCGAAATGCACTTCAGTGTTAAATCGGTTGCTTGGGACAAATGGCGTTACCGATTCAAACAGCAGAGACTTCAACCTTTGGTAAGCCTCCAGTTGGGAAAAAAGTCAATGCCTGAAAGTCGCTCTAGGAGGATGCGATGATATTGCAGCACCAGCGGAATGCCCTTGTTCGCGCGTTTTCTATATGGCATGGGAAGACCAAGGTGCTTTCTGTTCTAGCTTGGGTTTTTTATTTATTTCTGACCTTCGATGCAGTCTTCGCCAGCCATTCAGTTCCATGCGTCCCATCTCAAAGCCAAGTATTGGAAGACCTGGCTTGCTGCTTTGCCACGCGCACTACAAGGCAAAGACGCCAACACTTTCCGGTCAAAATCAGTGTTATGTGGGTGACTGGGTTTTCTTTTCAGTTATGTTGCTCAGATTTTGTAGCAAAATCCTTGAGCAAGTGGGTGCAACTATACCGTACAAAAGCGGCACTGAAAGCTGTGGCGTAAGTGGTCATATTAAAAAGAGAACGAAATGGACTTCTGACTATGGATGCCTATTAGACGAGCTCGATACATGCGATTACCCACCACACGAACGAACCCTCGGGTGATTGCGGCTGCGCCTGTCTCTCGCGGTGTGTTTCCTCGACGGTCGGTGAGAACAGAGGAGCCTATTAGCGACGATGAAGCTAGCGAAGAAGGAAGGCCAGTACAAAGACTGGCCAGAGGACCTCGTAGTCTGAGGTCTGACCCAAGCCCTCAACGTCGGTCAAGGTTTTCAATTCCTACAACACGTGCTTCCAGCCCTGCGAGATCAAATGCTGTTGGAAGAGAGACAGCGGTGTTGCCTCGACGGGAGACCGGGACACTATTCTCGGAACTCCGTCAGCTGCAGCCACGGCCAAGTCGGACTTGACGCGCTCACCACTCTATTTATTCATAACTTATTCTGTATCACGAATTCCGGTAGAACTGCCAGCCCACCCAGTTGGCGATGACAAAATATGCGGTTGTGGGGACGAGCAGGAGCACAAAATACTTGTAGTGATGGTCGTTGGCAAGCAAGTCCAATAGCTGGGCCACAGTTGAGTCGAGACATCGAGCAGAAGGAGATTTACAAATATGCCCGTCAGGGGAAAGAAGGCGCTTAGAAGGACCGCGTAGCTTGCGAATGCGAAGAAAACGGCAGAGAGCACAAGGAGGCCATAACCAGAGTGCATGATCTGTCTGTCACAAGCTCAGACCGTCTCTCCTTACGACCACCATGGCCTCAGAAGAAGATCAACAACCTCAAGCCCATGTTGATGAACGTAGGGAAGAGCAGCCAGTGCCTCAGGAGTCAAACGAGGAGGAAACGGACGCGTTAGCAGAGGCGTCAGAAGAGTCCGTCTCCTTGCCAAATATTCGGCGTTCATTGTCGCTGATTCATTCCACAGGAGAGCGCCGGAGACGGTCAAATCGCCGATATTGCCCGAAATTCCACTCAGCAACGATCTCGAGCTTGATCTGGACTCAATTCTGTCTCCATCGAACCCACCGCCAACGTGAGTGAGCGATGCGTACAGAATGAAATCACGCGCTCAAGTAAACACAAGAACGGATAAGGTCCAGAAGAGGGCTAGCAGTGTGCTCAAGCTGACACAAGAGAATGAGAAACTCAAAGCAGAACTGAAAGTGAGTTATTGGCAGAAGCTTAAACTGGTGGTTGCTGAAAGCAGGTCAAGGCCATGACGGACCGTCTTGAAGCAGCCGAGCGAAGGAGATTGGCTCTGGCCAGGAAGGAGCAACACATTATGGAGCCACCGTCGAGCTGAAGGATTAGAAGACCAAAGCAATATAAATTGTGTAACAAAGAGGTTAAAACGGAATTGTAAATTTATACCCAGCTATGTCATAGTCAACTCCACCTTGCTTCTCATCCACCATGGCAAATCGCAGAGCCTCTGAACGTCGTCCCTCAGACCGCAGGGCATCTGGCCTCTCTTCTCGTAGACCTTCTATCGACCCATGGCGTCTGGTACCTATGGATAAGACTGTCCACATTGGCGGCTCCGATGACTTCAACGTCCTCTTCATCGGTGCAGGTCAGCTTATCGAGCATATAACCCTGACCAGTTTGCTAAATCGACCATAGGAAACATCATGTTCGGTTCGCCCTAACTATCCCCTCTTTCACGATCGCCCGTTCAACCCCAAGTTAGGTTCCGATGAAGGTCCTTGGAATCACTCTTTCCGATTTGAACAGTACGTAGCTGCGATCCAATCTCCTCTGACTCATCTCTTCATGTAGCAAGCTTGGCCGTCGTTTGAAAGTTGTCGCGCTCATTGATCCCGCCATCGAACGCGCAACGGCGGTGTTGCAAAAGAAATGTGACTCTTTCGTCGTGTCTGCTTATCAAGACACCCGTGTGTTCAAGACATTGGAGGACTTTGTCAAGAATATGGCGCCCAAGGATCGACCCCGTGCGGTCATTGTTGGCAGTCCTCCTATGTTTCGCGGTTCTCTGGCGCCAGGACGCGACATAGAGATGCAGATTCTCAAATTCTTCCCTGGTGTGGCCATGTTTATTGAGAAGCCCATTGCGACTGGTCCCAAGAGCGAAATTCAAGACGCGTTCACCATCGCGAAAACAATTCAAGACTCCAAGACCATTTGCTCTGTCGGGTTCGCTCCGTTTTTTTTAAGCCTTCATTTTCCTTCACTCTGACGTTGAGTCCACCAGCTACATGCTGCGCTACCTCAAAGCTACCCAGATGATGAAGCACATTATCGATGAAAACAATCTCACCGTCATGGCCACGATCGCGCGTTACGCGTGTGCGTACGAATCTATTGCGAAGCCAGACTGGTGGGATAAATCCAAGAGGTCAATAGAATAACTTGGTCCGCAATTCAACGCGCTAATCCCGTGTTTTTAGTGCCGGTCCCATCGTTGAACAAGGAACCCATTTCTGTGATCTTTCCCGTTACTTCGGAGGCGAAGTCGATATGTCCACAGTCAATGCACATTCACTTGAATGGGACGAGAATGCAGGCGCACTCAGCAAGATGGCTGTTGATGAAAGCAAGATTGCACCCGAAAATCGCATTCCTCGTGTTACCTCAGCAACTTGGTTGGTTCAACCTTTGCCGCCTCATTCCAGTTACTCAAAATCTCTCCAGGAAGTATGATAGTGGAGCCGTCGGAAGCTTCACTCATGTGGTCTCTCTGCAAGGCACCAACTACAGCTGCGAACTTGAGGTCTACGCGGATGGGTACATGTTGAAGCTTGTCGACCCATATGTGCAGCCAACGCTATATATCCGCAAACCAGGCGACGACAACGAGCAAATGGTTAGGTTCCCTGATGACGATCCTTTCTTCTCAGAGGTTTCCAACTTGATCGACATTATCGAGGACATCGAGGAAGACCCAGAGGCGGCTCAGATCTTGAGCTCGTATGAAGGTATGTTCAACCCTTTCTGTGTCTTGAACACAATGCCTGACATTTTTTCAGACGCAGTCAGAACTTATGAGCTCACTTGGGCCATTCGGGAAGCGAGCGAACGCTCCCGTGAAGCAGCGAAGCTTAAGGCTGCTGCTGCAGCATAACTGTTAGAACCAAGCGAAATCAAGCGGATTGTAAAACTAGATAGACACAACAACTACGCAACTTCGGACGTTTTCTGCTTTTTCTCCAGCTTGGCTTTCTCGCGTTTGACGACTTTGTCCCACTCTTCTTGGAGGTGCATCTTGAGTGTTGGCATGTTTTTCATCGTCGTATCGCATCGCCAGCACACCAAGTCCTCTTTTAGCAGCGGCTCGTACTCTTTCGCGTTGAGTTTGGCCATCTATGCTCACGTGAGACGTGTTCGACGCGTATTCCCGGTTAACAAAGTACCGAAGTGAAATATGATGGCTCCGCGTCAAACCAAGACAATACATCGTCCACGGGAAGGAAGAAACCCAGACTAGGGTGGAAGGAGTTGTAGTGCTTTTTAACCTTGAGTCGTTCCTTGGGAGAGAGTGAGCAATGTGTGTGTTGACCGTAACAACGCGTAGTACCGAGATGAAATCGTTGGAGATTACATGGAGGTGAAGGTGCCTGGAGCAAAATTAAGCAGTTGCATCGCAGGAGGTCGAGTTTACTGCATACGCCATAGAGGGGACGGCATGGAACCCAGTCAGTATTGGCCAGGTAAATCCGTAGAGCTTGATCATTTCTGACTCAATCGCGGTCCGCAAGACGGCTGCATCGCGTTCAAGGGTGGTTACTACCTCTTTGGCACGTTGTTTGTTTCCAGACAGCAAGGTCCGCAAGTCTGACAGTTCGGATGCGCTATACGACCCTTGAACACGGGGCAAAACGAGGAAATGAAATGTCGCTTGAAGTGGGAGTTGAATTGGATGCTGGGCAAAGGAAACCGCGAACCTTTGGGGTATGCATCGAAGATAGAAAGCGTCTGTTGGTTGAATGAAAAGACTACTGAGGCAGGGAGTTTTGCTGGATTAGACAAAGCAAATCCTCTCAAGACGGTTAAAGCAGACATGCAAATCAGCGTGACATCACTCTGAGTCTTTCTTTGGGTATAGGACAAGCTTGTGTATCTCAACCCCTTCGAAATCAGACCTATTCCACTTGAACATTTTTTCTACGGCCTTTGCTACTTTATGCCCAGGTATACGATGAACAGAAAAACCCCACACATCCTCCGCTTCTTTCAGAGCCTTGTCTGTGAGTAAAGGATCCCGTCGCTCCAGGCAAACGAATACTATTGGCGAGCGGTTTGATAGCGCTAAAGACTGAGTACAGACAGCATGAAGTGACCGGAGAAGCGGCGTTATGAGATCGGCACGATAAATGGTATCCGCTGACAACACCAAATCAAAGGGCGTCGTCAGATGTTGCGCAATGGGTGGAGTGTGGTTGGGTGAGGCAATGATGGTGGGATGATCCCAGAGCCAGCATCCAGGTGGAATAGTCCAGTCAAGCTCTCGGACAAGGACAGTGCCGGAAAGCCGCTCAATATTGTTGGAGATGTTGGGAGCGAGAACTTTACTGATGACCCAAGGCAAATCAGACGCGACGACTTTGCAGCCAAATTTTTCCGCCAAATACAGAGCAGTTAGCCCTAGCCCACTGCCAAATTCCATGACATGCATGCCTTTTTTGACGGCATTCGATGATCCAAGAAAAGCAGAGAGAACTTGAGCGCCTAGCCACAACCCGGTCCCATTAGACGCGCCATCGTCAGACTGAATGAGGGAAAATCCATTGAAGTCAATGACTGGCTGCCCTTTGGATTCTGGGGCGGGAAGCATGTGGTTAAGACGAAAGAAGAGGGTGTGACTGTGACAGACTCGTTGTCCGCCGCGATGAAGGCGTTCCTTTCAAGGCTTCATCTGGGCGGTACGAAGGAAAAGGACAGAGAAAACACCGCCCTACAGAAGGAAAAGTTTCCGCCTTTACGCGCATGGCCCCCGGAAGCTGCCCAACGGTCAACCTCAACGCCAAATTCCTTTAAACCACTTCCCGAGTTGGTGCCAACTTTTACGGGCGAAGCAGCATCCACAAATACCACTCCAACCCCACCATACTCTTCCCCGACCCCAACTCCAACCCCCCCTCGCAACGAGACAAGCAGTCCCCTTCCTGATGCCACAAATTCCCCTCGACCAGATGCGCCACCAGATTCAGCGGGTCGGAGTTCTCGAAAGACAAATACGAGTGTGGCGAATAGCGACGTTCAGAAGAAGGTTGCATTCAAGTCTCCACCACCAACTCCCTCCAATTTAGATCGCGAGGCTACAAGCTCACCCACAGTGCCATTGAAAACCTCCGTGTCACGCTTCCAGGCTACTCATGGCAAGGAACCTCGTGGCTCTACTTCAACTGGCGCCTCATCTTCCAAAACCGATCTCGCGTCCTCGGCGAAGACTGCAGTAAAGTCTACTTCAACTCGGTCCACCTCTCCCTATCTAAATAAGACTGGCGACGTTGGCTCAAGTCAATCCCTTCGCTCAGGTACCCCATATTCTTCCATGTCCAACGCAACCAGCGGCAGTAGAATACTCGCCGCAACATCATGGAGTGAGGTTACGGAAGAAGACCTTGTTTCCCATTTGGGTTCGCGGGAGCGCACACGACAAGAAGTTTTGTTTGAGATCATCTCCAGCGAAGAGAGGTGAGCATTTAGCATAAGCACCGCCATTCGACCCATCATTTTACGTCTAGATATGTACAAGAGCTCGCCAAGATGAAGGACACTTTCATTGACCCCATGTTGCATCCCTTTTCAGCGCCGACACCACAGCTGTCATCAACACCCAATCTCGACTACGACTATTATCGCACAGACTCGCCGGTAGAGTCAAACGACCATCTTCCCCCGATTGCTGCACGATTCATGTCGCCCAGTCCAACCGTGATGCAGTCAAGCAATCAGTCTCACAAAGACACTCCCAATATAGATGGAGAATCGTTGGACACAGACGAGGAGGATGAAGGCGGAGACCAACTCGGTCGGGGATTCGCCAACCGGCAAGGGCAGCTTGCCAAGCAAAACCATCCCCGCTCTCCATATCGTTCAAATGGTACAAAAAAAACTGTGCCATTTCCTTCGAGATCACACCACTCGTTACCCCCTCCTCCCCGCAACCAACCTAATGGTTCAACACACTCATTGAATCGACAGACCTCGGTCGTTGATCGGGAGCGCGAACGCAATTACAGCCAGGGTCAAGCATCCAAAACCAGCACTCCGAAGCCTGGAATGCTTCGTAAACTTAAAAAGAGCCAGACCACCAACGACAGCATTTTTGGGGAGTCGGTAGCTCCACATCAACTCCCTGAAGACCTCCGTATCTGCCTTGAAGTCGTAGACAGTGGCGTCTTCGAGGGTCATAAACGGCTGTCCGAGGCTCTAAAAAAGCGATACGATGACCAATTCCCGCTTGTCCGTTCTTTGGCTGACGTTTTTGTATCTAATGTAAGTGATCATCAATCGCCCCAAAGACTCACTAATGGCATCTCTAGTCCGACATTTTCCATGGCTATGCAACCTACGTACTGCATTTAGAGCGTGCTCTCGAACAAGTCGACGACGCGCTTTCTAATGTCTCAACCAAGAAACCCAAGAAACAGGATGTTGCTGAGTGGCAGAAAGTGTGCAAGTTCGTTCAGAAGCTTGAGGAGAGTGCTAGCGAGAAGGGTGAAACCGGTCTCGCCATCACACTATCAAAGCCGTTCCAGCGATTACTCAAATACCCCCTTCTTTTCCAAAATCTACTCTTCCACACTGACCCAAGTACTTTCGAGTACGAAAGCACGTTGCAAATGGTCGCGGAAGTGGAAACGATTGTACGCAGTATCGAGGATGAAAAGATTCAAAAGGAGGAGCGAGACAAGACCAGGGATGTCTTTGCGCGAATCGAGGGACTGGACAAAGTCAAGCAACTGGCATTACCCAAACCATCAAGAGTCCTGGTCGAAGAGAGGCAATGTGCACCGAACGGCAGCTCTTTAAGCCCACCCAAGTCCTCATCCCCGCCACCAGTGCTGACCAACAAGAACGTCAGAGGGAAATCCTCATTCAAACGACTGAGTGATGTCCTTCACAGCGGCTCTGGCATTGGCGGCAAGAAAGACCTCTGGCTTGTGGTCTTCAACGACGTTGTGCTTCAGTGCCAACGGACAGGAACCACTTCCCTTCCCCTCGTTTCTTCAACTTATTCTCGGACCAACTCCTTACCCGAGCTTCAAGGGCGGTCAAAGTATGCGACTACTGGCCGCAGGAACTCTCACACGAAGCCTCGCAATCTCTATAAGTTCCTCAAGGTGTGTTGATCCTTAATATTGCCGAACATAGCCTCTAACTTTTGCTTCTTCGTTCAAGATCGAAACTTGGGCAATTGGTGATGTTATTCAGCCGAACCAAGGCGTTGTTTCCATGGAAGAGTTGGTTTCCTTTTCGTGTAGCTCTGCTCACTCTGACCATTTTGCAGTGTTGCGCGCTCCCGAACACAGGTGCATCAACCACGAATTGTACCTATGCCCGATGATGACGAGGATGGTGGTGATTCGGATGACTCCGATAGGAAGAGCAAAATGAGCTTTTCGTATTGGGGTGCCGATAAGATCACAGTGCAAAAGCCTGTTATCAAACCTCGAGGAGGCGCACCTGCTGTGCGACGTGGTGGTGGTTCTGGGTCTGCATATGGCCGAGAATCGTCAGCCAATGCCAAGTTCGGAACACGCCTAGTTTCTGGCGACTCTTCGCCAAATGCTCGGCCAGCTAGCCGGAGGACACAGGCCATGCCGACATCACGGCGACCAGCAGATGACAGCAATGTGAACTATACTGCCAAGTCCACGACCACTCCCGTCCGACCTGAATGGAACACAAGCACCAAGTCACAATCTCCCGCTCCTAGCTCAAACGTTGCCAAACGCACGCGCAACATTTCATTAACGAGCCCCAGTTCAAGTTCTACACGGCTTGTTCCTGCCAAAGGCGTTTCGTCTCCTGCCCCCTCTGAAGACTCTGGTGTTGGCCTCTACCGACAAATGATGGCCCAAGACCCCTCCCTGAACCAGTCTTGACATTGACAATTCTTATATTGTTAACCTATGTGTTCTCGTTTCTCTGTGCTTTCTTTGCCTGCGTAATGTCCAGCTCGTATACCACTCTCGTTCTAATCAGTACTCACATCACGACTGCTTACGATCAAACGCTCATTGTCGCATTAAATCTACCCTTTTACTTAGATAACCCCCATTGTATCGCACCTCTTTCTGGATTTTCTAATCGCCGATTTCGTATGCTGCATTGTGGATACTCACACTCCTCCCCGACGGATCAGGTGCACAACCCCAATCACCTCTGGGTATCCAACTAGCAGAAATATTAAGACTAGGCTAGAAGGAGTTGGGAAACCAAACTTACCGGACAGCAGTGCTGGCTGCTGCCTCTGACGGGAAGAAATCTAGTCCACAATCAGCCAACAGTCTCCAACGGAACCAAGAGAGCTATACCGTCAAAGATTTGGCGAATGAAGTAGGCCTCTTTAGTGCTAGGAGCATCATTAGCCCATCGCTCAGCACCCTTGGCGAATGCATCATCGGAAACAGCCGATTCCGCGTGGTCTTTGATGCTGATAAGAGTGAACAGAGAGTGGGTCTGAGCAAGATATGCCATACCCGTCGATCCATGAGTATCCAACGCCATCGGAAAATTGCTCTTTCTGGCGCCAGAGTATGGAGGCTGGGAGGTAGGGCTAGAAAACTTCAGTTGGAGTCTGATGAACTGTCAAATAACCATACTTTGCCATCGACTGAGATATCGAAGGCTTTGCGAAGTATATACTGCCCGAGTTGTTAGTTCGTCAACATTGGACAGAGATCTCCGTACTTTCTCCATATGTGGCCGCCCATCGGCATCGACCTGTTGTTCCGCGCCTTTGGTAAACATTTTCTCACGGGGATCGACGTTCATGGCAGCTTCGAGGAAGGCCTTGTCGAGGAAGGGGACGCGTGCTTCTAGACCCCATGCCATTGTCGATTTGTTTGCACGTAGACAATCGGAAGTGTGAAGGTTCTTGACCCGCTTTACTGTTTCTTGGTGGAAAGAGGTGCTGTCTGGTGCTGCATGGAAGTAAAGGTAGCCTGAAAAGGTATTAGGTGAAGTCGGTGGCGATTACTATAGCGCTGACCCCCCAGAATCTCGTCGCTCCCTTCGCCACTTAGTACCATCTTGACACCCATCGCTTTGATTTTGCGACTCAAAAGGTACATCGGAGTGCTCGCACGGACGGTGGTGACATCGTATGTTTCGAGGTGGTATATGACTTCTGGAATGGCGTCTAATCCTTCTTGGACGGTGAAAGTATATTCGTGATGCACAGTGCCCAGATAGTGTGCCGCCTTTCGAGCTGCTAGGAGATCAGGTGAGTTTTCCAAGCCGATAGAGAAGGAGTGGAGTTGCGGCCACGCAGCCAAGGTTGCTCGGAAAGAAGTCAATAAACCAAAGAACGACGAATCAGAAATGTAATACCCCGCTCATCGATCAACCCTGTTGGGGTTGTGTTTCCGCTCATCGCATTCGCAAGTTTGCGTTTCCTAATCTCGAATTGCGCTTGTGCCGCCTTCTCCGTTTCTCGAGAAGCAATTGCGGCGATCAGGCTACTGTCCAGCCCACCGCTGAGTAGGACACCATATGGAACTTCAGACATAAGTCGCTTGCGCACCGCTGCCTCAAGGGTCTCTCGTAGGCGCGTCAAATCAGCTGGTGAAGTGGGTATTGTGGCATCTGGTCCATCAGCATCGCCCTTCCACCAAGAAGGGTTGTAGTAGCGCGTCGTTGACGCGTCTTTGCTGTCGTAAACATGGCCAGGAGGGAAAGCAACAATCTTGTCACATTCATCGACAAGAGCCTTGAGCTCTGAGGCAAAGAAAACAACCCCAGGTCGTTTGGAGTCCCATCCCTGATAGAGGGTCGTAATTCCAATGGGATCGCGGGCGGCGATTATACGAGAGGGGGTGACCGATTCGTCAAGGAGGACAAATGAAAACATGCCGTCCAACATGTTGCACAAGTCCTTGTCGTACTTTTTATACTGGCAGAGAGTTGGGATATGTTGCGATCGAGTTACTTGTTTCGCTCACCAAAGGCAGAATAACTTCACAGTCGGAATGAGTTTTGAACTTGGTGTCCGCTGCGAGGGTTTCCCTGAGAGCAATGTGGTTGTAGATTTCTCCATTGACAGTGAGAATTAGCTTTCCATCAGCGCTTATGAGAGGCTGGGCTCCAGTATCGACACCAACGATGGCAAGACGTTCATGGACGAGGACTGCAGCGTCGCCGACAAAGCAACCAGACCAATCAGGGCCGCGATGACGAAGTCGTTTTGAGCAAGCAATATATCTGGGTCTTTCTGAGGCTGGCTTGTCCACTCCGTGAACTGCAAAAATTCCGCACATCGTGGTCGAGTCAAAAGTTGCAGACAGATAAACTCCGAGGTTATCTTCAGTGCGTGACTTATGTCACGCCGTGTGACACGCTTGTCATTTCACTCTCGCGATGGCCCGAAGGACAAGCGTTGAACGGCCGAGCGCAGAGGAGGCCCTCAATCTCGCCACAGCCCAGTCTGAAAATGTCTTCTTATTCGTCCCCAACCTCATAGGCACGCGATCACCTCAGTATTCTGCTATTTTCACTGACAATTACTAGGCTACACTCGTGTTATTCTCGCTGGAGTGTCTCTTCACTTCATGAGCTACCATCCCATCTATTGTACTATTGCTTATTGCATCTCGTGTCTTCTTGATGCCGTCGACGGCCAGGCTGCTCGTGCTCTTGGTCAAACCTCCAAATTTGGCGCTGTTCTTGATATGGTGACCGACAGGTGCGCGACTCCGACCATCGCCGAGCTTTTAACTCAAGACAACTAGATGCACAACTTCGTGTCTTCTGTGCTATCTGGCGTCTGCCTACCCCGACTTCGCTCTCCTGTTCCAATTCCTTATTGCTCTCGACTTCAGTAGCCACTACATGCATATGTATAGGTTGGTGACTCTTTAAGCGTGTCGCATCCCCTCAAACACCGTGCAGCTCTCTCGTCACCGGGTCTGTCAGTCACAAGCAAGTCAATAGCGACGTCAGCAACATTCTGTGGTGGTATTATAACAATTCTGTGAGTTCGACCGTCCCTTTCAATCCTAGACCCAATCTAACATTTCCTAGACGACTTTGTTCCTTGTTTGTGCCGGAAACGAGTTGTTCTTCGTCTCCCTTTATCTCATGAAGTGGATCTCGCAGCCTATTGGCCTGGCGATGCCGTATGCGGCGACCTTGACATACCCGCAATTATTCGCCTACATCAGTGGCCCTGTTTGTTTCACCAAAAACGTCATCAATGTAGTACAGCTCTGGAAGGCGTCGAAAATATTGGTTGGTGTAGACATTGCGGAGAGACAGCGAGCCAGGGAGGAAAAGGCACGAAGACGAGAATAATTTTTGTTTGCTACTTTAATAGACCAATTTTCAAGTTTGCTGCGTGTGACTCTTGGTGACGAAGCGGCTGACCTATGCGATCTTCCCAAACGCTCCTTCGGGCTACACTGAAAAAAAGTGTTTCGCGGCCTATAGCGCGAGTGCCCCGACCGTTCATTCGACAACACGCTCGGCGTAGTTCAACCCTTGTCGAGAATGAGCCACCTGTCGAGCCCCCAATAATCGAAGCCTCTGCCTCACCACCCGAGGCGCCAACAGAAGAGCCAGAACGCGTAAAACGCAAGACACGCCTTGCCCTTCCTACTCGGGATCCGGAAACTCCCGTCGAACTACCTGAAGGCTTGGACCTCGAAATTCTTTGGAGGCCAGAGTCTGACGCGGGCCCATCCGACCAGTCCGCTTTACCGCCTCCGGAAATATTTGAAGAGGCGTTGCACAACTTGAACATCACACTGCACCCCCAAATTCAGCATCGTGCAACTTGTCAGTTGGGTTTAATAGACAAACAAAGCCGCGTTATTTACTACTATTTTCTAGACCCATCGCCGCTTGGTCCTTTGGTGGAGCCAACGTTGGCACTGTACTGTCCCATCGGTCAGCATAACCAGCCTTTCGGACACTTGCAATAGCTCATTTTTCGTTGATTTTAGAGGGTGGTGACTATGTTATAGACGCGACGGTACGAGAGCTGGCACGACGAATCAATGCGGAGGTCCTCGTGTTGGATGCCGTCCAACTGGCAGCTGGAGAGTGGGGTGTCTTTGGAAAAGGTGCACAGTTATAAACTTTTTCAATCCAGCTGCTAACCCATCTAAAGCTGCAAATGCGCTCCAATTACCTCGAAATCCACTACACTTTCCATCCAACCCAGCTGGGACGCGTGCCTCTTCTTCCGCGGAGGATCAAGAAGACGATATGGATAGCGGCTCTCCTCCTCTCACGCCAACGCAAATGACATTGACGCTCTTAAATCCCCAGTCTGGCCGGTCAATCGTGGCTAGTGCTGCTCGACGAACTGCCCCTGCTACCAAGATCTCCACTTTTTTTGAGACCGTGGTCAACACCTCATCATCGGATGAACAAGTCCGGCCTCGCCTGGTTTATATTCGAGGTAACATTACATTGACCACGCAGAAACATTGGTTTGCATCTAACTTGTGGCAGATTTCCCGACCCTTTCGCCGTCATCGACAGCATGGTACCCATCCCTCTTGTCGTCCGTCCGTGCACGCAGAAGACGCACGCTTTCACGAACTACCGCACCAATAACCCATCCCGTGACAATTGTCTTCGGTATAACACCCCCGCTTGTCCCAAGAGGAGTTTCTACAGCACCGCCGCCAACAACAACAAGGCGAACAGGTGCCAACAACAAGGGCGGCGAATGGAGCGAGGACCCAAACAGTGACCGCGCCAGAGAAAAACGACTCCGGGAACGGTTACGACGATGGGAGCGCGGTGAAGGTTTACAGGCCGAGCTGCTGAAAGCAGCGCCAGACATAGATAATGCTGGTAATGGCGAAGGCAATCCAGGCGTCATCATTATCGGCAACTCCAGCGCCATGATTGCCCATCCCCCAGGCGAATCTGGTAACCGCGAGAGCAGCTCAGACCCAGAGTCGTTGTTCTTCAGGACTTCTGTTGTTGTTCCAGGATTCCGCTCTTTGATTGAGGAGCGATCGTGTCGGGTAAAACGGCGGCGTGAAATCAACGAACTCACGATGAGGATGGGTGTTGGGTCAGTGGGTGGGGCCATTGACAAGGACAGCGCGGGATCCGTCTTTGAGTCTGCTGGACCAAGTGCAAGCTCAGAAGAATCGCAATCTCCCCAACGACAAATGTGGGAAGACTGGGGAAACAGGGTCGAAGCGTGGCCAACTGTGCGAGCAGTTAGTGACCGTGCAGTTGGCCGTGCGGTTGTTACGTCTTTGGCAACGGAGGTAGAGACGGAAAGGCGTCCAATGGACTCGACACGTGTCACATGGCAAGACATTGACAATGCCTGGGCTACCCATAGGGCCAGTCGCGGCCTGAGAAAAATGTGGATGAAGGAGGCAACAAAATCTACCTCACAGGAGCAGGAGGAGGATGATCACAGCGACGATGAAGCAACGGAGCCAGAGCCTGTAGATGAAATTGTGGAGAGAGTGAGGAACGACGAAGATTTAGATGCCCACGAAAAACAACTGCTTTCTTGCATCGTCGACTCTGGTAAGTCTCCTTCAAATCCAATACAAGTTTTTAAATTGTTCTAAGCCACAATGCCAACATCCTTCCGTCAAGTTCATCTACCAAGCCATACGATCGACTCGGTCCGGACTATCGTATCACTCCCCCTGCTACACCCGCAGGCCTTCCAGCAAGGCATCTTGAAGGAGCATGGCATGACTGGCTGTCTTCTATTTGGACCCCCCGGTACAGGAAAGACGCTTGTCGTCCGAGCATTGGCCAAGGAGGCCGGCTGTCGTATGCTTTCAATCACTCCTGCGGATGTGTTGGATATGGTTAGTCAACGGCTCGAGTGAATTTCCTGTCTATCTGACTGCTTTTTTGTTCAGTATGTCGGCGAGGGCGAGAAACTAGTCAAGGCCGTTTTCTCGCTGGCTCGACGGCTTGCGCCGTGTGTCATTTTCCTCGATGAGATTGACGCTCTTTTTTGGTGCCCGCTCTTCTGGTCGCGATCGTGGGGGCGGCGCTCTTGCCCACCGTAGCGTGTTGACGGAATTTATGCAAGAAATGGATGGGTTGCGGTCCTCCAAAGAAGACAACGTGATTGTTATTGGCGCTACCAACCGGCCATTCGATTTGGACGATGCCGTCCTCCGTCGTCTTCCTCGCAGACTACTAGTTGACCTTCCTGGCGAACCCGAACGAGCAGGTAAAGAATATTTGATTTGTTGTTCTAAAAGCTCATATCCTGTCACTAGAAATCCTCAATATTCTTCTGCGCGACGAGACTCTTGGCCCCGATACTGACACGAAGAGTATCGCAAAGAAAACGGAGGGCTTCTCTGGGTCTGATCTGAAGCGTTTGTTTCTTTTTTTTCCTACTTGCCGTATATGCTGAACTTTTCGCTAGATCTTTGCGTGTCCGCCGCTCTTGACGCTGTGAAAGAGAACGTTGTCGTTCCTTGGTCATCCACACCTCCAACTGTTGAAGACAGCCAACATGATGCCTCGTCTGAAACAGTTCCTCCACCGTCTTCAGTCCCCCGTGTTTTGCATTTACGACACTTCACCAAAGCGCTGAAGGAGATCACCCCTTCCGCCTCCGAATTCTCTGGGACGCTTTCAGAGCTGCGTAATTGGAATCAAGAATTTGGCGAGGGGCGAAACTCGTCCAAAAAACGACAGCAGGTCTGGGGCCGCGACCGTTTCGGATTCACAGAGAAAATGAGGGTCCCCGAAGAACACGGAAGGGTATTACCATCTGGTGGTAGTGCATAGACTAATTAGACTAAAGTACTGGATAATATAAACAGTACTCTCATTTCCGACGGGAGCCTCTCGTTTTCTTGACTGGAGTATCAGAGTCCTCTTCATCAACATCCATTGACTGGTCTGGTTTACGGCTTGAAGTGTCAATTTGGTCCTCTTCGTCTTCATCATCATCATCATCATCTTCGTCGCTGTTTTCTGCTGCCCTTCTCACTCGTCTCTTTCCATCCTCCCCATCACGGACAGCGGCTTCACCGATCGGCGTCATTTCGTCGCCCTTGTTTGGCCACCCCTTGCTGCAAGCCGGACAGTGTCGCGACCGCTGGATGAGCTTGGTAAAGCACTGAGTGTGAATGTGGCAATCACAGTTGGGTGCTTTGCAAGCGTAGCCTTTTGTGACAACCTACGCCCACATCAACAGGAGAAAGACAGCGATCCTCTACTCACCCCAGAACAAAACGTGCATTCGTGTAGCTCGTCAGGGTATGTCGATTTGAGATACAGCGCCAGCTCGAGCAACGAACGCGAGGAGAGGGAGTAGCGACCACGCCTGCAGTGTGTTAGCAAGCGACTTGTAAATATGTCCAATTGCACGCACTTGCTTCGGAGCAGCCACCCGTTTGCCACGAAACTCGACAAGACGACCTCCGCTTGGGTCTTGCTCATATTGGATTTGGGCTTGAGCGCACTGACTTCTCGCAGGGCAGCCAACGAGGAGATCGAGTAGGATTCGCGTGGGGCCAGCATGATTTGCTCGACCTAGATGAGGCTATAGAGAATTATACTGGGTTTTTGTAATAGGCTTACCACCGCTTTGAAGTACGCGATCTCGATGGGTGTATAAGCTGTTGCGAGTTGGGAAACGCCGTCCTCTTTGCAGTTGACCTGATCGTGTCTAAGTGTTATCAGACACACACTAAAAGGAAGGACGCCGACCATGGAGTAGACAAGGCGGCCGGTGATTTCGTCTTGTGTTGACTTGAGTTCGAGTTGGAGGGGGTCAAGCGACTTGTTTAGATTGGCCACGAAATCGAGCCACTCTTCGTCGGGGAGCTCGACATTGGGATTGACGGCTATAAGAGACGTCAAAACAAAAAAACCACGTTTACGGCACGGACTCTGGACAATCTCCTTTGACTTTCCCCACAGCGTCTGGCATAGCGCGTCTGAGAGCACGCTGTTACCACGGGACAAAACTGATTGGAGGAAGACGCGTCGAACATCCTTTGCCTTTTACTCCAAATCAGTCGCGTGTTTCAGTGAGATTGGAGAGAAATATGCCTCAGCCATTGGAAGAAAGAGAAAAGACGCGAAGTGTCACGTCACGTATATGGTAATTCATAATCACGGCTTGGGCACGCGCAAGGTCTTACTGACCATCGCGGCCGCCCAAGCTCCAAACACAAAGCTGACTAGATGTACTTCTCCCCGCCCGCCGGCAGCACCCCACAGCGTGCACGTGCCCAACGGTAAGCCTTGCTGTCCCTCAATCCACCCATTCCAGGTCCAAAATGCTAACACTCCAACGAGAGCAAGCGATGAGGGTATCGGGAGCCCCTCGAAATATTTCGCTTTCCCTGCCTCGTCTTTGGGGACTAAGGCAACAGTTGCGTTGAAGCGGGCTAATCTGGCCAATCCGCAGCAGATGAATGAGGTCAGAAGAACTGTGTCAAGATATGTTCGTAGTCCGACAACAAACGCTAGGAGAGCGGGGGCAACTCCAAACGAAATCTGCCATACTTTTTTTCAATGCAAAGTTGGTCAAGGGTCAATAAAACGCACCAGGTCAGCCAAACTGTCGAGCTCCTGCCCAAGCAGACTACTTGATTTGCGCCATCGTGCGACCTTGCCATCGAAAAAGTCGAACATGAGACCGGCCACGGGAAACCATAGGGCGGACCAGAGGTAGTCAACATCATTGTTGATGAGATAGTGGGCAGAGGAGAAGATAGAGAAGGAGCCGCAGACACCATTCATGATAGTCACTAAATCTGCCAGACGAAAGTTTCTAGTTCAGGTTAAGAGGGAGTGCTGCCTTGTGGGTTTTAAACAACAGACCTGACGAGCGAAAAATGGCCGTCAGAGTCCTGGTATTGTTGGAGCGCATCGGCCTTCGCATCAGTTGAGGAGGTGCGGTGGCGGACGCTCATGGCAAGGAGCGAAACGCGTGACACATGACACAATCCATTACCGAGAGCATAAATCGAAAGCAATAAACACAGCAATACTGGAAAAAAATTCTAAATTATTCCCCTTCACTCGACTCATCGGTGGTCGCTACCTCAGACGACGACGACCGTCTGGCCCGCATCTTCGGCTTTGGCTTATATTCCTCCGATGGGTCCTCTGCTACATCGAAAACAACACCAGGCCTTCTTCTCCGCCTCTTGCCTCGTGCTTTAATTTGAGTCTCCTCGTGGTTTCGCCAATCCTGCGTCGCAGTCATCGGGTCTCGCACGGGCGGCAACTGGGAGGGAATTTGACTACTTTGCATCGACGCTGTTGGTGAACCCATCACCGTATTTGGCTAGACACAAACCATAAGACTGAGTTGGGGGAGAGATAAATTCAACTTACCGCGGTCCCATTGACAGCGTCCATAGATGCAGTAGACACCCTTCGCCGTCTTTTGTTACTCAGAATGCGGAATGGCGTAAAAACTCGTGAATTAGGGCTTTTGCGATCAGCTATCATTGGAGTCCCTGGTGGAGGAATAGCAATTGGAGGTGGTGGATGCCTGCGACGTCGGTCTTCGCTGATCTCAGGAGTGGTTCGACTGCGTGCCCGAGAAGAGGGCCTGTCAATAGGTGGATCTGGAGGTCTTTGGCGAAACATATCGAGTAATCCCTTCTTTTTTGCTTCAGAAGAGACCGATGTCCGAGAAATTGTTGGGTGTAAGATAGATTGGGCAATAGAAGAAGGGGTACGAAGAATTGACTCTTCAGACGGCATACGTTGCATTGGTCGGGAGGATGATGACGGAAAAGGCTGCGCTGTTGGAGGTGGCGGTACTGCTGCTGCTCGGCTGGGTGGTCTCGCGGGCGGAATATCATGAGAGGGAGGTGGTACTGATCGCGTTCTTTCTGTAGGGATAGGAGTCACAACCACAGGTGGTTCAGCAGGTTTGGTAACTGGGGGCTCCTTTCTGGAGCTTGATGCATGATTAGTAGTTGAAGGAGTGGTCTGTGAGCGTGATGGTGGACGCTCGCTTGGGCGAGGTGGTGTAGAATGCTGGACTGGAGATGGCGTATGTCGCGAAGACTCTTTTGAAGGAGTTTTCATAACCGCAATGGGCTGGTCTCTAGAGGGAGTCTTCATGACAGCAATATGTTCTTTGGATGACGAGGGTCGGTTGGCTTCTCGTGAAGGAGTTTTCATCACAGCTGGAGGCTCTTTGCGTGAACGTGAACTTCGCCCTTCCCGCCCCTCATCACGCGGCCGATTGGAACGCGACGATTCGACCGCTTCAGTATAAGCAGTTTTGGACTTCCGTGAGCTACTCGACACTTCCGTCGGTTTACTCGGTCTCTTCGACTGTGATTCAGATGATTTCGATCCAGATGCAGCCACGGGAGGCGCCGTAGACCGATAAATCGGAGCCCTTTCCTCTGCCCGCACAACGGGTGGCTTGTCTGAAAGAAGGTCTCGGAGTTGAGTGTGAAGCCCTTCGCCTTGTCTTGAAGTTGACTGTTGAGCACTAGGGTTGTCCGTACCAGGGCCAACCCTTCCAGCCATCACAGAAGCCATCGCAGCTGGTTGTGGCTGGGACGGAGTCGCATAAATGCTTGCCGGTGGAATCCACACTTCTGGAGCCGTCTGGCTCTTAACAGGGTTCACTGGCGCGTATATCCGAGACAAAGAAGGCTTTCTCTCTAGTCGTGCCGGAGGAGGTTTAATGGGATCTGTGGCACGTGCCTCGAATCCAGCAACCAAATTGGAGACCTTGGGCGGTTCTGGCGGACGCGGTCGGGTGTTAGGGTTCGGTGCATATAAAGGAGGAGGAAGTGGTCGTGATTGAGAAGGTGTTTCTGCGCGTTGGATGGTTGAAGCGATGTTGTATGAGTAGGCAGCAGGCGCTGACCGCGGAGCGGTTGATTGACTTGGAATGGGTAAAGGCTGTCGATATGGGGGGTCGTTGGCAAACGCCATGGTTCTTGATTGCTCAGTGGTCCTGGTTTCCTGATGTGGCCGCGACACTTGGTCTGCTTTAGCACCGATAGCATTGTCACTCGCATAACGTCGATGCTCTGGCCGTTCTACACTCGGAGGGGTCTGAAATAGTCTGAGATTGGCTTAACGCCCTGAAGTAAAGCGCACCGGCTGGGATGGGGTGCTGTCGGCTCTTGATTTCGTAGTTTTCGTCGGAGGGGCAGTGCTCTGCGGAAGTTTCTGGGCAGATTTAGAACGAAGAAATGGCCAGAAACCCTTGGTCTATTGCTGAGGGTAAGAGATTGGTCGGGAGGTCATGATTCATTCGCGCACCTCTTTCAACTTCTCTGTTGGCGGCGGTGCGGCAGTCTTTGAAGATGACGATTGCTTAGGAACAGCCTTTCGGGTTGTCCGTAGCTACAGAAGTCGGTGTCAATCAAACTTACATCCAAAAAAAAACTTACTGTGGGCCCGTGGTCGGTGTCACTCTCTGAGAGCCCGTTCTCTCCACGTTGCGCTTTTGGATGACTCGATGGCAGATAGACTGGCATTCGTGTGATCTGAGGCGTCTGTTTACCGCTCGAGCTCGACGTATTTGTAGGCTGGGTGGCGATGGGGGTTCTTCCATGCTCTGGCTGAATGATTTTAGTGGAACGAAGACGAGAAAAAAGCAGAATAAGTACTGCGACTTTGGGGTTGGATGAGGGACGTTTTAACGCACTGTCTGGCTCATCGTGCCGCCCCCTGCTAGTTGTGGCCACCCGGCTGTCTTTCCTTGTTCGCGCTTCGGAAGCTTCTTTGGTCTTGTGCTTCGATTTCTTAGCCTCAGCATCACGCCGCAACGACGTTGTGGACGCTTTCCTACGCGTATGCTTTCCCTCCTCCTCTGCCTTGCGTGATGATGATGATGGATGTGATTGTGGTTGTGGTTGGTCAGGCGCGGGCTGGTATGCTGCTCTGGATGGTGGGCGGTCGATATTCGGGGCGGAATAGAATTGTGGCTGGTATCCGGGTAGAGCAGTTGGGTATCTATAAGCCGTGGAAGTTCGTGTCGTCGTTTCTGGCGGGCGGCCAGAGCCACTTGTCGTCCTTTGTCGAGGTAGCTCTGGCCTGGGCAGCCAAATCTTGTAAGCCTCATTGCTGGTGCGTGTTGTTGGTTTTGAATGTGGGTCTGCTTTTCGTTGGAGGAAGAAAGATTTCATGAGCGTCGGCGACGGAAAGGAATAGCAAGCAACCCGGCGCCCATGAGGCTGGGTTGAGCGCGCCTCAGTCTTGAGTTGATCACGGCAAGGTTTTGTTGTGACATGCAGCGAGATTTCCGAACAAAGTGGTTACTACAGAAAACACATCATCAATACCCTCGTCTTAGAAGCTCGTTTTCTTCCCGCAGTCTCTGGTTCTCCTCTCGAAGCATATGAAGCTCCCCCAGATAGTCATCAAATCTAGTCCTTAATTCCCGTCCCAGTTTGAGCACATCTAAATGCATGCCAACCATCTCCGCCCGCTGCTCTTGCTGGAAGTCATGCATAGCATCACGAACTATGCCCTTCAATAGTTCTTGAGCTGTCGAGCCACCCCCATTTGGTGAGGAAGGAACAATATTTCGCAGGGGTGATGGAGCCCAATTGCTGACTGACGATGGCCGTCGTGGAGATATTTGCATCGAGAGCTCGCGCTCATTCTCTTTCCCTGTCTCCGACCGAATCTGGAAGTTGACACTTTTACCCTTCGCCTTGCTGCTCTCTTCACCGCGTTCTGGCGATTCAGGTGCCCAACCTTTCTTCGCGTTCCCCATTGGGGTAACGGGGGCATGGAGACTGGGTAGTTCAGGTGTAGGGGTCCTGCTGGCGGCCAACATTGTCTTTGCTCTAGCACCAGCTGTTTGAACAGTTGGAACAGACGACGATGTAGATGCAGAGGAACTTGGTCGACGATTGCCTACAGAGACAGAGCTGGCGGTTGATGCTTTCCGACCAGATAAGCGTGCGGAGGCTGTGGTTACGCTACTCTTCAGAATTGGAGCCCGTGATGAGACTGGAAAAGCCGCCTCAACAAACTGTGCAGTGAATAAACTCAACAATGAGCGTACCTTTGGGAGATTCAACAGTGACGCTTTTCTTTACCGGCACTCGGGGAGAAGAAGCAGCCGGTTTACGAGGCGGAGAAACCACAGAACCACGACTAGCTGAGCCGCGGAGCGAAGATACGGTATTGGCCGGTGTGCCGCGAGTAGGGGCTGCTGCTTGCGATTTGGTTTCTGCCTTCTTCTAAGCAAATGTCAACAAAAGAGGATTGGTCAAACAAGGGAATAGTGATACCTGAACGGCCAAAGTCTCGATTCGAGCCCCACTTCCAATGCTGACAGATTTTGGTGGCTTGTCCAAAGCCCGTAAATCTACCAGCAATAATTTTCCAGATTCTGTCCCGATATACAGAGACGCTCCGTCTGGCGAGAAAGCCATGCAGGTGATAGAGACCTTAAGATTGAGAGTGCGGAAAAGACCCTTTTCTTTGTCCAGATCCACCAAGCCTACGCTACCGCCATTGGTAGCAACCGCGACCAATGTCTTTGAGAAGGGACTGCAAGAGATGGCGATTATTTCGGTTGTGGGGGAATCATTAATCGGTATGGTTTTGGAAGGCCCAGAAGCTCGAATTGTGTCATATACGACGAGTTTCCTCCCGATACCAAGGAGCAGTTTCGCTGGAGTGTGCGGGTGAAAGGTGCAGAACGTGATCATCTGGTTGTCGAGGACAAGACCGCGAAGAGTAGTCATTTTACCCGACGCTAGGTCGTGTAAATGTACAGCAGATGCGCTACATGCGGCCAGTTCATTGCCACCGGAAAGTGCCAATGATCTCACTTCCGCTTTATTGTCCAACTTGAGCGTCAATTGCTTGGACTCCAAGACATGAATGCTCTCCCCAGCGGCGAAGACGAAGGTGGAAGGCGATTTCCATAGGAGATGGGAAATATTTGTGCCATTATGTTCGATTAAGGCAGTGAGTGTGTTGTTGGCTGGATTGTACTGGTGGATTGCATTGTCTGAGGCGAGGAAGAGGGTTGTGTTGGCCCAGGTACTGGCAGTTGGACGAGACAAAAGGGTGATAGAGGTTGGAATAGAGGAAGAAGTGCGACGAAGAGCAGTAGCTTCCACTGTAACGAGTTCTGTCGCGTTCGCGATGGCCACACTAAGACTCGCAGAAGACATGCTTGGTTGCAATCAAGCACGGGACGGTGTTAGTCACTCGGTGTGACGTAGGCCCACTCGCTGAGCTAAGCCAGTCTACCTTCTTCCTAACCCGCTTGTTTGTCTTCTGGTACTCCCCCCGGACCACTCACCCTCCATCGGAATGGTCTGCGCTTGAATCATTTGACCCGAAATTTCTTAATTATTGAGTTTTTTGCAGACCGGTACCATGGACACCCTCGACGAGAAGTCCAACGGCCCACCCCCGATGGAGATTGACGAAGTTGTTTCTGTCAGAGATCGTGAGCTTCTATGAGCCAACAATATTTACCCACACCTCATTATTTGGCTTAAAGACGATGCTTTCGCAGCAAAACACATGCCCGACCTGGGACACGACGTCAAAGACTTCCAGGTCTTCACCTGGCACCTGACAAATTGGAAGAAATTAGACAAGAAGCTAACCAGTGCGGAGTTTGAGTGTGGCGGACACAAATGGTGAGTCCATCTCACTATCTCTACTCCACAATATCATTGCCTTCATAGGCGTATACTACTATTTCCTTTCGGAAACTCCAATGCACCTCCAAACGACACAGTTTCCGTTTACCTCGACTATGCAGAGCCCAAGAAGGCTCCAGAAGGCTGGCATGCTTGCGCTCAATTCGCTCTCGTGATCTCAAATCCCCACGATCCAACGATTTACACCGTCAGCCGTATGTCTTGCCCTACACATTCGACCAGCGCTAACAATTTTCTCAGATGCTCAGCATCGTTTTATCGCTGAGGAATCCGACTGGGGGTTCACTCGTTTTAGCGAATTGCGCAAGCTATTTCATGCTCAGGACAACCATGGCCGGGCAACTATCGAAGATGACTCGGCCGATATCACTGTCTATGTCAGAGTCCTCGAAGATCCGACTGGTGTTTTGTGGCACAATTTTGTCAAGTGCGTTCCCGTTATTCACCGATTTGACTAGTCTCACATATCTTCAGTTATGACTCAAAGAAGGAGACGGGCTTTGTCGGGCTAAAAAACCAAGGCGCCACTTGCTACATGAACTCACTCCTACAATCCTTCTTTTGCACCCATTATTTCAGACGAGTGCGTGTGTTGCAAAGAAAGCAACCAACTCCCCTTGCTGAACCGAACTTTACCTAGGCGGTTTACCAAATCCCGACTGAAGCAGATATACCAACGGAAAGCGTTGCTCTGGCGCTGCAACGCGTCTTTTATCACCTCCAAACCTCCGACCAGCCTGTTGGTACGCTGCGCCATGGAGACCACGTGTGGATGCTAACCAATCAAATAGGTACCACGGAGCTCACCAAGTCCTTCGGTTGGAAATCTCTCGACTCTTTCCTTCAGCACGATGTGCAGGAGTTTAATCGCGTTCTGCAAGATAAATTGGAATCCAAAATGAAGGTGCGTGACATTGAATTACGTCGTCAAGTCTTTTTGACGCGTACCAGGGGACGAAAGCAGAAGGCGCGATTGCGAAACTCTTTGTGGGCAAGATGAAGAGTTATATCAAATGCGTCAACGTAGACTACGAGTCATCGAGGATCGAGGAGTTCAATGGTGCGTCACCTTGAATATACCAACTGCATCATTTCTAAGTCATGTAGACATCCAACTCAACGTCAAGGGCATGAAGAACTTGTACGAATCCTTCAAGGACTATGTGGCCGTTGAAATGCTTGATGGAGAGAACAAGTATCAAGCAGAGGGCTTTGGTCTGCAAGATGCCAAGAAAGGAATCATCTTCCAGTCATTCCCTCCCGTCCTCCATCTACAGCTGAAACGCTTCGAGTACGATATGCAGCGCGATGCCATGGTCAAAGTCAACGACCGTCACGAATTCCCTTTCGAAATCGATCTGGACGAATTTTTGGATGAGACTGCCGACCGCTCGCAACCGTGGGTATACAAACTCCACGGAGTCCTCGTTCACTCGGGTGACCTTCACGGTGGTCATTACTTTGCCCTCATCAAGCCTGACAAAAAAACTCGTTGGCTCAAATATGACGATGACAGGGTAACACCGGTTACGGACAAGGAGGTGTTGGAGGAGAATTATGGGGGCGAGCCTATGGGTCTACCTCCCGCAGTTCAACGTAATCAAGTTCGGGCATTGAAGCGCTTTACCAACGCTTACATGTTGGTATACATCAGAGAATGCGCAAGGGACGAGCTTCTTGCTCCATTCACGGAGGAAGATACGCCTCCTCATCTGAGTATTGGCTTCATGTTCGTCTTTATGTCGGGTTGTTGACTTCTCCTGTAGAACGCAGACTCGACGAAGAGCGGATGCAAATAGAAGCTAAAAAGCGGGAACGAGAGGAGCAACATCTATTCCTCACCGCCAAGGTCTGTCATTTTTTTTTGCCGTCCGAAATGATATCTTAGTGTGGAACTAATAGGTTATCACCGATGAGACCTTTGCAAGGCATGAAGGTTTCGACCTCGCAACCTTCGACGAGAAGAATTGGCCGCCTTCTGAATTGCCCAGTTTCCGTGTTTTGAAACAGGAAACCTACAGTACTTTCAAGAGCAGGGTTGCTCAACACTTTGGCTACCCTGAGAATCAGATCCGATTATGGGTTCTTGTCAATCGACAAAACAAGACTGTTCGACCAGATACGCCCATTCCCGAGAATGAACCAACGCTGAGTGCGTTGGAGCCATACCAAAGCAATTCTATCGTGCTGATTGTGGTGTAGCTGTCGAAGTCATTCGCAACAATATGGCGGCTCGACAAAATGACTTGAGACTATACCTCGACATCATTCCTGACCCTGCAAAGGTATTTGCTCATCTGCAAACTCTTGAAGCGCTAAATTCCCTCTCAGCCTGACCCCCCTCCACAATCAATCATGATATTCCTGAAGCATTTCGACACGTCCAAGCAGACTCTGCTAGGTGCTGGCAAAGTCTACGTCTCAAGGACGAGCAAAGTCGGAGAGCTAATGAATATCATCAACGAGAGAATGCGATGGACGCCAGGCACTCCATTGAAGCTCTACGAGGTAAGTATCTGGCTCGAATACGAAGAACCCCGCCTCACATAACAACCCAGGAAATCAAACCTGGAATGATCGAACTCATGAAGCCAAAGCTTTCCTTTGCTCAGAGTGAAATCCAAGACGGCGATGTTATCTGTTTCCAAGTTGATTTGTCAGACAAAGAGTACGTAACGCGCGTCCGAAAAAAATCTGCAACTTATTCCTATCTAGCACTCACGACCAAGACAATCCGAGCTTCCACCCGAACCCCATTCATTACTACGATTTCCTGCAGAATCGTGTCATGATCGTGTTCAGACCCAAGTTCGACGATGGCGAACACGATCGGGAGCGGTCAGAATTCCACTTGGTACTCAGCAAGAAACAAAACTACGATATTGTGAGTGCTCGAGTTGTCTGGAATCTTCTTTCGGCCAACATGACCTAGATGTCGACGAAAGCTGGAGAATACCTGCGCCACGACCCCATCAAACTCCGTTTCACTACCACGCACGCGACTAATGGGACAGCGAAAGCAGTACTCAAGCGCTCTTTGAATCAGAGCATTGCTGAAATCATGGCGCCTAACTACATTAGCCCGACGACAACTGTCATCCTTTACGAGAAGTTGGATGTCAGTATCGTCGAATTGGAGACGAAACGCAGTCTCAAGGTCGTCTGGACTGGCATCCACAACAAGGAGGAAGCCACACATCCCTTCTTGTTGCCCAAGACCAGCATCATCAGCGATCTCGCTGAACATTTGGCCAAGCTTGTGACTCTGTCCTCAAGCGGCTCCCAGAAGATCCGCATCTTTGAGATTTCCAAGGATGGGAAGACTCAGAAGGAGTTCACTGGGAATGAAATGATAGGCAACATTCCAGAGCCTGTAGAGCTCTATGCGGAGGTTAGTGTTGCAACCTACCAAGAAAGGCAATAACTCATTCGCTCTTTAGGAGGTTCCTATCGAGGAACTGGAGGCCGACGATATGGACAAAGTCATCGGTGTTTTCCACTTCACGAAGGAGCTTTCGCGGACACACGGCGTGCCGTTCAAATTCGTCGTCAAACGGGTATGGCAATAGCCTTTCTTCGTGAAGCGGTGACTAACCGACTACCACATCAGGGAGAGAAGTTCTCGGAGACAAAGAAACGGTTACAAGAGCGAATCGGTGCTTCTGACAAAGAGTTCACCAAGTTCCGATTCGCGATCATCCAAGTTTCGACGTTCAAACAACCGTCTTACATTGAGGATGGCATGTGGATTCTGTTTTCTTGTAGTGTCTACTAATTTCCTTATTCGTAGATGACACGATATATGACCACCAGTTCGCTCCTGAGGATGTGCTGGGGTTGGATCATCCTGACAAATCAGGCAAGACACGGATTGGTGCGGGTGGGGCAAGCCTCACGATCCGAGGCTGATCTTACTTTCTCCATCTCTCCTTTCATTTGTTGTCGACCACTGTACTTTCTCATTACAAACAGAATTCCCCGCTCTGTGCCTAGATGTATAAATGAATTACTTATTAGGACGAATTCCCGCTACAAAAAGGAACAAAAAAGTCACTACTTTCGCTTTTTAGCCTTTTGCTTTGTCAAGGTCAGTGGGGAGTGCTTCAGTTGACAGCCTTTTCACGTACTTTGGAAGGTGATCGTGGTCCGGATTCAGTGTCGCTGTCGGCATTGCCATTCGTCGAGGGAGCAGCCAATGTCGCTAAACCAGGTTTTGGTACGTTGTACTTCAGAGCTATCAAGGTTGTTCAGCGCCAGAACGGGATGTGTAAGGGCCCAACACACAAAGAGAGCTTTTGAGATTTTCCGAAGACTCGTAGAGCGTTCTCATCTTCTCATTGGCGATCATTTCATTTGCGGTTGGGAAGATGATTTGACCCCAGCCCTCAACGAAAGAGTTGGCCTCCGCGACGACCTCCATGACTTCCGCCTCGATTTCCTTCTCCGCAGCCAGTAAACTGTTCCACAAGTCTTCGCCAATAGACCCTTTTTGGAGGAGATTCTGTAATGCCGGTTTGTCTTCACGAAGTCGGAGGACACGTTGCACGTCTGTCATCGCTCGTCGAACAAGGGCGGACTTGAGAAGAGCATCGGAGGCGGGTGGATCGGTCTTTTGGAGGAGGGTGACATAGACATTACGCTCTGCGTGAGTCGGGAAGTATGGCGGGAGTGACTTTGCTAATTGACGCGTTAAGCAGGTTTTTCACTGTGCTTCTGGATTTAGACCACTCACCAGCCGATTTCCTCCGGTATATCATAGAGAAAGTTCCCAGTCCGCCGAGAATAATAACCATGTAGAGAACGGGAACCAGGACGGAAGTCGATGACCCAGCCATTGTATCGTGCTGGCGGCGGAAGAGAAGGGAGTGACGTGGTGTGACCGAGCGTGATCTCTTACCTTGGCGCGAGACAAATGTTTGCCCGTACGCGTATTCTTTCTGCATCGCGGTCTGCTGTGTCCAGGCGCTATGCCTCGACGAAGGTAGGCCGGAACTTGCATACTTATAGCCCAACTCATTTGTTTTGGCCAGTCTCTCAAGGAAGCGCTGCAAGAAGTCATTCCGGCAAAGCAAGAGCAGCTCCGGAAGCTGGTTTGTGTTCTTTCAATGGTGGCCCAATCACCCATGCTCTCTAGAAAACCGAACACTCGCAAGCCGTTGTCGGAGATGTTAAGGAAAGCTCAGAAACCAGTGTTTTCACGTTCACTTACTCGAAGTAGGTCGAAAACATCATCGGAGGGATGCGAGGCCTCAAAGCCATGCTCTGGGAGGCGTCTGTGCTCGACCCCAATGAAGTAAGGAAAACAACGAGTATTGTCCATGCTCAATACGTCTCTAGGGCATTCGCTTCCATGGCCTCAGCATTCCGGAATGCCAAAAGGTCTTGCCTGCTGCTCCGGGCGGCAAGGAAATGACAGCGGAAAGTATGCTCTGGCTCCTAATGACCGGCCGGGTGCCAACAGAAGCCGAATCCCGTCAACTATCCCGCGAGCTTGCTGAAAAAGGCGACTTGCCTAAGTTTGTTGAACAACTCGTTGATTCGTCTGTGTTCATGATTACGCAAGGGTGTAGACCCTGACCATATCACTAGGTTCCCCCAAACTCTTCATCCTATGGCGCAGCTTGGTATGGGTGTTGCAGCGTTGAACCACGACAGTGCATTTCAAGCAGCCTATGAAAAGGGCATCAAGAAATCCGAGTACTGGACTCACACTTTGGAGGACGCGCTTAATCTGATTGCCCGTCTTCCGGCCCTCGCCGCACGCATCTACCGCAATGTCTATAAGCCTGGAACTCCGATGCCTGCCATCAACAAGGACCTCGACCTCATTGGTAAGTCACAGTGTAACTTCTAATGATTTCATTCACATGACCGTGTTGCAGGAAACTACTCTGCACTTCTCGGATTCGGCGACAACCATAGTCTGACCGAGTACCTTCGCCTCTACATTGCTCTCCATGGCGATCACGAAGGAGGAAATGCATCTGCACACACCTCTCGTGCGTATCTGTTTGGTCTTGATTGCCACTTGATTCTAAACCAAGACATAGATCTAGTTGGCTCAACGCTCGCGGATCCTTACTTGTCCTATGCTGCAGCTCTGTTCGCTTTAGCTGGCCCTCTCCATGGGTATGCGAATAGCTCGTCAAGTCCTATTGATTGATCATTCGAAACAGCCTTGCAAACCAAGAAGTGCTGCGATGGCAGTTAGCGATGCAGGCTGAGATTGGAAGTGATGTCTCCCATGAACAAATCAAGGAATACCTGTGGAAGACGTTGAAGAGTGGACAAGTCGTTCCTGGGTAAATAAAATCCCCCTCGATATGGCAGCTTTCTGATCATCTAACAGCTACGGACACGGTGTTTTGCGCCAAGCTGACCCGCGTTTCATTGCCTTGCAGGAGTTTTGCGACTCGCGGCCTGAGTTGCAGCAGAGTCCCGTCATCGGGCTCGTTAAAAAGGTCCAGTCGGCATGAAGGTCTTAGGACTTTGATTTACCCATCCGATAGACCTACGAAGTCGCCCCAGGTGTCTTGAAAGAGCACGGCAAGGTCAGCCAAGTCTTCCCAGCCACACACCCGACATCGTTCACGGCCGATCTCACAGACCAAGAACCCCTACCCCAACGTTGATGCCACTTCGGGCTGCGTTCTACATCACTACGGGCTGAAGGAATTCAAGGCAAGTGAGAGACTTTTGTTTCGTCTTAAATCCTGAATATTGCTCAGTACTACACGGTCATTTTCGGTGTCTCGAGAGGTGCGTTGTTCCCGTCATAGCGGATATGATTTTGACGCTATCAAGCCCTGGGATGCCTCACGCAGTCTGTCTGGGCTCGAGGTACAATTCTCGTCTTGCCTTTGTTCACGATAACTGATGGATATCGTAGCCCTTGGGTTGCCGTTGGAGCGGCCAAAATGTGAGATTTACCCTGTAGTTCTGCCCATTCACTGACCAAACACACACACACACAGCTCTGTCAATGGATGCATTGGAAAAGCTCATCAAATAACGAGAGTTGTACAACTTATTCATCGTGTCATAAGGAGAGAGTTGAATGGGTATCCTTTCCAATCAGCGTTGTCCGACGTGACCCAAAAGAAACAGAGATATTTAAGGGAATGAATGTCAAGAAAAAAAAAGAGAGAGAGATCAAACAGGTATCTGTACCGAGTGCTAGAAACGCCTTGGCGGAGGTGTTTGCATCTGTTGGGGAGGGGGTTGCTGGGGAGGAGGACCACGATACTGACCCTGAGGAGGCATTGTTCCACTTCGCATTGGTGGGCCCATCATTGGCGGACCTTGTTGAGGCGGACCTTGTTGGGGAGTGCCAACTCTCATTGGCCCCGGACCGGGACCGTAGCCTTGCTGATAAGGAGGGCCTTGGTTTGGCGGTGGCGGGCGTGGCTGTCCAGGTCCTGGCATCGGCATTCTTTGCATATTACCCGGGGGAGGTCCCATGTTTGGTGGTCCCATGTTTGGTGGTCCCATGTTTGGTGGTCCCATGTTTGGCGGTCCCATGTTTGGCGGAGGTCTTTGCTGAGGCGGGAATCCGTTTGGAGGCGGTCTGGGTCCACCTTGTAGCATGGGTTGCTGTTGCTGAGGTGGGGGTCTTTGCATTGGCTGGTTACCTGGGGGAGGCATTTGTTGTGGAGGAAGCATTTGCTGTGGTGGGCGTTGACCAGGATCGCGCAAAGGAATCTGTTGTGGAGGGCCCGGATCACGTAAGGTAACTGGGGCAGGCGGGTTCTTGTCTGCGACTTTCAGAATCTCATCGCTAAAAGTAAAAATAGTGAGCGATTAAAAATAGACGGATGGAATGACCATACTCGAGCAAGTTAAGCGCAGCGCACAAAACAACCCATTCTACACAATCTTCGTTGCCTTCACCCAGAGTCTGCCAAACAGCTTTTTCCTCGGGGGTTTTACCGGTGATGCTGATACGCGTGCCCCCGCCATTTGGGCCAGGAGGGTTCTTCTGGATCTTGCCAAATTCGATGCGTTTTGGCGGTATGTTATGCCCGGCATATGCGAAATAGAACATGCTCCAGAAAGCGGCATTGGGATTCGGCTTGGAGATTTGGAACAACGGAAGATCCGGCGAGTCGGGGGATGGAAGTGAGAGCTTGTAGATTGGCGAAATGACACCGGTGTTGGCGATAGACCATTTCAGATTGCGCGAAGCCTCACAACGAACAACACGTGAGCTGGACGTCGAGTGGCCAGGGTCTGACGCTGAGCCTTTGGCGTCCTTTGGTCGTGGGGGGAACAGCTTTGCAACACAAAGATCGCCTTGGGGCGAGGGCGTCAAGAGATAGTTCTCCGCATTCTGGCAAGAGTCAGTTTCGAGACAAATGGTTAGTAGAAAGCACACAAAGTTGGTATGAAGGTATGAGTACAGGATGTTTGACGGCTGGCCTGTTAGGTGATATGAGGGGGGTAGTAATTGGCTGTCGTGAAGAAGTAGCTTACCATGGGGTGTAACGATGAGAGTCGGGAGATGGTTGGGTATTGGGGGATGGGTCGGAGAGGTATATACAGAATATATGGCTGGCAAAAATGAGCTCTAGGATTGAGGCAGCAAGACTAAGACTGTACCGGCCATCGAAGCCCAATTAGAGTGGTAACTGTGACCGTTACTAGGAGCGAAGATGTCGACACTCTCGTCTGCGAGCTAACACACGTCGCAGTAGAGGGGTTTTGGAGGTGTTGTTAGCGTAGAGCTTATTTGGGATTATCGACGTGGAGAAGTAGAGTCTGGAGCTGAAGTGTATCGATGAACAGTGTGACTAGGCCGTGACGGAACTTCCTCTCGCAACCACGACCGCAATTCTCCAGAGAGTCGGAGATAGCAAGCTTGTTTGACGTGGAACTGGCTGGCCTTTCATCCAAAATCGCACTTTCCGTCAAATTCCATGAAGGGCCTCAAAAAGAATTTAAATCTGGTCAGTTCTACATCTGCGTTGTTGATTTCGCTAACAAGTCGTTTCCCAGCTCAATAGAAAGAGCTCCCAGGACTCGAGCTCGTCCAAGAAGGAACCCAAAGTCACTGCACCACCGCCTCCCCCACCCAACACTCAGAAACCACTTCCTCCAACTGCAAACGGGTCATCTGGCCCTGCTACGCCAGATCGCAGACATGTACCTGACGCGAATGGTACTCCGCCACCACCAATAGTCGTTGTCAGTCCAGACGAGGCCTCATATCGTACCAACCAGCCTGCCACTCCAGAGCGAATCAGCCATGATCTTGGTCCACCCCGCGCTGCCGTATCGAACATGTCTCGGCTTAGGGCAAATGCAAAGGACACGATTCCCATCGTCGGAAAGCCTCCCCGCAAACAACGGAGCAGTAGGTTCGTCGTCACTGAGAAAGTCGACATCGAGCGTCTTCCCGCATTCATGGGTCAGTTTACCTTTCCCTCTTTGAACTTTACCCTCAAATCTATGGTCAGAAACCCCACCCAGCGAACGCGCGCAGCTCTTTGTCAAGAAGCTTCATCAATGCCGCGTCCTTTTCGACTTCAACGATGCCAGTTCGGAGCTCAAGGGCAAACAAGTCAAGGCTCAAGCCCTCCACGAAATGCTCGATTATATCACCACCCAACGTGGTGTTATCACCGAGAGCTTATACCCGGAGGTCGTCGGCATGGTGTGCACTCTGTGCTATTCCTCGTTACTTGTTTCTGATCTGATTTAGTTTGCCGCAAACCTCTTTCGCTCGATACCCCCGCCCGTAAATCCTACCGGCGACGCATTTGATCCAGAGGAAGACGAGCCAGTGCTTGAGCTCGCTTGGCCTCACCTTCAAATTGTCTACGAATTCTTCCTTCGCTTCGTGGAGAGCCCAGACTTCAACACCAACATGTCCAAGCGCTACATCGATCAAACATTCGTTCTCAACCTTCTCGAGCTATTCGACTCGGAAGACCCACGCGAGCGCGACTTTTTGAAGACCACTCTCCATCGGATATACGGCAAATTCCTAAATCTGCGTGCCTTTATCCGTCGCTCCATCAACAACGTTTTCTTCCACTTTGTGTACGAGACTGAGCGCCACAACGGGATTGCAGAGTTACTCGAGATCCTAGGGTCCATCATCAACGGCTTTGCCCTCCCTCTCAAGGAGGAGCATAAGATTTTCCTTGGCCGGGTGCTTCTTCCTTTGCACAAGGCCAAGAGCTTGTCGCTATACCATCCACAACTAGCGTATTGCGTGGTTCAATTCCTCGAAAAGGACCCTGCTTTGGCGGAGGAGGTGATGCTTGGGCTCCTGAAATTCTGGCCCAAAGTCAACTCGCCGAAAGAAGTCATGTTTTTGAACGAGGTGGAGGAGGTATTGGATGTGACCGATCCAGTCGAGTTCCAAAAGATTCAAGTCCCACTCTTCCAGCAACTCGCGCGGTGCATCAACAGCCAACACTTCCAAGTCGCTGAACGAGCTCTTTTGTATTGGAACAACGAGTATGTCGTCAATCTTATGAGCGACAACTTGGCTATCGTCCTGCCCATTGTTTTCCCCGCCTTGTACTCAAACTCTAAATCTCATTGGAACCGGTAAGCAACTAATCTTACTTACATCTTGCAGGCATGTTGACTCCCCGCCCCATAGAACTATCCACGGCATGGTGTACAATGCCTTGAAGCTCTTTATGGAAATCAATCCAGACCTCTTCGACGAATCGATGCACCAATATAAGCAACGAAAACTCGAGTAAGTTTTTGTCTTTCTCTGGGGCAAGTTTGTATTCAAAAATTATCAGGGAGCAAGAACATGCTGTGGACCGATATAACGCATGGCAAAAGTTGAGGGAAAGGGCTCTCAAGGCAGCTGGAGGCTCCTTCCCCAACGGCTATGTAGAGATTCCACGATCGCCGCCTCCACCGCCATCAGCAGATGACACAGACATTCTCGACTTGTCTCTGGAGCTAAATGCGGCATCTATCGACGATGTGGTTGGTGACTTGGACGAGCATGGACTTGAAAGAGTCCCGATGGCAGATCCTGGAGTCGATGTGCGTTTTTGACATTTCCTGTCCATCACCCAGTCTCACCATGATTATTTCAGCGCTCATTACCAGAGCTCCACCACACAGAAGCTCCTCCTGCTTCTGGACCGGCAGCTCATATGAGACGAAAGTCTGTTTTACCAGGTGAGTGTTTTTTTAGCACAGGACGCTCGTGACTGATGATGGCTGGATTAGTTGACCCCACCGTAATGCGCGACCTTCAAGCCCACCAAAGTCTCGATAATGGATTGTCCTAAATGTACCCTGTCTCACCAACATGCATTTTTTCTTCTCTCTCTGTACCGTATTAGTACCTGCCTGTCTGGAGAATATACGAGAAGATTCACTCAGAGTCACATGACAATAGAACCTACTGGAAACATCGCGACTGATGCTAGAAAGTATATAAGCTGCCTGACCGATGCGCCAGTTTTTCACTTTTCACTTTTTCTCCCATCATCCTCCGACCTTCTGCGGTCCCCCTTCTTGCATCGCAGCAAATCATCCATTAACGAGTGCGCCTGTCACTTGTTTACTACTCTTTCATTCTAACTCTTACCGCAGCCTGATACATCCAGATGTCTTCCTCTAAAGCCTGTGGAATTGACGTGCGTGTTGCAGTCCATCCAATCCAAAGCATCGTTTACTGACTTGTGTTATCGACAGTTGGGTACCACCTACTCTTGCGTTGGTGTCTGGCAAAATGATCGTGTCGAGATCATCGCCAACGACCAGGGTAACCGAACGACCCCCTCCTACGTCGCTTTCTCAGACAGTGAACGTCTTATTGGCGATGCCGCCAAAAATCAAGTCGCCATGAACCCCACCAACACGTACGTGTCTTAGCCTTTCATTGTTATCATAATGCTGACTCTTTCACAAAGCGTTTTCGATGCCAAGCGTCTCATTGGACGCAAATTCGACGATGCAGAGGTCCAGGCCGACATGAAGCACTTCCCCTTCGTCGTCTTCAGCAAGGCTGGCAAGCCTTACATCCGCGTTGAGTACCGAGGCGAGCAAAAAGAATTTGTACGTCATTTCTTCCATCATGTTCCATCAACGTCTATCTAATCAAGATCGCAGTCACCCGAGGAAATTTCGTCGATGGTCCTCCTCAAGATGAAGGAGACTGCCGAATCGTACCTCGGAACAACCGTCAACAATGCCGTTGTCACCGTTCCCGCCTACTTCAACGACTCGCAGCGTCAGGCCACCAAAGATGCCGGAACCATTTCTGGCATGAATGTGCTCCGTATCATTAACGAGCCTACCGCTGCCGCCATCGCCTATGGCCTCGACAAAAAAGTCAGTGGCGAGCGTAACGTGCTAATCTTCGATCTCGGTGGAGGAACTTTTGATGTCTCCCTCTTGACGATCGAGGAGGGTATTTTCGAAGTCAAGGCCACCGCTGGTGACACCCATCTTGGTGGTGAAGATTTCGACAACCGTCTCGTCAACCACTTCGCCCAGGAGTTCAAGCGCAAGAACAAGAAGGGTATGTTCATATCATCTTTTTTTTACTTGATTGCTGACTAAGTTTTTCTTTAGATCTCTCTTCCAACTTGCGAGCTCTCCGTCGTCTGCGTACTGCTTGCGAGCGTGCAAAGCGTACCCTTTCCTCCGCCGCCCAGACCTCCATCGAAATCGACTCGCTCTTCGAAGGCATTGACTTCTACACTTCCCTCACCCGTGCCCGTTTCGAAGAATTGTGCCAGGACCTGTTCCGCAGCACTCTTGAGCCTGTAGAAAAGGTTCTCCGTGACTCCAAGATCGACAAGGCTAATGTTCACGAAATCGTCCTTGTTGGTGGCTCCACCCGTATTCCCCGGATCGTCAAGCTCGTCTCCGACTTCTTCAACGGCAAAGAGCCCAACAAGAGCATCAACCCTGACGAAGCCGTTGCCTACGGTGCCGCTGTCCAGGCTGCCATTCTCTCTGGTGATACCTCTGAGAAGACCCAGGACCTCCTCCTTCTCGATGTTGCCCCCTTGTCGCTCGGTATCGAGACTGCTGGCGGTGTCATGACTGCGCTCATCAAGCGTAACACGACTGTCCCCACCAAGAAGTCAGAAACCTTCTCCACATACGCCGACAACCAACCTGGTGTGCTCATCCAAGTCTACGAGGGAGAGCGTACCCGCACCAAAGACAACAACCTGCTCGGTAAATTCGAGCTTTCCGGCATTCCCCCTGCTCCTCGTGGTGTCCCCCAAATCGAAGTCACATTCGACATTGACGCCAACGGTATCCTAAACGTCTCTGCCTCGGATAAGACGACGGGCAAATCGAACCGCATCACCATCACCAACGACAAGGGTCGTCTGTCCAAGGAGGAAATCGACCGCATGGTCAGCGAGGCCGAGAAGTACAAGGGTATGTTCATTTTTCTCTTATTTGAGTGTGACTGACTTTGATTTTTTTCTTTCAGCCGAGGACGAGGCTGCCCAAGCCCGTATCAGCGCTAAGAATGGCCTCGAATCATACGCCTACAACCTACGAAACTCGATCACCGACGAGAAGCTCGCTGACAAGTTCGAGCCTGCCGACAAGACGAAGCTGGAGTCTGCTGTCAACGACACGATCAAATGGCTCGACGCGTCACAGGAGGGCTCGAAGGAGGAATACGAGGAGAAGCAGAAGGAGCTCGAGGCGATCGCCAACCCGATCATGCAGAAACTGTACGGATCAGGCGGAATGCCCGGCGCGGGCGGACCGGGTGGCTTCCCAGGCGGACCGGGCGGTGCTCCTGGTGGCTTCCCTGGTGCCTCTGACGACGGCCCAAGCGTCGAGGAGGTTGACTAAGCGGGTTCCTTCTTTTCCTCTCTGGTGCACGATGGCAACGACGACGACATTAAAAAAATTACTTGTAATACTCACATTTTGCTGCTAGACCAATCGCATTTCTTTTTGTACATCTACCATTGATGACTAAGATCCATTCTTGAGTACTCCAGCCGCGACAACTCCGCCTGCGACTGGTCGAGCCAACCGATCTTCACCAGCATTGACCGTGAATGTAGCACTAACAAATGAGCCCAGGTTTGGTGTCCCTAAGGATACGTTTAGAAATGTGCAGCATTGGAAGAGAGAAAGGCACTGACCAACGTTGGACATGGCATAGTAGGTCGCATTGGCTTGCTTCGTGTCGATGGTCAGCGTGAAGAATCCGCGGAAGGAATGTCGGGGTTCTGGGCGACGATCAGCGCAGAGATCGGGTTGGTCTGGGCTGGCGTGGCGCCTGGGTGATTTTGGGTAAGTGGTGTGTGAGGTAGTATTAGTAAACATACCAGCACCGAATGGGGACGGCGAGGTCACAGCGGTCCCTGCGAACTCGACAGCGATGGAGCCTTTGCCAGTCACGGGGTCGTATCTAGAGGCAAATATTATTATGGCTCATTTCGGAAAGCCATGACGGACGTCGTTGTGTCGTTGGGGTCTACGTGAGTGGTAAACAAAAACTCAACGGAAGTAGTGGTGACTTACGCGCGAGATCGGAGACCCAGTTGGCGTGGCTGTCGCCCGAGAGGATGATGGTGTTCCTGATTTTATTCGCGTGCAGGTGGTCCAGGATGCGCTGGCGGTTCATGCGGTACCCGTCCCAGTCGTCCTATGCGTTTCCTCTCAGTGGCAGTTTGCGGTACTGAGTATATGCCCACCAGATCGGCTGCACTTGTCAGCCAATCGATGCAATCAAGTAACAAGACAAACGAACCGAACACGCCGTTCAGCAGAATTTGGGTGAACACGATTTGTTGACTGTCATGTCAATGGTGAGCAGAGGTAAAAGCGGTTGAGGTTACCCGACGATCCTCCAAATAGCCCCGCGGTTTTGAGACTCGATGAGGGTATCTGAGAACCCTGTGTGGAGGATTAATCAAGTACACGTTCGATAGTAGTGAGTCTAACATTTTTCCTGGGCGGCACCCATGAGTGAACGGTCGGGAATATCCGCCAAGGACGCAATGACTAATTGTGGTGAGCAACGATGTGACCAACTTGTACACACAACTTACAGTCTGTCAACCTGTAATCCAATCGGTCGGTCAATTAGGAGGAATGAATACCATGGTTATAGTCAACGTCAGTAACATCTCGGTCATATTGACCTAGAGGCAAGGTGATGAAATGGTTCAGAGCATAGAAGAGCGGATTATACGCGTGTCCAGCATGGTCAGATCCAGAAGCTTCCCGATCTGGAAGTTGCGCCAGATGCGCAAGAGGTCGGTGGTCTCGACTTGACGAACGGGGATCCACTCGTGGTAGGCACGGACGGCGGCGAGCTTGCGGTCGGTGAAGCAGGCCCCTGACGCAGAAAAGGCACAGCCGGCTGAACTGTCGTTGGAGTTGGTCGAGCCGGCCTTCCATGTGTTGTCGGCCACCTGTAGACTTGTGAGAAGGATATTTTAAAAGGACACCAGGGTTAAAACCTCGTGATCATCCTAGAGTTGGAGGCAATCTTCAGCTTCAGAACTTGATTAGATTGGTAGTAATATACCCTTGATATATTCAGTATTAATTATATAATATGCTGCCCTCACCAAACATTAATCCACGGCGCGTTCAGATGTGCGGCGAGCAGGCTGCTATCAGTCCGATATTGGGCATAGCGCTGCCGGTAGTCGTGGATGGTTGCAAGCTCCCTTCCTAGACTGCGTTCATCAATAACGTGAGTTAGTAATGTCAAGTAAGCAGAACGCACACCGCTCGGCCAATGGCAGCACTGAGAAATTATCAGCTATCCAGCCACCGGGAACTGGACACTTTACCCATTTCCAACGCTCTCGTAGATGTAGTCGCCGAGATGGACGAAGATGTCCGCCGAGGTGTTGTGCGCGGCAACTCCATAAGCATTGAACCATCCTACAAGACCGGGTTGGTGTAACGCTAGCCGGCGCTGAATCACACGCACCAGTCTGGAATTGAGAGCATGAAAACACTGCCAACGTCAGAGGCTTGCCACCGTTGACTGTATTGGCGGGTGTGTTTGGGCTGGGGAGAGTTCGTGTTTTCCCAACCGGGCTGGTTGTCGCTGGGTTGGTGCAGTCGGAGAACACATAGGAATACTGGGTGTCTGGCTTGAGGCCCTTGACTTCGAACTTGACGGTGAAGTCCACGTCCCAGCTGGTGAAGGCTTGGTCTGACTGGACTGGCTTCCCCTGCATCCCTGGCGAGGAGAATACGTCATACGAGACGCAAACTGGCACGCTTTGGTCTGGCCCAGCGCCGAGGGGAAAGGCGCGGGTCCAGATGAGGACAGAGGTGTCGAAAGGGTCGCCCTGGTTTTATAAGCACGCAGGCGGAGGTGGCAGTAAGTAATGGGCCTTACGCTGGCCACCGAGTGTGTGAAGTTGATGCCTCCGCTCCAAACCGTTGGGCTCTGGAAGGTTTATGTGAAGAATAGGACATCGAGCAAGCAACGCACAGTCCCAAAATGAGCGCCATAGAACGTCGGATAGTGGTTGTCGTCGAACTTGTTTTCTGTAGTTTGTCGCCGTTGGAACTCTTTCAGATGGTGCGCTTCGAGTGCCTTGGTGTTTACCGCAAGCTTTGTCGATTAGTAATGAACATAAAGGTGGAGACTGGTCAAGCAACCTGTGGGTGGTCCGCATACGGAGACCAGTACGCCAAATTTCGATCGTAGAGCGCTGTCGCTGCTGTCGCGGTGGCCACGCAAAAGACGACGAAAAGCCAAGAGACGGTCATGGTTTGAGTCGGCACTCATTCTAATTTGGCTTTAACGGGCCCAGCTCGACTGATGAACAGGCAACGTTCATGAGCGACGTGGGAGGTGCGGTGGAGAAAGGCTGAACCGAGTGCAAAAATGTAGCCATTGCACGACAGATGAGCCAGCCAAGTTCTAAGCATATCCCAAGCTTCCGGGTTAGATTTTACTTCAGCCATTTATGGTCGGAATGTTGGAAGGAAAACGACGCCAGGCTGCCGTTGTGGTGCTGGCCGCGGCGGCTTGTGTGGCGCGCATCACTGGCAAGCCCAACTTGAATTCAAGTCGTCACGGTGTCGTGACCGTGACGAACGTGGCATTGAATAGCACCGACCAACTTGAACACGACCTGGGAATCTACACATTCGCACTCGCCGCTCAGCACGGAACGCAGAACAATAACAGTGATGTCCTATGATCAGAATCCCCTCAGCTTTACGTGGTGCTCCATTTCTCTCCGAGAACCGGAACACAACACCGCTACGCTATCATCTTCGCAACGTATAAGAGCAGCGAGGTATAAAAATTTTAGGCCAGTAGCGCGAAATTCGGGCGGACATAGTCTGCTTCTCTTCTGTACTTACGCTCAATGCAAGCCTCGTCAGACAGCAGCACAAATGCCCCAATCCGCAAACCGTATGTGCCACCAACTGGTTTTTGATGGCTCACATCTGCCGTTAGATCTGGGGCCTGTGTTCACTGCAAGTCTCTGAAGGTAAAACCTCTCGGTTGATGATTAGTCATTGTCTAACAGTAAATCAAGGTTCGGTGCCAATTTCTTCCCAACCAGACCATCTGTAAGAGATGTCACGACGGAAACCACGCCTGTGTTCCTCGGATGAGAAAGAAGCGCAAACCTGCACCGACGCATGAAGATTTGGAAGAAGAGACTCTGCGGCAGGACCACGAAATCGCTGCCCTTCTGGCACAATGGGATCAAGCCATGACCTTGTCGAGAATAAGTCGAATCCTACCTGACCGTCAGGCAGCAATTGCACCCTCTGCTATCACTCAATCTGCAGAAGCCGCCACCGCATCCTACTTTTCTCGAGGTCAGGACCGATTCATTATACCGTTATACTTATGGTTAATTAAAGCACAGGACGGTCTAGTTGGTGTCGCGCTCCTCCCATCGTGACCGGCTGCTCCCTTTATCCCACAGATATATTAAGCCTTTTCAGCATGCAAGTTGCCATCCTGATTCTGTTTCAGAGCTGACCGTACACCAGTTATTTCCAATCTATCCACCCTTATTTCTCTATTCTGGACCCCGTCTTACATTCGGACCCTGCCGATGTGATTTGGAGCTGTCCGTTTCTGTTCACTGTCAGTGAGTGCGTCTCATCGTCAAGCTGGTCACACAAACCCAAGATGTCCCGCTAGTCTGTTCTACTGCTGCCAGATTCTATGCATCACGTCCCGATCTGGACTCGCAAGCTTATGCCTTTGCGCGCAACGCTGCTGCGACTGCGTTGATTGAAGGAGCTATATCGGTGGACGTTTGTCAGGCATATACCATCATGGCTGCGTATCCAACACCAGAGAAAAAACTGGCTGATGACAGAAGCTGGTAAGCTCAACTATGTTTTCCCACAAACTTCTTTTGAACACGATTAGGTTATACTTGGGCATGGCAATCAGGTCATTCACAGTTAACCAACTCTCATCCAGCTGACTGAGTTGCTCAGAATAGGAATACAGCTCAAGCTGGACCAGCCAGCTCAATCAGAGCAAGATGAGCGCGCAAGACAGAATAGAATTCGGACATGGCTGTATTGCTGTTGTGGAGACGGGTTTTACGCTGTCAAGCTCGGGAAAATGCCGATGCAAGGCCTCGACGACTACATCGCTCGCACATCCCGAGCCTGGTATCAGGCATCAGCGCCAGATTCAAGTGGCCCTTTTGATGTTTACCTCCACGCTTGCGTCCAGCTTTTGCGGAAAGCGATCGCCTGGCGTGGAACTGTTTGTTGCGCAGAAAAGGTCTCCCTTGATGCTGGTACGATGTGCAAGTTTCAACTTTAGACAGACACGCGATTTGGCCGCCTTTTGCATATCAACTCAGGAGGAACTTGCCCAAGAATTAGAATTCTGGAGCTCTGTCTTTGATCGCAATGGTGGCACAAATGGTTTGCTCCGTCTCTCTCTTATTGGCTCGTCGGTGAATGACCATTCAGCAGATCCATATCATGTTTATCGAGTGACTAACGTGCAACTGTAAGTCGGTGAGATTCTTGTTGGAAGATTTCTGAACTTGTTCAGGATCTGCTCGTATCTTCGCCTGGCCATTCTGGCCCGCGCGTTCCAAGAAGCTTCAACAAGCTCACTTTCGCCTGTCGCAGAAATTCTTTTGCTGTCTATTGACGCAGCTCAACAAGTCGTTCATATAGCGCTACGCCAAACGCATTCAGGTCCTCACTTTCGATCCATTATGCAGACACATCTGGTCTACATTGCCTTCGCCGCTGCGTTTCTCATCAACGTACAATTCTTCTGTGCTGTCCTGCAGAAAATTAACCCCCACCTCACAGTTGTTACGACCACAATTCATCTACCTCATCCACCCCGACACCCAGCAAGCGATTGTTGAACTTGTTGAACGACTTGTCGACGCGTGGGGTGCTGAGCCAGCTGCCCTTAACGCCAGACATTCTCCCACCAACTATTCGCGTTTTATTTCGTCCCTCCTCGCCAAACATAACGTACGCGGAACTGGCCAAGAGCTTTTCGCTGCCCCCGACACATCGCTTTGTTGGCCAGAGATGTCAGTAGCTCTTCCCGAGATAGACCCAGACATTGACTGGTTGTTCTCGCATGCCGATTTTTCGCTCATGCACTTTCTGAACTCCGTTCATGGCGCGGAACTTGAACCCCCATTAGACCCCAGCAATATGTGGTATTGGCAGTAGATTTGTCGTTGTGTATTTGTCCTAGTACTTGTAGCCCGATCAGTAATAGCTCTTATCCGTAACGACGATGGATAGGGCTCACCCAATAGCTCTCAAGTCGGTCTTCGTGGCCTTCTCTGATTCTCCAGTCATGATGATAGGCAGGCGTACACAAAACTGTTTGGCCCGGGCACGACTCTTTCACGAGTCCGCGATGCGGCACTGGGTGATCGGTTATTTGCTTCAACTGCTCTCGAGGTACCAGGCCGTAGTTTGGCCTGGAAGGTATGTCGTTATATGCTGCTGTTATTTAATTCCAAACACTGGTCTAGTTGTTTCTGCTACCAGATGAACCGCTCCAGCAAGTTGCTGTGGACGCACAGCCAACACCTCCGCTCCGCTCGCTGCAGTCGTCGCGAAAGCAATACGTGAAATTAATGAAAGAGCATTTGCGAGCGCCTGACGGCAGTTTCGAGGAAGGGGTGGTAATTCCCGGCTCATCCACATCGGTCGAACGCCAAGCATCTTCAAGCAACGATCTCGAAACAAATAATCCCCTCAGCCTGCATAGCGAGGTGTGCATATCTACTTTGTGAAGGAGCACTCCCCTTGACTAGACTGTTGTCAGAACCCATGGAAAGAGTGGTTCAACGCCGTCGAAACCCGAAAGACCATACTACAAGATGTAGAACGCACTTTCCCCGAGATTGCATTCTTCCGTGACCCCGAAGTAGGAGTTTCCGTGCTGCAACTAGCGGTTTTCTGACGACCTCCAGGTACAACTTCAGCTCACACACATCCTTTTCATCTATTCGACCGTGATCAATCCAGTGGTGGGCTATCGCCAAGGTTGGAATCATCATTGGCTTCTTGTCTGGGGTATACTGAACTTCCCACTGGTTACAGGGATGCACGAGCTCCTTGCACCACTCTACTATGCCGTTGACCATGATTCAGTGGAAGAATCGACTGAACCCCCTCTACAAGAGCTCTGTGCGCGAACTTGGGTTGCTGCCGATGCCTTTGCCCTATTCTGCGCGGTTATGAAGGGTGCTTCACGCTGGTACGAATGGCAGGAGACACCCCCATCATCGCGGCCCACTCCTGGCTCGCCATTTGCCCACCATGTCCATATTCCTGTTGGCCCGGTGGAGGTCAAGCCTTACGTTACGCCTGTGGTCCAAGACTGCAATCGAGTTCAACACCAACTATTGCGGACTACGGACCCGTTGTTGTGGAAGCATATGCAAGCAACCGGGATCGAACCGCAAATATACGGAATTAGGTGGCTCCGTCTCATCTACACCCGCGAATTTCCTCTGCCAGTTGCCATGAAGCTCTGGGATGGTTTGTTTGCGTGTGACCCGTCCTTGCAGCTTGCTCACTGGGTCTGTGTGGCCATGTTGATCAGAATACGCAATGAATGTAAGTGCTCTTCATTTGTTTAATCTACTCTCTGACCTGTTGTTTCGTCCAGTGATTCCGGGTGACTACAGTGTCGCGCTGACAACACTTTTGCGCTATCCATCTCAGACCAGCGATGAATGGTCTCACCACACGAGCATCTTGCTCAAGCAGGCGTTGGAATTGCAAATGTCTCCAATCGCTGCAACTGGGAATCTACTTGTTTTGGAAAACAGGAACCTCCTGAATATCCCGTCTGAGGTGCCTGCCCCACCTCCACCCCCTCAAAGACGAGGCGCTCGACATAAGGAGAAAACACCCCCAGCTCCGAAAACGCCAACAGAATCGCGGCCGACGGCTACGGCACAGACACAACCCCAGGCTAGTCTCGAAGGATTTGCGCGTGGATTATTGGAAAGAGGCGAAAGTTTCGGCATCAACCGAACTCTCATGAACGCTGTCCCTGAGTTCAGAGTTTGTGGTCGCTTTCTTGCCTATTTTGTACTGATTCATTGCAACAGCGGAATTTGTCTGAGCTTGCCGCTTCATTTGTGAGATCACCCACGAACACATCGTTTCCTCTCGTTGAAGAGGAACGACCAGACGAAGAAAGGCCGCCCTGGGAAGCCAAGTCGCGGCGGTGGTACGACTCGCATATTGAGGAGTTGGAGGCTTCGATGACTAAGAGCAAAACAACACAGCAACGACTGGCGGAAGGGCTCTCGAGGGCTGTGGACATACTGCTACAAGATGAAAGCGAAGTGAAGGACTTGGAGCAGCTAAAGCGATCAAGAAGAGAGGCGTTGGAAGCTATCTCTTATGTGCGAGACATGCTGGCCAGCAATATTCCGTCAGACATCGACGAGGAAAGGCTGTTCGGTGAAGAGGGGCTACAGAGACGCAAATTGGCTGCAGAAGAGAAATCGAAAGCCAGCGTTATGCAAATACCCCAACCTGCGATTCCTTCCCCACTTGCTGTGGTCGATTCGCGACCGTCGGTCCCGCCTCCCATCATACCGCCAACCCAACAGGCAGTCATTACACCTTCCAAGTCCACTTTTTTCACCTACGGCTCCGCCATGGAAATATACTCGATCTAACTTCTCGGAAAGTCTGCCTTCTGCCTCACTCCCTCGTGTCCCTCCGCCCACTTCATCGACGTTTCGTAGACCGCCAGAAGCGGTCATGGAGAAGAAAAGGGTGCAGCCTCCAAAATCATCTCCACCGCTCAAGACTGGGGATAGTAGAACAGAACATGACCCACTGGGTGTCTTGTAGAAATAAGTAGTAGAATGCACGGCTTGTGATTGGTCGGCGGTTACTTGACCTTGATCACTTGTGATTTTGACCCAACGTCGGCTTAGTCCGGAACGGCCATGCTCAGAAAAAGCCTCCAACGGTCGTTGCGGCACACTCGCTCCTTCCACGCTTCACCTGCTGCCCGCAAAGTCGTTGCGACAAATCCTGTTAAAGCAGAGGAGGTCAAGGTACCGCAGCTTGGGTCTTGGGTGGAAGGAATTGCTGACTTGTGTTAGTCTTGGTCGTCCGGCAAGTATCCCTTGATTGAACACGAATACGATGCTATTGTCGTGTGCGTCTGAATCTGGCGCGTTGGGTTTATGACGTTGAAGCGTTTTTTTTTGTAGCGGAGCCGGTGGTGCTGGGCTGAGAGCAGCTTTTGGGCTGGCAGAGGCTGGTTTCAACACGGCTTGCATCACCAAACTTTTCCCCACTCGCAGTCATACCGTCGCGGCCCAGGTAATTCAGCAATTATTATTCGTCCACTTCGCTCATTGTCTGCAGGGCGGTATTAATGCGGCACTCGGAGTAAGCATCATCATCACCATCCGTTCACCCTCTTCGTCGACCAATGCCTTTTTTTCTGCTAACAGAACATGACCGAGGACGACTGGAGATGGCATATGTACGATACCGTGCGTATATAAACTAACCAAGCTGCGCTCTATTGCTGATGTTTTCTCACAGGTCAAGGGCTCTGACTGGCTCGGAGACCAAGACGCGATTCACTATATGTGCCGGGAGGCGCCAAATACTGTCATTGAAGTGTGTTTTCGACAGCTACTAGCTGCGTTTTACTAATCCACTCTGAACAGCTTGAACACTTCGGTGTCCCCTTTTCGCGGACTAAGGAGGGCAAGATTTACCAGCGCGCCTTTGGTGGTCAATCGTTGAAGTACGGCAAGGGAGGACAAGCCTATCGCTGTGCAGCAGCTGCTGACCGAACCGGCCACGCGCTTCTTCACACGCTATATGGCCAATCCCTGCGACACAACACCAACTTCTTCATCGAGTATTTTGCGCTTGACCTCATCATGCAAGACGGGGAGTGTCTTGGTGTCATTGCCCTCAACATGGAAGACGGCACCCTCCATCGTTTCCGGGCTCACAAAACGGTATTGGCGACTGGCGGGTATGGACGGGCCTACTTCAGCTGCACAAGTGCCCACACTTGCTCTGGTGACGGCAACGCCATGGTTGTCCGTGCTGGCCTTCCTCTTCAAGATCTTGAATTCGTCCAGTTCCACCCGACGGGTATTTATGGTTCCGGCTGTCTGATCACTGAAGGTAACAGAAAATGTGTTTATTATCTGCTCTTGCTGACCAATTTGCAGGCTCTCGTGGCGAGGGAGGTTATCTCCTCAACTCTGAGGGTGAACGGTTCATGGAGCGTTACGCACCGACCGCGAAGGATCTTGCCTCGCGTGATGTCGTTTCACGTAGCATGACCGTGGAAATTCGGGAGGGTCGAGGCGTTGGACCTGACAAGGACCACATTTTCCTCCAACTGAGCCATCTCCCCGCTGAAGTCCTGCATGAGCGTCTGCCTGGTATCTCTGAAACCGCCTCGATTTTCGCTGGAGTCGATGTCACCAAGGAGCCCATTCCTGTTCTCCCAACTGTCCACTACAACAGTGCGTTGTTGCCACCATTTATTCATTTTTCAATTTGTTCAACTCTTTCCAGTGGGTGGTATCCCGACGAAGTACACTGGCGAGGTCATCACCATCGACGCTGAGGGTAAGGACAAGATTGTCCCCGGCTTGTATGCTGCTGGCGAGGCTGCCTGTGTCTCAGTTCATGGCGCCAACCGTCTCGGAGCCAACTCTCTACTCGATATTGTCGTCTTTGGCCGCGCCTGTGCTCACCACATCAAGGAGACCCTCACTCCCGGCAAGCCGCATAAGGAAATCCCTGCCGAGGCCGGTCTCCAAACTGTCGAATACTTGGACAAGATTAGGTATGTTTTGGCAACTTTTGCTGTCGATTGTGTTCTGAAATGTGGCCAAGAAAATCGGACGGCCCCGAACCAACGGCTAAAATCCGTCTCGAGATGCAAAAGGCCATGCAAGCCGACGCCGCGGTTTTCCGGTTTGTTTTTCCATCCAATGTCTTTGTCGATGGGCTTCTCACCCGAGTTAACAGTACGCAGTCCAGCTTGGACCATGGTGTCAAGAAACTCCGGGAAATTTACAAGAGCTTCGACAATGTCGGTATCAAGGACCGAAGCATGATTTGGAACTCGTCAGTATATTCAACGTTTCCTTTTTCATTCGCGGCCGCTTATTAGTGTATCACAGGGACCTCGTTGAAACTTTAGAACTCCGCAATATTCTGCAGTGTGCCATCCAGACTGTGACCTCTGCTGCTGCCCGTAAAGAGTCGCGTGGTGCCCATGCCCGTGAAGATTACCCAGACGTTCGTTGTCTATCTCAAAAGCTTTGCCCCACTGATTTTTTTTTCCATTCAGCGTGACGACGAGACTTGGATGAAGCACACGCTGAGCTTCCAGCCCGACGTGTCCTCCCCTGATGTAGTGCTCAAATACCGTGACGTAATTGGGACCACTCTCGATGAAGAGGAGTGCAAGTCGGTTCCGCCATTCAAGCGTGTCTACTAGATGCAACTGTACGATAATAATAGCACTATTTATCGTTGACAAAAAAACACTGGGTTATATGGGTACATTCAGAGCGTGTTGCGCAAAAGTGGTCTCGGGGAAGTAGCGCGCTCGGGTGGTCCTCCCACCGAAGAATCGACCATCCAATTCACGGACTGTTTTCCAAGCACCAACAGGACCCCCGAAGACCACAAAAATGCGGACGGCTTCCTCTGGGTTGGCTGGCGGAGGGTTGACCACATGGACAACCACTCGCTCGACAACTCCGTTCTTTGAGCATTCGTCGCCTGTGAATTAGTCTTAGCACGCTTGCTCCAAGTAAAGAATGACATCCGCCAACCTATCTCGCCGCTAAGCTCATCATCCAACTCATCGACGCCAACCATGTTGGTCAATACAACCACACGGCTTGGCTCGCCAAAGCGTTCCCTATCCTCCCTAGCCTTTGAGTCCTCGTTGTTATTGATGATCTTGCCCATCTGCGAGCCAATCGCTTTCCCAGACGGCCCAGCTTTATTCTTGCCATGCGACACTTGCTCGACCGTCAGAGCGTTGACGATACCAGAGCCATCCGCGCCAAGGCCCTGGCCCGCTGTGTGCCCCCATTTCTGCATCAGTCTGGCAGCGAAGCCGTGAGGGTCTGGTCTGTTGAAGATGAACATCGTTTGGTCAAGGGTGTAATGAGTGCCTACTTTTTGGGAGGGGCTTCCTCTTCTTTTGGAGGCCCGAGGGCACCAAGACGAGCCGCGATGGCGGCAGCAGCTTTAGTGCGCGCATCTACAGCAGCTGCAATTGCTGAAGGAGGGCCTGGAGGTGGCGGTGCAGTTGGAGGTGCAAACGGATTATAGGCCAAAGCAGGAGGAGAAGGTTCACGTGCGACAGGTGGTGGTGCTGGTGCTGGTGGTTGTCGGCTGGCAGAAGACAAGGCGACTCGTCGAAGGTAGGCTTCATCACCCGTTTCGGCTGATTTGACAGAAGGTTCAGCAGGCGCAGACGGCATGGCAAGGCGTCGTTGGTAAGCCTCATCTCCGGATGAGGCGACAGGAATTGGGGCTGGGGTCCAGCGATCAACCTCCTCAAAACGACCTAGAAAATATTGATTCGACACAAGAATTGCTTGTCTTTGGGGAACATACCAGTTTTTTTTGGTCGTTCGTCATCTTCACTGTCCGTATTGTCGCTGTCAGAGTAGCTCCCACCGCGCCTCGCTCGTTTGCCAACTTCTTGTCTCCGCTCTTCAAGAAGCCGCTCCCTGCGCTCAATGCGGTCTTTTTGTTTCCAAACTTTGTATTCGTTGTAGTCATTCGGCCGGAGCGGGTCGTATGGCTCATCGGGGTCCCATGTCAGTATCGGAGCCGCGTGCTTGTTCTGGTGACATGAAGACCATAAGCAGCAGCGGACAAATACTGCAACACACCTTTTTGCTTCGCTTCCCACCGCCTCCTTTTCTTTTCTGGTTCGATTTAAAGCCGTTGACATCCTCGTCGAGAACCATCGACGGTGGCTTGACCTTCTTCCCCCAGCCAGGCTCGGGTTCTTTTTTTGCGGGCTCTGCGGCCGGAACTGGGGCCGCAAAAACGACTGCCGTAGACGAAACAACAGCAGAGGCGGGAATAGCAGTAAGGGCCGCGCCAACGGGAAGTCTTGGGGCAATTGCCTTGGCCTTTTGTGGTGCAGTCCTTCGTGTGGGCGCAAACGCGAGTGCGGCTGACCAGCCTTGGAGAAATGCACGAATATCGGATTCAATAAACGCATTTTAATGTCGCATACGCGAGCATGAAAGTACCCTTGCTAGCGGCAGGCATTGCCTTGGATTCATCTTCGGTCACTGCTGTTTCTGCAACTGTTGGTTCTGGCTGAGCAGGTTTGGCTATTTCTTCTGGAACAGCATCGTCGTTGATTGGAGCTGACGGGACAGAAGCGCCACTCGAGAAAGTGACGCCACCGTACAGGCCGCCAGCACGAGAGCTCATGATGGGCAGGAAGCAAGAGTAGTAATACACGTGATCAGCGATACATCCAAGGGTTATTATTTTACTTTGTGTCCTGAGTGCCAAAGACCGCCTTCTGACCTTGTTCTTTCATTAGTTCGTCACCAGTCAGATGCCCGTAAGCTAGTTTAGCACCGCCAACAGCGACATTGCCAGCTCGTTCAGCGATTCCTGGCGCATCTTGCGTGGTAGTTGGCATTCTGCCCGTTGGCTTCGCTGTCGCATGGGCCCAACCATCATCTAAAGGAATCAGTAAGAGCACTACGATCGAGTCTATGCACTTACCATCATTTGAGTCTGGGCGAAGCGGGTGAACAGCAGTAGTCTCCAGTATCTTGTCGGCGTAACCAGTTGAATCTTTTAATATTCTACGGGCCTGTTTGTCGCCTTCAAAATTGGGCCCAGCACCAGCACCCCGGTCAGATGTGGTTGGGTCTGTTACCTGAATCGTGTCAGTGGATAGAGTCCATTATGACTCGTCAACAACTCACAAAATTATTCTCGAGGGGGTCGGTAGGATTAGAGGACGAAGTCGGGTTGGCCATGCCAGGATAGACACCGACGCCCTGCGCTGTTTGAAGATTCTTGTCGTTGAGAGCCATGATAGTTAATTTGAATGAGACTGAGGTTAGCTGACTGCTTATATAGACCGAAGCTCCAAGAAACGGTTGACGTCAAGATAAGTCACCTCTGACGAGCGATGGAGTCCAAGAGAAACAGTCTATTCACCATGGGTTGAATCTATCACGAAAATAACGATCCATCGCTGGCTTTGAAAGGACATGTACTGCGAAAGAGCCCGCGTCTACCATTGCCCAGCCGTTGTGTGTTTGCTTCTTTGAGTTTGGCGGTATTGGAAGTGGAGGTCGTGAAGACAAGAGCTGATAAAACTGTAAGGACCACAGTGCATAACACCCACAAAAAAGTACTTGCTGTCTTGCGGACGATGCGCACAATGCTTTCTATCGCGCCTCTATTCTCAGTACCCTCCTTGACCTCATCAGAAATGAGCAAAACATTCGAGTGGAGAAAATGACGTCCTACTTGGGCTAATGCAATCCAGCTCCAAAGACTTCCCGGCACGTCAAGGGCCGATTCTCCGGAATATGTGCCGCCTCTTCTTCTCCGTCCTTGGGGCTCTTTATGTGGGAGAGGTGGGCCTTCAGGAATGGGCTTTGGACGCGTTATGAGAAGACTTGTTGGCTCGAGTAATGGGGACTGAATGAGTTGGGCATGCAGTTCTTTCAGCGGTTCAGGAGCATCGAGTGGCAAAGGAGGCGGCTGGAGTGGTTTGAAGTGAGGTGGTGGATTTCGAAAACGCGTCGCTTCGGTCGCGGTGTCGACAAACCAAGGGATTGTAGACAAACGGCGAGTTGCCTGCCGCAACAACATTTTGGTCTGCCGAGAAAACAAGTCGCGACTCACGTGCCAACATTTGATCTGCTATTCCCTTTTCTCCTCCCAACATACTTCCTTCATGGGCATTCGCTCGACTGTGGTGTTCTGTGTGACCAGCTTTCTGCTAGGTCTGTGTCTAATTGTCGCTCACTTATTTCTCTGTGTCTCTGATCTCTAGTAGGCACCCTGTTTACCCATTGGATTGCAGACTCCTTGACTCTCTGGAAGTCGCCCATCACCGATGAGCACCTATGGACTGCAGCAAGCTATTACTACTTCCTCACCAAGGCTGCCCCCTTTATTCTCTATTTGTTCACTGCGGTAGTCGCTCTGGGTGCAATCGCAGTTCTATGGAGTCTTGGTGACGGAGAGGCTTCTAATCTAATGTTCGATGGTGGTTCAGTCTGTACGTGCCCTTTCTCAACTTCGTCCCTTTCTCAAAGTCATTTCAGTCTTGTTTGGAACATCTGTGGCACTCTACTCCTACTCTGTCATTCCAGGTACGCGTCTCTTCGCGCCGACTTGATCCCATTTGCTCACACAAATTTAGTCATCGTTGCAAAATTCGCGACCCTACCCGTCCACCAAGTGCGTTCTTGGGTCAACTGTCGTCGTCACAAGTACTCATCTCTTTCCGTCTAACCAGGAGAAAGTACCAGATTTGATGCGGAATGACATCTTGCATCTTGCCTCCAACAACCTGATGTGTAGTGTGGCTTTAACGGGGGTATTGATTCTCCAAGCAGGGCGATTCTGGACCGAACGCAGCGATGATTCACAAGTCGCAGCCGAATTGCGACGTCAGACAGCGCTACTTCGAGCTGCCGAGTCGCGTGCGAGGACCCCGGAGCCACAAAAGCCTTCGTGAGACGGCGACATTGGATTAGTACTGCTGCACTATGTACGATATTAATAATCTGGATTTGGTTGGATTCCGGTCATGATTCTTGGTCCTTGACAATGTCCTCCTTGCGAGGACCAGAGTTTTTGATCTCCCGTCCTTGGCCAAGCAGTGACTGAGCATCATCGTCCAAGACAATACCTGCTGAAAGTCAACAAATGGTTCATCAGAGATGGATCAGTAGAAACTGTACCCAGTCCTTCCTCTCTAACTAGTCCCAAAACATGTTCTAATTCGACCTAGGGTACTCTTAGCGTTTCAAGATCCGATGCTAGGGTCTGCACTCACGAAGCCATCGTTGTCCACATCGAGTTTTTGGATGACAGCATGACCGACATCATCGTCGGGTTTGTGCCTGATCACCGCGAGCGCTTTTTCCAAGTCTTTCACCGATATCCGGCCTTGCGCATCAGCAGACATCAATTGCAGTGAGCTGCCAACCCGTGAATCGTATTCCTCCAATTGCTTGTCGATTTTCGTAAGCATGGACCGGATCCGTTTGGTCAGAGCACCATCAGGTGATTTGGGATCCTAGACTTGGGGTATCAGCGTCTTCAGCAAAACACAATAGGCCGACGAGACCTCATTAGCTTGCAAGTTCTCTTCCATAAGAGCCCTTAACTCGTCTCGTTCTTTCAAAACACTGGACTTGGCGGAAAGAATGGACATGGCATCAGCCAGCTCCTTCAGCTGTTCGGTGGTCATGCGGGCGGAGTCCTCGACGGTTGCTTCAGGAATTAGCTGGCAAATGTTAGACCAGAGTGAAAGCAACAAGTTCCCAACCATCTACCTCAGAGTCAGGGAGAAGAGATTGAGCCGTGGAAGCCTCTAGTTCTGCTGCTTCCCTCTTTGCACGACGAGCATCTTCTTCCTTTTGCTCTTGCTCCTCTTCGTCTTCGATCAGTTCTTCCTGTTGTTGCAGTACCTCTAGTTTCTGCTTGTAACTAGCCTTGTCAGAGTCGACCTCAAGTTCCGCTTCATTGAGCTAAATGGTTTCGATTAGCGGAAATCCTTAAAGTTACACTGTTACCCACCAGATTGTCCGGCAAGCCACTCAACACACTTTCCAAGCTTTGTATGACGACTGACTTCCCATCAACTCCGTCGGTGGGCTTTTTGTCGAAGTGGAATGCTCTTCCGAGGACCAACAGGACGCCAGAAACACGGTTGTGTAAATGCAAATGAATCCACGTATTAAGCTCTTCCCGTAAACGCGCAGGAGAAAGCCCGCCCGTGCGGATACCGCGAGATTGGCAAGCAGCCTGTAATTCAGAGGTCGATAATTCGCCAACACCCTCCGAGTCTATTGACTGGTCATCGCGTCGAAGGTCAAGCAGCCGCGAGCGGATTTGTCCTCGAAGGAAGTTATCCGTCCCAAAAGCATTGAGTCCCATATAACGCGACATCGACACAAGCTGAGGTCGTGACAAGTTATCCAGTGTCAGGTCGTCGTCGAAAAGCTTGGCCACATTGATAATATCCGTTGCGGAGGGAGACTCCCCAGTAGATCGTACCTGTTGGCCTGTTAGCCTCGCGACGCAGTCATGAAGAAAAGAATAACCTTGCGAAAGAATTCTTTAAATGCATCGGTTCCGACAATGTGAGCATTAGCTTTCAACCCAGACTCCCGGAGTGTTTCTTGCAAGAATTTGGCCATGTCTAACCGGACACGAAGCAACTTTCGTTGTTTTTCCTCCTGTGAGGACTCGTGAACAAGACAAATGTATGTTTGATTTAATCTTACCGCAGCGTATTTATCCTCAAATGTGGAAGGCAGCATGTTGGGAAACAGTTTCAGCGCAACAGGGAGTAGTAACTCCATGAAGGGCACGGCAACGAACACAGCAAAGGGCACGAGCCGCAGAAGATCTTGTGTAGTGCGCTTCAACTAAAGGGAAAAACAGGTCAGAATACCGCGTCGAGTCAGCGATATTCATACCTGCCGACGTTCTCGACGTGTTAAGGACTCTCCGTGGAGGATTTTCCATTGCAAGCGAGCGGAAATGCGGACCTCCGAAACCAGTAGTTTCGACCCATGCCAATAATGCTGGAGTTCATGCTTCACTTTTTTCCAAGCGCGTGTCACGAGGGGACCTTTGGGCTGTTCTTTTGGTGCGGGTGGGCCAGCTTTGGGATCGGATGCTGTAGTAGAGACGTCGCGATTCGTACTCTCAAAACGGCGCGACTGGGAAAGTGTGGGAAGGGGAATTACGGGTCGAAGTGAATGCGGAGCAAGAATATGTGGGTGAAGTCTATGAGAGCGAGCAAGGAGAGCGGGTGCACGGCGGGGAAGCCATACAGACATAAGAAGAAAGAGTCGGAAGGCAAGAAATCTTTCTCGTTACACCGGCACGATGACATCAGCATCCTCTGCCGGTCATGAACTCCAAGAAGGTAGCCACTTTTCACCAACGACCAACTTCAACTGAACCATCCTACTATAGGCGAGGCGCCAATATCTCAACTCGATCCACAATACTATAGATCGCGACTGGACTCCATTTCGAGCTGTCGAAAAACGATTCAAGGTCGATTCCTTTGGAATTTATGTGGGCTTTCTTGAGACCAGGTTTTACAGGCTAGATTTCCGCCTTTGGATCTCTCTGACGTGCTAGACTTGGCTCTCGTCGACGACTCATCCACGCCATCCTCCCCCAAAGGCTGCATTAATAACCTCGCATATCGAAAACTCCAATCAGATGTCTCTGCCTATACCTTGGTAGACCGGCACCAGGGTCTTGTAATATTACCAGGTTTTATTTCCCCTGCTCTTCAACGGGGCTTGATTAAATGGACACTCTCTGAACACGCTCGACCGCCAAACGACACAAACCTTGACACACATTATATCATTCCTGAAGAGGGATTGTGGTCACTGTACCAACAAGAGCGCTCAGGCAAAAGCTCTGAGATGGTCCAACCACGTATAATTGGCTCTGAAGACGAGATCTTGCGTGAGCAACCAGGACCCCGCCAACTTATAAACAACACTCCTGCATCGCCTGAAACCTTCCAGGAAATTTCTGTTGCTCCTAAACCTCCTGTTGCGCCGTCGACGACCGCACAACCTGCCTTACCTTCTACACTTGTGCCCAAGCTACGATGGGCCAATATTGGCTGGGTGGATATGTCCCTCAACGCATAAATTCATACTGACTATCTTTCAGTCTTATCATTGGGGTAGTAAGCAATACGATTTTGCTAAAGGCAAGGGTACGATTGACCCTACTCTTGCGAACATATGCCATCGTGCTGTTCAAGCCGTGGATTGGAGCCAGATATATAGCGACGACGATGGATTAGACTGGGGCGAGAACGGACCGGAGTGGCGAAGCTGGAGAGACAGTTATGGTATGCTAAAAAGCTGCTGTTCTTCAAGTTACTCGTCCGATTCATCTTCGTTTCAGAACCAGATGCTGGCATCGTTAACTTTTATCAACTCAGAGTATGTGCTTGACTTCTCAGCAAATGCGTCGATGAACAATCCTTCATAGGACACTTTAATGGCCCATGTTGATCGCTCAGAAGTCTGTGCAACATCACCTCTTGTCTCCATCTCGTGGGTGTTGTTAGCAGTATGCGCTGCGTTTGGTCTAACTTTGGGTTCAAGACTTGGCCATGCTGCAATATTTCTCATCGGAGACTCGACCCGCGACACAAAGCCAGATGCTATTCTACTTCGTTCGGGAGACGTGGTGATCATGTCTGGTCCAGTTTGTCGAAGGGCCTATCATGGAGTTCCACGAATAATTGAGGACTCGCTGCCGCCACACTTGGTTGAAGGAGACGATGAATGGAAAGAGTACATGAGCACAACGCGGATTAATGTGAATGTCCGCCAAGTATTCCCGAAGGGCTTTAGATTTGGTGTATCGGAGTCAGTGTGACATTTGTGACCGATGACGTTTGTCGCTTTACAGAGGCAGTTCGCAGTCGGGGGCGCAGTTGACCGCAGCGTATAAGGAATGACAGATGGTTCAGGTTCTTCTTTTGGTGGCCTCTCAACACTTTCAGTGTGTCTTTTTCTTCCGTCGGCTTCCCCTGTTTTATCAAGTTACTAGTCCGATTCTATGGTCGAAATAAAGCGCACACCCGAACCCAGCTCTCCAACGAGCGTTGAGGATGCCAAACATAGACTGGTCTACACGAAATCCAAAGTCTATGTGAACCCGTGCGCAATTTCCAATGCCTAGATAGCATTCCCTAACGCTACCAACAGTACAGCTTATGCTCGAGACAACGTGCCTGGCTTCATTGCTATCGTGAAGCGTGTAAGAGTCATAATTATAACCACGCCCATTTCCTCACTGAGTCTTGATCCACAGGAAGCTGTAAACCCAACTTATCTTCTTGCGTGGCTTCCGGAGCAACTCGTTAACGAGAAAGGCGCTGCTGAATGGGACAAATTCACCAAGATCGAGGAGAGTACTATTCTGGAGGAGGAAGATGAAGGTGTGTCCATTGAATGTTGTTCATTGCAGCTCTTTCAATCCACTTGCTTTAGATGTTGTCTTCATCGATCCCCCAACGCAACGTCCAGAGTCATACGCCTTCTCCGTGCCGCTCACTTCGATCTATTCGTTAATTGTCCATCCTCCGACGTTATCGTCTTGGTGTCAGTTTGGCCACATTCTTCTACCGGCTACCAACTGACCGATAGCCAGATGGTTCAGTTGGAATCAATCTAATCAATGGAGATACTCTTCCAACCCTCCATTTTCACGACGACGAATCCAGGTCCTTCACCCTTCCTTCTCCTCCAGCTCCTAAACGACGCAGTGCTGTAACCTCATATCCACCGCCTCCGTCGGCATCTCCCCCAGCTACCAGTCCACATCCCAATAATTCATGGGGCGGAGATCACCTCCTAGCCCGCTTGCGGTCATATGCACACATTCTTCGCTCAACTCTCCAGCCCTCCCTCTTTCTCGTTGGTTCGTATGGTTTCTATTTGTCCTACTTCTCCTGTTCATATTCAGAGCAGATCCGTCACGAGCCGACATTGAAGCGCACTCAACACAACTGTTTGCGGATGACGCTGTCGACGATATTTTAGCGCAATCGTCATTTGTCAACTCTCACTCGCCAATACCTGCACATCGCAGGCCGAGACCGCTCTCTTCGCCTGGTATCGGACTGTCCCCTAACCCTTACTCACATCGCTCGTCGGTCCTCCATCGTTCTCTTGCATCTCCAACCTCAAATGCTCAATCATCATCTCAAGCTCGAACAGCACTTCTCCAATCATTTTCAAACATTACTAGAGCCACAAGACACGCCGCCCAAAACATTCTCTCCCATCCGCTCGCCAAACCAATCATCCCCCATCTTCCTGATCCAGTTCGCAGTCTGGTCAACGCAAACGGAGAGTGGAGCAGCTGGGTGGACAAGAGCGGAGTAGGGGAGTTTGAGAGCGCGCGTGTTTACTTGGCTCGCTGGGCGCGGATTGTAGCCGAGGAAGGCGAAAGGGCCAGAAGACGGGAAGCACAGACATTGCCTTCAACCTCCGCTGGGGTAGCAGAGGAGTCGTCTTCTTTGGGCGTATTCGAGCTGTTGCATTCTACTGCCAATCTGCCAACGCCCAAAGCGTCTCGAGATCCACAACATCCCATTGACGAAAAAACTTGGGCAAGTTGGTTTGGAAAAGACGGACGACCTACTGTTAGCTTTGAACATGCGAAGAGAGAAATCTTCCGAAGAGGAATTGACTCCAGTGCTACACTTCGACAACGTATTTGGCCATTTATTCTGGGAGTCCTTGATTGGGAGTCCACCGACGCCGAGAGAACGGCAAAGTGGGAGGCAAAAAGGTTCGACGCTGAATCTGTACAATCATGGCCACAGAGCTCATATCTATCCACAGACAAATATATCAGACGACGAAAGACGAATGGTGTGGTGTTCCGGAGGTCTTCGAGCGTCAGGACATTCAGGAGGTATTTTTGTGACGTTGGCGTTTACCTCGCGTTCATCCTTGCCTCTTTTAGGAACGTCACCGCATCGATGTAGACTGTCGACGAACAGATAGGAATCAGCCTCTATTTGCGACTCCGGACTCTACACCGTCACACGATGGGCCCGAATGGGACGAGAAGGAGAGGGCAAAGCGCTACTCCGTGATTTCTCCCGGACTCTCGGATATTGGGGCCCAGTCACCAACAAACGAGCACATCGACCGACTGGCTGGCATCCTTCTGACGTACAATTTTTACGAGAAGGAATTGGGTACGTTTCGCTTGGTTGTCTGTACCATGCGTGGCCAATTGAATATGTTTGCAGGCTATGTCCAAGGAATGTCTGACATGTGTGCTCCAATATATGTGGTTATGGCCGCCGACGAGGAGCTGACGTTCTGGTGTTTTGTGGAATTCATGGATCGCATGGTGAGAAGGTGTCATTAAAATGTCTCTCTCTCAAGTTGACTCTCGTCTGCATAGAAACAAAATTTCCTTCGGGATCAAAGCGGGATGAAGAAGCAGCTATTGACACTTCAACAACTCATTGAGGTCATGGATCCAGAGCTTTATCGGCATCTTGGTATGTCAGCAGTGTCAGCTCGGACTTGGTTCTCATATCCCGCAGAAAAAACCGATGGCCTCAACCTTTTCTTCTGCTTCCGGTAAGATTCCTGATCTGGCTAATTTATGCGTGGTTCTCAATAAAATAGCTGGGTCCTGATCGCATTCAAACGTGAATTCCCGTTCGAGGACGTGCTACGCTTGTGGGAGGTTCTGTGGACCGACTATTACAGCAATGGTTTCGTCTTATTCGTGGCATTGGCCGTTCTCGAGTCGCATCGAGATGTGATTCTCCGTTACCTTGTCGAAGTAGGTCTTTTTTGTTTATTCGTCCAAACTGTCGCTCATTCAGTCTAGTTTGATGAGATACTCAAGGTTTGTGCTGACCTTCTACTACAATGGACTGGCCACTAACTGAATGCAGTATTGTAACGAGCTGAGCATGACCATAGAGCTAGATAGCACTCTGGCGCAAGCTGAAGTGCTCTTTCTCTCGTTCAGCCAGATCGTCGCAGACATTGATCGTCGACATGCAGAGAACCTCCAAGCTGTAGCCCCGACGAACAACTTACGGCGAAGGGGCTCACGTGGCGGAACTGACATTGCTCTGAATATTCCACCGTTGTCAGAGAATCTACGAGATTTATTGAAGGCGGGTCGGGAATAACTTGTATTATAACTCGCAACTTGTTGTACACTTAGCACACACACACGACTAATCACTTGCTAATTAGATGGGTGCGTCAAGGTCGTTAACGCTTTTGAGTAGCGCAGGTCATGAGAGTGAATTTCGGTTTCAACGTTATCTAATAAGCCTGATGAGGACACCATCATATCAACCCAAAAAAACCCCACTTACGGTTGTGGTTCGGTGGGCGTAATGTCTTCTGTTCGGGTGGCAACCAGCTTCAGGGTGCGGTCAAAACCGTGGTTGGACTACAAAAAGGTCGGGTCTAGTGGATCTAATGGAGAAAAATCATACCAGATCGCGCCAAGTTTCCTCTTCGTCGTTCTCTGTCTGTAACTGATAGATCTGTAGAAAGCCTTTAAAGCTTTGGGAGAATGAGCCAGGGCTGATGAACGAGCAAGCATCGACGCACGTCAATTCGCCGCTTTCCGTCACATCCAAAAACTCGACCAATTCCTCCTTAGTTTCTTGAGAGAACGGGTGGCCATTGGTGTCTTTTGCCCATTGATCAAGTCCGTCTTGCGATAGATACGCGCCTTCTGGTGGTACCAGAAGTATATGTTTCGCTGAAGCAACGGATACCGGAGGGGGAGGCACACAGTACTTGGCTTGGATCGGTATGAGCAAAGTCGCGTGTTACCAAAGGAAGAGAATGGAACCAAAGATGTGCTTCAGGCATACTTCTAGCTACTAACAATGAGCTCCCATTAGTATCTCAGAGGAGAATAGTCACCTGGTCTGAGATGCCTCCCTCATCGTCGAGGAGTTGCACATTGGCAATGTTATTCCGTCTGCCTTGCACTCGACTGGGCTCTGCGAAACAAATGTAAGCCTTTTGCTAAGGAAATCTAGCATCTGAATTTTATTTTACCCGGAGTCTCAGCCCGCATAGTTTATCGGGCGAAGGAAAACCAAAAATGGGCCGGCCGTCGTCGAGTCGGGACGAGAAGAGTCACAGCGTGACTCCCAATTTCTGCAACGCTCATGGCTCCCGAACCATTGTCCATTGACTCATTGTTGCAGCAACAGAGGGAAGCCAAAGAAGCTGCGTCCAAGGTGTGCATATTTCATTTCGTCTATCTTCCGCCGTTCAACGGCACTCACAGCCTAAATTCCTCTCTAAAGAAGAACGCGCAAAGATTGCCATAGCCAAACGGGCCCAAGAAATACGCGAACAAAAGGAGAAAGAGGAGACCAGTAAACAGCAGCGTGCAACTTTTGAGCAAGAGGCTGAAGAGCTGCGTCAGAGGGAACGCCAATCGTCCAGTCGGTATGGCAGGAGTGCGTTGGATTTATTTTTCTGGGTGAAAAGCCAATTGACATCGGGGTGTAGACGATGACAGAGACAACCGCGGTAGACGCGACAATAGACGCGGTCCTCCGCCTCCTCCGTCTTCTTCAGCCCCTCGGGGTAGTTACCCCAATGTCCCAACCGGGCCAAGAGCTGAACGCGACAAATCTGCGTCAAGCTCAATGCCTCCGCCGCCTGTACCTGGATCTGACAGCAACTCATTTGCTGAAACTTCAGCATCGTATGCGCCATCTATGACTGACAACGACCGGGAAGCTATTCGCTCACGGTACCTTGGTGTTGACAAGAAGCGACGCAAGATTCGGAAAATGAATGACCGGAAATTCGTATTCGACTGGGACAACCAGGACGATACAATGGCTGATGACGCGCCATCATGGGTTGGGAGTCAACGACAAGGAGCCCAAGTTATGTTTGGTCGTGGTCATCTTGCTGGTATGGACGACAACACTGGCACGCGTAGAGGCTCGGGTAATGGAGCCGCTGATATTAGTCACCTTGCTGATCCTATGGAACGCAGGAAGGCGGCGAAGGCGGGGTTGGATGAGAGGCATTGGACGGAGAAACCTTTGGCGGACATGAAAGAACGCGATTGGCGCATTTTCAGAGAAGATTTCAGCATCAGTGCTCGCGGTCAGTTATAGTGCTCAGGTTTGATTTGTGCTCACTTTTTTTTTTGTCTAATAGGTGGGCAAATACCTCACCCATTGCGCTCCTGGGAGGAGTCCGATATTCCTAAAAGCATTCTGGAATGCATCGAGCAGATCGGTTATAAGGAACCTTCGCCGATTCAGCGTCAAGCGATCCCCATCGGCCTGCAAAATCGTGATATTATCGGTATAGCTGAGACGGGTATGGCTTTTCTGTTTGAATCGGTAAACGCGGTCATTAACACATTTTCCTTAGGTTCCGGTAAAACAGCGGCGTTTGTCATCCCTATGCTAGCCTTCATTGAAGGTCTCGCTCCGTTCACGGACGACAATCGCCATTTGGGGCCCTATGCGTTGATCCTTGCTCCGACTCGCGAACTTGCGCAGCAGATAGAGACGGAAGCACGCAAGTTTGCCAACCCTTTGGGCTTCAAATGTGTTTCAATTGTTGGCGGTGTCAGTGGAGCGCTATATCGTGTTACTACAAGATACTTATGTCCCCTTTTCAGAGAGCGATGGAGGAACAACAATTCAACTTGCGAGAAGGAGCCGAAATAATCATCGCGACGCCAGGTCGACTGAAGGATGTCATTGAGCGACATGTACTTGTGCTGTCTCAATGTCGATATGTGGTCATGGATGAGGCAGACCGAATGGTTCACCTCGGGTTTGAGGCCGATCTGACTTTCATTCTGGATGCTCTACCTTCAGAAACGATGGAGGGTGAAGACGCGGGCGAGCAAATGGATGTCGACGGAGAAACCATGATCAAGAAAGGCAGAACAAGGGTCACGACATTATTCTCTGCTACTATGCCTCCAGCGGTAGAGAGGCTTGCGCGCAAGTACCTCAGGAAACCGGCGGTGATTACCATTGGAGAAGCGGGCCGCGCTGTCGACACGGTGGAACAACGTGTGGAGTTTGTCAACGGAGACGAGAAGAAAAAGTCTGCAAAGTTTAGTTGCTTATCTGCGGGAATTGACAGTTTTATAGACAACGGATGTTGGAGATTCTCAACAGCGGCGTGTACGCCTCCCCGATCATTGTGTTTGTGAACCAGAAGAAAACTGCCGATATGGTAGCCAAGGATTTGCAACGTGCGGGTGTGAGTGGCTTTGAAACGTTTTCTAATTTGATGTCCATTGACTTGTGGCTAGTGGAGTGCCGCAACCTTGCACTCAGGGAAAAACCAAGAGCAACGAGAATCGTCGTTGCAATCCTTGCGGAATGGAGAAAGCGACATACTTGTTGCCACTGACCTTGCGGGCCGAGGAATTGATGTCCCCGATGTCAGCCTTGTGATCAACTTCCAGATGGCTTCGTCTATCGAGGCATACGTCCACCGGATCGGTGAGCCGATAATCCTTGCTTAAGATAGGAAAAAAAAATACTGATACCTTTCTAGGGCGAACGGGGCGAGCTGGCAAACAAGGTGTCGCTATAACTTTCCTGACTAACGATGACGACGAAGTAATGTGAGTAAACTTGGTATATTCTTAACCCGTGCCGCTGACCCGAATGCCGACAGGTACGATCTCAAAAATGGTAAGTCCTGATTCTGGGGTAAATGCACCGTGTGCTGATTTTGATGGCAGAGATATCAAAAAGTCCAGTAAGCAAGGTGCCTCCAGAGCTGGCAAAGCACGAATCAGCTCAACATCGAGTGTCTCGCGATATGAAGCGAAAGAGAGAAGGCGAGGAGCCAGAGCAACAACTCTAAGATTTGTGTGTGTAGTAGTAGTAGTAGTAGTTGGAGTTAATCAATGTAACAGCAGCCGGGATCGGCTTGACCTCATCGTATTGGTGATCAAATTCAGACTTTCCTTCTCTCCCCCATCCAATGTCTCCCGTCCTGCCGCCGCCAGCGCCTAATGTATGACTACTCTTTGCCACTGCCACATCTGTTTTGCTGACAAGAATAGACCCTCCAACTTCCTGATACCGGTCTTGAACCACCACAGCCCGAGGCTTCGTCTCCGACCTCCCGCTCCCGTTTTCGATTTGGCTCATCACGCAAATCCAGCATAAGTGGTCGGTCTCCTGCCCCATCGCCTTCAGAAATGCCTTCCAATGGCAAGCATGGTCCATTGCATGACTTGAAGCGCTTTCTTAACAACCACATACCCCACACTCCCAACCACGATTCCGACTCCATCCCTGGCACTCCCCCCAAGCATGGCTACTTCGAGCCTGCGACCCCTTCTTCCAAAACCGAGGCTAAATCGACATTGCGAGGCTCTGTTGTACCCAAATCCAAAGAGTCGAAACCTTCGCCAGTCAAGCAGAGCAAGGACCGGACTCCTTCCCCAGCCAACTCTCATCTCAGCGAAAAGCAATCGACCGCTCCGTCAGAAAAGAGCCAAAACCCAAGCCTGAGCATTAAGGGCTCGAGCAACAAGGCGGTTTCCCGCTCTTCCGTCTATCACCACCCACCAATACATTCCCTCGAGGAGGCCACCCACGCTCATCTGTCCAAGAAGTATGGCAAGTGGGGTCGGGTTCTTGGCAGCGGTGCGGGTGGTACTGTCAGGCTCATCAAGGGCAGCCCAAAGTCTGGCGGCTCAATATTCGCTGTCAAGCAGTTTCGGCCCAAGCGTGCGGGCGAAAGTGAGAAAGAGTACCAGAAAAAGGTCACAGCCGAGTTCTGTGTGGGTTCTACTCTCAAGCATCCAAACATAATCGCCACTGTCGACATTGTTTCTGACCACGGTCACTATTATGAGGTCAGCTAGCCTTTGCCAAGCCCGATTGCCACGTCTCACGTTCATCTAGGTTATGGAGTATGCGCCATACGATTTATTCAGCGTGGTCATGTCGGGCAAGATGTGCCGACCTGAAATCTACTGCGTATTCCGCCAAGTTTGCGACGGTGTTGCCTACCTCCACGAAATGGGACTTGCCCATCGCGATCTCAAGCTTGACAACTGTGTAATGACCACCGATAACGTTGTCAAAATTATCGACTTTGGGACTGCGACTGTCTTTCACTACCCTGGTCGCACCCTAACAATGGCGACCGGAATTGTCGGGAGTGATCCGTACCTTGCCCCGGAGGTTCTCAACGGGCAGCCTTACGACCCCCGCAAAACTGATGTGTGGAGTATCGGCATAATGTTCATGTGCATGGTCCTTCGCCGTTTCCCATGGACACTACCGAATCCCAAGACCGATGCCAGCTTCAAGGCATTTGTCGCTGCCCATCCTGATCTAAGCACTAAAGCGCCAGCTCGGGAAAATAAACGCGGGGTCACGATGCCACCACCTCCTCCAGTAGTAAACGACAACCAACTCACGGTTGGCCGACAACGGGCAGCAAGCACCAACTCACCTGCTGTCAATGCAGATGACTCAACAAGTACTCGAAACTCGTCAGAAAATACCTCAATACTGAGCTCCACTGACCGCGATTCGGGCTCAACATGCATCACCGACCCACCGTCACGATTGAGCAGTCGTTCGTCTTCTGCGCTTGTTGTGCCAGAGTCAACAAGTCCTCGGATAATGCATCTTCAGACATCTCAACCCGTTTTCCCGAGCACTGTTACGCTGCCAGCAATTGGCAGCCTCGCTATGCTTACCACCGATAGCCCGACCGAAATGGATATGGACCCCTCAGTGCTCACTTTCGCTCGCCCTGCGCATTCTACTGAATCACTTCCGCTCAGTCCACGGGAGCCATTCAGCTTCCCAGCCACCCCAACCTCGCATTTGGACGAGTTATCGACTCCTCGTGTGGGAACGATGCCTTTGATGCCGCCAACATCTCCAACCAGAGCACGCGCTGCCACATTCAATGCCCTTCAAACCGTCGCTGCCAAACAAGAAGCAGCGGACGCTTCTGTTGCCGAGGTCAAAGTACAGCCCGCGCCAAAGCGACGTCAGCGTACGGATAGTGTCACAACTTTCCATGGGGGAGGGTCAGAGTCGATTTTCCGTCTGCTGCCTCGCGAGGCGCGACCAGCTTTGCGGCGAATGCTGCATGTGGAGCCATCGGCCCGGTGCACTCTCACGGACCTGATCAAAGGCCGTGGGAAATCGAGCAGTTTGTTGTGTGGCTGCAATTTAGAGGGCGGCAATCCTCCCGAGGCGGGCCCTTGTGAAGACCACGATTGTACGCCAGAAGAGGAGGACGATGGTGATGACTGGCTCAAGAATGTCGAGCCATGTTCCCGCGAAGGCGTACAACCAAAGCATGTCCATATCAAGGTCACCGTTGCGGAGAAGCAGGGCAAACGACGGTTCTTTTAACGGACTCATTATTGGACTAGATTTGGAGACGGATATATGGCCCCCCTTTCTATCTTTATTTCTCAGCCTACGACCTCCTTCATTTTTTTCCCTTCTTGTGCTCCCAGCCTATCCTACAGCCGCTTATGCGTTTCCCCACCTTACCTCCTTACCCTTGTTTTTTTTTTTATCTATCTATTCCCACTGCTTAGAGAAAAAACAATGCACTGTAATATGTAGGTGTGACAAGCACTCGTTCAATGTACACATCATAGCCTGTCTACCTCCTCTCGTAGGCGTCGCTCTTCCTTGTCCTCCTTGTCCTTCTTGGCCTGCTTCTTGTTTTGGATGGCCTGCAAAGCATGGGCTATCCTCTCCATGGCATTGCCATCCTCCAAATCAAGTTCCAGCACTTGGTCTACATCCATAGGAACGTCGTCGACGATCTCGACCACAAAGTTGCCCTCCCCGTCCTCAAGCATTTCCATTTCGAGATTGCCGTTCTGCATGCCTCTAATCGCCTCGAGAGTCTTGCGAATGACCTCTGAATACTTGTCTGCCACACCACCCTCCTTGGCCGATGCCTGTTGCTGCTGCTGCTGCTGCTGCGGTAAAACAGGCTTTCGGTGAGGGTTCCATTCGGGGTGGTCCGCAGCAACAGCCGGGGGGAGCATTGCTTTCGGCGGCTTTTCTGCGACAATTTCGCGACACCCGATGAGGGCCTGGTCGGTCACGTCTTTGTGGGACATGAATCCAGGTTCGCCACAAAGTCGGGGCGTGTGCACCACAAGCACATAGGAGCATGTTTTCGCCTCCTTGACAAACGCGATAGTGTCTGTCGTCGTCATCGAGCAGTGAAACTAGGCGGCACCAGACATGAGATTAAGGTAAAAAAAAACACACGACCCACCTGAACTTCTACTTCACGCGGTTTTCTATTCCATTTTTGGATCAGCCGGGAATGATAAACAACTTGGGAAGGAACACGAACCCAGTCTTGTCGCAGGGAGTCCCGTCGCCCCACCGTTGGACAAGGTAACGCGAGTTGGCGCTGCGGGCAAGCTCCAAATTAGCCGCTGCAGTCTTCTGCGTTACCGAAAGGTCGGTGCCGGCGGAAGGAGCTCGCCCAAGAGTATACGCTTCCCACTACCTCAACAGATCAGTAAACAAAAAAACGGCATCTTTGAAACAACTGCACATTAGGATCCTCTTCTGGTTGATGTGGGCCTGACAAAAAAAAATCAAAGGGAAGCCACAGGCGCTTTTTTGCGACGAACCTGAAGTGAGGGATGGTACCTTGATGATTTCGCGAAATTGGCGGATTTCCTGATTGTGACAGTACGAGTACGTGAACCAAACGGTTCGATGCTAAAGTTCGACATAAATGAAATCAGACACGGAACAGAGAGCGACACGTACATATAGACAAGTTAGCGGGTTAAGTAGCGACCAGCTTTGGGCTGGGGGGACCTCTTCCTCGGCATCAACGGGGGCAGGTAGATCAAGAGGTTTCGGGATAAGACAGATATATTCGTTGCTTCCCATCTTGAGATGTTCCAGCGAGTACTCATCATCTGCCGGTTGCTGTGGTGTTTGTGTGTTAAGCAAAAAAGGAACGCGTAGAGTAACAAGCGACAGACAGAGGGAAGTGAGACTAGATTGTCGCCTAGTGGAATTTGCGCGTCTGGGTCGCCGAGGGAAGGTGGATGTAGAGGTAAATCTTGGAGAAACTCGTTGATGCCGCCACGTAGACCTACTGCCAGCCATCGCCTTGCGGTGTCATTTGGTACGGGGAGGTTGCTCAGGAAGTCAACTTTATATTTGGGAAAGCCATAAGGGTCTTCTGGCAGAGAATGGAGGCGAGCATGAACGAAAGGAAGGAGGAGGAGTAACAGCATAAGCAATGCCAATCCACAAGTGTCACGTAGTGATGTCACAGTTGTAAGCACCGACCAGCGCCGATAAAGGACTTCTCCGCGGCACGGACTAGTAAGTTATAATGGGGTCCATATGCTCATCTTACATAAGTAGAGGAAAGCCCAATAAATAATTGCCAGCCTTGTCTTCTCTAGAATTAAAGCCCCCTTCTTTGCTCTGTCCAGCTATTATGCCTTCCCCTCCTCCCGACGATGGACCAACTGCTGATGCCTCTGATGAGCGTGACGCGACTGGTGAGGGTGATACAGGTGAGTTGGGTTGCTCATCGTGTCCACTGTTCGCTTCTCTCACACTCCAGTTTATTAGAGCCAGTTCCTGTAAAGCGTGGTAGAGGTCGCCCTAAAGGCTCAAAAAACAAGAAACCTGCTGCCAGTGCCCCAGCCGAGCCATCGTCATCTGCTCCTCGAAAGCGTGGTCGACCCCGAAAGGTACTTAATTTATTATTTTATCTAGACTAGATCAACCAACAACAACGCGTCAACCACACAGGAACCGAAAGAAGAGGAACCAAAGGACGACGATGACTCTGATGCTGAGGGCTCACCACCACCGCAAAAGAAACGTAGAGGGAGGCCACCAAAACCAGTAGACCCCGATGCTCCCCCAAAGAAACGAGGAAGGCCAAAGAAGGCTGCTGCCTCTGACGATGCCTAACTTGATTCTTTTTTTTTCTTCTTTTTCTTCTTCTTGCTTCACGATGTGCGCTGCCTCCCTACCCACTCTCCTTCAGTCGTTATTGTCGTTGTCGTTGTTGTTGCTTATTTATGTCGGTCACTGTACAAATCGCTCTCTGGGAACTAAAAGACACGTTGAGAAGAACCATCTACCCTGTCCGTGAAGATTTGATTCCGCTTCCGATGCCTAATATTTCACCGAGAATCAGACCCGAACCGACAAACAAGGGTCATTTCCACAAGGAAATACCGCCACGCAGACCCCGTGAGATCGAGACAACCCCTGCAACCGCCACTCCAGTCCCGACCCAACCAAGGATCGACAACACAAAAGATTGACGCTCTCCTCGTCTTTTGGCCGCTCCATAGCTTATATCTGGCCGAAACGTAACCATCGTGTAGAGCGGAATCCAGCCAGCAACAGCCATCGAAAATCTTGTCCCAGTCAACAACGGCACCAGCGACGACACTGATTTGGTCCCCTGGCTCGTCAGCGAGTAGAGCAGCCTGTCCAGCCCTTTCCGGAAAAGGTACACGGGCGTCGTAACAGAATGCCGCATCTCCAAACTAGAAGAGTCCCATCAATGAGTATTTTAATAACGCCGCGAGGAAATGGCACAAACTAATTAGCCATGGCGAGTTCGCATATGGCCACCAGGTCATCGTGACGGCTTTCTGAATATTCTGCCAAAGCGGCAGCCAGTCGTGTGTCAATAGAGCCGCGGTCAAAATTTGCCGGGGCAGTCGCTTGAACCTCAGATTCCGTCAAAAGAGTATCAAGCACCCGCACGTCTTCCAAGCCACAGTTCAAACCTTGGCCGTAAAATGGAACCATAGAATGCGCCGCATCACCCAAGAGAATTGCCCGATCCAAATAATGATAAGGGTTGGACTGAAGAGAGAGTTCATGTCTGATGATGAGTATGAATATGGCGCTTTTTACCTTGGTACAGATTAATGGACTTCTGGGGTTCAGCTCCCAAGCGGTCGCGAGACTATTTTCTCCGATAAGCTCGAAAGCATCTCGGAAATGCTGTCGAAACCACGACAAAAATGTTGCACGATCTCCGAGCGTATCCAGTAGACTGGCAGGGGCAAACAGCGTGCAGGTAAACGATTTGTCCTGAGAAGCAAGTCCATGAGAAGTAAAAGTAGCGCATGTGTGACGTGAAGTTACCTGGTTTGGGAGGGCAATAAACATGAAAGAATGGCGCGGCCAAATGTGAAGGTGGTCCGGATCAAGGAGGAAGACTGGTTGTCCGCGATCGCCTCTACCCGGGGGCATCTTGAACTCTACATATTCGTCTCGTATGTATTCCTGCTGGAAGTCCATTCTAAATTTGTTGTTCAGCCACGCTGCTGGTTTGTTATACCAGAAATCTAATACCTGACCACCTTCATCATCTGACGCCGAATCACCGAATAGCTGCCATCTGCGCCAACACACAAATCAAACTCCACTGAGAACACAGTGCCGCTGTCGAGATTCAGAACTGTCATGGTTTTCTTGTCGAAATCCACCAGCTGAATCTTATGGTTGAAGAAGAGCCGAATATTAGGCGACGACGAGGCCTGATCCAGTAGACTTCGGTTAAGCAGAGCACGGTCTATCGAATTTATGCACTAAACGAAACAAAAAAAGAACAGAACATGACGACGAAGGAGAATTAGGACAAACCTGTCCATCTTTGTCGTATAATTGGCTGGAGAGGGTGCAGTTTGGATCATGAATCATCCGGCCTTTCATGGGAATGACTGTTTCGAGGAAGCGTTGGGCGGCCAGCGGGTCGATGACTTGAATCGCAGCAAGCCCGCGATGGGAAATTGCCAAATTTATCGATCTGAGTTTGGTATTTTGGATTGAGGCAGCATCGCGAAGGTCTGAACGATGCAAGCAAGCAAAGAATTTTGTTGGGATATGTTCCGCCGACATTCTCCAGACATTTCACTTACCGGGCCGTGCTTCATAGACGTCGACCTTCCAGCCACGTCGCGCGAGAGAGATAGCAGCCAGGCAGCCAACAGGTCCACCCCCAACAACGACAGCAGTCTTCACGACACGGTCATCCATCAACGTTGTTGTCAAGTTCAGAAATATGACTAAGAATCACGCGATCAATTTTAAACCATGTCGGTTCCACTCTCGGACGAGTTCACTATCCCGACACACCGTCAAATCGGGGCAACGGCGCATCCAGAACAAGGTTGGTAGAGCTAAATCCCGCCTATGTTTCGTGCAAACACTCTCAGATGTCCATTGCACATATCTCTGTGGAAACTCTCTTGGACCTCTGTCTAAGCGATCAAACCTTCTTATCCAACAAGAACTCGAGGCATGGGGAACACGGTACTTCTTCCAAGGTACACGCCATCAAACAAGTTCAACTCTTCCAGCGGGGTAAACGGCCACTTCAATACCCATCCGTATGGCCGTGGCTGGGTGGATTTCTGCGACCATATCACGCCGTTGTTTGCGGAATTGGTCGGTAAGTCGCTCAAGCTTTGTTAATTCATTATCACCTTACGATGAGATAGGGTCCAAGGAAAAGGAAGTCGCTTGTATGGGCACATTGACGGCGAACTTGCACCTGATGATGGATTCCTTCTACAAGCCAACCTCAGCCCGGTTCAAAATCTTATGCGAAGCGAAAGCATTTCCTTCCGACCAGGTAAAGACTAGCTTTGAGCTAGTCAGACTCACGAACCATCCATTTCTTTTACAGTATGCTTTCGCGTCTCAAGCACTAGCCCATGGTCTCGATCCCGCGAATGCTGTCTTGGAAATTTCTCCGCGCCCTGGCGAATACGCTCTTCGGGAAGAAGACATCCTTGATACTATTTCGCGTGAAGGGTCTTCTATCGCCCTTGTCATTTTCAGTGGTGTCCAGTATTACACCGGTCAGTTGTTTCCGATCCAGTCTATCACTCGCGCTGCCCAAGCACAGGTGACGTGACTTGCCCTTTTTTCTCCATTGCTAATTTTATTTACCAAGCCACGTAGGGGTGCATATGTGGCTGGGACCTCGCCCACGCCGTCGGGAACGTCCCTCTCTCTTTGCATGACTGGAACGTGGATTTTGCCGTTTGGTGCACGTATAAATACCTCAACGCCGGCCCCGGCTCTATTGCTGGCTTATACGTCCACGAGAAATGGAAGGACACGGAGCTTCCCAAGTGAGATCTCTCTCTCTCACCAATCATTTGGGAGTGTCTAATTTAGCATGTAGATTCGCCGGTTGGTGGGGACACGATCCTGTCACACGCTTTGCGATGCCACCCAAGTTTTCTCCGATCGACGGCGCACAGGGTTTCCAACAATCCAACCCGTCAATTCTTGCCTCAGCATCGCTCTTGGGATCGTTGCAAGTCTTCAAAGAAGCCGGGATGATGGGGCCTCTCCGTGAACGCTCGCTACTGCTCACTAATACCCTCGAAACACTTCTTCAACAATCGCAATACTTCATACCCACAACAGACGTTGACAAATGGTCCCAACAGTCGTCGCGACCAGCCTTTACCATTATCACTCCTTCGGACCCCGCCAGTCGAGGAGCCCAGCTGTCACTGCTATTTATTGGTGACGGATTGATGCAAAGGGCACACGATGGTCTGACTAGTTTCGGTGTCATTGGAGATGAGCGCAAGCCCGACGTGATCCGACTTGCTCCCGCTCCTTTGTTCAACACACTCCAGGACTGCGAGCAAGCGGCAATGTTCCTGGAACGTGTGTTGGATGGCTTGGCCTCTTAGATTTTCCGGATGCGTATTATTTGTGGCTGGCGTGGTTTCTCATTAATCGATGTTGCCGGGCGGCGATTATTTGCATCCATCATTCAAATTGGAGCGGAGTCTGAATGGGACACCGACATTGACCGACGGTAAAATGCCTATCTACCCATATCTCGCAGCATCGATTCAGCCGCTGACATCGAAAAATCCCTCAAAAGTTGTGGGACCTTGAATTTTCCCACCATTATTTATGCAATCGCCAATCGCCGATCTTGATCGGGTTTCTACTGGTTCAGAAATTTGCGAACGAGGCTGGAGAACGATGGCTCGAGGAGCACATCGTCATGTTCGACGCTGAAGACATTGAAAACAGCTTCAACGTTGGAGTCCCCATAGAGCGTTGTAAGGTGGGTGGCCATATTTTGACTCTGGGGTATATCCACCAGGGTATCACCTGTTGAATGCACTATCAGCCATCGCAAGCCTTCGAGTTGGTTTCGCGACGGGTATTTGAGGACAGAGACATCGGCATAGGAATCACGTTCTCCGAAAGCAGCAGCAATGAACCATTGGCGATAGCTTGGGAAACGCTCAAGCAGCAACTCAATGTCGTATATACCCTCCGAAAGTATGACGCCGTGGACCATCTTAGTCACGATCGGTGATGGCATCAGACTGGGTGTGACCGCGGACGAGTCCAGGAGGATCGAAGCGAGGATGTGGGCGCCTGCACTGTGGCCAAGAAGATGGACCGATTTGTCAGATACGCCGCCAAGTTCGGCCCAGGTTGGAAGAAATGTGAGGAAAGCCAGAATGTCTTCTGCGTGGCCCGGGTGCTCGAATTTGGTCTCTGGCGTAATCACTTGGGGCGTGAGGCGGTAGTTGGGGACGATGACCCGGCATTGAGTGGCTTCGACTAGTTTGGTTGCAAAGGCGCGATGAGCTGATTTGTCATCGCTGAGAAGAATAGGTCTCCCCGAGTTCAAACGACAGAGGAAAACCTTACGCGCGCCAGGCTCCCCCATGGACAAAAACGAGGATCGCGGGACCGGCGTTGGGAGGTATATACGCATCGAACGAACAGGCCGAATCAGCCCCGGGCACGTAAGGAATATCGAGGTGATGGTTCATTCCAGGTTACAATTGTATTAGTCAGGTACGAAGGCCTGGTAGAATTACAGCGTCAGATGTAGAGAGAGAAGAGGCGTGATGGTCATGATCAAGTCCTGGGACTTGTCTCGTGTCGCTAGTATTTGAGAATGATATATAGCGCTGGGTGGACGATTGGCTCAGTCTTGGTGGTCATAAATAACAGAGGGCTCACCGTGGATGATTCCCGGGATGTAACCCAGTACTGTTAACAGAATGTTGATGAGGAGGTCGGCGCCACAGCCTGCAGGTCAAGATAAGACAAAAAAAAAGACGAGGAGCGGAACAGACCTCGCTCAAGGAATACACCAAGAGGGGGTAATAAGACGGCAAAGAGAATCTTGCAAATATCAGAAGCAGTGAATGCCTTTGGAAAAGTTAGTGGAGAGACGGAGGGAAGGACAAAGAACGGACCATGGTAGTGAATGAACAAGCCAAGAGACAGTAGCTGGATTTTATAGCGTGTAGTGGCTGTGGAGCAGTGATGTCACGATCGGAGCCTGGACTGCGTCATGCGCTGCGCATGCTGCGCTTCGGCCACATTTTTTCCCCTAGGCGATCTCGCCTCGTAAAATAGATCGTCCGTTTCACACTCCTCAATCGCTCCTACTTGACCACTGTGCTCGGAGAAAAACGGAGCGTTTCTTTGGGTACATAAGCCTTATTATGTAATCACATCGCTACTACACACGCATTCTATTTGTCGGCAGTGCGTACCGATCCTCGGTCACGACATCTCACCAGACCTTCTTCTTCTCTTCACTCGCATATTTTTTGTCAGGCGATCGAGTTGCAGATGGACCGTCCGTTTCACCATCGTAGCAGCAGACTCGGAGAAATAAGAAAAAAAAACTGCAAGGTTTCTCCGCCCCAATACATCATCTACTCACTCTCCTCCGAGTCCGAGTCGCTATCCTCTTCACTAGTTTCTTCTTCACTGCTTTCGACCTTAGGCCCAGCCTTGACACCGCTTTCGGGCTTTGTTTGAACCGGAGGAGTGCTTCCAATTTTTGATCCGTCGGCGCTTCCACCAACAGCACTTGCAGGTTTGTTGTTGGTCGTCTCTTCCTCGCTGCTCTCCTCCTCTGAATCGTCCTCTTCCTCGCTAGTGTCTTCGTTCTCACTACTCTCAGCCTGGGCCTCGGGTTTAGCTTTCGGAGTCTCGGGATTGGTCTCCACCTTTCCCTGGACAGCACTGCTTTCGGGATTGGCTGCGACACTGGCCGTCGGAGGCTTGTTCTGGATTTCAGAGCTCTCGTCATCGCTGTCCTCCTCTTCGCTAGTGGTCTCCTCTTCGCTTCCACTGCTTTCGGCTGTGATTTCTGGTTTGGCACTGCTTTCGGGTTTCGCAGGAGGAGCTGGAGGATTAATCTTGGTTCCTCCACTGCTTTCGGCTTTTGCAGGGGTTGGACTGACTGTGCTTTCTGGTTTGTCTTTATTGGCACTGCTTTCGGGTTTCGCAGGAGGGGCTGGAGGATTAATCTTGGTTTCTTCCTCTGCTTCGCTGTCGTCCTCTTCTGAATCCTCCTCGCTAGTGCTGTCGTCCTCTCCCGCCTCGCTTGTCTCTTCGCTATCGCTACTCTCCGGTTTCGTGACAGCTTTCCCTTTCACTTTATCGTGATCGGTGCTAGCTTCGGGTTTGGTCACGGCTTCGGGTTTGGTCACCACGGCAGGATTGGCTGGAGATACGGTCTTCATCTCCTCCTCCGAGTCCTCCTCCTCACTGCCAGTATCGGCCTCTTCACTGTCGCTTTCTGCACTGGACTCTTCAACAGTATTTGTCCCACTGACGGCACTCGGAGGCTGGGTCTTGGCATTGGAGTCTTCTTCTTCCGAGTCGCTCTCCTCTCCGCTTCCGCTTTCTCCGTCGCCGTCATCCTCACTCTCGCTCTCATTTTCCAGCTTCTCGATCTGTTGCATCAACTGACCGGCAACCACCCACGACCGCTTAACGTTCTCCGTCGTCGGACCTTCTGACAGTCCCTCGCCTTTCGCAGCAGCCGACCCATGCCATTTCCGCATGTCCTCGAATTCGACAATATCAGTCTGGTAAAACTCGGCCAAGATCTGACCAAAGAGTGGGAATCGGTCGGAAGTAACACAATGCATCTGTGGTAGTTTGTTAAACGGTGATGATATAAAAAAAACTCGTATACCTGGAGAGCTTCTAATGTCTGGACTGCATCGACACCACCGATGTTGTTGACTAATGGGCCCCACCGTCCCACAACGGCGGAGATTTCTTTCCGTTGAGTTGCAGCCACGGGCACGATCGGAATGGCCTCTACAACTGCTGCTATGACAGCTTCGCGCACTCGCTCGAGAGGCACATTGCTTGCCATGCGCAGTGTTTTGAGCTCAACAGCAGCGTTATCGACCGAATGGCCTTCCTTGAACGCCCGCTGCAGCGACTGCTTGACTTCGCTTTGGAACTCTGCTTCCTCCATCATGTTGCTTGTCCCAGGTATTATCGGCGGGGCCTCATCGTCCGAGTCGTCTTCGCTGCCATCGAATGAGCCATCACCACTCAGCTCGTCTTGTGAATCGTCGCTCTCGTCGTCGGTCATCGGCGCTGAGTCATCGTCGTCCGAATAGTCCAGGTCTGATCCTGTGTCCGCTGAGAGAGAGGTAAGTTTTCTTGGTCGAGAAAAACGCCAGGAAAGGTACCTATTCTCCGTAGCCGCTGAACCTTGTACTCCACAACAGCGTCCTCATCATCGTCCTCTGAGGGGCCCTGAGGCCATATAACGGCATTCGTCTGCCCGCCCAGCACAGAAATCGAATCGCCTGGCTGATCTATGAAAAGTCAACACCGCGAAATTACTCGTCGAAACTAACGAACTCGCTTCAATATCATCAATATCAGAGTCTTCTTCCTCGTCAGACCGTGGCGCTGAGATTTCTCTCCGCTTTGATAGTCGCTCAAAAGGCATCACAGCCCCAGACGGACCAACTGCGACACCATTGCCGACAATGCAGCCTCGCTCGACGTTGGTCTTGTCCTTGATCATCACGCCTGCCCCAATAATGCTCCGTCTAACTGTGCATCCAGCGCCGACCACTGTTCCGTCAAAAATATAGGCGCCGTCTATAACGCTACCGGCCCCAATCACACAGTTTCGCCCAATGACCGAGCCAGTCACCTGAGCGTTCTCTAAGATCCTGGTGCCAGCACCGATCAGTGTGTTGTTCCCGATTTTGGCTGTCCTCGCTAATGAGACTTCGGCTGCAACGTATTTGTTGCCCCTGCTATGTCGATAAACGTGACCGCCAGGGTGGTTGTCGTCGGGGACGAGTGGGAAAGTCCATCGTGACAGAATATCCTTGCTAGATATGTGTTCAGAAACAAGAGGGGTTGCTAGAAGCGGTACTAGCCTGATGGAATCGTAGCTTTTGGTGTCTTTGACGCGGGCAGCATAACCCTCTTGGGCGACATAGCAGTATATGTTCTTCATGAGGAGATCGGATGTCAAAACACCATGAAGGAAGTCTCTTCTTAGATCTTCGTAATCGAAGTTGTCTTGAAAGAGCGAGGGAACTTCAACAGAGCACACATCGATCGAGCAGTCGATGAGGTCGTTGCGGATTTCGATTTCTGGATGTGCTTCTAACACTTCTCTGGGTATTCGCGTCGTTTTCGTGGCGGGGTAGCCAGAGACATGTTCGTAGTGCAAACACTCTGACGTCGCTGCATCAAGCACAAACACAGATTGGTCGCCGGTGGTTCTGCGTGGTCAGTTAGTTAATTAGGGAGTATCGGTTCATTAGAAAGCCATTAACCTAGTTCTATGATTTTCCCCGCTCTCCTTGACGACCATAGTCATAATGGCGTCCTTGTTTGTCTTCCGCCGCTCCTTGTGGACGCGCACCACCTCGTCGATGCGGATGTTACTGACCAAATCACCCATGACGAGCACAAAATCAGTAGTGACAAGCCCACGCGTATACACATCTCGCATTGCATCTCCTGCAGAGAATGTTTCTTTGGCGGTCATAATGGGGACGATCTTGATTCCAGAGCCAGGACGAGACCATTTTGATTCGCTGGGAATGGATTGAGCATCGGAAAGGAGTGGAGAATGAGATTATGGAAGCGCACCTTATCGCCTGCTTGACCTTCTCAGCATGGGACCGGCAAACCACAAAAATCTCCTGCACTCCCGCTAGTGCCAGGCTCTCGAATGTCCAGTCTAGGAGGGGCGCATTGCATATCGGTAATAGACACTATTTCGCTCGTTTGAAATGCCATCGATTATGTGGGGAGAAGAGCATACTCTGGGTGTGTGAGTGGTCAGTGGACGAAATCGTTTGTCGAAGCTGTCGGCTAAGATCACGGCTTGGAGAACCTGAACGGGGTTGTTGAGACAGAAACAACAAGCGCTGAAGTGGAAACAAACCTCCTCCTCGTCGTCGATGAGCTTTTCTTTGGCTGCTGCAGCTTTTGGCGCCATAGTTGGAAGTGTGTGGTGGACAAGCTAAAAGTGACTCGATCGACTTTCGGACCGGATCAAACTGCCCGGGATGTGTCAGCAGTGATTCCGATCGCCCGACGCGTATACTCTCTCTGAATAATCTCTCTCTCTCTCTCATGGCGGACGCTAGCATGTCGCTCGTAATATCCTATCGGGGCACACAACATAGAGTGGCCCTTCTACCAGACAACACACTCTCTGATCTCCATCAAACGCTGGAGGAACTGACGACAGTACCGCCAGAGATGCAGAAACTGCTGTACAAGAATAGCCCTAAGGGTGGAGGGGCGCCAGAAATGTCCTTGCGTGAGGCAGGGCTTAAAGACGGTAGCAAGATTCAAATGGTTGGCTCAACACTCGAAGAGCTCGGTGGTTTACACGCCAAAGAGGCAGAAGCGCGAAAGAGAGATCGTATTCTTCGGGAGAGGGCACTCAAGGCTCCAGTCAAGGTACGCTCCTTGACATTTGGTCGATTATGAGACAGAACAGAAATAGGTCCGGTCTACGGGCTCTGCAACGGCGTCAGACCATATGTATCGCTTCCACAAGATTGCCCCGCTGCCCCACCTCCCAAATCCTGAGTCAGCAATGACGGTGTTACAGCGAATGGCAAACGACAAGGCGATTCAGCACGTCATGCGCCAGCACCAATTTTCGGTGGGGATGCTGACCGAGCTCGATCCGAGGGAGAGGCCCGATCTGCTGGGCCTCAACCAGAATCATGGACAGGAAATCAAAGTCCGCATTAGAACGGACTCGTATGACGGCTTCCGCCCTTATTTCGATGTGCGCCGCACCCTTTGTCATGAGCTTGCCCACAATGTTCATGGCCCACACGACGAGAATGTGAGTGGTGGGATTGACGCAATACGACTTGACCAACCATATCTCCAGTTCAAACGCCTCAACTCGCAATTGAATCGAGAAGTCGCCGAATTTGAACGCGCTGCGAAAGAAGGGACACACCGACTTTATGGAGGTGATATATACGAAGCTGACGATGCAGAGAATCTGGCGTTAAGCTCGCATGTGCTTGGAGGGACAAGCAGTGGCAGCACAGAGTTAGACACGGTAGATGATCGAAGACGGAGGGTGCTTGAAGCTGCAATGGGTCGTCTGAAAAAGCAAGAGGAGGAATTAGAACAAAGCTGCGGTACAGCTGGCCCCGCGGCAAAGTAAAAGTCCAAGCTGTACCAATTGTAAATATCGAACAGGACATTTTTCATCGTGGACAAAGTTGAAGGGCTAATTTCCTTTTTCAGATTTTGTCACGTGAACTTCCACGACCGTTTGTCCTTGATTCAATGCCTCTCAAACTACCACGATTTGGATTCGCCGTTCAGGACTTCAGCAGCTCCAAGAAGGGACGATGTCGCGTCTCGCTCGCGAGAGCTGCCTTTCGATACGGCTTCACGGTATCACCCCAACTCTACAATCCCCAACTGTGAGCACTCCAGACCTGGGAATACAGTGCGAAATTCAAGAAGCTTACCAAACAACCACAACCACATATTCCTGAACCTGAACGGACCTGGGGGTATAACCCAACATTCTCGAGACAACTGGACATCTTGCGGTGCAAAATAGACGCAGCGAGGGAGGGACGGGCGCCTGTTCCGCCCCCGTCCACTCAAAACAAGCAGAAGCAGAAGAAAAAGAAGAGATCTAGCAGACCGAATGCGCGCTGTATTGCCAGAGCAGCGGCCCGAAAACTAGCCAAGGACCAAGTATATGGGGAGATACGGGCGGCGAGGGCGATAGCTGACAAACAGGTCCTGAGGAGTGGAGGGATCGACACCGACGACAACGACACTGTTTCGCTGGGTTCTGTCGAGTCTGGCTGAAGGGCCGCTTCGTTTCCCCAACACTCATCCATGTCACCTATTCGACACATGAGCGGTGGTGGTATAGAATTAGACACGGCCGAAGAGGGTGGTCGAGGCTGCGATGGGCCGGTTGAAAAAGCAGGACGAGAATTGGAGCAGAGTTTGTTTGTTTGTTTGTATAACGGTACACGTCTCCATCGGAGAACTACCGGACCTAGTACCTAGTAGCAGGCGACCTGTCTCCCGTCTACAGAGAGACCTCTACCAAACCAATAAATACGAAGACACTGAAAAAATTATCCTTGTTCACAGTTCCAAAGCCAACTGCGTCACGCCAAACGACTTCCATTCCTTCGCCACCTTGAAAATAAATCTTGCCGTTGGGATGACTCTGTCCCAATCGAAAATTAAACCCTTCAATATGCGCAAAACCTCTTCATCTGGAAAACCTGCAAAACTGGCAGGGAGAATATATGTGTGGGACTGTTGGGCCCGCAACGTATAAGGCTAGACCAAACACCAATTGAAGCAGTAATAGGGGCACTCCCCTTGTTCTCAACTCCATGTCGTCCAAGTCATTGCTTCCTGCAACCTGTCCACCCGAATCACCCAGCGGACAACTTCGACTCTGCATTCCTTCTCCTTCTGTCCGTCTCGAATCAGACCAAGACGCTACAACCACCGCTCTGTCAGAGACAACTCTCTGTCTCCTGAGTGGCTCGCTCGACGATTTTATCCTCTTCGCCGGCCAAGAGGCCTCCCAGTGGCTGCTTGACCAGGCACATGACATCTGCGATCCTACCCATCTCCGGGGGTCGTTATGGGTTTGGAAGGGGGCATGGGTTCTTGTCGCTCGCACCGATCCGTTGATTGCGTCGACGTATTTCTACATTCTCCCCACAAACTTGACAACCCCGCTGTCCAAAATCAGCCGCCGCGATGGCAGATCGAAAGCATCCAGCAATACCCGCAACAATGCCCGCATCATGCGTAGTCGCGTACTGGAGAGAGATGAGCGCTGCTGGGTCACGAAAAACACCGAACCACTCACGAACAGCCACATATGCCCGAAGCGCATGGGAGACGACCTTGCAAGAGGAGTATTCGAAGCGTTCACTGGACTGCCCCACTCTCCTAACCAGTCTATTCTCGATCCTACATTTGGGCTCTGTTTGACCCTCAATTTGGACACATGGTTCTGCAGTCATGTCTTGGGCTTCCGCTTTGTTTCCCCCAACACTTATCGATGTCACATATTCAACACCGACCCTCAGTGCTTCTACACAGCGGCTGGCGCTTACCGCCGTATCCCTCCTCCTCCTTACCTATTAATTCATGGTTGCATCGCCAGCCCACCAAATCCAGACCGTGACTCGATTCCTCCTCCTGGACTCTTGCGCTGGCACTATTTACAATGTGTCATCAAAAAATTTGGCCATTCCAACTACACGTCCCTTGCAGGCATCCAATTTCCCAACCTTATGGAGGTCGTCGACTCAGATGAAGACTCAGATGACGAGAGTGGAACAGACGATGAAGCAGATTGGCCGTCGAAATCTCTCGATTTGGGAAGAGCTATTGAGGCTGAACGGGTAGAAGGTCAAGAACGGCTTGAATTAGTTGACGAGTGGTTGTTGTCCACTAGCTGAACCACAAAAAGAAGGTATCTTATTATTATTAGTAATACAAAGGTGTCGCATGAGGGTCAGTATTGATACAGAAATGGATCAGGTAGCGCTACAACTCCGCGAGCTCTCCCGCTCGCACTAGATTCGCAAAGATACCCTTTCGGGCAATCAACTCCTCAAACCTCCCCTCCTCCGCAATCCGTCCCTCATGCACAACCAACACCCGGTCGCACAACTGCATCACCGGCAGTTTGTGTGTGATCATGAGAGTAGTTCGCCCGACTTTGGCGTGTCGAATGGTTTCGAGAATCGCAGCCTGGTTAACGTCGTCTAAAGCTGATGTGCACTCGTCAAGAACAAGAATTTTCGAAGGTCGGGCGAGGGCCCGCGCAATCTGAAGCCTCTGTGCCTGACCACCCGAAATCAGCGTCGCATTCTCTCCGACTGGCGTTTGGTATCCCTGCGGCAAACCAACGATAAACTCATGCACATTGGCCGCCTCCGCTGCCCGCCTGATGTCCTTGTCAGACAAGCCCTCGCTCCCATAGGCTATATTCTCCGCGATGGTCGCGTCAAACAGCGTAGGATGCTGACTAACCACAGAAATCTGCTCGCGGAGATGTGCAACGTCTGTGGAGCGGACGCGAATCGAGCCCACAGAGATCGCCCCATAAGTTGGCTCGTAAAGACGCTGGAGAAGGGCCGCAATAGTAGATTTCCCAGAACCGGATGTGCCAACGATGGCAACACATTCTCCAGGCTGGATTTCAAGGCTGATGTTGCGGAGGACTGGCGCCTCTGGTCGCCCAGGGTAGGAGAAGCCGACATCGTGGAAGGTGATTGCCCCGTCCAGGGCAGGGCGGAGGAACCCGTCAGTTTCGTTAGTTCTGGTGGGTAGATGAAGCAGTTCGCTCAGGTCTCTTGTCGCATGAATTGCCTTGGCAATACGCTGAGCTAAAATAAAAGACATTAATAACCGAGCAATCCAGACAAAAATTAGAACTTACTGAACGCCATGAGCTGGGAACCGATGGTCACGGTAAAAACGACGAGGTTCAGAACTTGGACCATTTGGAGGTACGAGTAGGTACCGCTGGCAATAAGGACAGCACCAAAGTAGAACAACAGCGCCTCCGCAAGGTAAATCAGACCACACGCAAGCCCGAAAGTGCAACCTTCGATAAAAGCGCCCCTGCGAGCGACATGGAGGGCACGATCAGCTGCCTTGTCGAACTGGTCTCTGAAGACGGACTCCAATCGCATGCAACGAATGCCACGGATGTTCGCGATGGTCTGAAAATCCCAATGAATGACAAACAAGGTCGGAAGAAAGAGAGACAAACCTCATAATACCGCATACCAATTTCCTCTCTAGCTCGTTTGTTCCGCGCCTCACAGGTTGAACTGAGTCTGGCCTGCGCAGCCATGGCCATGGCAAACACAGGGACAACCGCAAAGCCCGCCAAGGCAAGCTGCCACCCAGCCAAGACCGCCCAAACCATGCCAACACCAAAAAGGGCACCGACGACAAGAAGTTGCCCGACAGTTCCGGTCAAAAGCTCCCTCGCATCATCTCCGTCGGTGATGAGAATGCGCGCAAGGTCTCCGCCTTCATGATCCCGGTCGAACCAGGGTCGATCTTGACGGAGAACCCGCGCAAAGCCGAGGCCACGCATTCGAGTTACCCAGGACATCGCGGTGCTCTGCATCAGGAAATATTTGAGCCCCATCAATAGTCCGTCAGCAGCAGCGACCCCGAGTACGATAAAACCGTATTTATTGATGACTTGCGTGTTTTGAGCACCGATAGAGACCTCAAAAAGCAGGCGTGAAAGGAGGAAAGAGAACACTGGCGTGCACGACCCACTGAGCAGACACACGAAAAGTCCCACAGCAACAACTGGCTTATGTGGAATTGTTGGATATATGTCTTGGACGAGTTGCCAAATAGAAGGTATGTGGTCGGGAGCGTCGGTTGACTGGGGGATAACACGAACTTTGAGATCGCTTTGCCAGTTGATTTTCTCACTTTCAGGAGACATGGAGAAACCCGTGGCGCGAGTGAAAACGGTGGACGGGGCTGGAAGGGGTTTCCATGGTGCAGGAGTCCGTCCCTTTGAGAAACCGTTGATATTAGGGAGGAAAGGCGAAGAAGTAATTTTAGATGTGCGGGTGTGGGCTGATGGGGCAGAAGAAATAGTTGAGAGGAAAAATTGGCCAAAAGGATGTGATCTTGAGCTGAACGTAAGGTTGTCCACATCAGCAGAAGATTGCCCTGTTGAATTTGGGAGAGTTTCATCCTTCTCGGATGGGGAGTCATGGCCATAAGTGAGTGGTATGGTGACTAGATCACCAAATACGCCAAAGGGAAAGCCCTCCAAGTCGGCTCGTAGACCATTCTCAACAACACAACCTTCCTTGAGAACATACACAAAGTCGTCTTTGGCAATTTGGGAAAGGTCGTGCGTGATCACCAGTGTGGTTTGCCCATTTCTATACCGCCTAATAGCTTCAAATACCAAGACACGAGAGGTGGGATCGAGGGCAGACGTGGCTTCGTCTAAGACAAGAATTAGGCATTGATCAGAAAAGAAAAATAGACAAGACGGACCGAAAACCAACACGTCGGGGTTTCGCAGAATTGCTCGAGCCAATGCCAGGCGTTGTTTCTGCCCACCTGATAGACTCGCGCCTCCATTCCCAAGCACAGTATCGTATCCATTGGGCAGCCCCATCACGAAGTCGTGCAACAGGACCAGTTTGCAAACGAAGCGAACATCTTCGGGGGTAATCTCTCCACGTCCCACAGCAACATTCTCCAATATATTCATGTCAAACAAAGTCGAGGCGGCTCCTTGTCCAACCACCGCGATATCGAGTTCGGAGAGATCGACAGCACCATCGTCGACGGTGATAGTGCCTGCTTGAACTGCATATAGACCAGCGAGGAGATGTGCGATAGTTGATTTTCCAGATCCAGAAGTGCCAACAATGAAGGTTAACTTGTTTGCTGGGAGGGAGAGTGTAATGTCACGAAGAACGGGGACATTCGGCCGTGCTGGATAGCTGAAGGCAATGTCACGGAAAAGGATGTCGCCTCGACAGCGCTTGGAGCGGACTGAATGAGGAATATCGGGTTGTTCGTCAACGAGCTCTAGTAACGCAATGAGCGCACTCTTCCCCTTCGCAAGTTGTATGAACTGCGGAATGCACAATTGGAGGTTTGTTGTTGCCATTAAACAGGCCCAGAATACGGCCATAACATCACCAGCTCCGATGGCACCAGTGCGGACGACGTGGGCACCAAACCAGAAGCCCTGAACAAACATTCCCATCATGACAAATTGCGCAAGGCCGGAGGTCAAACCCCAAATAGCAACCAGCTTCCAGACAGCGGTTTCGATTCGTCCAAGGACGGTGGCCAAGGCACGTTGTTCATGACCTTGTGCGTTGAATGCTTTGACAGTGTTGATTCCAGTGACGGCACGGTCCACTAGAGTTGCAGCAACAGCAGATTGCTGACGTTCGATGTTAAGAAGAGGTCCTGCAAACAATTGCGAGGCGAATTGGATCACAACAAGGACCGGAACGGCGAGAAGGATGATGAGGGTGAGTGAGTAGGAACGGCTGAGTGCGAGAATAAGGCAGGCAATGCAGGTTGTGAGGTATTCAATGATGCGGCCAGTGGCGAGCGAAGATGCTGCTCGAACTTCGTTGGCGTCTCTGATAATGAATTAGACCAAGCAAGAGAAATAAAGATAGACGTACTTCGCAAATTGCGCCATCAGTCCGCCAGCACCAACAGGCCCTTGAGCATCCTTTGGTTCCTCGGTGGTATCGAACCAACTGATATCTCTTGCGGCAATCGACGCATAAACGCGCTTCCGGAGAGCAAGAACGTTGTTTTCCCCGGTAGTAATCCACAAAAAGCTCGTTAGACTGGAAAGAAGGAAGGAGCCGATAGCAAGGCCGACGAGCTGCAGCGCTGCCGCCGTAATGCGCTGCATCAGTTTAGGTCCATTGTGTGTAGTAGAAAAGTCAGAGAACGCGTCAAAACTGTGGCCTATGGCAATAGTCATGAGCGGCGCAATGCCACCCGCGACAACGGACGAGATGATGGCGGGGACAAGACATAACAACCGCTGTTGTCGTGAAAGGAGGGAAAAGAGCGGCCAGCGGGAGGAGGGTGTCGCAGGGGGAGGCGGGACATGATCATCGAGCAGACGCTCAGTTTCATCGTAGGCATCGCTAGCAAAGTCGTCAAGGGAGGGTCGGGGCATAAAGAAAGAGATGAGTGTGGCATTCTCGGCAAGCTTTACGGGACAATGGAAAGTTTGCTTTCGATCACGTGATCACAATTGAGAGTCAGATCGACCGCGTAATCAATAACGACAAAATCTACGATTCCAGGACCTCAACGCGCGCTACTGTGCTTTTCTTGAGCTGCACAAACAAATAAGCACCAAAGACTAGGACAATGAGAAGATCACAAACCGCTGGACTGGCGCCCTTGCCAGAGAAGTAGTGTAAGAAGAGCTCAGTTGATACCCAACTGTTCTGGACCGCCCCCATGTCGCGCAAAATCAGCGGTCGAGGTTGGCCAGGCACTGGGGCGGGGGCAAAAACATCCAGAATCGAGTCTTTCGCGAAATTGGAGTTGGGGAACATTGTTTTGAGGGCACGGATTGGGGCAGCGACTGCGAGGGCGTCTTCTTCTGTGAAGTTTCCCTTCTTCCGTGCTTCAAGTTGACGGTTGTTGAGCAGTCGGACAAACGCGTCTCTGAGATGGGTGTAGCTGGTATTGCGGGTCGGGATGATGCGGAGCATGCAGGCTGCGTTTCGGACTATATGCTCTATTTTCTCGTCCGCCGTCATGTCTGGTCGCAATCGCAGCTCTTTTGAGGACAAGTCGGCATAAAACCCGAGACTGTAGACCTATAGCCGCGTTATGAGTAGATTCTCATATTCACAACAACTCACCTTGATACCAAGGAATGAAACCGTCCGAACTCCTACACCCACCAACTCTAATGGCGGTGTCTTGAACTGACCAGGCACATTGACCGTCCTCGGAAACGATATTCCAGTGTCTGGATCAAGTATGTCCTCTGAATCTGAGTAGATTCGAGGCAGAAGAGTGATGCCTAGTCCTGCAAGCAAAAACGGAGTTCGTGATCGTCTAAGCAAAAGAGCAGCCATACAAATAAACTACACTTGATCACCGATCCTTTTTCAGCCTCTTGGCTTCCCTGTTCTCCCCATTCCTCTCCGTTCTGCTAAGTTTGCCGGCCCGTTTGTTGGCTACCCGTTGCAGAGCTCGTTTTGTTTCCCCATCTGCAAATGACGACAACTCGAAGTAGGTCGTCGCATACTCCAGTAACCACTCTGGTCGGACCTCCGATACGGTCCGAATATAAGGACGAGTAGTCAGAACGAACTCGTTGAAAAGAACCCATTCTGGTTGGGTGTCTAGCCCGCAGGAAGGATGTAGGGCGACGACTTGGTTATCCTTGACGGTCAGGTAGCTGCCCTTTTCTCCTTCTTTATGGGCAACCTGCATGAAGAAGCCGCAGATGAGTGCCTGCCTCACGTACATGTACATTTTGTTGGGGTCCGAGATGCTGACAAATTCAATCTCGAATCTCTCCATCGTCCGCTCAAGTTGTTTCCGCACGTTCTCAGCCTGCGCGAGAGCACGTGCCGATAAATAATGCGTCCAGGCCCAGTTCTTGTCGTGTTGGTCTATCCAAGGGTTAACCCCATATCGTCAGTTAAGTAGGAGGAACTTACTGTTGATATATTCGTTGTAAACATTGAGCAGGGTCAGATGGTCGCCATCAGGGACACTGAGCAATGCTTTGGCGGCATCTGCTTCCTTCCTTTGGTTGTTAGGTCGGAGCCACACGTTGGGGACTTGTTTAAAGTCAGTATCAAAAATCATATGAGGTGGAAAGAAAAGCGGACCAGATAGCATAGCAGCAATAGTCAATATCTCAGTGCTGCATTTGAACTCAGGGCTGACAATAAGCATTTTAGCCATCTAGACGAGTTATTAGAACACGAGCAGATTGGGAACCACACAACTGACCTGAGGATCTAGAGGGAATTCGGCCATAATTCCACCCAGCGTAGTGAGATTGCCGTCGTCGTCCAAGGCTGAAAGGTAGTTCAGAAGCTCAAGTGCCCTCATGAGTGTTTCTGGGGCGGGAGCATCCACATAATCGAATTTGACGAGATCCTGGAGTACTGTCAGATGTATTGCAACCGGAGAATATGCACTACTAGCCTTGACTCCCAGTTTGACCAGCTCTAGGACAACATTGCTCAAGTTACTCCTGAGAATTTCAGGGTGGGTTTGCTCCTCTAGTTCGCTCATGAAGTCTTTTTCGGTGTACAAGCGGAAGCATTTTCCTGGCCGTGTGCGACCTGCTCGTCCAGCTCTTTGCTGTGCTGATGCTTTGGAAATGGGGCTGACGAGGAGACTCTCGACTCGGATACGAGGATTGTACACTTTTTGTTTCGAGAAGCCAGGGTCGACCACATAGACAATCCCGTCAATTGTCAACGAGGTCTCAGCAATGTTGGTGGAAACAACGACCTTGCGGCCTGGCGGGCCACTGCCTCGAGCGGGAGGTGCTGGGTCGAATATCCGTTGCTGCTGTTGTGGAGGAAGTGACGAATAAAGCGGTATGCAAGTCATTGGACCGACAGCGTCTGGATCCTGGTTTATTAAATCGTCCACCTCTAGCTTGAGTTTCCGACACGCGTCTTCGATTTCTTCCTCGCCAGTGAGGAAAAGTAGGATGTCACCGGGCTCCTCTGCTCGATGGATCATCAAAACGGTCCGAATAGCAGCTTCAACATAGTCTGCTTCAGGCTCTTGAGTATAGAACACCTAACAATATATGAGCCTATTTTTGTTTGGAACCTGTTCATACTTGCCTCGACAGGGAACGTTCGGCCAGGGACTTTGAATAACGGGGCGGAGCCAGAAGATCGCACACTGAAGTATTTTTGGAACTTGACCGCGTCCTATTGAACCTTCAGCATCCGAGCCAGAGAGTGGTCAAAGAAAAAAGCATACCAAGGTTGCGGACATGACTATAATTTTGAGGTCCTCCCGCTTTTGCGCCAGTTTTTTCAGCAGACCCATGAGAATATCTGTGGCCAGCGTGCGTTCGTGGGCTTCATCAAGAATGATGGTCGAGTAGCGTTGAAGATCGGGGTCGTTCATGGCTTCTCGCAGAAGCATACCGTCAGTCATGTACTTGAGGAACGTCTTTCCAGGCTCCGTCATGTCCTCGAAACGAATCGAGTATCCGACTTCACGCCCCAACTGAACTGCGGAATCGTTTGAGGGAGAATAAAGCCACTAGACGGTATACGCACCATCCATCTCGTCTGCTACACGCTTTGCTACCGACATGGCAGCAACTCTCCTCGGTTGAGTGCAGGCGACAAGTTTTCCTCGCGTATGCGGTAGGTCGGAATATGCTACAAATTGAGGAATTCTGCGAGACAACATGAGTCGTCAATCTTAGATAACGCGATACGCACTGTGTTGTCTTCCCTGAACCCGTTTCGCCAACCATGACAATTATTTGATTCTTCGAGAACTAGGCAGGCGACAATCAGTCGAGGGTGGGCATGTTGGGAGGGGAGAGGCCTGGGGGCGATATAACTCAACCCCTCCTCGAATGTAAACACACTCACCATCTGCAGAAACTCATCCATTTGTGCATAAACTGGCAGTTTTTTTCGACCCTCCAATATCTTCTTATACTGGTCCGTATGAGGGCTTTTTGTGAAAGGGTTGACGCCCTGGTCCTGATAATTTGTGTTAAACAAAGCTCAAATGCAGAAAAAAAAACTGACCATCGCCTGCCGAACTTGTTCACCTTTGACATGACGAGGAATGAAGCCAAAGAGAGGCTCTTTGGTGCCAACTGGAGCAGCGTTGGCACCAGAGGGACCAGCTTTCGCATAACGGTGAGCGAGGTAAGGATTATTTTCTGGCGCACTCATGACGGCTCCGAGGCAAGCTAGTAAGAGCTGACTAATCATGTCACACGACTCATTTCAGACAAAAGAATGAGAATCATTGCGCAAAATGATTACAAAAAGCGACGTATGAGCAGTTCCGAAAAGAATGGGGGTATTCAAGTAGTGATTAAGAAGAGGAAGACGGATGAGGATGTCGTAGCTGTATTCGTACCAAACCCGATAGTATCATACGAGAAGAGATCCACGAGAGTGAGGTGTGATAGGAATGGTTCAAGAGTCGTTCGTGGTCGTTAAAAAGGGAAGAAGACGTTTAGGCGGTAGCAGCGACAACTGGTGTCGTCGTCTCCACTGGCTTGGCCTCCTCGACGACGGGGGCAGCAGGCTCCTGTAACGATGTTGTGAGAATCATATTCTAAACCAGCTAGGGTTTGCCTTACCTCGGTCTTCGCCGCTTCCGGCTTGGCCTCGTCAGCGGGGTTCTCGAGAGGTGCAACTGGGGCAGGCTCCTCGATTTTCGGGGGGTTCTCGTCAACTTTGGCACTGGGATTATCATCAAAAAGGGTGAATGCTGAGTTAGAAGAGATCAACTAACGGAGGGACAACTTCAGTCTTGGGCTTTGACTTGAAGAAGTCGCCGACACGAGCAGAGAGACGGCGGGAGACCTTGGCAGCCTTCTTGACGTCGTCCTTCTTGGTCTCTTCCTTTGCCTCCTCTTTGGGGGCCTCAGCAGCGGGAGCCTCGGCAACTGGCTCAGCAACAGCGGCGACCTCACTGTTAATATTGATCAGCAGATGACTCGGTTGTAACAAATGATAAACGCACGGCTCCTTGACAGGCTCAGCGGGAGCAGCGACAGGCTCCTCTACTTTGGCGGGCTCCTCGGTGGCGGCAGCGGGCTCAGCAGCAACTTCCTCTTTGGCGGCTTCCTCGACGGCAGGTGCCTAAAATGGAAGGTTTGTCATCACCCAGAGAACATAATACTAAAACTCACAGCCTCTTCCTTTTTCTTCTCTTTCTTAGGCGACTTGGCGGGCGCCTTGACCTTCTTCTCGCCCTTGGTCTTCTCGTTCTTGAACGGAGCGAGCAGCTTGGCAAGCAAACTCGGGCTCTTGGGGCGTGGGGCTTTGGCGTCAGCCTGTTGCTGACAGTCAGCTTGAACGATGATGATGTGAAATGTGCATACAGTAGCGTCGGTCTTGTCGTCAGTCTTGGCTTCTTCGGCAGGTGCAGCGTCAGACTTCACTTCTTCCGTCTTTGCAGCTTCAGCCTGGAACCACGCGTGTGAGCGGTATTCGTTGCTATGGAGAAGTAAAATCCTACCGGTGTCTCGTCAGCTTTGACTTCAGGGGTATCAACGACGGCTGGAGCGGTCTCCTAGTAGACAATGAGGAAAAGGTGATAGATGAGCAGCGTGACATACTTCGACCTTGGGCTCGACAGCGGCCGGTTCCTTCAATGAATGAGAAAAAAAAAAGTTGGTACAAAGAAAGTGAACTGACAGCGACAACAGGCTCAACGGCAGGCTCAGCGGCGGCAGGGGCAGGTGTTTCCTCAACCTTGGGCGCCTCGACAACGGGCTCGACGGCAGGGGTTTCGGTAGGCTTGACCTCTTCAACTGGGGCGGCAGCGGCGGCGGTTTCGGGGGCAGACATTACGGAAGCTAAAAAAGACAGTGAGCAAAAGGGGGGGAGTGGAGAGAAGTAAGGTGTGTACATGGATATTAAGCTGGGAGGGAGTGTGGAAGATGCCAATAAACCGCTCGATGGCGAGAGAGGGAAGAGAGAAGCAAGCAAAACTGTCACGAACACATCACTCCCATTTATGGGTGTGACGGCGGTATGCCACGATCAGGCTTCGAAATTGCTTCGAATTGGCCCTTATCGGTTGGCCCCTCGACGTTTCAACATGACCGCCATGCTCCTCAAATTATTTTCCATACCCCTTCTTTTCTTATACCCTCAACCAACCTGGCCTTTTACGAGTTCTCTGCTATCAAGCTTAACCTATTGTCTCGGCTCCGATCCTGGTCCGTGTGCTATGTCGACGTTACCGCTAACTGGCCCAGAACAATGCAACCCTGCCTCGAACGGAAGTTGTTGTTGTTTGCAAATGCGTTTTTCTCGTTTACGGCAGCATCAGCATGGCCCCACCGCTATGTCATTGTTTTCTTTGGCCACACGGCGTATAAAAGGTGCTTGGCGCGTCTAAACCTGCCTCCCCATTACGAACATGATACCGCCTGGTATATTCACGACTGCTCTCCTCTTCATCGTCTTTCTTCTCCTACTCCTCGTTACCCTCTCCGTCCCAATAATCAAGACAATTTTTCTTTTCCGTCTCACGGCTGCTGCTTCTTCCGGATTCTTCAATAGCTCGGCTAGTAGTTCCGTGGTATTTGGTGTCTGGGGGTATTGTACTTCCGGTGTCGATGTCTCGTGAGTAGCCATCATCCACTCCACAAACTCTCTTTCTCAATCCAAACCCAGAGTCGCTAGTATCAACCGTGACGCGCCAGGCCATTGTTCCGAGCGGAAGTTGGGCTACACGTTTGACTCCACAGTAGCCAGAGCTCTGTGAGTTGTCAAACCACGCTTTTTTCGCCGTCGGCACTCATTTCCCGTAGACATGTTAGCGGATTTGAGAAGCTTATCTCAAAGGGATTAACCGCGGTTCTTGCCCTCCATCCAGTTGTGGTCTGCTTGACCTTCATTGTCCTTGTTCTTTCCCTTTTCGCTCTCCGTCGCAGAGAGGTTCATGGGAGTGCCCGACTCTGGTCTCTCTTATTATTCGGGGTTGGCGTATTGACCGCCATTCTGACGACTATTGTCTTCCTTATCGACGTAATACTCGTCGCAGTCGTGCGACATAGAGTTCATACTGACACCGATGGCGTGCTTACTCTTAACTGGGGCAACGCAGTTTGGATGACGCTTACGGCGACGATCCTGTTATGGATCGCCGTCATCGGGTCATTGACCGGTGTCTGTTGTGGAAACCAGTGGCGCTTTCGCCGTCGCCCGTGAGATCCAATCTCTCTCTCTGTCCATCAGCTCAGTGATTCTAACCAAAACTTGCAGGGTTAACGAGGAGAAATTCTGAGAAGACGATACGTAGTGTACAATAGCTTATGGACTTGACGATTTTTCAATGACCATGGATTTTTCTGTCCAATTCGTTTCAATCAAGGAACAGGGTCAACATCCTCTAACTACTATGCCGCCGCCTTGACAGCGGGTGCCTTCCTTGGTGGGGGACGTAGCCCCTTTGCCTTCATCTGCTTGCGTCTTGCCTCTTCGATATATGGCCTATCTTCATCCGAATCAAACGCGGTCTCATTCTGGACTTGTTCTGGTCCAGAGTTTTGGACGGTCCCATCTTCAGCCACCACTTCGACTGTTCTAGTTTCTTCTTCCTGTTTCTTGCTCTTGGCACGCTTCTCCACCTTGAATTTGGCGACAAAGAAACCATCCATGTTGTGAACATGGGGGTAAAACCGGCGAGTGAACGCGACGGTTGGGGAAAACGTCTTGCCACGGTAACTAGTGAATCCAGGCGTTCCAAATTCAAGCCCAGTGTCGACCAAATGCACATTCGGTCGTTTCCGAAGTGCATAGTCAACAACCGCCTCATTTTCGTCCACAGTCACGGAACAAGTCGAATAAACGATGTACCCGCCTGTCTTGGACTCTGGACTCACGCTGTCAATGGCACAGAGGATCAGCTGCTTCTGGAGGTGAGATAGCAGAGTAAAGTCGCGGTCAGACTAGATGATGTCAATCGCGCCGAGATCCGATCTCGAAGAAACGAACCTTGTTTGTCTTGACACTTGCATCTTTGCTGATAACACCAGTCCCGCTACATGGCGCATCGAGAAGCACTCTGTCAAAACCCCCCATGACCTTGGGGAACTCTCGCCCATCATACGAGCAAACAACGACATTCCGGCAGCCCAAACGGTGAACGTTGGCCGTAAGACTCTTAGTACGCGCTTTATTCGCATCGTTGGCGAAAACGACACCTGTGTTTTGGAGAAGTGCCGCAATATGGGTCGTTTTCCCTCCTGGGGCGGACGCCATATCCAAAACACGTTCATTAGGCTGGGGAGCCAATGCGATCACTGGAAGGAAAGAGGATGCTGCTTGTAGCATGTAGTGCCCCGCTAGATATTCTGGTGTCGCGCCTGTAGAGAGCTTGAGCTAAAAAGGTCTGCACAGTTGAGAGACGGGATACCAATGGGAACACTACTCTCGAAAACCTGTAAGCCAACGTTTGTCCATTTCCCTATGGGCTCAAGGTTGACTCCGCGATTAATGAGGGCTTGCGCAAGATCACGCCGTCGGGTGCGAAGAGTGTTTGTCCTGATTGTGACTGGTCTAGGAACTTCATTGGCCTCGAAAAACTCGATGGCCTGTTTAGAATATCAACACGGATGTTGTGGCAGATATCATAACGCACCTCGCTGATAGAGAACAAATGAAATAGCTTCTCAGCCAGGAAATCGTTGTAGCCATAGTAGCTAGCAATGTCGGAGATGAGTTGGTCAATGTATTCTGAACGGGGCCTAGCTTTAGGTGAGCTACCTCATGGAATTGTGAAGTCAGGTCCTTACCGGCCTTTCTGACCCAGACGTTTGAATCTTGCTAGTACCTTGACACAATGCCGCATCCGTTGCTGAACGACATGGACATCAGGCACCGTGATTTTCTCCTGCTCTCGTTCTTCAGCAGTTGGTAACTGGAAGGGTTCAATGGCAATGTCCCCATTTGCGTCTTCGTCATCATCATCTATGTCCAATTCTTCATTGTCGTCACCAGCGTCGGCTTCCTGGGCCTCCGCCATGTCCAGTTCCGCATCAAGATCTGCTTGTGCATCCAAAGCACGAGACCGTGCCTCCATATTGGCTAACGTTATACGCTCTTCTTCGTCGTCGGAAGAGTCAGAAGAGGAGTGAGCTGGTATTATTTTTGACGGAGGTGGGCCAGCTTGTTTCGATTTTTTAGACCGTAACGTTAGCGTGGGTTCATCGTCAGGCTCATCCGCATCGGAACCAAAGTCGAATTCTTGAACAGGACCACGGCCCCCAAGCATATCACTACACACCAGTTAGCAGCATATTCGAACAAGCCCGAAAGAGCGCACTCGTCCGAATCTTCCAACAAGTCGTCGAGATCACCACTGAAATTGGTTAAAACACAAGTAGCAGCTTGAAATCGAAGGCAGTTACATTGCTGCACCATCCTGGATATCTTCCCAGCCCCCACCGGACGCTTCAGAGTCGTCTTCCGCAAATTGAACACGGGGAGCTTTTTTCGATTTTTTGGCGACCTCTTTCGACTTGGGTTTCTTGGTCGGGCGTGGTGCACCATCATCTACAGCTTTTCGTTTGCCTAATTTCTTCGGTGACACATCCTCGAGTGGTTGAACCGGCCCTTGCTTGTTTTTTGCTCGACGACCCATGATCGGCAGTGAAAAGTTTTTAGCAGGGGTCACACTGTCACACCAGTAATCTACACTCTTTACCCTGTTCCTCATCGGATGTCGATTCCAAAATCCTCTCAACCTCGTCTACCCGATGCGCAGGCCAAGTGCCAAACCTGCCAGGAAACTTGCCCGTGGCTGGAAATCCGCTGTCAAGAAATCGACCAGCCGAATCCACACGCTGTAAACCGTTGGTGCAAACCGACTCTCCTGTTTTTGGGTCCAGAGTATAGAAGAGGCGTTTGAAACGGAGCCCGACAGCATTCCAGTCTACTTTGACAATGCCGACTGAACCAGTATACTGCTCTAGTATATCAGCGATGCAAGAGCAATATTGACCAAGATTAACGCGCCTGTAGGAACACGAAAACTCCTCCCAGGAAGAAAGCGACAAGCTTTGCACCCTTCTTGACAAACACCCCAGCGCAGATGCCTGCAACGGTACCAAAACTAAGCTCAAGAAAGTTGACCGATGATTCTGGGATCGGTGGTGGGGGAACCTCGGGTTCAGGCTTTGCGACAGTCGGAGTTGTAGTCAAGAGAGGAGATGAGGGTCGTGAACCTACGACCGTGAACACTTGCTCATAGTTAGATGAATGAATGACTCTGACCTTCACAGTGAATTGTCGGTCTAGCAAGTGACAGGCCCAGTCCGAGACCAACAGCTCCTACCGCTCGTAGAGTATAAGAACGATGTCGTGACTGCAGACGAAGGGTGTGAAAGAGCGACCGCGAGCTGCGTTGGACTTGGAGTTGGAAGAGCATCTTGAGTGCAATAGATGATGTCAGCGCCATCAACCGGATCAAACAACTTCTTCTCATTCTTCGCCATGGCGGACTCGGAAACCCAGCCTTTGCTAACACGACCACAACAACAGCGCTCACATCGCGAGAAAACCGCCGAATTGCTTGAATCTCGATCGCTACATCAATTTGTCCTCCTTCTAGTGCGCTCGTAGAGGCTCACTTGCCTTGTTCAAACTCATTCCGCCCAGATTACAATCGGCATGTTTGGCTATATGGCTCAAATACCCTATCTTATGCTCGTCCAGATGCAACATGCGTACTTGTTGACTTGGGTTACGCGTTTCTCCATGAGAGCTGCACTCCAGTCGAAGGGCCCGGTGTCCCGGGCTGGTTGACCGTCCTCTCACACATTTCACTGGGGATAACTTCCTTCTTTCTGCTAGAAATTCCACTTACGCTATGGAGTCTGGGTCCTCGATTCTACTTCCCTGGCGCTGTTCCACACGCTGCTCTCCATCTTTTCGACGCATTCATCATCATCGTGACGTTTGTGCTCGAAGTTGTGCTGCGAGGCAAGGAGCAAGAACTTGCTGGTCTCTTGGTTGTCCTGCGACTATGGCGTCTTATAAAACTTGTCGGTGAGTTTATTCCATTGTCAACAGAGTCGACTCTGAACTCAAAACATCAGGCGGTAAGTGGTCAAAATTTTTCTCTGTTGTCGTTGAACGAAAGCAAAACAGGTGTTTCTGTTGGGGTGGGCGAGGTTGGCGAGGCAGACGCTATTCGGGCGGCTGAGGCAGAGCAAAGAGTTGAAGAACTCGAGAAAGAGAATTCAGAACTTAAGGCTCGTCTGGCGGAGGCAGGAATCCAATGACCTTGATTTGTTACACGGACTAGGGAATGCTACTATTTTACAATGCGGTTACAAATGGCTAGGGCTACAAAAAGTGGTGTGGTCGATTAATCGTGAGTTGGCGTCATAGAAATGAAAAAAAAGTTCATCAACTCTAGAATCATTGCGCCGGCGCATCTGCCCTGACCCATTTAACATCTTTCGAGACGGGAATGGGCTTATCATGGTCGTCAATCACTGTGGGGAAAGGCGATGTTCGAGCTGGAATCCACGAGTCTCGGAATCGTTCGATGAACCGAGACCCTACAGTTGCCGTTTTGGCCTGTACACGTAAAGGCAGGGTTGGCAGCGCTGAGTTCGAGCTGTTGGAAGGCGCAAAGTTGGAAGCGGTGGATGGACTCCGAGAGAATGGAGCATCGACACCCCGCCGAATTTCCTGAGCCCATGGCGCCTTTTCGTAAAACGTGGCCTTGGCTTGAGCCAACGCAGCATTCTCCATCGTGACTGCAAGACTGAATGGTTGGTTCTTGTGACCTTCAGCTTCAATATCGTTAAGGTGTCGTGTCCATGAGTCGTTGTCAACTTTGTTGGCGTCGATTTCGTTGTGTCTGAACCAATCCATCGAGTATGCAGATTCAGACCAGATTTGAGGAAATATCACGCTGTGAGCGTTGGCAACAAGAAGGAATCCAAATGCGTAGACAGCCGCTACAAGAACAATAAGCCAATTGTCTCGTCCATGGGAAACACGTACAAATCGCGGTGGCAAGCCATGCTGCAGGAACGAGGAAAGAATGTGATGCCAAAATCGTCGAAGCTGGGCACCAATGTCAGACTTTATTCAGGGAATGAGCGGAAAAAACTTACAACTATTTGGAGAAGGGGGCATAGCTGTCAAGCCGATTGTTGCACCTGGCGCAGATATAAGCCAAGAACGCGAAACGTGGGAGAAGCTCAAACCTAGCTGAACAACAACCAACGTCCAAGTCCAAATGCACTCAAACCGAATCGACGCGAGAAAAGCACATGGGAGTTTGAAGAACGCGACAATCGCGCCACTGCAGCCAAAGTTGAGCAAAGTTGAGCCCAAACACAAGGAGAGAGAGAGAGGAGCATACAGAGAGACCAGGAGGATGAAAAGGATGCTTAAGAAGATGACAAGAACAGTCGCGGCTGGGTGGCAAATATTCAGTTGTCATTGAAGGGCGCTTAACGGACGACGAACCTGGCACACCAGTAGCGTGTGTTGCAGTTACATTCCACCCGGCAGCAACCAAGACGAGGAGGTGTAGATGAGCTTGTAGAGCTGTTGGTTTGATGAGCAACCGGTGGACAATGAACGGAACTGCCCTACACAGAAGGATGAGTCGCAAGATTGCGACGTTATTGGGGCGCATTAAAGCAGTGGGGGGTCGTTGAGAGATCGTGGGCAAAAAGAGAGAGAGCGACAGTGAAGGACGGGGTGGGTTTTAAATTTGGAAGGACAATGTGCCCTCCGGACAAGGACAATGGCTGGTTGATGACGTAAAAAATGGAACAAAGCGCAGGCCAGACTTGTTGTTATTGTGATTACCTTGAGGCATGTTCGGCAGCCAAGTCAGAAGCCTGGCTGAGGACAATAAGCAGTGGTCAGTGTCGTTGGTGTGGAGGGTCGGCGCGGTCACGCCATCTGATCTCACGTGATATGAAGATCCAGCGCGCTAAATGTACACATTTCAGAAATACACGGATAACTATTACAAATTCTCTTGCTCTCGGTTGGGATCTGGCGGTAAAGGACGCGACCTTGTCCTGGGTCCGATTGGTCGAGTAGGGGACACCGCTCTATCCACGGGTTTCCGTTTTATACGGAGAGGTGGATGAGTACGGGGCCAGTCACCCAATGGTGGGGGTGATTGTGCTCTGGGTCCGATAGGTTGAGGAGGGTCTGATGGTACATATGCTGAGCTAATGAAACGTGGGTATAGCGCAACGGCAGCTTGGGCATTGCCTGCAGAGCTTGGGTTCCGATGGAGAGGATCTGCGGGTGATGCAACAGGGCTGACGGGAGAACTCGGAGGCGATTCTGGTGGATGAAAGTGTTCAATTTGGTATTGTGCATCAAGTCCAAAAGATTGGAGCCCCGGGGCAGTGGGAGGTCTTCGAGGGGTAACAACTACAGCTTGTGCCATTTCATTTGGTGTAAAACGAGGCAAGGTGATCGAAGGTGGCCGTGACAAATTCAGCGGGGGAAAGTTGTGGATGGGGCACTGCCAGATCTTGGGAATAGACTCGTTGTTGCGGTTGATATAAGTGAGTAAGAGTAGAAGCACCAAATAGATTAGTACTAGCAACGCTGGTGAGGAGAATTTTTGTGATTAGAGGATCGGACTTACAAATGAAAGTGCAAAGCCAAGTGAAGCCCAATAAAACCCTGACCGAGGTACAGCCGCCGACGGGATGCGTCTCTCCTTCATGACGAGGTGAGCTCAAGCAATTTGCAACCTTTCGGACTACTTACCATTTGAGCACATGTCCGCTGGACCCACTGCCGTCAGGGCGGCGGCGGCGGCTGTTCAGCTAAGTCAGAAAACAAAAAAGAAAGGGAAGCGATAAGGTCGTACCTAGATCCATCACGAAAAACACCATGCACCAAGTTATCTCGAAGTAAACTCGAGATGTTGGCGCATTTTTTCTAATCAACTCAACGAAGATTCTACCCAGTCTGGTTAGACTTTGATAACGAGCCTCGGTGGCTTACATTGAGAAAGTTAAAAACAATCCCAGAGCCCCCACTGTCGTCAAGTAGATGTCGAGATGTGCTGACAAACGGACGCCCATGAGAATGGAGACGGGAAAAGAATCGAGTTAAGTACATATTCGGGCTGAAGAAGGCACCAAGCTCTGATTCCAAACCGCCGCAGAGGCCAAGATAGCATTACAGATAATGAAGGCCGCTAATAAGCGGAGAAAATAAGCGAAAGAAGACGGCTGATGGCTTGAAACGTTGGGGCGTACCAAAAACGAGGTAGCGAGCGGTTACTAGGAAATGCATCCAAAAGAGTTGAAAGATCGGTCAACGTCGCCGTTTTATGGTTGTTGCTTGTAACCCAACCAGCAGCGTAGTCCGAGTGTGGACGACTGGGCCAACACACTGGATGGCTGTGCGGACGTGATGTCAGACGGATCACTGGCAGTTCCCCGGACTTGGACATCCCAAAATGGCACTAAGTTCCATTGCTCTTACAACTATCTAAGTAACTCTCTCTCTAACTCACGCGGGTACATAGACACTTCGCTCTTCCTGAGGTGGTCCACCAGCTGCAGGTGAGCCGGTAGCTAACTGCAAGTGGTTGGTGGACTGAGTTGCTTCCCTGGGAGAAGATGGGTTGATTGACCCTGAAAGCGTTTCGGTCGCGAACGCGTCTGGTAGTGGGGGTGGACGCGAGAATGTGGCGAATTTGGCTCTCCGAGTGGGCTGGGCTACGTTATAGGAGCCATGAGCATAGGCTCGCACATCAAAAGAAGTATCCAAAGCAAGGTGACGCATCAGGTCAGCCAAAAATGTCCCGCGATGGTGCGCTGGGGATCCATCTACTAAAGTTGTCATCTCTACCCAACAGTAAATTCCAAAGGCTTACCTGATGCAAGACGCACTAATCTGGCAACAGAGATTCGGACACCGACTACAGCATCATCTGCAAGTATCGGAATCATGGACCACAGTTGATCATCCCACGGTATTCTCAATGAACTTGATAACAGCGACTCTAGACACGCCGCAAACCTAGAAATAGTCAGCTCAAATGTCAAGAAAACGTAAAACACACACGTCATTCGATGTCGATAGACTTGTGAGACAGCTAGCCTCTCAACATCTGCTCTCAGGTCCGATAGGACTTGTAAATCAGCCATAAACAGATCCCACAGGTAGGGAAGCTAAGGGAACTAGATGAGAAGTGCTGGTGCCAAGTTGTTATAATCACTTGCCGCAGAAAGTGCCGCTTCACGCACAGCGGCAACACTGTCCTCCAAAGCCTGTCTGGCTATATTGCGGAGTAATTTGGGATTGTCTAGGAGCGACGTCGTGGCGAAGCTCTTTAAAGCTTTGGCAATGGCTTTGCGCTCTCGCCAGCCACGAAAGTTGCCTTCTTGCCATACCGCTAATAAGCCGCTGACGACAGATAGTCGAGCAGGTTTTTCTAGCATTGCCACAAGGTCCTGAACACAGTCTAACGCTCGTTCCCGTATTTCTTCTTCGTCGGAGCGGATCGCGACCCACCAGAGCGGTAAAAGGTCTTGTTCAGCAGCTACGCTGCCGATAATCTTTGCCATCTCTCCGAGGCTCGCCGCTAAGGATCGTCTTACACTCGCTTCTGGATTTTCAGCGAGGTCGAGATATGTTGGCCTCAACTCGCCCCATCGAGAAGATCCCAAAGTTAGAGTGACAGCTGGGAAATTAAAGGCGCATATTAATGGTCGTAGCGGATCGGTGAAGAAGGATGTTGAAGGGCTCTGTGGTCTTAATGCGTCCTGGTGAACTGGTCGCCCAAACAAAGACCCAAGAGCTTGTTCCCGATTGTCCGCTGCCTGTTGTCCATCTCTAACACGTTTGTCCTCTCTCCTGCCGAGAAAGAGGTGGACAAGCTCTTGTGGAGGACCATCAGGGTCTTCCCGAAACGTATGTAGCACTTCGCCCAGCGATTCCAATGTGCCAGATCGAACGGGGTGGGACTCGTCCATAGACAACGACAAGATTGTATCGAGAGCAAGCTTCCGCCGATGAGCAGGCTTTAATCTTGATAGCATTGCTGGCAGAGCAAACAATGCCGAATGGCGAACATGCCATTGGGGGTCTTGACGTAAAGTGTCGAATAATGGAACCTAAGTATGAACGATGAACCTTCCGAGGCGACTGCTATAAACTTGGACGGACCAGTGATAATACAACTACCTCATCTGGGACGACCTTGGCCAAGGCCCCAAGAGCGTACGAGGACTCTCGCCTCACCCAGTAAACTGGATCATGACCAACCCGCTGAACTTCTTTCACGAAAGCGTCCTTGGCATAATCATTCAAGCAACCTGCGCGCGAGGTAAAAGAAATGCAGAGCTGTTCTGTCCCTACTCACCGCTCGCAGTGACGGCAGCCATAAGACTCATGCTGGAAAGCCGGCCCATTGCCGCCTGGTCTCCCTCGCCGTCATCGGTCCCCTCCGTTCTCCGCTCATCTGTGCCCGCATCGCTGGCGCTAGATGGCACGTTTGTTTTCGGGCGGGGAGATGCTGTGGTATTCGGACTTCTCGGTGGTACCTCATTGAAAGGTGATCCCGGCGTTCTTGAGGGTCGAGCAGGTTGCTCTATTGGCGGGGAATGTTTTGCGGGGCTGGAAGAAGATGAAGACGAAGACGTGTCCGTTGCCGAAGAAGGAGTTGATGAATTCGAGCTGCCAGGCGAAGGCACTGAATAATCAGGTAACGCTGGGAAGTAAGAGGTCACGAGAGGGGAGGTGGGCGACTGTTTTTCCAGGTTAAAGGAAGTCAGAGCTTGGCTCTGAACTTCCTCTTCAGGAGTGACGACTGTGATGCCTGGGGGAAAGCCATGTTGAACAGGCCAACCGCCTTCCTGACTGATGTTGGCCGAATTCGAGTCGACATCGACGTCATCCTCAGTGTCAAGTCTTCCCATGCCGATGACGACCTGTTCTACCAGCTCGTGTTCAAACATGAGTCGCTCTTCCTTTCCGAATAGGCCAACAACAATTTCCTCTGCATCTTCTGCTGCAGAGTCAGAATCCGAAGAGTCAGAACCAGACAGTGGGGCTGGGGCCGTGGACTGGAGATTGTCGACTTTCCTCATTCTGGTGAGAAGGTTGACAACAGCATATCTTGCACCCCCGCAGACCTTGCTGTTTGGGCTCAGAAGTAGCGTGCCGAGTGTTGGAGTGAATGCTTGGACAGGAATCGTGCTTGTAGATGATGAATAAACCGTTTCCTCGACATTTGGGATGTCGAAAACGACTTGACAGTTCTGGGTATAGACAACGTATCAGAAGGTATCCATGAAAACCGCGGTGCAGCAACTCACAGTAAAAAACCACCAGATGATCGAAACCAACTCGGTCACCAGTGCCTCTTTGACTCGTTCATCTAAAATAACCCATCAAGTCAATGTGATAGCATGGGAGCAAGGCAATGGATAATCACCTTCGTCAATGGCCAGGTATGGGATCAACGGCAGAACAAAGTCAATAGCTTCCTGTGGGGTAACTTGGTCGAGCAAGGAGGGTAGGGCGTGTACGATATATAATCGGTGATGCACTGAAGGACTACGTGCAAAAAGGTAAATCTTTTCGAGAGCTGTAAGGCCTTCGTCGTTGTCGACGAAATCCAGAGGTATTTCGCCAGTAGGAAAAGCATCCTCTACATCAATTTCCGGCTTCGTCGTATTTGGTATGGCGATGTGTAGCTTTGAGGCAACGGCTTCTAAAGGGACACGGTGGGTAGTAGGGGGCGGTGGTATTTCGAGAGCAGGGGATGCGATGGGTGTTGAGGGTGCGGTATGGTAAGCGTCGAGGGCTGGCGACCAGAGAGGGCTGGCCAGAGGATCGTCTGGAGTGATTGGTGGAGAAAGGGCCCCAGGGGGGAACGCGGGAGGTGGTAGGGCAATAAAACGCGGGACATTTGCGTTGGCACTTGAAGGTGGCATTGACGAGAGTTTGACCGCCAAGCAGCTATGATGGAAGACTACACAAGGCTTTGCTGCACATAAACCGCGGCAGTAGCGCGCAACGGAATGTTGTTTGGAGGGCCACCAACTGCGCCGAGTCCGACAACAGGTCAAGGCAAACTTGAAGAGTTTGTTGATGACGTCATGATGTCACGTCCATAACTGTCTACGACTATTGACACATCTTCGTTTTCGACTGCACTAATATGTTCTAACAACGCGATCTAGACTCTCGGCAAAGTACTTGATGTTGTGGGAATTCAAGCCAGCCATCGAGATGCGTCCGTTGGCTGTGAGATAGATATGAGCATCATCGATGAGAGCTTTGCTTTGAGCAGGAGTGATCCCAGTGAAACTACGTTGATCAGCCTCCAGTTGTGGGAAAGTGAAGAAAAAGTGCATACCTAAACATCCCAATCTGGTTCACGATATGTTTCCAATCGCCTGGAGTGTGGAGCTCTTCAGTAAGCAAACGGAAAAGTTCTTTGCGCATGTCAATAATACGGTTGGCCATGGTCGCAATGTCGCGTTTCCACATCTCAAACATATTGGGGTTATTGAGGATCAAGGAAACCTTTATTGGAAGTTAGTATGGGCTTTTTTGTAGGGAAAAGACTAAGAAATACGATGCGAGCTCCGTGTGTCGGAGGATTGCTGATTTCGCTACGCTGGAGAACAGAGAGCTGGCTCTTGACCCGAGTTGCTGCCTCTTTGCTCGTGGAAACAACATGGAGAGCACCAACTCGCTCGCCATACAGACCAGCATTCTTGGCAAAACTCTGAAGGAGGACATCATCAAGGGGCCGCAAGAATAATACGGAAGCATACCTGGCATATCAAGAGAGACACGCCTTTTTCGACGAAGAAGCGGACTGCACGTGCATCGTTGTCAAGGTCGCCACTGGCAAAACCCTGGTAAGCACAATCCAAGAATGCAAAATGTTTCTTGGCAAGGAAAACATCAGCGATTGTTGCCCATTGCTCCGGTGTGGGGTCAACACCAGTGGGATTGTGGGCACAAGCATGCAACAAAAAGACCGAGCGTTCCGGGGCATTCTTCAGCGCGCCAACAAAGCCTTCGAAATCCAAACCGATTGTCTTCGGGTCGTAGTAAGGGTAATCCACGGGGGCGATGTCGACATTTTTGAAAATTGCTTGGTGGTTTGCTGTGAGATCAGATTAGGTTTACTTGTTCGTTCAGACAAGGGAGCGCACCCCAAGTAGGATTACTGAGCCAAACTTTCTTCTCCGCGGAACCCCACTGGTAGAAACGGGAAAGGAAGAGGGCACCGAGATGGTTCGCGCCAGTACCGGAGATAGTCTGAACACTAGAAACCCGGTTTTCGGCAATCGCCGGCGAGTCGGACCCGAGAATGAGTTTGGCAGCAGCAGCAGTAAATTCTGGCAATCCGGTAATCGGCAAGTACTCATGATCAAGAGACTCGTCTTGCAAAAGAATACGAGTTGCCTGGATGGCCAATAAGGACCAAACAATGATCGATGAATCAAGCACACACCTCTTTGACGACAGGCAAAACCCACGGCTTGCTATTGTCATCCCGATATGCGCCGACGCCCAGGTTGATCTTCTTTCCGAAGGTGTCCTCTTTGTAGGCAGCAGTCAGCTTGAAGATGCTAAAGATGCCAAATTTAGCGGTCTTGGTTCAACTCGATGAGATGCCAAACCTGTCTGGCGGGGCCAGAGGGACGCTTTGCCATTGCTCTGGTATCCTGTTCTAGCGTTGAATGTGAGCAAAGGCAGCACTTGCCTGCGGTCGTTCCAGCCATATGTTGAGTTACTTGGCGAACTCTGTTGGCCATAGTGCGATGTACAGAGAAAAGGTCAAAGAGGAGGAGAAAGGAGGAAGAGAGTGAGCGGTGTTTACTTGGGATGTCATCGAGCACAACTTTACCTTGATAAAGAGCCGGAAGAAAATCAGCTGAAATGCCAAATGGTGGTGACTTGCGCGTCACTCCGGCTTACGAGAACGCAAAGTGGGGTTCCGTTGTGGTGTCTCAAGAGAAATATTAATTATCGGAAGTGTACAGTGCTAACAGAGTCCTGGGATGATAGGTGTGGTGTTATAGTCATGCAGAATTAATGGGCGTGGGGGGCGTAGTAGAATGGCTTAAACAGTGGCAAGCTTTGCCGTGACGGTTCGCTCTCCCTCTAAACGAGCCTTGTTCCGCTCAAAGGCTTGTTGACGGCAGTCTTGAAGGTTCGAGCATTGGTGTTGCTCAGGCATTCGGTGCTAAGAAATGACGTTCAGTTGAGAACGGGTTCGAGGATAAGCTGCGGACTCACCTCTCCACAGAATTTGCCTCGGCACATAGCACACTCCCCGATAATACGAAGGGCTGCTGCTTGACATTGGTGGGTGCCCTCTTCGGTCGCATTGTGGAACTCGCAACGTTTCTTGGCAGGCATGGTTGTTGCTACTATGAATAAGTACGGCGATAGAGACTCGCAGGCCAGCGACGCACTAAATTGGTAGAGCTGAATGGGCGGATGACAACGCGGAGTGGCTCGAGCAAAGGGAGGAGGCACGAGGTGGAGTGGTGGCAAAGAGTAAGGACGCGTAAGCCCTGTAACGCTGTTACGATCCGGATTCTATCGGTTTCCACTCAATTCGACTGCGCCGCCATTCGTCAACGAGTGTCGCATTAAAAAGGTATCCGCGTAAAGTTGCACAATAAATACGAAACATGTCCAAAACGGTAGATAATGCAGAGAAACTCTTCACTTCTTCTTGGAGTTGTCGACTTGATTTTTGACCACAATCCCAACGACGACACCAATAATGATCAGGAGGACCAAACAAATCCAGAAGCAGATCCAACGCTTGCGACGAGCTCCTCTGGCGGACTCGACGGCCTTTTCCGTGTATTGCAGTCTAGATTCGGTCAGTCGGACGTAAAGAGGTGATGAGAACACAGGCGTCTTACCCGGCTTCCGTATCCTTTTCAACAGCTGCAGCTTGGGTCTCAATAACATTGATGGTCTCTTCTTGTTGCTCAACAAGCACACTCATCTTGAACTAGATTCAGGCCAAGAAACAAGTAAATCACCCAACGCACATCATTGAAGAGTTGGGCCAACTCTCCGAGTGTTCTTTCTATTCGCTTGATGTCTTCGTGACGCTCTTGGACTTCGCGATAGGCAGCTCGAGATTCGCCGTAACGGTTAGAGTTGAGGAGCTACATGTTGTCAGAGTAGAGAAAAAAACATCAGAAAAATGCTCACAGCTTGGCTGAATATTTGTCCTCCGCTGTCGTCGTTGACAACGGCACGGACTTCTTCAGGTGAAGCATCGGGTTTCACTATGGAGGATCGTCACTGAGCTCACGAGACATACCATGTGGACCCACCAATTTTGAACTGACGCTCCATGCGTTGTTTATATTTTGTGCGATATTGTTGCTCTACAGTCTGATAGGTCTGAATTGCTTCTACAAACTTGGACTTGACGAGTGCAGTCTTTGAGACGTTGAGCGGGAGAGAGTAAGGAGAGAGTTGAAAGACCCGCCTGTTGCTTGCGAATTTGCCCATCACGACCAGAACCACCTTGTTTCTCCAATGCCTTGATGCGGCGCTTGAGAGTAGCACTGAGGGCGCTGGTTTCTTCGACAAGGTCATCCAGAGCGGCAGCATTACGTTGAGCCGCATTGTCATCAGTGTTGTTAAGCGACCGTGAATGAAGGTCGCCAATGCGTTGAACGTTATCGTTGAATGTGCGGATACTGTCCTGAAGAGAGGAAATCTATGACCCAGTGGTTAGTTTGACAGCTAAAATGGGGTAGAAACAGCCGTGCCTCGGTGTAGAAAGCCGACATGCTATCCCCACCGCTGGTAGCGTTCATGGGTGTTCCATATGATTGAGCAGAGTTGTCGCGGACATCTGACATTTCATAGGCACGGTCGTCTTGTTGAGCGTAGGGGTTTGGAGCTCTGCGGGATTGGTAGCCTCCACCCCCAGCCCCACCGCCACCGCCACCACCTCCAGAAGCTTGCGTAGGGTACGAGTTACTGAGGAGAACACGCAAATCAGCCTTCAAGCGACAAGCCAACGGTCAACATACGAGCCAGTGTTTCCACCCTGTTGGGCCTGAAAAAAATAGGGTCAGACAACAACAGACTGGGGGACGACGAGTAAAAACACACCCTCATAGCTGCTAGTCTGTCTCTAGCCATGGTGTAACGAGATTAAGGAGAGAGTGAAGGGTTCAAATATGGTAGAGCAGAAGAAGGTGGGACGAGGAAGGCGGTGATGGAGCCGCCATCATCAATGATCCACTCAGCACAGCTCACAAACGAAACTTGATTATGATTCAACTTGATATCCGGATTTTGTCCGCTTTGTTTCGCTAATCGACATTTTTTTACTATCGCAAGAATAACACTAGGCATGATGTTATTCACTGAAGGACCGCCCGTAGCACGGAAATTTGTCGAGAGACCATTTCTTTGCTGGTCCCACCAATAGCCGCTCGGCGCTCCACACTTGCCTCAAAGTCAAATACCTGATGCACGTCTGGCCCAAAATTGGCATTCAGACTTTGGAAGTCTGCGAGACTGAGTTCATTGATCTGACACTTGCGAGACTCCGCAAGTGCCACGGCCCGCCCCGATATGTGGTGTGTCTCGCGGAAAGGGATCTGAAAGTTGGTTCAGGGAATTGAAGTATGTGAAACTCTCTGAACTGACGCCTTTTCTGACGAGATAGTCTGCGAGATCTGTAGCGAGAACATCCATTGTCAGTGCTTTTGCCATCTTATCAGCATGTACCTAGTGCAAAAATTCAGCCCTGACATCAGAAACAAAATGGACCAACAAACATCCATCGTGGCGATCACCCCTTCTGCAATTTGGAGAGACGCAGAAACATTATCTACCGCGTCAAACAGCGGCTCCTTATCCTCCTGAAGGTCTTTGTTGTAGGTCGAAGGTAAGCCTTTCAGTGTCATTAGAAACCCAGCCATCTGTAATTATTGTAGCTCGTGGTTGTTTGATCAACAGAGACTCACATTACCGAAAATACGGCCCGTCTTTCCCCTCAAGAGCTCGAGTGAATCTGGGTTCTTTTTTTGCGGCATAATACTCGACCCAGTTCTGACAAGAGGTCAACCGGGAATAACGCGACACAGAAGAATAGCCATACGTATACGCGTCGCTCAATGTTACAAACCCAAACTCGGCTGTAGAGTATATGATGAGGTCTTCTGCCATGCGACTAATGTGGGTCATGCTTAAACTCGCCCACATGAGGAACTCGACGATGAAGTCGCGATCACCGACTCCCCACATACTATTTTCAGCGATGGAGGCAAATCCAAGCTCTTTGGCCAAGAATTCACGGTCGACTAAGAAGGGGTTGCCTGCCAATGCTCCAGAACCTAGAGGCAAGACGGAGATTCGTGGAATTAGTTGCTGAAGTCTTTCAAGATCGTATCGAAACGATGTTGCGTGTGACAGAAGGAGATGAGACCATCGAATAGGCTGGCCACGCTAGTAATGGCTTGTGTGTCTAGTGGTTGATGGACTTGAATCGACGCTTACCTGGAGATGTGTGTATCCAGGTAGAAGGTAGTCTTTCTCGTGATCGGCCCTATCCACAATGACGCGTAGCAGACCCTTGACGCTTTTTTCAATATCATAAACTTGTTCGAGCAGCCATAACCGCATGTCTGTCGCCACTTGATCATTGCGAGACCTTCCAGTATGGAGTTTGCCACCAAGAGGACCGATGAGCTCGCTGAGGCGCCGTTCGTTGGCAGTATGGATGTCTTCATCGTCTGGGTGCACTTGAAATACTCCGTCAACCCATTCTTTGCCGACTTGAACAAGTCCTTCAGTAAGTTTTGTTTCTTCCTGTTGAGTGATGATTCCAACACGCGTCAACGCTTTCGCATATGCGACAGAGCCTTTTATGTCAGCCGCGTGCATGCGTTGGTCGTATCGCAGAGATTGGTTGAATTCATGCATTCTAATCATGATTGAGTCGTGGTCTAGCAAGCAGTACAGTAAACGTTAGACTTTGGATCAGTTTTACCAGTGAAACGACCGCCCCATAGCTTTTGCTTGGACGCGTCGTTTGTCAGCGGTGTGGCCATTGAAGGTTAGTTGGGAGAGTTAACCAGTCGAGTCAAATCAAGGGAAGAAACGAAAATCTTTTCTCACGTGAGCCTGAATTGCTTCCTTCTCTTCCTCAGTCTCGGCAGTTCAATTGTTTTTTTTTATTTACACTAGTTCTGCCCCCTCTACTTGTGCAACGCGTTTAGCACGTAAAACGACGCGCAGGCGACCAATCCAGCGCCAGCATAAATCCGAATGCGTATGTCAAGCGGCGAAAGTGTGAGGAATGGATAAGGGACTGAAGGAAATGGTGAGTAAAGACTTCACTATGGGTTTGGCATACTGACAGGTATTGTTGTGTTTAGCACACAATTCAACCCACCACCCATACCACACAGTGCAGACCAGAGACAAGAATGGGGCGGTATATAGCATTGCACTTCGACCAAACTTGGGTTCAAACCAGAAGAAATCTGCCAACAACGAGAGGCAGGGTACCAGGTGAAGACAAACGTCGATGCGAAGGGGAATCATAACGGCTTCAAGTGACTCTGATGGCATAGCTTGGAGGATGAGATGGGGGAAAGCGAGGAGCAACGTCCAATAAATCGTCGACACGATGGTAGCAACGGGTGTCGAAAGCATTAATAGCCCGCGTTTTACTGCGCGCACTCCTGAAGGGAGTCAGTCCCGAAACTCACTATAGGTTTTCCTACTTCACCTGGGATGGAGGGGAATACGTCTTCCACCGCGCCAATCGTCATGGTTGCCCATGCAATAACGAGACTGCTCTCTTCTGAATTCTGTTCTATTCACCAGCAACGAAACTCACCCCTGGATGGTCAAGAATTGGAGATGACCTCCGTACTGCGTTGATATCCACTCATTTATCTTGAGCGAATGCAAGCTGACTAAACGTCAGAGCCGTTTTATGCTAGCGGGTTGACCAACGAGTTGTATCCATAAGCCATAGCGCTAGCTGCACTCACATGCAATGCGAACGATGTGCCTTTCATGACGGGAAGAGGAATAGTGCAGTTTGGTCAATCTCGTTCAGTCATCATCATTATAGGAGCTTTCTCCATCGCCTCCATAAAAATATACTCCATCCAACAGCAGAAGCTTGTAACAAACCAGACACCTTGAAAGTAGTTGTAAAGCATTGCTTCCCAGCACACACACCACCACTTGGGGTTTGAGCTTCCGCCATGAACGCGTAAAAATAGGAAAAGATGGTTGTGCCAATGAGCGGAGCGTAGACGATAAACCCAAAGTTTCGACCTTGGTTTGCTGCGCCCCATACGGATGCTATGACGCTTGGACTGTTGTGGAATGTTAATAAAAGCGTCTATGGGATCCAGTTACTAACAGCACCGTAAAAGTTGCTCCATAAGCAACCCCCGTCCCAATACTGCCATATAAATGAGCCAGAGATGAGGCGAGTGCTCATGACAAACCTCAGGAGCCAAATGTCTGTCTGCGAATGAGCGATAAATATTAACCAAAGAGCAGATGCTGCAAGAATCGCCGCTGGCAAGACAAGAAAAACAGCGCGACTAATATAGTGTCGCCGCATTACTTCTGTGTTCCGCACGGGAGATACGAAGTCAGCGAAGGGGCCAACGATCAGTCGAGTGCCTGTGTTGAAAATGGACAATATTTTCACTTGAAGGGCTACTGCATCGGTTGGTGCCATGCGACCGGAAGGTAGCGCAAGGACAATGGTGCCGATGTTGGAGATGATCATTTCACACTGTTGACATCAGTTTGAGCACAAAATGAGGCATAAGACTTACTGGACCAAGTGTCACCATGAGGATAAAAAACAGGATCCAGAAATTCCAGTCTTGCAATAGTGCAAATATCCCATCAGATTCTGGTGCTGCTGGTCGAACACGAGGTATCAATGGTGTCGTCTCACTGTCAGTTGAGTCTGAGTTTTCGCTTTCCGTCGCCGGAGATGGCATTTCAAGACTCAAGGAAAGACTCCAAGCACCGAAAAGAAGAACTGTCCCTGTAATCAGAGCGAGAAACTCCATAAACTCTACTAATTTAAGTGATTTATTCGCTGTGGTGAAGAAGTTGGCTGCGATGCTCGAGAGCAAGAGGGGTGAAAGTCCGAACAGTGCCATAACAGTGCCAGCGGCGGCGCCAGGATATCGAGGAAACATCCGTGTCGCAGAGAAAAGAGAGGAGAAGTAGCTGTAATTGTGAGTTGGAACTTGGCCCGCGACTTTTCAGGTTAATGACGATTTGACATACGCAAAGACGGTTGCAAATCCCGCGAGTGCAAAGCATGATACCAGCAGATAAACAGATGTTTGAGGTTCTCGAGAGTCACTCGAGAGAAGAGCATCGACCAGGAACGAGAATGAGCCAAACGCAAAAGCAAAGAGGACAGAAGCGATCAATGAACACAACCACGGACCATGTCGGTCGATTAAACTTCCAACCAAAGGAGTAAGAGGATATTGACCAGCCATACCCCTTGATTTTCTTAGTTGGGCGATGATGCAGATAGAGCATAAGTTACGCAAGCACGATAGTGGTGAGTTGGGGTTGTGTGAGGTGCGATTTGAGGACCGGAGAAATGAGCGGGAATGTGAACACCCCGCCAGCCAAAAGCCTATCAATGTTGCTTATTTGCACAGAGGAAGAGGGTTTTATAGAGAACGGACACATTAGCGGCGATGGAAAGGCAAGCTAATCCCTTGCTTGCCAATGTCATGGTCGTTCAAGCTAAATCGGGCACGTGATCGTAGAGCTTGATGGCGCTGATGGCCGCGGCATCATGGAATGGACAATTGTCCATTGACCACAATGGGAGAAAGTATAAAGGTAAGAAGGACATGGCAATCTTGCCACATTGCTCTCTGGCAGAGTCTACGACATTTTCACGACCACCATGCCTTTCTCCCCTGCTTTCCTTCGGATACGCGCAATCGCATTCTGTGCGTTCAGTTACTTTATATCCTTCCTAGCGCTCACTTGGACATGCAGCCCTAATCATTCTCATCTCGCTTGTCTGGGTCTCTCTGCTTTCCGTATATGTGTCTATGAAATGGGAGATGATTGAATCCACCGAACGTAGGTTACCACCATCTCTCGTCGCATTTCTACTCACCCATCGGATAGGCTCCTTGCTCGCCGTAATGCTCCTCGTCGATGCTGCCACCCCCATTGTGCTTTTAATTCTCTTAATTCTGGTTTTTCGTCCGTGGCTCGATGCGGCAAGGTTTTTGTTCTTGACTTTGGCTCAGTTCGGTAGTGGCAATCCGTTTGCAAGTCGGTGCTGAGGACTAATCATCACTCTAGGTATAGCAGGAGCCTTTGCATACTGGTTTCCAAAGCTCAAGTGCCCCAATACCTGTTAGTATTCCGTCCACATGCTCTTTGTTCAAGGTGTTGAGTTTCGACCAGCGGCGGATGCCCAAAGTGTCTGCGAGATGGTCAACATGTTCGTACTTATGGCCAGCTGGGTTATTCCTGCTCTTCGTGAGTGTATAACCGCTCTGTCCTACTGCCGTCTCGAGCTTGACTTTCTAGTCGTCACCTATGCTGGTGGTCTCGCCTATGCCATGTTTTGCGAGTCCCGTCGACCACCCCAATTGATGATGGAGAGGGAATCCATAATTCCTGTTATGCGACCACCCAACTCCCGAACTGTGTCATATTCAACGACAAGTTCTACTCGCGACTCGGCAGAAAATCAGCGCAAGCATATCTCTGGTCTCACAACTCTTCGAAGTAGCACACAAAGCTTAGCTATGCCTCCTCCCATATACTTCCGTCCTCAGCAACCACATCAAATGTAGCAATAGATCAATGTGTAGTGTGTACTTACTTTAGCCTGTACTTGACTAGTTGTTTTCCAGCCAGTGTGTGACATCACTTCCAACTCTCTTGCCATACCCGTCAAATATCCTTATACCCTTCACGACCGTTCACTCCCAAGATAATTACGCCCCATTATACGAGAAAGGCGTGCGCCGAAACCAACAGAAATGTCTGCGACAACCTGGAACTCGGCCTCGGTGAAAACGTTGCTCCGTCGAGCTGCGCAAACTATCGGCATTCTCCAGGAGAGAAAGGATTCCCAAGCAGCAGTTGTAAGGAGGGATGTGGCAACTCTGTTGTCTCGACGGGATGTAGTCTTGGCAAGAGCGAAAGCCCAGAATCTAATGCTGGATGAATGTGCGTCAACAGAGTCCATTTTGTCAGGTTCAACCAACTAACTATCGGACCCCCAGTTAATGCGGACCTGCTAGAAAACCTCGAAATGCAACTCGGGATATTGCTTGAACATTTCTCGGAGCTGGAACAAGGCTTCGTCAATAGTCCAGTTGTTGTTGAAGCAGTCTCGACGCTTATATTTGCAGGTGCATCGCAGCCGGACTGTCGAGGTACCCCTGCTTTGCACCATATATATTCAAACTAACTCAGACTCAGAACTAATAAGTGTCCGTGAGCTGCTCATTCAAAGACTGGGACCAGATTTTGCCCGTTCGGCTATCTCCAACCGCGACAACCATGTTTCCGCTCGTGTTAGTCCCAACTGTTATGCAAGCCAAGTAGTAACTAAAGCTTAGACCAGGTTGTTCATGCCATGAATGCTCCTCCGCCTACTGCTGCGGGTCTTGACATGTTTATGCTTGAAATCGCCAAGACGTACAATGTTGCCTGGATGCCTGAACCACGTCGGCAGGACATGTTTGTTCTCTTTTTGACGGGCTTACTTCAGTGCTCAATACCATCGTAGCGTCAGGTCTATATCTGAAATACTAAATCCCGACACCCCTCCCGCCGTAGACATAAATCAACTCCGTCTGTTGTGCGCTCGCGGTATACCAGATGATCCTCCCTGGCTCAGACCACGGTTATGGCGGTTTGTTTGCACCATTCACCATTTGAAATTCTCTCACACAGCGAAGATTGTTTCTCAACACTCTGCCAGTACTCAAGTCAACCTGGGGGCGTGAAGCACATCAACAACGGCTAAGCTACTATGTTAGTTATGTGCTGTGTCGTGCTTTCTTGAATCTGAAATCGCTCCCAGGATCTCGTTCGACGCGTACTGAAGCCATTTTCCGAATTACCCGACCCTACCCTTCCTCTGTCACCATTGGACACTTCGTTGCTCGGTGTCTCCCGGCAAATTGCACGAATACCCAGTAATCTATGTGGGGGCCTTGATGCAGAGCCTGATCACAGTCCTCTTTGCCCATTGGATGAGAAAGCAGCGGAGGACATCAAGATTACGTATGCTGACATTTTGGACACTCGACTGCAAGCTATCCATGCCCTGACTTCGCAACCCTCATCTTCAATTCCGGAAATTCGACTCGAAGCTGATGCCCCTTCATCTCCCCCTCCAACATCCTTATCTGAACGGCGACCAGTTGCTCCGTCAATCACATTGTTAACCTCGCAGACCGGCATTGTTGGCGATATGCACCCAAGGCACACCTCTGCCTTGTCTCGTATTCTGTACCTCCACTCCACCATCAATCCCGGGAACCTTTCCCCTCATATTCCAGCCCTGCTTGTCCCACTTTATGTGGTGCTGAATCAGGAGATAGAGGTAGAAGAGCTCTCGCATGTCGAAGGTATTTAAAGTGCGGATTAATTTGGCACTGCACTCATTCTCTCACAGCGGACACGTTCTGGTTGTTCGAGGCTATGATCGGAGAGTTTGCCGAATTGGAAGAGGAGGATGGCGGTAGTATCTGGATGAGGAAACTGGGAGAAAGGTTGTCGTGGGCTGACAGTGAACTTTCTGAAAGCCTGGTATGTTTTCCGTTTGTCAATATAAGTTCTAACGTTTTTACGCTCACCAGCAAGTTAAGGGACTTGATCCAAGCCTTCCGCATTACTCCTAGTGAGCCTCTATACGTTTGCTCTGCTTCAATCTCACAACTTTTCCCAGTCGTTGGATGGCCCCATTACTAACTCAAACGCTCCCGTTGTCATCAGTGCTAGTCGTCTGGGACGCCTTGTTTTCTTGCGCAATGAGAGAAAGAAGTAACTCACCCAAGTTGGAGTATCTGCTTGATATTTGTACTGCTATGCTCATTCGAGCACGAGCAGCTCTCTTCCGGTTCGTATTTCTCTTCTTCCTATTTGTGATGCCTACTCTCCGCCAGGTTGGGTAAAGGCGGACATCGGTCGCCGAGTTTGTGGGGTGATGAGAGCAATACCATCCCTCCGCCATCACCATTACGTGCTTGGGAGTTCGGGGATGCGTTCATGGAAGGCATGACTTTGCTGCAGCAATACCCTCTGGAAGCCGCAGGAGGAGTAGATCGATTACTGCAAACTGCATCTGATCTTGCATATCGTCGCATGGAAGAGTCGAAGAATGCCACACCAGCAAATGTCTCTCTCGGAGAGCGGCTTCGGACAACCATGTGGCGAGGATTCACCAACCAGCTGTCTCCCGAACCCCCCTCCCCAGAAGAGTCTGACGACACACGTGATGAGGAGTATCTTAGCAAGACGGAAGATGAAGAGACGACTGCTGACGAGTCTCCAGCTGCTTCTGGTCTTGGTGCTCGTTTGGCCAACACTGTGTGGAGAGGTATCACGAATAAAAGCTCAATGGAACCTCCGCCAACTCCAATATCTCCCATGATGCCACCGTCTCCGATTGGATCTCCGTGGCCTTCAAGTAAAGAGCCTGCTTCACCACCTGAAACTCCAGTGGCAACTACTTTGTGGAATTATGCAGAGAAATTAAAGGACTCCGATGCCGCGGCTAGATTTTCTAAAGTCAGCTCTAACTGGCGAGCAAGAGCCATGTTGGGTAGCTGGGTTGGCCGTTCCCCAAATAGCACCCAAAGCACACCTCAAAATAGTCCTCCCACGCAGAGTCTGAGTTCTCCAGAATTTGGATACCCTCGTCGATTAGAGGACGGTCGCCATGCCTCACTCCCTATCATGGGTGCGACAGAAAACTATTCTCCACCCGCCCGCCCAGCCTTCTTTCGCCCTCCACGTGATAGTTTCATTGGGCCGCCGTCTCCTCGCCCAAGCTCTCCTCCGACAAGTCCACCATGGTCCCCCCAATCGGAAGGTGGTTTCCTGAGCCGGACACGTAATCTACAAGAGTCTTTATCGGCTCTGACACGAAAAACTCCTGAACCAGCGCCCAAATCCGGGCCCCGACCATTATTACTCAATTCTTCGTCTCTGGTTGCGACAACACCTCGTCCTCAGCACCAGAGTCGACAGGAGTCTATTTCAGAGGCAACGCAACTACTAGCAGACCCCCAGTGGCAGCATATACCGAGAGGAATGGGACACAGCTTGCGGCAAGATTCTATCTCTCAGTCATCGACTTCATCTTTGTCTCCGTTGGATGTAAATGGTCGTGGTTGGAAGGCATCGAAAGCAGAGTTGAATCAATTGAACCCAGATGTGAACATCCCCAGTCGGCGTGTCGCATTAAATCGACGGTCAATATCTCCCATGGCGCCAATATCAAGAATCCGTCCAACATCAAACGGGAGTTCCCCAGATAGAATATTACTTAGCCCCTCAGCCCCCGCTCCAGAAACTGATTCAGACACAACTGAGTCGGTCAAACTCCCCCCAAACAAACTCGGTTTGACCCTCCAGCAATCGGAAGACACCACAGATTCGGAACGACCCGTCGTCAGCCCCATAATCAGTCCCCGGTTACGCTCAAAACGATATGGCTCCCGCCCTGCGAATATCCGTACCGAAGATCTTGCTCTCGCAAAAACCATAGTCGACCAACGACCCAGTCCTCAGACACTTAATGTGGAGTGGCCAGAACAAAATGAAACCACAGTTACAACACCCAAAGCAACCACATTCGAGCATGGTTCTCCCATATCTCCTGGTCGTAACAGGAAAATGTCGGGTGATGGTCAAGAGCCTCGAGTGCGCAAGATTTCTGGTGGTCAACGTGCGAGAAAAACTTCAACTGGGACTATCAGAGCAACAAATCGCGCCAAAAGAGAAAGCGCGGCAGAGGAAGGAGATGATGAAGGAGGCTACGACGAGCTGCTTAGTGCCTACGAGAGTGAGGATGGGGTGTATTAACTTATTTCCAAGGACCATTTAACACTGTACTACACTGCATTGCTTAGATCACGCTGTACGCCGCGATAGACCTCCAAAAGAACTGGGAAATGGGGCAAAATATTCTGGATTGTCGTTAAAAACCAAGATGCCATTATTTGTCCAAACTTACTTACGGGAAAAGCAACGTGAGCTCTTATCGCTCCAGACTCGGTCGAGGTAAGTGCAGCAGCATAATACCGAACATTCCACCCATGGAGACCTTCGTTGATAATGAAGTCTTCCAAGGCACCGAGGGGAATGAATTGGCGGTCGATTGTAAGCGGCGCGAACCACGGTAAGCCACGGTGGGTTTCCAGTTGAATCCCAATGAAAGGAAAGAAGAGAACCGACTCTAGGGGCCGTTATACGCGTTTTCTTTTTTTTACCAGGAACTTGTCGTACCCCAGAGAACTTGAGTGCATTTGCGATACGCAAATCCGGTGAGAGCTAACCCCACGGCCGTCAGGTAAACAAGGCTTTCGTTGATCTGTTTGTTTCATGAGACAAGGCCTGAGTCTACGATTTAGCGACAAACCCGGGGCCACAGAATGCTGACAATGAGTGGAATGAGGGCGTAATACCATTGCCAGCCAGTCACGCCCCAAACCACCCGGTCGCTACCATCGCGCGACAGACGCCAGTTTTCTACGCGGTATTCGATGAGTCCTCCTTGCCTCAAAATGACAAGTTGCGGTTGAGAGGTATTCATTCATGGCGAAGAGGAAACCTTCAAAACGTGACGTGGCGCGTGACAGTCGATTGACAACTGAGGTGCTCAGAACGACCTCCACACTCGTTCAGTCATGCAGCTACGACTGCTCTTCTTTCTTTTCTTTCTCGTTTCGAGCACTTTCAGCGCGAGTCTATCTGGGCGGGATACCTGTAATAACCTCAAATCGATACCTTTGCGAGACATACCCGTTCCCTCATTCCCTCCTTTTGACCCCGACCTCGCTCAAATTATGCGGTACCGCAAACAAGTTTCCGTCAACCTGGGCTCGTGGTTTGTTTTGGAACGCTGGATGTCTCCTTCCATGTTTACTTCGGTCTCTGGCCAATCCGAACTTGATGTGGCTTCTGCATTTGACCCCTCGTGCTCACGGCGGCTGCTCGAACGACACTGGGCAAGACATATGAACGATTCAGACTTTGCTTACCTCGCAAGCATCGGCGTCAATACGGTCAGGCTACCTTTGGGTTACTGGACGCTCGGGCCAGAGTATTGTAAAGATACCCCCTTTGACTCTGTTGCCCCTGTCTACCGCAATGCTTGGAGTTTTCTTGTGAACGCGATCAATCAAGCCGCAGCGCATAACCTGGGCGTACTCATCGACTTACACGGCGCTGTTGGGAGTCAAAATGGCCAACCTCATTCCGGCACCTCAGATCGTCGTGTTGGCTTGTTCAATAGTCCCTCGAATGTGGCCAAGACCATCTCTGTTTTGACATATCTGACCCAGCAACTATCCAATGTCTCGAATGTGGTCGGTATCCAAATTCTCAACGAACCTCAAGACAACCCAAAGCTCAGCGACTTTTGTGATTAGCTATATCCCTGTTTCTTGGCTACCAGACTTATTCAAAACAGATACCAAAGCGATCACAGCTATGAGAGCAGTGTCCCCAAGCGCACAGACTCTACCACTCTATATTCATGACGGCTTCAATTTCCAGAAATTCAGCAAATTCGTCGCCAAGCGAAGCGATTTCGTAGTGCTGGACTACCATTCGTACTTTGTTTTCACCTCTCAAGACGCCAACGATTCGGCATACAACCTAACACAGAAAGTCACTCGCTCTGTCCAACCAATGCTGGCAAATGCGAACTTGCGCGGCAACCTCGTTGTTGGCGAGTGGTCTTGCGCACTCACACCACGCAGTCTATCGTATGAAAAGGACAAGGAAGCCGCTCGAAGATCGTTCTGCAATACTCAACTTGATGTCTATTCTTCTGTGGCAGCCGGATGGTCCTTCTGGTCATATCAGCTAGAACAGTGCAATCTCGACTGGTGCTTCCTCGCCGATGTTGGTCGGATTCTGCCCTCAGACTTTTCTCAATCTTCCGATGCATGTGGCTTGCAACAGACAGACGATGACGGCGGGCTTTTCAGAAGGGTGGATCACGAAGCTCACCGTTTCTCAACACGCCGAAAACGACAATCGTATGATGCTCATCAGAAGTCTCAGGCGAAGGGTTACTCTGATGGAATGGACGCAGTTCGCCGCTTTTGTGCCTCCAACTCTCAATTGGGTTTTGCGGAGCAGTTTGTCCATGACCAAATACAAGCACTCGGACCCGATGTGGTAGCTCCTGGCACAGAGTCGGATTACAAGCAAGGATTCTTTCAGGGTATGGAGGACGGTCGTGGAGGGCAATAGATTATCATAGATTTGTGCGAACTAGCTTTCCTTTAAACGATGTCATGTGACCGAATTGCTCTTTGTCTCTCTCAACCATGCAGTCGGAATGGGCTGTAATTGATCGCTGGATACGACGACTACTGTTTGACGCGCGGTATTTCTGGTGGCTCGCGTCGATAACCATTCTAGGCGACCTTGCACTCAGCCAGCTCATCATCCGTTATGTCTCGTGTTCGTATGATGTTGCGTTTCTGGTGCTTTCAACTCAAAACTGGTAGACACAGAAATTGATTGGGAAACATATATGGCTCAAGTTGAAGTATATATCAAGGGTGAGCTGGACTACTCCAAAATCACGGGTCCCACTGGGCCACTAGTGTGAGTTATATTCGTCTCGTCACTCAAGCCTTACCGAGCTGCGTTAGCTACCCTGCTGGACATTTGCGCATCCACCAAATGCTGTACTCACTGACTGACTCTGGGACGAACGTTTTTCTGGCTCAACAACTCTACTGCGCTCTCTATATCGCGACACTTGTGCTTTCTTGTGTCATTTATCGCCGGGCAGGTGGCATACCCAATTGGGTAGTGCTTTTGCTGCCGTTAAGCAAACGCCTGCATTCTATTTTCATTCTCAGACTATTCAACGACTGCTGGGCTGTTCTGTTCATGCAAGCTGCGGTGGTGGCATACCAAACCGAATATGATGATGTCGGGACTCTATTTCTCAGGTCAGTTCCCTGCCCAGTGGATATTCCTATGGTGTGACTCCATTCACAGTCTGGCCCTCTCTGTGAAAATGTCGGTCCTTTTGTATCTGCCTGCCATTCTCGTTGTCTTCTACAAGCGATTGGGGGTGTTGGGCATGTTCCGTCACCTGATCACCTTGGGAGCTTCGCACGCATTGCTCGCCCTGCCGTTTCTTGAGGAAGACCCGTGGGCCTACCTCAACTCCGCGTTCGAATTCTCGCGGGTTTTCCTGTACAAATGGACAGTCAATTGGCGCATGCTGGATGAACAGGTCTTCTTGAGCAAGTCGTGGGCAAATGCCCTGCTTCTGGGTCATCTCACCGTGCTCGTTGCGTTCGGCCTCTTCAAATGGTGCAAAAACGACGGGGGAGTGTGGTTTTTGCTCAAACGGGGGTTTTCCGCCCCCGATTCTCCTGGTAGTCCAAATGCGGTGTCTGCGGACTGTGAGTCGTCCGTTGGCTATTTCGTGCCTCGTTAACCACTTTTGTCTTAGTCATCGCAACCACTCTTTTTACATCCAATATAATCGGTATTTTATGTGCCCGCTCATTGCACTATCAGTTCTACTCCTGGTATGCGCAACAACTTCCCTTCATTGCGTGGAGAACAAAATACCCAGTCATCATCAAGTCAGCATTCTTTTCCTGTTGTCATCTTCGACTGATCATCCACCCACCAGACTCGTGCTCTTAGCCGTGGTTGAGTATGCGTGGAATGTCTTCCCTTCGACAACCACCTCATCGTCACTACTCCTCGTCGCAAACATCGCACTGGTAGCAGGTATCTGGAGCGGTTACCCCAACGGGAAACGATAATTTAGATGACATAATTTATATACCCTTACTCTGAACCCATTCCCAGTACGAAGGTACTACGGCCGCCGCGAGGAAGTACTAGGACCTTTTCAGCGCCGTGAACTTGGTACGTTTCTGTGCTTGGAATGGCCATTGACCCCATTGTAACCTCGCCAACCAGAGGCAACGCCGAAACCATGACTTTCGGCAACACCAACTCGCCATGATGGAGAGCAATGAGAGTGATGGGCACCGTATACGTCCCATTATCCTTCATCATCACGTCAGCAACGAGTTCGCCCCAAAACGGAAAGTTTTCACCTTGGCTGCGAAATCGCCGCGTTTGCGACCGCTGACCAACCAGTCGCGCACCATTTCCTCAACGTCGAAGCGCATCATATATATCCGTTGCGAGTCCTTCACATTTGAGCCCCAGTGGAATGATGTGTTGATGGTCAGGGTGGCTGGAATCGGCTGCCCTGCATATAATGAGGGAGTGCTGTGTCCTGCAGGTGTTGAGCCGGGTGGTGTCAGCGTTATACCCGCTCCCGCTACAATCTAAGAAGAGCGTAAGAAACATAAAAGTGATATGCCATCACGGACATTCATGAAGGGAACGTCGACTGGAATCTTGATTTCTCGCCATTTGCCCACCGGAGGATGAGGGTGCTTGTGCTCGCGCAACAGCTGATTTGATTAAGCAACGAAAAAAAACACATCCGTATCATAACAGACCTTGACCACTTTCTGTAGAGGCTCGTCGCTATCCGAGAGCTGGCCGATGCTGTTCGGAACGACAAGCTCTCCAGATACGCCATATAAATCAACCCATGCGCTGTCTTGCTCGAGAGCTTCCACAAGCCGGTTGACGAGTTGAACCCGTTCGGCCAATAAGGAAGCTGAGTTGCCAATCACTTCCTCGACGGTCGATTCAATCAGAGCTTCCACCTCTGCAAACGGAAAAGTCAGCATTAAATTTGTTGGATTGAAGCGTGGATATAAACTAACCTTCACGTAGCATTCGATAGGTGATCCTGAATTTAAGAGGGTCTCGCACTAAAAACATATCAGACTTTATTGGCCAAGATAATGTCATTCCGACCTGGTCCATGGGCAGATTCGGTGTAGAACAAGAAGTTCGCGGGCTGGGCGGGAGTGACAGTCTGGTCTGATTTTAGCGCATGTACATCAACTTGAGAGACAACAAACCACAACGCCACGCGACTGGGGAGAGCACGGAACGACCTTGACGCCATCGAGTCCGCTATCCGGGAGTTGCAGTTGAGCATCCGCAATTCGTACGTGTTGGTGACTTGTAGTCGAGACTGTGAATCGAGAAAACAGTCTGACGTGCCCATTAGTGTGGCTGACTTGGCGTGTAGATTATCTGAGCCCTACCGATCGCCTCGGAAGAAGTCTTGGACATTCACAGAAACAGGAAGAGTGGTTGCTACTACCCGCGAAAGGTGCAGGGTCCTCGTTATGCTGGACTCCGCTTCTGTCACGTATTCAACTTCGACATCTACTCTCTGTGTGAAACCCATGAGGCGAGAAATGCTTAGAACTCGACCACCTACCATAACATGGAAAGCAGACGCGTCGGAATATGGAAGAAGCAACTCCAGATGAGAACCCTCCGCAAGATTAGAAAGAGGAATACATGCGTTGTCTGCCGTGAACGCTTCGCTTTCCGGATGTGCTGGGATGATTCAGCAAGACCTTGAAACAAAGGGAAAAAATCAAACCAACCATTGGTTACATTCTGGTATTTGAACGTGACTGAAGGAGCACGGAATTTGATGGACCCTTTTGCTACGTGATTGCGGCCAGTCGAAATCGCAACAAGGAGCATAGGTGGCCGACCAAGTTCGACTGGGAGTAATTTAGCGACTTGTGAACCAGAAAGAACTCAAACTGACTGAGATTGGGTTGATGAAGTCGGACATCCATGGCCAAAAGATCCCGAGGAATGCGGACCAGCGAAAAGTTACTGCGCGCGGTAGGGACTTTACTTGTACCCGCTTTCTTATGTGTCCACTGGAAGATCACGTGCGCCATATGTGCCTCGCTACTCTCAAGCACGTACATGCCCGCTGATGATGTCTGCGGAAGCAAGTCAGGAAAATGACCAGCACCCTTAGCCGACGGCCAACATACTGGACAAAACAACGTTATCTCGGTTTTGCCCGGAGGGATTGAGTCGACAGAGGCAGAAAATCGCAGGCGTTCGGCATCCCGCCCTGACAAAACTGCAACAACTTCGTCTAGAGGAACGACCTAAGTACCAAAATTCAGAGGGAGGTCGAATCAAACGGAATTCTTACACATGGCAGACGGTTATGGACCACCACGTTCAAGAACGAGCCGTCTTTATCGCCAGCTGGTTTGGCCGACTCCTCGGCGCGTATGGAAATGGCAGGGTGGTCAGAGTACAATAGATCTAAGATATGAGCATTGGTTGACAGATGTTGAAGGACTGAACTAACCGGAGTCCAGTTGAGTTGCGGAGTCCTTCATTGATTGGATAAGTTTTGAAATGTACTCCACACTGTCTTCCTCGTGCATGAGCATGTCGAGGCCCGCAGTCTCAACACGCGTCTTGAGAAACGACAGAAGGATGTGAATCCACTCCCTATCATTTGATTTATTAAGCTGCGCATGAGTGTCCAGGGCCATGGATAGCATCAGCGACTCGAGTGAAGTCCATTGATGGGGAGAGTAATGCGCAGGCAGCGAGGTATAAGTTGTCAGTGCTTCCGCCAGTCGTCCTCGATGCCTTTTAGGTCGTTAGACCAACCAAGAAAAAAGAGATCGAGCCATACACATCAAGCGCTGCCAGACTTCCGTGCAATCTGAGTGCAAACTTGCGGCGACCAGCTTTGGCATACATGTCGATAGCGCGATTGGTGATACCAACGTAGGTTTCGTAGAAGGAATTCCTGTTCTCTATAGCTTCGATGAAAGTTCGGCCGGAAAGTTGTTTGTCTGCGGCAAAAGGACTAGGCGAAGGTGCTCGAGTAGTGTTGCAGAAAGGGGTGCGAGCAGGAAGATGCTCAAGTTGGACACCGATGATGTCTAGCTGAGGGTACGTAAGATAAGATAACGAAGACAAGCATCGACTTACTTGGCCACGAGCCAGCTCTAAAAGTTCGCCCTTGCTCGCGTTGAAAGCATTTAGTTTGGGACCTTGAATATCAGAGCCGGTCGCCCATGTGTCGCATTGGTCAACAACACTCAGCGCAGAACAATACGTCCACGCTTCGATAAAGAATCGAGGGAGGGTTTCCTAAACACCATTAACAAAGGTCGTAAAGCACAGAGAAACTTCACAAACCTCGACTTCGCGCAGCCTCCGTCCGAAAGCACCCAAGAATGCAGCAGCTTTCTTCCCGACTTCGTTCAGCCGCCCCATACTCGCCAGAATCTCGCATTGTCTTGCGAGTATATATATCCGGAAATCGAAAACGGAAATGGTGTTGGCGAGGATGAGATCACGGTAAGGCTTTTTCGAAATGGACAGCAAGGGCACAGAATCGTCGTTGGGCGTCGGTGTGATGAGCGTGCCAAACCAGGACAGGTTTCTTTCCTTCAGCACTTGATAGAAAGACACCTCCAGTTCGTCATACTGCACAAGAGCGTCCTCGAAAAGGTTGACGCCATGAAATGAGCCTGCCAGACTCTCCTAGACGCAAGTGATAAGTCGTCTATCGCGTAACAAAGATTGAGAACGCACTTTGAGAATAAAGAAAGTGCAAAAATTCCATCCCGGCATTTGTCGCTGGCTTTCCGAGCGCTTCACTTCTTCTTCTCTCTGCGTCACAGCAGCGTCAAACGAGGAAAGTAATCCGTCTTTAAGTTTCGCAAGAAAGTCAGCCCAGACAGCAGGGTTGGAGTATCCCGATGTCCAAGATAGCTGGACACATCTGCAGCGCGTGAGTTATATGGCTAACAAGACAATATTCACCCACCGCTCCCGCTTGTCCGAGTTGAAGTCTGACTTTAATTTGTCCAACACCGAGCCTTTGAGTTGGAAGAAGTTGCCGCTGGGCAGGCGCGCATCGGGTCGGACGACGTGGAAAATAAGCCATTCCTGATTCTTTTTGGCAGAGATGGTCGTATGCCACTCCTTCACTTGCCGCTTGATAGTGTTCTTGTAGCCTTCGAGGTCTGCGTCCTAGCAACTCATCAGATGTCAGGTAGGAAAGAGCAAACAAGCACGCACGTCGCAGGTGACGATATAAATGTTGAGGAACGGTTTCTCCAGTAAAGTTGCAGGGATTTGGGAGGTGTGTTCGTCGCGCAACGACTCGAGAGGCACAAGGGCAATGTTCAGCTCTTGGATCGTCCTAATTGACGGGCGTGATGCAGATTTCCAGTGAATATTGCGTAAAGGGAGTTGGGCAAGAAGTGCAGTGTGGACTTGGTCCCAGTGGGCCGATGCTAAATAGGTCTGCGTCCCCGCATATGAGACGAGGACGCGTTGTGGAGGAGGCATATCAATCGGTGGCGGTGTTTGAGAAAAGGGCGAGAAAAATAAAAGAATAAGGACGCATCAACTGGATGAAAATGAAACGACACCTGTGCGATTCGAACACACGCGTGCAAAGCACACAGGCTTAGCAGGCCTGCCCGTTAACCACTCCGGCAAAGTGTCATATATTACAGTTAATTACAATCCCACCCAGGAGGCGCATGCATTTGCGTCAATACTCCTTATTTTTACTTTCTGTTGGGTTTTACCATCCGTTTCCAACATATATACTTCATTTATAATCGTTTCTGCTTCAAGTACTACAGAAAGCGTGGAACAGTTAACATTAACCATCCCTTTGGTCAAGCCTGACCCTGCGTGTCAGTGTCCGACACAAATTGTTTCATATACTCGACGATTGCATCTGTCTGCTCCTCCGTTACTGCGTTGTAGAGGGAAATGCGAATCCCGCCGACCGAGCGGTGGCCCTTGATGGCCTTCATACCCTTTTCCTCCGCCCCAGCGACAAATTTGGCCTCGTCGCCTATGACATCGAAGACGACATTCATCAGACTGCGCGAGCCTTCTTGCACCTTAGCCTTGAACAGGCCCTTGTCTTCCCCAGCCTGGATGGCAGCGTAGAGTTTGTCCGCCTTGCGCTTATTAAGCTGCTCAAAATACTGCACGCCTCCGAGCTCCTTCATGCGACGCAGAACAAGGCCAGATATGTAGATCGGCAGCACTGGCGGTGTGTTGTAGACGCTGTTGCCGTCAGCCAGGGTCTTGTAGGACATTGAGATGGGCACGGGTATAGCGCCGAGCTTGGCTGCTGCGTCAACATCAACCAGACAGTCATTGCGCACGATAATAATCGTGAGACCAGCGGGGCCAATATTCTTCTGTGCGCCAGCGTAGATGACTGCGTGGTCTGCCAGTCGCGTGATCGGTCTGGACATGAACGAAGATGAATAATCAGCGACGAGGGGGAGCAGTCCTTCTTGCGGCAACAGATGGAAGGGGAAAGAGTTTGGAGAAGACACGTCGCTCGAAAACTGGACACCGTCCACTGTCTCGTTTTCGCAGTAGTATATCAGCGCGGGGTCGGGCGAGAACGTGTAGGTGTTGTGGGGAGGAATATTGTCGAATGACTTTGCATCTTTCGAGTACGGCCTAGCATCGACGACCACATTGACGCGTCCACCACCCAGTCTTCTGGCCTCTTCAGTCGCCTTTTTGCTCCACGAACCCGTAATGACATAGTCTAGCACGCGGTCTTCGTTGGCGAGGTCAGGGTGGAGCAGACGATGGCGAGCAAGCAGGTTGAGCACGATAGCCGAAAACTGGCCAGTTCCACCGCCCTGAGTGAAGAGGATACTGTGGGTTGGAGGTACCTCTAGCTGGGTGCAAATAAGACTCTCTACGTCGTTGAGGAAGGCGGTAAACTGTTTGGAGCGATGGGAAATCTCAGCGATGCCGATCCCAGTGCCGTCAAAGTCAAGTAAGCCCAATGCCGCCTCCTGCAAAACACTCTCTGGGAGGGCAGAAGGGCCAGCTCCAAAGTTGATAACGCGAGACATCGTGGTTTTGGTGCAAGTACAGTTTCAGATTCAGATTCTAATGCTAATAGGTCGAAGAGGTAGGTAGACATGACATTATATACGCTAAGTCAAAAAACATCAGCCTGGCGCTGTAACAACAGTATGGTGCGCGGAAAAACAAAGACAAGCGTGTACATATAGATAGCGATAATTTTGACGTGGATGAGAGGGGAGCATTATGGGGGGGTATTAGTCAGCTGCGAAAGGTCGCTCGCAAGACAGTACGGGCATGAGATTATGGAATTCGACGCGGCAGTTGTGATTATGGGGGTGTGGTGTATGGGGGTGAGAGTCATGAGCAAGGGGATTGGAGCGCAATGAGGTCTTTCGACGACGAATCGGTCCAGCGCCAGTTGACACATGGTCGTCGTCAACGGTAAGTTGGGAGAGGTCGGCAATATCTGCCATGTTGGCTGGGTCAGGAGCAACGTCCATGGCTGAAATCCACGGTAATCGGTCGAAAGGGTGGTCGGATGATGTCCATGTTGGACAGTCTGTTCGATTACAGTGTCTTCGACGCGTCGAATAGCGTCTTCGCGATGTAGAGCAGGGGTGGTCCTGGTGAAAGTGAAAGTGAGACGAGGGCATGGGAGGTTGTGGGTATTACTCACGACGCGACGACGCGTCCTTATAAGTAGTGGGGCTTGCAGGGGAAGTGAGGTCATCATCTGTGGCGCGTTTATGTCAGAGAGTGGGGTCAGAGGCGACGGTAAAAAACGCACCAGAGGCATTTCATAAATAGCTGAGGCAGAGGTTTGCTGAGTTGCGGCGCGAATTTGGGGCATGGCGGCAAGTAGAGTACAGGTAGGGGTCGTTAGGTTATATCATCATGGGGGTGAGAGGAGAGAGCGGTCACGCTTTTTGATCCTGCCATTGTCCTGCCAATCTGTGGACTCATCGAACGCGCGCGTCCGAGTCAAGACTCGATCGACTCACACCGCGAGTCAGAGTTAAAAAAACACATCTCCATTGTCCTCTTCACATTTCTGGATCAAGACACATCCCAAATCAAGACGTGCTAATAGTAAGTAAGTAACTTGGCAGTTTTGGCGACGGTAACGGTAACGGTAACAGTCGAGAAAGCAACGGTAGCTCCCTAAGGGTCAAGTAGAAGATTTCTGCCCTGGCAATAGGTCTACATATGGAAGTCGAGACACGGCCGCCTATCCTCCTCGAATTCCTCATCAAACATCGAGGCCGAGCCTATTTGTGTCCCGTTAGAGCCAGACGGTAAAACCATCACGCCCACGTTATTATACGCGGAGGGGGCCAAGTGAGAGGTTACCAAACGCCGTCCCGTTTTCAACAGCACTTGTACACGGTAATTGTGTTGCTCAACAGAGACACCATAATTCTATGATCGCGTCTATCCGCTTCCATTCTAGTGCTGTGAGGAGGACATCGAGGACCGAGTCATTCAGAATTTGTTCGACACACTAGTGATTCTTGACTTGGGATGACTGCAGTGCAACAGCAATGAGTAGCATGAGAGCCGATTGGCTGAATATAGAGCCTTGAGATCTTGAAGACCAACAGACATTGTAACGGTCTATTCATCGAAACATAATGTCAGAGCGAAGAACATATTTTGTGCCCTTGAGAACTGATGACCCCTCGTGAAGTAGACACTCTCGCCCGTGGCGATGCAGCAGTGCAGTTCCGCGTGTGAGCGGGGGCTTGACCGCCTGCTTGCCCTGGTAAAACACAGTCTCACCGCCCTCCACGCCGTCTTCACAGCCCGTAAGGTAGATAAGCAGCGTCCACTCTGACTTGTCACCTGTTAGCGCGTCCTTGCAGTCATCGTCGTAGTGTGGCCTGCCGAAACATCAGCTCGATCACCCCCCAAGTGCCAACTGTCCGACTTGCCCAAAGTATTGCGAAGCGTCGTACTTATACATCCGGATGTTGGAGTTGCATGAGTGGGCAGCACGTGCCGCACCCTTCTTGCCTCGCATTGGAAGAAAGAGCGGCAAATGCGGCTCCAGCACAGAGAATAGTTTCACCGCAAAGTCCTTGGAGGTAACCGAGATTCTGTCTGTAACAGATGAAGCAAAGTCAGTCAACATGTTAGTGACAAACGATTGTGTCGTTCTGCCTCCCCGCGTTTCTTTGGCGGCGTAAGTTCTAGCGGCAGCGAGTCGATGTGTTTAACAAAAGCCTTGCACTCTGCTACAGACAAGATGTTCTGAGCCTGTCTTAGCCGCGCCTGGGTTTCAGAGAATGCCCACGTCGATGACGAGAATTTGGTTGTCCAAGACGGTCCTGCATTCCAGGTCAGATTTCGTGCTGATTTCAGGGAAGGTCGGTGTTTTCATCAAAGGGAGGAACGGTCACGTGAACAGATCAAAATACATTTCAGTTTGTGCAGAGAGGAATCAAAACAAATGCAGCAGATGTAGTAGTAGACGTAAGCTAAGCAAAGCACCCCCAAAGACCCTGTTTAGTCGATCTCCTCCATAGCAGACGTGGTTTCCGTGGCGGCAACCGTTGGTTGGGCGGTAGAGGTTTCTGTTGACTCCTCCTCCTCATCCTCATCAACATCGAGACCAAGTCTGTTTGTAGCATGTTAGACCAGTAATAAAAAACGAAAAACAAATAGGAAAACTAACGCAATCATTCGGTGGATGCGCTTGGCGAAAGATGTCGGTTCATCGAGAGCAAAGCCAGAAGTGAGCAGCGCTGTCTCGAAGAGCAGATAGGTCAAGTCGCGAACAGACTTATCGCCCTTGTCCTCCGCAACCTTACGCTTGAGCTCCTTGACGATGGGGTTGCTCGGGTTCAATTCGAGGGTCTTTTTCGAGGCCATATACGACGACATGGATGAGTCACGGAGTGCCTGCGCCTTCATGATGCGCTCCATGTTGGATGACCAACCGAATTGGCCGGTGACAAGAACGCAAGGGGAGTCGGTGATGCGGTTGGAGATGACGACCTTCTCGACCTTGTCGCCAAGAGCATCCTTGACGGTGGTGCAAAGGTCGCTGAAGGCAGCAACCTCAGCCTCACGTGCCGCCTTCTCCTCCTCCGTCTCCTCAAGCTCCAGACCCTCCTTAGACACACAGATGAGCTTCTTGCCATCGAACTCCTTCAGTTGTGTGATGGCGTACTCGTCAATGGGGTCAACGAGCAGCAGAACTTCGAAGCCCTTCTTTTTGAGAACCTCAAGGAATGGCGAGTCGCGGGTGGCCGCCAAAGATTCGCCGGTAAGATAGTAGATGGATTTTTGGATTTCGGGCATGCGGGTAATATAGTCTGGAAAGATTATTAGACGAATTCATAAACAAGAAAGGAAAATGTACCTTTGAGCGAGGTCTGCTCCTCAGACGACTTGGTCGAGAAGAAGCGCAGGAACTCGGCGAGTTTGCTTCGGTTTTGGGCATCTTCGTGGATACCGAGCTTGAGGTTCTTGCCGAAAGCCTCGTAGAATTTGGTGAAGTTGTCCTTGTCCTCCGCAATCTCAGCAAGGACCTCCATGCACTTCTTCACGATGTTCTTGCGAATGACCTTGAGGATCTTGTTCTGCTGCAACGTCTCACGAGAGATGTTGAGGGGCAAGTCCTCCGAGTCGACGATACCCTTGACGAAGTTGAGGTATTCGGGAATAAGGTCCTCGCAGTCGTCCATGATGAAGACACGGCGAACGTAGAGCTTGATGTTGTTGCGCTTCTTCTTGGACTCGAAGAGATCGAAGGGTGCCCTGAGCATGATTAACATAGGGAAGCAATAAATTGAATAACGGCTTACCGCTTGGGAATGAAGAGAATGGCCTTGAATTCGAGTTGACCTTCAACGGAGAAGTGCTTGACAGCAAGATGATCCTCCCAATCGTTGGTTAAGCTCTTGTAGAACGAGCCATACTCTTCAGTCGTGATGTCTGACGGGTTGCGAGTCCAGATGGGTTTGGTCTTGTTGAGCTCCTCGGTAGTGGTCTCTTGCTCCTTAACCTTCTTCTTTTTCTTGTCTTTCGGCGCATCGTCTTCATCCTCGACCTCCTCGATCTTGGGCTTGTCGGCATCGGCCTCCTCCTCGTCATCCTCAACTTCCTATAGATCACGTGTTAGAACAGATGTAGTAGGAAAAAAAAGTCAACTAACCTTCTCGACCTCCTTCGTGACAGCGAGTTTGATTGGGTAAGAAATGAACTCGGAGTGTTTCTTGACAATCTCCTTGATCTTCTTCTCCTCGAGGTACTCGAGTTGGTCCTCCTTCAGGTATAGACGGATTTCAGAACCACGTCCGATGGGAGGGTTGACGGTGTCGAGGGTGATAGTGAAGGTACCACCAGCGGCAGACTCCCAGATGTATTGCTCGTCATCGTTGTGTTTAGAAATAACCTGCACACGCTCTGCGACAAGGTAGGCAGAGTAGAAACCGACACCGAATTGACCAATCATGGAGATGTCGGCGCCAGAAGAGAGGGCCTCCATGAAGCCTTTTGTGCCAGACTTGGCGATGGTACCGAGATTGTTGACGAGGTCAGCCTTGGTCTGGCCAATACCCGTGTCGCGAATGATCAGCAGCTTTTCCTCTTTGTTGGGGATGATCGAGATGGAAAGGTCCTTCTCGGTGTCGAGAACGGAAGGGTCAGTGAGGGAGGCGTAGCGAATTTTATCGAGGGCATCGGAGGCGTTGGAGATCAATTCACGAAGGAAGATCTCTTTGTCTATGGTGGTGAAAGATGAGTGCAGTCCTGGCGACGCGTCGAGGTCAAAGGCTTACTTGAGTAGAAGGTGTCTAGATAGTCAAGTCAGAAATCGCACCACGTTTTTCTTTGTGGATGCACGTACTGATGATGAGGTCGAGCAACTGGCTGATTTCAGCTTGGAATCCAAAGCTCTCGGCGGCGGCCATGGTGCTGTAGAAAGGAAGGCAGTGTTAGAAGATAATCGTGCATGGGAGGACTAAGCGCACGATGAAGTGAAATGAGATGAGTGAGGGAGAGAAGAAAGTGGGGTGGTGGGGGTTGGAAGAAAGCACGACTCAAGCTAAAATTTATCTACAGCAGGATTTGTTCTCGAACCTTCTTTACGATGCCGTTTTCGGAGCGATCACGTGAGGGACTGATGTGCCAGAACTTTCAAAAATGATTCCTTCACCCACACAGTTAAAATTGCTGTTAAGGTGATATCAACATATCCAGTACGGGACTTGCTCGAGGATCGGAGATCGGCCGTCCCTTTAAAACTTCAACCATATGTCTTAATTCCTCGTTTTCGTCGCTCAATGCTTCAATGCGATCCCGCGTTCTGTTCGTTTCTTCATCCCATCTTTTCCTCTCAGCGGCAAAAGTCGCGATTTCCGTGGCTCGCGACGATGACACTGGTACTTTCGCTTTCTCTTGCTTGAGTTGCGCTTCCAATGTCTGCACTTGCCGTCTTAGAGCCCTGTCAAAATCATTCAGCAAGTTCCAACAGCTTGAACAGCGGTTTTACCGCATGCTTTCGTCAATGTTCGATTCTGTTGCTTGGTAGCTTCTAAGTCTTAGGTCCATTCGTTGACGTTCCACTTTGAGGGCTTCCAGTTCATCTTCACGCTGTTGAAATTGGGCAAAAGACGCGTCAAAAACGCGCTGAACCTTGACATGCTGTTCGATCTGGCGTTCGTAGTCGCGCAAGCGATCGATTTTGTGTTGGGACTCTTTCTTCTGGATCTGCAACAATGCTAGCTGTTGGTTTGCGTCCGCGAGTAGCTTTTGCTGGGCGTCTAACAGTGCCGTCTTTTCAACGTCTGCCCTCCGCAGTTCCGTGATCTCGGAGGTTCGTGATTTCTTTTCTTCCTTTAGGGTTTGAAGTCGGTCCTGCAGTTCACGATTATAGTCCACATATTTTTCTTTTGTGGATGTAGCGTTGGCTTTGTTATTGAGGAGTTCTGACTCGAGTGCGGCAACCTGTTTGCGATACTTCCGCAGACTATTGTACTGCGCAGCTTACTCAATCAAAAAAAATCAAGCGCTCAAATAAATGACAAACCAAGCCTTGTCTCTCGACCTCTGCGTCTCGCGAAAGAATACGCGCATTGTAAAGCCTACCAACATGCTTGACATTCTCGCGGGCCAGCCATAATTCGAAGTTCAATTCGCTTCGTAGCATAAGGATTTCGCGTTGTAAAACAGATATCACTTGACTGATATGTGGCGGCAGTTGTCCGTCCGTAGGTGAGGGTGTTCGCTCGTCTGACCGATCAAAAAGTCCTTGTGGCCATTGCTCCGTGGCCGATGTAACATCCACGTCAAGATTAGACTTGAGAGCGATAGAGGTAGCAATCATGTTCGCCAACGAGATAGATTGCGTTTCGGTCTCTGCTTGCGGAGGAATCGAGTCTTCTTCTCCATTTCCTGTGGATTGTGTTCCTGTTGCATAACGTGCTCGTAACCCAAGAGCCGTATTCCGTACATCCAACATCATCGCCTCAGTCACGATTTGCGCAACATCGTACTCTGCCCAAAAGTCTGGTTTCGAGATTTCCTCGGTAGCATCACGCCAAATGATGAGGGGATGTGTTGTGTGGGTTCGCAATAATGTCTAAATGATGAACGTTTAGTTTCACGAGGCTAAAGTAGCTATAGACCTACCTCACTCTTACTGCGAACTTTCTGTTCATCAAGGGCCGCATTCCAGTCGACAGTGTATGGACTTGGAAGCTCGTGTTGCGTGAGGTATGTGACGGGCTTTCGTAAGAAGCGTAAAACGTTGCAAGGGAAGAGATAGTAAAGCAAGGTGTAGTATTGTCGAGGCGAAGGCACTGATGCGGCCCCCTCGAAGGATTGATCAAGAACCGTCCATGAAATGTCGTCTCGGATGACTAATTGTATGCTGGTGTCTTCAACATCGTTCAATTCCAAGTCTGCGTCAGGTGGTGTTTCCTCTTCGGGTGAGTGAGGGGAAGGACTGGGCGGCCGCTCTCGCCAGCACAATACCCTTGCGAGTATGCTGAGAAGTTGTGGAAGAAGGCTTTTAAGAGCGTCGCAAGCATTCACGGCAAATATAGGGAGAAGCTTCACAAGGATGGTGAGACCCATTGTGCAGGCAGTGGAGGACTTGTCGAAGGTCAAGCAGTAAAGCAGACTTTCGAAGAGAGGGTGAGTTGCCATATCTATCGCTGTGGATGGGAATGAAGGGACGGAGATGAAGAGGTTTATCAGGATAAGGAGCTGGAGACGCGCAGAAGGACTGGCAAAGTGTTCATTCAGACCATCTAATAGTTGCTACAGGGCGACAAGATTTAAGATAACAAAATACGGCTCGAAAACGCGGGCTTACCAATGGATGGTCCTTGCCGTAGTTGAGCAATATGTCCTCGAGGTTAGTCTTCCATGTCGAGAGCTTGTCCCGTCGCACATTATCCATCTCAGCCCATTCGAGAATATCATCTGAAGACGCAGCATTGAATCCATGGAGGTATAAAGCCAGAAGCTGTGACCGAAATTCTGGTATTTCGCTGAGGGAAATGCCGACAAGTTGCTTCGCTTGGTCGACGGCGAGTACGGGAAGCTTTGGCTCCCGGAGAGCGGGCCGGAGAAGGACCTCAAACCATGAATGAATTCGGGTGATAGAATGCAAGTCGTATAAAACAGAGAGAAAGACTTGAATGTGGTGAAGAGAGCTGGGATCAGCTAATTCGTCAAAAAGTCTATGCAGGTCTTCGTCAAGTTCAGGTCCGACCTCCACTGGAAACTCGGTCACAACATCGTCGATCGAGGAAGTCGAGCCTGGCGATTCGAGAAGTGTGCAAACATGTCGCCTCAGTCTTGTCGTTGGAGAGTCCGTGGTCATAGTCGAAGTCTGGCTACGCGACTAGCTGACACATGTCAAGATCAGACTCACGTGATCTAAATAGTCTGATCAGAGCCACGTCGAAAAAAAAAGTGCGTCCACAAGGGTTCCAAGCCTCACATTGTGTTGACGTCGACTCAGATGTCCATCGAAGAGATTGTCGACGAGCATGACCACGAGCATGGCCATGATCACGACCACGACCATGACCACGACCACGACCACGAAGAAGACCCCACTTCTGCTGCCGCCTTGGACAAAATCCAATCTCGAGCGGAACGCAAGGCCCGCAAGGCACTTCTTGGTCTTGGATTAAAACGCGTACCCAACATCACTCGCGTCACCCTCCGTCGCCCCAAAAACGTATAAAAAGCTCCAACTCATTTTATTACTTTTTCTGACATGTAATACTTAGGTTTTGTTTGTCATTGCTAGCCCCGATGTCTACAAGGCCTCCAACAGTGACTGCTACATTGTCTTCGGAGAAGCCAAAATCGAGGACATGAGCTCTCAGGCCGGTCTCGGTGCTGCTCAACAGCCCTACTCGGGTGGAAATGCAACGGGAATCCAGCAGACTCCCGCTGAGGATGACGATGATGACGATGAAGTGCCAGAGTTGGAGGCCGCAGATGATGATGGAACCATCGATGAAACCGGCGTAGAAGCCAAGGACATCGAGCTGGTTATGGCTCAAGTCAACTGTTCGCGTGCAAAGGCAGTCAGGGCATTAAAAGAGAACGGCGGCGATCTGATCAGTGCTAGTGCGTCCTTTCCTCTCTCATTCTTTCTTTTGCCAACGAGACCTTTAGTCATGGCTGCCAGTGAGTAGTACAACTGTATCTAACCTTGAACTCTGTACCTTCGCAACTCAACATAGTGGTTACTTCGCTCCCAACCTTGCTGCACGATCTCGATACCCTCTTGTCGACCTTGACCGACGTATAGCCCAATCTCTCCCGCCGCAGTTATGACGAGTTCTTCCAGCTCCCCATCAGCAAACATATGGTAATACCGATTGAAGATTCGATTCTGATCGTCTGAAAGAACCCATGGCACAAAAACATCTTGCCCTTGCGAGCTGTCTGTTGTCGGGATAGTGCGTTTCGACTGCTCATCTTGGCGGACCGCCCAAACATAAATTAGCACGCGACCGTGATCTGGAGAGACTGCTGATAACATTTGCTGTCTCAAATGAGTAGGCGGAAAATTTGGTAATTTTGAGCACAGACCTGGATGGCGCGTTTCCTCCGCCCCGGGGTTGCAAGATGGTGGATAGTTGCAATGGAAATCTGTTGTTGTGAGCGAGAAGTTGCTTTCTGGGCCGCCAACCCACAACATAGTCCTAAAAACGCGTCAAGTCTTAGGTTTGCGACAATAAACGATCACGCACAAATACGCCTGGTCTCCAGTAATTCTCCAGCACATCTCCTTGAACAACTTCACGCGTCATACCACCTGCTGTCCGAGCGATGTCCAGTAAATTTCGACTACGATCGAGCCCAATTGCACAAGGACAAAATGGTAGATATTTCCCGTTTCCGGTGCCCAAATCTAAACCAACCCATTCAGGTCGCAGACTTTGCAAGAAGGTCGCGATGATAGGCCATGGCTGGATTCGTTTGGACTAAGTTTGGATGTAAAGTTCAGGCTGCTACCTTGTATCTGGTTGAACTGAAATGAGGCGCGATCTGGTCGTAGACGTCGTGTACATTCGCTAGCTCGTAGGCTTCTGGAGAAGAAGCATCTACACTGGTTATCGTTACTGGCGGGGCCATGGGAGTAGCAGAGGAAGAAAGTCGAGCGTCACAAGAACCCCATCTCACTGTCCACCACCGCACGAAATCTGCTGCCATCGAATGCCGGGAATTGGCCAAGGTTCGAAGGTTCAAACGCGTCGATAGTCGAGGCAAGGTCACTGCGATTCAGGTCAGCATGCGAAGATGATAATCTTCCTCGAAATTCACGCTACGGTGGATGTGGCCAGGTAGTCACCGAGAGCATTTGCAAGCTCGCTCTGGTGGTTATGGAGAAGAGTTGGGTTAGGTACAACGATGAGAGGTTTGCCGAGGCGAAGGACTTCGAGAATAGTACCAGCGCCTAAAAGCGGGCTGAGATGGGGGGTATGGTGTCTTGCAAGTGTACCCACCGGCATGGCCGATAACCAGGTCTGCTCGTTGTAAATCGGCTGCCAAAGATGGCTTCGAATCCCACAACTCGATGACCACCCCTTCACGTTCTGTCATAGCATCGATCGCTTTGTAGAGGCCATATTGGACGACGAGTTGTGTGTAGCCTTTCTTGCGCAATATTTGAAGGACCCGGGGAGACAAGACAGCGTCGACAAGTGCATCGAATTGAAAGGTTCCGACTGTCACGAAAGCGAGCATTTCTTGCTTCTCCACGCGATGGGCTATTCTCTCTGTGTTCTGGGCTGTGGCACGATGGGAATTGCTGTCCTTTCTGGAATCATCGACAGTCTCAGCGTCGCTCATCCAACCCCTGTCGCCTTCAACAAGTGGGAGGTTCATACTCCAGGCACCCTTACTCCAACTGGCGAGCCAGATGCATCGATTCCTTCAAAATTTCTTGCTTGTGTCTCCAGAGAAGATAGCGCTGCTCGTCTCCGCACTATATTCAAGGCTCTTGGCCCGATGGGAGCTGAAGTTGAGGCTCTGGCATCGCGTAACTTGGAGGCCGTTCATAAAGCAGATGTGGTCCTCCTCTGGTGTCTATTCACATCTGCTCTCTCTTTTCTTGTAATCGCTAACCCTAATCAGCTGTAAACCCCAGCTGGCCCATGCGATCCTCGGTGAACAAGGCATGAAAGAGGCTCTCGACGGCAAATTGCTTATTAGCATTCTTGCGGGAGTTACGATGGCACAACTGAATGGCTGGGTTCTGCCCTCTACAAAAGTCATCCGAGCGATGCCAAACACCCCATGCAAGGTCGGCCAGTGCCCCCTTATGCTTTCCAGCTCCAAATATTCACCCAGATTCGGGAAGGCATGACCACAGTTTCGACACTTCCGGTCTCCCCTAGCACTGAGCTCGACCGCGCCATTATTCTCAAAATATTCTCGTCCATCGGACGTTGTCGGTTCCTGGACGAAAAGCATTTTGACGCGTGTACTGCCCTGTCAGGCTCAGGCCCAGCTTTTGCTTGCATATTCCTCGAGGCAATGGCAGATGGCGGAGTTATGATGGGTTTGCCTCGCGCTGAAGCATTGGAGCTTGCTGCCCAGAGTCTGTCCAATGCGTTCACACTTTTTTATTAGCTGAATAGCATCCCAGCTCTACAAGGCACAGCTCGAATGGTACTTCAGGGTGGTGCTCATCCAGCGCAAATAAAAGACGCAGTGACCAGTGCAGCTTCTGACATTCATCCATTTTCACGGTGAATCTCACTTGATTATAGCTCCCGGTGGTTGCACCATAGCCGGCCTCTTGGCGATGGAGGACGGACGAGTGCGGTCTACGATTGCTCGGGCAATTCAAGTCGCTACAGAACGCGCCAGTGAGTTGGGGCAGCCAGTAACAAAATAGATCATTAGAGTGTATCCTATCGTATCAACGACTCTCCATTGATATAGAGGCTAGCTAACATGGAAGGTCACCACGCCCAAGGCGTGGATCAAGTTGCTCTTGCTCCCGTAAAATGAGAATGTGCGTGTGGAGAAAACGCCATCCAGAGTGTAGAGGAGCAGACAAGGCCAAGGGAATGAGAAATGCGAAACAACGCATCGATTTGAACCTATGTAAAACATTAGTTTGTAGCTACAATATGTCTCCCCCATGGGAGCCAGTTCAGGCATAGCGAGACAATGCAAGCTGGACATAAACAGAGGACTTGTGGTTCTGGCTCCTTTGAATGATCGTCATCTTCGTAGGTACTGAAGGAACGCCAAAGTGAGGGAGCGGTGACGGTGACGGAGAACACAATATGGAGAAAGGAAGAAAAATGTCATTGGATTCAGTACATAGTCTACCGGTCTAAAGGGAGTTAAGTGAGAGGAGAAAGAAAGGTGTAGTGGACTCACAAAACTCGTGGGTCTCGTCGCCGCGCTTGATGGTTTGCTGAAGGTGGTGGTCAGAAACAGAGAAAATTTAGCCGAGGTCACATCCATGTCACGTACTTTCCACGCTTCTTCGAAGTCGATGGGCAGAATAACGTAACGATTTTTGCGTACAGCTAATTGGTGGTTGAAGAATTACACTCAGCCTCATGAGATATCGCACCTTGGAGACCAGCCGCTTGCACAATGGAGGCGATTTCTGCAGATGATAACCGGTCAGGTCGCGAGACATCTTCCAGACATTAGCATTGGAAATGTTTCCAAGAGCAGCACGCACAGTCCTCGAGGTCGACATCTGGTCCCAGATTCATTTTGCTCGTTACAGTTTGGAAGATGAGTCGCTTTTCCCTTCGAGAGGGCAGCGGGAATTCGATTTTGCGGTCGAGTCGACCTGGTCGAAGCAGGGCGGGGTCGAGGGTATCCGCACGGTTGGTTGCCATGATAACCTAGACTGCATTAGAAAGCGTCTTGCGAAAGAGGTGCGGTCCCATACTTTGACATTGCTCCCTTGGTCGAAACCGTCCATCTGATTGAGCAACTCCAGCAAAATACGCTGTACTTCACGGTCCGCTCCTGTTTGCGCGTCGAAACGCTTCGTGGCAATAGCATCCACCTCGTCAATGAAGATGATAGCTGGAGAGTTTTCTCTGGCCAAACGAAATACGTCGCGGACCATACGTGGACCCTCACCCAGATACTTCTGGACGAATTCACTGCCAACGACTCGAATGAACGAAGCAGTAGTGTGATGAGCAACGGCTTTGACGAGCATCGTCTTTCCAGTTCCGGGTGGGCCGTAGAGAAGGACACCACGAGGTGGGTCAATACCAATCTTCTTGTAGAGGTCGAAGTGCGTCAAAGGCAGCTCAACAGCCTCCCGAATTTCCTGCTTCTGCGAGTCCATCCCGCCGACATCTTGATACCGCACGTCTGGCTTCTCCTCTTTGCCCAGCATTGCGATTGAGGAGTCTGCTTCTGGGGGAAGAATGTCGACAAGAGCGTTGGAATGGCGGTGAAGAGCGACAGATGATGATGGCTTCAGCAGTTCACGGTCAAGGGTGGAGAGTATTCTGACGACATAGTTGGACCCCGTAGTTGAGCCCACGATGCCAGTGTGTTGGTCTATAGGTTCGAGGAACTGGCCAATGACGAGAGGCACGGATTGTATGCGTTTGACCTCTTCTTGCGCGCGAATGAGTTCCCGCTTTAGATTGGCTTGCTCGTCTTTGATATAGTTCTCTTGGATTTCAAGCATTTCCAGATGCCTCGCCAGCTTTTTGTACTTGATGTACAAGTCTTCCTCCTGCAACTCTTGGTAGAGAGCTACTTTCTCCGTCACAATCGACTCAAAAGTAGGTTCCTGCTATCGTTTAGTCAATGCAAAAGACGCGGATTGCAGGCATACGTGCTGCTGTATCTCAATACCGATTTCGTCCATGACTTTCAAGGGAGACGCGTCCTGGGTCACGTGTGACTGTGACACTTTGCCGAGCTCAATTTCTCGCTACAATGGCCCATGTTATAACTCCGCTTGACCAGCCGTCCAACTACAAGGATTCACAGGCGCGCGTGGACCGCAAAAAGCAAAACGACCTTCTCTCTAAATCCACCACTCTTTATGTGTGTGTAATCCAGCCCTGGTTAGCCTGCTGAATGCGTTGACTAGATCGGCAACTTGAGTTTTTACACGACCGAAGAACAAATATACGAGCTTTTCTCAAAATGTGCTAGCCCGGAAGACGGCGGAGGTATAAAACGAATCATTATGGGTTTGGATAGAAATTCGAGGTGCGCTCTGTGTTGCAATAACCCAAACGATAAATTCAACACCAAAACAGAACCCCATGTGGATTTTGCTTCGTCGAATACTACACTAATGCCGAGGCATTGGCTTGCATGCGCTATGTCAGCGGCACAAAGCTCGATGAGCGCATAATTCGGTGCGACCTTGATTTAGGATACAGTGAAGGCCGCCAATTTGGGAGGGGGAAAAGCGGTGGACAAGTTCGGGACGAACACCGTCAAGACTATGACCCAGGAAGGGGTGGTTGGGGGGCTCAGGCCCAACGCCTAGAGCTTGAGCGTCGCCGTGAAGTCGAAGAACGTTACGCTGATGCACAAGACGGGCCGGGCGCTGTTGCTGGTGGCGGTGGTGATTGGAAGGAAGCAGACACAAGCGATTCACGTTTGAAACGCGGTCGCTCGCCTGAAGACGAAGACGAGAACATCCGCGGGGTAACGTTTGCTTTGCAAGGACCAATACCATTTCTTACCATCGTCACAGGGTCAGAGATCGCGTTTGGACGAAGATGGGGACGGGGAAAGAATGTAGTTTGGCTCAATATATTACCCGTGCCCGCAGAGGATACTTGGTGCCATAGAGAGAAGGAAGATAATGCGTCATATGGACAAGCCTAACCAAACGTTGGGCCTCTGCAGGAGAAGCAAGACGAACGAGAAAGCGATGTATGGCCTGAGTTCGCCTAGGACTGTCAGCACAAGTATTGCCACGAAGAAGAATCCAGACGCACGATGCCAATTTTTCGACGTATCTTTCGTTCGTATGAGGTCGGCGGAAATGCATGGAGGCCAACAACTGCTCGAGGACTGTATGACCCCCACCAGCCCCACTCGGAATTCCCTCCACCACTGCATGCTTTCCGTCGCTTCCAAGTTCTGAGCTGAGTCCGCTGAATGTGCTTCGGGAAGCTTTGCGATCAGAGGGTTCAGCCAGTGGATGGACGCCAGCTATTGAAACACTTTCGAGTGCAGTAAGACAAGGCATTAGTAGACTTGTATGCGTCAGTTTGAGGAAGGCACGACCAGTAGGCTCTAGTTGGCGATATTCAATAGCCACTGGAAATTCTTCAGAGTACAAAAAAAACCTTCCGTTGAAGCACGAACCATCCTCCACCCCTGGAGCTTGAGCTCGGGCTACAAGACGGCGAATATCGGTAGGTTTCGCGGTAATTGGTATCCTTGATAGCTGTATTTGAGTTGCTCGGCTGAGGTGGTCTGGGATGTAGCGCGTTGTCCGAAGAGCCATGACCGTGACGGTTTGTGACAGGCGTGATTTATTGATTTGCCTTTTGCCATGTCCTCGCGTCGACGCGACCGGAGCTGGGAACGAGAAGACCGCGACAGAGACAGAAGACGCGGTGGCAGCTATCGAGATGAGCAGCCTCGTCGTCGTTCCAGCCGTTCCAGGAGTCCAAGAAGAAATAATAACGACAGGGACCGACGCGGTTTGTCTTTTGTTGCTTACAGCCTATTTCAACCAAACTATTCGTCTAGATCGCAGGTATGACGATCGAAGAGATGACAGGGACCGCCGAGATGGCCGAGAGGGGGACAGGCGAGAGGGTGACCGACGAGATGACCGCGACCGAAGGAGAAGAGACGATGGACGAGACTACAGTCATTCTCGGCGAGAAGAGGATAGGCCTGCAGACCACTCGAAGCAAGAATCCCGCCAAGGTTCGTGGCAACAGCGTCAATTGAGTTGGTCTGACTATACACCAGACTCTGAGCCTCCCAAACGAGTTAATCTAGACCCGGAGCCCCAAGAGGAGGAGATGGACGACGACACAATGTTGGCTATGATGGGCATGAGTGGTTTTGGAACGACTAAAGTGCGTGTACGGTGTAAGACTTCGCACAACTTGCAAACCTTGATTCAACAGGGCAAGCATATTGAAGGTAATCAAGAGGGTGCAGCTTCAATAAAAAAGCAACGCACTTGGAGACAATACATGAATCGAAGGGGTGGATTCAACAGGTCATTCTTACCTCATTATTGTTTGAAAGCTAAATGACCATCCTGCAGGCCGCTGGACAAGATCAAGTAGTAACTCCCAGCCGTCTAGTGATTCCAATATATGTTACATCGTTCATGGTTGGCGGAGAAGAAAGGAACAATACAACAACGTAGAAAGAGCGGAATTCTTCAGAAACCGTGAACCTTCACCGTCGACTTGTCAAGCCCGTTCTCAACGAGGAACGTGGAAATCTTGACTCTCTGATCGCCCTGGAGCTGGATGACCTGTCCCATCTTTTCATCGTCAACAAGGGTTCCGTTGCAGGCAAATTCCTGAGGTCAATGAGGGGAGATGTGAGTCATCTGTCGAATTATATACCTTCTTGAATGCCTTGAGCAACTTCTTGGCGTCGTATTCTGAAGGCAGGTCAGTTTACACCGAGTACAAAGAATCGTAGACGCACGCTTGGGCAATCCCTGGAGAGTGGTCAGAGTTTTCCTTCCATTGCGTTGCTGGATGCGAATGTGGATGTAGTCAGCTTGAGAGCCAACGTCCTGACTGTCGCCAAGAGGGTCGCCTTCCTCAGCAAACGGATCTGGTCCGAGGTCAGAGTAAGATCGATAAGGCGGACAATGAACACTACCGAAGGAATTCAAGTTCTGAACGCTCATACAATGGGTGGTGGTGGAAGGGAAGGAGTTGTGAGTGTGTGTGACACAGCCTCTATTTTAGCTTCCAAGTCGAGTCAACATGCCGGAAAAGCGAAAGCGGCCACCAACATTTCAGCACCATCCAGCCAATAGAGGTTCACAATTGTCCATTGCGTTGGCATCTTCTAAAGCATATATAGCCAAGAAACTAAAGCAGACATGGGTCCAAAATGCTAAGCTCAAACAAAAGTGGAGAACAGAGAAACGTCGGATCGGCAAGGAGACAGAACCGGAGATAGAAGAGGATGATATGAAGCAGGCAGTTGAAGTTCGGCGCAATGCTGCTCCTTCTCCAACACCACCGCCAACTAAAAAAACGTATTTGCCCCCAAAAACACCGGTCCAACAACAAGAACGGTCGTCTTTACGGGATCGAGCACGCGACGCCTATTCTCGCTCTTCACTACACACCTACAAATCCGATCCGTCTGGCAAACGGCAACGAGGAGGGAATACTGGTCGAGGACAACCTGATATGAAGAAAAGAATGTCCGTCTTGCTTGAAACTATCAAACGCGATTTCTCCTGAACCGCTTGTTTTTTTTTTATGTGGGAGCATTCTCTTTGTTGTCTACTACCATTTCTTCATCAGATTGACCACGGACAAAGCGCTCTTCCAAACTCTCCACCTGCTGTCCTTCCGTCACTGCAGTCAGTGCGACTGGGTGTTCGCTCATGTGGCCTGGCTTCGGGTTGTCAAGCTCGTCAACCAAACCAAAGGACTTGGTTTCGGGTGCGTCTGGATGAGCTTCGCTCGCATTGGCTAGAATGAGTGGAGATGGTGGCGGACTACGAGATTTAGAGCGTCGTGCATCGTTATGTAAAAATCCCATAGGAATTGGCGAGAAAAGAGGTGTTTGAGGAATCGATGGTGCACCGCCAATTGCTTCCATGGTTCGAATGGTAGTATCCCGTTCACTCTCTGTCAAAGGTGGGAAGCTGTTGTGGGTCGATGTGACGAGCAGAGTTTTCTCCAACGCTCGCAGGTATTTGCCCACCGATGTGTAGTGTTTTTGAGGCTCTAGACAAAGCTCACAAACGCGTTGGATGGTAAATGGTGCGCTGAACAATGAATAAACACAGCACATCCAGCTAAAATGGAATACTCACGATTCAAACTGGTCCAGAAGCTCAAATACCACCATCTTCATGTCAGCCGCCTCTTGGACTGTCATGTAGCTTGTGGGTACCGGTAATATGGTACGACGAGGAGGGAAAGGCGCTATCTTGAGACCGCCTGTTGCAGTCGCGATTGGCTGGAAACTCGGAGGTAGAGGTGGTCGATCCGGGTTGGAGAAATAGAGTTCAATATTTTGTTGAGTCCTGTCCTTGATAAAATCGCGTAATGGCGGCCATTCTGAGCTGTACTGTTGTCGATTGGGTGGCGGAGAGACAGGAAAAAAAGCGTACTCGAAAATATCTGTTGACGCGATGTGACGGAGGAGTTCAAGAGACATAGACTGGGCGCGTCCGTTTTTGGTCATGCACATTTGTCACTCGGATCGAATTTCTCCCTCTCTACTCCCTCTCTCCACTGCCTTTCACTGGTTGGCGACGTTACGTAGCAGCCAAGACTTCCTTCAAAAGAGGGCGTCCAACTTGCATGTACACTCGAATCCCGGAACCTTCGATGACCGTTTCTTCGATGCTTTCTGGCAAACGACTTCTCATTTCCTATGCTCCTGACTGGTAGTTGCTCTCTCTCTCTCTCTCTCTCTCAATAATCTTCTCACCTACCCCCCCAGGCTCATTACTTTTGTTCTCTCGTAGGCTGCCACATTTGCTCTCCATTGCATTCCCTAATATTTTTGTAGCGCTGCGTTCTTCTCGTTGGATAAGGTGGATGGTTTCCGGCGGCACTTCTCTGTGGGCGATCCGACGTACGTTCCCTCCTATTATTGTTGGCACACGACCAAATTGAATGATTCTCCAAGGATCCGTTTTCCGTGCGTCAATTATTGAGAAACAAGCCCAAACCAAACATCCACTAGCTTTGCACACCACGAGCGGGTTCCAGTAAGTTGAAGCCTCTGTTTTTTATGCTTGGCATGTCTGACGCTGAAACTCAGAACTTCGGTGAGCCTTCATTTAAAATTTTGTTTTGCTGCGATCAACTACGCCATTAGCCCTCTACATCATCGCTATCGTCTCTCCGGCCATTTTACAGGGTCTGACAAACCTGGTAACACTTCGAAGTTGGTGGGACCTCCATAACAGTGAGAAAACATAGCTCATTTTCCCTTTCGCTGACATTTATCAGGTCTCCTTGGACGTTTGTTGCTTCTCTCGTCTTACTTCTACCCATGAATCATTCCTTCTAGTTGTTTTGAGTCTGTCTATCACAGGCTCAGTTACTCAGGTTACAAAGCTAACAGTCGGGAGGCCTCGTCCGGATATGCTAGATAGGTGCCAGCCAAAGCCTGGCTCAGTGGACCCTATTTTTGGCCTTTCAGACTCGTCCATCTGCACCACAGTGGCCAATTCTCCCACCTTGATGGACGGCTTCCGTTCTTTCCCATCTGGTCATTCCTCTCTTTCGTTTGCCGGGCTGGGCTTTCTTGCATTTTACGTTGCTGGCAAAACCCATTTGTTTGATAAGCGTGGATATGTGGTGAGTATTTGGGCTGTCCCCACAAAGCTGCATCGCTGACTTGCTGTTTTCATAGGCGAGAGCATGGCTGTCCCTGACACCGTTCATGGGGGCTGCGTTGGTGGCCATATCACGTACAATGGATTCAAGGCGTAAAAACCACCCACTATCTGTAGCGCCAATGACTAACTCCTTCCTAGATCACTGGCAAGATGTCCTTGTCGGATCCATACTCGGAACCGTCGTCAGTTACTTTGCCTACAGGCAGTACTACCCGAGTCTGGCCTCTGAAGTCTCCCATCTACCCTATTCGCCACGCATTTCCGATGAAATGGCTTCGAATCTTCATCCGCGCCGCCCCAGCTCGCGACAATATAGAGATGACCATCACCGTCCAACTGGTGAAGATGTGTTCGAAAGTGGTCCTCTTGAAGGCACAGTGTTGCGAGACGGACCAAGCTCCTTGCGCGAAACTTGGCACAATGACCATCAGGAATCAGAAACATCTGCATTGGGGCCTCGTCAACAAACCAGGAGTGGAATACCGTTAGAATCCGTCTAGTTAATGCGTTACTTATATTTGACTGTGAATATTATATTTCTTCCGCATATGGTTCTTCTTCCCAATCGAGCAACGGCGAGAATGCTCGGTCTTCAATCATACTCCTCGACAGCCCAAATAGAGCCCCCGTTACGTCCCCGCTCTCTTCAACAATGATTCTGGGGTCATCATCAAGCGACAGGAGGTCTCCCAGCTCCACCGCATCCTCAGGTTGATCGTCTGCCATAAACATCGCAATGCTTTCAGCGTTGATTCGCGACGCCTTGCGTGATTGGCCTCTTACATCCCCTCGTTTCCGCTCCTTCAAGACGGGGGGAAGAGCAACCAAGGCAGCCAACCTCTCCTCTTTTGGTTCCCATCCATAGAACCTACGCAAATCCCCTTCAGCCTCTTCTTCAGACCGAAATATCATTTCGAGCTCGCCCTCTTCGAATAATTCGTCTTCGGGAATGTCATCTGAGCTGACGCCACCACGTGACGCGGCGAGAAGCTGGAGACGTGACGGTAAATTGTCTCGGCGCATGCATATTGAAGAGGTGAGCAGGTAAGTGGTCAAAGGTAAGGGTGGTGGGTTGGCGGTTGTCGAAGGAAACAAACATGACGGAAGTGAACCAACGAGTGGATTGCATAGAAATCGAGTAGCGTCGCGCAGTGCGTGGACTCTTCTTCGTTTACGGGGACGCCGGTCAGTACTCTCTGGGCCATCCGAATCATCATCTTCACCTTCATGTGCATTGGTCTGAAACTCTTCTCGACGACACTCACGCTCATACTCGATAACGGCCTTGACTCCTCTAGCAGCGACAATGCGACGTGAGATTTTCGCCCTTCCACTCTTTCCGTTGTGGGGATCGTAGTGGTCAAGCCACTCGACCTTGTCGATGCGATCCATCAGCTCGTCTTGAATGATTTTGTAACGAGTCATGACGACTGACTTGGTGAAGTTGCATTTTGTCGCAAGAAACGCTGCCAGTTCGCCAACCTGCGCTAGACTCGTCCGTAATTCGCCTTCGATTGCCCAAATCAGCACTGCACATGCCGTGGGAGACGCCGGAAGACGTGCAACAGCACTTGGAGGAACTGAGGAGACAAGGAGGTCGGAGAGAGCTGTTGCGGTAGCTACAATGGAATTGATAGAAAGTGGTTTGATAGCAGATACAAGAGTGGAAGGAATGGCTGACTGATTAGCACTCAACGCCGAGTACAAGTGCTCTCGGAGGGTTTCGATGTGAGATTTAGGCTCAGACAACGGAAGTTGATCCATCTTGAGGGTCGAAATAACGGAGGAGAATGTGCTCGTTAAAGCCGCCGTTTTCTCACCGACAAGATGAGAAATGTCGACGAATAGTTCAGGACGGTGATTGAGACGAAGGGCAATGGACACGCATGCACCAGCTACTAGCCTAGCAGTGCGACCCCAGCGAAATTTGCCTGTGGCCATAGCTTGCTGGAATATATTGTATGCACGGTCAGACACGCTAGAAACGAGTAACGCGCGTGAGAGGTTGTTAATGAACCGTTGCATTTCAAGCTAGACAAGAATTCAATTCTACACGTGGCGAAGGATGAGAAGCCACTAACCAAGCTCTTGTGAGTTCGAGTTTCCTTGTCTGCTCCTCCAAGATACCGATTTCGTGCAGTCTTGATTGTCCGTGCGGACGCTGGAAATGGTTCTGAGACAACTGGTGGGAGATCACCATCGATAGCTAAGACGACTCGGTCTGGATCGACAATTTCTCCGCATTGAGGGCAGACAAGTCCAACGTCAGGATCTGAAATGGTGGGCACGCCGCATTGTTTGCATGGCGGCATCTGGACTGGATTGGCTGGAATTTGAAAAGAGTTCTGGAAAGATTCCTAGCGTAGCAGCATGTCCGGTCCTCGAGGCAAAAAGGAGGATGATGGTGGCGAAAGTTAATGGGCGTGACGCGTTATGGCTTGGAGTCACACGGAGATGAACGCAAGTAACAACATATCTACTCCACATCCAAGCCTATGATTGGGCTTTCTATCTCAGAAATAAGAGGGAACTGTTTGTTCTCCCGTGTCGATTACAGGGACAACTTCCCGTCTTCTGTCCATCAAGAAGCTGCCTTAAACCACGACGTTTTCCGCGGTTGCCGCCCCCCACGTTTCCCCAATTTTTTTATAATGCCGCTTAACTCCCTTCGGCACTATATAATCTTACCCCAGAGCCACTCCACTCTTGTCTCCTCCGCCCATCCACCATGAGCGTCCAACATCAGTTCCAGTCTTTGCCTTCGGCCGCTGTTCGACGTCGTCTCAGCTCCGTCGTTCAGGAAAAGCCCAACATGGTTGCGCCATTCTCGAGTCTGACGGTGTGTTGCTGTCTTCGCTTGCATCTTTGCTGCTCACCACCGATCCTAGCCCATGTGGCTTGGTCTTGCGGGCAGTGCCATTGACCAGTCAAAATTCCAGCTCGCGTACGATTATCATCTTTCTCCTATGTTTACCACTAATCGCAGGCAGGCTTGCGATCCATGACGGTATGCTCACCGAAATCCACAGCACCCCAACGAGCCAACATTTTAGGTGTCTATTCGACTGATTTCACGTCGGCCATCGTCGAGGTTGGGAAAAACAAGGCCAACGTGCGTTCCTCTTGTTCACTCCAGCGGCGTTAGCTTATGCTTCCACCTATCTGAATCCAGGACATCGAGACGTTCGTTCTCCAGACCATTCGAAAGTTCTCTTCGGAGCATCTCTGCAAGTTCCTGGGTAATCTCACGCGTCTCTTTTGTCAAGAATAGCAAGTTCTTATCGCACAAACAGGTGCTGGTGTCACAACAACTTTACTGAAATCAGCCCCAAATCTTGCGACGCGTTTGTGGCTGGAGTGTGACATTGTCCCCATTATCTTCAACATCAAACCGTACCACACTGATTCGGTTACTTCAATCAACATCAAGCATAGGATTTCCTCCACCACTGGAAGTTATGTGCCTTCCGGTGCAGAGACGCCGACCCTTTTCGTGGAGGCCTCTCATCTTGATCAGGCTCAGCTCGGTGCTGCGGGAACTTCCGGTCGTCTCCCGATCCCACGAACGTTGGATGAACAAGCCGACTCCGCCGTCCGGAAATGTTTGATGTACTACGGGCCAAACAACTCGCCCAGATTGACAATTGGCCCTCGCAATCAAGTGACGGTCGATGCTGCTGGGAAGATTCACTTGATTGACGACCTGGACAAGTACAAGGAGACCGTCCGACCTGGGTAATCCTCTCTTGCTATCAGGGACAAGATCGCACGCTCAACCATACCACAGAACATGGAATGCGGTTATAAAACTCGCCGATGAGCTGCGCGAGAAGAAAATCAAGATTGGCTTCTTCTCAAGCACACCTCAAGGAGGTACGCGCGTAAATGGCCCCAAGAAATACCTCTTGCTAACCGCTGGAAAGGTGGTGTCGCACTGATGAGACACGCGCTCATTCGTTTCCTCACACTTCTCGATGTCGATGCAGGTACGCTTTAGGCTATCTTACCCTTGATACCATGAGCTGACGACTCTTGGCAGCCTGGTATGTTCCCAATCCCTCCCCGGCTGTCTTCCGCATCACCAAAGACAACCACAACCGGTTGCAAGGTCCGATACTTCTTGGCAGTATAGATAATTATAGCTCAACTCTCACTCCAGGCGTCGCGGCACCGGAATCGCGTCTAACTCAGGCTGACAAGGAGAAGTGAGTTTTATTCTGTCCTCACGTTATCGTTATCTTATCATGTGACTAGATTTGACGAATGGATTGCCAAAAACACTCTTCGTTGGACCGCTGAAGGCGGACCTTTGGCTCCTGGGGGAGTCGACATTGCGTTCATTGTGAGTGATTTGATTCTTGGATCAATAAAGCGCTGAAAATTTTGTGCAGGACGATCCTCAGATGCCCGGTTCAATTCCCATCATCAAGAAAGGTAAGGTCACACACACTTGAAGTTATGGGCACCTCCTGAAATGGTCTAGTTCGCCCGGATCTCCCAATTGTATACCGTTCACACATTGAAATTCGGTCCGATTTGGTGCACATATCTGGCTCTCCTCAAGAGGAAGTCTGGGACTACCTGTGGAACAACATCAAGCTGGCAGATCTGTGAGTCGGTTAGCGTTTCTCTAGGTCACAAAACTAATTGTCAACAGGTTTATCAGTGCGTCAAGTCTCCATATCTCCCATCGTCTAATTGTTCCCAGGTCACCCTGTCAACAAGTTCGTCCCGGACGATGTTCCCATTGAGAAAGTAGCCCTTCTCGGTGCTGCTACTGACTGGTATGCTTGTTGTTCTGTTCTCTTGTAGCTCCTTTGTAACGAGTCTATTTACAGGTTGGATGGGTTAAACAAGGACCTCGACCCACTTTCATCTGCTTACTACATGGGTATCTTCCGTGATCTGTGCACGACGCAGAAGTCAGTGATTGGTTCCTCTATGAATGAAAGAGTTTCGAGCTGATTTTGTCACAGAATGCACCAATTGCAATGGCCTGCTCGTGAATATATTGTGCAAGTAGCGCGATTCGACCCGGCCAAAGGCATTCCCCATGTCATCGACTCGTACAGCAAATTCAGGAAGCTACTCAGAAAGTCGCAGTCAGAGCTCACTGAGGAAGAGCACCCTCAGTTGCTTATTTGTGGCCATGGTGCTGTTGACGACCCCGACGCAAGCATCATCTACGACGAGGTGACTCAGCTTATCGCATCAGAGGCATACCGCGAGTTTGCCCATGATATCGTCGTGATGCGTCTCCCCCCGAGTGACCAACGTAGTGTTTTTCGCCCTGCCATCTCTCCTTTCTTACACAATGTCAGTCCTCAATGCTCTGATGGCCAACGCCCGGATCGCACTCCAACTGTCGACTCGTGAGGGTTTCGAAGTCAAGGTCTCTGAAGCTAGTGAGTCATTTCTACCTTGTGCAGTTTCTGCAGCTGAAAGTTTTGTTTAGTTCACACTGGTATCCCAATCATTGCATCGCAAACCGGAGGCATTCCTCTCCAAGTCGAGCACGGAAAGTCTGGTTACTTAACCCCCCCTGGCGCTGAGGGCACTGATGCGGTTGCGAAACATCTCTATGACCTTTACACCGACGAGCAGCTCTATCGCAACATGAGCCAATACGCTAAAACCCACGTGTCAGATGAGGTTGGAACGGTCGGAAATGCGGCTGCATGGCTTTATCGTGAGTAGTCTTCATCTCCGCTTCGCGTAAGATTTCTTGACATTTTGTAGTCGCGGTCATGTACAGCCGAGGAATCAAGATCCAACCCAAAGGTGCTTGGCTGAACGACATGCTTCGAGCTGAGACAAACGAGCCTTATGTCGATGGAGAACCACGTCTTCCTCGCGCACCCATCCAAATGCAGTAGAAACAAAAATGTAGATACAATTCAACTTGTACATGTGTAGAAATTACGCGACGCGTCCCCAATCAGAGCACATGACCGTGACACTCCTCTCACCGTCTTCTACCATGCTCGAGATCGAAATGCGCTCCCCTTCATTACGAACGCGAACTATATCAACCAAACGCTCCCGCTCCCCAGATAGTCCGACCGAACGCCCAGCGGTAAGTAAGACAAGCTGTCGCCAGAGTGGCAAGTCTGACTTGGTCATTCTCAGAAACGACTTTCACTCGCTGCCGGACGTGAAAATGCGTACTTTTATGAAACCCGAAGCTCAGCAAGCTCTAGTCGCCAGTCGTCAGAAGACTGGGTCAAGCAAGCTGGCGGCCTCTCCATCGAAAGCCCTCATCTTCTTGAGAATGAACAAAGCACTTCTGACGATAGTATGGTGCGAGCGCTTTCTTTGTCTTCGCCGTTTTGTAAGTCTTTCTTAGGCAGTCGATTCAGAGGAGCAGTACATTCCCAATCATCATGTCTTTTTGTCTTCAGTCCCACCTCAACCTCAAGCTACATCCCATTATAATCCACATCACCCCCAAATAATGCCATCCATAACCGTTCAGCCCGCTACTCCACAGTCTCGAACGCAAACACGCGAAAGTCCGACTCCAATGCAGGTCTCATCTCCACCACATTTCGGTTCGCCAACGAAGCGGCCGAATCGTTTCACAATGGGCCCCAGGGCAAACTGCGAAAAGTGCCGACTGGGTGTGAAAGGACATTGGGCACATTGGGATTGAGCGTTGATCATTGTGAGCAAGTAAATAGGCACTCTAATAAAAGACCGGCGTGTGATCATCAGGATTACCCAATAATTTTTTTCCTCCTCCACTGATGTCGACAACGCTCCCTCTGTTTTGGGACTTGTCTTCGGCTTCCAAGAAACAGCGGATCGACGCCTCTGTCAAGCTCATTGGCGCCTTGGAGCAATTTCAATCGCAGTTTTCTCCCAAACAACCACAAGACTCAGACTCAGACGACGAAGAGTCGCCGAAAACGAACCCAATCGACCTCTTCAATGCCCAGGATGTCTCTTATTCGATACGCCGTCTTATTCGGGGCCTTGCAAGTCCACGAGAAAGCAGTAGGCTGGGGTTTGCTGTCGCGTTGACTGAGGTGCGCCGAGTTCTTCTCCTTGGGCAACCATTGCCTGACGATTTTACAGTTACTCTCGCGTCTCGATACAGTAACAAGCAGCCAGATACTGACTCAGCTGGCGGAGTCGACCAAGCCGCAAGGTTCCATGACCGGCCAAGAAGAGCGCGATCTACTTTTTGCTCGTCTATTTGGCATTACTTCCATAATCCAGTCCGGCCTCCTTGTCCGCACGACACCATTACGCTTTTCTCCGTCTTCTGACACGTCGGCGTCCTCACTTTCCAGCTTCCAGGAGGCGATATCCACGCTCTTAGGATTGGGCGACAAAAAGTCGTGGCTAAGGGAAAGCGCGTGGTGGACAATTGGCCTCGCTATCGATTCACTGAATGTAGCCAAGGTCTCCTGGAAGGATGAGGCATTCGATTTCCTTGTGGATGCGTTATTTGGGGAGAACAATACTGTCTGGTCGCCAGAGAAGATCGCAATGACACTGAAACTCCAGGCGATCCTCCCACGACGTGAATGGCAAAAGCTTCTCTGCCCTCCCTTCAAAAATGTAGACCTCCTCAGCAGCTCCAACCTGTTAACTATTGCAAAAATTCTCAAGGTATCTTGGTTCAACTCCAGCCATTTTTTTCTATACTCAAATCCCACCAGGAATCCTCCTCTGATCTGGATGAGAACGACAACTCATTCAAGTCGGCGACAGGTCCTTGGAACCCTCAACTTCCCTTTGTCTGGGACGTCATCCTTGATCAACTGCTCCCCGAGTCGTCAAAACCGTCGGTTATCACCAAAGGCACCTTTCCCGAGTTTTTTAGAGTTGTTGTTGATGGTATGTGGGTTTTGTTCTTCGGATTCAGCAGTTTTCTCAATGTGACAGACTCGTTATTTTCTTCAACTTCCTCTCAGGAGCGCAAATATAGTGGCTTTCAAGTATTCCGAAAAGCCCTTTCTCGTGTTACGCCCAACACACTACCAATGCTCTTCACAAAAAATTTCATGCGTTCGTGGATCAACCACCTCTCGCATCCTGATCGCCACTTGCACAAAGTTGCTAAACAAGTTGTCAGTCTCATGCCCGAATTTCATCAGTCTCTTATGTAAGGCAACAGGCGTCGGATATACAGAGTCTCGTCAAAAGCCAACCTCAGCTCGGTTTTGCCTTCATCATGGAACTCACCGGTGTTAACGGGAACACACAATTTGACAAGTTGACCAAGTCAAAGACGGTGGAATCCATATTGGCTTCTATGGACACCAGTGGTATAAAGGACTATATTCAGCATCTCCTGAGACAGGTCAATCCAGATGAGCAGTTGAGACATCTTTCTCCGTGTTAACGAATTTCTCATATGGCCCAGACCCGATGTCTCCGCAATTAACCTCCAAAGAGCCTGGATCATCGACCAGCTATCCAGTCTCATTCGCAATGCCGTGGTCCCAACAGACGACAATTGTAAGATGTTGGTACTTGACTGGTTGGTTGTCCATGGACTATTTGTCATCAAGAAAAAGTCGGAAAAGAGTCCATATCATGCGGTGGGATTTTCGTCCTGCACATTTTCACTAGGTTTCTGACTTGTTCCGCAGCTGCATAAACTTCCGACGCCGCCGTTCTCTGACGCTCTGCGACAGCAATGTCGCGACCGTCTTCTATCATGTCTTGCCGATCTGACCAGCCGAGTGCAGACAGTCAAGTTGGGTGTGTCTTTAGACTTGGGAAACTGTTCTGGAGTTTTATTCATTTCATACAGATGGGGACAACACTGTCAAATATCCAGGCATCTCGTCCAACGGGGACCTTTGGATTAGTCGGGTTATTCGAAGCCTGGAAACCCTCAAGAACGACAGCAAACACGTTGCGCTCCTGGCCGACATCGACGATGAAGATGCCGCAGTATACTCCTCCGTCAAAGCAGCTATCGAACAAGTTGGCTCAGTACGTTTGCCAGCTCAGTGGAGAAAACCATGCTGATTTCTGGTAGGCGTCTGAAACCATGAAAGAAACGGCCAAAGGAATGGAGCTTCTCTTGTCGGGCATGCTACTGGACCAATACGTCGACGACCAACCGGAGCGTGATCTGACAGGGTTAGAGGTGAGTCGACCATTTCGTGCACACAACTGCTCTCTAAATGTAACGAGGAATGCGTCGAAGCCTGCACTCGGCTTTTCGCTCCCCCGAAGAAAGTCAAGAGTAAAAAGAATAAGAAAGCGAGCACGGATGAGCCACAGTCAGATCTACCAGAGCCCATCGACATCGTGGTCGACACTATCATTGGCTTCCTCGAAAAGTCAACTGCTTTCCTGCGCGTCGTTGGCAACCAGGCTTTCACCCTTATATCCAGCTCTGTTCGAGCATCAACTGTTGACCTGATTCTTTCGGTTAGTCCACTGAAGAATGACACAAAACGACTTTGCTTATAACTCCATAGCAACTAGAAAGAAGGAATCCAGAGGAGCTGGCACACGAGAGCGAGAACGACGAGCCGGAAGACGGTGATGAAGAGGGCAGTGAAAGCTCTAGCAGTGACTCTGACATCGAGATTGACGAAGAAAGCGACGACGGAGAAGTTGATATGGAACTCCGGCGCAAAATAGAGGAGGCCCTCAAGGTCAACGGAGTGGATGCTGAAGATGGCTCACATGACGAGGAAAGTGACGAGGACCTGATGGACGACGAACAAATGATGGCCATCGATGAACAACTCGCCCAAGTTTTCAGAATGCGGGAGGGGGAGAAGAAGGGCAAAAGTGGGTGAACAAATATATTCCAGGATTTCACATTCATCACCCCCCTTTAGATGTCGATGCACAACGGGAAGCCACCCATTTCAAGAACAGAGTCCTCGAGCTTGTCGACACCTTTCTCAAAAAAGAGGCCACCAGTCCGCTGCTCGTTCGCTTCCTACTTCCTTTGGTCGAACTCTCTTCTGGCACCAGCTCCGATGAGGGCCATCTCACCGACAAGGCCAAAGGCATCCTGCGCTCGCGAATCTCCAAGTCAAAAAGTGTGCCGTCCAATGCGAACATGGATGATATCAAATCTGCCTTGAGCGAAGTACACTCGCGTGCAACAAGAGTGCACTCTCCAGAGCTATTAGGCCTGTTGAGCCACTGCAGTCTGTACCTCTCCAAGATTCTGATCGAGGCATCAGAGCACAAGTCCGTGGTCGACGCATACCGGTCCTCCCTGCAGGACTTTGTCAGCCGCAAAAACTCGGCGCTCAACCAAGCCTTCTTCAGCGAGGCCATACGCCGCTATCCAGAAGCGTTCTGGGCTCTCAAAACCGATATAACAGCCCTCGCCAACACAGCCATCAATGGATATCGACGTCTGCAGTGTTTGCAACTACTGCAGACACTCTTGAGCCGGCTCCCTTCCGTAGTGCGTTTGCTATCTCAAGTTCGATCATCTGTCATGGCTAATGTCAACAGGAAAAGCAGGAGGGCATCGCAGCACTGTTGCGGTCTTTCCGGGAGGCCCTCACAGATTGCGTCACAGAGGCTTGTCAGGAAGACAACAACGTGTTTACCGTTGCCCAGATGAAAGAGCTGCTCAAACTGGCTTCATTCGCCATGCGACAGACATATCGCGTCCTTACTCCAACCGAGGCCCGGAAAGCTTGGAATCCAGAAGCGTGGCAGGCCCTCAGCCAGAGTTTGGCAACGTCCACCCATTTCAAAGCTGCCGTTGGGGTCCACAAGTCGTGCGAAAAATTGGGAGTCTCGCCGCAAACTCCAACTGTCGCAACAAAACGCAAGGTCGAGGCTGACGATGCTGCTGTTGAACCGCCAAAGGCAAAGAAAAAGAAGGTGCGCCAATAAAAAAAAGTGGTTGATATTTACAGTATAAAAATTATATCCAAATGGTGTAAAATGCATTATAGCGCGAGAGATTTGAGAGTGGCCAGTGCCGTTGTCCGTTCCAGTCTAGTTTTTCCATCCGCCAATAGGTCCTTGAGGAGCAGCAGTCGTTTATGGGCCAAGTTCTGACGAGTCCGGTTCGCGACGAGTTTTTCCATTGCTTGTGACTGGGAAGCAGCCCGCTCCAAGATCGATTCAGGGAGCCCGGCAAGTCTTGCACATTCGACGCCAAAGGAATCTAGCCAATTTCAGCTGTCGTAGCGGAATGCGCCAATGAGAGAAACTACTACCTGGAGCGATCCCGGCCTCCAAACGGTACAAAAAGGTCACCTCCCTCTTGCCGTTCGAGCGCAAATCCGAACAATAGCCTACATGAAGGTTTTCGACTCGTTGAGGAAACTTCTTTTCCAAGTTGCTCGCCACGAGGGGATAATGGGTGATAAAGAGAGTGTTGCAGCGGGTCGAAGTTACCAGGTGCTCCAAAACTGCGTCTGCGATGGCCATACCGTCAAACGTGCTAGTGCCTCGGCTACAAAAAAAAAAAAAAATTAAAATAGGAATCGACGATCAGGTAGTTCCATACCCTAGCTCGTCTAGAATCACCAGACTCCGAGGCGACGCTGCACGCAAAATCTCGCTGGTTTCCGTAAGCTCGACCATAAACGTCGATCTTCCTCGAGAAATTTCGTCGTAGGCACCCATCCGCGTCAGAACCGAGTCGAACATGCACAATTTTACCGACGACGCGGGACAATAGCTTCCTGTTCAATATTATGGGACCGTCTCGTGTTCAATCGGCAGGATTACAAACCAATCTGTGCCATGATCGCAATGAGGGCAATCATTCTCACAGACGAGCTCTTGCTGAAAGCCTCAAGTCAGGAACCGACAAACGTTGACTATGGACTACTCACCCGCCCATGTTTGGCCCAGTGATGATTTTAGACGAGCTGGAAGAAAACGAGATAGAGTTGGGAACAAATGGGTCCGAACGCAACACCTCGATCATCGGATGGCGGCCATCGACTTGGATAGTTCAATTCCCTGCCAGGCCGGAGAGGGGAAACTCGCCTATTTCGAGCCCGTCACCGTCATCCAAGAACGTTGGTTTAACGTAGTTGCCGTCGAGCGCGACCTGGGCTAGACTGGACAGACAGTCTACGGTTGCAAGCTGCTGGACTGCGTGTCTCATGATCGCATAGTGCTGCGAGACTTCGTCCAAGAAAGCGAGGAAGGCGCGTTTGGATTCAATGGCCAAAGACTCTCTCCACCGCGCTCTCTCGATCAGCTTTCCTAGAGCGAATGTCCATTGATTAGAAACGCCAGCAGGTGATCACGTACTTGCAACAACAGGCGAATGATAACGTTCGATTTTCTTTGTGCTGTACTCTGTTATCTAACCAATACCTGAAAGCGTGAGCTAACTACTTACGCAGAGGTCGGGACTGGCCAGTCGTCTGGAACATGCTTCTTGTGCGTCTTGGGAACCTCGACAAGGTACTGGTCATCGGCAGTAAATTCAAGGCCTGGAATCCGGAGTAGTTCGCGGACTACACACGCATTGGTCTGGGCTTTTTAGCTGTGATAAAGCACTCACTTCGAGGTAGTTCGTCTTTGAGCTCTTCTTCAACAGTTCCCAATGCCTTCGAAAGAGTTAGTTGGTTTAGGTGGACGTCTGTAATCCACTGCACCATGGCATGTTCCTCCAGCTGCGGAAACTTATTCGCATCTGCCCACATGCGATCTTTGTGGTCCATCCGCGCTTCTGCGATATCAAGTTCATTCAAAAGTTGTCGCGTAGGTTGTTCCAAAGGCGGCAAGGCGAATATGATGCGATTGAGTAGCATAGATTTGAAACCAACTTGGGAGGCAGACGGCACGGATTGGAATGCTGTCCCAACTTTGTGGAACGATTGAAGCAGCCTGACCAGTTCAGACGGGGTACACTTTGACTTTTCAGCGGGGTACTTATATCTAGACCGTGTCACAAACCTGGCGGTACTGAATGCGACAAAGTCCTCTCGCCAAATCAGGAAGTGTTTTCAAAATTTGGCGGAGATGAAACAGCTGAGAGGGGCCGAGCTTTACTTCTTCCACAGCATCGATACGCTCTTGCAACGCCCTTTCAAAGTGTCAGTATCGTAACCCCGGGCGCAAGTGAGCCAATCACGTTTTATCGACCAAGGGAGCTCCGATCCAACTTTTCAGCATTCTCTTCCCAAACCGAGTTCGAGTATTATCTAATATAGATCTAATTACTATTGGTTAATGATTTTTTCCATCCAAAATAATAGCCTACACAAGGGATCCTCTGACAGTGTGATCTGTCTCATTCTGGAAGATTTCGAGGTTTGAGAGCGTGTTCGCAGCCAGATGCATTTTTGCTTGCGAAGTGAATCTGTTGAAGAATTGGGCTTCCATCAAGGGAGCAGCCCGGTTGAACGAAGTCAAATGTCGAATCGAGCATGCGAGGGCGACAACGACGGGCTTGGGTAGGTCGGTAATGGCTGCTATCAGAAGACCTAAAGCGAGTTGAGGTTCACACAATACTGGTAAGAGATATGCTTTACCTGAGTCAGCTCGCTGCCGAGAGGTTTGGGTGATATAGTCAAAAGCCTCGCTGTAGTCGAACACATCTTCAACATACTCCAGTCGGGAACGCGACACCATCGAAGATGTTCTAGGGTTAGGGTGAGAAGCCGCAAGAACTTGACAGATATTGCCACAGACTCTTCGATGAAGTGGCGAAGCATTTGCTCTGAAGAATTGGAGATTTTGCGTGGGATCAACATTTCGTGTGGTTTGAGATGAGCCATTCGGGTCTAACAAACTCATCAGCTTGGGTAAAGGATCAAAATAGCCCGAATAACCTCAAGTTCAATCCTCAGGTGCGTGTCTAAGTGAAACATCAGTCAGTCTCATTCACTGGATAAAGTGAAATCTTTACCATCAAACATGTCCCAAATGACTTCACCATCCTACAGATAACAGGTCGATCGAGGAATAACCCAGAAAGCTAGATGACCAACACTGGGAGAAACGCAAATGAAAGCAATGTGAGATTCGTCTTGTTCGACGACACACACAAGCCGTGGTGAGGAATATTCATCAGACTCGTCCGAGGTATCCAACTCGTCCACGAAACTAGGTAAAAGGTTTCAGAGCAACCAAAATAGAAAATCACAATGCTACCAACGTCGTCGCGGTGACGAGCGACGTCAAGTCTCGTTCAAACACTGTGTTACGGTTGTCGCCCGCCTTCTTCAGTGCAGCGGTCTCGATTTGACTGATGATGCCAACTTTATAGCCCAGATTAATGAGGCTAGCAGTATATAAGCGTCGTGAGACGGTGAGGAACACAAAAAACACCACAAACTTCTTCATGTGAATGTTACCTCTGTGTATGGGTATTGAGGCCAGGAGAAAATTGCCCTTCATATAGCATCCCATTCCCAGCTCCTTTGCTGCCACCTGAAGTAAGAAGTCAGTGAAAATTCTGGTGATATGCACATAAATACGACCTTGGCATCGTCCCCGTAGAATCTGTACTTGTATCCAACCTCTATCATGAGCACAGAGCCTGGGTACTTCTTTTTGAAGGCTAGAACCTAGGCTCACGAAATTTAGGGAGGAAACCCGTCAAGGGGGTCTATTACCTGTTTCTCAAGTGGAGTATAACGTTTGCCACTCGGACCCAATTCCTCTGCAGTTGCTTTCTTTTTTGCGCTGGCCTTTCCTTTGCCTTTCGCCTGTCTCGCTTCATTGAAAAATTTGGACATCTCGTTGAATTTTCGGTCGGGGTCCGGTTCAGAGTCAGGCTCGCTCTCGTCAGAAATATCTGAGCTGGCTAAGAGCGGTATTTTGGAGGGCGAAGTCATAGCGCTTTGCTTTTTCATGTAGTTTCCGGGTCATAGTCTTCCGAATAGTTGAGGCGAGGGAAATAGGTTCAAGTTGTGAATGTTGCTCGCTGAATTTCCAACTTTCAACACGAGCTTTGTGGACGGCATCCTCTTCTATCCTCCTTCGCTTTGCTGCAGGGCTGTCGTCGTTGTATTCCCGTCGGCGCTTTGGGCTAGGGAAGAATTTGGAGATTCTGCTCTGCGACATGGAGGAACCAAGACGCGAGAAGTCACAGCTGGTCACAAGGTAATGTCATCCATGTTTTCGCGCCGATTGCTACGTGGTATACGATGGCATTCGACACACGACGGGCCAGTGGTTTCGGAAACGAATCGTACAGTACTCACTCAGAAGCCACGTCTTTATTAAGCCTTTGTCAGGCTCGGAAGCCACTTTGAAACGTTTCTGGAAAACAGTTTCCGTTGGAAGACAAGACAATTCCTACACAGTCCTGCTCGATAACCGGCCGTTAAAAACACCCTCAGGAAATTTGCTGCTGCTGCCACCCAAAAAGTCTCTAGTTGCTACCCTTGTTGCTGCTGAATGGGATAACCAAGATACCGTCTTGAAGCATCATGCTCTTCCTATGGTAAAGTGGAAGCTAGCACATCCATATTTTTGTTTTGACGCGTCAGTAGACCTCATTGGTTTCGAGAGCAATTGATTCCATGGCTGATGATGCTACGAGTGAGCAGGTTCGAAAAGCTCTGTTGCAGTATCTGGACACAGATACGATATGGTCTTTGCTTTCTCGTGACATTCTTCATTGGGATTCATTCACACTCCTAGTTTCCATGAAGACTACCCTCAACAACTTGTCGACCTCCAAGCAAAACACTGGGACCCTCTTTTGGCTTGGGCAAGATCTACATTTGGCATTGAGCTCAAGACGTTTGATTCTGTGTTGTTCAACTCGCAACCCGAGGCAACTAAATTGAAACTCGACGAGGTCATGTCTTCCTTGAATCAGTGGGAGCTTGCGGGTAATCTACAGTCGATTTTGCCGTGTTACTTCTTACAAATACCACGTCCAGGCATGGAACGAGCAACTTATACGACCAAGTCAGTGTTGATTGCTCTTGCACTTGTGAAGGGACATCTATCGGTCGAACAAGCATCTCTTGCGTCGCAAGTCGAGGTCGCCAGCCAAATTGCTCGATGGGGCGAAGTAGAAGACAGTTAGTATAACATTTTTCAGTGTTCCCGGTCTCTCATTACTTTTGCAGCCCACGATGTTGATTTTCATGATGTGAGGAGACAACTTGGTAGTGTGGCGTGTCTGCTATCGTCTATCTGAGAGTCGTTATTACCTACTGCATCGATAATAGAGTCACTCTCCTCTCACTTCCATCATGTCCACCCACCCACCCGCAATCCCAGAAACAACTTATACCCCATTCTACTGCGAAGAGAATGTTTGGCGCTTGTGCGATGCCTTGTCGCGCCAATCAAGTCCCCTAGACGCGTCAGCGGTCTTCATTTCCAATGAATACAAGACGGTGGGGAAGCTGCATGAGCTGGTCATGATATTCTCTTAGTGGATGCATAGGTTGCGCTGTTCGAACAGAAGCAAAGACTACCCGTGGTAGTTTGGGATTACCATGTTGTGCTATTGCTCCGAGACCAGGACAAAAGGGAATGGATCTACGATTTCGACACATGCATACCGTGCCCGTGTCCTCTTAAGGGTGGGTCACTCTGTTAGATGGCCTTAGTTAACGATATACTAGAATATTTGCGACGCACCTTCAGTCCCAACATACCACCTGATTACAAGAGGGAAGTCATTCCATTCCATTCAACGCAGTCAGCCCCGCTTAACTTTCGCAGTCTTCTTCGCTTGGTCCCCGCAAAGGTTTTCCTCGATTATTTTGCGTCGGATAGGTCGCATATGCTAGACGAGAGCGGGAGTTACCAGGCACCTCCTCCCAAGGAGGAGCCAATACGGGGCAGAATGGCAGTTGGAAATAACCTCATGGAGTTTGTGAATATGGATGAGGGTTCAGGCCATGGGATAGTCGTTGAGGTTGAGGAACTCCAACGTCACGCAGAGTCACTCACCGAATCTCTCTTCTCTTGACCTCCAAAAAATATGGCTTCGACCTCGTCTATGAATGGGCATGTGAATGGCGATGCTCATTACACGCCAGAAGATTCGTTGTACGTTCTACAAATACGCTTTAGATGCTTGCACCCATACCGATTAGCGAGCGACCCAGCACTGATATTTGGGGCAGCCATAACGCCAATATTCTAGACCACCTCTACCATGCAGGCTTCCAGACGGGCGTATGTCTTCGTTTTGTGGTGCTTCTCCATGATAATATTGAAGCACTTCCAATTAGAACTATTCAGACACCTTGCTGGTGGGTCAAACTGCGCAGGAGTGAGCGGAATTAAAGTTTCTTGTTAGCATGTCCACCAACCAACGGGTCATCCCGTCGCATTTCGTCTCCACGCGATTATACTCTCTCGCGCACCATATCTTGCCCACCTGATGTCAACGTCGCAACAAGGGCTCAACGAACGCGTTTTATACGTTCAACTGCCGCCAGAGGTTACCCACGAGGTCAGTTATTTGTTCCCTCTAAGTTTAACTCTGTGTATGCTAATCATGGATCAGGGCTTTTCGATTGCTCTCGGTTATCTGTACTCCGCCACTTCAGCCGGTCTGGTACACGAAAAAAACTGCCGAGCGGTTCTTGCATCTGCTCTACTATTGGGGGGAATGGATGACCTCTCCACTTACGCGTAGGAGACTAGTTTATATTGACTATTCGTTGACTAACTTGGACAGTTACGAGACTTGTCGACGCTCGATTTCTGTAGACACTATTGACGACTGGCTGCGTTTTATGGACGCAATTGCACCTCCTTCGGATGGTTCTTCCACTCCCAATCCGGCACTGTCGGTCCTTGGTCCATATGCTGAACGACTGCGAAATGATGTCTTCACCTTCCTTGTTGTTACTCTACCTCAAAGCTTGGACCTTCAAGCCGATTCCGACTCGAAAGCCGGACGTGACGTCTTATTACAGATTTTCTCACGGGTTCCCTTCGACCTTTTCAAGACGGCAGTGGAATCCTCTGTGTTTGAGATTGGTTCGGCCATACTTCTCGGAGGTGCACCATGACTGAACTTTTCTAGGCTCAGCACAGACGCGCTTTAAATTCGCAAAAGACGTCATTGAACTGCGAAAACGGGGAATAGCAGCCCACGGAGGAGAAGAGACGGTGGTGCTGAGCAACTTTGGCGGATCAGCCATTCACATAACTCGAAAGATGCGCAAACGACCGTTGTGGAAGGTCAACTCGTAGTATATTTTTGTACTCCAACGGAGACGAATTTGAGTACTCTGCCCGCAACCTGTACGCCACTTCACGTGGAGTGAGTGATTGACGGAAAACGTCAACCGCCAAAAGTTACTGCTGCTTCACGCCTCCATCTTGTGTGGTTTTAGGGACACACAAAGGCTTGTTTGACCTGGTCTGGGACGCATAACATAATTCTGGAAAGTGACGAGACCTTGCCATTCCAATCCATCTTTCCCATGAACTCAGTACCAATCACGCGGGCGCTCTGCCGACCACCACATACCTCAGTCAGCTCTTCTTGCCCGTCTAACCAACCAACGTCCCCTGGTCGACTCCGGCCTGATAAACAGAACCCGCTTCAATACTGTCGCTTGAATCTCTCATGTCTCACTTCAACATTTTTTTCACTGGTCGCGAAGAGGCGCTTAACTGCATCATGGTCAAGATGCTTCACAACAAGCTATAGAAAAGCCCTTTGACTGTTTGTAGATCGGAGAAGACTCCTCTCCCCGGTTCTACTGTTTTGAATCGCAAGCGACCCGCACAGTTGTCTGCGTCCAGACACCTTCGTCAGTTCTTTTCACTGATAACAAACCATTATAGCTTTACTCCAACAACAACTACAAAGTTGCTTCACTCCAGTTCATCCAAGGTGATCAGCTGGGAAGCGCTACCATTGGTTCCAGGGTCTATCCCATGCGCGAATTGTTATCAGCAGGCTCAAGTTCCAGGTTGATAAACACGTCTGTGGCGTTTTTCGTCTTTGCTGACTCTGCAAGTAGCGCCCGATGTTTCTACTCTTCCGACGGCAGAAAGTACGAGTGGCGAAGAATTCCCAACGTTTCGGATGCGTATGATGTGAGTAAGATCGTCTCCAACAATTTCTCCGTTGGAAACCCCCCTGCCAGCTCTATGCTCTCAACCCCCCCGTTGTGCGTGTGGCGGCGTTTCGTAAACACTGCGAAATCACGTCTATCGGCCAATGCAATGGCTTGCTCCAGTACACCTTCAATGGGGACCAGCTTCTTGTTTACACCCTGCTCACTTTGGCCTTGAACCGATGGGTCGATAATTCAGCATAGCAAAGCAAAAAAAGTACAGCAGTGTATTAGTATTTGGTCCTTGATCGAATAAATTACCACCCAATACCCAATAGAAACTCATCGCCGGACACCCGCAAGCAAATGCTCAATGCGGTCTTCCACTGTCCAGTCTGCCTCTGACACCGAAGAGGCCGCGGAATGAACAGGCCGGTTGGCAAGGATATTGAACGACCCTGCCTCTGTTCCTGAGGAGATGGTCTCTATGAGGCGACCAATCTCTGTTGGGGAGCTATAATACACCTGCAACATTACGTTAATTGATGCCATCACATCTGAGTTGATGGTAGACCTTAGTTTCAGGCCGAGACTTGGCCGCAGCCGTGAGTGTCTTCTTGCGTTGTAAGAATGAAGAGCCACTGTTCTTTCGCCCATGCTCCCGAAAGAAGACTTGCATTCCGTCATTGCCTGTGTCGCGGATTGAGTAATCCGACCCAAAACTTGTGCGATTAAAGCCTTCAGCATAATCGTCCGCATCTCGTAAGCCGTTAACGATTGACCTGAAGACATCAGAAGAGTCAAAGAAGCAGAAAAAGCTACACACCAGATTGTCTCTCCATTCTCGAACTCGACAACTTCGACGGCAGGCAACGGCTCCGGAACAGTCGGGCCGCGATCAGTAGCAGGTGAAAGGCCCGGCTTCTCGGCATACATGTCATACCTGATTTAAACGTGATCAGCGCCAAATAATAAGAATGAAAAACAACAAACAAAGAGTCGTAATTGGAGCCGGTATTTGGGACTGGGGGTATCAACAGACGATTGGGTTTGGACCCGGGTAACAGGGGGACAGGTGGGTTATCAGTTGAGAAACGGCGGCCTGATGCGCTTTTGACTGGTGGTGGTGTAGGTACACGATCATGGATAGAGCGACTCGAGACAGAAGTGGCGCTTGCTCTACGACGACGCGAAGATTGCTTCCTTACCAGCGCACTAACGTCTATCGTTGAAGCTCTAGTGTCAGAGGCATATATGATGGTCCTGCGAACAACTGGGCTCTTTTCGTTCCCTCCTTCTTTTGGACGGCGTAGATGGTCAGGTTGCGGCGGGGTTTCTGGAGGAGGCGGAGGGGGTGCAGACGGAATATGGCTTTTGTGGTTCCCTGGACGACTAGCACTCTTGGAGTTGTTGCGACTTAGTCCAGCCCAGTCTGTTGATCGCGTTGAACCAGATCGGGCTAAAAGATCGTTGAGAGCGCCTTGATCCAACCCTAGATTCGACGCTGCATCGAATAATTGCCTTATGGCATCGTTTTCGTCTGCAGATGTTGTCTCAATGCTGGGTAAAACGTGATGACGTGGACTGTAAAGAGGCGCAGTGACTTGGCGAGAGGCCATAGTGGATTGATCAAGGTGAGTGGGAGTCGTAGCTGACGAAGGAGAGCGAAGGTATCCTGCTGATTCAGGAGGAGAAGAGTCGGAGGGTGAGCGATTAAGCGAATGGGAAGGCCATCCAGACGGAGTAGAGTGAAAGTTGTCAGTGCTCGTAGGTGAAAGATGTGGTAATGGTCCACGCATTCTTCGAACATCGGGTTCTGCCCCTGTCTCACTGGCACGCTGCTTACCACGGAATCGGGCAATGATTCCTTTCAGACCCGGTCCGGCTGAAGCTGGAGGACTGGGAATTGGCACTCTGAATCCCTCCACCTCCGTTGTCGCACTGGCTGGTATTGGCGCACCAGGAGGTCGAACCTTGACTGGGTCATATCGAGCGCTTTGGACAGCAGGAGGTGACCGCAACTCCATGGGAAATGGTGTCACGTCTTCGGCGGTGGGCATCGTTTTTGCTCGAAGGGAGCCTCTCAGCCGTTGTAGTCGAGATCCAATCTTGGAGGGTCCGCCGCCTAACGCGGGGGAAGGTAGAGGGATGGTATCTACACTGGTGGAAGCTGAGACCAGTTGCGGGGTCGAAATCTGACTGGGACTTATGCGTTTACGAGCCGTCGGAGGTTTGTGGGGCAGTGCGAGGTTGGATGTTGATGGTTGTTTCTGCAACATGACCATGGCAGCTTCAGTTTTTCTTTGCACCTCTCTGGCAAGTTCGGCATGCTCTTCTGCTGATTGCGGTAGCCTTGGAGTGGAGGGATTGCGGGAAATGGGGTAGGGCCATGTTGCGGAAGCAGAAGAGGGGGGAACTTCGGTATGAGGAAACGATGCATCGAGTGGGGCAGAATTAGGAACCTGTGCGTGCTCCCCACCACCAACGGTCAAGACCTGCGCAGAGTTTTCGCCAAATAGGACATGTGTAAGATCACGTGCACGACGGGTCGGTGAAGGAGCCTGCCCGTTGGGCGAAGCCTCGCCAGAAGTATCGACGGGGGCTGTCGGAGACAAAAAACCGTCAAATATCCCATTCATTATTCCGGGATATGTCTCAAACGTTTGTCCTACAGCAGTTGGCGAGGGACTGATAATCTGATAAACTCCGTTAGTTGCAACGCCAGAGGTGATGGGTTCACTCACTCGACCATTGTTCAGCGAATAATTCGACTGCGACGTAGATGGACGCCGCCTGCGGAGAGAAGGAGAACGACGAGGCTGAAGTTCGACTGGTGCCGTTTTGGCAACAGCAGCGGTCACAAGTTTCTCCTGGATGGACTGGAAGTCAACTTTGTTCAAACCGGCGTAGCTAAAGATGATCTCTTCAGCTTCGCCATCATCGGAAAAGCTATTGGGAGAGTCTGAATTTTGTTGGCCATTAGCGGAGGAGATCTCGTGCCATATGGGTCGTGGAACTTCTCCATCGGCAAAGAGGGAGGCAGTCTGATCTTTCCTGTCCACGTCCCAGGAGTGAAAGCTAGACCCAGCTGACTCAAGGGAAGATCGAGAGGAATTTGCAATCGGGGAGAAGAGTGGCTGGAATGGACCAAGGGTGAAAGGAGTGGATGGCGTGTTCTGATTAGAGGAACGTCGGCTACCATTCTTAGGCGATGCATCATTCAGAGAAAACGTGCCAGAGGTCGGCGAGCGGCTGGTAATCTGTGTAGGAGTTGGTGATCTCAAAGGTCTGTGTCCTCCCATGACCGGGGAACCCAGGTCAACCCCAGAGATAGAAGACATTGGGCGTGGTAAGTCGACTGAAGAGGTGGACGAGAAGGTCGAACTAAATGAATTCATATTAGTGTGTCCAGGGCCCATAAGGGGTGAATCGGGCAGCGCTGGGGATCGCACGGATCGGGAAGGAGATGCTTCTGAGAAATCGCTAGCCCAACTGCCATCTCGATTGTGTCGTGGGTTGCCGTTAGGTGTCCACGTGACATTTGAAGGCGTGGTTGGTCTGACAGGAACAGCCAATGGTTGAAACGAGGCGGTCGAGAGTGGGGAAGTCGGTCGACGCCATGGCAAAGACGCGGTTGCATCGGAATCAGCATGCTGAGGTTCCTCGGGGGTGTATCGTCCATTTAAAGAGCGTTGGAGGAATATGGGAGACGAAGCCAAAACATTGGGAGACTTAGGGCGAGGAGAATGGCTGGGAGGTAATGTTGTCTGTCTTGATGGAACAATGGGCGAAGGCGAGACTACGGTTGGCGAACTTGCTCTAGGAGTTGTAGAATAGGATCGTTGCTCATCGAAGTCGCTCGTGTCACGGGGAGTCATTGGTCGCGGCATACCAGGGACATAGCCGGGCATTGTGCGTGACGGTATTGGCGATGCTCGTGGCGAATCTGGCTCCAAACTGATATGTTTGTCAGACGATATAGCCATGCCAGCTTCATTATCTGGCTCTCTCTGGTAATGAATAGGTTAGACCAATGATACCAAAAACATCTGGCCACACACCGTCTCTCTGTCGAAACTTCCCCGAGTAATGGGTGCCGACCGAGGCATTACTATTTCATCCTCTGCTTCCTCCTCGATAGCTTTTATGGCTTCCTCTAAAGCTAACGATGCTCGGCGTAGACCAGAATGGCCTAGAGATTTGGAAAGTCGGTATTCGGCAACAGAAAGCGGCTGACCACCGTATGGAGCTGGGGCAATGAGCGGGGCAGAACGGACACCCTGAGACTCCACGGAAGTCTCGTTGGTTTCTGAAGGACCGGCTAAACTATCGTGCGAAGCAGTGTGGGTCCTTGTTGAATCCATTGTGCGAATGCTGGAAGCTTTACTCTGAACACTGCGAATATAGCTGTAGTCGCGAAAACGATTGGAGCCAAACAAATTATTGCTGTAGCGTTTGCTGGAAAGGCTGGTGTTGGAGGTAGAGGCAACTGAAAACTCATCTCCCGTCGGTTGCTTTGAGCCCAAACCCAATGTTGACAGCACCATGTCCTCCTCCTCCTCCGAAATTTGATTCTCTGCCCCGCGTGCCCGTTGACTAGCGAGTCGAAGCCTGAGAGCGTCAACAGAAGCAGACTCTGTTGAAACAGCGCTTAGTAGGGTGAAACGTCGTGAAAGACTATGGATATGTTGAAAACCAGTTCAATGTTACAAGTGGAACAAGACGCACTCGGTAAGAATGAGGGAAGTGCGAAAATCGCTTGAGCTTGGTAGTTCTGGGAGACTGTCTGGAGCCGAAGTTGGAGCTGGAATCGTCTCGTAAAGTTCCCGAGAAGAATCCACAGATTCAGCCACTGAGACGGGGTGTAGATTATTGGGCCGCTTCGCGTCCGATTTTTTGCTTATAAAGGCTAAGATAAGTTGGAGGGAAAACACCGGAGAGTACGCACCGAAAACGATGCATTTTGTTGTGGCCAACAAGCGAAGACTTTATACGGAGCTAGAATTGGCAGCGCCGACGCAACGTGTTGTCCACGTTGGGTCGAAAGAAGACTGGGTCTGGCAGGACGAGTGAATAGAGCGTGATGAGGAGATAAATGTCGTTCGAAAGCGGGGAAACTGAAGAGCGTCGCTGAAGGTGACTGGCGGTATGAAGAGACAACAACTTTCAGGCACATGTCATCCAAAAAAAAAATACATCCGAAACTATTTACAAATCGTCCTATGTCGCATACCTCCACCACCGCATTAGAGTGTGACTCCTCCAAGTCAAGGAAAGAACTCACTTCTTCGTCCATTCCTTTGCTGTTGCGAGGAACTTGGCCTTATCGTTCTTCAGCAGCTTCAAATTACCAATCAGCGCAGATCACGAACAATAAGGTGCCTCAACTCACCGCAGCGATCTCTGGCTCAAAAGGATCATCAGGGCTTGGGTTGTTAACCTTTTCCTGGATAATCGCGAGGACTTGAAGCTGTCGTAAGTGCAAATGACGACAACAGAGTTCACCACAACATACCCGAGGACAACGTCACTGAAGGTTTCCACTGCGACTGGTTGATCAAGAAGAAGGGCAGCCAGCCACACTCACTTCATCTCGCAATACCGGCACGCAGATGCTGCCCTCCTCGTTTATTCCGGGGTGGTAAATCTTGGTGGTAAATGTGACCTAGTACTTTCAGGATCTCTGTAACGACAAAACCAAAGGCGATACCGTCGGCGCTTTGAAAGGGAAATTCTGTGGAAGGGAGACCGTGAAATGGAACGTGCCAGACTTGTACGGGGAATCTGACTGTCGCGCTAACTGGTTGGTGATAAAAGCATAGATAGACCAGATCTCACAGCCGCCTTGATACTACATTTCCATTCGAACAAATTGTCGTCTTTGGTCTCTACTGTGATCCCCTATTGAAGGATCAACATTACTGAGAAGACGACGCGTATTCAGCCTTGCCTCAATCGGCTGTTTAGTGACATCAATGAGTTCCTTTGAAATCGTTGAGCTAGAAGCATTTCCGATGCGTATGGGCAAGCCTTTTGAATCCGACTGAGCGATTTTCGTGAGGTGTTAGAAGTCAGAGTCAGAAGAACTCACCGAAGAGCGGTCATGGCGAATGAGGACAAGCAAGTCACGTTGGCGTGACCACAAATGGAAGCTTCCCCTCAGCCGGCACCCACTCCTCCTCCACAGCCAGCTCAGCGAAAAAGAAAACGTGGACCAGCCACATCGGCATCCCCAGCCCCTCAAGATCCTGCACCAGTGCCAGAGTAAAACAAAACAACTGTCAAATTGATGAGACACTAAAGCCATTTCAAGAGTACTCTCGCGCTTAGATCTTTCGTCCCGCCCACAACTTTCGATATCCAGAGGCCCTTTCCTTACACCCATTACAGATGGCTCAGAGTTCTACAAAACCGACCTCACTGGCCTCAATCGCATTGGCTTCCGTTACTCACCTGCTGGCATCAACCCTCCTGGCCACGTTCTGCCATGTCGAACGATAGAAAGTAATCCCACTGCCTTCAGAATTAGCTGGGAGGACCGTAGCTCATTTGTTTCCGTCACCAAAGACGGCTTGAGCTTGCTGGGCGGCAAAGGGTTTCGCAGTGCGCGGTGTAATGCGCCAATCCGAGAAGGGCGGTGGTATATGGAGGTCAAGATCCTCCGAGGTGGTGGTGATTGCATTTCTGAGGACGGAAAGCGTGAGGGCAGCCATGTTCGTGTCGGCTGGGGGCGAAGAGAAGCGCCGTTGAATGGTCCGGTTGGCTTGGACGGATATAGCTATGGCTACCGAGACAAAACCGGAGATAAGGTTTCCCTTTCTCGCCCCAAAACATACGGCCGCCCATTTACAACTGGAGACGTGATTGGGATGTATCTATGCCTTCCTCCGCGACGCCAGGCAAATCCTAACGACCCTCATGACCCAGCGCGGCTCAAACGCGAGCGAATTGCTATCGACCTCAAAGGTCAAGAGGTTTTCGAAACCCTTGAATATACGCAATCGAAAGAAATGACCAATCTCATGGACTATTCAGGCAAGTCGTCAACATCGACATCAATTCCTTCGTCATCTAAGAAGGCCAAACTACCTGAACGTGGGCCGCCGAGTACTGTCAAAGTCAAAAACCCGAATCTCCGTCCACTTCCCACCCTTCCTGATTCTCATGTCGCCTTCTTTGTCAACGGTGAATGTCAGGGAGTCGCGTTCCAAGATCTCTACGACTACCTGCAACTTCGCCAGACCGCATCATCCCGCAAAGGCAAAGAACGCAAACGCGGGAAAGAAGGTGTGAAAGAACACGCACCCAATCCGTTTGACGATGGCACCTTGGGCTACTATCCATTCATCTCGCTCTTCAATGAAGCCTCAGTGCGACTCAACCCCGGGCCGGACTTTGACTTTCCCCCACCTCCAAACATTGACGCCCTCCTTTTCCCTGATCTTCCAGAAGCAGAAGAACAACGTTGGCGGCCATGCTGTGAACGGTACTCTGAATTCATGACTGAACAATGGGAGTTGGACGCCCTCGAAGAAGAGGAAGCAGCATCAGACTTTGTCCGCGTTGCCGCTGCCGAAAAGGTCCTCGCTGAGAAAAAGGCGCAGCGCGATAAGAAACGCCAACAGGCGGAAGCCCGCAAAAAATCCAAACTCGCTCCACAAGAAACTCCCGCCTCCCCAGAAGATGCCCGGCCGCCAACACCTACAACGCCAGGTCAACCGAGCCCTCTTAGGCATGGCATCGCCTATCAGAATATGGACACTGAAGAAGACGATTACAAAGAGAGCGTGTTGTACAACCCTAGCCCGCTGAGACACAACGCACTGCCAGTCGAGGCGGAAGCGAAAGAAGAGCCACTATCGCGACAACAGACGCCTGTGGCCTACATCCCTCTGAAACGAGAAGAGTTCCGTTTCGATTCTGGCCTATCTGGACCCGGAATGCCCCACCAACGTACAAAAGAGGTAACTCCCTCTCGATTCTTGGTGGGCCCAGGGTCATCTGGGTTAGCTGCCTTGTTGAATGCCGAGGACGCCGAGATGTCGCCATTCGTCTCTGAGTACAAATTGTAGAGTAGTAGTATCATAAATATTAAGCAAGAGTTGATTAACGTGTCCAGCCTGGCGGAGGAGACCGTACAGAGTAACCCACCGTTTCACCCAGCCCCTTTTCCTTCTCGACTCGTATGTCGAACACCCATTCATGGTTTTGGTACTCAACCTGACACCAGTTTCTCCGCCCCATGATAAATTGCTGTTTCCTGGTCTTCCCATTGGTCTCGGTCTGGAAGATGGGAACCTGGATCAACACTGAGCTGCAACCCAGGAAGATAAGCTGTTGGTATACCATCGCCTCGTCTGTGTCTGCGAAATGCATTGTGCGGTGCTTTTTTGTGGCCCTATCGGAATGAGTCGATGATACTGGTGAGAAAAGTAGGCCCTACAATGATGACACCATCGTGATGACACCATCGGGGGGAGGTGTATTGACAATTGCACCTGCCATCACGAGTCAGCTACCAGCGAAAAAGACAAGGACCCAATCGTACTTGTTACAACATTCAGCATATAGCGATGATCCAGTTGTGGCGGAGTGTCCGGAGTTTTGGGAGGTTGGAGTGTCTTGAAATAGCCAACAGCGGCACAATGCACATCGCCAGACAGAAAGGTGACGCGTATCAGCTGTGCTTCAGCTAGTTGTTGCATCTGCTGAACAAACCAATTTCGCTCTTTCTACACAGTGGTCAGGGTTGTTACGGGGTAATCGAGTGACTTACTTTGTGCAAAGTACTAGTCCAGTGGTCATTCTAAAGAATGGTCACTTCGGATCACCAAGGGAAATAGAAAACGCACAAGATCATCCAGCAGTTCGGCCTCTGCATTAAACTTGTTGACGAACGAGGAAAGGCCCAAGCTGCCAGCTTTCCCAAGGGCCACAAGGGGGTTTAATTTGGATTCGAGCGCTTTTTCCAAGAAAACCAGACGTGGGTACGCGATAGGGATGCCAATCTGGACGCAGAGATGTTCCACAGTGGTCGGAAGCTGCTTGAGCCTCTGGAAGACCTTGTCGTACTCTGCTGGACTGCAAACTTGATCTTTCTTCCTCTCTGCTCTGATAGTGCATGAGAAACGATGTGCTCTATCGGGCAGAGCGTGCCATACCGACAGTCAAGCATAAGGATGTATGTTTGAGGTCCCATATAGGCAAGGAATGAGTGACTAGGGAAGCCAACATATGGCCCCGGGGAGCCAATGATTGTCGACTGGCACCAGTGTTTCCCGGGTCGATCGTCAACACCGTCAACATCGACTGAGTTGCACTGAGCACATAAAGGGACTTGAATCAGTGACTTACCGTTAACGAAACATTGGAACAAGAGGAAGAAAAAGTAACCCCGTGTTCCTATACTGCAAAGCAAAGCCAATGAAGGAGGGGAAATAAGTGAATATCAGCAAACACGCACTGTCGGAAGATTGGGGCGAGTTGAAGATCATCGGGGTCTAAAAAAAGATGAATTAAATTTGACAAATTGCTTGTGCGCTACTTACAGCTTCCAAAACCATCAATCTGCAAATGATGATTGAAAAAAGAAATAATTGCTCTGCTCAACGGCTTACCAAATCTGTTCATAGAGAGGTTACGCTCAAGTCTTGCAGGTGGAAAAACTCTTACCGTGGTCATCTAAGAAGGCTGTCAGTCACACGTTCAGTGGGAGAACACGAAAAACGAACCAGCCATATTGATCATTGGACTGATTGAAGGCTCAGCAATATTCTCAAAGGTAGACCATACGAGACTCACATGGTGCTATTGGCCCGAGCGAATGCACCACGCCGGAAGTGGTTGCAATAATGCGAAAAGTAGAATCGGTCAATTGCGAACGCGATTTCCTCCGTTAATGCATATTTCTTTCGGTCCATCGGTTTTTTATTCATCCATTCCTGTAGCTCTGGTTCCCGAGTAACACTGATATAGCTCCATCAGCATAGATATACTCAAAAGGACCAATAAACCTGTCTAAGTGCACTTTCAGTGCAAATTTAGCGCAAGATTAAACCACAAACCGCAATATATTTGGTCCCCACCGCCGACTTGAACATGAAAGGGCTTTTCTGCGTGTTTTGTCAACAGATCTACCCAAACAGGGTCGTAACCTAGCACCAATGTGAGCATATGTCGTCGGATGGTAGGGTATACTCACCGCTGTTGAAACCGGGGCCACGAAAATCATCTGGATTGATGCCGGCTGAGAAACCGTTGCACTGTACGGAGAACCTGAGCGAAGAGAACGGAGGCAAACTGACAAACGCACCGATGACGCTGCCCATCTCATATTCTGGTTGACACCGGGCACGAAAAAGACAAACTGAGGACAGTTGACGGACGTTGCGAGTGTTGCGACTGATTGTGAACGTACTGGTTGACCTTTGTTGATGGTGTAGGTTACCGCCATTTCCGCAGGGCCCAACGGTATCTCGATGAGGAACCGCCAGAAAGTTGATGTCCTAAAGCGCTGAACAACAGTATTGGGCTGGCGAGGACAATGCATACCTCCCGGTGCCAACATAAACCCAGATCTCATGGCCTGGAACATGCTCTTTCCGAAAGTGTGGACCTCGGCTGCCCCCGTTGGAGGCAGTGAATTGTATGCCATTACTCAGTGTGTGCAAAGCACTGGGATCAGCGGGGTGTGGTCCAAGATCGTAAGAAGGTCGGTCTTGGATGGGTGATGGAAGACTGTTGGCTGGAGACGAGTCTGGGTCCCATTCAAACGAGAGGGTGGGGTGCGGGTCATAAACAGAGCCGGAGTCGGCAGCTGCGAATGCGTCAGATCCGTCACCGAGCACTCCCGAGTTACTACGCACTCACTATCAGAACTGCCCCTCGCCAGACTCCATTTTTTACCGTGTCGTAGCGCAATAGCGGACCAACCATGAACTAGAATGAGATTAAATTTAGGGTACAGACTCTTGGGTGGTAACACGCACTTGTAAATGAGGGTCCATCCTCGCAATACGCTGAACCTCCGACCTCTCAACCGCAGTCATAGTAGCAAAACTGCTCGAGATAGACTCTGTCTTTGTCCGTCGAGCGAAATATGACTCATCCTTGGGCGGTAATGGTGGCGGGCGAGGAGTGGAAGGGCGACTAGCGTGCAAATATGGGTCAAACCCACCTAGTGCCGTCAACAAGTGCAGCAACTAATCCGAAATGCCTATACCGATGAAACTCTCATCCATGACCATCGGAGGGGCCTCAACTGCATCCAAATGAATGAGGAACCATTTTAACACCAAGAGTAACAGTGCGCACCAGGCAGGAAAAAGCCATCTTGGCCGCGATGAGGAACGTACTCGCTTTCCTATGACGTTTCATAACCCAAGCCCCGGAATAACACAAAAAGGTTCTTACACGTTGGGCCCTTCGGTTTGCAGTCCAACCCGGAGCGTCCATGACTGAAGGTCTAGTCGAAAAGTCGAGGCCAAAGAAGTTGGGTTCAAGTTTATATATGCACTGAGAAAATGCTCCATTTTGATCGACACTCCGCAGACTAGATGTTGGATTGGTCGACGGGCCAAGCCTCCATGTTAACATTAACCGATATGCTCAACAACCATTGTAGTCAGTTTCCCATTCTTCACCACCGTCTTCAACATCTCAGGGACTGCATGCTCCTGGAATACTCCAATTTCCTCTCCTTCAACAGGCAAACTAACGTTGATCGCACTGCACTTGGCAGTAGTAATCTCAGCGCCGAGGCTATCCTTCGAGAGATAAATTTGGCCTGAGTCTGTCTTGTCAACCTGCACCATTGGCGCTGAACCAGTAATCTGAACTGCGAACGAGGGCGAGTTGGTAATCGACACAGAGGCTACGACGGACTCGACAAGGACGGAGGTCTTGACGCAATCGACTATCATTATGGGCGCCGTTAGATGCTGGTAAACTTGACGGAGTGGAGGGGAATGTTTACCAAGCGTCACAGCGTTGACCTTCCCCTTAATTTGTACGGTGGAGTTCTTGCAGGCAAAAAGGTTCACGGCTTGATTCATCTGGCCATCCTCGACTGTTAATGTTTGGTTTTCTTGGTGCTCCTAGCGCGATCGTTCAGAATGATTTCATCTCGAGTGTGTGGGGGCTTACGATTGCCCAGTTTTTGCCTTCCAGCGCGAACTTGGCGGGTTTCTTGGTGCTCAATGAGGATGGTTTCGTGGGCTTAAGTGGTTTCTTAGCTTAAAAAAGGTTTGTCAACTCAGAGATAGAAGAAAAAATGTAAACAGAAATTACCAGCGGCAGATACTGAGCTTGGGATGGGATTGTTAGCTCGGAGTTCGGGGTTCTTGTGTGTCATTTCGCTCTTATCGACCTTTCGAAGTCCTTTAGTAACTTCTTCACCACGATTCAATTGCGCGAAAACAGCGGCCGTTCCGCCTGCTGAAGCACTGGGCGTAGCGGCGGGAGGAGGAGGGGGGGGGGGGCGGAGGAGGCGCGGTGCTACTTTGCGAGCTAAACTCGGCGACGCTGACACCATTCTTATTCCAGGCCAGTCCGGTTGTGTGGTACTCCATGACATACGAGCGCATGGCATCTAGAATTGCGATGAACGACCTGACCCATTCAACGTGCTTTGGATTTCTTGAACTGATGTCAGAGAGTGTGAGGCATGGATCTCTGAACACGTACTTTTCTTTAAACTCCTTGATAACCTTGTTGCCGTTGTACTGCACACTCTCTTTGATTTCACCAATATATGGGCCGGGTTTTGGCTAGATGACTTTAGCGAGGAAGTCTTAAGGAGAAAATGCACCTCACGTTGACTATCCAACCAACTGCCAGGCCTCCATCACCAACGATAATGATATGCTGCTCCCATTGCCTGTCCTTTCTTCCATCCTTGCATCGAGTGATTGATTCGATGCTGGCTTGGATTGGAGAGAGTAACTTCTTCAATCCCTCTTCATCTGGTTGTTGGCAAGAACCGCTAATCAACAAAAAGGAACGAAGGCCTTGCAGTTGCTTCTCTAACATGCCGACCTGATCTCTGGCATCAGCTTGTGTGGCCATTTGAGACGATTCATCGTACAATTTCTGTGACAGGTGCGCTGTCCAGTTGCTTCGTCAGTGCGATGAATGGTTTGAGTTTGCCGTCTATAACTAGTTCGTCGAATGCAACAACACTTTGGGGGGTTGCTGGTGCAGTCGGTGCTGGTGGTGGGGGCGGTGGCGGGGGTGGGGGGGTATTGGTTTGATCGTTGCTCTGCTTTGGGGGGACTGGCTGACGAGCTAGCTGACATCCCTTGGGCCATGGCTAAATCTTCAATGCGTGAAGTAGCCGCCTCGAGACTAGAAGAAGCCATTATATTCCCCATGGTTAGGAGCAGCTTAGGAAGATAGGAGCAGCAACAAACCGCTTTATTATAGTCGCCAGCGAATGCAATCCACCCGAATTACTTGAGGCCATTTGTAGGTATGCAGTCGTCGTAAGTAAAGTTATCAGTCTAGTATGTCACAGCGAACCATCCTCCTTCATTCGTTTGACTCGCTTCTTCTTCCGCCTTCGCTCTCGCTCCCTTTGTTTTGCCTGAGCCATCGCGTCTTTCGTCAACCCCGGGTTTTGAAGTTGATCCAACTGCAATGACCAAAGGTCAGCGTTTCCCAGCGTTTCTCTCATCACACTAACCTTTTCAAGAAGGAGTTGGCGAGCTTTCCGGCGGTTAATGGCCAAGGATCGCCTGTGGTCAATATAGTGAGCAAAAATGAGAGAACAATGCTTGGACAAACGTCTCGTGGCACGTCACTCGAATGCCAGTTGGTCGATGCAGCAACTGAACGTTGTTTTGAGTTTTGTTCACAGATTGACCACCCTAAACACGCAATTTCGAAGGTAAGGAATGGATTGTAGAGGTACCAAGTACATAGGCTACATACCGGACCGCTGCCTATCACGGAAAGAATGAAAAATGGTGTTTTAACCAACTGAGAGAACCTGCCTCGGACAAACGATTCTTCGAGATCCTCCTCTCTCAACTCGGGCAGAATGCGATTTCTATGAGCAACTTTCATTGCAGAATAGAACATGCGAGGCTTCTTGTCAAGAGCAGGCACAGGAGTTTCTAAGCTACAGAATGAGCTAACGGAGAAACCGAAATGAGGGAAATGCAAACTCTGGTTGATTAGTGTTCGGCGAACCAGCACTCTTGACGGAATCGTTGGAGCCAAGTTCAGTATCTTCGGTTATTCGCAAAGTCCAGGTATCAGACTGTTGCGTTCTCGATGCCTGAACAATGTTTTTCCTGAGAATAACGGAGATTTCGCGGGCAAGGGTATTATGTTGCTCGTATGCCGCAGGGTCTGTAACACTACTGGCAACCAGGGCGTCTTGCCTCATCTTGGTGCGAAAGGCTGGGACAGTCAGTTGGCTGGGACACCGGAAAAACATATAAACCTTGAAGAACTGGCTCATCGCCGGCGAAAGTAGCTGTGGCTGCACGAAATAGTTGGCGATACGCAGCCCGAGCAGCTGCTTGCGCCTGAGTGGAAATCATAGAAAGAATGCGTCGCTTAGTCAGTCAAGCACGCACGTGAGCCGGACAAACAACGCGTCAACAACTTTCGTTTACGTGACCGTAACGCTTCAACTTCGCTTTCAACTTTCACCATGTCGGACAGTAAACCCGCTTCTCCAGCAAAGTCTTCCAAGACTGCCTCGCCTAAAAAGACTCCCGTCAAGGCGGCGACAAAGGCTAAGGCGACGAAGGCGACCAAGACTGCTGCGCCGAAAGCTCATCCACCATGGGTCGATATGATCAAGGTTAGTTGTTGTTTAAGATCGCCCACTCTTCCACTCACCAGTCGTCTCAAAGGAGTGTATTGCAGCCTATCCAGAAGATGCTCGCTCAGGAGTTTCACGACCCCAGATTAAGAAGTAACACCACGCCTTGCGTGTCTTTACTAGCCTCTCACCGTTGGATCACTAGGTTTGTCGAGTCCAAGTACAAGCTGACTATCGGCGCCGCCCAAAATACGCAACTCGCCAAGGCCCTCGCATCCGGGAGTGAGAAGGGGACCTTCTTGTTGCCGAAAGGTATATGTCTTGGTGTTTTCCACATTCACTTATTAACACTACTCAGGTCCTGCTGGTCGAGTCAAACTTGCTGTCAAGGCGAAATCTTCCAGCGACACGGCAGCTAAAGAGGTCCGTAGACATTGGATATATTCTGAGAGCGCTGTTGTTGACTGTTAGAAGAACAAACCTGCGAAGCCTAAGAAGACCACCACTACTACGACCAAGGCTGCTCCTAAGAAGACTACTACCACTGCTACCAAATCTCGCTCGACACCAGCAAAGACACCGGCAAAGAAACCGGCCGCGAAGAAGGCAACTACTGCCGTCGCCGATAAACCCAAGAAGACAACCACAACCCCCACCAAGCGTGCAGCACCAGCTAAATCTACAACCAAGCCAGCAGTGAAACGGGCTCCCGCCAAAACAGCCAAGGCAAAAGCTACACCTCCCAAGAAGACAACCGCACCTTCGAAGCGTGCCCCAGCCAAAAAGGTTTTGGCTTTCAGCACTATTCATTGGCAGCCCAGTTAACACCTTGCAGGCGGTAACGGGTAGCAAGCCAGCGGCGAAGGCCAAAGTAGCACCAAAGAAGAAGGCGGCCGCAACTTCCGCATCCAAACCAGCCGCCAAAGCACCACGGAAAGCAGTACGTTGTTCAAGACATTCATTGACGTGGCTGAATTCCAACTAGCCCACCAAGCGCACATGATCCATTTGCTTGTTGATACCTCATACTATGCACAAGACGGCCAGGTCGACTCGCTATGTAACCTTTAACTTATTTCCTGTATGAGACAACTGCCACTCGAGGTAGTTGTGTGTGTAGTTATGTCTTCAATGTATGTGACTTGAGCGTGACAGGCGTTCGTGTCGACCATGGCGTCGCGCCACGATTACCCTCTCTTCATTCCTATCCATGAATCACTTCTGCTTCAGTTTACCTATGCTGCTCATGGTCTCATGGACTCCTTCCGATGGGTGTCGGTCTTCACCACAGTCGCACGGTATAGACTAGTCTTCCTGTCTGGCGAAACTTATTTTCAAGTCAAGGGACGCTGAAATTCGTAGCAATATTCTCAGATGCTTCTTGCTGAATCTAAGCTCGCTTCTGTGTCTCTATATGGTCGACTTGCTCTTCCTTGATGCTACCCCACACATCGGTTGGCTGTACAGGCTAGCTTGGGTCCTCCCCGCACTCGGAGTCTCGTTTTATCTTAATGTAGGCACTTATGAGCACACCATAGTCGATGCTAATAAGCTAAATCCAGAGTTCTTGGTGTTCCGTTATCGCAAAACGAGCCTATTCCCTTCAAAACGCCAACCGAGCAGCAACCCAACCCCCCTCGACATACAATGGTCTGCTAACCGCCATTGCCACGTCTGCCTATCGAGTCGTAATGGTCTTCACATCTGTCGTGGTGTCCTTTGCTCTCGGCCTTATTCCTTTGGTTGGACCTGTTGTTGGATTTATTTTCCTATGCTGGATTGACGCGTAGGCTATTGTTAGCAAGTATTGCTCCCCTTTGACATGCTCTTCTCTAGGTACTACTGCTTCGAGTAAGCCTATCAGATGATGCGAGGGGAAATCTCATTCCCCTCTAGGTTCGTTTGGATAGCCAGAGGTATGTCGCTTTCGGGGCGAGTGAGGCATTTGGAAGAGAGATGGGCTTATTATCTTGCGTTTGGTTTGTTGTGAGCATGACGCTGCGGAAATTATTTGATCTCTCCAAAGGATTACCTTCTGCTGCTCTTTGCTCATTTGGAAGCAGTCTTGCAAATGCAGTCGTATTCGCTCTGTTCTTTCCCCTGGTTCGTCCACCACCGTTGTTTCCTCTTGTTCTCAAGCCTTGACTAGTATATTATCATGGCGATTCATGGACGTCCGTTGCCAGAAGACCCCTACAGTCCTCTTCCACCCAGTTCTCGAGGCAGTGACGATGTCATTCGACATCCTTCACCATTCATTCCCATTCGGTTACCCATATTCGCAGTGGTGATGTGGTTGAATGATACGATTGTCCGGGCAGTCAGTGTAGGCAGTGCCAAACCAATAAAACACAATAGATCCTTCAGCGATGGTGGAGAGAGTGTAGAAGCAGGCAAGGGAGTTGAGCAAGCTCGGCCAGGACGAGCAGTGCAAACTCGAATCAATATAGGACGCAGGAAGAAAATAGACTAGATAATCCAACGTATAGTTTCAGCCAAAGCCGGCCCACTCGATAGTCAGATAGGATACCTCTTTCTTCGCGTCATCCCAACCACAAAGAAGATGTGCCTTTTTTGTGACCGTCCCAAGTCGACCGTGAGCTACGATCTCCATTGGTGTCAGTTGAGCTGTTGGCGACATAAGCACACTGGCAGAGAAGTGGGCGTGATAGCGGAGGGGGTCACCTGTCTAATTGTAAGATTCCAGGAATGTCACCAGAAGGAAACTGACCAGGGTAGACCAAGTAATCACCTCCAAACTTGATTCCAATGCCGATGTACATGCCCTGCTCCCATAAACCTCTAAACACACCGCATTTAGCGCGTTCATGAAGATCAGAGGGATAGGACCATATTCCGGCAGCTTTCGCTTCGGCGAGAGTCGTATAACCACAAGCACTGTCATTGTACCACTCGTGCGAGGAGGTTGTCGCTGGAATTAAAACAGTATATAGCCCGTCAAGTTGACTAGATGGTGGAGGTTCTTCTTGCTCAGGTGCCATTATGTCGTTAGATGCCGCCTGTCTTGCTTTTGCAGCTTTTTTGGCTTCCCGTTCCTTTCGTTTTCGAGCAGCCTCCTCGGACAGTGGAGGAGCATCTTTTGAGGCAGAAGCAGCCTGGGTAATTTGGAGGAGGGCAGATTGCTTGTCTTCAGAGGCCCAGTGCTTCAATTGGTCCAAAGAAGGTTGGATGTGTGCCTTGGGATCATCGACCAATACGACAGCATCTTGCCCGCGTTCAATCGCGTCGCAAGGAGTATCAGGCGAACTCACCGTTCTCCACAAGCAAAACTACTTCCTCAGGCAAAAGAACCATCGGAACCCCAAGAAAAACGTTCTGCTGACTCAAGTGAGGGAGAGTTCCCGTGAAGAGACCGCATATTCGATGATTTGACCGTAGATTCGCGATGTCTAGAATATCTTAGTCCGCTTCGATTAGTAGTTAGTGGTGGGGTAACCTTCGACATTCCACACATACGCCTTTTGGTTGGCGATCCGCAATGGAATACGGGGAGAAGTCATCTCACCGTGACTTGCCCTGATCCACCATGGCAGCACCGGTTTACGACGCGATTGTGTTGTTTGGTGACTCGATAACACAAGCTGGCTGGACTGATAGCGCGTTTGGCGCTAAATTAGCAAGTACAACATCTATGCATTTTTCTTTTGTCGTTATATAAGCTTATCTCTAGACGTCTACTCTCGCAAACTGGATGTCCTTAACAGAGGGCTAGCGGGATACAACACAACATGGGCATTGCCAGTCTTGGAGCAGGTAGGTATCGTTGTAATTTGAAGACGCTTGTTGTGACCTATAGTCAGTGCTTAGAGCGCGGTCCCCAGAGATCGAAAACTCGGCTCATCGTCATCTGGTTCGGTGCCAACGACGCTTGCATCAAGCCCTCTGTCCAGCACGTCCCTCTGGTTGAATTCATCGCCAACATAAAGCAAATGGTTCGGCTCGTACAAGAGGCAGATCCGGAAACCAAAGTGATTTTGATAACTCCACCACCTGTGAACACACAGCAAAGAAAGGAAGACCTCGAGAGTAGGGAGCCTCCAATAATGACTATAGACAGGGACTTTGAGGTGACACAACAATATGCTGGCGGCGTCTTGAAGGCTGGAGCAGACTGCAATGTTCCAGTGGTTAATGTTTGGGTCGCACTGTGGCAGGCCGCAGGTAACAAAGAAGACGGACTGAGAGTTTACTTGTCAGATGGATTGCACCTCACGAGGGCGGGCTACGAGGTCGGTCTTGATGATAGTCCGACAAAAGAGGCTGATCAGAGAACAATAAAGGTCGTTTATGACGCGTTGTTAGAGAGGATACGCGCGTCTCATGGCGAATTGGACCCAGAAAAATTGCCCTCTGTGTTTGCTAACTGGACGGAGATGAGTGCCTGAGTTCGTTCCAGATGTACAACGCGAGCCCTTGGAGTAATCGACTGTAATGGATGTGATTGTGACGAAGGAAGTGACGTAGAGAATTGACAGCATCATCAGATTTATGTGACTAATCAATGCGGTCTCGTGGGTCTCGTGCAAAGTCAACCACTCCCACCACCACCGGTGCATTGTCTTCGCCCTGCGAGCGAGGCCTCCCCCATAACTCCCTTTGCGGCACTTGAACGCAGCTTATATCCATTTGCGCTCGTCTGCTTGCGCTTTTCACTTTGGCTGACACGTTTTTTTGGCAAGCCGAACCGTGCCGGACTCACCAGTGTCCATAATTTTCGCAGCTCGTGAGAACTCTTACACCGCTTCTTTGCGTTGTTCAACCTCTTTTTAGGCCCGGCCTCCTCCGTCGCACCGCTCTTTCACTCATCGGTACGTTTTGGGCGAACAATGCGAAACGGTAGCGTGACTAACGAGGTTGCATTGTCCTAGGATTGTACGCGTACTTAACCTCGTGAGGGTTGTTGGTTCTTTCTCTTTTCTGCCACTCTGACCATGTTCGAACCAGATTTCAAGAGACGGCGCCTTTCAACCATGTCATTCTCCGGCCAATACCTCAGCGCACCGAAGCGCCACGACAAACAACACCAACCACAACAACACGTGAACTACGACGACAACGATGACCTCGAGCTCTCCTTCGCTTCGAACGTTTCACTGAACTCTCCGCCTCGGGCCAGCATTGCCCTTACCCCAGAAAGCGAGTCCTCAAATGCGATGGACATTTCTCCCCTTCCCCCTGCACCCAAACAGTTCTCACGTCCTCGCGCATTTACGAGCGGTGCGAGAATGTTTGGGCACGACCGGAGCAACGAATCGATACGATCTACTGGCCCACAACCATCCCTGAAATCAGGTTCGATTAGCGGCAAACGAATTCAACGAAGTGCGCTGCCATTTGAGTGGATGGCACCAGCCCAACCGGCTGAACTTATGTTTAAACAAGTGTGTCCTTTGTCTCACTCAACCCCCTATCTCCATTGTTGACTCTCGCCAGGACCCGAGCTCAGATGATGCTATGGAGGTCGACACTTCGTTCGAAGTACCCACAGTGCCCCAGTCTGCCGCGCCAACCGTAACTGGTTTCGACAATCTCTTCTATGACTCTATGTCTCCAGTCGCTCCTCATGCCAAAAAACAGCGTCGCTCACTGTCACCAGAACGCGTCAATGCTCTCGAGCCATCATCTTCGCCCGCTCAACCCTCCTCTCCCTCAGATCGCAAATTAGAACGGCTGTCAGCCGGTCCCTTATTTCCTGTTTTTGACAAGCCGAGAGTAGAGGGTCTTGGTGTGCCCCCTTCGAAAAGATCTCGCCGCCCAGCTTTGTCAGCTATGGCACAAACTGCGTACCCAACCTTGGATAAAGAACCCACTCTTCCTTCCCCCGCTGAACGCCAACTCCCTCCAACTCGCCGGGCTTTTTCTGCTCTGATTCCTGGTTCTGTACTAGAAGGAAAGAGTTCAGAAGTGCAGTCCTCCGATGAGTCTTCTTTCGAAGGTTTATCCTCGCCAGCTCAAGCTTACGCGCACCGACAACAAATGAAGACTATCCGTCGCTGCGATGGCACTGACGACTTCCGACCACTCACTGGTGTCACCGCTCTGGTTCAGAACGAAAGTCCTTCGGCCAAATTCCTTACGGCCGGTATGCCTGGGTTTGGTGACAATGAGGCTGCAGGCAAGATTTTGCCCTGCCATCGCGTCACGGACGATGGACTAATGAGAATCAACGCCCAAACGGTGATTCATTTCTGTCGTTTTTCTTGTTGACCCATCTAATGACATTTCACAGCTCAATAACCTTCTCGACGGTCATTACAGCGACCAGGCGGACTATTACGTCATCGACTGTCGGTTCGACTATGAGTTCAACGGCGGCCATGTCAACGGTGCTGTGAATTTGAATCAGATTAGCGCTGTTGAAGACTTCTTCCTCCGCCCAGCGCTGAAGAAGCCGAAACCATCCGTGAGCGGTGACCCGGCACGAAAGACGGTTCTCGTTTTCCATTGCGAGTTCAGTGTCAAGCGCGCTCCAACTTTGTGAGTGTTGTTTGAATGTTTCACACTTATCTCAGCACTCATTCGGCTACAGCGCGAAGCATCTGCGAGCTAAAGATCGCGCCCAGAATAACCATGTTTATCCCAAGATTCATTACCCTGAGCTCTACATCCTGGAAGGTGGCTACTCGCAGTATTTCCAGAACTCCGCCTCGCGGTGTCTTCCACAAGGCTATGTGACCATGGATGATCCTGTTCACACTGCTTCCCGGGACGGTGGGCTTGACCAACTCCGCAAGACCAAGTTTGGAAGACACAAATCGTATGCGTATGGTGACGGCGCCAGCAAAATATCCAATCTGCCTCAACAACCGAAAAGGAACACAGTTCCTGCTGGTCCGGGGTCGATTTTTGCCGCTGCTTCTGCTGCTCGGACTCGTCGTGGCGGCTCGTTGACTACTCTCAGCGAGGATTCTCATACGACAAACGATGCAGACGACACTGATGTAGACTTGGGTGACAGTCCTTGTCCCGCACCTCCCAAGGCAGTCAAGAAAGTAACACGCACTCTTGTTCGCGCCGAGACTTACGGACCCACACGAATGCCCTATTGAACTCTCCACGAATTGTCACTCTTTTTCACCGACGCTCATTTTGCTCAAGCCAATTTTTTTCCTGATTTAATCCACATCTACCTCAGCATTTTTCCCCTCTCTCCACACGCATCGACAACTGCTTGACGGTTGTGTATTTCCGATGTAGTTGTACCTACCTTCGATGTAGACACGCCATGGACTGTTACCATTTCTCGTGTATCTTCTTGCCATTAATATTTATGGTCGCTGGAAGCCGCAATCAGTTTTTTTCGTGATGCCATCAGCGTCTGCGTCTTTCTCATGTTCCAACGCGATCCTAGAGCTGGTGCATTCCTCGGTGGAGACCGCGTTTCTGGCCAAGATATTCGCGACCAGAATGGTCTGTTTTCTTTTCCTCCCTATAATCGCGGTTTGTTCATACCGATCGCAGTCATCGCTGCCCTGTCCATCGCCAATATTCTGAAGAGTTCGTTGGGGCCATTAGGTCTGGACAAAATGCTGGTTGATAATATCGGGGTGCGTTGCTACTAACACTCTCTTCCGCTATGTGGCTCAATCTCCTCAGGAAGTGACCATCTCCAACGATGGCGCAACCATTCTCGGTATGCTTTCCGTCGAGCACCCAGCTGGTCGCATCTTTGTCGATCTGGCCCAAAAACAAGACAAGGAAGTCGGAGACGGGACTACCTCTGTTGTCATCATTGCTGCAGAGCTTCTACGACGCGCCAATGAGCTCGTCAAAGCCAAAATACATCCGACCACCATTATCACTGGCTACAGGCTAGCATGCAAGGAGGCCGTAAAATTCATGCAGGACCAACTCAGTGTCAAAGTGGATGCCCTGGGGCGAGATGCACTAGTGAACGCGGCAAAGACGAGCATGTCGAGCAAAATCATTGGCAGGTGAGGGTTGTTTGGTTCTTTCTGTGCTTTTCTTCGTTGACCCTAGCGGCACAGTGACGATGATTTGTTCGCTCCGATGGCTGTGAACGCTATGCTCGCAGTCAAGTCCATTAACATTCGTGGTGATATCAAGTACCCCGTTAAGGCAGTCAACGTTCTCAAAGCACACGGGAGGAGCGCAAGGGAGTCGATATTCGTACCAGGTTATGCGTTGAACTGCACTGTGGCCAGTCAAGGTGCGTCTCAGGTCATTTTTCTTCGCGAACAAAGCTCATTTTGTTGACAATAGCAATGAAAAAGCGGATAACGAACGCCAAGATCGCCTGCTTAGACATCAACCTCCAAAAAGCGCGCATGCAACTTGGTGTTCAAATTCTTGTCGATGACCCAAACCAATTGGAAGAGATTCGCAAACGAGAGTCAGAGATCACGCTTGAGCGGATACGGAAGATTCTTGCTGCAGGAGCCAATGTCGTGCTGACAACCAAGGGCATTGACGATCTGTGTTTGAAGGAATTCGTCGAGGCTGGTGCCATGGCCGTTCGAAGGTGTAAGAAGGAAGACCTTCGTCGGATCGCAAAGGCAACTGGTGGCCAACTAATCTCCAGTCTGGCAAATTTAGAAGGAGAAGAGACATACGAGGCCAGCTATCTTGGGACAGCGGAGGAGGTCATCCAAGAGCGCATCTCGGACGACGAGCTCATTCTTGTCAAAGGCACCAAAGTGGTCAACTCTGCCTCAATAATCTTACGTGGTGCCAACGACTACATGCTTGACGAGATGGAGCGCGCCTTGCATGATACTTTGTCTGTCATCAAACGTACTTTGGAGAGTGGGGCGGTTGTCCCTGGTGGTGGTGCTGTTGAATCAGCGCTGAGCATCTATCTCGAAAACTTTGCCACAACCCTGGTAAGCTTATCACTTGGTCAAAGCCACAATGATGACCTCTAGACTACAGGGATCAAGAGAACAACTTGCCATTGCCGAATTTGCTAGTGCCTTGTTGTCGATCCCGAAAACATTGGCAGTTAACGCGGCAAAAGACTCGACAGAGCTTGTGGCCAAACTCCGGTCATTCCACAATGCAGCTCAAAACGCGCCTGTGGGTGACCCGAAAAAGGCGCTACTGAGATATGGGCTGGATCTTATGAATGGAGACGTGAGGGACAATGTCGCGGCTGGTGTGCTAGAGCCAACAATGAGTAAAGTCAAGAGTCTCAAGTCGGCATTCGAAGCAGCGGTCTCATTACTGCGCATTGATGACGCGATTCAATGCGTCCCAGAGCCGAAGCAAGAAGCAGATCCCCACGGGCATTAGACAATTTTGTAAAATTAAAAAAGTAGGAAAAATAATCAGTGTATACTGGTCACATGATCAAATCTGCTCCGGTTCGCGCGTTGATGTCGTTGTTTCCGCCCGCGGTTGGGCAGCGACTGCAGTCACTCGTATGGTCGTGTCTTGACTCGGACCTATCAAAGACTGCGGTTTTCTATGCTGAACGTTATTACGCATTAGACTCGAGTAACGAAGATGCTCGCCACCTCTATGCCACCGCTCTTCTCAGACATGGCCAGCCCCATTCAGCGCTCCATCTTGTCAGAGCCCCTCGTGGCCTCCCATGCACGGGCTGTCTAGAGCTCAAAGCCAAGTGTTGTACGGCGTTGGGTCGCCATCGACAAGCAAAAGAGGCTTTGGATGAATGTCTCCGTGACCAGAGTTCTGCCTCTTCATGTACGCCTTGATTGAAGACTTTGACGCGTCTGAATACTCCCTGTTTAGCCTCACAATCTACTCGAACTGCTCGATCCTTTCCGGATGAAGCCGCAATTCGATGTCGGGCGGGAAACATGGCGTTGAAAGGGAACCTGCTTGAAGACGCGTCTGTCAATTTCCGTCAGGCTTTGACATTAAATCCGCTTGTTTTTGAGGCTTTCGAGGGGTTATGCGCTGTTGGTGCGTCTAGTCAGTTATATGGCACGTCGTGTGGGACTAAATTGGTTTCGAGGTACTGTTCCGGAGATCGAGGAAATATTTCCACCTCGACCTGTTCCTACCAAGCGTGGTCCGTCAGAAGACCCACAACCAAAGCCTGTTGTCCCCGTTGCTTCTGGAGCCGGATTCTTCACTCCAGATACTGCCAATTCAGGAAGCCTATTCCGCCCACTCCAACCCATGCCCTTTCGTATGCCTCCCCTCGGCAACGAATCCATGTCAGTAAAAATCGTTGTTCAAGCCAAGTACTCGACTAAATAAACGTTCATAGCGAAATATCATTCTACCCGCAAGATACAACTTTCCAACAAGTCCATCCGCCAGGCCGTCAACAGTCAAACCCCTCCAGACCGCTCTCATCTGCAGATGAAGCAGGACCCGTAGCCAAGAAGTTACGATCAGCCGCGCCTCAACAAGAATCGAGTAGAACAAACAAGCCGTCAAAGTTGTCGGTTGATGAACCTCTGAAAAAGGCAGGCTCTCGCCCAGCGCTAAAGCTTTCCTCGCTCTTCTCATCTTCGGCTCGTTCTTCGCAGCCATCAACTTCGTCACGAGCTGCCAGTAGCTCAAACAATCATGTTGGGACTTCTTCAAGCACGACAACAACTCGACGGAGCGGACGCCCTAACAATAGCACCTCTTCAAAACCAGGTTATGTCTCAAAGGTATATCCACCAATGCTTCTTCACAACAGCTGTCCAACCAACCATTTTGACAGACGAGTACAAGAGGCCGTCGTCGCCAACCGACCCAGACCACCAAGACCACTGTTGAATCCGACATGGAAGACAATTATCAATCACCCTCACCCCCGCCCTTCGCCCAATCCCCTCGATCCGAAAAGTCACAATCTCCAAGTAATTGGACCGCTGCCCATGAGCAGGCTGCTCAAGATGCTTACGAATGGGAACTTGCAGACCACCATGTTTATGAACTTGTTCGTCAATTCGCCACTGCGACAAGGGCTTTAGCTCTTTATGATCCTCCTGGATGCCTCGCAGAATTGGAACGACTCCCCAACGAGCAACAGCGCACCCCATTCGTGCTCGCTATGGCTGGGAAAGCTCATTATGAGCAACTTCAATACGCAAATGTAGGGTGCTATTATATAGCGTGTTGTCTGCGAATCTTATTATATGCTGCAGGCTGAGCGTGCTTTCCGTTCCCTTCGGATGCTGGAACCATATCGTCTCATGGATATGGAGGTCTATTCTACTTTGCTTTGGCATCTCCAACGCAACGTCGAACTGTCTTTCCTTGCTCAGGAGCTTCTCAGTGTCGACCCCAAGTCTTCACAGGCCTGGATTGCCATTGGGAACTTATTTTCTCTGCAGAAAGAACGAGCGCAAGCTTTAACATGCTTTCGCCGTGCGGCTCAATTGGATCCGTCTTGTGCTTACGCGTACACCCTTAGCGGACACGAGTCGATTGACGAAAACTTAGATAGGGCAATTGCCTACTTCCAGTCAGCGTTAAGGGTTGATCCCAGGCATTATAATGCATGGCAAGTCTACCTGATTCGCATTAAACCTGATTTTTTAATTGCAACAGGTATGGACTGGGCACGTGCTATCTGCGAATGAGCAAGGTCCGACTGGCCGAGTACCACTATCGCAAGTCAATGGCAATTCATCCACGTAATGCCGTGCTATTGGGTTGTGTGGGCATGGTGTGTTTTTCGGTCTTTGGCTCGATATATTAACCTGAGAACCACTGGTGAAATAGACAGTGGAACGAAGAGGCGATCGCGATGCAGCTCTTGCCCTCTTCGATGAGGCAGTTAGGTTAGCCCCTGAAAACGCGCTGGTGCGGTATCGGAGAGCCAAAATCCTTATCCTGACGAAGAACTACGATGTCAGTCTCTTCTTCTTTGTTCCATTCCCACTCATTGTACCTTAGGCGGCGGTTATGGATTTGGAGACTTTGCGGAGTACATCACCAGAAGAGTCGAACGTTGTGTTCCAGCTCGCCAAGGTTTACCGACTCCTGGGAGATGAGGTCAAGGCTGCACAACTGCTGGCAATTGCACGCGACATTTCGCCCAAGAGTCTGTCTAAAATCAAGAAGTTACTAGACACAGTAAAGGACGAGAGTGCTGAAGATCGTATGGACGAAGGTTGACGAATAGAGTAGCATTTGTACCTGATGCATAGCATATTTTTTTTCCTTTTCTTTTCTCTGATGTTGTGATTCTAACGTCTTGTTTGCCCAAACAAACGTCACAAGTCTGTTTTGTGTGCGTCACAGGAGGCGGGTATGACCGCAAGTCCGCCGGTGGGGCTGCTGGATTTGGCCATGGAGCTGTTGAATTGGCGCGATAAGGCATTCGGGACCGATTTTTCGTCTGAAAAACTGAAAAGATACGTCTGAAGACGTCCAAGACACGTAAGTCGTGGTTTGATTTTTGTCGAAAAATGCGACATTTTTGTCCGAGGTGACGAGTCAGAGTTTCCGATCATTATATTTAGCGGTAGTCCCCCCCAATCCGGCAACCGTTCCTCTCCTCCCTTCAACCATGTTCGCCTAGTTGCCTCGCGTTCATAAGCCACTAGACCCCATTTCCCGTTGACCGCCGGGTACACATTACAACAAGTATGGTCAACAAACTCGCTCGCACCTCCAACAACGGCTGCCTACTCTTTGAACCTGTAATCGTCGACCGTATACACCGCTGAAAACCCAGTCAGTCTCTCTCTCTCTCTACCTCTGACATGCACTCACCTCGTGTCAGTCTCTCATATAACTCCAGTCCCCATTCCACCCTCCATGACATCCACCAACCTTTCCACCCTGGCGCGCTCCAAGCTGTCGCGAGTGCCGTCTTCTTCGGACAGCAAAGACAGCTTCAGCCTCCACCGTTGGGTGTTATTAAAAAACTCGATAATCCAGACCCTGCCGCCACCAGTTAATGCATTACCCGCTCAACACGACGAGGCAGACGACGAGCTCGATTCGTTTATGTTCCCTGATGCTGGCAACCTTATGGAGAGCCCAGCTGCAGCTTCTGAAGCTGCTTGGCTAGATTCCCTTCTGGAGACCCTCGGTGAAGAAGAAGACGAGTCGGTTGATTGCAACGACGAGGACCTCTCCCCCATTTCACCCATGGAAGATCAGTGCTACTACCCTTTTCTTGTACCATATCCCCCGTACTCACCACCACCACCGCCATTACCCTATGTTGACCCTTTGCCTTACTTCGACTTTGACGACCTGCCTCCAGTCCCAGACGCGATAGAAGATACGTCAGACGACGAGTCTGATGCTCCCACAACTCCTGGACAATCATTGTCATCGTTGGACCCTGCTTCCATCCCCTTGCCCCCAGAACACAGCAGTTTGCGCCATTCACCCCACATCTATATTGATGACGAGGACGAGGACTATTTTAATCCTCTGCCATTTGCCCATAATTCTCCCCACTACTCAGAGTGCTAGACTACTCTCTCTTCCTCGTACCTATATTCTATGACTCGTCCATTTACTTACTTATCTCTCTCTCTCTCTCGGTATCTTGGAATTCCAGACTTGTTTGGTTGTTGGCATCAACATGCTCACGGGATCTATTTCGGTGCTCCTGGTCCGACGGCCGAAATTCGTTGCGATGTTTCAGGACAAAGTCTTGCTCGGCGGTGACCCACTGAATTGCGATATTGTTGAAAGCCGCTGATAACGCAGAACAGGGCGGAAGTAGTTTGCACTCCATCACGGCTGCGATGCTGAGTAAATGGGGTGCCCTCGTTTCGAGCTTTGTTTTTGAGTGGCTTCAAAAGTTCATCATTTTTTTCATCTTAGAGTTTAGATCCCACGCACTTGTCTACGTAATCCGCCAACCGATTCGCGATTAGGGTCATATCGGCGAGCTGCTCGTGGGACCAGTTGGCCGCAAGCACGGCCTCGTAGAGCTCTATATCACAATGCGGCATCTAGAATGGTTTGTTTGGTCTGAATGAACGCCGATAAGACAGGAAGGGAATGACCCATAGTATTGTTGGGCAGTCGAGTGAATGCCCGCCGTCCTAAGTAAGCAGAATGATGAGCTTGGGTAGGATGACGGGGAAAAGCGACTTGCCAGCTTATCGGCCAAGAGCGTCAGCCCGAGCTGCTCAAATAAGGCAGCGTCTTCTTGCGAGAAAACTGGATCATACAACGCGACTTGGGCGTGTTCCTGAGGGTCATTGTTATCTGCCCTGGGAAGTAAAGAATACTCACGATCGCAGTCGTCTTACATAGCTCAAGTAAGAAGGCGAGTTGGGCACGAGAGTTGGCTGATGCGCAAGGACTTCCGAGGCCCAGACAGACAATTTTGGTTGGAGGCACAGAGAGGGCATCCAGACGGTCTTGTAGCAGCCCTGATGTTGTTCGCTTTGCTTTATCTTATGGAGAAACGAACAGACTTTGACAAGATGCATTCCAGTCTTGTTTGTTCAGCTCCTCGGCTGCCTGCTTGACCAGTGTCAGCAATTGCGGCCGTTGTGCGGGCTTCCGCTTTCTCCGAGGGAGCACTGGCGTGAAATCATGGTATTTGAAGCTCGTGGCCATTGTTGTTGTTGTTGTTGATCAAGAAGTAAGCCACTACAAAGACTGTACCGCCCACAAATCATCTCCCAGATACGTGACTGTCTCGACCGCAACACCTTTATTGATCGACTTCATTTCCTCCGTGCCCAGCTTCGTGATGCCCACCCCAACTGCATGCGTTTTTCCTTCTGCGAGTATCGCTACAGGTGTCTCTGCCGGCAACGCCTCGCTGGCGGGGGGGAGATACCCGCCTGCTGATGTAAGGCCAGGACACATCATGTGGGCCCCCGCAAGGAGGAATCGTATAGCGCCACGGTCGACTTTGACCGCGGGCAGCACGTGTGGGTCTTGGAGAGCAAACATAAAAAAATAAAAATTCAACAGGAGGAGGGGGAGAGCCTCACATTTATGGAGCAGTCTTAGAGTGGGGTATAGTGGCCCATCAAAATGTTGGAAGATAAGAGGCTCGCCATGGAGTGTGTAGATCGATACGTGCTCGCGACTGCTCATTTGAGATTGGAACAAAAGGGACATGAACTGACTGACCATTTTACGTGCACTAGGCCCTCTTTCTTTGGCCAGATGGCCTCCAATGTTTCGGGCTCAATCTTCCACTGCGAAAGCACGTTGCTCCGAATAGATCGTTGCACAGAAGACTTGACCGGAGTCTGACCCGCTATATCACTCGATGGCTGGAATCTAAAACCCCGTTGCGGTTGGAGAACGAGTAGCGGGAAAACGAATCGGGATACTTTTTGAACATCGACGTCAATCGCAACAACAAAGGTGAGTGACGCCCTGAACTCGTGACCAAAAAAATCTGCTATGGTATTACAGTTACAGTTTGTGTGACTATTAGTTGTGAGTGCTAGCTACTACTACAGACAGCGTTATAGTGAGTATGAAGAAAGGGTCTATATGTCTTCGTCGTCCATCTGGGAGGGCTTGAGCATCCCGGGAATTCGGCTCGCTTGTTGGTGCTCTTCCTCCGCTTTCCGTTGTGTTTCCGCTTCCTTTTCTTCTAGATATAGCTCAGCATTGTCTCCAGAGAACTCTTTCAGCTGAATCAAAAAGTCCCGCAAGGCGAGTTTGAACTGGTTGATGTCGTTGTGTTGCTCCCCCAGAGTCACCATGAAGGATTCTACTTGCGTTCTTGGGGGGAGATTATCAGGCTTATATCAGACCTATTTGACCCGACGTACTTTTGGACATGAGGGAATGCATTGTGCAGCAGATCGACCGAATACTGTCGTAGGAAGACCGCATTCGTCACTGGCTCAGACATTTGTGAAGGGTCGTACAACGGCACTTGAATAGCGTTGATTTCGACCAGCTGGAACATGCGTTGGAGAACCTGGCTTTGCAGCCTGAATCCGCTCTTATGGTCTGCGTCTGTCAGAACAAAGAATATGTCCTGAACGATGCTGAGGAAATATTGCTGGAAAAAGCCGTTCGCGACAGTGGTCTCTGCGCCAGCGAAGTTATTGATCACGTCAAAGCATACTGGGCTGAATTAGAATTGCACCAACTCGGAGGGGGCAAGAACTTACAACCAAGACCAATATCTGCAATGTCACGCATGGTATGCTTGATGGCCCAATTAATGCTGTCCATGAATAGCTTGAATTGCGGAGGGGTCATTGTCAAAAGGGCTAGAGCAAATTGAGCGGACTTGAGCCTGACTGTCTAGTAACTGACCAGGGAAGCAGCTCAGATTGATGGCTTTCAAAAGTTTGTAGAAGCCCGTGCGGTGTTCGGGGTACTCGGCGAAATCTTGATTGATCATATTCAACGTTGGCTCAAAGACTGCATCGAGGATGGCTGGCACTTGAGGTGTTAACAGATTCTGCATTATCGTCAAGACTGACTGATAGACTGCGAAGAACAGTTGTTTACCGCGAGACATGATGTTATTGATGCCATGACATTCAGCACCTCCGCGTCGCGAGCAGCCGGAACATTGCGGCTGTAATCTCCAAGGATTGCTTCTAATAATGGCGGCATAAAATTGGCGTTCATTGACTCCAGATCCACTGCTTTGTTGACATGAGTGTCCATGAGCTTCAAGATCTCTTTCTTCACTGTGCGAAGTTGTCGTATCTTGGGTGTTTTCGTGGCGATCGACCCTGATACGACGATGAAGGCCGGAAAGAAAAGAAAAGGAAAGAAGGGTAGGCACGTACCTTCTTTCGCTACAGTTTCACTAATAATACCACTAACCGCCTTATAGAGACCCAGCATATCGAGAAAGATGCGGCCAATTTGAGGTAGGTAAAAGCTGCCTATTGAAGTGCACGCCGACACGTTAGTCTTGAGAACATTGGAGAGAATCTTGATGTTGTCGAGATTGGCTAATACATCCATGTTCTGCGCGGCTTGAGCCATTAATGAGTCCCACTGATATGTGCTCTTGTCAACCCTCGAGAAAGTCGAACACAGACACGACATACCGCATTATTGGGTAGCTCCATCAGTTTCGCAATGAGCTTTTCTTGTTGTGGCTTGTTTGGTTGAGCAGATATCATCCAACCGACAGCTTGGTAGAAGGTATGAACTTGCTGCGGCGACAAGTCCACAGTGATCCTATGCAGCGAACGCAGAATATCGTCGATGAATGGTTCCGTTTCTCCGCTCTGGAGCACCACAAAGTGACGCTGGAAGCAGATTAGGCCTTGGAGAACAAAATCTTGACAGAAACTCACGCGACATTTTGTAGCGATTTTGATGAAAGTATCGCATGCCATGTCTTGCACACCTGCCAATGTTACTAAGCGCTTACAAGAAAATGATAAACCCACCTTCATGGGTTTCGTGCATGAATTCGAATAGCTTGTTGACGACAGTCTTGAGGAATTTCCAGTGCGCTTTGAGGAACCGCGGGTATTGACCAACGATATACATAATGTTGCTGGCAACAACAGCCTACAGTCTGATCAGTGTTACTTAAGCTCAGTGTTTCTGGCGACCTACTTTGTTGTCCTTCCCGCGCTTTATTTCACACAACCCCAGTAGATCCTTGATCACGGTCACTAAAAAGCGCTTTTCTGATTCTTCGTCTGCAGCAAGCGTGAGTGAAAATATCTAGGCAGAACGGATAGAGGGCGTACTCATCGCTCCAGATATTGATCCAATGGCCCAGCATAGCGTATTGAGGTTGTTCCACGACCATTCTGACCCGTCCACTTGTTTTGCGAGTTTCTCGGTGAGTAAGCTTTCCGTGTCCGACACATCCAGATGAGTAAGATAGACGAGCAGTTCCCGCATCGACTTGTACAAGACAATGGTGTCGCTTTCCTTCATGAACTCGCGGACAATCTCACCCTCGTCGTTTTCTACGATCAGAACCTGTACTGGTTCATCAGAAATAGCGTTTTTAGACAGCAAATCGTACCTCTTCGGGCTTGACCATTCGCTCGATTACAACTAGCCGAAGATTAGATAATACGTCATTGTAGATATTTTTCCGCATCGACATAGTCCCAAGCATGCTCTGTGGAGCTCCAGAGCCTAGATTCAAGCCCATAAGAATTCCGGACTCGCCAACAGGAAGGCTCGAAATTTCTTCGTACAAGTCGGAGACCAGTTTTAGCCAGTATTCCAGACAGATCTTGAAAATTTCTCGTTCATCCACCTGAGAAACCTTGACCATGTACAAATGGGCATTGAGAAGGACATCGCGGGTGGCTTCTCCCTCTACGACGCGAAGGTGGTTGGAAAGGAAGTTGGACAAAAACAGAGAGAGGTTTAGAACGAGTTCCTGGCCCGCATCACCCGCAGCGTTGTACGCGTCCGAAATGTTGGTTGAAGGTGGGATCATACGATTGATCGAGGTCATGACCATTTGGAATAGAATGACGAATTTTGGGTCGTATTCAACGCCAACTTTGAGGGCCGCGATAACGGCTAGACATTGGAGTGTGACGTTGCGAAAATCTGGGGCTTCCAGAAACTGTTATTTGGATGAGGGTAGGGTCAACAATGAAGTCAAGACGCGCACGCGATTCAGCAACAAATCGATGATCGTTGTCTCGAAAATGTAACCAAGAGGGATCCAGTTGAGGAAACGCAACAGAGTCTCCAGAGTCGCTTTGATCAACGAAGACTTTTGGGCCTCTTCCAACACCTCCTGGCATAGCTTGAATATCTCAGAAAACTCGCCGCACATCTGGTTCTTGAGGTTCTTTATCTTGGTTTGCGTCATTTGCTCAGCAGAATAGTCGAATATTTCCTCGGAGAGGAGTTTCAGGATGATCATGTTGTTCTCGCACAAACTGAGATTCGTTTTAGAGGAAGCGACGAGCTCAGTTATGAAGCTGGGCCAGTTGTGTGGCCATTCTTGCTTCAAAATCTGAATCAAGTATTTGCCGATGACAAAATGAGGAGTCTGAAAGGCACACCTGGACCAAAGTAAGATCGAGTTTATCCACGAACGTCTTTTCCTTCCGCATCGTGGCCTCGTCGGAGGCGACTTTGACTGTAAGTCCGACAATGAAGTTACGAATCCCTTAATGCTCGTTTAGCGTAGATCTGGTTCCGAAGCGACAACCGACCTTGTCTTTGACCATCGGGTAAAGCCTTCCATCGCGTGGAAATGAGTTTGTCGAGGATTTGTAGAGCGATGTACTTTGTGTCGCTTAGGAAGTGATAAAAGTATCGTATCAGCTGTGGCTAACCTTGGATTGCGAGAACGTCGACCGCTCAAGAATGTCTGGCACCCTTGTCCAAGCATCCGTATTTTCTTGGAATCGAGTGAGAACCTCTTGAGCCGCGGCTTGCTATATGAGGCGAGCAGTTAGGCATGTAACACAGCAGCACCAGCAGCAAGTTTACCTCGGGACCAGTGCCTTTGTAGAAAGCCATGGAGACTCGGTCCATGAGAGAGACATCGAAGTCTCTGGAGAAGTCCAGGATAGCCTGAAGAGCAAAAGTGAGCGCGACATTGGTGCACCGAAAGATGCTAACCTCCATGACGGCTGGTGGCAAGAGCGTTCACGTGAGTCGGCATGTCTTCTGCAACCACGATCTCGTTTGGGGAGGCGATGTACGACTTTACTTCCGCGCTGGTACTGCTTCCCTCACTACTAATAGTAAAGCAGTACGCGCCGTTGGGGAGATCATGAACCCAGATGATGATTTCTACACGTTGGCTGCCGCTGAGGAGACAATAGCCGCCACCGAAACCAAACGCAAGAAAGAACTAGAGGAGCTTCACGCCAACCTAAAAGGCTTGCCGCTCCTACCTCGTTGCTCTGCACTCTAAAAGTCGCGTAGCTCTTTCGAAGATACGCGATTCAGCTCGCCAATCTGCGACGCGTCCCAACACGGTGCTCTCAGTCGAAAACCACAATAGCACGCTGTCTGCTCTTGATGATAACCGACTTTCACTCGGAAAGTCAATCAAAGAGACCGAGAGACTTGTCGCTAGCAAGGAGGATGAGCTGGCTACTCTGAAGGAGAAGGTCATACAATTGGAAGATCAGGACCCGGTTGCTGAACACCAACGGGAGTTGGACAGTGCTGCGTTAGCAAATACCCTCTGCTTGCTTCTTCTTGGTTCCCAACTCACCCATCTGACAGCCTCCGTCTTATGATTTACAAACAACTTGGCTTCGAGCCAGTTGTTGACAAACAGGGTCGAGTTACCAAGATGCTCGTTCGTACGTCCATTTCTATGCGATTTTACCCTTCGTGGGCCGACTGGAATCAGGTTCTCAATCTGGCGACATCCACGATGTCTCCTTTAACACTGGAAAGACCGACATGGAATATACTGCTGCCTTATGGAAACAAATGTGCTTATAGTCTTAGTGTGATTCGTTGTAGCTACTGTATTAGTACCCGAAAGTTCTCCTTAACCACCCACACCTTCTGGAGCTTACATTTCTCGGCGACCTCCCTGACCTTTGCCTCGATCGAATTCTTCTTCACCTTGTGGTCACGTAAATCCTGGTAAATCACATCGACGAGAAGGGGTAGACTGGCGGTTTGAGTGTTGGTGATACATTTCAACAGATGGGGCATGTGTGCGTCTGGGAAGACTGTTTTGGGGGCTGCACCCACTCGCTTGGGCACCTGCGGTATAGGCGGATCCGCTTGGCCCAAGAAACGAGTTGGTAAAAGTGGTACGACAAAGCCGTCGTTGTGGTTGATTTTAGTACTGTTGTGAGCGCCGCGACCAGCCCCTTCGCTGACCCTTGAAACAAAAGTGAATGGATCAATACCGCTAGGTGTATCTGAGATGTGGTTATTAGACAATTGTCAAATTTGCATCGAAATGCACACCGTTGAGTAGCTGTAATCGGTAGGGATTGAATAAGGTGTGTTCACATCTCCCAATGGTTTCTTCCCAACAAGGCCCACGAGCGAAGGGAACCAGAGGAACAACAAGTTTGCGCTTTTTCGATATTTGGGAGTCTTCTGGTTGTGCTTTGCGCTTTAGGGGTGGTAGTGGAACAGGTGAGGCACCTCTGCTGGTGTTATTGTCAGGCGACTCCAATAATTCTTGGTCGTCATCCACCAGCCAGCTGTCTGCATCCGAGTCAGGGTCGTCTCCGTCAACATCCTCTTCTTCCCCATCGTCTATCAGGTCGCCCGCCTCCCCTGCGGGCTCTTCTTCCCATTCTTCACCGCTATCATAGTCGTAGTCGAACATGGCGACATCGCGTTTCAGCGCAGTGCGAGGCCCAATGATGCGGGAATCTCGAGTCCAAGTGCCGAAATAACCAGGACGGACATCATCAGTGAAGATGAGAACCTTCGCCGGCACGGCGGCGCGGTCAGAAAGCTTGGAGGCGAGAGATCGCACAAGCGCGATGTCACCAGCAATTTCTGCCTCATTAAGTTGGGCAACAAGGTCCCGCACAGACACCCCATAGGCAGTTTTCAAAGGTGCATTCGATGAAATGGATATGCGGGTTCGGCGTTGACATGGACCAAGTTGGTCGATGACTGATTGCAGACGTTCTAACAGGAGAATTTCAGTGGGGTGAATTCTGACCAAAAAAAGAAGAGCATCACCTTTTGTGGTCTGATGACACAAATCGAAGGGTTTTTCTTCATCGTCCACAACAATGACATCTCCATCATATCTCAGTGGTTGAGGGTCGTTCGCAAACCAGTTCACTGGTGCCAGGTGCGTATCCTTCTTCAGGACGAATGGCTTGAAGGTCTTTTGATACTGCGACACTTCGTCGACTGATTGCTCATCTGCGCTGGTCTTCGTTGGGACAGCTTTCGACGTTGTAGAAGTCTTGAAAAAACTCTTCATCAAATTTCGGGATTTGTTTTGGGCCTCCTTTTCCTTTTGCTCGCGTTCTGCCTTCGCCGCTTTCTTCTCTTGTTTTTCCTTTTCCTTGGACAATATCAACACTGTGAACAGGACTTAGAATGGTGTGAACCTTTGCGAGCTTTTCCGGGTCGGGTTGCTTCTTGGGCCGTCCAACCTTCCCTGCATTATTGCCCTGTGGATGACCTTTAGAGAGGAAGGCACAAACTACCACAGCAGCGAGAACTTGCCGAATCATTCTCCTCGTTGTCTTTGGCCTTCGGAGCAGGGGAGTTCCCAGTGAGGTCTATGGTCGTCGATATACCTTTAGGGTCAAGAATGCTATCTTGTTCAGGTTTCGATAGCGCATCAAATTGTCTCCTGAGATCCAGTTTCGCCTTGGACCAGTCTGAGAATGATATTACAAATGGTAGGGCAGACACACCTGTACCCGTTCAGCAATCCGTGCTTCCGCTTTCTCGCGAGAATTCTTCGGCAACCATTCAAGGTGGCACGGTCGTACCTCCCATCGCCAAACGCACACTGCTGCAGGTGCTTTTACACCAGGCAGCCCGTCGAGGCCATAGTTGTTTCGACTGGCAATGGATTTGATAGTGGGCTCCAGGACAGCAGTGGTTAGAGGCGGGGTTGTTGCTGCAACTCCATCTTCGTCTTGCGCTGGAACTAGTTCTTGTAGGAGATGTTTGCAGAGGGCCGACAGAGTCTTGTCGCTATTGACTATGCTAAGAGAGTGAAATCTCAGCTCAGAAATACTTACCTGTCATGCACAAACTTAGCAATGACGGGCTTGTGCTCATCGGGGATAGTGGTGAGACCCTCTGCCTTCCTGGCGACGCGGTCCTCCAATAACTCACGGAATTTGACGATTTCTGGAGCGAATATCAGTATATGAGCGCTGAGGTTACATGTCTACATGCCTCGGAGAGTCTCTGAGTGCTTCTCGAAGGACAGTGGTTTCTGTCTGAAGACGACTTTTCCGTTCCGAAGCTCAGCAATGGACTGTGGTTGGGAAGAAGTTGATGAGTTTAACGCGTTGGCCGACGCGTCAAATGCGGCAGGCGGTGGCACGGTATCTAACAGTGAGGCGGCAGCCATACGCTGTATGTGAAGTGATGGCGTGGAGGAGGAGGGTGAGCGATGGTCACGGTGTGACCTCTCGCGTTCTTCCCACCTTGTCGGTGGCATCCTCTCAACACACTCACACAGACACAATATGGCTTTTTTTCAAACAGCCAAACCCGCTACTAAAGGCGTGTCTTTTCTTCAAACGCGTCATATCGACTCATGACTATGGCTAGTCTCTGGTAATGCATCAGAACCCGCGCTCCAGCCTTGGGTTGAGAAGTATCGACCCAAGACTATCGACGATGTTTCTGCTCAAGAACACACCGTTGCTGTTCTGAAGAAGACATTGACATCCACTAACGTAAAGTCTTTCTACCATCCTTGCGGAACAGAGAGAGACTGAGCTTTGTGAAAGTTGCCTCACATGCTTTTTTATGGGCCACCCGGAACCGGGAAAACTTCGACTATTCTGGCTCTTGCAAGACAACTCTTCGGGTATATGGATCACTCAACACGCTCTTCAGGTTGATTGACGCGTTCATCCAGCCCTGACAACTTTCGCAATCGAGTCTTGGAGTTGAATGCGTCCGACGAGCGAGGAATATCCATCGTTCGCGAAAAGATCAAGAACTTTGCCCGTCAAACACCACGCGCACAGACTGTTGCCTCCGATGGCAACACCTACCCATGCCCACCTTATAAAATCATTATTTTGGACGAAGCCGACTCCATGACACAAGATGCACAAGGCGCTCTCCGTCGTATAATGGAGAACCATGCTCGCATTACTCGCTTCTGCTTAGTCTGCAACTATGTTACTCGGTCCGTTTCTCTTTTCAATTTTTCCGTTGTAGCTCATTGGGGGTTCATTCAGTATCATCGAGCCATTAGCGTCCCGCTGTTCGAAATTCCGCTTCACCCCTCTTGATTCCGACTCGTCCAGCTCACGTCTTACGCATATAGCCAATGCCGAAGGTGTCACCGTCGATAAGCCTGTTATTGACGCGCTCATTTCAACGTCCACCGGAGACTTGCGCCGTGCGATAACGTATCTCCAGTCAGCCTCTCGTTTGTCCTCATCAACAAACCCGCCCACACCTATAACTTCCACCGACATTCAAGAGATAGCAGGAGTCGTCCCTGATTCTGTTGTTGCCGATTTCGCAGCCACACTGGGCATTGATTCCATGCAAATAGATGGCAGTAAAGGTTTTGAAAGAGTACAAGCAAAAGTGAAGGAACTCATTCGAGAGGGTTATTCGGCGTCCCAGCTTCTTACCCAAGTGAGCGCACAAAAGCTCATCCGCGAGACGAGATAAACTAATCCGGCCTAAACAGCTTCATGACCTGATAGTTCTGCATCCCACACTCAGTGGGCGCAGTAAATCCACATGCGCCATGGTAATTGCCGAAGCAGACAAAGCTCTGACCGATGGCGCGGACGAGGAGTTGTGGATTCTTGAAGTAGCACTTCGAATTCACAAAACTATAAGTCGAGAATAGCAATGGTGTGATTTTATATGCAAAGTAGAGCAAAATGAAGCGGAGTACAAATGGTAGGTGGCTGCATCTCTAACGCTCCTCACAAAGCCACGTGATACAACAATAGAGACTCTACCGGATTCCGGCTGTGGCTTTTTGGAGGGCACGTTTGATCGATAACTGGGCCTTTTTCAGTTCATCCGCCGTCGAGTCCTCGATCTCAAGCTTCTCCATAGCGCGCGCCAACTCAGCCTCCACTTGCGATTTGGCACCCCGCTTCAACTTCATGCCAATCTCCGGTGATGTTATCGTGCCTTCGACTTGGTGAATGTAAGCCTCCAAGTCAGATTTGGCTTCATGACGGGCGGAGAACTCTTTGTCAGCATTCTTGAACTGCTCAGCATCCTTGATCATTTGCTCAATCTCAGCGGATGATAAACGGCCGACCGAGTTGGTGATGCCTTTCGAAAGAAATGTCAGTCGCTGCAATAGGACACAATGGTTCACGTACTGATGGAGGCTTTGCGACCAGAAGCACGATCTTGAGCGGAGACTTTCAGGAGACCATTGGCATCAACCTCGAAAGTGGTAACAAGTTCTGCTTGTCCACGGAGCATGGGTGGGATGCCATTGAGCTCGAATTCACCAAGCAGACGGTTGTCACGGCACTGGGTGCGCTCACCCTCATATCTACAAAGCAGACATAAATAGGCCGTGCATACAAGACGGAAACGACGCACACAGGGAATGTGACGGTGGTTTGGTTGTCTTCAACGGTCGTGAACACACGTGACTTGTTCGTGGGGATGGGAGTGTTGCGGGGAACGACAACACCGAAAACATCGCCTTGCATAGCGACACCGAGAGACAGAGGCGCAACATCAAGGAGGAGGAGATCTTTGGTTTGGTCCGATGTCTGGCCGGTCAGAATTGCGGCTTGTACAGTTGCACCATATGCGACAGCCTCATCAGGGTTGATGGATTTGTTCAGTTGGCGTCCACCGAAGTATTCGGAAACAAGGGCCTGGATCTTGGGAATACGGGTCGAGCCACCAACAAGAACAATGTCGTCGACTTTCTCGCGGGCCATCTTAGCATCCTTGAGCACTTTTTCTACCGGGTCTAGCGTAGATTTGAACATGGCGGCATTGATCTCTTCGAAACGAGCACGAGTGATGTTGGCAGAGAAGTCCTCTCCCTAGACAAGACGTCAGTAAAGTGCGTCCAAATGATAGCAGAAACATACCTGGAAGAGCGAGTCGACTTCGACGGTCGTTTGTGTGACGCTGGAAAGGGTTCGCTTTGCGCGCTCGCAAGCGCTACGCAGGCGACGGAGAGCACGGGGATCGTCAGAAATGTCGAGCTTGGACTTGCGCTTGAACTCGTTCTTGAAATGCTCGAGAAGGGTGTTGTCGAAGTCCTCACCACCAAGGTGAGTGTCACCCGCCGTCGCTTTGACGGCGAAAACACCACCACTGATGTTGAGGAGAGAAACATCGAAAGTGCCTCCACCCAGGTCGAAGATCAGCACATTCTTTTCCGTCTTCGATTGGCGGTCGAGACCATAGGCGATAGCAGCAGCTGTGGGCTCGTTGATGATACGGAGGACATCGAGGCCAGCGATGGCGCCAGCGTCTTTGGTAGCCAGTCGTTGCGAGTCGTTGAAGTAAGCGGGGACACTGGGGCGAACGATTTAGATGCGAGAGAGAGAAAATCATAACTAACGTGACTACGGCTTTTTTGACGGTTTTGCCGAGCTTAGCCTCGCAAATTTCCTTCATTTTCGTGAGAACCATGGACGAAATTTCCTGTGGACTGAAGGTCTTCTCCTCCCCAAGGTATTGGACCTTGATAAGAGGGGAGCCGTCCTTCTCGATGACCTCGAATGGCCAATGGGTCATATCCTGTGAAGAGCTTCAGTGTTCCCGAAAAAAAAACTGGGATCAAACAATGACCTTTTTGACGTCTGGGTCACTGAAACACTGTATTGAGCCTGATATCGACCGATTAGATGGGAAGACCTACTCGTAGCGACGACCGATGAGACGTTTGGCATCGAAGACAGTGTTGCGAGGGTTCATCGCAGCCTGATTCTTCGCGGCATCACCAATGAGACGCTCTTCCGCCGAGAAGGCGACATAAGAGGGTGTGGTCCGGTTACCCTCTGAAGGAGATGAGCCATAGTAGTAGAGGAGATTAACCACTGACGGTCGTTGGCGATGATCTCGACACGGTCGTTTTGCCAGACACCCACGCAACTATAGCAAAGATGAGAAACAAGCCAAAGCTTCAAGTAAAAGTTGTACGAGTAGGTGGTACCGAGATCGATGCCGACAGCACCGTCGAAAACATCCTCGAGAGACATGGTCGAGCCTTTTGGAAAAGAGAGGTCGAAGGGAAGAGGAAAAAAAAGTGTTGTCACGAGTACTGTGGGAGTACTTGGTCGAATAGAGACAGTTTATGACTAAAATAATACGCTTTAGGCACTGATTTATGACGAAAACAGACATGCGTGACAATGTGACTTGTGTATGTATCGTCAGTCTGTTGTACGCCGTGTAGGTCGGTCCTCGACGCGACACCTACGTTTATTCTCGGAAGACACATCGCTTGGGGAGCGTCCTATTAGGACCCAAGACGAATGGGCTAATCATCAGGTTCGACGCGCTGAAGTCGGCACTCTGAGTGAGTAAATTTTCCATCCGTCCTTGTTTGATCAGACTACTAACTACTTCCCAGTCGACATATTCTCTAACTATGGCTCAAATCGCAGGCAAGAAACTGCATTCAGACTACGAGACAACATCCGTCGCCCAATAGCAAACGCGACCGTGTCATCCCTGCTTGCCGCTGGTGCTCACTTTGGTCATGCTAATTCAAGGATGAACCCAAATTTTCTGCCCTATGCATACGGAACTCGCGCCAAGTCAACCATAATCGACCTTGAACACACCGTCCCTCTACTGAAGCGGGCAGCCAACCTCGTTCGCGCCGTCGCTTTTGCGGGTGGGCAAATTCTGTTTGTAGGCACAAGACCAGACCTACGCCAGATTGTCAAAGCTGCTGCTGGCCGTATAGGCAAGCAGGGCTACTATATTTCGGACCGGTGGATTCCGGGGACGTTGACAAACACGATTGAGATGTACTCTCAGCAAGTTGTCAAAGAAACAATCACAACCCCCGACCTTGTCGTTCTTCTCAACCCTCTAGCCAACATTACTTGCATTAGCGAATGTGCCTTGGCCCATGTTCCCACGATTGCCATTATCGACTCGGATGCCGACCCACGACTTGTTATGTACCCAATACCGGCCAATGATGAAAGTCCACAAACGGCGGAAATCATCGCGGGTATCCTTAGTATTGCAGGTCGGGAGGGGCTCGCTCTGCGTATGGAAGAAGAAGTAGCCGTGGAAGAAAATGAACAGGAAGAGCAGGATGAAGCATTCTGGGACGAGGTAGAAGCGGCGGAGAACGAAGAATTAGAGGAAGATGAGAGTGACGATGCACCTCCAGGTCAAGGTATTCAAGCGGAGGAGGATGAATAATATAAGAGTATTTCTAATGACCTAATTCATCTTGCTCTCGGAGCAGCGGTTTGTACCTCCGCCCAGTGCCCTAGCTTCTTGTCAGCATCCAATAAAGCGTGTCGTGAACCCGGAACTAACTTTCAGCTACCTCCAACGCTCTAACATTTCCTTGAAGCTTGTTCAGTGTTTCCACATATTCGTCTTCTTCCTCGCTATCGAATACGATTCCGCCACCAGCTTGTAGGTAAGCTACCCCGTCTTTGAAAGTCATGGTGCGGATAGCAATGCAGGTATCCATTTCGTCCTCGGCAAAGTCGAAGCGACCGACAGCTCCTGCATAGACTCCTCGACGTTCCTTTTCCAAGGAGGAGATTATTTCGATCGCTTTGATTTTCGGGGCTCCAGACACAGTACCGGCTGGGAATATTGACCGGAAAGCATCAAACCTGGATGCATTCAGAAGGCCAGTTGCATTCAAAACCGATACTTACCGTGTCTTATCCTCGCGTAGGGTGCCAGAAACTTGGGAAGTAAGATGGATGACATGACTGAACTTTTCCAGCTTCATCAAATGGTCGACTTTGACTGTCTTAGGTTGGCAAACACGGTTAACATCGTTTCTCGCCAGATCAACGAGCATGATGTGTTCGGAGCGGTCTTTCTCAGACGCAAGGAGGGCTGCACCTAGCTTTTCGTCCTCTAAACGCAGGTAAGAAACCGAAACTCATGACTAAAACTGGTGGTACCTTCTGGTGTCTTGCCGCGTTTTGTGGTCCCAGCAATTGCATGATTATATACCACGTTATGCTCAACTCTACAGAGCGTCTCTGGACTGGCGCCTACGATTTGGATTTCGCCACAATCGAGGTAGAACATATACGGGCTGGGGTTCACCTGCCGCAGATGTCGATATGCGTTAAAGGGATGCAACGAAGTTGGGCGGGCGAGGCGCTGGGAAGGAACTGCCTGAATGATGTCTCCTGCGATGATATGCCTTTTCAGCGTCGTTACGAAGCCCTCATAGCCCTCCTTGCCAACGTTGGATGTTGCTTGTTGTCCGAGTATTATTGGTGGTTGTTTTGGCTCTGGAGTGATGCTCGTCAAGAGAGATTTGGCCAAACGCCGCGCTTTGGCGACGGCAGTTTGATAAACAAAAGCCAAATTGACCGTCCCTGCGTTCTTGGGGCAAAAGACATGTGAAACGACCTTGACGGTCTGGAAGAGATGATCGAAGATGAGGAGAGTGTCGACAAGCATGAAAACTGCTTCAGGAATTCCAAGAGGATCGACGAGTTGGCATGCTGTTTTGGGTTCAAAGTGTTGAATGCAGTCGAACGCAACGTAGCCGATAGCACCACCAGTGAAAGTTGGCACTTCTGGGATCTTGATGTATTTGTGAAGAGACAGTTCACGTTGGAGTAAAGTCATAGGATCGCCCGTGTACTCCTGGCCCGGTCCAGTCTTGATTATCTTAATTGGGTCTACGAAGACGGTGAACAACGAATCCTAAAGCAACAGACTAACGTTTGACCTGCCCCGATGAAACTATAGCGCGCCACATTCTCTCCATTCAGGACTGACTCCAGAAGAAAGCTATATTTCGAATCCTTTGCGATCCGGAGGTACGCGATGCAGGGTGTCAAGAGGTCAGCGGGAATTTCGACATAGACAGGAACGCAATTGCCGAGCTTTTCGACATTGATAAGACGCTCAACCGTTTCAAGAGGAGGAAAGGCCGGCAGCCTCTGAGAAATAGGCTCGTGAAAAGGGGGAAGGGTCATTCGAGCCACGTACTTGAGCGTTCATGGTCAAGTTCGCGATTGATGGTGGTCATCATCTAGACATCATTATTATTCTCCGAGTACATTACAATGGTGCTAATATCTCAAGTTCAAGGACCAGGTGTCGTTGTTGTACCCTGGGGAACAACGTCAAAGCCACCTGTCCCAACATCAGCTGGCAAGGCCGCTGTCTCGTCCAGAAGTGCCTCGCGCTCGGAAGCATCAACAGTTGGTGTAGGGGGTCGAATAAACTTCGGCGGAGTAACGAGATTGTTGAAGAGGAACTATCAAAGTCAGTCTCAGCCCAGAGTAAGTACAACATAACCTACGGTCCCGTAGCTAGAACGGAGGGGTATCAATAAGTCGCTGCGAAACCACGCTGAACCTAACTTACACGAGCAGCGAAAAGCCAGTGACTTGCAAGAGGGAAATAGGGAAAAGCAATCTTTCCCAACCCAAGCCTAAGCTGATGATCCAAATAGAGAGTGTGCGACAAGTGTCAGCTACAAGCTCTGTTATACGTCGAACTGTGAATGGAAAAGACAAGACACACCTAGTGAACGCGCAGTCGCCGAAACATGTCGTGTTACGCTTAATCCAAAGTAGTTGAAAAGGGAGATAGAGCAAGCAATGGCCACACTCGAGTAAAGGACACTTGGAGTGTTGATCATCTGGCTCCATCCACGCGGGAGATCGAAAAACGGCGATATGGCCTTTACGGACGGAATAGAGAGGATGGGCATAATGAGTAAGACCGCTAATGCGCCAAACAAGCCCTCGAATCCAACTGCGACAAGCGGTTCGACGGAGTAGTGGCCTATGTCTGATGAGGGGAGATTGATTGCAGGTCTACAATTAACATACCCATGATCTTTTCTTCGACAACGAATTGGGTAGCCGTGCTGCGACAGTTGAGAGACTGCGGTGTAATGTGAGATGATGCTTACAAAAGTTGCGCAAAAAAGACAAAGAAAATGCCTAGACACAGTCAGAAAGCTAGTGTCTGAACAAAGCAGAGGTCCTTACCAACGAGGACTTGTGTCGCTTCAGGCTTTTCATTTCCTTCCTCGTCGACCAGGCCAAGAAGTTCTTTGGCAGTGTCCTTGATGAGAGAGCCAGCAAAACCAACGAGACCAACACCTCCCATGACCACGATAAGAGAAATCCATCTGTAAAAGTGAGTGACATTCAGACTAAGTGAAGCACTGACTGGTAAAGCCAAAGGCGACGCCGAAGAAAAAGCACACTAAAGATTCCGACAAACAGGACCAAGGAACCCCGTGTCATTTGATAGATGGAGACTATAACAACTCAAGTCGAGCACTAACGCGTTGTTGTTGCACTCACCAGGTGTGAAAAGCAGTCCGATATTCATCAGCTTTGGATCTTGTGTGAGAGTCGAGACTCAGAAGGGGTCTATGGTACAAACCGTCGTTCCAGTAAGGTCGCACAGAGCTGGAATGGCCAGTAACAGTATCTTCCATCCTAATTCATGTCAGACAGCTCTCTGGCACCATGAAGGAATTCAGACCGCGAAGGGTCCTGACGTCCTTGTTCGTGTCATCATTGATGGGTAGCTGGATAGGTTGGCTTCTGGAGGTGTACCAAAAGTACAGAACCGGAATAAAACATAACATTTCTCCGACTGCAGACGAGAGTGAGAGTTCATTTGCCACGGAAACATAGGACGTACGGAACATCTGCAGAGTCTAATACCCGTGTAAGTTTGGGGGGGAGCAGAACAGGCTGAAAGAATAAACCTGGAAAACAGGCTGTTCGAACACAATGGGGTTCGCGGTATCACAGTCTTCCACACACTGCTGATCTTGGTACTGAAATGGAGGTCAAAGTGGGCTTGGTGACAAAGAATGAGACAGCGACCTTGGTCCATAGAGAATTGGAAGAGCCTGTTATTATAAGACCCGCCAGGAGCGTTGGAATGTAGAGCGAAGGCATATTGGTCGACAGCAGTGAGTCGGAGTAGTGCCGTAGCGTCTCTGAGGGGTTGGAAGTGGCAGGGACGAAAGCTGATGAGGTTGGCTGCGAGTCGCTACGAGTTAGCTGGATGGAAGAGAACGACAACGCGTTATCTCAGCACGTGAGTAGTCCCATTTCTGCCAGGACGCACGCACTTCACACCAACCAAACAAGTACGCGCGGCCTTACATATAGGGTAGAATATGTCTCGTGTTTCCATCGTGCTCAGGCAATTGGTTATTGGTGATTTGTGCAGTTTTCAACAAATCGTTGGCTATTCTTACTACTCGGTTCACAACGCCAACTCCAGGACACTTTTCGTGATTCTGCGTCTCTATGGAGATATAAGAAGTATTGGGAGCTTATAATTTAGAGCAAAGGTTGTACTTACTTGTTAGTGAAAGCTTGGATGTCATCTTCCATCGGTCTGGAACTGCGGTTGTACTTGGGAGCTTTCCAACTTCGGAAGCGGATCGTAAAAGACGTGACTGCTCCAGTGCTTCTTAGATCAAAATTGCCAGCTTCTCCGCTAAAAAGCAATGAGTGGCTCAAGCTTCGACCCATCCCCCATCCATGGTCAATGTCTCCCTCGTGTCTACTAAAGGGAATCATGTGAAATGGTTCCCCTACACTGGCCTACTAGGCCTCACCCATCTGAAAGTTGAAGGAGGTCAGTCTAGAGTATCTTCAATAATACCTCTTCAATGTTTGGCAGCCGTGCGGACCCGACTTGACGCTGACCTCAAACCGCTTCCCGCCAGTTCTGTCATTGTTTTTGTTCGCTGCTATGAGGTGAGTGGGTGTGTCTTGCCATGTTCTGCTCTTCCTAACTGCTCTGATTTAGACTCGCATCGGGCTTTTGGGCGTATTGACTTCAAATATTCTCGTGGAATATAGTCAGACCCTGTGGAGTGCAGGGTCAACAAACAGCTACTCGGATATTGGTGACCTGGAGTTGCCATTCCGTATAAACATTCCACCAGACGTCGGCGGTATTTTACACTCTCCGTTGGCATTCACCTTGGCTCAATGCTGTTGCAGGCTTTAGCACTGCTTCGTATGCCTCGGTTTATAAGTGCACATGGCGTGTCGAAGTCATCGTCAACCATATTCCATTGCTAGGTGTAGGCGCAAAGATTATGAAGCATTCAGAACTTCCACTCATCCGTTTCGACGTCCCACATTCATTCAGGCTGTCTACACCTCCCGCTCTCACCCAAGCCATCTCTCACCCACATCTGCCGCCCATACGATACGCTGTGGAAGCTCCGAAAGAAGCCATTGGTCCTCTTGATCTTGTCCCCATATCAATCCAACTTTCCTCTAGCTCACCTGTGACTTTCCGCAGTGCTAGCGTCATAGTAGAGCGCCGACTAACAATAAAAGATCCCAGTCGAACAACTTCATCGCCGACTTCTCACACCTCTCGGTCGCTTCCCATCCCCCAACAAAATTCCTCGCCGTCACCATCACCCGCTTCCAGTTTCCAAGAGAAGGCATCCACGGTTTCATCCACAACAACCATAACACCGGCCGCCGACACTCGTGCCACGAGCTCTTCGCTGGTCAATCATATTGCCGCTGCCGAATCATCGGGTCAGTTCGCGTTGTCTGCTTCTGGTGTGTGGAGCAAGACGTTGACTCTCCAGTGGCCGGCTGCAAAATCCCATAGTAGATGGGCTATCGGCGAATCAATCGAATCTGAACTGGTGGCGGTCAGATTCTTTGCTCGGATTAAGGCAAGTCCATCTGTTAAGCTGAAACAAGTCTAAATACCCAATACAGCTTGTTGTCTCATCATCGCATGGGACTGAATCAGTTGAACTAGCAGAGTGCGAATTGTTTGTCGTGTCGACCAACGAGGCTGAGCGACAATTGGCTCTATCCAAGTACGACCAGTCACGTTACTCCGAAGGTGGTCGGTCTAAATCCAAGTCACCTCGGAGATCGCATAGACAGTCTGACACCGCTCCGCCTCTGCCTGCTTCCGGCTCAAGAGTTGAACATCCGCATCGAACTTCTGTTTCCACATCGTATTCCCCTTCGCCATCTTCCTACAAGCCACCACGTAGGCCACACACCAGTGCTGGACCTAGAGACAAAACCCGCTTACGTGTAGAAAATCCGGTCCAACCGATAGAACGCACAAACTCGGATAGTAGTACGCCCAGTCTGAGCTCTCCATCCTCGAGCGACAGTCACCCATCAGACGAGATCAAGGAATGGGAGGAAGAGCTTGCACAAATTGAGCTACGAAGTCGGAGATCAAGCGATTTGGTGGCAATGGCTCGTACCAGGCGTTTAGATGTACCTTCATAGCACCTCATAGCACTTTCATTTATTTTGCCATAAATGTCACACTCGCGTGATGTCACCAATATGTCTCCGTCATTCCCATTATTCCGAGTTGCAGCACTATCGGGGGCTTGTGAGTCGCGTCTCTCTTCGGTCCACCCTGTTCATCGGTGGCTAGTGGTCGGCTTCGGCTACTTGTTAATGCACGGTTCGTGTCTCGCATGAGCGATAATTTCGGTCGTTCAAATGCGCCGCCAGCAACGGTTCCAAACGAAGAAGAGGTTTACAAGGTCTAGACAACTCTAGAAATCATTTCCGCCCTTAGATTTCATGTCCAGAGACTTTCCCCAGCTGACCGCAAACGAGTTGACGAAGCACGAGCTCGTCGTGCCGCCCAAGAAGCAGAAATTCGCGCTAAAGTTTTCGCTAAGGCTTGAAAACCGCTTCTCCATTACCAAAAGATGCTCATGTGTATTCTTAGGAGCCTTTGGATCCTGAGGCATTCAAACCAGAACTCCCAAGGAAATAGCTTGAACTGAATATTCCTGCTCGACTGCTCTAGATGCTGCGCTACAATACACGGAGTGATTATGATTAAAGGGAGTTGAGTTTAGGTCGTAAGAAAAACTCTGTTGTACAGTGTCATCGACCCTTTATTCCGCCGCGGCCGATGCATCACTGGGCGAGAATATGAGAAACGCACTTGGAGGCTCATCAACGACGGAAACATACCCAAAATAACCCTCCGCTGTTATAGGTGCATTCGTCAATACGTTCTTCGGCGTGGCAGCTGCTGGTGGGGTTAGCAGAGGCTCTCGATCGACAGACGAGTCTGATTCCGGAGAAGATGGCAAGTTATCATACGTTTCGCCAGTGGATGAAGCCATCGAAATTGCTGAAAGCATTGAATCTTGGTGACTTGGGACGGGTCTATCGGGGATTTCGATTACAGGAACTGACTCAGAATACGGTGCAATGGTTGGTTGAGGTTCTAGGGCCGTTGCAGCGTCTGATGTGTCAGTGATTGTGGGACTCGATACTGGTACAATCGGATTCGTGATTGGCGCAGTCGTTTGCTCTGACTCAATTGTGTTCCTTTCAATAATTGTAGGTGTGGCAGGAGTTGAGTTGGATGTCTCGATTTCTGTGCTATTAAGCACCGCAGACGCCGTAGAAACTGCGCTTAGAGCTGCACTAAGCGTGACAGGCGGTGGGCTAGAAGTCCTTCGTCGCCAACCACTGGCGGTGTCTTTGAGAACCTGAAGAGGGTTTGGCGAAGGAGATCGACTTCTTGACGATGTGGGCTGACTAACAGAGAGTGTGGAAGGAGATGGCTGTGGTGCAGACGAGGAAGCAGTCACTGACGAAGTCGATGCACCCGAATCGTTGTTGGCGACAGCGGTTTCTGCCTTCTTCTTTTGCTCTGCCTCTTTCCGTTGTTGTTCCTCGTGCTCAATGAGAGACAACCGCATCGCTTCCATGATCATTAGCTAGGTTGTGTCAGATGCGACTTGAACACGAGAGAGATAGACCGACCTCTTCCAACTCTGCCCCGCCCATTCCCATGAACTGCTCGAAGTTTCCGTTTTGTGGTTGTTGTTGTCTGCGACGGGACCGTCTACTTCCGCTTCCCTCTGTCGAGGCAGCTTCCGCTTGGGCAGCTTCCTCTGGAGTGAGAGCATGAACCCGACCACTTGTGACCCCAACAGGTATGAGTCTATCTCCAACTTGACGCATGATGATTCTTCGATTTGCCCGTCGTTGAACTGCAGCACGAACAGCAGCAAGCTTAGCTTCCCAGTCAGGGCGGATGTGATCAGTCAAAACAACTTCAGCGCTATCTGCGCCAAAGCTCTTCTGTCGTCGTTTGTGTGTCGGATATGGGGTGTCGATCGAGGGAGACGAGCCTCTGGGTGAGTCTGACCACGGAGAGCCACCCCCTTCACTGGCGATTCCGGCTCTCCATGGCGGAGGGGTATAGACAACACCAAAGTTCTCCTGAACACAATAAGGACAAGCTGCAGGCTCGGAGACCAAATGAGTGGCAGTGGGCTCATTTCGCTTGATCTGGACGAAACATTCAGTGCAGATAGCTTGGTCACAGCAGCGGGAGTGGTTGATATTGGGTGGATAATACTAGCTCGTGTGAGTTACTGACGAGAGCGAAGAGGCCCTGGACGTACAAGAAAACAAATAGGACATTCTACCGCGTGCCTGTAGACTGCAGCTTCTGGCCGACTTGGTTCCTTCAGTGACCCAGATCGCTTCTTGTTGGTTGGGGGTGGGGGTGGTGGCAGTTGTTCGGTTTCCGAGTCAGAGAGCGCCTTTCTTGCGGCGAGGATTTGGTCGTCATCCCAAGACTCCTCGTAGTCTTCAAGGGGTCGGTAAAACGGGGCGAGTCTCCGTGCGATGATAAGTTGGGCAGTTATTGACTGATTCCAGTCTCGAGGGCCCGTATACACGCCCTGGGGTACTAGTTGGCCAAAATCGACACTCTCATCGTGAGGCCGAGAGGATGAACTGGAGTTGCCCATCGTTGACCCAAGTCAAGCACGGGCCCGTGACTGACATTGCGCAATTGTCGGCAAACTAGAGTTTCTTTTTATTTTGTCTTCTCTCTGTCTGCCTTCCCATCTCTCGTTCACTGTTTGCATTCCCTCTCAAGCTCACCGCTCCGTCTTGAACCGGGACTGACGTGTCCGTAAATCACATCCACGTGTCCCCTCCCAAAAAGTTCTTCATCTTTTCCTCTCTCTCTCTCTCTCCCATCACCCCGCGCCGTACTTTGCGGGCACCTTATCATGGAAACTCCTTGGGCCCAAACTACGAATGAACTTTTAGAGCATTTTAGTGTTCACCCCGACCGTGGACTATCTTCTGACCAGGCAGCAAAGCATGCGCAAATCTACGGCAAAAATGGCACGTCGTTCTCGAGGGCAATTTCAGCTACTTTACTCACAATTATCCAGAACTACCCGATGAGCCCGCTACACCCCTCTGGGAGCTTATTTTAGAGCAATTCAAGGACCAGCTTGTCCTCATTTTACTTGCTTCTGCGGTCATCTCCTTCGTCCTTGCGCTTTTCGAAGAATCCGAGTCTTTCGCTAGTGCATTTGTGGAGCCCCTCGTTATTCTCCTAATTCTTGTGGCAAATGCAACTGTTGGCGTCATCCAAGAAACCAACGCTGAGAAGGCGATAGACGTGCGTGAATTCGCTGAAGGAGACTGTTTTATTGAAAAACTCTCTATGTTCAGGCCCTCAAGGAGTACTCCCCAGATGAGGCTAAAGTTCTCCGCTCTAGCCAGTTGGCTCGAATTCACGCCTCCGAACTCGTTCCTGGCGATATCATCTCTGTGGCCGTTGGTGACAAGGTTCCCGCTGACTGCCGGCTCTTGTCGGTGTCTTCCAGTAGTTTCCGTATAGACCAGGCTATCTTAACGGGGGAGAGCGTCAGCGTCAACAAATACCTCGACGTCGTCTCTGACCTCAAAGCAGTGAAACAGGATATGACGAACATGCTCTTTTCGGTATGACTGGGACGTTACGAATATTATTATCCGCTAAACTGGCTCAGGGAACCACCGTTGTCAACGGCAATGCCAAAGCCATCGTAGTCTTCACTGGCTCTCGCACTGCAATCGGGGATATTCACAAGTCTATCACTTCACAAATATCTGAGAAAACGCCTTTAAAACGCAAATTAGATGACTTTGGTGACCTTCTCGCCAAGGTCATTTCCGTTATCTGCATTCTTGTCTGGCTTGTCAACATCCGTCATTTTTGGGATCCCTCTCATCATGGAGTTCTAAAAGGTGCCATCTATTACTTCAAAATAGCCGTGGCCCTCGCAGTTGCCGCCATTCCCGAAGGATTAGCAGCGGTTATAACCGCTTGTTTGGCTCTTGGGACGAAGAAGATGGCTCAGAAAAACGCTATCGTTCGGAACCTACCCAGCGTGGAAACCTTGGGTTGCACCAATGTCATCTGCTCAGACAAGACAGGCACTCTAACGACCAACCAAATGAGTGTTTCCAAGGTGAATAATCCACACAACTTCTACTTTACGTCGCTAATCATCTTATAGTTTTTGGTAGTCGACGGCCGTACGGGTAGTCCTCGCGAATATGTTGTTGAAGGCACTACGTTCGCACCGTACGGGTCTGTGACATCCGCTGATGGTAAGGAGGCCTCTGATGAACTCAAGTCAGACGCTATCCAACGATTGGCGGAAATCAGCTCTATCTGCAATGACGCAAAGATAGTTTTCAACGCGGTATGGAATAGCATGCCTCAAATGGCCGAATCCTGACTTTTCATTAGGACAAAGGCGTCTATACGAATGTTGGTGAGCCAACTGAAGCAGCGCTCAAAGTTCTGGTCGAAAAACTGGGATGCCGTGACGCCGATGTCACTAAATCTCTTGCGACTCTATCTCCCGCAGTTCGAGCCAATGCTGTCAACGAGCATTTTGAGCGTTCGATATCTCGTTTGCTCACCTTCGAATTCTCACGTGACCGTAAAATGATGTCTGTCCTCGTTCGGCTCAATGGCTCTGGAGCACTTTTTGCCAAGGGAGCACCAGAGTCAGTACTCGATCGCTGCTCTTCAGTACGGGTGGACGGTGCTGTAATTCCTCTCACTCCCCAAACACGAGCATCAATCTTGGAGAAGACTTTGTCCTATGGCGCAAGTGGCCTGCGCACTCTGGCTCTGGCTTATGTTGACGTCAGCGACCTTGATGCCAATCATTACCACTCGGAAAGCACCAAAGACTACGGGCGGTTTGAACAAAACCTGACATTCGTTTCTCTTGTCGGTATGCTGGATCCACCTCGCCCCGAGGTACGGGAAGCCGTGGCCAACTGCAAAGCCGCCGGTATCCGTGTTATCTGCATCACTGGCGACAATAAGGGCACAGCAGAGACTATTTGCCGACAAATTGGCATTTTTGACGAGGATGAAGATCTAACCGGCAAGAGCTATACGGGACGGGAGCTTGATGGGTTAACGCAGGAGGAGAAGGTTGCTGCAGTCCAAAGGGCGAGCCTTTTCTCAAGGACAGAGCCTGCACATAAGAGCCAGCTTGTCGACTTACTGCAAGGGCTGGGCTTGGTTGTCGCAATGGTCAGTCAATGCCCGCTGTCTAATTTGGAGTCATGCTTATACAATGTCAGACTGGAGACGGAGTCAATGATGCACCTGCTCTAAAGAAAGCAGACATTGGCGTTGCCATGGGTAGTGGGACAGATGTTGCTAAACTTGCAGCAGACATGGTTCTCGCTGACTCTAATTTCGCAACGATAGAGAAGGCAGTTGAAGAAGGTAGACTCATCTATAACAACACGAAGCAATTCATTCGCTATCTAAGTGCGTCACATCTCTTGCTCTGAATGATGCTTATCCTCACGTAGTTTCCTCCAACATTGGCGAGGTCGTCAGCATATTTCTTACTGTGCTTCTGGGAATGCCAGAAGCCTTAATTCCCGTACAACTTCTTTGGGTCAACTTGGTGACCGACAGTCTACCAGCCACGGCCTTAGGGTTCAACCCACCAGACCATTCAATCATGCGTGTCCCCCCGAGAGATAGTCGGGAACCACTGATCGGCAAATGGCTCTTCTTCCGATATATGGTGGTTGGCATGTATGTTGGCTGTGCGACTGTGTTTGGCTATGCGTGGTGGTTCATGTTCTACACTGGTGGACCCCAGATCTCCTATTATCAACTGGTAACAGTCCTCTACAACTTCCGTGCATCGGTACTGATCATAGCACAGACGCATTTCCACCAGTGCTCATCACTCTTCCCTGAGATCGGATGCGAAATGTTTGTCAATACGATGGCACAGCGGGCAACAACGATGAGCTTGTCGATTCTGGTGACGGTGGAGATGTTCAATGCCATCAACTCCCTTTCAGAGAACGAGAGCTTGTTGGTCCTACCAGTTTGGAGGAATCTCTTCCTCGTTGGGGCTGTAGCTCTTAGTATGGCGCTACACTTTATGATCCTCTATGTGCCATTCTTCACGGTCCGTCTCGACGCTCTCTCTTCATCCAGTACTCATCTTGAGACAGTCACTATTTGCAATCACCCCACTTAATTGGGTCGAGTGGAAAGCCGTACTCTATCTCAGTGCCCCTGTCGTTCTCATTGATGAAGTCCTCAAGTTCGTCTCGGTATGTTATGCTATCAACCCTAGCGTTTCTTTCCTCAGCATGCCTATAGGCCACGTTCATCAACCCACCGTCAAAACTTAAACTCGATTGATGTGTCGTGTACTCATGTGCGAAAATAGAAAATCAATTTTCATCAGCCGGCCTTTTTAAACCGAGACGGAAGCCCGTCTCAAATCCTTTGTGTGAGTGGTGTCGGTGGCTACAATCAAAAAACGCGGCATCCACGAGCCAGCTCCCATAAAGCCCGGAGAGCCCACCGGGTTTTCTCCATTTTCATTACTCTTTATGTTGCCCCTCACCTACTTGTTTGTCTTAGCGTGCGCTAGCGCTAGTGCTCAAGCTGCGATACCTCGTGGCAGTGCCACCCACGTGCAAATCGAGAAACGGTTCAGCAATGCGCGATTTACCTTTTTTGATACTGGGCTTGGTGCATGTGGCTCGACCAACGTCGGAAGCGACTTTGTTTGTGTTCTGAAAGCGACCAACACGAGAAACTGACGCGTCTCGGTAGATTGTGGCACTAAATTCCGAGGTAGGAGACGTTCACGTTTCCCGACAAAAACTAAAATCCAGCCAAAAGCAATACGGAAATGGTGAACACTGTTACAAGATGATCGAGATAACCTACAAAGGGAAGACAAAACAGGCTCAGATAGTCGATATGGTGCGTTTGGTGGTGTCGACATTGATCAGACTAGAATGGCATTATGATCAGTGTCCTGGTTGCGGTTTTGGCGCTCTCGACTTTAGCACTGGCTTATTCGATTACTTTGCTTCGGAGGACCTGGGTGTCATATACGGTAAGCTCACAGGGTCCATTCTTCCGATTTCCTGTGTTTATGGTCTGGCAGGCAGTTGGAAGTTCCTCGATGGAACTGTGACGACGACGACGCAGAAAACCACAACAAGACCATTGCCTACAAGAACAACCAGTCACATTCAGCTTCCCATATCGAGTACAACACCTAAACCTATGGTCTCTCCGGTTGCACCGGCAGTTTTAGACGATGTGCGACTTGCATTATCCGCCTTATTGGGTGTTGTTTCTATTGGGGCATAGACTTAAATGCACATGTAGAATATAGATATTGTGCGTAGACTTTGGTGCAAAACCTGAGCAGGTCCTTGGCAAAGATGGGAATGTCAAAAATTGAGTCACACCTGTCACAACTATTGGCTCCTCTCATCCTCGCGATTGCCTTGCGGTCGTCGCCCCCTTCCTTTCCCTTTGACGTTCATTACCAACAGCAGTAACCATCCCCAATGCTTTCCCTTGGCCTAGCTCTGTTGCTGGCCCCCCTGGCGTTGGCTTCTCATGGCTCTTCCGTCAACCATCATGAGCTCGCAAAGCGTGCGGCGGTAGACGTCGCTGAGCGCTCATCTGAACACACCGTCAATATCACCAAGCGAGAAGTCTTCTCTGACGCTCGTTGGACTTTCTACTCCACCGGACTGTGAATACATCTCTGCGACTATTGTCTACGTTCTCAAGCCGTTTCTAGGGGTGCATGTGGTGACTGGAACAACGATGGCGATTTTGTGCGTCTGCTTCAAAGAAATTCTGCGCTTTCCTCGCTCATTCATGTCGATGATAGATCGTAGCCTTAAATCAGGGAGTGTGTTGCCCTTTTTGCAAACACACACTCAATTTTAACTCTGATTTCAGACCTTCGGTTACTCTTACCCAAGCCCCTTCTGCAACAAGTAAGCTGACGGGCAAATGTCTTGGTCAATCCAGCTCATATTCCTCCAAGGAAAATCGTCATGAAGTATGGTGGGAAGCAAACCACAGCGACTATCAAGGATTCGTGCCCCGGCTGTCCCTACAAAGGCATACCATCTTGGTTCCTTTGATATTGCCAACGCTAATCAATGCTTCAGGTCTTGATCTCAGCCCCGGACTATTTTCATTCTTTGCCAATCAAGATATGGGAGTCATCCAAGGTACTTGGTGGTTTGCGGACGGGGGCGATAATGGCAACCCACCACCCCCCCCCCCGCCCCCTCCTCCACCAAAAACCACCAAGCAAAAGACAACTACTCCGCCCCCGCCCCCACCACCAAAGACCACCACCAAACAGGAGGACCCTGCCACTCGCACCACGTCCAAGACCACAACTACTACCAAAGCCAGTAGCTCATCAGCACGTGCCTCGTCTGCTGTCAGCTCGACCCATTCTGCCCCATCCAACAGTGTTGCAGCGCCGTCTGGCACTGTCGCTCCCGTGTCAAGCACCAATCCGGAGAATCTTTTCTCCTTCGCCCAGGCCGCTATTCATCTCAGTGGAGTCGTCTTAGCTGGCGCTGGCGCTGCGTAGACCGTTATTCTTATTCTCATCCTTTCGACTCCTGTAATAATCTATCTACTACACCTGCTGGCATATACCCAAATAGGATGTTCTTACTTGACGTTGAGCGCAACCAATACCAAGAAAAAGCAAGTTACATTTGGATTGGACAACGACAGGCAGGTGTACAAGAAGGATGGATAGTTGAGGAATCAATACTGTTAGTGATAGCATCTTACCAGCAGCACTGACAAACCAGACTCTTTCACCACGTTGCGTGGAACCATAACCTCGTGTTTGCGGGTGCGAAGGTCACGAATGAGAGAAGAGCGAGTCTTATGCATGACGCTCTGGATTGCAGCAGGCCCGTGCTCTCGGGCGGCAAGGTATTCGGCAATGTTAAGGAATGCGTGCGATTTCAGCATGGCTTTCGCGCTTCGGACAGAATCAGGGACTTGGAGGGTAGACGAGGCAAGGCCAAGCTCAACGAGCAGGCACTGCATGAATGTGAGGCGGCACAGAGGGGTATTGTCCTGAAGAAACCTACACAATGGGTCAGAGTTTAGATCATGACGAGTGGGGGAAGACATACGCGCTGATGTAGGAGGCAGCAGCATCGTAGGAAGAAAAGGGGGATGCGCTGCGCTCAGAGGCTGAGTCTTGAATGGAAGAGAGATCGTCGACAATAGGGCGCTCTCCCAATCCACGAGGCATAGATTTGGGCTGTTTCTTACGACGATGGGACTTGCGTACTACAGGGGCAGTAGTATGGGGTGGTGGTGTGGCAGGAGAGGTATGGTGAGAGGGCTTGGTTAGGGAAAGATTGGAGAACTGGTCAACGAGGGAATCATGGGGGTTGCGGCTGAGCACAACGAAATCATCGTCCGAGGCAACGGCAGACGAATTGTCCTCTACGTCCCATACAATTTCGTCGTCAGTGGATGGGTCGAAAGAGAGGTGAACTGGCTCTGAAGATTGGGTAGAAGATCGAGAACGAGTGCAAAGATCGTAGGAGGAGATGGTCGACATCGTGGTTTCCGACAAAAGACACAGGGTCAATTTACATTTGAGCAATTTTGATCCGGTGAGAATTTCGAACTAAATTCTGGCCAAAAGCGGACAACTCAAATTTGATGACGGGTGCTCCTCTTACGGCGTGTGATAAACGGCATCAGGCGCCGTCACCATTTTCTTCTTGCTCTCTCCCACCACCCACTTTCGCTGGTCGAGTTCATGACCAGCCCGTTCCATGCAACTACAGTCGTCACCAATTCACTCCTACGGCTTTCGTCGCCCCACCAAGCCCTCTGGTCGTACTCGCGACAATTTGGTTTCATCTCCCACCAGTCTCGATATCAGTCGTCTCCATCCAGAGGATGCTGCGTCTAAGACCTTTTTGGCCATTTCACGCGCCCTTTTGTCCGTTGTGAGTGAACTCGCCACTCGTGAAGCCTTCGCTCACTCGCGTAACCCCTTAGGACAATCGCGCTATGACCATCAAGGACCTTGCTGAAATGACAGTTGCTCAAGGTCTTGTGTGCCAGAAGTGAGTCAATTATCAACTCCCAGTCGTGGGCGGTATTGACTCCTGACTCAGTGTTTCTGCGGCCAGCCAAGCTATCACCAGTGCGTTACTTACTCAATTGTTCCCTTTTGTGACTAAATATCCGCAGCGTATATTCGCACTCATCTCTCGCGCGTGGAATTCCAAAACGACCATCCTCTCATTCTCAAGCACGTACTCTCCGGCACTCCTGATGATGACGACCTACTTCCTGCTCTGCATTCAACTTCGGGCGGCGCTCACGGTGGAATGAATACCGAGAATCGCACAACCAATTTCCGTCGAGGAACCATCGTTTGGTATCTAAGCGGAGCCACTGGTGCCCCTTGTCCCTTCGCCCGGGCTGGAATAATGTTATGCGAATACGGGGAGACTGGACGTGGCCATTCTCAAAACGCCGTCAACCGAGACAAGAAAAAGGCCCGTGACGCTCCCGATGAACACTGTGGTAGCAAGCGAAAGCGGTCGCTGAGAGGAGGCGATGCTCTCAACTCGGATTCAGACCTGGAGTTGCCCAAACCGCCACCCAAAGTCAAACTCACTTTACGTCTAAAACCTCTTCGCGCTCTTGCTACTGCAGAGGCTATGGTAGACGAGTCTGATGGGCAGAAAGAAGAACCCTGGTCTTTGCCCCCCTATCCCAGACGATCTATCTCCATTCCATGCTGCACGCCGTCTACCGACAGCCTTTATTACTATTCTCAGCGACCATACCAGCGCTCTTCTTCCGTCCCCTATAGCGTGGTGGCTTCACCCCCTCCTGACTCTGAAGACGATAATGATGATTTTCACATCTCCATGACCGACTCTCAACGAGCATCTTCTAGTCGAGCCCGTTATCGCAAACATGATGACGAATCTGACTGGGACGACGACAACGATGACAACGAAAGTGAGGATGATGGCGAAACCATGTGGGAAAGTCCAGGTCCACGTTCACCATCTGCTCCGGCTTTAGCCGAGATTGAGGTCAAACAAGAACCCCGCGACGAAGAAGCCGCCTCAAATCTGGTCGTCGACAATATTAAAGTCGAGCTTGACGATGACTGGGATTGGCATCGTTTGCCTTGGGCTCACGAAGGTCTCTTTATCAAGCAGGAAGAAGACTTGGAGTGTCTGTCATTGTCGAGTTCATTCGACCCAGGACCCTCCTCCCCCTTGTCCCCGCCTCCGTTATTTGCTCTCGACTCGCCCAGGCGTGTTAGTGATCCTCTCACGGAAATCGAACTCAACAAGGCAACTTTGCGACCACGGTCTAAAACACTTCCTCCCTTGTCTGCCTATTTCAGTTCACCTGTGCTTCGGCCTCAACAACCGCCTCCTCTCGTCACCCATTCCCTCACGTCACTCATCCAGAGCATGTCTGTGAGCAGTCCAGCGTGTGTCTCCCCTCAAGAAACCCGTTGCGAAGGTTCCACTTCCCAGCCCGTTGTTGTTCATCCACGCCTGCCAACTCCCAATTCACCAGCCATCATTGCAACACAGTTGGAAGGTACGTAATGAATGACGTCTCATCATTCCAGTCCTGATTTTTTGCAGGCATCTCCGTGTATCAAACCACAATTGGCAACGTAGTTCTTCTCAGAAGGCTCGATACGGACTTCGTCAATCTCACACCTATCGCTGCCGTTTCTCGCGTTTCCCTGCCCCACCCCAACACTATTCCAAATGCTACCGTAATATCGCGAGGCTCTACAGCCGTTTGTGGTGTCTGGGTCCCTCTCTCTGCTGCCCAAACCTTTGTCCGTACCCACCCCTCGCAAGCCAAGACACTCAATACCTTCCTTTCCGACCGTCTCGCATCACGCTTTCCATCAGCTCTGAACAAATGGAAGGAGGATGCTCCAAAGGGTCCCAATCTGGGTGTCTTTGGTCAACATTTTGGTTCAACCGTCCAACCCACTACATTGTGTGGCGATGGCGATGGAGGAGAGTTGGACGTTGCTTCCTTGCTGACATCGGTCACGCCTAATTTCCCGGTCACCGCGGTTCCGTCAGGGAGCTCGCCTGAACTTCCTCTAAGCTCGACCGAACAGCAGATATTCCGCGAGCTTTGCGTTACAACCGAATGGGACCACGACGTTGAGTCGGCACCATCCTCGCCACTTTCTGATATTCCTCTCGATGATAACGACTTGCCTCCGCCCCCTCCACCGATAATTGAAAGAGCTGCTCGGCAATTACGGCGGTCAAAGCGAGTGGCTGACTCCAACAAAGTCACTCCCACTTGTAGAGGAAGGGGTCGCGGCCGACCCAGACGCACTTGATCATTCGCCTTTTCTTCATGTTTGTCTTTTCAGCTTAGACGATGTAGCTCCCATTCTTGGCCCGACACACATCTGCACTGATTGCACGCTCGCTTCAGTCCCCACTACACTATTAGCCAATCAACCTCAACCCCATACCCTCCGTTATCCTACAGCCAAGTCGAGGCTTTGTTTTGCCGACTGGAGCCCCTGTGTATTGATATCTTGCGATGTGTGTGGGGGGGAAGAAATCGACCCTCACCCCGTATTTTGTTCTCTGTATCCTAGAATTATACTGGAATGTTACGCTCCCATATAATCCTACTGACCTGCTGGTGTCGTGACTTGTTAGTGACTCTCTTCCCCAGTCCATGTCTCGCCGCGTAGATAACGCAACGTCGCCCTCCCTACTCAATTCAGGCTCGCTCACTCAAGGCATCTTGCTGTTGGAACAGATTGGTCAGACTACAAACCTTGGGGTCCTGAAAGGCGCGTAATTAGGTGTGTTCTTCACATCACCAACGACGTGTAGGTTTTGCCGGTATTCTAACCCTGTAAGGGCCTGGTTGTTTGGCTAGATACCTGACTTATGCAAACAGAGTTCTCGAGACATGTCAAGTGCGTTTGCTGTCAATGCAGAACGCCGCGATCCTGACTTGGACCTGAGACTGCTACATCGAATAAAAACGATGCCCGTGCTCTATCCCATGACCTCGGCATGCTGGCTCTTGCTATTGCTGGTCAAGTGCACGACCTCCAGCCAGATATTAGCGCTGAACTGCTGAATGACATCTCGAAGCTGTGCCAGTTGAGTTGAATCCAACTTTTGACCATTGAACGGAGGTTGATTCCTGCCGTGTTCACTACCTAGGAAGCTCGAAGCAGTTCATTCCACGCTCAAGGTGCTATCTCAGCCAAAGGAGTCCTAATTCTTTCCTTACGCCACACAACTCAGAATATCTTTAAACGCGACTCTCTTGCCTGGTTCGTAACCCAATCTCAAGACCAAGTCAGACTACAGCGACTACAAAGAGACATCAAGGTACACACCTAGGCTGCCTTCCAGCCTCTCGCATAGGCTTATAAGCTCTTCAGCACGCCATTGACGTGTTTTCTGTTGGTCTTATTCATATCGACTGTGAAAGTGGTGGTTAATCTTGGGACAGTTCCAGTCAGCGGTTCGTCTACGAGAACGTCTCGTTGCTTCGGAGACTCTAAGTGCTGTACGACACGGTCGAATTCTAGACGAAATTCACGACGTTCGTCGTCTCGTCATGAATGAGATCAAAACGAAACAGGTAGGTGCTTCTTGATAAATCAGACTACCGCGTTTACATCTTGTAGGCTATGCTACCTCCAGTGCAAGTCACAGATCACAGTACTCATCCGTAGCTAATTTGTGCATAGCATGCTGTCTGGTCCAAACCTTCCTCGCGCGCCACTTCATTTCTTTGGGCGTCAAGATGTTATTCAGAGCATTGTGAAGATGGTCCTTGACCCAAACTCTCCGGCTCGGGTAGCGATTCTCGGCGCTGCAGGTCATATAGCATCTAAGACCTATTTCAGACCTTGATACTTTCTAGGTATCGGCAAGACGAGTGTCGCCTCGATGGTGTTGTTGGATTCACAAGTTGCTCAGCTCTTCGGCCACAGACGATTCTTTGTGCCATGCGATGCAGCGAAGAATAAGGACGACCTATTGACGGCTATCGCGAGCTGTTTGGGCTTGCAAGACACCAAGCTCCAGAAGAAGATCCTGGAAGTGCTTGGGGACACTGATCATCGGTCTTTGATTGTGCTGGACAATTTCGAGTCGCCCTGGGAGAATGCTGAGGCGGTTCGAAAGGAGGTAGAGAGCCTTTTGGTCTCTCTCTGTTCATTAGCTACTCTGACAGTTATAATCACGGTGCGGGGTTCCGAACGACCAATGGGGGTGAAATGGTCGAGGCCGCCTATTGCTCAACTCGGTCCACTTGATCCTGAGTCGGCCCGTAGAGCATTTCTAGCACTTTCAGACTGCGCCGAAGATGATCCAAGCATAGACAAGTTTGTTACCGTTCTCGCCGTCTATCGAGATTCGCTAAAATGCTTGGATAGCTTAATTGCCGCCGTTGACTCTGTTCCACTTGCAATTTCGCTCATGGCAAACTTGGCCCAGACGGATAGTCCAGAAACACTACTACTGCGCTGGCGCGAAGAACAGAGCTCGCTATTGAACCGTGTATCGGACCGAACCTCAAGTCTTGACGTATCGATACGAATTTCTCTGAATGGCCATCGTATGAAAGCCAATCCTGAGGTAGGAACATTCGCTGATGCTGTTTGCGACTAATCAAGCTCTTAGGCCACCATTCTTCTCGGTTTACTGTCCCTTCTGCCCGACGGCATTGACAACACGCAACTTACCTTGATCTTTCCGGGGATCCCCAATGCGCGACGCTCATTATCAGTCCTTTGGCAGACATCCTTAGCTTACAATGATGGCCACAATAGAACACGAGTTCTTGCGCCAATTCGTGCTCATATGACATTGTATTCGGAAACTCATCTTGCCCCCCACACCTCGATGCTGGCATACTACATGGGACTATCTGAACTCTCGTCAGACCTTGGGTAACTTTTAATTTTTATTTTATTGTGGAACCCGCGTTCACAACTTCCAAGAGGACGCCATGGGCAAATGATAGCACAGCGACTGACCAAGGAAATCGGAAATATGCTGACCGTCATTAGTCTTGCGCTCGAGGCTACGGACGAACAACAATTGCGAAGTGCTGCTGCTGCTGCCATCAGCATCTCCAGGCTGATTCGTTACACGCACATGGGCAGCTATGATATACTCGAGACTGCTAGGACTGTCGCCCAGAAGCTCGAAGACAGATTACTTGAGGCTGATATTCTCTATCACTTCGCGTGGACAATGTTCACCATCGGCGGTCGAATGGATTACGAGGCTCTCTGCACTGAAGCTCTCACAATATACGAAAGCATAGGTAACATCCGTGGTCGTGCCGGTACGGAATACCAAGTTACTCTGCTCGCGCTAAAGCAATAACAGAGTGCACATTTTTATCTGCGCAGTTCAGAAAAAGTACCAAGCGTCAGAAAGAGTGCAAACCGTTATACGAAGATGCGCTCAAACTGGCCGTCGAATCCCAGAGCAAATACTGTGAAGCCAAGTGCTTGTCATGTCTGGCAGAAATTGCTTTCTATTCGAGTGATGGAGAGACTGCAGAGCGTCTCAGTCGGGAGGCTTTGGCGCTCTTTCGTGAATTGGATCACCTGACGAACATCGGACTAACAGCGTATTTGTTGGGTAGGGTGCGTGCTTGTTTGATCCAACTTGCTCACTGCCTCTTCATACTCGTTCTGGAAGATTTTGGTTTTCCGAGACGATCGCGCTGCCGACGAATGGTTTGATGAGGCCGAAGTTGTTCTCAAACAGGCTGGCGCGTATAGACAGGCTGGGGTCGCTCTCATTGGCAAGGGGGACAGTGCTCTTGCGCGTTGCGACTATTTGGGGGCTCAAGAGATTTACACCAGAGCATTCAATGCATTTCAAGAAGCGGGAACATTGCAATCAATAACTGGAGCCTTCGCGCTATTGTCACTGGGGACTGCGGCGGCCTATTTGCACCAACAAGCAGAGGCAAAAAAGTGGATTCAACAGGCAAGGTCGATGATGGTGAGGATTGGATGGACGTCTGCCTACGGAATACTTCATTGTGACTTGATTGATGGTGAGTACTCGCACAGTGTAAGTACCTAAAACGGATTTATTGGAATATGCAGGAGACCTTGCATTCCAAGAGGACAAATTGGAGGAGGCGAGATCATTTTACCAACGAGCTCAAATTGCGGCTGAGAGCTCGGGTTTTGCGGAGGAAGACGCCCAGGCTCTTGTGAAGTTAGCGGCAATTGATGTGGCCCAGCATCGACTGGAGACTGGATTGCAACATCTGGTTGTTGCTGCAGCGAAACAACGACAGACCAAAGATGTCAAGGGTTTGAGTTTGACTTTGGTGCGGCTAGGTCAATTTTATGTGGCGGGTGGGCAGAGAGACATAGCATTTGCATTCTTGCGTGCTGCATATCCACTTTGCCAGAAAGTGAGGGCATTGCGGAATCTCGCAGAATGTCTTAGAGGGTTGGGTGAGTTGTGTCAAGATTCGGATATGATTGAGCAAGGCAAGCAAATCTACCAGTCAACGTTGGGCGTACAGTAGTTTACAATCACTTTTCATGGAAGCGAAATGTTGGTTCTCTCTCACCCGCCTGACAGTCGGCGGCGGAGTGAGGAATTCGAAAGGAAGCTTGGTCACAAATGTGACGCTGACCTGGTCTCCCTCTCGATTCCTCCCACCTGGGCCAGCTCAGGCCTCTGTATTTCTCCCGCATTGTACGACGCTCGACCTAATTGTCTTTTTTGGCAACGTCCGCACATTCATAATCCCTAATCCTTCTTCTTCTATAATGTCCTTAACGCCCGACAACAACGCCACATTTAGGGCCCCAGTGTCGGGCAAGACACCTCCACCAGCTCCTTCGGCTGCGTTTGCGAAAAGGCATATAGCTTTATCCACGTCATTGACCCGTTTAACCCGTTTTTTAGGGCTCGAGAATTGCAGGCAGAGGAAAGGCTTACTGGTGCAAGATACCGGCCACCCGCTCTTCGAGAATTAGAATCAAGGGCTGCCGTGTCCAATGAGGCGCCTTCCCCATCCGTGACAACTCCAGCAGATAGCGCAACTCTTGCACCGACCAATTATCCGCCTGGTTTCAGACGGGCAAGGGCCGGAACTCTGCCGTCAAACGTACAACTCGCAGCTCAGCGTTTTGCCGCGGCTTCCAGCAGTCTCGCTACTCTTACCGGCTCTACCGATTCCCTTCTTGACCGACCAACAGCGACCCCGACATCAGCTATTACCCCCTCCCGTCCAGGCTTGCGTCATTCAACCTCTGTTGCATCGTCTGTCGCAACTTCCGCCGCCCGAGAGCCAAACAGTCGTCTTCGCTCCGGCTCTCTCACGCTGCCCACTGGTGGGCTTTCCAATGCTTTTGGTCCCTCTATCTTTTCTTCATCCTGGCTCTCATCGTCGAATGGCGGAGGTTTCTCTACCCTCGAAGATCTTCGTTCAGTGACGTCTGCCGATTCCACCGATGACTTTGGAGACGTTCACACTCTCGACTATCTTGGTTTGGATGATCACCGTCCCCCACCTGCTGCTACTATATCCGAGCTGCGTAACCAAGCTCAGGCAGCGATTGCAGTTCATCTCGCTGGAAACCCTTCACGGATGCGAGCCACCACCGTCTCCAATCCGTATCGGAACCGGTCGTCTGCTGCTCCAGGTTCTCACTTGGCAACCCCTTCTGGTGAAGAAGAAGACGAATACTTTGATTATGATGACAGCAACTACGGCCGCCAACGTCTTGCAACCTACGACTCCTCCAACCAAGAGCCGGGTTATGGAACTTCATCCCTCATCGCCCAAGCTTTCAGACCGTCGGAACATTTAGCCCCGACCAGACCCCGAGCCATCTCGGTTGGGAATCTGGACGACCCTATGCGTTCATTGCAGCGTCGTCCGAATGTGCTTGAAGCTCATGGTTATATCAATGAGCTTACTCAACAGAGCTCTGGCCTAACTGTGAACACTAGCAACTCGCCTGCCAGCATTTTGAAGTCTACAAAACTTGCCACTCCGAGTGCGCCTTCCCCGACGGTTCATTTCCCTAACGGAGAGCTCGCCACACGTGTGTCCAACTATTTGACTGCTCCTGGCACCCAAAATCGTTCTACATCTCCAAAGGCTGAGGCACCAACGTCTCAAGTCCAGACACCAACCCGTTCTCTGTGGATTGGAAATCTTGATGGAGTTGTCACCAGCGAGCAGCTAATTCATGTCTTTGCCCCCTATGGTGCCATTGAAAGTCTGCGGCTGTTACCCGAAAAGGTGGGTCTTCTTTTCCAGGAAGAGCAATCTGATTTCATTATGAAACTCAGGAGTGCGGATTTGTGAACTTTGTGGATATCGCAGACGCTATCCGCGCTAAAGACGATGTTCTCAACAGACTTGGCGGTAACATCGGAATGCCTAACGGGCAGACTGTACGAATTGGTTTCGGCAAAGCGGACAGTGCACCAGTGGCTCCAGCAAAAGGCAATCAGACTAGCCCTGCCCCCGCGTCTCCCGGTACTGCCAAGTCCAACAATGCCAACTCCGGTCTAGGGGGTATGGAGTTACAGTCCTCGCCTACGCGTGCCCTCTGGATTGGATCCATCCCCTCCACAACGACCCCGGCCACCATTCTCAGTGTCTTCAGTCCTTATGGCCCTATCGAATCCGCCAGAGTTTTGACTCACAAGAACTGCGGTTTCAGTAGGTATCCACATTCCTTTTTGAATATAATTTTACACCCTTTATAGTCAACTTTGAGCGACTCGATGACGCTGTTCGAGCTCGCAAGGCACTCAATGGCCGTGATGTTCTCGGAAGCGATGTAGGCGCAATCCGTATTGGTTTTGCCAAAGTTCCAGTCAAGAACTTCAACGAAGGAGGTTCTGGAGCTGAAGACAGTCCAAGCGTTACAGTCCAGGGTGTCGGCGATCTCAGTGTCGGGGCGACGATTCACGCGCTCAGAACCGTCAAAGGGGCCTCCACGATTCCCGCTGATCAACAGGTGCTTGGAGGAGCTGTTGAAAACTATCGCTCGAATCTTCTCCTCAGCATGATCGCAGCTGGCAACCACACTACGACCCTTGTCAACGATGGAGCTTCCAAACCTCCTGGTTGGACTGCTTCGGTCACTGAACAGCAGATGGTGATGCAACAGCTCAGTGCTGGTAGTTTGGATGCCGAGGCTGACGTCCAGGCTTTAGCTGGTATGAACTTGTTTGTCTTGTTTCGTCAACTGACGATCATTAGAATTCCGTCCGCCGACAATGTATTATACGACCATTCCGTTGGTTTCCGAGAGACCTCACAACAGGCGTTGGGATGCCTCCAAGTTGCGTGAGCTGCGCAAGCGACTTGACTCTGGTACTATGACCGTGGAGGAGATCGACCAAGTTGCGACCGATTTCCTGGAGGGTGAAATTGTTGATCTAGCTTCTGATTGGCTGGGAAATACGGTGTGTGATGTGATCATACTTTATCATTTTATTGAACCGTCCAAGGTCGTCCAAAAACTGTTTGAAAGATGCTCTCAGATTCCTCGATTTGCTATGCTAGAAAGGATTGCCCCAAACCTCGCGATGATCGGCATCCACAAAAACGGAACCTGGGCAGCGCAGAAAATCATCGAATGTGTTCAAAACCCGGAGGAAGTCGCTCTCGTTGCTCAAAATCTGCGTGCTTACACACCACCACTCCTTCTTGACCAGTTTGGCAATTATGTAGTCCAGTGAGCATTCGCCCTTTTTTGTAGCACAGGCGTAATAACCGTTCCACAGGTGCTGTCTGCGGTTTGGTTCGCCAGCGAACGACTTCATTTTTGATGCAATTGTGGACCGAATGTGGGAAGTTGCTCAAGGACGATTTGGAGCACGTAGTATGAGGGCTTGCCTCGAGAGTCCTCACATTACCATGAGTCAGCAACGTCGAGTTGCGACTGCCATCATACTGAACTCAATTCCACTTGCAACGAATCCCAATGGCGCCCTCCTACTTACTTGGCTGCTCGACACATCGGGTTTCCCTTCGCGATACAATCTCCTAGCGCCTCGGTTTACTCCGCATCTCTCTCACCTTTGCACCCACAAGTTGGCTTCCCTCACTGTTCTGAGGATCGTCAACCAGAAGATAGAGCCTTCAGCTTCGACTGAACTTGTTGAAGCCCTGTTCTCTTCCCCTGGCGATCACGTTTTAGCCGATGTTTTGGGAGATCAAGTCAACGGTGTCGCCGTTGTTCACAAAATCCTCACCAGCCCCTTCATCGACCCGGTGATGAAGAACAAATACGTCGAGGCGACGAAACGCGTGCTGATAGAATTGAAGGTCATCGCCACCCAAGCATATCGCCGGTTGATCGAAGAAGTTGGGTTGCCAGTTCCAAATTTCCAGCCAACATATTCCAACATTCCAGGGGGCGGAAAGGCAAAGACATCGTCTGGAAATGGTTTCGGGGTTCCGGGTTTACCATCAGGTTATCCTTCCAATGACCAAGGACTCGCTTCCATGATGGCGGCTCTCCAAATGGGTGGCCAAAACTCACAAGCTGGCCCGGCCCAGCTGCAAATTGACCCGACCTACGGAAGTCCGACTACCGCTCGTCGCACGCCAACTTCTGGGCCCTCTTTTTCTCCCAGTGTTGATCCATATAGCCCATTTGGTATGCGACCTGGTGAAGCAAATAACGGCTCTCGTCGTGGAGGACCATTAGCACCAAATGGAGCGATTTCTAGTCCGGTTCAATATGCAGCTCCCTCACCCCCAGCAGCCATGATGAACATGACTCAACCAACCTATCCTGGCATGGCACCTCCTCCTCCCCCTCATGTCTATCAGACCTACATGTACCAAGCCTACCAGCAACCTCAAAACATGGGAGCATACCATTCCTAAATCATATCACGACTCTTACGACCGCGCGCTCCTTGCCTCATTAAAAAACAACAACGCTACCGTCGATCGCTCATTGGACTGCCTCGACCTCTTGAGTAACTAGGTTATCGTTTCCCGTATACCTCCATCAGTCAGTGGTCGTTGGAAGGGCTGTTCTCTCTACTATATATTACTTTCTCCTTGATTACTTGTACAACAAAGCTTGGCCATAAAACGGTCAGACTACTTGAATAGACTGGGGAGTAACGTGATCTGTGACGACCTTGAACTTGGAAATAACTTCTATGGGAGCCTCAACCTCAAAAACAGTCAGAGCTCTTCCTAAACGCCCCGCTACCCCACACCCCCCGTGGTCAGGTGCTCGTCCATCTCGTCCCACGCAAGCTGCTAGTGAAACAAAGAATCAAGGTAAAAAAAATATGGTGTGGTTTGAGTTCACCACTCAAGCTGCTCTGTAGACATCATAGAGGATTCAAAGGACCCTCAATTCTTATCCAAGCTCAGTCAGCTTGGGCAAGTACGCGTAGATCACCATATGCAAACCGTCAACCTGGTTAGTTGGGGCTGAGTTCCTGAATCACTCTCACGTCTATTTGCCAAACAGGAACAGACTGTCAGGAATACCTCCAACTCGCGTTTACATGCTGAAGCCGACGCTGCCACCTTGAACCACATCCCCGCTTCGACATTCAGTAGACTTCTAGATGAGCGCAAAGCAGTCCGCACTCGCCGCGACATGCAGTTTCTTGCCAAACGGTTTGGACTTGAAGTGGAAAAACTGGATTTGGTTGCTCAGTTTGTTACCACGCCGAGTGTCCGCGCAAACTCCCAGCAACGAGTGGCGCAACAAGATGGCAGCGACAGGTATATAATGCAGGTGAAATCCAAACAGGCTGTCGTCAAAAATGCCAGCTAAATTCATCTCAGGCAGTTTGGAGAGAACCACCACTCACAAGTACAACTTGAAATAATAATTTCTTTCTCCCTTGTCTCCATTGACTTGTTGAAGGCGTGGAAGCACGTCCTATTTTAAAAGGTTTCGACTTCGAGTGCGACTTTTTTTCCCCAACGCAGGGTCAGTTGACTCCACTTCTATCGACCGAAGTTCAGCCGACATGTTCTTATTATGAGCGCTATGAACGACAACTCAGTCAAAATGCACTGGGTCCTCACTGTCACCACACTCCTCGCCGCGATACAGGCGGCGTCCCCTGCCCCAACCGTCTCCCTCCTGACTGATCTCCCACGGTTCAAGAACCTGCAAAATGTGTCTATCCGCTCTGTGCTGAAAACGATCAACGACAAGCGCTTAAAGACCTCCACCTTTTATTTCGGAAGTACCATAGCAGATCTGACCCTCAATACTCAAAATGCGGAATGGACAAGTGTAGAGTTTCTTTGTTTTCTGTGGTGCAGCTCTCCTGACACCAAGTTTGTAGGCACGCTTCAAGGACACTTGGAACTTGGCTGTAGCTGAAAATGACTGCAAATGGTTCTCAAATGAGCCTGTAGCACCGGGGGTGTTCAATTTGACCGCATGCCAGAGCCTGAGGGACTTTGCATTCCAACACGGTATTGCATTCCGAGGGTAATCTTACTGACTCTGGATTTCGTTTTTTGTTGACTGGACGTTTAGACACAACACGTGGGTCGCCGAGGAAATTGGCCTCTAGGAATTGACCTTATTTAGACTGTGGCACAACCAACGTCCTGATTGGCTAGTCAACAATCCTTTCAACTTCACTGTGTCGCAGCTCAACAAAACTATCATACCGACTGCTGTCCAAACTGTGGTGCAAGGACTAGGGAAAAATCTTGTTTCTTGGGATGTCGTCAACGAAGCTCTGTGCGGAAGACCCAGGCTAATATTCCGCAAACTGACTTTTAGCTAGGTCGGATAGTGCAACACCTGGCATGTCCCTTACAGACTGTGTAGTCAGCGCCCAAAGGTCAGCAACTTATGCCCAGTTTCCATAAGTGACCCCGTTCAAGATGGCCGACGTTTGCTATCGACGGCAATTCTTCGTCTCCCATGCTTTTCCACGATTCTTCCTTTATTAACACGGCCTTTATCAATGCTGACAAGGCGAGAAAAAAGATTGGTTCCGACATGAAGCTGTTCTACAATGACTACAACGGTACGGGCATAACTGTAGTACTTATTGGCAAGGCTGATTATATTCCTAGTGTGGGTTACTCATTCTGTTACACGTCGGCTGAGACTGAAGGAACACATTCAGCGGCGGCAACTTCCCCTCTCAGGCGAAGACAGACTGCGCCTTGAAACTTGTGGAATCACTACAGAGCTCAGGCGTGGCGATTGATGGAGTTGGAATCCAGTCGCATTACAGCGCTAATGCACAAGCGTTTCCCTCAAAGGAATCTTCCCACTTCACGATGGATCGTCTCAAGGTGTGCGAGTTGATACGGAACCAAGTTATAACGCCTACGAGTCTCTTAGAGTCTAGGTATCGAGGGAGCGATAACCGAGTTGGACGTTTGGCTACCCGACAACTCGACAGCAAGTTTGCGTTGGCAGGTAAGAAACCTCAGTTGGCGTGAATGCCACTACTTAACATAGTGTCAGGCTTCGATTTTTGGAGACATACTCGATAGTTGTCTCTTCAGCACTAACTGCCACGAATTCATTCTCTGGGACAACCGGGTGCGTTACTTTCTTTGGGGCAACAGTTTCCTTTTCTGACTATTCAGGACGATGAATCGTGGTTGGATGGCTTCAACACGACTGGAGTGCACCAAGGCACTCTATTTGACGCTAATGGCCTCCCAAAACTACCGTTTTTCGAAGTACTGGCTCGTCTGCTCAACTTTGCTGAGGGTGGGGCTGAGCCTTGCGCAACGTCAAGCGGCACTTCAGTTTGCGTCCTGTAGTGACGAGTAAAGAGTACAACAAACAATGTACACTGGAGTCATGAAACACCGGATTACCGTTTTTCGAAAGCAAAAGCAATGTAGATGTCTAGATGTAACACATCAGACGACGGCATCTCCAATCTGACGACACTTACTAGCAGCTTCCCACTGAGCCTCATCCATAGAGCTCTCTCCGTTGGCGTCTACAACCTTCATGCGAACCATGAGCGGGCCAAACTCCGGGTGGTCCTGATGCTCCGAAAAGATGTCGTGAAACTCCTCCTTATAAACAGGGTGAAGCCCATATTCGGCTGCTAGTTGAACGAAATTATCCCATCTGACCACATATTCTGGGACATTTTCGACGGCATCCTGCAGATAAAACCAGTATTTGTGGCCAAATACGGGTTTGTTTACTCGATCCTCAAACCGAATCTTATAGACCGAGTTGCCAAAGCTTAGGTCGTCGCTATCTGGTGGGATCTCATCCAAATTATGCCTGAAGACAACATCAGCTTCATGGAACATTTCAAAGGGGAACGGACAATAGTTGTTCCGCGTTGGGAATGGTACCCACAAAGACCCCGCCTACGCGTAGCCACTTGCTGACATTATCCAGCATACACCGCGCTTTTTGAATGCTTTCGAAGGCGTAGTGCATGCAAAACTGCAAGCTCACGACATCAAAGGGGGTGGCCAATTTTGCTGGAGAGAATGCTTTGGATAAAGGTTCAGAGTAGCAGTCGAGAGCGGCAAAAGTCGCCTCGAAGTGAGAGTTACGACTGGATTGGTATCGAGAACGGGCTTGGTCGACAGATACGGCTGCGATGTCTGCAATCATACTGAGAATAATCTTGTCGTAGAGGGAAGGCATACCAACCAGCTCCAAAAAGTTCAGCAACGCGGGCCTTTGCCCACTTGGTGAGATCGCCACCCTTGCCGCATCCCATATCAAGCACTTTGCCTCGACCCGCTCGTGGTCCTCTGCCGACCACTTTGCTTGCTTGCAAAGCTGGGTGTCCGAAACGGGATATCAGCACCGACTTGACCCAGTTGTTGAAACTTTTGAGGCCAATGATTGGCGATGTTTCACGTTGAGCAACGCCCACCTCTGGACGTGTGTTATCTATTATTGGGTGAGTGTTGAAACGGGGAATATGAAGAAAAAAACATGCAATGATCAACGACGACACCAACGTCACCCGCATGCCTCTTTTGCGGCCTTTCTTCTGGTGCAGGAGCCTCCGGTGAGCGCTTTCGCTTGGCCAGACGAAGGGTGCCTTTGCCCTGATAGGTTTTGTAGAGATTGATTTCAGCCTGTGACATGGGCCGAAGAACGCTTTCTGGAGCAGAAATACGATTAATGGGGCTGTATTTAGTCATTTTCCGAATAGATGGTGCTTCAGCTAATCTGTCATCGGGGTTGTGAAGGAGGTGGGCGATTTTCGAGGTTCTGGGTGGGTCATCGTTTAATAGAGCGGCCAGTCCAGTTGGCCGACGGTTAGGGAGCTGGCGAGAGGGTGACTGTGGAGTTGGAGGTAGGGAGGAAGGAAGAGGAGAGCTAAAGCTCGCTATTGGTGAGTTCAAGACCGCGTCTCTCACTGGATCGAAAGGCATCGCAGGGGGGTGTGATGAGTCACACCCACGTGCTCAGTTTTCGCGTCGTCGACGCGTTCAGCAAGGCCACCATGGTCTATATCAAATCCCTCACCATTCAAGGTACTCGTCCATGCAACATGCTTAGCATAACCAACTATGTTCCAGGTCTCAAGTCCTACCGTGATCAAACACAAATTGAACCCTTCTCCCCTCGTCACAATGTTGTTGTCGGCAGAAATGGCTCTGGCAAGAGTAATTTCTTCGCTGCTATTCGTTTCGTCCTTTCGGATGCATATACATCTCTAACTCGAGAGGAGCGGCAAGCACTTCTTCATGAAGGCGTTTCCACTACGTCGACTCTCTCAGCCTATGTCGAGATCATATTCGACAATTCCGACAATCGGTTCCCAACGGGACATGACGAACTTATCCTCCGCCGCACAATTGGCATCAAGAAAGATGAATATTCTCTCGACAAGAAGAGTGCCAACAAGGCAGAAGTTATGAACCTCCTCGAAAGTGCAGGCTTCAGCAAATCGAATCCATACTATATTGTTCCCCAGGGTCGGGTGCGTCCCTCTACGACTCTGTTTACTCAAGTCCTGACATGTGTTTGCAGATTACCGCCCTGACCAATGCAAAAGACACAGAGCGACTCGCACTACTAAAAGAAGTAGCTGGAACAAAGGTTTACGAACAACGGCGAACAGAATCACTGAGGATTATGAGCGAAACTGACGCGAAGCGCACCAAGATTAATGAACTTCTCGACTACATCAACTCGCGTCTGACAGAACTGGAAGAGGAGAAAGAAGAGCTCAAGGAGTTCCAGGAAAAGGACAAAGATCGGCGGTGTCTCGAGTATGCATTATTTCAGCGCGAGCTCGAAGAGGTGGGGGAGGCTTTGGAGGACATTGAACAAGAGCGACGCGCAGAGGTTCACGGGGCTAATCAAAGGAGAGAAAAGTTTAACGAGCGGGAGAAAGAGATCCAAGTAATGTTTGCCTATCTATTCTGCTGGTGTCTAACGCGACATAGGATGTGGAACAATCCATTTCCGACACCAAGCATTCGCTCGAGACCATAACTTCCACGCGACAAGACACGCAAGACGAGCTTACAGAGCTCATCGGTGCACGAACAGAGTTGGATTGCACTGTCAAAGACTTGCAAAGTGCTGGCGCTCGAGCTGGTGGTCGGCAGCAGGGTTATGAGTCTGAGCTGAGTCAGGTAGAAGAACAAATCAAGGCTAGGGAGGGGACACTGAGTGCCTTGCTACCGGATTGGGAGTCTACTCGTGCTAAAGAGGCTTCTGAGCGACGTGCTCATGACGACGCCAATACCAAACTCGAGGCGTTATTCGCCAAACGAGGTCGTGGTGCCAAGTTCCGCACCAAGTCTGAACGCGACGCATATCTTAGGCAAGAAATTACCTCCATGGACGCCTACAAGACGACACAAGGCGCAGCTGTACAGACCACCAAGTCTGAGCTTCAACAAACCCAAAAGACTCTGAGCGAAGTCGAAACTCAAATCTCGGGCATCCAGAATAAAATCGATGATGGCCGACAAAAAGTCAAAGACCTCGGAGACGATATCAATCGTCTCAAGGAACAAAAGGCGGATTTGGTGGAAAAGAGAAAAGATCTTTGGCGAGAGGACTCCAAGCTTGATAAAATGGTCACACGTGCTGTAACCGAGCTCAAGAGCGCAGAAAGAGTCCTTGCTGGGATGATGGACAAGGTGTGTTTTACGTCCGTTTGATCTACCTACTGATCAGACTACAGGATACTGGAGTCGGTTTAGGAGCTGTCGATAAGATTGCTGAACGCAACAATATTCCAGGCGTCTACGGCCCGCTCTATCGACTCTTTGAAATCACGGATCAAAAGTACAATATTGCAATCGAATTGACCGCAGGAAACAGGTATGGCCATGACAACCTGAATGACAACTGGGCTAACCATAGCCAGCCTTTTTCATGTTGTAGTCGACAATGACGAGACGGCTTCAAAAGTACTCGAGATAATGTTGAAGGAGAAGACGGGTCGCGTCACCTTCATGCCTCTGAACCGTCTGAAGCCCACCAGAGTAAACATGCCGAATGCTCAAGATGCCATCCCCATCTTGAGCAAGATGGAATATGACCCAAAACATGACAAGGCGTTCCAGCAAGTATTCGGCAAGACTTGTGTTTGTCGAGATCTCCACATCGCCGCAGAATATGTGAAAACCCATTCCATCAACACCATCACGCTTGACGGAGACAGGGTGGACCGCAAAGGTGCACTTACAGGCGGATATCATGACGTGAAACGCTCTCGTATTGAGGCCATAAAAAATGTTACCACTTGGCGCAGCAAATGGGAGGCGGAAGACACCCGCTCACGCGAAGTCAAGGCCTCGGTGCTGAAAATGGACCAAGAGATTGCACAGTTCGATGGCCGCATTCAAGTCCTTGACCAGCAAATAAAGCAAACCCGCGAGTCGCGCGAGCGGTTGTTGGAGGAGGGAACAACGTTGACAAAACAGAAGGAGAAACTCAAGGATCGCATTGCCAAGCTGGAACGAGATGAACAGGAACTCGAAGTAGAGTTGAGTGGTTTAGATGCTAAACTAGCTGGATATCAGCAAGAACTGCAAAGCCCCCTGACAAAAGGCCTGACGGACGAGGAAGAAGAGGCGGTCATCGCTCTCAGCGAAGAAGTCGAGAAACGGAGGAAAGAGTTGATTGCGTTGGGAAAGAGCAAGAATAAGGTCAGTTTACTCCGTTCTTGCTGCCCGCTCATTAATCGTTGAGATACACAGTTCGAGGGCAAGAAAAATGCCATCGAGATCGAACTAAACGAGCGACTCAGGCGAAGACGTGACGAGCTGAAGGCAAAATTGGACGGATTAGGTGATCATGGGGATGAGGCGACTGCTGTTGACAATCTGGAGTCCAAAGAACGAGAATTGCGCACATTGAACAAGTCCATTCAGGCGCTGACTCAGAAAACTCAGGGTATGTCGTGGAATCGCTTACCGCTCTCTCTACTCACTTGTTCATTTATTAGCAATGGAGGAGGAGATCGAAGGGCTGCAAGCAAGGATGCAGAAGCTTCGATCTTCGCGCGAGGCGCTACAGACACAACAAACAGAAGACAGCCGAAATATGTCTCGCCAGCAGAAGACGACAGAGCGATACCTGGCCAAGCGACAAATGCTAGCAGGGCGAAAGGACGAATGCAATAGAAACATTCGTGATCTTGGAGTGCTGCCTGAAGAGGCTTTCGAAAAGTACACGGGCGAAAAACTGGACCGTGTCAGTCCAAGCATGAATGTGACCAATATGACTAATATTGTTGGCAGCTTATGAAAAAGCTGCACACCGTCAGGGACGGTCTTCAGAAATTCGCGCACGTCAACAAAAAGGCGTTTGAACAGTACAGCAACTTCACCAAGCAGCGAGATCAACTTCTGCAACGCCGCGAGGACCTGGATAAATCTGCTGAGTCGATCGAGGAGCTCGTCCAAGTCTTGGACCAACGGAAAGACGAGGCAATCGAGCGCACTTTCAAACAAGTTGCTAGCAATTTTGAAGAAGTGTTTGAGAAACTCGTACCCGCTGGTCGTGGACGGCTTATCATTCAACGACGCATTGACCAGGATGAAGAAGTGGACGAGGACGTGGAAGAAACGCAACAGAGTACCATTGACAACTATACTGGCGTTTCTATCAAGGCACCGAAAATACTGTTTGATCCGAATATGGGTTGATCTTGCCCTTAGGTTTCCTTCAACTCGAAAGTAGACGAGGGACTCCGGATACAACAGCTCTCTGGTGGTCAGAAATCGCTCGTTGCTCTCGCGACAGGTAGGACTTGATCCAATAGATGGACAAGGTAGATCCTAACCATTCTCCTCACAGTCTTTGCGATCCAAAAGTGTGACCCGGCTCCATTCTACCTATTTGACGAGGTGAATACTTGACATTCTGCGTAAACCCTCTCTCTGATGCGGAATAGATCGATGCTAATCTGGACGCTCAATACCGGACAGCAGTTGCTGGTTAGTGGATCATTCCGTTCTGTCAACCCAAGCTTGAATATGATCGTAGCCATGATCAAATCACTCGCATCGAGTGCCCAGTTTATTACGACCACTTTCAGGCCAGAAATGCTTGTTACTGCGGACAAATTCTACGGAGTTTTATTCAACAACCAGAAGGTTTCGTCCATTCGCGCTATCAAACGGGAAGAAGCAATGGAATTTGTCGACCAAGAGGCTCAAGCTCAATAATTTCATTATTTCCTTTTTTTATTTCCTTTTTTGTTGTAATCTGTAATATTACTAACTTGTTGTAAGTACTTATCTATAATTTTGGTCGATTTTCCCATTCCGATAACCAAGATTCAACATCAGCACTTGACCGGTTGATGTAAGCAATGCGAGTCTGGATCGACTCAAGCGTTTGTGCCAGAGCCATGTGGTATTTCGAGTTGTCTTTGTCCTTGAAGAACGTCTGCGCCATTAAGAGATCTTCCTGGCTTGACAAACCACCAAACGAGGTCTAAATATTTATTCATTGAATAGTGTATATGTCACGTGATCTGGACACTGACCGAAACCAGAGATTTGATCATGAAATTGCCTTCAAAGCGCTTCATGAACTGGGTGGGGGTCATGAGAGCTGAACAACGACGTCGCAGTGAATATCTTACGGTGTCGTAGTTGGTTTTGAAGAATTCAGGCACCTTGCGTCTTGCGGAAACATTCGACTGCAAACCGCGGAAAAAGTAGATTATGTCTTGATCACGGGATTTGCCGAGGATGTAGGAGAAGGTTTTCTCGAGGAGGACCGGGTCCTCGGTGCGACCCATCGCGTATCTAGTCGGCAAAAAAATGGTTAGGAAGGAATAATTGTGTTATGGCTGACGCACATTGCTGCGCTAAGATATCATGTTAGAGTGGGTCAAGTGGGATTGAAAGGAGCGTACATGCGTGCCGTGGGAGTCTTGGGCTTCTCTTGAATGTTGACAACAGCATCGTATTCAGCTTGACCACCATATTTGACTGCCGTGATGAATATGGACGACTGTAGATCTGCTGGGATTCTAGAGTCGTCTCCGGTCTCCATATAGTGCTTGAAACGGGCTTGCAACTCGGCGATGACTCTGCAGAATTCAGCAATGGTGAGAACACTTTGAACCGACCACTGACTGCTTATCTTGACCCATCAGTGCTGAGGAGATTGCCAGAGTTCGGAGCTGTGTTACGTCCGTTGACTCGTCTTGGGAGTACTCGTATCCCAAACGTTGCACGAGGGGAACGAAAAGGGTCTGTAAACATGTGAATTGAGACGAAGGAAGGCCACTGCGTAACGAACACGAGCGAAGGCGCGTAGAGATTCGACGATCTGAGGTGATTCCCAGAAAGTGAATAGCAGGCCACTCAGAGCCTCCGAGATGCTTGACCACACCAAATCTATAAGCCTTTAGACTCTCGCCATGCAGCTGGGTGGTTGGATCAGACTGACGTTCTTTCTCCGTGGCACCGAGAGCGTTGATTACTGTTAAAAGTCCACTCGGTTGGGCAAGGCCGGCCTTGGAAAAGGCCATGATGTCATACAAAAGGCCCATTCGATCCTCCAATGTGAAAATCGAGTCCTGCTTTGCAGCCGCAGCCGCAATCTTCGCTAAGCGTTCTGGGGTATATAGGACTCGATCTATTAAGCGGTCATTGATGACATCGGCGGCGACGAGAGAAGAACACCCACAGACGCCTATGGTATTCCTATTCAGCTTGAAATCGCGGGTGGTGTCTATCGCAAACTCTTTCTCTCGGTCTTCCAATAGAGCAGTTTTATCCACGTGCGCGTCTCCATTGGCGTCGACGGTGACGATTGACAACGGAATATTCCTATCAGTGTGATTAATGAGATATTCAAGACGAATGCCAAGCAGAGAACCAACCAGATGGTTTCGTTCTCTTCGGGTGTGGCGAGCCCAGCTTCAGTGAAACGATCTTGACGCAACTTGATGCCGTTGCCATTCTCTGTCACAGTGATTACAGGGAAGCCTTGCTGCAAACTTCTTGAGGGCTAGCGATCTGAGGACGTGAAGGACACACCTTCTTTATCCAGTTGTCCATTAGACGGACGACATCGACACCGGTTGCGTTCGAAATGCCGCGGAAAAGATCCTCTGTAACGGCGTTGGAGAAGAGATGCTTTTTGAGGTAGATTGAGACGCCTTTGAGGAACTTGTCCTGTCCCACATAGTTGCAAAGCATGTTGAGTACTGATGCAAAATTGAATGTCAAGGAGGCATGTCCAGACAAAGGCATACCTGACGCTGCCTTAGAGTACGACAGCGAATCGAATATTTGGTTGATGTGGTTCGCATCGGGACACTCGACTTCGATAGGATGGGAGGACAGTTTTGCATCCAGAGACAAAGCTGATTGAAGATGATCCGAAATGAACGATTCTCTAGCCTTCCATTCCGGGAAGATCCTGGGGACATAAGTAATTGGTCAGTTGTTCAGAGGGCAGCCGAACTTTTCTGTTAGCTTGCTCAGCCACTCGGAATAAATCAATCACAGAAACTCGCCTAATATAATGACTTCGCCCATGAGGGTAGCGAAACCTATGGAGTTGCCGGTAATTGCTATGGTTTGTCTACGTCCACGCACCTTCATTCAAGTAGAGGTTATCCCACCACTTCATCGTGGTGATATTGCCAAACCTATGCAAAGGTTGGGCAAGCGTCTACATTCAAAGCAAGGGGCAGTACCACATATGAGCAACCTGAGCTGTTGTCAGTCGCAATGTCCACGCTATGTTCGGAAGCTCACCTCGTGGGACTGCGTCATGGCGACATTCTTTTTACCGCTGATGTCCGCATGTTCAGGATCCAGTAAGAAGGCAGAGGTTCGCCCGGTTATGAGGCCTGAAAGGTGAATTTTTGGTTAATTTCAGAGGTCAGAAGTATGCCAACCAAAGTTTTCCATAGCTGCAATTGACTCAACAAAAAGATGATTTAACGGAAGCGGCCGAAATTACCTCCGGCGTCGAAGTCAGATGCCTGGAACTGAATAAACGGCCAGAGCTTTTGAGAGTTGTATCGACATACCACGAGAGTGTCCAGTTTAGGGAGAGGGAATTCGACCTCGAATACTTCTTCATAGATAGGTAGAACGCGAGCGGCGACATCAAGCGCAAACTGGGCCTGATGAATGACATCGGGGGTACTATAGATGCGAAGAGGAATGGTTTTGCGACTAAGAGGCAATGCAACAGTGGTTTCACGATGTACTGTGGTTAGAATAAGCGAAAATGGGACAAAGAAGGAAAGGAAACAGACCGAAATTTCCTGTAGCCCAAGCAACTATATATGTGCTCATTTTAGGTGTTGTTTGGAAGCGAGTGATTTTCCATTTATCCGAGGGGGGGAAAGAAGACAAAAGCTGAGCGATGTCTGATGTCTCGGAGTGGCTAGCAGGATCGTATGTTGTTTCTGAGATGGCGGGCATGTTGCTGAGATTGGTAGAGTCCGGTGTGGAGATCATGGTGATGGCAAATGTTGCCTTGAGTAGTGGTTCGTCCCAACATGGAAACGCCGCACGCGCATCCGTGGGCTATTTATGAGCGAAAATCAAGACGAATTTAGCCATTGTAGCTTACTTCGAACTGCGTCAACGCGTACTGCTTCGTTTCTCCCTTGTCCTGCCAAGTAGACAAGTAATAACCCGTCATCGTGTTCTTCAGTTGGCCATTGAAAGGGATATTCAGAAACGCCTTGGATCCAGCTTTGAGAGTCTGTCCGAATGAGAAGCTAACGCGTTGCTGCTCGGCATCGACAGTCTTTTCACATTGTTGAATTTGTGAGGCATCGGAGGAGATCGTGCTGGCAGCTAAGCTATAAGCGTATGAAGGGAGCTAAAGGAAACTCATACGCTTCTCCCAGTGTCAGATCGTTGGAGTTGAGCTCGACGGTAGAACTGTCGCGAAGGATATCAAGGGAAATTTTGACAAAGCCTCCAAATTTGGATGTGTTTGGAGCGATTTGGGTGTAGAAAGTCAGGTCATAATGTGTGGGGACTACATTCGTTGGCAGGCGATACTTCAATTCGTCGGTCATGGTTGAAAAAGAGGTGGAGAGTATGGGCCTCCGTATTGACGGGCGAAGAAGCTGTACCACTCGGAGCCACATGCTTCAACCCCTCCTTCAAAGTCGCGTGATGGGTTTTAGATGAGTCTTCCCTTTTTTGTCACAACCATTTCCCGCCTCCAAAGGAAATCGTCAAGAATGCAGACTCGATCGCCATATTATGTCTCTTCAACCCTACCACTACCGCACCGAGGCCACCGGCAGTACTCGTACTTACTCTCGCCCGCTTGGTCCTAATGAACTGTTGGTTGGTTCCCTTGAGCGAGACAACTAGCCAGCCTTACACGCCCGTTGCAGATCCTATTTTTTGCCTAGTCGCGCGAATGGCCTCAATGATATCTACAGTACGCGTCTCTTCAACCAGAAACATGGTCTAAAACGCATGCAGCGCGAGTAATCTTCCGCGCGCCGCCTACCTTGATTTCGCCCTTTCGGTTACGCGTTGTTTGGGCCATCATCCGAATCAGAAACTCCCTCCTTGCGTCTCGAATCGAAATGCCGCCGGGAAGATACAGCGAGTCGCGTTTTGTGTGGGTTTAGGTCTCTATTGACGCCTGGCACCACTGACGAACGTGATCTTTAGCTACAACCCACCCTCAAGCCCACAAGAGGCTTTCGAGGAAGCAGGATTTTCGCTTTCTATCCAACACGGCAAATCTGGTGTTGAGCTCGACAACCATTTCATCTTCGGTCAGCGCGAGCTCTCTCATAAATGCCTCAGTCGCATGTATGTCTGTCAGAACGGCGAAAACGAATTCCACATGGCTTTCTCATCCCTTCATTCTATCACCGACGGAACATCAGCCAACATCTACACTATACTCCAGCTACTTGGCGGTTCTGAGACGTCTGGTGGTCGCGTCCGCTCTGACGAAGAGTTGTTTCGGATACTCGAGAAAGAGTGGAGCTTACGTTGGCGCAATTCATGGGACGTCGATTCATTCTATGCCATCACACCAAGCGCGGAATCCAGGCTCCCTTTTCCAAATTCGCGATTTCAAATCGCAGCGTGGAAGGTAGACTCGATGAATGTCCAACGTCGAGCTATCGGAGGCCATGCTTTTCCCCGCCTCCCGTCGTCTTCTACTAAACAAGCACACCTCGAAATGATATTTTCTAGTGAGCAAACATTTGCTCTTGCTTCGAAATGCGCTTCCGAGAAGGTCAATATCCCAAACGCCATCTTTGCGCTCTGCAATTTAGCTTGGTTGCGCACGGCCGAATCTCGTGGCGCTGAATTTAGCGCTACTTACGCACCTCCCTCGCTGCCGACCCTCTTCTATACTGCAGTCAGTTTACGTCGCCATCTCGAACCGGTTCCAGATCTCACTTCTCCGCTTGCACTGGCATTGGGTTATGCAACCGTTGTTTTACCAGGGTTCTTACCTCGCGGTGATCAGAAGAAATCATTTTGGTTGCGTGCCAGAAATGCTCAGAAGCAAATGAGGACGCACATCAAGAGCCCTATGTTTCTGCCCAGAGCTCAAATATTAGCTGTACAACGTGGAAAACGGGCAAAAATGTTTGCGAAGATGGACGATGAAGGCACTCCGATTCCTCCGACCAACACAACCACATCACAGACACCCTCTGTCGCGCTGATGGGCATTTCTCATCTTGGTGACCTCTGTTCATCTTACCATCCCTCGTCTTATCCAGCTATCCAATTTGTGGACTCAGTCGGTCATTCACGCAAAGCTCCTGGTGGCATTTTACTCTTCACACGTATTGCGGCAGGAAATCGATTCGCCTTGATGCTTGAGTGGGATGCAGCGGCGTTTCCAGCGGGCCTAGTGGACGAATTTTGGGCCAACTTCCTACGTGGAGTAGACGAGTTTGTGTTGGAAGAGGGGGATTCGCGTCGAGATTCAAGCAAGTTGTAAGGCGTATATATAAAATAGAAACTGGGACAGTCAGCTACATTACTGCTCAACTCTTGATGTTGCCTAGTGCAAAACCATTCAATGCAACGGGACCGTTTTCGGCCTTCTCTGATTTCTGCCTTAGAACATCGAGCTCAACATGTTCCTCGTGCTCAGAACGTACAACCCATCCTGGACCGGGCTTCCCTTCGAATATTTGTTTCTTTTCCTCGCTCAGGTCAGAAGGGTCCAACAGCGCTTGACTCTCGATATCCTGCTTGACATTTGCCTTGGGAAGACGATGCTTGGGCTTGGCTCGGGTTTGCAGAAATGTAAAATATACGGTCCCGCTTGTGATTATAGTGATGGAGAAGACGCGCGATCTTGGCAGAGTTGGTGAACAAAAAAGAAGAAAAAGGGGCCAGAGACGAACAAAGTCATGATGTCCCCAAAGATCCATATGCCAAGCAGAGTTTGTATGACGCCTTTCGCAGCCTGTAAGAGGTGAGTCAATAAGTAGCCATGCCAAATGAATCTAGTCCTGACCGATGAGAACATATGCGTTATCGGAGAGGTGACTTTGATCGAGAGAGAATGCGAGATTCCGAGTAGAAACCCAAACACCCCCGTGACTAACGATCCAATGATGAATGGTGTCCAATAGGTGGTTGACTCAGTGTCGAACTTCTTGTGAATCACAGAGAGCTCTCCATGAAGTATAATGCAAGGGACGAGTAAGGTTGTCATGAAGAGATTGCCACAGTACGAAAGCGTGATCACCGACTGGTCAACATGTCCGAGAGCTGATTTTTTCAGAACTGCATGCACCGAAAGGATAAAGGAGGAAATGATCCCATAAACCAGTCCCATCGCGGACTCATGCGAAATACGACCACCAGAAGTCAACGACGAGGTGACATTGTAGTAGAATGTCGGGGTGCTGCCGATAAGAAATCCAACAGAGACAATTCCGGCTGCGAGAAGTATTTGAGAGCTCGGTCGTGCGTGAAGTTGCAGAGCAGAAAGGCCAATTGTAAAAGGAAGCAATAGTCCTCGTGCAATCTATGCTGAGTTCAGGTTCACAGAGAGAAGATTTTGCAGGGAGGGACCTGGAAAAACGCGGCGTCGACACCAGCAAGGCAGAGAGTGTTGAATATCAGCCCCGAAACACCCATTATGAGGTACGGGAGTAAAGCCTGGAATGTGACAATATTGAACATCGGAAGCTTGAATTGGGGCATATGAGATGCAAGTCGAGTGGTATTGAGGAAGGCTAAGATTCGAAGCAAGCCAACAGCAACGGATGTTTGGACCCACTATGAAAACGCTATTTGACCGAATGCATTAAACTGGGAATCAAACAAACAAACAAGGAAGGTAAATGGCAGGTCTGGAGTGTGATTGAGGACTGCTTTATTGACGAAGACCATCTGTGGAGGCGTCAACTGCTATTCGTGAGCGGGAAAGCACCAACTATGAGAGCAGCGACTATATAGAAAACGACAACCGCAGCTACCTCTGCTGGCGATGATTCTGGTTGACTTTGCATGGTCGAGGCTCAAAGAAGAATGCCTCCTGAGTATTCCACAACACCCCAGACATTGTAAACCAAAGAGCTGACAGCATTATGTAATAGCCATCTCTTTCCACCCACCATCGTCATGAAGCGAAACTCTTTCCATGACAATTCTGCACTTGTTCAAGGTATGCAGTCTCAACTGTTGAATCGCGAGTATAGCTCCAAGCCTACTTCTTAGCGCTATCCCTTCGGCCTCATTCTCTCCGAAAAACCCAAAACCTGACGCGATTCGCTCGCCGCATTCTCAGAAAAGAAGGCATCACAACCTCCCGGCGTCAAATCTCTGCCACTGTGCGCGATGTCTTAGCTAAAACATGCGCGTTTCCGTGTTACTTTCTCAGCCCTGTGTTAACTTAAAGTTTCAGACAGCGTACGCTCGAAGCCCCCATTGCCATCGCTTGCTGTTCGGCGTCTTAAGAATCAATCGGCGCTTCTATCCTTCAAAGCACCTCCACCTAGCCTCATCTCGCCCAGCAATTTCCGGACTCCTCTCACTCCGCGAAACCAAAGTCCCTTCATTCCTCTCAAAGCCACTCCTAAACGGATTCCATGCCACATCGACGAGAACTCCTCCCCTGTGTTTTCAAGCCCCCAGTCGCCAGTCTTCCATCTCACTAAACAGTTTTCGCGTGTTTTCTTGTCGAGGTCTCAGCAGATCTCGCGCCGTTTGTCCTACTCCCAGAATCGCACGTCAACATCATCTCCAGAGCAGCAAAAAGGGCTCACACTTGCGTCACCCGTTCTTTTACGCTCAACTTCATCATTTTGGCGGACAACCACTCACGATGTCGCGTCGCCATGCTACGAACTAGATGAACTCAGTTTCTCGCCTTTCCAGTTCGATGTATTGAGTTTTTGAGCATGTTAGACTCCCTTTTACTTTGGACTAGTCTTCAACAGTCGAGCATTTTCAGTTTACACAATACAAACCAAATAAAATACACGTATAATATGGCTGGTCGCCGCCCAAACTTTCAAATAACTGAATGTTACGGTAGTGCGGATCACCTGACCGTTTCCTCTTGATCATGACCTCCACGAACAAGACAACGCTGGCCTCAGTGCTGCCAACGTTACGAGTAATGGATCTATTTCCCTGATACGCCAACAGAATAGCTGAACCGTCCAATAGCCCACCATAAAACGCCGCCACCTCCGAAAGGTTGTACCTTTGTCATTCCGCTTTTCCGCTGAACGGTTTTAAAGTATTCCTGGCTCCCTGATGTATTTCGTCTCAAAGGCAGCATCATTAGTCGGATATTCGGACCAGGTAAGACTGAAATATTCTAGCTCACCTCATACTTAGCAACGTCCAGTTATCACTGTTACTCTTTTCGCGACCGCTGTAGCGTATGCGGACCACAGGGGCCATACTATGTCGCTTTCGAACTCAATTGTACCGATGCTCAGTGTGGTGGTGTGTCATGTCTACTAGTCCAGAAGTTGCATTCCATGTCCTTTCCTAGGTGGGCTTAATTCTCGTATTTCGGTGCGTTCGCTGAAGCCTTCCTTCACAACTAAAAATCTATTGGTTAGGAATGGGTCAGTGCTCATCGCGAGCTAAGCTCATTGGCTTATCCACACCAGAACTTCATATGATCGATACTGGGAAGGCCGAAAATGTTTTGGGACCCTCTGCTCCAACGTTAGGAATCTCAGTCGGCTTATCTGGATTAACGTTGCTTTACCCCCCACCGACGAACAACCCGCTTTCGCAAAAGGCAAAACACCAACGTCGGAGGTAACAGCTCACCAACTCTATCGCAGAAAAAAAGAGGCGTTGCATCTTTGCCTGTCTTTCGTCTATGCGACCAAAGTACATCCACTTCCCGTGTTTCACGCGACATTAACCAATTTCGATAGCATTACCTGCGCGGTGAAGATGGCATGCATTGGGATGACTACAAGGGAGTTCTTCCAACATCATTCGTTCGCTCCGATGAGACTGGCTATAACACACAACACACCACACCCGGCGGTACTTATGCTGCGACTGCTATGGCAGGCTCGCTATCCGCTTTGAGTGGGAAATCAACGGATACTCTTAATAAAGGCGATGCAACCAAGCGAGTCCGAGCGAAACGCAGCAAGCATGATATGACCTCTGCAAACACCCCGCTTTTGGCCGGAACCCACCGCACAGTCGAATTTCACCCCTTTGCCGACGATGCGTCGATGCCTTTACCTCTGGTGTTCGTATTCTGTCTATGGATCGGCAAGCCCTGATCGTTTGAGAAGCATCGGGCACGAGATCACTCGTCTACTTTTCCTGTTCAGACGTGAGGGCTTCCTGGAGACTGTAGGTCCAGCCGGTCAGTGTCTCGGAATGTTATGTCCATCTTTTGCTCATGTTGGCAGGTACTAACGCAATGACTGGGCTGCAAGTGCCTTCTGAGTTGAATATACGAGCTGACCTTCTCTTCCCAGTGTCCAAAGCATGACAGATCAACTAACGTCGATGGAGCGTGTTGCTAATACGCCGATTCCGGTATCATGTCAGTTCGCCAAGCTTTGGGGTCGTTCCTCACTGACTGGTGCTAGATGGGATCCACTTGAAGCAATGCGTTACCCTCTACCTCTTCGCATTACCTATGACACTTGTCAAAGAATTGGGCTGGGCTATGGTAAGCTGCCTCTCTGTCTTGGGTTGGTAACACTGACTATTGCAGATTCCCCTGGTCACTGTGGTGGCCTTCACGTTCATGGTACGTCTATTGCTGCGTCGCGCGCGTTAGCTCATGATGCTGGTTTGATAGGGTATTGAAGGAATAGGTTTGCGTTCATCAATTCTACTTCGTCCCAAGTGAATTTTCGGTTAGCACAAGAGATAGAAGACCCCTTCGGCACCGACTATGGCGACTTGCCCTTGGGTACTTCCAGTTTTGTGGTCTGGTCGAAGGTACTAATGTGTATTTAGATCGCTATTGCCACGACCTCAAGGAGGAAATCGAGTGGGTTTCCCTTCGCTTCTAGTTAACGGACAACGCTCATTGTTATAGTTACCTGCTTCATCGACTCCCAGAAGGTGGAATGGGCAGTCACGGATACGACGATGGAGAAGGCGATGATTAGCAAGTTGCAAGAGTACATGTTCTACTGGAATTCGGGTGAACAATGCTCCCCAGGTCCGTACGGCTAGCCAAAGTTATCGGAACCCGTGAATCATGATGTCTGAGATCGAGACTTACTTTGCTTGTGAGGGCAGTGAGACCAGCAGAATTTTCACTCGTCTGCCGACTACTTTGAGGGCCAGGCTTGGGTTTTTCACCTCTGGAAAACGCGTCTAAGATTTTTTTGGTGGATTCGGGGGTCAAGTCTTCCTATGGAGTCTTTAGTCCGTGGGTGAAATCCTATGGAAAGATCCTACGTAGAAATCGTCGTTAACAACCAGCATGGGTGCATTGCTGCACGCTCCTTGACATTCGACTTCGATCACTGTGAATTTGCCATCCTTCGTGGTTTCGCCCGGCTTAATTCCGCCCAGATGCGACAAGGTAGTATTGAGAATATCAGTTGAGCCTCTTAGCATGCAAGGCGTAGTCGTGCAGACTTGAACAAAGTTAGTGCCGATAGGTTCTCTGGGTCCCAATGTTAGAGTAAGTAAGCGGTCAAACGACGACGCACCTGTTGAACATGGTGTAGAATGTTGCCACTTCATAGACACGCATGGGAGGCATTTCTAGAAGCTCTGCCACGTAGTTCATCACGCTAATACTCGTCCATCCCTTGTTTTGCCGTTGTCCAAGGTCAAGCAGTGGGATGACAGCAGCTTTCTTGTACTGTGTCGGGTAATGGGAGATTATCTCTTTTGCGCGAGTTAGGTTCTCGGGGTTGAACTTGAATTCTATCTAGACAAAGAGTTAGTTATGGCCGGGAGACTGTTGTTGGCTATAAATTACTTGGGGGTTGTTATATGGAGTGTCGCGGTGCTGCAAAGTCATGAGGGAACGGGACGGAGAGCCATATATAAGTCCCTCACAATGAATAGTGCATCCGAGCGCCTGGATGGCGTAGTTGAAAGCGCTCGAGAGCGTAGAACGGGCAGTCGTCGCGGTATTCTTCCAAACATCAGACAGCTGATTGGTCGTCACACCACAACCTTGATAAGTACGAGTCTAACTCTCACCCAACTACCATGCAAACAAGTCGTCTCAATGTCGTTATGGTCTGCTTGAAGGCGATAAGATTGCAAGCTCTCACTGAGCCCGTCAGGGTGCAATGACTTTTGGCGCGCCGGAGTCAGGCGCACGCGTTAACAAACTGGAAGATGTGAAAGCCATTCTGGACGCTTTTCGAAGTCATGGCCATACAGAAATTGACTCGGCGCGGACTTACTGCGGAGGAACAAGTGAAGAATACCTTGGTCGCATTGACTGGAAACAGGATGGCTTTGCTCTGGAGACCAAACTGGCTCCGCGTGTGGATATTACCCACTCTCCTCAGGTGGGTCGTTAGACTGGCGTTAGCTTCATAGGCCAGACGTCACAGCAGGATCTCAGGAAGAATCTTTTACTGTCGTTGAAAGCCTTGAACGCTGAGTAGAAACTATTGTCTTTCACTTGAACGATCCTCAATACTGCTTGCCCAGCTCAATTGAGATGTGGTATCTCCATGCTCCAGACCACTCTACCCCTTATGAGACCACGATGAAGGCAGTGGACGACTTATATAGAGAAGGTTACTTCAAGCGCTTTGGAATCTCCAATTACGCAGCGTGAGTTTTTTTTTCGGGTTTTCGGTTTTGTTTTGACCGGCTATAGGTGGGAGGTCGCAGAGATCGTCGGCATTTGCAAGGCTAACGGCTATATCCAACCCACCGCGTACCAGGGTATTTATAACGTGATCCATCGCAATGTCGAGCCAGAGCTGTTTCCCTGTCTACGGAAATTCGGCATCAGCTTCTACGAGTTCAACCCACGTATGTCCAATGCTCTCGATTTCGCTTTATCATGCAGTTGGCAGTGGCGGGAGGATTCTTCACGGACCGATACATGTCTCTCGATGATGTGCCAGAGCCGGGATCGCGGTTTGACCCAACAAGGGTTCAAGGGAAGGTCAGTTGACAAATGTTTTGGGGTCAAACAACGGCTCTAATCAGCCATTGCCCAGAATTATCGCCAAAGGTTATAGGATCTAACTCGACTACATGTCGTTGCTGATGTCTAATAGATACTGGAACGAATCTTACTTCAAGGCTTTGAGCACGATTCGTATGGTAGTCAAAGAGTACAATCTGACCATGGCCGAGGTTGCCTTGCGGTGGCTTTCTCATCATAGCTTAATGGCCCGGGAGCACGGAGACTCGATCATCATTGGTAAAGCAGGTCAAGTACTATGAACCGTCAGCTCTAATGAATGTAGGAGCATCCAATCTTACCCATATCCAGCAGGTAAGAAATCAAGTATTTTCATACGGCACTAAGAGCGTTGACCTAACAGAATCTCTTGGACTTGGAAAAGGGACCTCTCCGTGAGACCTCACTTGTTCCAACCACAGTCGGCTCACCAAGCACAGCGAAAGAAGTATTGACAGTACTCGATGAGGCATGGGCAGCAGTGGCTCCTTTGGCAACCGATTACTTCAAGTAAAAGTGGATGACAAGAAATCGGACAAACAAAGCTGATAAAGTACAAAATAATAGTACAGCACTGTAGGACAAATAAGATAGGGAACGAGATGCACGAATGAAGAGGATCAAGTCGCCCTCTTGGCGCCTGAACGAGGCTTGCTTGTTGGTTTGGAAGCGGCAGCCTTCTTCGGTGCAGCCTTGGTCGTAGTCGCCTTTGCTTTCGGTGTTGCAGCAGGCTTCTTCCCAACGACAGCCTAGAAAGAGTGAGCGACGAGATAGAGAGGAAACCACGACAACAACAGACCTTCTTAGCCTTTGCAGCAGTCGAGCTCGCCTTCTTCGTTGTCGGTGCCTTGGCCTTGCCAGCAACTGTCTTCTTGGTCGTTGTTGTTGTCGTCGACTTCTTAGCTGGTGTGGCCTTTGTTGACTTGGTGGTAGTGGCAGCCTTGGCCTTCGTCGTTGTTTTCGGCTTCGATACCGCTTTAGTCGACGTCGCTTTGGCAGTCTTGGCCGGTGCAGCTTTCTTCACTGCAGGCTTCGATGAGGTCTTTGACACCGGCTTAGAGTTCTGAGACAACAAGTTAGGGGCGTGCCGATAAGACAGAAAATTGGACACGGACCTCCTTCGATGAATCACCACGGTTCTTGGGTGCGAGCTTCACGCATCCAGAGGGTCCCTTGGGCTGGACAAAGATGCCCGATTCGACCCCGGAAACAATAGCCCGGTTCAAGTGAGAAACATCGGCAGCGCTGCTCAGTTTGTATTGGTCCTCAGCGTACTGTGGCTCATCGTAAGTGAGTGGCTTCATGTATGGTTAGACAATACGAACCTTCTTAATCGCGTTGCGCGACACTCCAGTCCGGGGCGATTCGGCGTTGACAATGCATTCCTATGGCCCGTTGTTGGTGGCAAGCTATGCAATCTAGTACAAGTAGATTCACCGTAATGATTTCCTTCCATGTTGGATGGGCGGGGTTCGCCTTAGAGGCCTTGGCCTTCGTGGCAGTCGATTTCTTGGCCGCTGTTGTTTTGGCCTTGGGTTTCGAAGTCGGTGCTTTCTTCGACGCTGGTTTGTCTTGTTTCGATGCCGGCGCCGAAGCAGAGGCAGAGACTGGAGCGACGGCTGCAGATGCGGACATATTCTTTGCGATGGTCGTGGTTTGAGGTAGAGTTGACGGCCGTGAACGTGACCGTCCTAATTTAAACAGGAGCCATAAATTGAACACAGCCACCAATCCCAACGCGTCAACAGATCATTAACATCACGTGCAACTCACGCCTGCGCGTTCATCAATCCACCCAAGACTACCTACACTCGCTGGTACCATGCTCGACTAAGTTACATCAATCATCGACCTACGCCATCTCGAAGTTAGGCTGTCAACTTTTAACAGTACACCCGCTGCCGCTCTTTTGAGTTTAACCTCCTGAGCACCACCTCCACCTTCAACAAGCAGTCCTTTTTCGAGGCGAGAAAATACTAAACCCGCCCATTCACCCGTTCCAAATAGTAAGGCCGTATGATCAAGTCCTAGCGACCTGCCTCCGTCGATTTCCAGACATCCGTCGACTACCACTAATGCCAATTCTAAGGCCGCAGACAAGACAGATGCGTCTTTCGAATCACCACCATCTTCATCAGATATAGGCTTAGTGCCCAGAGTCAGGGCGACTTCCAAAGCCTGAGGAGCTATCACAGCCAACCACTCCATTGAATTCCTCGCCGCATGTGCAACGATAGCCAAAGTAGTGAGGAAGTGAGATAGGACAAGCGGGTTCAGAACAAGACCAGTTCCTGCACCATGATACCGATGCCTCCCTTGGAGATGCAGTGTGCGTTCTTCTCGAGTCTGTTCATCGCGAAAGAAGAGCCAAAACCTGTTGATCATGGGACCAACGAAATATTGGGAAGCAACTTCAGTAAATGTAGTTGTTCGTGGGGCTGTTACCATGGATGGACGTTCCGATCGAGCTGGTTGGAGAGGGGGGCGAGATTGTACTTTCAGGCGACGCTCTCGCACCAACGCTGGTACTTTATCGATAGTCGAATCAATGTCACGATCCAGAGCGTTTCGGCTGATGTCATCCAGCAGCCGCGGAAGGACGCTGGATGACGAAGAATCCTCAGTATACTTTTGATGCAAGCGTAGAGGGAGAATTTTGCTAGGGAATGCGATGTGAGGTGCTTGGAGTGAAGACTGCGGCACGGGCAATGATGCCAGCTCTCTTGCTCCCAGTGCAAGTGCGTTTAGCATCGCAAATCGTTGGTCAATCGAGTATTGGTTCTTGAAGAACTCCTCGATAATGGTGGGAGCTGAGATACGCGGAACACAAGTAACAAGTGCCGTTAGAGCAGCTTGCCGTTTGGAACTGAAGCCCTCAAGCTCGTAGTTGTTTTGAGCACCAACAAAGCCATACACGAGATTTACAGCATTTTCCTCTGTTAGAATGAGTATATCTTCTTGAAGAAATGGTTCTCGCACCGAGCTCAGAACCATAACCTCTTTTCTTGCGTATGAGTTCCTCTGCACAGTCCATGCCCATTTCCAAGTCGCTAGCCAGCTTTGCTTCGTCCGAGTTCATGCCTCCCGTGGGTCGGATCAATGCACCAAGCTGAGTGAGGTACACTGGGCGTGGCACCTTTGTCACCCCAACCCCGATAGTCGGCTCTTTCTCGATCTCTGCGAGTTCGGAAGGAGTAGGGGAAGCGGAACGAGAAGATGGCGGGGATATGTAACCCGTTAAAGAGTCGTCTGAGTCATACCCTGAATCTTGCGTCATATGGTTTTCCACAGGCTCAGGCGGGGCCAAGAGTGATGTCTGGTCTATGATGTCTGGATTGGGATTGTGCTTAATGTCCACGTCACGGTTCTTCAAGAGCTCTCGCATTTGTCGGGGCCACGTCTTTGATACTGCAGCGCCATCCCAGTCACCAAAATCAAGCTTCTTTCCACCGAGTTCCGCTATGATTTCGGCGACTAGCATGCCACAGCGACGAACTGACTCGTCAAGATGAGCTATATATTCTCCCACGCCAGAAATGAGAGGTGCGGAAAAGGCGATTAATGATAGCTTGGAGGACGAGCGAGGCAGGTACGACGTCGTAATGAGGAGAAGAGAGGTAACATCTGCAATTCTCGTTGGATGGAATCCAACACCATTGAGTAGGTAGGACGTACAATGATGTCGATTTATCAACGAATGCTTGACATGGTCTGGGTTTGCCCAGATGTCAATGACGAAATCCAGGAGCCCTTCTAACGCTGTAGAAAGTCAAGTTATTGCCAGGTTCCATGAAGATACTTACCTCTCTCTCCATTCTCCAGCTGCGAGATCCAGCCTACAAAGATCCTGGCATGAGCTTCGCTCCAGTCTCGTGACAAAAGTGTGGCCAAGATAACATCCCACCAATCGTCAGAGTCAGGAAGCTTGATAAAGCCCAAGAGAAACAGTGATTCCTCTTTGACCACCATACGGTCGCTATGGGAAGATGAAACCCCAGCATCTGCGCGCAAGTTTGCGAATAGACATATCAAGACGGATTGTAAATTCAAGGTTGATGGAATTTCTCGAAGAATTGATGTCCATGATGAGGCATACGCAAGGGCAGTCGTCTTTGCGAGGCGAGCCCGAATTTGAGGAAGGCATACCTCGAAGAAAGACACTTCTCTGGGCGATGAAGGAGGGACAGGGGGGAACATGCCAATGTTGACAAGTTTGGTCAGTAGATAGGCAAGCGCAGAGATCTCGTATTCTTTGTTTCATGAGTGAAATCAAACGAGAGAGCTACCGACCAACCTCTGGGAGGAGCGGTAAGGGCAGCGACAGCACACTCCGTTCGTTTGCAAACGTTGGCGAAATAAGAGCTATGTTCAAGTGGTGCCGGGACATCATGGCCTTGAAGAGCATTCGCTAGTCGAGCGGGAACGGATGCGTGATTCCGAACGCAATCTTCCCACTGACGCATTCGCTTTTTATCATGAGCATCGTGCGAGAACACAGCGACAAAGAGGCGGTCAATTGGATAGCGCTCTGATAGCCGCACTAGAACTCGGATAGAGTAATCCGTGAATGGGAGCGACATGAGGGTCGAGTAAGCAAGAAGAGACACGTCGCCTGCCGCTGGGGAATTGAATGAAAAAAGATCAGGACAGAGATATTGCTCGAGTAAAGAGTCTAATTGTTGCTCAGCCAGCACCGCTTCCCAAGTAGGGCCGACGTGGCTCAATATTTCGCGTTGAAACATAGCCATGTGTCGTGGAACTTGAAAGGCAGCAGCAGGTAAAGGATGGACATGGTAGATGTTGAATCGTGGCGGAAGAAGAGAGAGACACGCTAGTGGAGGAGTAAGCAGATGAAGAAGTGTATCGAGGTCCGCGATGGGTGCTTTGAGTTGTTCAATAATTCTTTCAACCTCCATCGACTTAGTGATCGAAGAGATGGCGGGTCATGGTCACAACGTGACACCGGACGTGTCTCACCACGATCCAAGGCGCGTCAAAATGGCGAGCAACATCAAACATGTTCGTTTGGCATTGTACCTGGAGCTATCTTACTGAATTAAGCTCAGACTACGACGCCAACTTTACAACAAGCGCAGACCGAAGCCCTTCTCTCTGTCTTGAATCTCAATAACGCACCGGAATCCTCAGGGAAAGCTGGCTCTGGCTTCAAGACCCCACCGCCATCAGGCCCACCCGTTTGGAAAGTGCTGATACTAGATCAGCAAACGAAGGATGTGCTAGCCACTATATTGCGCGTACAAGACCTACGCGATGTTGGTGTTACCCTTCATGTGTGCGTCCAAAACTCTCCACTTATGCTTATCCATCTCACGGGGCACAGGCAGCTTCATTCACCTCGACCTCCTCTTCCAGACGTTCCTGCTGTTTATTTTGTGTCACCTACCTTGCAAAACGTCAAAAGAATAGCGGAAGATCTAGAGAAATCTCTCTATGAGTCCTTTCACTTGAACTTTGTCGAACCTTTGCCGCGAGCTCTTCTGGAGGAACTTGCTGCCTTGGTTGCGCGGGACGGAACGGGCGATGCTGTCGAACAGGTACGCCTTCATTGTCGTTGCACACAGATTTAATGAAGAAGCTAGGTTCTTGACCAATACCTCTCCTTTATTACCCCGTCACCTACGCTCTTCTCGCTACTCCCTCCACCTCAACCATCACCACAAACTGGTACGACAAATGCAGAAATATCATCCTACACGATTCTCAATTCACCTACCTCAACGGAGCAACAAATTGAGGCTGAAATAGAGCGTATCGCCAATGGCCTTTTTAGCGTTGTTGCAACGGCCGGTATATCTTTCTCCTGCAAAAGTATATCTTTTTTGAATTTCACTAGGTCACGTGCCGTATATACGATGTCCTCGAGGAAATGCTGCAGAAATGATCGCTAAAAAGCTGGAAACCAAAATACGTGATGCCCTTCTAATGGCTTCTCGTCATTCCTCCAACTCCAACGCGCTTTTTGCCCAAGACTCATCTGGACTTGCTGGTCTCCAACGCCCCTGTCAGTACTTCCTGATTTATGCACAATGTCTGCTTATTCTCTCGCAGTGTTACTCATATTAGATCGGAATCTCGACCTCACATCTCCCATATTACATGGCTGGACTTATCAAGCCCTGATTTCTGATTGCTTCCACATGAACTTGAACCGAGTGGTGGTACCTGCGACAACAGGTTCCCCTCCACAACCTAAGCGTTCATACGACCTTGACTCGAAAGACTTTTTCTGGGCGCGAAATGCGGCTAATCCATTCCCCCAAGTGGCCGAGGAAATCGATGCTGAACTGACCAAGTATAAGAGCGATGCTGCTGAGATAACCCGAAGTACGGGAGTCAGCGATGTCAATGACATAGCGCAACTGTGAGTTTGTGCTTGTCTATATGGTGTTACATTGACTCCACCGCTCCAGTGACTTGTCCGCCAACGCAGCCCATCTGAAAGCTGCTATCACTCAACTCCCTGAACTCACAGCCCGAAAAGCTACACTCGATACGCATATGAATATCGCCACGGCATTGTTGGAGCAGATCAAGAAGCGTGGTTTGGATGAATTGTTCAGTTTCGAGGAGGCGATTGGCAAGCAAGTTGAGTGAATATGCTCTCTTTTTATATTTGCTCATATGACCAAGTCTACTCAAACCGTTCTTGCGACGCTTCGAGGCGACTCACCAGCTTTAAGTCCTGAAGATAAATTGCGTTTTGTGCTAGTCTTTTTCCTGTCCAGAGGCTCGGACAACGCGCTTTCCAAGGAGGACATAAACGAACTAGAGAAAGAGCTCAAAAATGCGGGTGTCAGCGTCGGCCCCTTCGAGTATGTTCGCAAGCTTCGCGAGGTTGAAAGAATGGGCATGGGATCTTTCTCAGCTTCAACTGGCCCTGGCACGCCTAGTGGTAACGACAGCACAGGCACAGAATTGTTCAATCGTTTCCTTCAGGGCAAGGCAAGACTTTTTTTTTGAGCGCATTAACGTCAATTTAATCATGGATAGTTTACTCAAACAAGTCTAGAAGGGCTGTTTTCGGGTGTGAAGAACTTCCTGCCCGCAAACAAGCTTCTCCCTGTGACCCGTATAACTGAAGCGTTGATGGATTCTGCGAGTGCATCGAATGCATCCTTGCAAGAAACGGATGACTATCTGTTCCTTGACCCTCGATCCCCTAAAGCCTCTGCTTTTGGGCCTGGTGGTGCTGGAGGCCCAGGCAGTAGTGGGTCCGGGAAAAGTCGTCGTATGGCTTTTGCTGAGAGTCTGGTCTTTGTTGTTGGTGGTGCAGGTTATGTCGAGTATGGGAATTTGGAAGAGTGGGCTGGCAGAACTGGCAAGCGCGTAACATATGGGGGCACCGATATATTGGACCCCGGTGGATTTATCCAAGTCTTGGATCGCTTGAGTACTGGGACGGTGTAAGTAGATACAGAAGATTTTATCTGATTTCGTCTGATCGGCTTGATGGCCGAGATCAAGACAACTTTTCACACGTCATAAGATTGGTGTCGATTGCTGCCAAAGCCACCTCAACCCGTACTCCCAACATCTTGTGCCATAGTGGGACATGCCTCTCCCTGCAGCGCTCACTACTACTGACGAGACCACAATACTCCTTGGTCTCATTGCTGCCACTATCTTCCTTCTCAACAACCTTTATAAACCACAACCACTCGTTCATCCCATTCTCCTTGGACGCCAAAGTGATGTTGCTCGCGTCAGGAATCCTGGTGAAAGTGCAATCTATAGAAACTACGGTACCGGTCTGATGGGCAGAGTACATATAATCTTGACAGTGGAGTCGCGCATTCAATCCGTTCTAGTTTCCGCTGAGGCCAGCTAAGGACGTCCATATCCTTGCGGACATGTTAAAACCAGACTCTGATGCCCCTCGTATGCTTTGGTCTACAAGGGTGAATTTCTGGCTGTGTTGTCGTATTGAAAGCTGATCAAGTCAAGATTTCGAACCCGCAACTGCAAGACCGTATTGCCGCGTTTGGCACAGGACTTTTGCGTCTTGCAGGTTTAGAAGTTGGAGAGTCGAATGTACTCCTGCTGTTGAACGACTCTATCGGTCAGTTTAACCACTTATTCTCGCGCGTATCCATTAACAGCCGATAGAGTTTATTATTGCTGACCTGGCTCTTGCATCGCATTCAATCCCTTCCTTCACGCTCAGCGCATCCAACCTCCTCTCCCCGGTTCTTGAATCCCATCCTCCATCGGCCATTATAACCCACAGCTTTATGTTGTCCCAGGTGCTCGAACTCATTTACGATGCTGGTGAAACAAACCGTAATCACACCATTATCGTTGTCGGTGAGCCCAGCGCCCAGGCGATGGCTACGGTTGCCAGTCGCGTCAAAGTTCTCAAATGGGCAGACGTTGAACGAGAGGGCGTCAGGGTGGAAAAGATTATCAGCCCACTCCCAAGCAAGTGCAAACAAACCTGCGACGCTTATCTTATTCAACGTTCCCAGAGCCCAGCGATGTTTTTACTCTATCATTCTTCTCAACGGAGTCCGGTCAGATCCAAAGCGCGCAGTTAACACACGAAAATTTCACGGCTGGAGTCGCTGCTGTTCGCGCTTTACTGCCACTTTCACACGCGTTTTCACAGCTCGACACCGTCGTTTCCGCTCACTCTCTGGGAAGTGCATATGGAAGAGCTATTGCTTATACTGCCCTCTTTGAGGGCACAAGCTTTGCAACCCTAGATGGCTCCAAACTCTTCCATGACGGTGAACGTCAGTAAAATGCTTTGGTGAATGTCTCATTGTTCATCATCCTCATGTAGATACCTCTCGGATCGACTTAACCGATGCACTGTCCGCCAATGCCTATCCAATCCCCCCAACAACTTTGGCATTTGTCAAGCCAGGACATCTCCAAACTTTGGGAGATGCTATCTTGAAGCAAGCGCGCAAATCGTTCTTCTTATTCCCACTCGCGTGGCGTCATAAGTTGGCGGGAATCGCTGACGGGTATGTCACGAAAGAGAGTCTGTGGGATCGATTGGTGCTGGACGCGGCCCGTGCTCATGTTGCAGGTGACGGTTCAGCTGCGTTGAGAGCCGTGATCGTTAGCGAAGGTGAGTAGCGGGTCAATACTATCTTAGTTGTGACTTATAATAATGGGGGATAGGTTCAATTCCTGGGGAAATCTTGACACCATCTCGAGCTGCATTATCGGTACCTGTGATTAACTGTTTCTCTCACCCGTTGGTCGCTGGGCCAGTGCTAGCTTCGCATGCACTTGACCTTCAGGATCTGGGAACAAAGACAGCTCATAGCGGGCCGCCGAGCATTAACATAGAGGCGAAATTGGTTGGAGTAGAAGATGACGTGGTTGAACAGGGAGGTGACCCAACGGGAGTTCTGATGGTGCGCGGACCACCTGTTGGCAAGTTAGCGAGCATGGAAGCGAGTTATGTCTCGATTCCTGGCTCGTCAGATGAAGAAGAGTGGATTGGGACTGGCGTAAGGGCGACAGTACTACCCAATGGGGCGTTTGTAGTGAATTGATGAACGCGCAGGCGTGAGTTGCACGTGATGTTAATGATCTGTTGACGCGTTGGGATTGGTGGCTGTGTTCAATTTATGGCTCCTGTTTAAATTAGGACGGTCACGTTCACGGCCGTCAACTCTACCTCAAACCACGACCATCGCAAAGAATATGTCCGCATCTGCAGCCGTCGCTCCAGTCTCTGCCTCTGCTTCGGCGCCGGCATCGAAACAAGACAAACCAGCGTCGAAGAAAGCACCGACTTCGAAACCCAAGGCCAAAACAACAGCGGCCAAGAAATCGACTGCCACGAAGGCCAAGGCCTCTAAGGCGAACCCCGCCCATCCAACATGGAAGGAAATCATTACGGTGAATCTACTTGTACTAGATTGCATAGCTTGCCACCAACAACGGGCCATAGGAATGCATTGTCAACGCCGAATCGCCCCGGACTGGAGTGTCGCGCAACGCGATTAAGAAGGTTCGTATTGTCTAACCATGCATGAAGCCACTCACTTACGATGAGCCACAGTACGCTGAGGACCAATACAAACTGAGCAGCGCTGCCGATGTTTCTCACTTGAACCGGGCTATTGTTTCCGGGGTCGAATCGGGCATCTTTGTCCAGCCTAAAGGACCCTCTGGATGCGTGAAGCTCGCACCCAAGAACCGTGGTGATTCGTCGAAGGAGGTTCGTGTCCAATTTTCTGTCTTATCGGCACGCCCCTAACTTGTTGTCTCAGAACTCTAAGCCGGTGTCAAAGACCTCATCGAAGCCTGCAGTGAAGAAAGCTGCACCGGCCAAGACTGCCAAAGCGACGTCGACTAAAGCGGTATCGAAGCCGAAAACAACGACGAAGGCCAAGGCTGCCACTACCACCAAGTCAACAAAGGCCACACCAGCTAAGAAGTCGACGACAACAACAACGACCAAGAAGACAGTTGCTGGCAAGGCCAAGGCACCGACAACGAAGAAGGCGAGCTCGACTGCTGCAAAGGCTAAGAAGGTCTGTTGTTGTCGTGGTTTCCTCTCTATCTCGTCGCTCACTCTTTCTAGGCTGTCGTTGGGAAGAAGCCTGCTGCAACACCGAAAGCAAAGGCGGCTACGACCAAGGCTGCACCAAAGAAGGTTGCCGCTTCCAAACCAACAAGCAAGCCGCGTTCAGGCGCCAAGAGGGCGACTTGATCCTCTTCATTCGTGCATCTCTGTTCCCTATCTTATTTGTCCTACAGTGCTGTACTATTATTTTGTACTTTATCAGCCTCGGTTTGTTGCCACACGCAAAATAGATTTTCGGCTTTCCCGAATCCCTCGCCGCTACTCTTGGTCCCTTTCAAGGAGTGGTTGTCTGCTTTCCGGCTCAACGTGGCCTCGCGATTCATCGCCAGGTGTTGCCGCCAGAGCGATATAATTCTTGTGAAGTGGAAAGTCATAGGAGCCCCCCATTCTCTCCGATATGAACTGACGATTTAGCAGAGCAAGGCCGCTCAGATAGAGACAAGGTAAGAGCTAATGTAGTGAGAACTTGACAGAGCTGAAAAATGACAGCCTACCACAGCCCATGCTATCCAAGCCACACGAAGCCAAATTGCGACATCGGATGTGCCAGTTCGTGAGGCCCACTCAGTGAATCCACTTCGAACCTGGAGAAAGGCCAAACAAATTATAGTTATCCCGACCACGACATGCAGAATGTTCCTTGGAGGATGCAGCACGTGTCCAGCAACTGCGCGCTTTGAATGGATGAACTGACCCAGTGAGAGTTGAGCAATGTACAATCCGAAAAGCAACAGGCCACAAATCTAGGACCAATCAAGACAAGATTTGGATAATAATAATAATAACTACCTGGTGAGCATCGACAAAATGACTTGCTTGACGATCCAAGACAGCAAGCGGACCAAGCAAAAAGCCCGTCGTGATCAGCGGGAGCGCTAGATATAGGTTGAGAACTTGATGAGCCTTAAACCAGAGAGGGGTAACTGTGCGTCCCCAACGAGCGATCAACGAGCCAAGAGGAAGCACTACTAGGAAACCAATTGCAACGAATGTTGCATGCAAGATAGCCTTCTTGCGGTAGCTAGCCATCTCCTTGCCCGTTCCAGGGAAGTCGTTGACGATCTTATCTAAGCGCATGTTCAAGGTGCCCGCAACATAATGGCCAGTAAGATCGGCATTTGGATCAGGGTCTGGTCGACGCAGGGAGTAAGCCCAAATCATGGTGCCTGGATAAGAGTCGCTTTTGTTCACAGGAATCTGGAATGCCGACACAGAGTGATTCGAGTCGCTTTTTGTTTTCCATGTCGGCTCCCCAGGCTCGACCATGCTTGCTCGTCGAGGAGGATTGGCCTCCACCACTGGCTCCACGTGACCAACTCCATATCGCTGTGATAAGATGCGAGAGCCATTTGTGTTATCCCAGAGCACAACCATATGTGTGTCTTTCATCTGGCGGCCCCAACCCCTGCAGTTGGTTCAGCGCAAGGCGACGATTTCGGCGACGAGTCGTCTTACAAGCCGACCCAGCCAAACGTGTCCCAGATAGGTTTAACTTGGACTTTTAGTGGTCAACATTGGGGCGTGATGCTGGAGCAATAGGCGCACAAGTCATCACATCATTAGAGCTCACAGTGATGTTCAGACAAAAGAACAAGTTGCAACCTAGGACCAGTTTTAGATTTGCAAGGCTCAAGTTAGCGGTGACACTCACCAGAGTCCCCGTTTGCAGCACTAACGAGATGGATCGTTTGCAGAAAGAACAAGAGGACAATACTCTTCAGGGTATAATGCATACTAGGCGGCAGCGAGGTGAGAAAGAAGCGTCGCGATTCGCCCAGACTTATAATATTGCCATGAAGGAAACGTTCAGGACCTTATTGGTAGGACCTCTCCACGGTCGTGCGAAGCTTTGCGTTGACCCAAGGTACAACTCAAAAAGTGGTGGGAGCGAACTGCAGTGTTTCTTGGCTATGACACAGTTTGTTTTTTCATTGATTCTGATACACGGTTAGTCGGACACTAGTTGTTCTCGATGATCCACGATTCCAGCACGCTCGTCCATTGGATCACACCCTCAGGGAACCAGCTACATAGGAGAATAAGCAAACTTGCTCATGATGGAAAAAGGACACCCACAGAGCAATCTCCTTCTCCGCACTTTCAACCGAGTCGGAGCCGTGGCAGATGTTACGGCCAACAGAGATGGCATAGTCACCACGGATCGAGCCAATGGGAGATTGGAGAGGGTTGGTAGTACCAAGCATCGCACGGCCAGTCTTGACAGCATCGATTCCCTGCCAAACCATAGCAACAACGGGTCCCGAAACCATGTACTTGATGAGACCAGGGAAGAAAGGCTTGCTGCTCAGATCAGCGTAGTCTACAACCACCATTAAGCGACGCGTATCGAAAAATGCTTCATGTAGACCAACGCTTTTCAAGATGTTCTTTGGTGGGTTGAACGAATTTTAACGCGATAAGCTTGTATCCGCGCTCCTCAAAACGGGCGATGATCTTTCCGACGAGGTTGCGCTGAACGCCATCGGGCTGGAAGACGATTAGATAATTTTCAGTAGAGACAGTCTAAATACTTGCCTTGATCATAATGTAGGTTCTTTCGGTAGCAGACATGGTGGATGTAGGAGAAAGAGTTGTGGCTATCGATGCGATTGGAACGTGACGTGACCAAAAGTTTCTATCGCGTCACGTTGTCTGTCGTAATTTAGATTCCGACTCTGACCGTCATGGCTGGGAGCGCCTTAGGCATTTCGCTCGCGCCGTACATTCGCTCGTCGCCAACCCTTACCAAGATTTTTACCCCCATTGCCAACTGGTATGCCGGTGGTGCCCTTTACCGCCAGTATGGTCTCTTGTATGACGACCTTCGTCAGTTTCTTCTCTCCCTTTTCTCTCCCATTTCTCATCTGTCTCCAGTCATCGAGGAGCGGCCCGAAGTTCAAAAGGTTCTTCAAATCATACTACCACGCACCAACCTCATATACTTTCCCTCCAGGCTCTCTCTCGCTTGACCCCCCGCCAGGCCTACGACCGTGCCTTCCGCATCAAGCGCGCCTCCCAAGCTGATGTCCTTCACGCACCGTTGCCAAAAGAACAGTGGACCAAGCCTGAACAAGTATCATTTTCCCGTTGCCCTCACGAGCCGGATTTCATGGCTTCTAGGACATTCGTTACCTCCTCCCCCATGTCATCGACGTCGAAGCCGAAATCAAGGAGCGCGCTCACTGGGACACTCTCGCAGTCACCAGAAGAAAATAGGCCCGGAGCCCATGTAGCTTCTAGTCTCTAATTCTACAACATGATTCTTCCTTATTGCGCTCCCATTCTCTTACAACGCGCGGACAAGTGGTGATACAACCTCGCCGCCCTTTTGCTTGTAAAAGTCGACAACCTTCTTCCCGACGACCGCGATGTTTGCGCCAGTGATTCCGAGCTTCTCGTATACCTTTTGATATGGTCCAGATGCTCCCCATCCAGTCAAACCATATTGTTCGTGGCTATACCTTTCCCAGCCAAGCGTCTGGCAAGAATGTGTAAGAGAAAGCCCAACGGGTTAATCAGAACACTTACTGAAAGAGCTTCCAAGGAAAGAATTGGGGCTCCGCTGCGAAGTACACTGAGACGATATTGCGCATCCTGTTGGTCGAAGACAAGCCAGCACGGCAAACTAACAACGCGAGTCTTGATGCCTTGCTCTTTAAGCTTCTTGGCAGCCTCGACCGCGATTGTGACTTCACTTCCACAACTGACGATAGTGAGGTCCTCTTTCTCCTCTTCGATCAAAACGTAGCCGCCGCGGGAGGCCCGCTCAATAGTCGATCCTTCAAGATTCGGTAAGTTTTGACGAGATAGTGCGAGAATTGAGGGAGTATGTTTCGATTTGAGGGCGACTGAGTATGCTGCAGAAGTTTCGTTGCCATCCGCGGGACGCCAGAATGCGAGGTTGGGAATTGCACGGAAGTGAGCATTGGTCTCAACTGGTTGATGGGTAGGACCACTATGCAGCTCTTCAATATTTGGATGAGATTGGTTGGGAACGACTTACTCCTTTACAAACCATTAGTAACCCCAAAGGTAGTAGACAAACAACTTACCTCTCCCAGTCCAATGCTATCATGTGTACCAACCCAGATGACTTGCACGCGACTCAAAGCAGACAGACGGACTGCCCCAGCAGCGTAAGAAACAAAGTTCTACACGCTCGTCGTTAGAGGATAAGAGTTGTCTTGGATTGAACGACGCACGAGGAAAGTGCCAACAAAGGGAATGATACCGCCATAAGCAGCAAGGCCGTTTGCAATGGCTCCCATTCCATGTTCACGAACCCCTACTTGTGTTAATGTTTGAATCGTGGCTGATAAAAAGTGTGTACCATAGCGAATATAAGTGCCGGCGTATGTGCCGAGCTTCGTGGCAGGAGGCTGGAAGTCGACAGATCCTTTCACCTGAAAAAAAACTCAGTTTACAACGACTACCTGTCGCAACCCATGAACGGACTTTGGTCAAGTTACTCGATGTCAAGTCAGCGCTACCACCCAACAGATCAGGTAAAACTGCGGCCAGAGATGTCAAGGCAATTTCAGACAGCTTGCGCGATGCCTGGGCCGAGTCCGTAGGCTTGTAAACAGGGAGTGCCTTTTCCCAGTTCTGGGGAAGTTCTCCCGCAATTCTACGAGTGAGCTCCGCGTGTTCCGTGGGATATTTCTGTCCATAAGCTGCGAGGAGTGAATTCCACTTCGCCTCAGCGCTGGCTCCCTTTTGGGCGATCTCGCCATAGAATTTGTAGACTTCAGCAGGAACGTAGAACTTTTCATCCGGAGGGAATCCGAATTTCGTTTTCAGGGCAACGATATCATCGGCCTTGAGTGCTATGGCTGGTTTAGATTTATCGAGCCATTCGTAAGACACTGACGAGAGCCATGAACGCCATGAGTGCCCTGCTCTTTAGAACCAAATCCGATGGTCGTGCGGAGCCGGATGATTGTGGGCTTGCTTTTCTCTGCGCGAGCTTCGTTCAGGGCCTTGTTAATACCGTCCAAATCACTGAAAGCTTGTCGGTGGACGAGTTGTGAGTGTTAAATGAACACTGACCTGTCGCCATTCTCGACATGGAGCACTTGCCAGCCATACGAAAGGAAACGAGCACCAACATCTTCAGTGAAAGCGATGGCGGTATCACCGTCAATGGAGATGTCTATTCAAATTAGTAACCGCACGGTATGAAGAGGCGCGACATACGATTATCATCATACACGACGATGAGGTTGCCTAGCTGGAGGTGGCCAGCCAGGCTGGCTGCTTCCGCCGAAACACCCTCCATGAGACAACCATCACCACAGAAGACTAAAAGAGCCGTCGTCATGAATGACCATGAGCAGAAGGAAGTTACCATAGGTGAAGTTGTTCAGCAACTCGAAGTCAGGTTTGTTGTAGACCGCGGCAAGATGGTTAGAAGCAATAGCCAGGCCAACGCCGTTCGCAAAACCCTGGCCGAGAGGTCCTGTGGTCACCTCAATGCCTGAGAATATCTGAGTCGGGAGTCAAGGTGAAGTTATGCTCGACGAACCGTCCGTGTGGTTTGCCTCTGTAACAGAAGGAGACGATTTCACTGATTTAGTCGCGGATGAGCAAGTTCACGCTACCTGGATGGCCTGGAGTTAAACTATCTAATTGACGGAACAGCTTCAGGTCATCCATGGAAATCTTGTACCCTATACGGTGATTAGTCAGTAATCTGGGGGGGGATGAAAAGTAGGCCTACCCAGCAAGTGTAGCATGGTATATTGGAGAACACACCTGATTCTCAGATGAGTTGGGATTCACGCATTGAAAAAGAATTTGCTACGCGTGGCCATTCTAATGCAGCCAGATGAGTGTCGAAAGTTTGGCTGGAGTCGGCTATCTTACCGACAAAACGAATCGGTCGCGATTGAACCACTTGGAATTGGAGGGGTTCGCGGTTAAGAACCTGTAGGAAGTCATCTTTCTGCTGGCCGCGATACTAATTGGGACTTACTGAGAGAAGAGGACATGGGCAGCTGGTGCCATGCCCATTGGTGCACCTGGATGTCCACTATTCGATTTTGCGACGACATCGGCAGCAAGAGTCCTGATAGTGGAAATGCAAGTCTAGCTTGAAGATTGAGCAACGATACGAAAAAAGCCGTCAACAGGCAAACCGTATCAACGCTCATACTGGTAGGAGGAAGGTCTCGACTCCCGATGCGATCAATTGTGCCGGGCCGTGACCCGGTTACCACGAACGGTCATGCACTCACAATTGTCAGACAAGAAAATAGGTTAGTGCTCGTCTCTGCTTTTGCCTGCCTACTCAATGCCTCTTAGTGTGCAAAGACTTTATAGAAGCATTAGAAAAATGCCACTCTAACAACTGGGCGCGGCTATTGGGTTTCTGCAACCTACAGAAAGACGAGTTGAACCTATGTCTGCGAGAAGAGGTTTGATGCAGCCAATCCAAAGAACCTGAATGCTCACACAAGTTTGCTCAGAGACTGAAACGGACTACCGCTAACCGCGAATTATCTCAGGAACGCAAACACAAAGCCGAAGAGGCCCGCAAAAAATTCTATAGCGACGAGTGAACGTGCTTAAATTACGCGGTTGGACTCCATGTGGCCCAGACACGCCTGGTATCTTCATTTTCCTCTATCTCTCGAATGAGGTCGGTAACATTTTCGGTCATCTCGCTATCTTGGTCCAATGATGGGTTGAGGTCTGACGTGGGCGTAAAAACAACTTCACTTCCCAAGACGGCTCGACAAAGCCCTGGGGAGTCTGCGAGTGCTGATGCGAGTTTTCCCAGGGTTTCCGGACGACAAGTGAACTGGAGTGCAGTACATATCATATTTTTGCTTGCGTAGGCGGGAAATAATACCTCGATTTGGATTTCTTTCTCGAAGCTCGTCTCTGAATAATTTTCCGCTCCATTGTCCGTCGCGTAGTCAATAAGCTGAATCAAGTCCAGTTCATGATCTTCCTCCCTTTTGTCCATGATCACAGTGACGGATCCAACCCGGTCGAACATGAATCGCACTGGGGTCAGACGAGAACTGCGGCCAAGGTTACACGGGAGAGCGAATCTAATATAAGCCGCAAACCTATGCTCAGAAAGGATTTCCCGGATTTTGGCGGCAGTCCTTGTTGGATTGTTGGTCGTGCATTCGCTGTCATAAGGGATTGGTCACTTTTCTTTTTGTCCAAGCCTAAAAACGCGTGCATTATAAGGCCAACAGCATTGTACGCCAATGCCTCGTAGACTACATCTTCTCCGTTGAGTTCACGTCGTTTGGCTGCCTGAAATAATCGGTATTAACCTATGGAATGAGAGGGGATAAGCAACCTTTTCAAGGGCTGACGATATGTTTTCTTTGGGGATGTCTTTAAGTCTACGCAAAACTGCCGCGAGAGCCGAGTTCTTTTCTGGATCAGGAGAGCCCCCAACTTTTCCGCAGATGAGACGGACAAGCCATTGATTCACGAAAACCTTCCAACTCACGTCGAACCGCAGTGAGTATATCTCGAGTCGCGCGAGTTATGGCCGCATTTCGTTTGACATCGTTTGCGCCTTTCTTCTCCTTGATTTTGGACCACTTATTATGACCGGAAAGAGCCACAGATGAGCCAGAAAACGAACGTCGAGCGTAGTTGACCAGAGAGCGAGATAACATACTTATTTAGGAAATTTCGAGTCCTTTTGTGACGGACAAAGTTTTCTCACGCAAAGTACACTTTAGAGTATATTTTAGAGTACACTACTGTGAAGCATGATCCACTCTTCGCCTTGGGCGCCTCCCATCTGAATGATTCTGTTTTGTTCTGCCAGCGCAGTATATTGTCGAAACTGCTTGACTCCAGCAGCCGCATATACGGACGGCCCTCCCACAATCTCAGAGCCAATGACGCTCCGAAGAGGTTTGGAGATGCCCCGAGCTCTTTGGCTCAGGATAGCATCAACCAAAGGTTGGAAGATGACAGGAATTGCTTTCTTCGTATTGACAGAAGGGGCTTTCAAAGAAATCCAGGCAAGGCCGTTATTGCCTCCCATCTCAACTAAACCATGCTGCTCCGCTTGTGCCGTGTATTCGGCGAATGACTGCGCGCCGGCACGCTCATAAACCGACTTGGCCAATTCCTGCCCGATAATGGACCGAAGGGGTCGTGACTGTCCGCTGGCCTTGTGTGCTTCCAGAACGTTGATTAGTGGATCGAAAGGATTTTTAGAGGAAGCGCTCCCAAAAAGATGGACAGTCGAAGAAGTACTAGCAAGCGGGGGAGAAGGAGGAATCGTCGCTGGCTGCATACTCTTCGGCACTGAGTCTTTAACAGACGTCGTGGCTGAAGGAAACTCGGGAGGTGGCGGGAAAAAAGGCTTCGGTGCGTTGAAGGACTGGGCACGGATGACACTCGGGGACGAATGAGGTATACTGATCGGTCTGATGTCCGCAACGGCAGACGATGGGCGAGGGGGAGCCATTTGAGGCAGGCTATTCAAGTTGCTACTGAGGAAAGGTGTTTCGAGTTTCACGGGTGTAGGACGAGGTGTGTCTACTTCCGAAGGCTGAGAGACGTTGGTTGTATAGGCGGGAGCAGCTCCTGGCTGTGGCGAAGGTAAGATGGGAGAGTCAACAAATGTGTCGACAGGCCGCAGAGGTGGAGTTTTGAAATGGTCGGACCTAATGGGTGAAGCATTGCCATTCAGTTCTACTGGACGTGTTGTAGGCGACGAAGAGGTCGTGCTTGAATCGGCCGCTGGGTAGTCCATGATATGTTTATCCCAGTCAAGCGAAATCGAAGCTTGGCTGGTGAGACTAGGATGGGCGGAGGTTGAGATGACGACGACTTCAAACTTTCTCAATCTGAGAATCGAGACCACATATGCGAATTCTTGATGGCCAGAGATGAGAATGAAAGTAGTATGCGGGTGGTCCATAGCATGCACAAGCATGTCCACCATGACCATTCGATTCGCAATGTCCTGTCTGACATTGTCTAGACAGTCCACCAGCGACACGCCAGACGATTGCAACTCCGAGCGGAGCGCATTCGTCTTGGATGCCATCTCTAAATACCCTTTGAAGCAAATGATTTTCCCAAAGCGGTGGGCTACATTCCTGATGTAGCCAGCTATTTGGTAGCCTGTAAGCTGTTTCAGGTGAGCCAAAACCAAGGAGAAATCAGTCTTGCCTGATATGTTAGATGGGGCATGACAATTTTCTTGAGCACTGGTTAGTCAATAGAAACAGTTTGGAAAGAGGAATTGCCATAATCCCAAAAAACAGCGACGTCGTTAGATTGCATGGAGGAAGGGTTCAAGTGAAGGAAGAGGCGGCTCACCACCTCTTTTTAAAGCAGACAGGACATCAGACAGGTGCTAGTCGCGTTGCAAATGAAAATGGTCTTATTGGAGCTTTTTACCGAGTCGCGCAAGATGGTAATTAATTGTGGGCTTATGGCTCTTCTTCGGCAAGGGCTAAGCAAGGTAGCAGTGAGCAGGATGCGTCGTGAAGTGCGTGGAGAGAGAGACGTACCGTTGTCCTCATACAATGGAAAAGCGTTTCTGCAGCCTCCTTGCAGGCAGCATGATTCTGAATGTCAGATGTGGCTGCCCAACAGCCCAGCATAGCAGCAAGTTGTGGCCCACACATGTTATATGGCTGGGCTGAAAACGGTGAGAGGTGGAGATCGCACAACCGCAAACTTGCCTTTCTTGGGGCGAACGCGTAGTTTTTGGATGTAAATCATCACGGAAAGAGTAGCCTCACTTGAACAAGGTGGAAGCGAGGTGGAAGGTGAGAATCCTCAGTCTATGGTGGGTGTTGCCCTCAAACGAGGTTCAAAATCGTGTGTGACACGGATCGGGCCGTGACTCCCTTCCACGTTGACCGCGATAGCGCTGCTTTCAGTTGCCTTTCACCATGGCTGGTTTGAACAAGAACAATTCAGGTTCTTTGCCACACTCTTGAATGAAGTGACTCTGAGACTCTCTATCAGCGGTCAAGCGCATTATGCAGGAAGTGAGCAACTTCGATCCGTTGTCGTTGAATGTTTTCACACATCTATAGGCTAGGGAGTTGGCAAACGATCCGTCTCCAGAGTACTCTGCAGCTCCTCTAGAAGACGATATATTTGTGCTTGCCATTCTTCAAATTTGTGTACCTTGACTGAAGTAAACCAGGAATGGCATTGTACTCTTCGCGGTCCTGCTGGAACAGAATTTGAAGGAGGTATGGGTCCCATTGTCCATCTCTTGTCTTCTTCTCACGCTTCTTCGAGGCTTGTACCACTTCCGCATTCTCCTTCCTGCAGAATATCCGTTCCGGCCCCCAGCACTCATGATGCTTACACCCAGTGGTCGGTTTGAAACTGATACCAAGGTTTGCTCTGATATTACACCTCCGTTACCCGTTCGCTTACTGATTCTAGATATGCATAAGCTTTACGAGTTGTGCGTCCTCGATGTCTTGTCTTTCTTCCTCAACTGAGACTATTTAGATCACGAGGAATTGTGGCAACCTGCGTGGGGAGTAAGGACAGGTGAATACGCTGTTGAATTCACTGCTTCAACTGACCTTTGCTAGCGATAATCGGGCTACAAGGTTTCTTCCCGTTGAAAGGAAAAGCAGCCGTCGGGGTAGGCTCAATCGAACACCCAACAGCTGAACGTAAACGATTAGCTCTTTTGTAAGCATCTGCGGGGCTTCTGAAAGAAATCTACTAAATGCTTGTCTACTAGATCACGGTCCTGGGTTTGCCCACATTGTCAGCAATCAAACCAGGAGCTACTTCCAGACCCGACGACGGAAGACGGAGCAGTTCAACCTGAACCCGTAGTCACAGAGCAAGTAACGGAACAAACATCTCCTGCTATAGCACCGGAACCGATAATACCTGTGCCTCCTCCACGTACTCCAGTGCCAAGCCAACTAAGACGCCAGCGACCACCACTGCTTCTCGATGGAGCCATTTGTGTTATCCTCGTTCTTGTTTGTGGCTTGTTGCTGCGGAGGTTCGAGTTCTTAGACTGACTGAATGTAAATTCTTGGACACGATCGAATTTTAATGGAATTATAACTCCCCGTCTCGCGCTGCTGTTTTTCCTATGACTGACGCTTGCCCCCCTACTCCCAGGAGACGGTCATTAAGAATTGTTGTCCCAAACAACCCTCCGCCAACTCCTCCCAGTCTATTGCACTCCCCGCACCTCACGTCACCACAAAGCATATTTCGTCGACGCACATGCCCTCGAATTTCTCATGCGGACGATGAATGGTTGGCGGACATGACACCACAGTCACGGTCCACAAAGACTCTGGAGCGAGGAGGGTCGAGGTCTTCTTATGAGCTACAGGCGGGTAACAATGTTGACAAGGCTTCATAATGCCCACAAAAAAGTACGATAAGGTATTAATGCGTCTACTTCCTTTTTTGCGTCTCGAACGCTCAACACAAGTAGATCCTCGTCCTCCAAGTTGTAAAGAGCGATCGTGTCTTTGTTATTGAGCATCTTGCCCTGGTATGATAGCCGGATTCGGGAAACACCGACATTGCTGCCTGTGTGCAACAAAATGCGATCCCGAAGAGTTGAGACAAGCAAGTTGAGAGGAAGATCAGGAATGGTGACCACACTGCCGTCCAACTTCCATTCTGGCTTTGTGTCGTCCAAGGGCAACTGAATCTGCAGTGATATAGGATGCTAAAAATTTGATCCATCAGAGTTGAACTTGACAAAGAAAAACTTAGAATTACTCACCGGATGGCTGGTCAACCAATCTGCTTCCGAGTAAAGCTGGCCATTAGGCAACTTGGCTACTCTCTGCCGTTTAGCGGGAGGAATATCGTCTGTAGCTCCTTCCATTTCATCAGCAGTTCGAACCTGTCCTGCTTGAGCGGCCAGTACTCCGTTAGCAGCGGCGAGAGCGGCAGCACGTGATGGATGCATAGACTGGCCGGGAGGTGGAGGCTGATAGCCAAATGGCTGAGCGGAGTCCATAGGCTGATAATGTAAAGGAGGTAGCATAACGGGTGGTGGGTAAGCTGACGAGGGTTGGGGGCCAGAAGAAATAGTAGCAGCAGGGTATGCTCCAGGTTGACTGGCGGGGGGAGCCGGTAATGAGGCTGGTGGTGCTGGAAGTGAAGAACTCAAAGGAGGTGGAGCAGCAGCAGTTCCAATTCCTGGCCCAATCGCATTGATCTCTTGTGGACCCAGGCCTTTGGCTCGATGGATAGCGGCGATTTGTTCATCGAAGTTGACGTTTGTTGAAAACTTGTCCATTGTGTTCGTCTTGGAATTTGTATGACCGTCCCATACAACCTTTTCTCGCTCTTTTCGCTTCTCTCGCTCTTCTTCTTCTTCCTTTTTACGTCGCTCTTCATCACCCTCACCACCGAAAATATCCACTCTGGTCCTCGCCAAACCTTTGAGCGCAGAAACAACGTTGGCGCCGCTTTGTAATTCGGATGCTTGAGCTTTACGCGCTTCGATAGCGTTGCGCTGCTCCTTCCATTTAGGATCAAGAAGCTCAATTCGCATGTGTTCTTCAAGGTCGTCGACGGGGATTTGTTGGCCGCAAATTGTACAGCTTGTCATCGTTTCCTTATTTCTTGCGCCAACTACCAAAAGATAGCGATGAGCGACGATGCGGGCTTAAAGAAAGACAACACGTACGTTTGGGAACGTGATTGGTTCTGATTTTCATTGGGCCTGCTGGATTCATAGAACTTGCCTGGAGCGCTGTAGCCCGCTCTATTTCCTTGCGACGTTCTTCTGCCTCTCTTTGTAACCTCTCCACTGACGGTTCTTCATCATCGCTCTCTTCCATTGGTGCATCCATATCGCCACCAACGGCTGCTGCCGCCTCAGCCTCGGCCGCTGCCTGTTTCGCACGATGAGCCTCAATGTCATCTGCAGTGTTTTCCATGATCATGGCAGCCATGCGTTTTTGAGCGAGTGTCATGTTCTCCACTTCTTGGACACTCATAGGAGGAGGCAGTTCAGAGTTGGCATCTGCACCAGTGAACTCAATGGTTTGCACAATGTGGTAGTCGTGCCAGTCAATCTCAGCAAACGCGACTGGTTGAAAAAAAAAAGTTAGCCATGGCTGTTGGATGGATTAAATCAAAGCCTAACTTCGTTCAGCCTCCTGGTCATCCTGCCGTTTCTTGTCTTGTTCTCGCTTATGCTTCTCCCACTTGGCATGGCGTCTCGCGATTTCGAGCGCCGTCCATTTCGTACCTACTTCTGTACGACTTCTGAGCTGTTCCAGCATCTCCTTATTAGGATGAAGAACTTTGGTGTACTGCTCCACCAACCGGTTGAAATAGCCGAAAAGGGAGTGAGTTGGTCGCAGGAAATCAAACTGGTAGTTGCGGCCTTCACGGGCAGATAGAGAAGCCAGAAATGTGCGACCCCGTCTGGCAGTAAACAGCGCAGTGAGTTTTAGAATGTCCCTACAACAGTCAGTGTTGTACAAGTCAAAGCATGGGCTTACAGGTCAATCGAGCTTATGTTGGGGAGGTCCAACACAAATTCTGGTGGGGGAGGCTGAATACCTATGTCTATAGGCTCTGCAAAGCTTTCTGATTCTCCGTTCTCTTGCTTTTCTTTCGCTTCGTCTCCAAGGTCTCCTTTGGATATTCTATCCATCTTGTGGCGATAATAACCGTGGTATGGGTCGGCAGGGTTCAAGAAAGAGAACTTCGGGTCGGAACGTTGCCCCTCGCGAATCTTGTCCTCAAATTGAGGCGGGTCTGCAGACCGCGCGACGAAAAGAGCGGTCCGGTCGATGACAGCTGGAAAAAAAATCAGCAAGGGAACTCAAGGACGGACATATAGACGCACATTTTATGTCAGGAGGCGGAAGAATAAGCCCAGTAGCAAATCTGGGCCCATCATGAGCGTACTCCATCGCGACTTCGGGAGATTCCATCGTCGTGGAGGCCAAAAGCTGAAGCGTCACGTGGTCCAGATTCCTCTTCGTCTCTGAATGTTTGGAGCTTTCCGAGCAACACCTATAAGCCAGGGCGGGCTCCTTTGGTGAGTTACTTTTGTCCTATATTGTCACCTGCATAACAGACCGCAGGAAGACGCCTTGGAAACTATCGGTCACTCGCAAAGCGAATGTTAGGTCGCGACTTAAAAAAGTAGACGCAGTGATTGAAGCTGTACGAGCCAGTGGGGTTCAATGCCATGCTCTGGTAATATCACTGCTAATTTCACCGAGCATATATTGACTTTAGTAGGAACGGGCGTTGGAACTGCCCAAAGAGCATGAGATGTTAGCAAAAGACAAATACACCGTCTATACGCCCCACGCTGTTGGTTACCGCAAGGGTATTCATAAAGTGCCCAAATGGACGAGAGTGCGTAATCTGCTCAAATTGACAAACTCATGCTAACTTGCAGTAGATTACACAGAGAACAAACCCAAAAGGTTTCTAGCTTATCACAGCAACACAACCTGGATTTTACCACTGCGAATCCCTTCCAACACCTTTGGTGCACCCAGAACTGTCTTGAAAACCTCCTCCCTGGTTTCTGGAATGTCTAGCATGTTGCGTTTTTTGGCATCTCGGAAAGTCACATCGAGAATAATGTGCGTTAGTTGGGAGACCGAGAGGGCATCTGCAGTGGAATAAATAACCGCCATAGAGATAATATGCCATTCCTTACCCGCTTCCAACAATTTGCCTATTCTGCCGGGAGTTCCAACAGCTGAACCAATTTTGGTTCGCCGCAGATATGAAATGTGTTCCGACAACTTGAAGTGTTTGGCGAACAGTTTCGCAACTTCTCCGCCTTTGTCCCCACGCAACTTTTTGTCTTTGAGCACCCTCGTTACGTCTACCACTCGAAGCGCTGCTCCTGCAACAAACAATAAAGTCGGAGAGCCATTCGTTTTTGATCGTTGAGAGAGGCGTAACCGGAGACTTGGCAAGACTGAGATTAGCTAGATCAGTAGGAGGATCAAATGAATCACATAGCATACCTTTGCCGACAAAGTCGATAAAATTGTCCAATGTTCTCGAGCTGGACCACATTGTTGTGTCAGCAATAGAGGTGGGAGGTATAAGGAGATCGTCGAGTTCAAGGGGAAGCTTGTTCAGTGCCTTGGCTTGAAGGACTGCTAGATATTCTGCAAGCTCGTGAGGCGATTGTTCGGCGTCTGAATGCTCCAGGTCAACTTCCTCGTTGGCACCAGACGCAAGTTTTCTTCTCTGGAAATAATAAAGACTTAGAGCGATCCAAACCAGAGCATAGTTGAAGCAAGCACGTACTTTTTTAAATTTCTCCCTTTCCCGTAATCGTTTGCGCTTCTTTGCATCCGATGACTCTGCTGTGGATCCAGGTTGATTCTGATTAACACCGTATTCTGATTCCTCCAGGCTCTCTTCCTCCTCCTCCTCTAAGTTAGCATCTGGAACAAAATCATCTTGAAGGTCGTCGCCGTTACCCAACATGGAAAAGAGGATGATCTTCACGTGACAAGACACCTTCTCGATGTCATCTTCTTGGCCGTTGTGGGTCTGTCTACTTTTCCTACCTTTCATCTATCTTTGTTATGCATATCTCAATCGACCTCTCAAGTTCAGGCAACTGATATCATCTCCGCCTCCTGGACGTAGCGTCGTTCCTAAACCTGTGACGTCGGCAGTCACGAAAATAAAGCAGCCATATGATGTTTTTTTGGTTGGTATTTCTCATGGTAGTGGATGCTATATTCTAATATTCGTCCAGGTCTCCGACTTTGAAGCGACTTGTAAAATCCATCTGCTAGAGTGCTGATATTTGAGTGACCCCTTGTTAGGTGAGGAAGGCAAAGACTTCATGTACCCTAACGAAATTATCGTAAGCGGGCTTGTTGTCTCGTCCATGTTTCTCCTCCAACTTCATGGATCCAGGAGTTTCCTGTATTCCTGATGAAGTGGAAAGACAAGACGGAAAACGATCACGCCAGTCAAGTACGCCTTGTGTGTAGCGATATTGGGACGGAATTTAATCTCAATCCAGCTCGAAATTGCTGCTGAATTCCATAGTTTTGTCCGACCTTCCTGGCGGCCTCAACTCTCAGCGTTCTGCACAGGCCTCACAAATATCACACAAGTAATCCCCTCCGCAATATGTGGCTCTTCCTCATGACCATGTCTTAGGAGAAAGTCGATGCAGCACCCGACTTTCCGAGGGTTCTCGATTCTCTCCGCTCGTTTCTGATGAAGCAGGGCGTAATCGACAAATTCGGCAGGCGAAAGCTCAAGTATTGCTGGTGCACCGATGGTCCTTGGGATATATCACACTTTGTCGTCAAACAAGCTTTCATCTCCCGAGCCAGTGGTTAATGCCGAATCAGTACAAAAATTGAATGTCTTGACAGATACCCGTGCCAGAATGGTTAGCTGGCGACTTTGTCGATGTTCGTCAATTAGTGCGGCTTCATAGTGGGACGAAATCGGTCCGTTTAGCTTACGATGATCGCGCGCTGTGCAACTCGCTTCATTTCTAGGACGCTCCCAAGGGCAGACTCAATATTCCTGCTCAATTGAAGACTCTCGGACTGGAGCCGTTTATAGGCAGGCAGCATAGTGGGGCCGATGTGAGTTTATTCCCCTTGCATCGACTGGCAACCTGATATCCATTAGGACGCGCGAAATTTGGGTCGGATATTGACCGAATTGGCTGTTGAAGGAGTCCAGTTACGGCCAAATACCTCGGTAAATCTTCGCAGGCGATGGCCGTGGATGGGCAAATTTGGACAAGTACTTGAGGATCACATTTAATGGCATGAATTTTCGTCTAATCATCCGCGAAACCAAGCTTTGAAATTATTTATGAGGGCTACGGCTACAAATGTCATGCGAACTCGCAGCTTGGCATGGTCTAATGTCGGCACAGCGTCTAGAAGTCCCAGAGAGTACCGAACTGCATGACTGTGAGTCCAGTGTGAAGCAACAGGTCAAAGAACAAACCGCAGGGATGCCAGCAGCCTTGCAACCCTCCATCATTTCTGAGTTTCCAATGAAGTTTGAAGTTATGAAAACGACTGTCAAAAAATCAGGACCAAGGCTACTTCCTCCGATGGACTCGCTGTTCACCTTCTGCATCCCATGAATGGTATACCTCTGACAGCAATTTCATAGTGTCTGGCCGACCACCACGTTGTTTACTGTCCCAGAGTGTAACCCTGCCCTCAAGATGCCGGTTGATGAGGCCAGCAATCGTCGGACCGAATGTTTTTTCTTGGTCTGAGCCTATCCAGATAAGATACCTGGAACAAGCTCAGCCAGAGGTCAGACAGAAAAGACGCAGGAAAGTTTACCAGTAAGGAGACTGAAGACCTAGGGAGGGGGGTATAAGCACAGATAAAAGAAGCCAAAGAAAAAGATAGCACATGTTGAAAGTGCGGCTCCGATTCCAGTCCCAGTGCAAATTCTTATACCGCGCCTATAGAGCGTACTTGTGTTACTGACGCCAGCAAACTTGAAGACTTCAAAACAAGACCAGAAATACGATGCTTATTTACCTTGAGTTCACGTGTCCACAAGGTCTAAAGCCGTATGAATATCGAGATTACGTGATGGCATGGCTGCTTTACCTTGGGGGGGTCGTTGACAAGACCTTTGGTGAAGTCGCCTTGGACTCCAGCAATCATATAGTGGTATTTCGCATGGGTCCCTTCACTAGATAGTCGAGTAGATCAGTGCCGTGACTCGCAAATAGAGAAGTGGTCGCACGAAATGATGCCGAAGGCGTGGTATTCCATGATGGAGGAGCGACTGATACGACCTAGGAGGCCTTGCTGCAACAGGATTAAGGAAAACCAGTTGATTCAATTCATTTGTACACACCTGCATTCCTCGCTTGAATCGAATGATAGCAACTTTGGGGGATGGCTTAGGCAAAAGAGGTAAGATTTTGTACGAGTAGGCACCTTCGAGTCCTACTCACCAGTTCAATGTCCACGGGAACTTCGCGCACACAAATCCACGGTAGCACGATACTAGCAGCGAGTAATCAGCGGCAAGGTAGCGTCAAAAAGAGAGAGAAAAAAAGTACAAGAATGTCATGCTGCAAGTGTACCAGAAGTCTTGGTGTCTGATGAGCTTCTGACCAGCGGTATCCCATGAGCGAGTTTCGGGATTGTAGGTATCTCCAAGAATGACAAATATCCCTGTGATTGATTGTGAGGACGCAAACCTGGCTTACTTTGGGACCTACAAGTGCAAATCAGGCCCAACCAGCCGATGAAGCGATGTTGCCGTTCGAAAACACTATGAACCAACTCAGCTCGACGATGCAAGAGGTATTTAAGGGTTTACGGACTTGTGGTGGGTATTGCGCACCCAAGGGAATGCGCTTAATGCACTGATAATAACTGCCACGTTTGTGACCACGCCCATGATGAGAATTGCATCGTGAGTTACGTCGAGATGGCGGAAACTGTTGACAACTTTGAAGAGTAGCCAGAGAACGCCAGAAAGTGCGCATCCGCTGTGAATGCCGCCGAGATGCTGGTGTAATTTAGTCAAGATCTGGTCTAATAGGGAATGTTGCCTCACCTGTAGTACCGAGGTGCAGCCCAATCGGAACCATAGAGGCGTCCACTTCATATTGCATCTGAGTAAATGTGATCACGAGACAAATACCGACTCACCTTGGCAAAGAGAGTGTTGACAAACAGATATAAAAGTCGTCCAAACACCTCGTTGCGCATCAACTGAACACATAATCAGCCAGGACGCACATATATCGACCCACAACTCACGATGGCAAAATTCAGGTTGCCTACTACCATCGCACCGGAGTTGTTCACTGCGTATGGGAAGTGACCTGAAATTGCCAGGCCGATCCCAACCATGTTGAGTGTGAAGACGAAGGTAAAGAATTTGCTAGGGACGATGAGGACAGCCCAGTAATGCCACGCAAGTCACATACCGGTATGTGTTGAACCATATTTTCCATAGAATCCACTTCGAGACGCGTTTCTTAGGTTTGGGGGAAGGTTTTGGTGGCGCTGGCTGCTTTACCACCTCCTTCTTGTCGGCGGGATAGTAGCTGGAGGGGGGAATGGTGTCGAGAATGCCCTTCTCTGCATCGCTGTAGGCAGGAATTGAAGGAGGGAGTTTCTCCGTAGACATGGTTGAAAGAGGACGAGGAAACTTGACGCAAGCAGTGGCGCAGCCTATATCCTGAGACTTGGTCTTCTTATAACTGAGCGTGAGAGACGGCGGCAGATAACAAGTGCCCCCATTTGAGCAATAAACGTCCAGGGTAGCTTTGGATTCCCGAGGGAAACGATTCCCATTCGCTCGTTTCGACTCGGTTTACTCCAAGCCGGTTGAACCGCGACATGAACGTGCCCGATGAGCTGCTGGGAAATTACCGAGCTTAAGGGTCCGGAACAACGAGAGTCTAGAAATTTGTGGGACCTGAGCACTCTTGACGATGATGGGAAAGGCAAACATTGCACACGCTGATTCGGGAAACTGGAAACCCTTTGATCCACAACACCAAACCGATTGGCGACCGAAATAACCAAAAAATACCATACGAATACACAGATTACAAATCACTCGTCTGCTTTGGCCGCAGCCGCTAGCTCTGCGAGATGCTGTGAAAGCGTCGCTTTAAAATTCGTAATGTCCGTTGAATTTTTTATAATGGCCCGCACTGTCTCATCCTTCAGTCGCGAAACCTTTTCCATTTGTTCGCGATACCTTGATCGTTGTCAGCAGTTAAGGAATTTGTGGACAAACTTTCTCAACTGGAATTGTAAGGCCTGTAGCCTCGATTTGACACCCATGCCATTGGCAAGTGCTGCCGTCTTTGCATTTGCCAGCTCTCGCTCCAATCGTGTCGCGTCAGAATTGGCAACCGTTGCTTCTTGCTGGGCCACCTATATGCTTGATTAGTACGGTTCTTCCTAGGTATTTTGGTCCAAACCTCTCGTAGATCATCCGCTTGATCATTTAGACCAACCACTTTCTTCTCGACCTGAGCCATCTCTTCTTCAATATTCTCGCACTCCATTGTGAGCCTGTCGAGGTCGTCATCGAACTTTATCCGCTCGCTCTCCACCGTGGCGCGCTCCGCACGCTTGCTTTCAGCCACCATGCTTAGACAAGGCTTTATAGCCCCACGAATATCACCAATTAATAGTTGTTGAGGATTCGGTGAGGCCGTATTCAGTTCCAAAGTCAATGGTGTCGTGGGTAGTGGAGCGGACGGTGCAGGGTACAGATCTAGTGTTGCGAGTAGGTGGGTATAGATGTCGATGGCTTCCTCTGCACTTGTTGCGCGGTTCGCCACGTTAACTTCCAATGTCATTACGTTCCTCGACGTCTCGGCCATTTTCTGTTGCAGGTCTTTCAATGTCTGTTCGAGAGTCTCGTGGTCGGAGTTCATTTTGATGACCTCTTCTGGAGATAGATTCTGTGCTTTGACGGTAACTTCCAGTCTCCGTTGCTCCTCCCGTAGATGCTCAAGATGTTGACCTATAAGCCATCAATAGTGACCGTGTTGTGCGGCTGTCAGGATAATTTACCTTGAGTGACGAGCTGAGCTTTCTCTGACGTGATTTGGTCCAAGGTTCTCTTCTTCCGAGCATTGTACTGCGCAAGTATCCTCTGGAATTTATCACCATCACCATTCAGCATTTGAATCTCGCTCTGAAGCTGTGCTATTGGCGGCTTGACAGGCGCGAGTGAGTAATGAGGGGGTCGCAAGAAATTAAACTCACAGCAGTCGATTTGAGTTTATCTAATTCGATTGTAGCTTCTTCTAACCGTCGCACCTTGTCATCGAGGTCTGTTTGTGCTTGTTCATTCTTGCGAGCTGTGGGCTGACTGAGTGAAAGACGAGACATAGGAAAGATCTCAGACCATAGCGATCCTCTAGATTCTGGGTAGGTTCTACAAAATCATCGGCCATCATGTCCAACCACATCCCATAAGCCTGAACGAAATAGTCGAAAGCGAGTGCTTGGTGATCCCAAGGGTCTTCAAACTCTTCTGGTATGTCCGATGTTACCTGTAGGGTAGGGTCTCCACTGGTTTCGTATGCAGTGACGGCCTAATTTAGTTCAATAACACTTTAAGCCAAAAAGAGACCATACTTTGCACGACTCCACCAACCAATGCAACACACCTAAGAGTGTCGGCCAAGCGTGCATGCTGGCAGGAGCTGCCAGTGCTTTATTGTCGATGGCATTCACAAATGGATAGTGTAAAGCCTTCAATACAGGCACAAACTCTTCCTCGAAGCGCACTTGAGGGTTTAGCGGAAAATTTGGATCGAGGATTCCAACGAGACAGTCGAAGATAGCCCGATAGTCTTTTCCTTGAATATTACTCAGGGTTGATTGAGCAATCTCATAACCAATGCTCCGCAGATAGTTGTAAACGTCGAGTTTCATTTGGGACTGGAAAGGTTTGTCTCGTAGAGGACGAGGGTCTTTGAAGGTTTGGCTGCTCGGGGGAATTTGAGCGGAAGAGCCAGCACCCCAGACAGAACCCCGACGCGTACTACTACGGAAATCTAGGGTTAGATATAATAATCGGGTGGCCAACGCAAGACACACTTGTTCAAAGGCGTCCGCGCAAAGTTCTGCTTTGAAGCTGATTGGAGGAGGAGCGAGTTGGGGGGTAGATTTTGAGATCTCATGATTGACTGGCGCGGATTTGAGCCAGGCATAATTGATTGTCGGGGTATAGATGGTGGGGGCTGAGGCGCACGCAGGGCGGGACCCGCTATGGACATACGACCAGTGGCAGATGGCTTCTTCACTGAGGCAGGCACGGGTATGCCTGACCGCGCATTGGAATTGGGATCTATTGTCGGCTGCAGGGTTCGTCGCTCCATGGACGCGTTTGTTTAGAGATACACGTGACCGTGACCGTAACGCACTTGATCATCTCGATGTCGACAATCATACGCGACTTGTTTGGAGGTGCAATCAAGGCTGTTTTGCCCAGCAACCTCGTCGACGCATCGTACAATGAACGTATTTTGTCTCGATTTTCCTAATTCGCCCTCTCAGTGACTTTCGCCAAATTCCCGACAACCAAGAGGTGTTTCTCTATCCTGACTCGAACGTCAGTATCATTGTTGAAGTACTTCAACGGGTAGATGCTCAAGACGACGACTCTGCGATCAGGTACTCCTTACTCACGGCAACCTGGCTCTTATCTTGAGCGTTAGATTTCATTTTGACTCGCTCGCCCACGACAACTCGGCTGAGACTGCGTTGGTCGAGGCCGTTGCTACGCTTACAAATACGAGAGGGGACAAGACTCCATCAGCCATTACGCTGGTTGGTATCCAGACCGTGGCGAAATTCAACAAAAGCGCGGGTGATCGAATTCGGATTCTCATGGCGCTTTACAGAATACCAGACAAACTCGTGGACCTTGTTGTCACATTCAACATTCCCATCCAAGCGCTGGATAGTGTCGATGTGACCGAGGAGGGGTGGAAGACCACCCAGAGCCACTTTGACGGTTTGGTTCGATCTTTGTCTATCGTGGACTTTGGCCTCTTCGTGTAGCACCGGTAGTGGTCCGGTACCGTGGATCGACATTCCACTACCTTGGATGACAGTTCATGGGTTCTGTTCATTGCGAGACAGCTTAAATTGCATAGTCCTAATTTACATTTGCCCAGCTTGTTAGTTTTTTCCATCCGGTTCAGGCTCCGGCTCCTCCGGTATTTTGGTCCGAGCCAGCGATGTAGTAGCTGCCTTGCGCCGTTTGGCTGATTCTTTGAGCTTTTCCCATTTCTCTTGATAACGGACAATCATCGACCGCTAGAGAACGAGTAAGAGCAGTCGAGATTGTTCATGGGCTAGTCGTACCTGTTTATCATTCTCAGTCCGTAGGGCCCGAAGCTCATCTTCGAGTTCTTTGACTCGGCGAGCATATTGCGCCTAGGAAACATGAGAATTCGTATTGATAGTGTGATCAGATAAACAAGGTTACCTCCCGACCCGTTTTGAAACCGGGCATCTCTCGCATCAAGGATGAGGAAGGCAACAGAATCGATTGACCCATGGCACGTTGAGCCTAGTCGTATATGATGAGACCGAATAAACAAAAAAGGCACTGCACCAACTTCCTTGGTCGCCAAAAATATGCTATCGCGCAGCTGGGCATCTTGTTCTTTGCGGAGCTGGAGAGACCGTTCAGCGGTCTCCAAGCGCTTCTTTAAGGACTCAATTTCAAGCTTGAGGGTAACATTATCCTGCTTCAGCGACGGAGACGCGGGATCCGTGTCGGATGGAATTAAAAAGAAAGATTCAGTCAGGTGATCTCCTCCATGCACAAGGTAAGAATAGACGGACTAATGCACAGAAAATACCTTCTTCGAAATCGTCATCGTCAGCTATTGGTGGAACTTTCTCATTGGGCATGCTTGATGTTTTTCTACCATCGCTACTCATGCCCAGCCTCCGAGCAAAACGTGCCACCATGGGCTCCTCAAAGTCAGTATCACTTGAAGCGTTTCCGTCATGACGTATAAGAGGTTCCGTGGGGTGGATCTCAGGAAAACCTAGTGGGGCAGTCGCAAAAGCCACCGGTTGCGAGAGGTTGTCCAGCATTCCTTGCATAATATTCCAGAATTGGTTGAAAGCATCTCCTGGGTCGGACTAATGACGATGCGATGCTAAGTTGCTTGCAATTCGACAAGTTTTTTTTTGCTTACGCGTTGGCCACCCAGAAGCATAAAAGACTCGTCAACAGTTCCTTGTGAGTCGGACATTGGTCGTTGACTGGGAGGCGGAGACGGCGCCGAACGTGGGAGGGGGAGGCTGGGAGGTTTGGGCGACGACAGTTTTTTGCGGAAGGCTGGGATCTTTTCCTTCAGCCCTGAGTTGGTCAATTTTTCTGTTGAGGTCCTTGGAAGCCTTCTTGTGTTCATTCTCCAGCATTCGTAATGTGCGCCGTGCAGATTCGTCGTTGCTTCGATCAAGCGCCTTGTGGTAAGCTTCAGCGGCCTTGGGAATGAAAATTGAGTCAGTTCAACGCGACTTGAGAGAGTGGCACACCCTCAAATGTTCTTCCGCTGCTGGAATTAACTGTTATGTCTTTAGCGATTGTAAGGTTAGAATGATAGCTGACCAGTCCTCGACTCAAATAATCTTCAGCCGCTGCCCCATGCTCATGAGCCTGAACGCGTATGAGTGACAAAGAAGAATATATTCCGAGTCAGTGGGCGGATATGTACATCGTTTAGCATGATGGTAAAAGGAGAGTCGTGATGTCCTAATCTGGCCGAGTCTCGGAAATGGAACATCCGTGTTGCACCCGTTGGTCTCAGTCTGGCTAGATGTAGATATATATTCGACGGCATGGACTACCTAGACACCTAACCATGACCCGCTTCAGGACGATATTTGAAGGCAAGGACGCCAAACGAGCACGAATCGAGGTAACTCGCCCATGTTGGCATCACCGATACGCTTACGGTAGCATATAGGCGGAAATAGCTGCCCGAAGTGAAAGGTTCCGGGCCTGTCCTACGCTCAAAATTGGCTCAATGACGGTCATCAACCCGGTGAGTGTGAGTCTTTTTGCTGCTTGGTGCACCACTAATCCAGAAAACAGATATTCGAGGGTCCTAATCCGTTTGAAGACGCTGAGTTTTTAGACCCTGACAACGACGGGGTGCTTCGAGAGCCTGTCGAGGAGGTAGTCCGAAAATGGAGAGAGCGTGCAGAGAGCGAGTCGTTGCCGAGAACACCATGGCTGAGAGAAATATATGGGGCAGCGAGAAATGCACGCTACTCAGCACCCCCACTCCTGAATGTGATCGTTCCAGACTTCAAGGACGATGACCCGTTCAGAAAAGATCCTCTAGAAAATACAGCAGCGCCAGCAAGCTCTTTTTTCTTGAATGAAGAGGAGGAAAAGAAGCGGGCTCGCCGCAGAACATTTTCTTGTCAACCAGTAGAGTTCCTTCAAGTAGTTATCCCGAAAGCACTAGATTAAAGAGAAATGAGATAGTCACATGTGACGCGTTACACCTTCGTTGTCAGGCTCTTCGACCGATGTCTGTACCGCCCAGCACAAGGTAATTATTGGTTACTTTACTTACTGCCTATATCTCAAGTCCACGAAGCAAGAAAATTAGAATCACAGGTATGCCTATCCTATTACGCTGATTACCCACCAACCTTCACTAGTCGTTGCTGCGGATGGTCTCTCCAAACGTGACGTCTTCCGACTGCCCGACCCTTTTGCTGTAATCACCGTCGACGCTGAGCAGACGCACACTACAAGTGTCATTAAGAAGACACTGAACCCGTACTGGAATGAGAGCTTCGATATGTGTGTCATCCACTCGTCTTTCATGCAGAGTTTCTCATCACGCAATAAAGCACTGTCAAGGATTCCTCTGTCGTCGCCGTTCAGATTTTCGATCAGCGCAAGTTCAAGCGACGGGATCAGGGCTTTCTGGGCGTTGTAAATGTTCGGGTTAGCGATGTTTTGGACCTTGGACTAGATTGCCACGGTGCGTTCAGACCTTGTTATCAATCTCTTCTCCCTTACAAGTCCCAGAAATGCTAACGTTGGACTTGAAAAAGTCGAACGATAACCTGGTTGTGCATGGCAAACTCATCATATATCTCTCCACCAACGTTAATCAACCCATTAATAATCCGGGCCCCTCCCAAGTTTCAGGCCTCAACACCGCTATGGCCAACTTGGGTCTTAACACATCGCCGTCTGCTAGTACATCCAACCTCACACTTCCCACTGCTACTTCCTTAACTCGGACCGCAAGTGCCCATGCCGATGCCGCCGTTTCTCCCGTTGAACAACCAGCCTCAACTGCTTCTCCTTCTCCAACTTCTGACTCAAGACCGACGAGTACCATTGCGACGACCCCTGCGACTCAACCTACAACATCTCCAGCAGCCTCGACTCAGAATCAGACACGCAACTTCAATCCTAATGAGGATCAATACGGTCCTCTTCCTAACGGCTGGGAGCGACGCATTGATCCGTTAGGTCGTACTTATTATGTTGATCATAACACACGCACAACAACCTGGAACCGACCATCAGCTAATGCGGCAGCCAATAGCACCGCGCAGGATAACGAGACTAACGCGGCGCGTGAGCAACATGGGCGTCGTATCCTCGCAGACGACCTTCTCGAGGCCAACAACTCGAGCACCATTGTGCGCAACTCGAGTACCTCAGCGGCTGGCGCTGCTCCTCCCGCCATCACAGCTGTCAATAATACCACAACCGCTGGTACAGGCAGTCTTCCAAACGGATGGGAAGAGCGCTACACTCCGGAGGGCCGTCCATACTACGTTGACCACAATACCAGAACAACCACCTGGGTTGATCCTCGACGACAGACCATCATCCGCGTAATGGGTCCCAATGGCCAAGGCTCCGTCCAACCGCAAACCATCTCTCAACTTGGCCCTTTGCCATCAGGATGGGAAATGCGACTTACCAATACAGCTCGTGTCTATTTTGTTGACCACAACACTAAGACCACCACTTGGGATGATCCCCGACTCCCATCAACTCTCGATGCGAATGTTCCGCAATATAAGCGCGACTTTAGGCGGAAACTCATCTATTTCCGTAGTCAACCTGCAATGCGTGCCCAACCTGGCAATTGCCAAATTAAGATTCGACGCAACCATCTCTTCGAAGATAGTTATGCAGAAATCATGCGTCAGACTCCCAACGACCTGAAGAAACGTTTGATGATTAAATTTGACGGTGAAGATGGTCTAGATTATGGTGGGCTTTCCAGGTGTGTTGGCTCACTTCCCAGCTATAAATATGCTGATCTCGCTCAAGGGAATTCTTTTTCCTTTTGTCTCACGAAATGTTCAACCCATTCTACTGTCTATTCGAATATTCTGCCCATGACAACTATACCCTCCAGATCAACCCAGCATCCGGTGTCAACCCCGAGCATTTGAACTATTTCAAATTCATCGGAAGATGTCTCGGCCTGGGCATTTTCCACCGTCGGTTCTTGGACGCCTACTTCATTGTCAGCTTTTACAAAATGATATTGAAGAAAAAGGTGACGCTCTCTGACCTGGAGAGTGTCGACGCCGAACTACATCGAGGAATGACTTGGATGCTGTTAGTATTGTTTTTTCAAGTTTTTAGCCTGTCACTCATAATTGCAGTGAGAACGACATCACCGATATCATCGACGAGACGTTTACCACAACTGAAGAACGTTTTGGAGAGATGGTCACAATTGAACTCAAGCCTGGGGGAGGTGATGTTCCCGTCACCGAAGACAACAAGAAAGACTATGTCGAGGCTGTCGTTGACTACCGTATCTCGAAGCGGGTCAAGGAGCAGTTTGAGGCCTTCATGTCAGGCTTCAGCGAGCTAATTCCGCAGGACTTGATCACCGTCTTCGATGAGCGTGAACTAGAGCTGCTCATTGGCGGCATGGCGGAGATCGACGTAGATGACTGGAAAAAGTTTACAGATTATCGGGGCTACGAAATCAACGACCAGGTTCGTATGCCCTTCTGACTTTCTCTGCTCTTATCTGTGTCTTCAAATAGGTCATTGAATGGTTCTGGGAATGCATTCGTTCATGGCCACCCGAACGCAAATCACGTTTACTCCAATTCGCCACTGGCACTTCACGGATTCCGGTAAACGGTTTCAAAGACTTGCAGGGCTCAGATGGGTGAGTCGAGCACTTTTGTCATAGAACATTCCACCAACAACTTGTAGACCTCGGCGGTTCACGATAGAAAAGAGCGGGGATCCCTCACAGTTACCCAAGAGTCATACCTGCTTCAACCGCATTGATTTGCCGCCTTATACGGATTATGCGAGCTTAGAGCAAAAGCTGACTTTGGCAGTCGAGTACGTGTTCTGCTCATTTTTGGAATGTCACCTCTGAATTAGTCCCAGGGAAACTGTCGGCTTCGGTGTTGAATGAAAGGTGGAATACGATATCAGACTGTACAATTACCCTGTACAGCGACCCCTCTTTATGCCCGTTCTAATATCATGCAAGTCCTTCACTTCCTGACTGAAATAACCTTCCCATCGCAGTAAACCTCCAAGAATTCCTTTTCATATGCCTCAGCTTGAGCGCGATAGCTAGTCAAGTCTTGAACAGAGATTTTGAATCCGCCACAGACCACGAAGACGAATGGACGTTCGTCTGTACCCGGAAAAATCTCATCCAAAAGCTCCTTTTTATACGCGGGCACCAAAGTTGTGCTACAAGCCAGTTCCACAAGCAGTTGGTGGTCATCTACAGTGGGTTATGCAGGGTGTGGACAAACCCGGAGAAAATAAATCACCTGCAAAGTTGTACGCTGCCTGCATGCTTAGCTCATCGGGGACCGTCACAGAAATGACAGGTCCTGCTCGTTCAAGCGCCATTTTCACGACGCCAGCGGCAGGTTGAGATGCGCCCAGAGAGCCCGACGCTTTGGAAGCAAATGAGCTGAAATGGGCAAGCCAAACTTGATGAGTTTGATCGTAGATAGCTTTCACCCCAGCTGGCAGATCTACACCTTGTCCTTGCCTATTGAGAGCTAAAGAGTGATAGAAGCAGTCGGAGCCAATAGTTTCGAGCGCGACTATAGGAACGGCATCCCATCCGGCCCGGGCACAACCCTTGATAACTCCACCTAACAGCCCACCACCTCCCACAGAACAAAATATTGCTCTTGGGCGCGTTTGTGGTAACTGGTGGGCGAGTTCAGAAACAAGTGAGGAGTGACCTTCCCATACGACGGGGTCGTCATATGCTGGAACCATCACGCTAGGGCGGGCATATTGAGTGTTGTCCAACCTTAACACATTGCGCGACTTACGCATTTTCCTTTGAATCAACAAGTATTTTGGCTGCTTGAAGGGCTTCGGCATAGTCTTTTCCGCCCACTACGACATCAGCATCTTCGCCTTCCAGAAGATTTATCGTGGTCTGTGTTGCCCCTTCAGGTATGAATACTGTACATCTGACTTGGAGTTGTCGGGCAGCACAGGCAGCAGCCAATCCGGCATTACCTTGGAAACAAGAGATTACTAATAGGATCTGAAGTGCAGGCAGGAATTGGGGGACCTTACCTCCAGAGGCGACGACAACATGAAGACCAGAGCCGTGGGCTTGTTTAGCACATTCCACAAAGTAGCCTATTCCCCGCGACTTGAACGACATAGCAGGATGGACGGTTTCCAGCTTCAGATTGACGAGAGCATTTGATAAAGAAGATAATCGACTAGAGCGGATAAGCGGTGAGGCCAGTGGTGCGGCCATTGCGTATGATTCTTTGCTTTTTGCAGCTTTTGAGGAATGTCCCGGAAAGCGTACGGAGACGTTACGATAAAAACTACTTCCAAGTATTACATAAGACCCGCGGAGGAACATCGGAACCTTGATTGAAATCCGGGCCGGTGCTGCCGGACATCCTTAAGGACAACGAAGACCATGAGACTACTTGACCTCTGCCAAATATGCGCTTCAACGACGGCTTTTGGCTCTTAAAACATGGCGTGAAGGCTTACTACGGTCTTGAAGCAACTCAATCCAAAGAAATTGACGGTGCAGTTGAGCTCCGTGTTGCAACTCGTCCAATCAGACACCGAGGCGACACGTTGGGTGACTTGTTATTCGGCGCCGGTCTATATCGCTGTCTTATACTGTCCAGGTGGCCCCGTTCTGACTGTGAAAGTACACTCCCCCACTGAAGGCGTAATCGGCGTCAAGATCGACCATTTTGCAACCTTCACTGCCTTGCCCGAGATACCATTGTTTCCAGATGCACAACCGATTCGCAACTCATCCCTGAAAGCTATTGAGGGTGGGCATCGCCTCTCTTCTGGGGCTTTGACAGCGGAAATAACCCACAAGCCTTACACCATCACTTTCAAGTCGCCAACTCGAACCCTTACCTTTGCCGGTCCCAAACACCAAGCAATATACGATGTTCCATCTCGCTGGACCATTCTTTCCGCATCCAACAGCTCCTGCTTAACTCACGATCCCAGTTCTAATCCCACTCCCTCACCGCTGCCGGAGTTCGTTCGGTATATCAATTCGGAGCTCAACATCTCTCCTGGGGAACTTATCTATGGTTTTGGGGAACAATTTGGAGCTTTTGTCAAGAACGGTAGGCATATATTGGGGTCTTACATGTCAATTTATTCCATTTATTACAGGCCAAGCTATCAAGGTTTGGAATCAAGACGGTGGCACCTCAAGTGAACAGGCGTACAAGTCGCTCCCATTTTACATCACTAATCGGAACTATGGCGGTATTCGATTCCTTTTGCTCCTCGTGAGTAACGCTCACATATGCTTCTTAGTGTTTATCAACCATCCGGGAGAAGTTGAGGTCGAAGTAGGAAGCGAAAAAGTCAGTCGTGTCGGAACATCAGTTGCAGGGAGTAGCCTCGAATATTTCATTATCTATGGGGAGCATCCTTTGGACGTATGGCTTTTCCTTTTTTTCTGCCTGCAGTTCTCAAATCGAACAGATACTGGAGAAATTTACGAGGATGACCGGCCGTCCTGCACTGCTCCCACAATGGACCTTTGGCCTTTGGCTGTCCACTTCGTTTTTGACATCTTACTCGAGTTCTACTGTGTCTGGATTCCTCCAAGGGATGTCGGAACGCGCATGTCCCGTTCGGGTCATGCATTTCGATTGCTTTTGGATGGCCGCGTATGAGTGGTGGGTGTGCCTTTTGGGAGGTTGATGCCGTTCTAACCCGGCATCAGGTGCTCCTTCACTTTTGACCCAGAATTCTTTCCCGACCCGAAAGCGTACCTCACGGAAATCAAAGAGAAGTACAACGTCAAAGTTTGTCTATGGAGTACGCCGGTCATTCGCTTTTTTGAAACAAGCATTAATATTAATTGAACAACAGTCAATCCGTACATATCCCAGCTCTCTCCTACTTTCGCAGAGGGAGTTGAAGGAGGTTTCTTCATCAAGAGAAACGATGGATCACCCTGGCAGTAGGCCTGTTCAAACTATGTGTGTGTTGTTATACTCACACATTCCAGATGGGACCTGTGCGTCTCAGTTGACCTCTCGAAAATTAAGTTTCTGACACTTGCGATTGCAGTTGGCAACCCGGGCTGGCAATTGTTGACATCACTAATCCTGCAGCCCGGACTTGGTACGAAAATAAACTCACCGCTTTGATGGACCTAGGTGTGGACTGTTTCAAGACGGACTTTGGCGAGCGCATCCCCCACAGTAATGTGGTATACCACGATGGGTCTGATCCAATGCGAATGCACAACACTTATTCAGTGCTCTACAACCAACTTGTATTCAATGTCATCGAGAAACGACTGGGAAAGGGCGAAGCTGTTGTTTTCGCCCGATCCTCTGCAACTGGTGGTCAAAGGTATGTCGTTTTCTTTATAGCGAGATAGCTGACCGCTACCCTTTCGCCAGATTCCCGGGTACGAATGAACCAAATTTCTGCAAGAATCCGGATCTGATCTGTAATCAAACCTCTAGTACACTGGGGAGGAGACTGTGAATCAACCTGGGAGGCCATGGCTGAGGCTCTCCGCGGTGCACTCTCCCTCACAGCATCTGGCTTTGCCTTTGCTTCCCATGATATTGGCGGATTTGAGGGTCATCCAGACCCTCAGATCTATCAACGTTGGGTTGCATTCGGTCTCTTCTCAAGTCACAGTCGCCTCCATGGCTCTGGATCATATCGTGTACCATGGGTCTACGGTGAAGCTGCTGCCAAGAGCATGAGCAAATTCGTCGAGGCCAAACATCGTCTGATGCCTTACATTTACAATCTAGCGCGTTTTCTTTTTCTTCTCGCTGATGGCCAATTCACTCATGTTCTGCCAGGCAGTGCAGGCGCATTCGAATGGACACCCCCTCCAACGAGCAATGTTCATCGAGTTCTCAGATGACAGAAACACGCATACCCTTGACAGACAGTATGCAGTCATTTCTTCTTTTTTTTGAACGCAAGTAGGCCTTACATGTTGTGGCAAGGTTTATGCTCGGCCCATCGCTTCTAGTCGCTCCGGTTTTCGTAGACGAGAAAGAGGAAACAGAGTATTACATTCCCTCCGGCATCTGGACCTCGTTCTTCCACCCAGAACGCACTGTCCAGGGACCTATTTGGATCAAAGAAGTGGTATGTCATCATTGGCTTGCGTGTGGCAAAAGTACCATCCAAAAATAGGTTCCTCTTGACGAACTACCCGTCTGGGTGAGGCCTGGGACTGTTCTGTGCCTGGGGCCCGAGAAAATCGGTCGACCCGACTATGATTACACGAAGAATATTCAAGTCCGCGCTTATCAACTTGCCGAAGGACAGATCGTCCAGGCCAACATCGCAGATGGCGTTAACGTCACGGTGGAAAAGAAAGGCGGGCAAGTCAAGGTCTCGCAGGTCGGCATGAACATGTCTTCGCTGGTCTTATATGGCGAAGAGCTCAAATCGACGAGCAAAGGAATCATTCAGTCGGACCACGTCTTAGTAGAAGACACCGACGAGCTTGTTGTACAGATTTAGGCGTTGTATTCAAGGAGGAAATCATAAGCAATAACTAAGGGCGTCAGGTTTATTGTGATAAAGAGCCACTCTCTGCAGCACGGACAGCAGTTGCTAGGTCAAAGTGGAAGAAGGGAGTGTCTGTCTCTAAAACGGAGGCATATCCTTCAGAGTTGGGTCCAAACGAGGCAGGACGTTTCGAATCACCCCCCTCCAAGTCAGACGACGTGTCACGTTTGTCCAGCTGTTCACTACTCTGCTGTAGGTCTGCGCCGTAAGACACCACCTGAGCAATCTCCCGAGGCAGTTGCGAGGAAGGAACCCCCGTTCCAAAGCCTCCAGCAATCAATGCACGACGGATCCATGGCGACAGAAGTGTGGCGAAGTGGAACTCGACAGGATGGTCTGCCCATCTTTCAACCTCAATTCGGGTGTCGATGAGGGACTGGACGGCAGTAATGTCGATATGGGAGATGGCGGAGAAATCGAAAACAATGGCATGTAGCACGGGAAGCTTGTCGTTGGCTTCCTGGTCTGCAGCAGCACCATTTCGACTAGGACCTGGGTCATTCCATGGCCGTTCACTCAACGGCAAATTCGATATATCCTTGCCTCGTCGCATGTTCTTTTTGACATAGTCGACCAGCTCCAAGTTTAGAGCAGCCGCATTAGGAAATATAGCGCTTTCCTCAAACCTGTAGACGATCACACCAGGCGCTGGAGGATCGACTTTCAGATGAGGGTTGATGATGCCGTTGGTAGACAGAGGGACAAAGACTTCGCGGGTTTCTTTGGAGTCCGACGCATTTCCGTGTACCGTAACCTTTCCGAGGAAGGCGCCACGAGGATAGGCGATCCGAATCAGTAGCAGCGCAACGGAGGTGGAGATGGAGACATAGATGCCATTCTCCACCGAGGAGAAGACGGTGGTCAACACAGCTGCCACCCAGATGATGAACTCCAACGGGGACACACGCCAGTAAGAGTATACTTGAGGTGGCGAGGCGACCAGATCAGCAACAGCATGTATGATAACAGCTACATGGACATTCAAAATTCAACACGTCTCCTTCCAAGTTCAAGCGTCACTCACCAGACAGAGTCGCATTGGGAATCCAGAAGAAGGCGGGTGTGAGACCGTAGAGTGCAACAATGACTACCACACTAGAGAACAGACCCGCAAGGGGGGTGCGAACCCCGGACTTTGATTTGAGAGCCGTGCGAGAGAAAGAGCCAGTTGCAGGGTAAGCACCAAAACAAGAGCCAATCTGAACCTCATAAGCAGCACAAACAAAAACAAATTGAGTCACGCACAGTATTAGTGACACCGATGGCAATGAGCTCTTGGTTGGGATTGATGGTGTACCCATTCAAGCGTCCAAAAGCTAAAAAGGGCGTCAACAAATCACTGATAGAGTAGACAGCATACATTTGGAGATGGCAATATGCTCGAGTACGAGAACAATCGTGGCGAGCGGAAGTTCACCCGCAAGAGCTTTGACGAGCTCGTGATCGACTGTAGGTTGGCCGACATGTTGGAAGCCACGAGGAACGTTTTGTAGGATTTTGATGGGGTATGTTCCTTTGCTCGAACGACGATGACGAGTGTAGAGCCATGCAGCGATCGTCATGACCAGAATCACAAAGGCATTTCTCAGGACAGAGATGAAGAAGAAGACGCGAGCTCGACGAGGTAATCTTTTGCTCAACCTATCACAGGCAAAGCGGATAAGATATAGAGCCACTGGAAACCGTTAATCACACTGGACGCATTGAGATTACGACTGACCGAGAGCTGGAAGCCCCCAGGCAGCATCCAGTTTTGTCCGTGGAAGACCTTTCAAAGTGTTGATGATGACGAGGTACGTTGCTCCGCGTGTGCTAATGGACGTTTAGGTAAAACCAACTCAATCGTATCGGTCAACGGACTTAAAACCGGTAATGCCCATCAAACCCGGGACTTGTCCAGCAGCGATGCCTACGAAAGGAAGATGAGGGTGACGCGACGACTTGGAGTCGGAAACTGACTGATCGCGGAACCAGTCATGAAGCCTGAAACGGCGGGGGCAGGAATAAACTCGACAATGCGTCCAATTCGTAGTAGGCCAATGCCTAGAACTATGAAACCGGTGATGAAGGCGACCGTCGTAGCAATTTCTGCAAGTGGTTCTGATTCAGACGATGACTGCACTCTTTACGAAACGTACGCACCTGGTCCCTCCCACTGTTTAGGATGAGCGGCGGTGACACGTCCAATGATTTGAGACATAATCAGACTGACGACCGCCACTGGGCCAATGGAGACGTCTTTGGATGTGGCGAATAGCTGTAAGTGATTGTGAGCAACTAGATATACTTAGGAAGATGAAGGGCGTACACAGTAAATTGTCACGCCAACGAACGAGGAGTATCTGGGTGGTGACAGTGAGCCCCGAGGTTGGAAACGGCAAGATCGCCTACAATCCATATTGGGGAGGGAGGGTTGCAATCTGCGCGTATGACATTCCTTGAGGCACCACTACCAGCCCCACCGTCAGTCCAGCGACTAAATCCCCCCAAATCCAGCCAGAAGTCGGGTACCGTCCTATCCACGAAAGAATCGGGAAAAGGCTTAGGAGATAGTTGGCGACAGGCCGCCGTGGATCCTTGACAAACCGGCCAACATAGTCTCTGGTGGAGACATATGCAACCGAGTCTTCAGGGTAGCGGACGATGCGTTTTGCAAGTCGCTGGACTGAAGACATCACGGGCTGTGATAGAAGTGACAAAGTTTCGGCAGCAACTTTTTAAGAGACCGAGGGGGGTGCGAGCGCAATTGGAGAGCAGAATGGCGTAATTGTTGATCTTGCGCAAGAAATTTAGGTGCCTGACGGGTACAGAATGACGACTGGTGGAAATCTGAAGGAAAATAGATTCAGGGGAGGTGCTCGTTGTGGGTGGCAGGACAAGTCTGGTACTCAAGGGAGAAGGCGCCATTTCAGAAGAAATGAGGTGCAGTTTGTTCGTTCCTTGAAAATCACACTATGCACACATAGGCTATATGAGCGATGAGCGGTATCCTGGTCTACGTCGTAAGGTTGGATAGAAGAATTTGAGAGGATAGTAAGGATTGTCGGTCGGTAGACGAGAAAAGCGCGTGACCGTGACCGTGACGCTCTCGATTTCTTTCTCTTCCGCTAGTGTACAACATTTTAAGTAACGACACCTCAAGAACGCTTATGTCTGTGCTGGATTCCGATCTCGATTTCATTAGTCCTCAACTCCGATCAGGTCCAACCACAAACCTCTCGTCGCCGCCGGTCACACTCGTCCAGTCACTCATCTCTCTTTCTCTCCAATCCAGGAGGATGGAACCTTCTTGCTCGTTTCAAGCTGCAAGGACGGGAACCCAATGCTGCGTGAATGGACTGGCGACTGGATCGGTACTTTCCTTGGCCATAAAGGCGCAGTCTGGAGCACAAAACTCTCTCCCGATGCCTCTCGCGCGGCTTCTGGTAGCGCAGATTTCACTGCGTGAGTTTTTGTTTGAACGGCCATTGCCTGCTTAATTGTTTTTCTATGTAGTAAGATCTGGGACGCGTTCTCGGGAGAAGTGCTCCATTCATTCCCTCATAACCACATTGTCCGCAGTGTAGCTGTATCGCCAACCGCATCTCATCTTCTGACTGGTGGTCAAGAAAAGAAAGTCCGCATATTCGATCTCGGGCGACCTGATGCAGAGCCCGATTTCTTGGGTGAGCCTGGCACTCTTTCGCATGACGGCACCATCAAGAGTGTGGTTTGGGTTGGAGAGCATACGGGAGTCACTGCTGGTGAAGACGGAATAATCAAGTCCGTAATCATTCAGCCAAACTTGCTGTTTTTTTTTGACCGAAGTTGAAAGATGGTGGGACCTGAGGACACGAAAACTGACCACCAGCATGTCATTTCCCACCGCGATTACCTCGATGGAAGTCTCTCCTCAGACGAAGCGCTTGGTTGTGACATCGGGCAAAACTGTCGCCTTTATTCCTGTCCTCCCAAACGGCACTGGGACACATTCAGTCACGTTGCCTTATACCCCATCGTCAGCCTCAATTCATCCAATATTACAAGACCGATTTGTAACGGGAAACACGGGAGACGAGTGGGTGCGTGTTCATGGCATGGACGGAGAGGAGCGAGAAGTTCTCAAAGGTCATCATGGGCCGGTACATTGTGTGGAGTTCAGTCCAGATGGTGAAATGTACGCTAGCGGAAGTGGTCAGTCTTTTTTTTTTCCTTTTGCATTCTTTTCTCATCCAACCTTTTAGAGGATGGGACAATACGATTGTGGCAGACTACTCCTGGCCACACATATGGCTTATGGACGAGCTCATAATGGTTATAGTTAGAGCTTATGGCATGTACCAATGTAACCGTGAATTCGCAGTTTGTTCAGAACAGCCAAGAGCTGGAACTTGTGTCTGATTTTGACATGTGATAGGCCTTTCCGGCTGTACTCATCACCTTCTCCGCCCCAAAGTTTGTCGACAAAATGGGGTCTCGGGCAACCTCTCCCCACGATTCTCCGACACCTACCACTCCGGAAGAACCTATTGAGTTCACGCCGCGCCGCTCATCGACAATGGCTTTGGCCTCGTCCGTTGCGTCCGTTGATTCCACTTGACATATCACTCATTGTGGCCTGCAGTTTCGAAAATCTCGTTGCTTTGGCCAACTATGAAGAGAGGCTCAAACAAGCAGGTAAACACGCTCGGAAGATTGTATGGCGCGACAGGGGCGAGCCAGTGGCTGAGTTAGTGACGTTGAAGCAATGCTTGGAACATGCTTCCACGGGTGGTCTCAGTATGTTTCCAAGCAGCCCTCAGTCATTGCTGGAAAATAACTGTAGGGGCCTCGGTATTGGCTTTCAATATTCGCGCGTCCTTCAATTTGGTATTAGCTATCATCCGACTCCAGAAAGTGCCTAGGTTGGTGCTTCCCGGCTCAACAGTAGTTATATCGAAATTTCTCAGAGATCACCGACTCGCGGCAATTCGGAGGGCGGTATTTGGCTATGATTCGCTTCGCTTTGCTGCTATGCTTGGTACGTTGTTGTTGCTCTCCGCGAGTGTCCCACTTAATTTGACGAAGGCACCTTTGCATCGCTCTACAAGTTCTTAATCAATGCACTCCCGCTTGTGTTTCCTGCAATCTCCCCCAAACCACGTCTGCTAGAATCAGCATTTGACGAGGACGACGAAGACGACAGCCTGGAGTTACCACGCATAGTATCAATTCCATCTGGGGCGACAACTCCTCATACGAAAAGGACAGCGCGCCTGTCGCTCAGTGCTTCGGCCCATATGGCCTTAATCCGGAAGCGAACCCGTCGATGGCATTCAGCTCTCGCTGGCTTTGTCGCTGGAGCGTTGGCTATTCTTTGGGAGAAACGCAGTCGACGTATAATCATCGCCCAACAGTTGTTCGTTCGGTGCGCATTTTTTCTCTCCTCTCTATGCACTTCCCTTTACTTATTAGTTAGTGGCTTGCAAGGGTCTTACAACGCTCTTTCCTACAAGCATGGAATCTCGATACCCTATGGCCCTGTTATTGTGTTCACCTTTGCCTGTGGACAGATCATGTATGCGTTCACCATGCGTCGTGACACACTTCCCCGAGGCTATATCAACTGGTGAGTCAAGTCTCTCTTATATCCAGATTCTGATAGTCCTACCATAGGGTGCAAGGCGCCAGCCGTGTTGCTGCTGAGGGCGTTCAACTGAATTTGACTGCTGTCCGCGAAAATGCCGCCGTTAATATGGATGCTCTCAATGCCGTCCTGGCTCGAACAGACACAACACCTAAAAATCGCAAGGCTCTCGAAGACCTTCTTGCTACTGTGAAGGCTGGTTTACCAACACCACATTACGGTATATGCGCTGCTGGTTCGTAGTCTTCAGTATTTCTAATCTCGAATCTAACCCTAACCTTAGTCCATCCTGCCCTGAGCAGTTGTTGGTCCGTTCCACTCGATCGATTCTTTGACGTGTTCAAGTATATGCTTCCGGTCTATTCCGCTCTGCATTTCTTGCCTCCCATCCTATTTCGTTGGAAGAATTTCAAGGCAGATCCTGCAAATATCCTTCTCAGGTCTGCTCTGGGGAGCATGCGAAGCTCCTCCTTCTTGGGTGTCTTTGTGGTGATTTATCAAAGTGCGTGTGCTTTATTGGGTCTGAATTGTGACAACAATGTTTATCTAGCTACGATTTGCTTCAAGCGGTGGTTATACCAGGGTATCCTTGACTCGCCATTTTGGAGCCAAGTTCTCCCTCGTGGACTGGTGAACCTGTTGATATCCAAGGGTTCATTCTGGATTCCCGGTTTCCTGGCGGGGCTTGCACTCTTTATTGAAGACAGTCGCCGGAGGGCTGAGGCATGTGGTCTTTTCTACTGTGTTCTCAGATGATGACTGGAAATAGCTCGCAATGTACGTTCTACCCAAGGGCCTGGAAAGTATATGGGTAGCTGCGCGTGGGCGTGGTTACGTGTTCCGTACTGGGACTTGGGGTGAAAGTGTCTGGGCCGGAATCGCTATGGCTATGGTCATGGTCTGTTGTTCATCTGCTCGTTGTTACCCTCCCTCTAACCCACCGCGTAGAGCATATATCAAGGAGATCCCCAACACCTTTCGGGGCTCGTCCGTAGAATTTTATATCAGTTCATCGGACCGAACTAGTGCAACATCTAACAATGTACCTACTGTAACAACTGACCAGCTTTATCAACAGAAGTGACCGCTGCATGTCCGCTCAATAGAATTCGAGGACCGTGAAGTTACTCGCAGATGACTGAGCAAGACCCGATTGAGTATTCCAATATTTCGTCAGATGCATTAGGTAGAGGCAGCACAATAAGGACAGCAACTTGAAGTCGCCTTGGCTGAGGCTGATGCGACCTCAGCATGAGACGGCGATATGAAGCAGTATCGACAGAGTAGGGAGAGTGCCATCTTGTTACAACCATTGGCTTCTGACCGTGGTTAATCGAGTTTGCGTGTGAATGCAGCAAGCCCAACCTGTATTCCTTTCCAAGTAGGTGCAATGCTGGCTGAGGGTAAAGGCGACCATAGGTCCCAGATTTTTGGCGACTCCAAGGTAGGTCGGATGATGACTTCCTGAGAGAATTGGGATGGCCGCCAACGCCTCCAGCAAATGAAGATGGCGATGGCAAAACCCAGTCCCGCAACAGCGACGAAAGCAAGAATGAGTGGAGGGGATGATATAATGTTGTCGCTGGTAGAAGAGCTAGAAGTTTCGGTCTGGAGAGCCATGGAAGAGACCAAGAGATGAACTCTGGCAGTGAGTTGACATGTGCATGGCAGTCGATGAGAACGTCGACTTGAATTTCGAGTCTTTGATAAGATTGCATCGTTGGTTCCCACGCCTGCTAATGACTTCATCCGACCATCACCGTAGCCTCTCAAATGCTGGCTCCCCGCATCGACGTAGTTCGTCTAGAGAGCATCACCGAAACTCATCTCTAGGAGGAGAGCCATCCCAAACTCACCATAGCTCTTTACTTCCAAACATTCTCCCAACTCCAGCGGTCATCGAAAGCGTGGCTGGCGCAGCGCATTTCACAGGAAGTCATGTCGAACCTCTGAAGCACCGCCATAGCAGCCATGAACACCACGAAGCTCATACAATTCTCAAGGCTGATCATCGAAAGGTTTGGTCGTTGTCTAGTTTCCTTCGTCATCCTTTTGACTGTTTAGCTACTCGATGATTTACGGGAGCTCTATGAATGTCGCCCTGTACCGGCTATCTTTACCCGCTCATGGCACCCCGACGCTGTGTATGAGGTCGGTGGCTAGGAGATAACCTGACAATAAGCTCACAGGCTTCAGACTCCCTTGGTCAAGTGTCGCGGTTTCCGACAGTATGCAGCACAATTCTATGCTTTGGCAGGTTTTTTTCACTCATCCTTGTGCATGGAAAATTTACCACCCACAGCCCAAAATATATTCAAGATCTGAGATCGTCTCGACTCGTGTCATGTCGTCGACAAGGAATCCAAATCGCTTAGTCTTCACACAGACGCTTCATTACAAGAATCGTCTAGTGAACAAGGTAAGTTCATCTCAATCGTGGTGTCTATTGAGTACTCAACGATGGCCCCAAAGACTGTTACTTCGGTTGTCACGGTCGATTTGGACGAGAACGACAAGATTATTCGACTGACGGAGCATGGAGGCAAAAGCTGGGGTGCCATTGTGCAGTGGTTTAACTCTCATCTATATCGTCTGCTTGTCCATGTACCTATCTAAATGATCCGGCGGTTGATTGTCACGACGCGTGACGTGCTCATTTCAGTCCGCAGCACTGCGCAGACCGTCTTCCCTCACCCCATGCATGTCGATGCTGGACCCGAATCGCGCGCTACACGGAAGGGCAGGGAGCGTGATGCAATCCCAAAAGAGCTCCAGCCCACCAATATCGACCAGCAACTCATAATGGCTAAACGACGGGCAGCCAGAGTCGAGTTGGTGTTTGCGGCATTTCTGTGAGCCTAACTGACTCCTGGATAGTGCTACGCGTACAAGAGAGAGGCCTCCTCCGCAGTCTAGAAAGCAACCCAATCCGCAGCTGGTTGTCTCTGCTCCAAACATCGACTCAGATACACCCGACGCTGACGACTTTTCTCGTCGTCTTCAAATTTCCTCCTCTCCCACCCGCAATCCATCAAAGCAGGCAGCTCAACCTACTCGCCTCTATAATCCAGACAGAGATCCGATTCCAATGCGACGGACAGCTGAGCCCGAAAACATGTCGGATGCAGCCAGTTCATCTTATGTTTCTCGTGGTGCAGTCAAGTCGAGTCCACCAAGAGAGACTGCTGGTAGACAACTATTCGACCCTAGAAAGGATGACCCTGTTCGTTTTGTCCTCCGTGGCAAGCCACCCCCGACGCCAAAATCGTCCGCTGAATACGTATCTGCTTCGTCGACCTCTTCGTATGCCGCCTCGATGGCCTCCTCCAACTTTACTCTCTCGTCCACAACAGATGGCTCCTCGGCGTCATCCGCGCTTTTCGACCGAAAAAGTAATCCCAACGGCGACGATCGTGGCACCAACGTCTTTGCTGCGCAACTGAAGAAACTGTACCGTGCCATCACCGATCTTGAAACCAAGATAAAGCAACAAGATACGGATGAAGTCGAAGACTCTGGCCGCGTCCTTCTGAAGACGAGGGACGGAGAGAGTGACCAAGTTGAGCGCGACAAGGAACGAGAGAAATGGAAACGTCAAATCGAGGACCATAAAGAGTAGGCATACGCACTCTCCTCTAACACTGAGCTCATGTCACTCTTCAGGCTTGCGGAGCTCATACATAATCTTCTTGCTATCTCCCTTGCTCCTAGCGTTCCGGCATCTCTTCGCAATATTCCGACCAAATATAACATCATCATTCGCCTGTGGTCTTTCGCTTTCCACAAACTCCTTGAATCTCTCCGTCGAGCCTCCTTTACCTCTGCTCTCGCCTTGGAACACCTTCAAGATTTCATCTATTATGCCTATACTTTCTACACTGGACTTTTGGAGGAACCTACCCTCAACTCATTCAAGAGTGGCTGGCTGGAAGCCCTGGGGGACCTAGCGCGATACAAAATGGCCGTAGCTGCTATGGTTGTAGGCGGATCTGACGCCGGACATCTCCTGACTACGGCCGCGGTTTCCGCAGCGGGGACTGACACATTAGCCCCGCCTGACGCTACCCCAGCAAAATCAATTAGCGATGCCCCCGCCGCCCGCATCGACGATTCTCCATCACCAAGCATTGGCGTCGCTGCAGCTCGCTTGCTTGATGTCGAGCCAGAGAAAGAGCGATGGAGATGTATCGCACGTGACTGGTATGGCATGGGAATCGCTGATCAACCTGGTCATGGTAAATTGCACCACCATCTCGGACTTCTTAGTCGTGAGGTTGATCGAGAGGAACTGCGCGGCGTTTACCACTTCGTCAAGAGGCAAGTTCAATCGTAAACGGCTCAACATATACTAAAGCTTACTTCCAGTATGACGACCCTCCACCCGTTCATGACCTCCCGCGAGTCTGTACTCCCTATGTGGTCGGCGAGTGCCCAAGCACGAAGAGCGCTTCCCGAAGCGCGGCAGGTTGACTTATTCATCCTGTTACACGGAATGCTTTTCACAAACATCCAACTCGATGACTTCCCAGCAACATTGGGCCGGTTTATCGAGAGGTTAGAAATTGAGGGAGCTGATGAACGCGACTGGACGATGATGGCCGTGATAAATATTTGTGCCATTCTGGAGTACGGGAAGGTTACAGGTGTCCTCAAGAAAGCTGGAGGTCTCGGCACACGCGAACCAGCTTCGACTGCGTCAGCAATGCGAGTGATGTCCAAACGAAATCAAGCCGACGACGACAAGAATAAAATGGATGTTGACGATGAGGGCTTGCAACAAGCGTCACCTGCCATGTCTGAGGCCGAGGCCGAGTCTACTGAACCGCCGGCAGCATTTCGATTTGCTCAAGATCTCACCTTTGCGATGCTCACCCATGTCCTGCGTCACCCGATGCACAAGCCCTCTCCCTATGCTCGCTCCAATCTCAATCCTTATCTCACAGTCGTTCTCACTTTCCTCGCTACTATCATCAAACATCAACAAACTCTACTCGCTATCGAACGTGCCGTCCCTTGGGACGAGTTGGTGTCATTTTTTTCCAACATTCCCAGGCATGTGATGTCGTCACAGGGCCTGCTTGACGGCGGGTCCTCTCGAGAAGAACGATGGGCTATGATCACGACTGGATGCGCACCCCCATTACCAGAGGACTGGTGTCTGCGTGGCATGGAATGGGTTGCTCGCAAAGTTTACCAACACGGCTTTTGGAAATCGGGCGAGGATAAGCGCGCTGAAATGGAGGTTCTCGACGACGCGGAAACTATCGAAATCACTGATGGTCGCATTGAAGACGATTCAGATGGAGAAGAGGGTAGCAAATCAGACTCCAAAAGTGCGGGGGATGGCGAGCTTGCTCGTAGATGGGTTCGTGTTGCACGATGTGCCGTCGGAATCGCAGATGTTGTCGAAGGTTTCACCTGGGTGGTAGGGACCAGACAATGGCGTATTGAAGGGTCACTGGCAGCTAAAACAATCTCGTGGAAAGAAGAAGATCGCAGACAGAAAGAGGACGACGAAAAACGTAGATTGGGTAGTCGTTGGACTGACGACTCGATGGATGTGGACCAAGACAATCTCGAATCACTTTCTGAAGGAAGCGACGATGATGCTGATGATTCAGAGCAAGTCAGAGCATTGAAGGTTGGTTTTTCTCTGGGACTCAATACCTCCAACTCAATTTTCTTAGGCGCGCCGTAACTACCTCCAAAGCCTTCTATCTTCCGACCAGTACAAAGCCAAATTATCTCCCTCGAGTCGCTCTGGGCCCCGCTCTTCACAGGCCACTCATGTTGCTTTACCGATCGTCCCAGGTTACACAATCCTCGTAATCGACACCAACATCCTTCTTGCGTCACTCTCAATGTTTTCCTCGCTTGTGGAAAGCTTCCGGTGGACTATAGTTGTTCCACTACCCGTCATTATGGAGCTCGACGGATTGTCGTCCAACCCGTCGCAGCTTGGCGAGGCGGCACAAGCTGCCATGTCATATCTTTCAACCCATATCCGCTCTCATTCGACTTCTCTCAAAGTACAGACTTCAAAAGGGAATTACTTGACGTCCTTGAATGTCCGCGCGGAGCAGGTTGACTTTACGAATGGAACAACCGAACGCAACATGGACGATCTCATTCTCAAGGCGGCTATTTGGCAAGACGAGCACTGGGTTGACCGTTCCACCATTCTCAAATCAAATGCCGTCACCACAGATAAGACCATCAAAGTTGTCCTTCTCAGTCTCGATCGCAACTGTAAGCTTCTCCTTCATGTTGTCAGATGTAGCAGACTGACTGGTCTGGTTAGTGCGACTGAAGGCTCGTTCACGGCAACTTGCTGCCGCAAGCGAGAGGGATCTTGCCATGATCCTTGTCTCCGGCACTTAAAAACCACGCTCCTTGACTGTTTTCCCTTACGCTTCAGCGGCGACCTTGGGTTATCATTCCCCACATGTTGAGCTCCCGAAAATCTCAAACTCGACGAGCTCAATTGTCATCCTCCGACAGGCTGTTGTTGTCAGGATTGACGCGCACGTCCGGTTTGGGGTCTTAATGTGGGGTTCTTCTCGCTTTCGGTGCATCGACTATACCACCAACTGTAACATCCATTCATTTACTTATTCTACCACTGGAGGCCAGGCGTCCATGTACAACCAAGCATTATTCACTGTTGTTGTTACCAGAGTCCAAGGAGCTTAGCTTCGACCTTCGTTGACTGAAGACGTTGAATTCCTTGAACGACTTCACCCACATCAGTCTCCTCGACCTCCACAAAATAAACATCTTGGAATGGCTCTAAACTTTTTGTGTCGGGTCGTCGATCAATCCGTGAGACAGGCAAGCTTAGAGTCGCCAGTGCCATCGCTATCCTCCGCGAGTCCGTTGGTAATATTCGAATTAGGCCCTTTGACGAAATAGGCCTGGGTAGCGGCAGTTGGGAAGTTGCGTCGGGAGCAAGCACATAGAAACGCGTCCTATTATCTGGTAGCGGGTATATGGTCGGATCTGGTAGATAGTGGGAGAACTGGCGTACTCTGATGGTCCTGAATATTTTGGAATAAAACTTGCAGTCCGTCAAACACGACAGTGCATATCCTCGAGCAAATAGCAGCCGAGTCACAATGCTTCAAAACGGCTTCCGCCGCTGCCGCTGTCGATGAGACCTTTTCCAAAGATGCTGAAGGGAAGTACTGCGACAAGAAGGTCCGGCATTGGCCAATGGCCTGGTCCATGCATGATCAATGGTGATTACGCAAGGTTGAGCGGCTAACCTGCTCGTGGCTCTGTATTCGGCGAATGTCAGAGGGTTTTACGCCTTGCGGTGCGAGTAAACAGTGCTGAACTGGGAGAATGATCTCGTCTAGCACAAATCCTGGCTGCTCGTCTCGAAAAGCATCATAAGTTTCGATAACACTGCCAAAAAAGCTATTCTCTTGGGGCACAACGCCAAAGTTAACAGTTCTTGACGCGACAGCCTCAAACACGGCTGTTTCGTTCAGTAAGTATTGGTGGTGCTCTGGTCACTGAAACTGACCGCGTATCGTAGAACAGGATTTGTAGCTAGTTGAGCTTCCAAAGCGCTCGTGCGCTGCCTACGGACCTGGATAGGTCAAACCATTTTGTTTCTCCCCCGAAAGCACTTCACCTGATGACAAAAAGTTCCAGGTGGGCCAAGGAACGCAACCACAAAATCCTCCATTCTGGTTGGAGATCAAAACACGCGTGCACGTCGCGTCATTGTTCGTTCAGAATCGACATTCAGAAAAAAAATAAGACAGTCATCCTGAATCCTCATTCTTTCTACGCTCTGTCTTATCACGGCGCTCTTGCTTTATTCGCTCCAGCTCCTCACGTACGCGACTCTGTTCAAAAGGCAGATCCTAGCGTGCGTTAAATTAGCTCTCCAGTAAGCGCAGGAGCCCTCAACTCGAACAGTCTTTTCAATTGGAGGTAGTAGTTTGTCGCGATACTGCATATTTCGTTCAGCCAACAAAGAAGGAAACAAAGACAATGTACACTGACTGGCGCTACATGCTTGTGATACCATGCGGGGTCCCCAAAGTAAACCAGGGAAAAGAGAGGAACGAAGAGGTAGACCGCAAACTTGAAGACTTCAACGTTGGGGTTAGGCGGCATCTTCCGTCTGAAATGATCCGATCGCACCATCAACATGACGTCGGCAACAAAAGACACCAGCCAAACACTGGCTCAACTATGACGATGACGAAGGTTATAAAAATAAAACGCAGGCTTAAAAAGAGGAAACTTCCGCAAAACAAACCGCACTCGCTATGTCTCTCTCCAAGCACATCAACACCGACCGTCTTCTCGAAGCTGCTCGCGTTAGTTCTCTCGTTTTCGAATTCAGAGACTTGTTGACGTTTGGGGCATTCAGGACAAAAGACCTGGCTCTCATTTCACCTCTCTGACGAATCAAAGCCACCAAACATCGCTCTCACATGCGTATGGCGCTCGATACGGTACCCAACCGGTTCCCAAATTCCAGATTCCCAGCAAAGGTTGTTTACCTTCGTGTATGAGCACGTGCCTGACCTCTTTTGTGCAGGGATCGACCCCGATGCTGCCTACCAACTCATCCACGACGAGCTGGCTCTTGATGGCTCCCCCGTCCTGAATCTTGCTTCCTTTGTGCACACCTGGATGCCTCCAGCGGCCGACAAGCTCATGATCGAGGTAACGTGGTCACGGCTCAACAAACCTCATGAAATCACACAAAGCCTCGCAGAATATGAGCAAGAATCTCATTGATAGCGACGAATACCCAATAACTCGTGAGTACTTTTCATCACTGTCCGATATTTGCTGACTAATTTGTTTAGAGATAATTCACAATCGATGTCAGTTTTTTTTCTTCTATGTTCTTTCAGATGGCCAAAATTTGCTTAGGCGTATCAATTCTGGCGGATATGTGGCATGCTCCATCTTCTAAGAATGCTATCGGAACAGCAACGACAGGGTCGTCTGAGGCTATCCAGCTTGGTGGCCTGGCAATGAAGCGAATCTGGCAAGAAAAGCGCAAAGCAGCTGGAAAGAGTATCCACGAACCTGGTCCCAATATAGTCATGGGCTCTAACGCGCAAGTCGCGCTCGAGAAATTCGTGTGTAAACCTATATTCAAACTTGCTATAATTAACCAAACATCGTCAGGCCCGGTATTTTGATGTGGAGTGCAGATTAGTCCCGATTTCTGTCGAATCCAACTATCGACTTGACCCAAAAAAGGCTATGGAGTATGTCGACGAAAATACAATTGGTGTATTTGTGAGTAATTTCTTTTTTTGGAAATAAATAAAGATTATTCCAGGTTATACTTGGGTCGACGTATACGGGACATTATGGTCGAGTCTATCCCATACCAGCAATTTGCGCCGGTCTCACGTTCAGAGTAGAACCCGTGAAGGAAATGTCAGATCTTTTGGACGAGTACGAGGAGAAAACTGGCAACTATGTTCCCATTCATGGTCTGTGCTGTTTCGAACGATACGCGGGCCTTAACAAGCCAAATAGTGGATGGCGCGTCAGGGGGGTTTTGTCGCACCCTTCGCCACGGTCCGTCAAATGATACCTTCATGATGCACTGCTAATTCGGCATAGCCCAAGCTATTATGGGACTTCAAAATCCCCCGGGTCGTTAGTATCAACACTTCTGGCCACAAATTTGGTTTAGCGTCAGTATATGCTTCGCCACCTCTTTCTGCAATATTGAACAAATGACAATTGTAGATATGTTGGGGTTGGTGAGTATATTGGCAAACTCGAGAACCCGGACATGACTCATCATCAATGGTAGGCTGGGTCGTGTGGAGGGATAAAGAGCATCTCCCGAAAGATCTCATTTTCGAATTACACTACCTGGGGAGCGTGGAGTACAGCTTTTCGCTCAATTTTAGTCGCCCTGCAGCTCCCATCATCGCTCAGTATTTCAACTTCCTCTCGCTGGGATTCGAAGGCTATCGTTCCGTCGCTCTGAACGATCTCAAGAATGCGCGTTTACTTTCCCGAGCGCTGGAGAACAGCAAGGTATGTGAATGGAGCAACTTGACAATGGTCAAGCGAGTAATTCAATCAAGTACTATACCGTGCTCAGCGACATCCATCGTCCTGAACCCGCACGCTCTATGGGAGCAACCATTAAAGCTGTCGTCGACGCCGATGATGTCGAAGTAATCTTGTTTGTTCCGTTTGTCACAGCTTAGCTCATCACATTCCCAGTCCTTTTGCGCTGGATTGCCCGTGGTAGCATTCCGTTTCTCCGACAGCGTCAAAGATGAGTACCCGGAAGTATCTCAGAAATGGATACAAACTTTGCTCCGTGCCAAAGGCTGGTCAGTAGAATTGGTGATCCTCCATTCCTAGTCCCATAACCAGCTCACACAGGATTGTTCCGAACTATGAGCTTGCGCCAGATTTGCAGACTGTCGAAATTCTCCGGGTTGTGGTCAGGGAAAGTATGACTGAAACGGTGAGTGCTCACTGGTTGGGGTTTTTCTTAACCGAGCTTTAATTGCAGCTGGTTGAGCGTCTGGTCAACGATTTGATCGAAATCACTGAAGATTTGTTGAAGCGGGACTCTTCCTCGCACTCGCTCGATATGCTAGGATCTGTCCATTCAGAGCACCATTCCCATGAACAAGTTCACGGCAGATTGGATGCTGGGCATGGAAGCACTTCATCGGGAACGTATGCAAAAACTTGTTGAACCAGTTAGCTATCAAAATGGACTATCGAAAAGCATGTAGTTTGTCAGCTTGCGGGCCTTGTGCGTGGGTCCAAGGACAAGTTCGGTCAAGTTTATTTTAGGCGTAATCGAACCTGAAACTGATCAGTCGTTGAAAGCCTTCATCGAAGCTGCGCGGGAAGAAGATTGAGCCTTGATGTGTGTTTCTCACCGAATCTGTCGGTCGCTCAATGGTTTGATACCCGTCCTCAAACAAGCATGAGAAGGTCGGGGCTTCAAGAAGCGCTTCATCTTGGAGTTGCCGAACGGTCGAAAATAGATCTTGGTAGACCAAGTCTTGAATTTTGAATCTGATCAGTGCAGTCGCGCTCCTTGCAGCAATGGCTGCAATCGTCGCAAATGAAGTGAGTGACGTGTGTCACATCGCCTTTCCAACTCATGCCATGATGCATGCTTATCGCGTTTCTCAGTTTGCCTGTGACTTTCTGGATACTTTTGGCAGCACCCTGAGTGTCATCACATAAGTGGCGTTCTCGGTCATATCCTCTCCAGGTTTCCAGGCCTCGATTCTTTGTGCTTGTTTGCAATTTTAGTCCAGGTTGCTGAAAGTTCAGACTACTCGAACCGTTAGGATGCTTTCTTTCACTTCACATTTGAGCCGCGAAACACACTGATCAAAGCCTATTCTCAAGGGTCGACGAGCTTGGGTACAAAACATCCAAATGCGGATACCGAGGACGACAGTCAGCCAAAAATGCCTCTTTTTCCCAGCCCTCGATCACATCTGTGAGTATAAATATGAATTGTTTTCCACCTGTGCAAGCACTCGCACCATGTTGTCTTCTGCTGCTTTTGTCCTCTTACTTTCGAACATTGCCGCTGCTCAATACGGCTATGGTGGAGGTGGAGCTTCGACACCGACAACGACCCAAGCAGTAGCAGTCCCCATTCCATCCGCCCCAGCCGACTCCCCTGGAAAACACAACGTAGCGTACTCCTTTGACTATTGTCGAATACTTCTCATCGCTTCTCACAGATCAACGTTGCTGCTGGGGGTAACTTTGTGTTCGACCCACCAACAATCAATGCCACCAAAGGCGACACAGTGACTTTTTGGTTCCCCAGGTATGTGGACATCGGGCAATTTCACTAGATGGCGGTACTCACGTAGACTCATCCAGTGGAATACAGCACTCGGTCAGCTTTTCTACATCTTCTTCCTCCCGGCCTGACAGCATCGCAAGGTTACACAAAGTTCCTTTGCCAATCCATGCACATATCTTGCCGCCTCAAGCAACACCAGTGCTGGTTTTGACTCGGGCTTAAGTAGGTTTACTGTCTGATGATGGGAATCTGTCTCAGCATCGTATCCATTTAGCTGCTGGAACTCAATTTACGATTACCATTGAGGACGACACCAAACGTGAGTTGACCTTAGAGTGATCAGCATCTTGTTTCTTAGACTCTCCCTAGCCATCTGGTTCCATTGCAAACAGGTATTTTTTTTTCGATTTGAACTGCTTATCGCCCTCTGACCGTGAACTGTGTTAGATCACCCACTGTGGCTTGGGTAAAGCGCTTTCAAAAGATCCAATCCACAATGTCTAATGATTCTTCAGGCATGGTTGGGAGCATTAATCCGACAGCAAACCTCACTCAGGACGCGTTTGTTGCAGCAGCCAAGGCCATCGGGAGCAATGAAAAGGCTGAAAGCGACGCTGGATTTGTCAGTGGAGGAGCCAATGCGCTTGCCTCCGCCGCTCCATCAAACACGGGAGTTGGACCAACTCCTTCAACCGCACCATCAAGCTCCATGGGCAAACCGAGCTTGAGCATGGGAGCAGTTATATTGAGTTTGGCACTGGCTATGTTTTCGTAGAATGACATTCATGTATGACTGGCTCGTGACCGCGCAGTTTGTGGACTATTACCATGTTCAAACAGTTGAGCGCGCCTTTCCGTCTGCCGGATTCAGACAAGCTTGGCTTCAGGACTAGTCCTGGTGGAATTGCAAAGCTGGTTTCCGTTCGGGTGTGTGTCTATAACAAGTGGAGAGAATGCTTGCAATTCTCATCGGTGTCGTGCAGAACATCTCAGAGACAGACAGTTATTGGAACCAGTACACAATCCTCTTCGACTCTCCTTCCGACGTATTCTCCCTCATCACCCCCCATGACATCCGCCGAGCACTTGCTGAGGCTCCCGAGAACATAGCAACTCTAGTCCGCTTCATCATAGCGCGACTGTCAACTCTCATTTCAGACCATACATTCCCCACCCCGCCAAATGCATCCGTAGCTGCCTTCGCCTCTTCATTGATACCAGGAACCAGCTCTAGCAGTGAAAGGAATACTACAACCCAAGTCCTCAACTGTCTTCGCATTCTTCAACGAGTATTGCCCATCGTCTTCGAAGTAGACGGGGAAACAAGTCCGTTTGAACTTGAACTATTCTGGAAGAGAGAACCAGCACCGGAGAGTACTCCGCTTGAAGCCTCCCAGTTCGTCATTCAGGATGAGGACGATAGTGACAACGAGACACGCGAGGCCACACAGCCAGTCAGTATCAACAAACCATCGCCCTCCCTGGCCGAGCGCTTGTTTGATACTTTAATTGACCTTATGTTCTGCTACGGTTTTACCTTACCCTCCAAAACCCACGCAGAGCCTCACAAGATTGCGCATATAATCTGGTGGGTTTTCTGAGAGATAGCTTGCTCGACGCGTTTCTAACCAAAAAAAACAACTGCAGGGAAACCGGCATTGGCTCAACTTCTGATCTCGGACCGAACCATGCCCTCGACAACAATAAAACAGAGGTCTTGCGCTTACTTCTTGTCCTGCTCTCTCGCCAAATTTATGTGTCCCCTGCTTCATTATTGTCCAAGCCTTCGGAATACACAATACATATGGTTCAACGCACGCCCCGCAGAGACGTCCTGACCATCCTGTGCTCCTTGTTAAATACGGCCATGAACTCTCCTCAGGCGACTTCCATGAATCTTGCTGGTATGGCAGGGAGGTTACCATATAACCATCTGGTCTTCAAGGGCGAAGATTCTCGGTCGAATCTCGTTGGCATCTGCCTACAAGTGCTCTGTGTGTTGCTAGACTTCCAGAGTGGTTCCTGCCGAGATAGACCAATCGCGACTGACGACTTGAATGGCTCCGCCCCAGCTGCAAGGTCAAACTCTTTCCGCTACTTCCTAATGAAACTGGTATATTTTCTTTCTTGATGTTCGTTCTTGCTCTTATTTACGTGGCCTACTTACAGCACCGCACACAAGACTTTGGCTTTGTTGCTGATGGGATCATGGGCATCCTGGAACAACAAATGGCTACGATGAATATTCTGTTGCCTGGCGCCAAGAAACCCGTTCCGTATATAAACGAGACAGGTATGCAGAACCTTGACCCATAGGCTTTGCTTATCGTCGCCTTAGTCATTCTGTTTTGGAAGATGATTGAGCTCAACAAAGTATCCGTATTTCAAGCTCCTCGAAGCGGATTCTGATGGCGACGCGCAGAAATTTCGTGCCTTTTTGTTCGAATCTGATAGAGGCATGGATATCATTGGTTATCTCCTGTGTTATGCGCTGGAAATCAAGGACAAACCACGTGAGTGCATTCTCCGAAGTCTTGCTAAAATAAGACGTCACTAGATCAACACGGACTTTGTCGAGCACTCTCTTACATAGTCCAAACACTTTCAGCCGAGCCTGGCTTCGGCCCGCGCCTTCTGAAGACCATTAAAGCACAAACGGGCACCAAGTGGAATGTACCAGGGACCGCCGCTGATTTTATCATCCATGTCAGTGGACCTCTCTCTCTCTCTGGTTTGATCCACCTACATGAAATAATCAGGCAATCTACTCGATGGTCGCAACAACTTCAGGCCAGTTGAATGCTCTCTATCCGGCTCTCATTATCGCACTGTCAAATTCGGCACCCTACTTCAAAAATCTTACCGTGACTGCGTCAACGCGTCTGCTACAACTATTCACATCCTTTTCAAACGCACTGTTTCTACTTTCAGACGAAGGCCACCCCCGACTTTTATTCTTCATGTCAGTTTTCCATCGGCGACACTACTGTCATTCACTCATTCCAGGCTGGAAGTATTCAATGCTGTCATTCTCCACAATCTTCGCGACAATGCAAATCTAATTTATGGCATCTTATCTGCTCACCAAGTCTTCGAAGACCTTGGAACATTTACCTTATCACGTGGGCTACGTCGGGTTCAACTTGCAAAGGAGGAACAAACTCGAAGTGCAGCCATTAAGGGCAAGGGCCCTCAAAGAAGAGAAGATGACCCGACAGAAAAAATCAAGGTATCCCAAGAAGATAGCCCACCACCTTCCCTTGCACAAGAACCCCAACGTCCAACAGAATCGTCCACGTCAGAGACTGAACCGACATCCGAGAAGGCCCGAGGAAAAATGAGAGAGCGAAGGTCGCAATCGCTTGATACAAATAGCAGTGCCGATCGCATCGCAGCTGCAGGTGTGGGGAGAAATGGATTTGTACCCAGTCAGGAGTGGGTGAGTGCAGCAATACTGCTTCACGAATAATTTACTCAGTTTTTTAATTCGAGGTCACTTCGTGGCAACAAGGGTAACTTACTCGTCTCGTGATTTGGGATGTACTTAACGGCCACAGACTCCCGCTGGATGCTGTCATGTTGCTAATATCTGAGCTTCTGCCTAAAGTTCAGGAAATGCAGACCAGTCGACACAGAGCAACGTCAACATCGGCCATTGTGGAATACCTAGGTACCATTTCGCTGGCTGACGTTCTACCGCCAGTGCCCCCAATTATGCCGCGGCGTTTCCTTGTGAGTTGTTGTGCACCTCTTATTTTTACTCCCTTATCCTTTCTTTCAGTGGTCAGACGCGTCCATCGTCTGGTTAACCTCATTGATATGGGGTGAAATCTATGTCAAGGCCATGGCGCCTTTGGGGTTGTGGAATGCCACTAATGTACGATTATTCTACGTAAAACACGCGCCGTCGCAGCAGCGGCAACTAACAGAGGCCGTGTCGAATGTTGTGGGAGGGCTTTTAGGAAGGTCGGCGCCGGTAGAAAGTAGGGCATAGCGTAGTATATGTAGCTTGAGTGATTGATGATGAAACACATCGCTTTCGCTGTTCTTGACACTTGCTAGCTTGGGCGAGCTTGCATGTCCTCCCAAGTTAAGCTGTACGTTGGCTTTCCTTTCCCCTCTACTACCAAAGCCAACCGCTCTCCAGCACCCTTCGTCCCCCTCCAAACGTCGACTTCGTTCACGGAAAGTTCTTGGTGGTCTTCTTTTCTCAGCACTCACACCCACCTCAGGTTACCCCGGCATTCCCCCAGGCCCTGACCGACCCCAAGCTGCCGTTAAAGGCGTACGCCATCCATTGTCCAGCCAGAAACCATTCCAATTAACGTTCATTAGGCGATTGAAGTCCGAACGGGGCCTCAAGGAGCCAAAGCAAAATGGGTTCGCATTGAGTTGCGAAAGGTGGAGACACTACCGGGCGGCGGAGTCGTAAATACGTTCCACGACTTTGTCGGTCCGAGTCCAGTTAACCTTTGGACGTCGAGCGAAGAGTATGGCCTTCTCCGTTCTGTAAGTGTCCACGCTTCCTCTTAGTTTTCCTTCTGATCGTTCGTCAGCAAGACTTTCCTTTTTCCATCCGTATTCCCGAGTCCATTCCTCCCAGTATCGATTTGCAAAATAAAGGTCATATCTATGGCTCTCCAACCTGAGTGAAACTGAATGTTTACAACAGCCGGCATCAGTTACGAGCTTGTTGCCAGCGTTTGCACCAAGGGCAAAAAGTTCGTTCCGCTCGACTCTCATCCTTGGCCGCTTTACAAATTTTGTAGGGGCTTTCTTCGAAAGCGCAAGTCGGTCGTTGTTTCAACTCAAGCCGATATTTTAATCGACAAGCACGAGCTGCATTCAACATGGCCCGTTTATTGCCAACTAGAGAGTCGAAACATGACCTCAGAAGGTGTCACTCTTATCGTCGAACGCAACGCGACGTGCTATGGGCCAGGCGACAAAATCTCGATTTTCGCAACCGTCAAGTCAGACGCCCTGCATACCGTTATTCTTCGTGGCTTCGAATTGACTCTGAAAGAATCGACCGTATACCGCGCTGGCCCTTACGCTTCCGGGAAGAAAAGTGCACCCCAAGTTCGCGTGTTGACCATTAGTGAAAATAAACTGGCCGTCAATGCTACACTTTATGGAGGGACGCAACATCGTGCTGAACTGGCTTGTATGATCTCCCCAGACCATACCACAACAACATTGAACGCTGCCCGCCATATCGACATTAATTACACTCTTAGTGTCAAAGCGCTCATGGGAACTGGCACCCCCTTGATCATGGACCTGCCTTTGATCATATCAAACTGGCAGCGGTATTTCTCTCATTCACAATGTCCTGGACAACACTGACTGTTTGTTCCAGAACGGTGTCCATGGAAGCTATCCGGCGAATCGGCCCTGTGCCGAGTCTCTCTCTGTTCTCCCCCAACTCCCCTCGACGAGATGACACTCAACCTCAAACATTCTCAGGCCGCGACAACAGACCCACGGTTTCAACCAATGCATATAATACAATGCCTGTCACACAGTCACTGCCAGTCGACGACTTTGGTTACACTAAAAAGCACAAGACTACCAATTCGAGGTCTAGTGAGGAGGATGCGACAAGATCAGGGTCAAGCCGACGTCCGGGCAGCGCGGACAGAAATCGTTTGACGATCACCAATGGTCTCGATAATGGCAGAAGACCAAAGGAAACGAAGCCGTCTAGTGCTTGGCCCACGGCAGAGGAAGAAAAGCAGCGTTTATACGAAAACGCCAAAATCCGTGTTCACGAAACTCAGAAAGCTGCTGCACAGTCCAGTGGTCCGGCAGTGAGCATGCATCATCTTGCAAATCCATAGCATTCGCTAACTAAGTTGATCAGCAGCCAGTTCCCGCCACCACACCTCCACGTCGAGGGGATGCTTCGTCTAACCGTTGGCCAACAGCAGAAGAGGAAAAATTGCGTCTTTACAATGACGCTCAGGAAGCTGTAACCCGCACGCAAGGGACAGGGTTCTACTCTGACACGAACCAAGCCGGGGCATCTTCTCACGGACGCAGTCTCTCAAACGATGCGAGTGACAACTACCGACCTGCTGAACCGAAGCCGACTGCAGCCAAAGTTCCACAATATATGACTGCTGAGCAAGAGAAAGCGGCTCTGAGGCGGTACCACGAAGCGAAAGAAGCGGTGGGGCGGGTGCAAGGCTATTCAAACGATGGCTCCGCTCCCTCAGCATCGAGTCCTATTGCATACGACTCGCTATTCCCTGGTCAGCAGATTGCTGCCTCTGGGTCGGGTGTAAATGGTCAAACGGATTCGCCCCCGCCGTTTGAAGCAGGAGCTAATAGTCAAATGTCGGCTCTTTCAGAAAAAGAACGACTAAGACGCGCTTACGCAGCGCAAGATGCAGCTACTGTCGAGGCACCGCCACCATTCTCTGGCCTTTCAGAGAAAGAGATAATCCAACGCAAGTTTGACGCCCAAGATGCTCAAGCTCGGCAAAATACTGGAGCTCCCAGTCCTCCACCCCGAACTATGTCGCCAGTTGGTCGCCCCAAACCAGCGCCACCAGCCGGCTCGCGAATCTTGACTGCCGCTGAAGAAAAGGCACTCCTCAAGGCAAAATATGATGCCGAGAATGCCTCCACCCCCCTGACCAATGGCAACGCAGTCCATACAAATGGAGGTGGGCTCAGTTCGCCATCCTCATCAGTGTCCGCGCCTTCAACCCCTCCGATTCCCCCGCCCTTGATGCCCCGCCCGCCTGCGGAATATATCCAGGAGACACAAGAGGAAGATGCTCGCGTGTCGCGGTTCGTGACCACCAACACGATTCCGTCCATCGATGAAGACCCTCTTCCAACTTCCCTCTCACACTCACCTTCTCTTGTTCGTAAATCTACGTTAACTCCCGGTCTGGATGTCGCTCCTTTCACCCCATTTACCCCAGGTTTTGATCCTAAAGTACCAGGACCCCCTCCGCCACTGCCTCCGAAACCCGCGGAATAATATCACACTCATTTACCACGTTTCACTCTTATCTAACTTATATACGATACAACTGTTGTTCTGGTACAATGTGTGGTGCTTTACAGGTACAAATGGTGAGTATATTATTACTGGCCGGATTGCCCATTATTTTTCTCTTCTCCGTTTGTTGCGTGCTTCTGGGGACAATTCGACAACACTGGAGTCAGTAATGCCTGAAATTGACTTGCGTTTTCTCGCGCCAATTTCAGCCTCATCAACAGTGGTTTCCGCAATTGGGTCGTCCAATCCGTTCATAAATGTCCGAAAGAGCTCGCTTTCGGCGTTTTGATCAGTGCCATTGATGGTGTCACCAGGCAACTCAAACTGTTGGAAAAGGTTGCTTATCCGGTTATCGACCGCATCCACATCCTGCTCAATATCCTGCGTTGCTTTCCACGACTTGTCGACCTTTTCCGAAAGACTGTTGTACTGAGGCTGGAGTGGGTCTAGAAGTGGTGACAAGGGAGCTAGCTGGCCAAAGTCGAGTGCAGGTTGATACGACATCAGGGAAGAGTCCTGGTCAAAGTTCGCCGCTGGAAGATCGGTATATGAGGGAGGCATCGACATAGAGTGCATAAGCTGTTGAATTTGAGCAGGAGTCATAGTGCTAAGAGTGGTCTGAATGATATGGTCGAGGTCCGGATTAGGTGAGCGGGAGCGGGAAAGTGAGTAGTCTTCCGCGGGCAAAGTCGAGATAAGGTCGGTCTTTGCAACCTCAGGCGAGAGAGTAATCGGAGTGGTGATAGGCGAATCAAAGTTGACCGTCATGGCTTTGGGTGAGTCCGACTCCGTAGGAGATGACTCGGCCATCGGAGTCTCCATAGTGGTATAAGGAACTGGGCGATACGTATTTTAGGACGCACTAGCAAAATAGAGACGAGACTACCTGGTGATTCCTTCAGTGGGTCCATAGTACCTCCCTCGATCATCAGTCGTGACTGTCGTCTGGGAACTACAGCTCGCGACGGTGAGGGAGCAGAGACATCGTCTTGGACGTTCACGTGGTTGCCAAAGACGCCAGCGAGAAATTTAACGATTCGGTTGATGGTGTCCTGCTGTTTCTGGTGACGTGCACGCGCAGCTTCCGATTCTTTCCAAAGCAGCTCATTACTGCGTCGCAAATCGCTTAATTCAGCGGAGATGGCTGTTTGGTGTCGCTTGATAGTTGATATTCCATTCACTATAGATTGTAGGTCGAGCATTTGACCACCGCTACCTGTTGTCGGCATAGTAGCGTTATTGCCGGGGTTCTCAATCTTCTCCTCATCAGGAACGTTGGCAGACTTTTTGCGTTGGATTAAACAAAGCAAATCTGGTTGGTCGCGACGGAAGTTGGCGTGCTCGAAATTCCAGTACTCGGTGTCGGCGTCTCCTTTGAGGACTCCTTGCTGAAGATGTGGTACTTTGTGAAATCCGTACATGTTTAATTGGCGGACAAATGAAGCGAAATTTTGGTGTTTGAACCAGTGAGGCAGCACGTCCCGCGCGAATTGTTCTTGGTTGTAAACTAGGGAATTGAATGGGAGTCGAGTAGGGCGGTATAGGTACGCACCATAGAAGGAATCTCCGTCTGGAGCCCACTCGATAAGATGATTGGTCTTGGGATCGTTGACCATTCTGTGTGGATTCTGTTTTAGACCTAGCGATGTCAGGTGGCATCACGCAACTCGTGTAGTTTGTTGAGGAATGCGGGAATGCGGGTAGTTTGAGGCGCCGCCTGGAGAGCGGGACGGACTCTGGTGAGGGCGATTTGCTTTGACGCCATCGTGGACAAGTCTAAGTCATTGCCGAGTCCGATGTCACACAAGTAAGTCACTTTGGGTATGCGTTCAAGTTCAACTCTACTGAGTTCATATGACAGAGCAACTCTCACTTTCGCAACAGAGTGCACTGAAAAGAGGTATTCTAGGACTGCTAGTGGCAAAGAGGCACTGAGTCAACTCCATCTAGGCAACCTTGAAAGCCTACCTGAATTGTTATTATGTCCTCCTCATGAGATCAGCCGTCGATGCAAACTAACTCCACACGAAACGAACACCATTATCGACACAGTCTCTAAGACTCGCCATCCAAAGCTTGTTTCTATCGTGAACTGGCAAGATCGGCCCGACTACTGCTGTACCACTGGCGACACTGAACTAGATATGGCATTAGCTGGTGGCTTTCGCCCAGGCATGGTCTGGGAGTTATTCGGAGAAGCGTTCGTCGATCGAGCGACTCTTTTCAGATTACTCATGTATTTTAGAGGTGTTGGAAAAACTCAGTTAGCCCTTCAACAAGCCCTGTTCGTTCAACTTCCTGTTGCGCAAGGCGGACTCTCTGCATCCGCCTGTTATATCACAACGCATGCAACGTTGAATACCGAAAGGCTCATGCAGTTGATGACAACTAACCCTCTCTTGTCGCCAGAAGCATGCAGTCTCGACGACATTCAGACAATCACCGCTCCTACTGTACCCATCCTCATCTCTATCCTCTCCAAAATTCTACCAGACCTCATTTCTCATCGCGCCAAAACCGGGAACTCTAAGCAAGTCAAACTAGTAGTAATTGACGCTCTTGCTGACTTGTTCCTGGGTCTGGATAAAACCTCGACAGAAACACTGGTCGAACGTTCGCAAAGCCTTGTGGAGATTTCCACACTGCTGCATTCGCTAGCCAGTGTCTATAACATGCTCATTCTCGTTGTCAACCATACGACAGACATTTTTCATCTGAGTCAACATGCTGGCGAAGAGCTCGAATACAAACAACAAGCTCGATGGTTTGGCGGCGCAACGACGATCGCTGGAGTGAATTCCAAAGAAGCTAGTTTGGGTCTTGTATGGGCCAACCAAATCAACGCGCGCATTATGATGACGCGCACGGGACGGAGGCTTGTTCTTCACTCTGGTTCCAACAAACGACAGAAAGTGGGGGACCTTGGCCAAGTCCCTACACCTGCGCTGGCCTCAGAACCTTCCGAAGCCGTGATTCGGCGATTCACCATCATTTTCAGCTCTGTTGGTCCTCCTTGTTCAGTTGATTATATCATCACAACGAGCGGTATAAACACTCTCACTGATACCTTGTCTAAAGCCTCTGTCGAATCTGGCCAAGTAACGGTTCCATCATCATCATCGGCCATTGATTCGACTGAACCTTTCGATGAATGGGAGCAATATTTTGACGACATTCCCATTGAAGCCTATGATTTGGCTTTGTCCTTGCACCAAGAGCAACCCGAAATTTTGATTTGACTGGTAAACGGAGTCACACACACACAACTAACACCTGGACCGAAAATTATCGGTGGACGCAGACCCTCCCACCCCATTCGACTTCCTGCGGGGTTTTGGAGACAAGCAAAGTACAAGTTCGTCGCATTCGTAAACAGAATTAGAGGTACATGGATTAGATGAAGTCGACCGAGGGGAGTCATGTATCTTCGGACAGTTCCCGCCAACCATCTTGACCACCAAAGGTGTTCTCGCCAGAGTAGCTCACGTAAAGGAAGTTGTCCTCGTCCCTGGACAATTGAGTTGGAGCAGATGCGAGAGAAAATTGCGTACTTATGCTCCTCATATATCGCACTCATCAAGGCTGCAGTCGGCGGGAGGACCTCGTCAACGAAAATGAAGATGGCCTTCTCCGGGGCGAGCTTGATTCGTTTACGAATGACGTAGACGAATTGGCCTACGGTCAGGTCCTGTTATGAGTCAATAGGTGTTGGATGGGGGAGTGGCAACATGACGGACGGAGGGGACAAGATATTTCTTCTTGTCGATAGTGGGGATGTCGGTGCGATCTGCCTTCTCGCAGATGACCTACATTGGATGAGACTCGTGGTCAGGAGAGACACTAGTTTGACTCACAGGAATGCGGTCGGGGTATTTCTGGCGGATCCGCTCCGCCTCTGCCTTGCGCTTCTCTGGAAGAAATATAGCGTCGATCAAACGAAGGGGTTGGATGTACCGAAAGGGTGCTCGTCTTTGAACTTGGAACGCATTATGCTTGACCTCGTGGTAGTCAGAGACAAGCCTATATGGGCTGCGTAACACGAGTAACGTTGCATTAATCCATCCTTAGTCAGCACAGTATTATTATAGATAGTAACAGAATATCGTCATGTAGCTTTACCCAGACCCGCCGCCATACCAATCGCAAGAGCCTGACTCATATCGCGGCCCAAGTTAGAGTCGGATGGCGCAAACACGACCTTATCACCATACGCTTGGGTCTTCTGAACATCAATTCTCCCCAAGGCCATCTGGCGAGCAAATTGGTCGACCACCCTGCTCTCAGCATCTGCTTTAGTCTTGATAGCTTCGGCCTCTGCTTCTGCAGCTATACGTGTCGCATAAGCCTGCGCTTCTGCCTCTATTCTGATCTTTTCAGCCTGAGCCTTTGCGGCTGCTATAACAGCATAGGCGTGTCCATCAGCTAGCGCATTTTCGGTCTGAGCTTTGATACGGGCGACTGCCAATGCGCCTTCCTCTTGCTTGACGCGATTCTGATTCTCTCTATCCACGTTGGCGGCTTCGACTTGGGTGTGAAGTGCCCGGGTGGTCAACTGAACGTAGTCAAGCAATAGTTTGCAAGTCGTGATGTTCTTTTACCTTATCCATGGTATTCGCGATCTCGCCTTTGAACTGGCGATCGATAACAGCCAAATCCTTCAGGATACCATCAATTACAGTGGCAACAAAAATGCATATATTGACCTTGAGAATGATACCGTATTCCAGAGCCGCTTCGTGCATTCTGAAGGGACATTGAGAAAGTATCATTAAACGTCAAAAACCACTTTCTCATCCATAGCTTGCGTGCGAAGAGAATCCTGCGCTGATCATGAACCCAGAAGCCTTTTGTTGGGAAGATGTCCAAATACCAAGAATTGAGAGCTAGCCTCCTGGCCGTCTTCAATATTGTTCGGTCCCAAAGTTCGTTGTTTGACCTAAGGTTCAAGGTTGAAATACCAAAGGGTATATGCGAGTTCGGAACTTGCCATCGACGAATAGTCAAGGTGCGACACAATTTGGGTCAGTATGGATTGGGTTTTGTCTCGCAGAGCATCATAAGGGGTGTTGTAACCATCTGAACGAGAAATTTAGTGCCATATGCATATACCGATGTGGTCATGCTTACGCTTCGTGAGCTTCAAGGGTTCCACTAACTGCCATTTCAGATACAAACGGAGAGAAACGGGAACTTGATCGCGAGTGAAGCTATTCCCAAATCAGAGTGAGTGAGTTATGAGAGCATTCACTGGCAGACGGACATATCCTAGCAGGGAATCAGAAACAAAAATATTCACGAAAAAGTCGCAAAACCTTGGTCGGGAGTTCGAGCTGGTTCTCACCCAGTGTAAACAACCCCCGTAAAGTAACTGAAGGGTTGGTTATAACGGATTGACCGGCTGACAACAGTTCAAGGTCGTCTCCTCGTTGGAGGATAGCACAATTATTCGCTGGGATGTTAAGGCTATAAGGCGTCAGGAGCTCGAATGTAGAGAGTTCAGGCTTTCACAAGAGTGCGACGACATAATCTTTGATTTCCCCTTTGCCGACCTTGCTTTTCATTCTGACCTCGTGAGTCCAACCCAACGTGATGTTGGTCAGCTTATCCATGACTGGTGTCTTAGATTGATCAGCGCAGCATTGTGTGCCGACAGAAAATGCTCACTGTGAGGTGAGTTTGATCGACAATGGATAGGACGTTATAAGATCCTTCGACGGCAAATGCAACGAAGCCGGAGTTCTTCACCACAAAGATTTGGTTTTGTGGGTCAGATACAACTGCTGCTTGATTTTGTGAGACTTGCACAACGGTCAAGCCCTGGAACTCGATGACGGCGTCGGAAACTGTCAGATATGAGCGACGGTAAAGAAACGTTTCTCGTGCTTACTTCCGTGAGTGCCTTCGAATGTTCGGGCCCACCAGTTGCGAAAGGGGAAGGGGCTATGTTCTGAGGTAGGGTAGAGATGCATGAGCGAAAGACCACTCACGGATACAAGCCAGGTCTCGTCAACAACTTTGGAGAGCCACCGTGGTTGATCAAACCCAGCTGACCTGGTTGGATTTCTGTCCCCAGCCATCTCACTGGTTGCTATGTGCCCGAACTCCGCAAGTCTATTATAATAAGGAAGAAAAACGAACCTTCTTAGAAAGTATGCTTGCACGTCCACTCTGCAAAAGTCAAGCAAAGGTCTACAAGAGTGGAACAATGAGCCGACCTCTCGAAGCTGCTCATCTAGTTTCTGGAGGGCGGTTATTAGACCTCCTGTGCCAATGGGAACATAGAATAGTCGCTCCCGCGCAGCTGCATCGCTGCTAAGTAAGCGATCCTGGGTGATTTTGGTTGTTCCACGTGTTAGTTCAGCCAAAGATTTAGCGGGGGTTGTGAATGCGTTGCGTTGATCCTTGAGAGTAGCATCGCTCATCGCAGTGGTCGAGTCTCCAGTGATAGACATGAGTAGGCTATGGCGGCTGCCTCATTGGAGACTTTTAACTTGGAGCCAAAGCTGTGGAACAGCTGTCCTCAAGCATAGCTGTTAAGCCATGATCGCGATCGTGACTAGTGACGTGACACGCAAATGCAAATGTTGCAACTTGTCTTGTGGTGTTTCTTTCCACTGCTAGTTGCGGCCAAGTTGGAAAATGACACTCTACTATGGGGGCCATATCGTCCGAACCTTTACTTTGGTCTTCGCCCTCGTATTCCTCAATCTCTGATGACTGGTCTTATGTGGTTTGGAACACAAGACTACCAATCCATTGGCAGTAAGTATTAGTTCCTCCGTGAATTCCGCCCATTATTCTTCAGAAACGCGTCATGCATGTGACCAAGGAGATGGAATAACAAATTATACGTGGACCGAATACGATGCACGCGAGGGCGGCGTTCAAACCATCAACGATGGTCCCAATAACGTCAAAATAACCACAGAATTCTTCAAGGTGGCTGGAGGCAACCACGGTGGCAGCTGGGCTGCAAGAATTAAAGGAGAACCTATAAACGATGGTACAGTCTCCGAGCCAGTCCTAAAACTCTTACACAAGTTGGTAGCAAGGCCCTCCCGCATATCAACCATATTTTATTTTGGGATGGAAGGACTCGGTGCTTTGGATATGGACACAGAGGAAGACGAGAACGTGAGTATTGTGTGTGTGGTCTCCACCACTACTTACTTTTCATAGGGTCTGGATGGAGAAGTCAAATTAAGCGGCTCAACACCAGAGCTTGACGAATTTACTATTCGTATCGTTGACGGTAACGTGTTCTGTGACTTGCAACCCCCTGAATGTAAAGCAGATTCTTATAGACCCCAGCAACTCTGCACCTGTGACTGGCAACTATGCCTCCCAGTTCGAAAAAAGGAACGGTAAAACGCACTTCCTTGGTCAGCCTGTCCCCTCGGGAAATATATGGCAAGCCAAAGAAGTCCTTCTTCAAAATATTATCAAACGCGCTCAAGATATTCTGGCGCCGTTCAAGGATGCTACGACTGGACCACCCGATCCGTCCTTCGTCCTACAATTCTCAAACGAGGCTTACACAGGTAGTAATTTGTACGCTATCCAGAAGATTTTCGACGGCGAGTTTCAATTCGATGTCTTCTTTGAGAGTGCGAGTTCCAAACACCACCTCAGTGGTAAGCAATTCAGAGACGTTTCTGACCTTCGCTTATATTCGACTTAGCTTCCACCATCAATGAGGGCATTCCCGCTCTGACTTCCGCATATCACCGTCGCTTTCAAGACACGTTTCCTTTTCCTTCTGATTACCATGGTCCTAACCAAGACTCGATGGAGAAGTTTTCAAAAGCTGTGACGTCCAACCTTATGGCCGGCGTTGGCTATTTCTATGGCACCTCCATCGTCAATCGAAAATTTTCCTATGAATGGGATGAAGAGGAAAACGCAGAATCCAACAACGACGAAGGTGCAAGTGGGGCCAAATTGACCGAACCTCGTGCTCTGTTAACGGCCACACCGAGTCGAAGCTTCTTCCCACGCGGATTTTATTGGTCTTGGTTCACCTATTACAATTATGCATTATAACTGACGCTCATTCACCAGGGACGAAGGCTTTCACCTCCTGCATATTGGGGCCTGGGATAGTGATTTTAGGTACGTGATAAAAATGGAACGGAACGGGGTTTTAAACAAATGTCAGCTTAGAGATACTGAGGCACTGGATAGACCTAATTGACTCGGATGGCTGGGTTGCCCGCGAGCAAATTCTCGGCGAAGAAGCGCGAAGCAAGGTAGATGCTAGTGTGGATGTTGACCATTTATCAACATTGTACAGGTCCCTGCTGAGTTCCAAACTCAAGTGCCAAATTATGCAAATCCGCCTACTCTCACCATGGCAGTGACCGCTTATATCGCTCGTGTGAAGAAGGCGGCTGCTTCCTCTGGGCCATCAGTTCACGATCTCGGAATGGAGTTGGGGTCTCAATTAGTCCTCAAAGACTCGTCGTCGTCTTATCTTGAACCGGAAACGGCACTCTCATTCCTTAAATCGATATATGGCCCATTGAAGCGGCATTATAATTGGTTCAGATCAACACAACGGGGTCAAATCAAGCAGTATGGCCGGGTTGCACGTTCTCGGACTGAAGGTTACCGTTGGCGTGGCCGCTCGGAGCAGCATGTCTTAACGAGTGGAATGGACGATTACCCTCGAGGCCCTCCTCATCCCGGCGAACTTCACTTGGATCTCATATCTTGGATGGCATTCTTCTCGCAAACTATGAAAGACATAGCAGAGTTTGTGGGGGAAAATGACGACGCTGCTTCGTTTGCCGAAATAGAGCAAGCAATTCTCGGCAACGTTGACGGTAATTCGTACTCGAAACTCGTACTAATGAGCTAAACCAAACGGCCCGTAGATTTGCACTGGAATCAAGAGCGTCGAATGTACTGTGATCTCAATGTGGATTCCGATGGTAAGTTTGACCTCTTAACTAATGTCTTCTTGCCTAATGCAGTTGACAGACGAATCGTATCATGTTTGTCATGCAGGGTACCTTTCTATGTTTCCGCTTCTACTTGGCCTTTTACCCCCGACTGCTGAACATCTTGGTCCGATGCTTGATATGCTTCGTGACCCTGACCAGTTGTGGTCGCCATACGGTTTGCGAAGTCTATCTGCATCCCATCCAGAGTTTGGTCAGGGTGAGAATTACTGGAAAGGGCCAATATGGATCCAAATGAATTACCTCGCTCTGCGATCTTTGTTCAAGGTTCGCGTTGTTTCCGTTCATACTCCGAAGGCTCAGATGAATCCTATAGGTATACGCTAAGGAAGAAGGGCCATACCGAGAACGAGCTCAGCAAATATACCACGAACTGCGAAAGAACATCATTAACAATGTTTTTGAGGTTCAAGAATTTCTGGCTCATCGTAACGGTCACTGATCTCTGGTAGGAATACCAACGCACGGGCTATGTTTGGGAGCAATACGATTCCACGACTGGCAAGGGCATGCGAAGGTAGAGTGCTTTAGAAAGTCTTGACAACTGGCTAATTCCGACAGCCATCCTTTCACCGGTTGGACCTCGCTTGTCACACTAAGTAGGTCTTGCGCTAATTAGCACCGAATTCCGAAACTGAAAAATTGGATGTAGTTCTTGCGGAGACATACTAGTCGTATAAGTACAGAGTGTACATATGTGGGAAAAGTGCTTGGTGCATGCAAAAGAAAAGAAAAAAAAGAGTCAAAACTGGTCCGCGTCGAAAGAAAGAGCCTCGAAATGCAATGAATCGAGTCTCATCTCGCCTTCATCACCATCATCTTTGGTACTCAGTTGCTGTGGATGCAAATCGGTTTCGTCGGTGGGTGTTTGGGGAACCGATGATGTGACAGTGGAGCTCGAGCTTCTACTCATTGGTGGTGTCCGTGACAGACTGAGTGTAGAAAGGCGACGTCGGATGTTGGTGAAACTGGAAGATGTCTGATGAGGAATGGCGTCGGGATGGTATGGCTCTACTGGTGCTGGCTCATAGGAAGTAGACGAGGCTCTGGATGGAATACGAAAGAGATCGGTGAAGATGATAGATCCACGGCGAGTGGGGGGTGTCTCCGTTGAGTGTGCCGTTTCGAAGGTCGCTTGGGTGCTCTGGCTGGAAGCGAAAACCTCCTTTGCGTACGGTTTATTGTTGGGAGTGCGACGAGCGAGGTTCTTTATTGAACGAAATGCACTTCCAGCACGAGAACGTAGCGATTTGGGTTTAGGCATACCCTCTGTTGCATTAATCGCGCCTGCCTCCTGATATACTCGCCGGACCTTGACCACTTCAACAATCTCCGAATCGTCGCGCGCTATTTCTCCAACCGCGGGTTCACTGCGCGTGAGAGGGAGGACGGATTTCGGGACAGAGGAATCGAGGACGGCGGCGTTGGCTTCACCATGCAGACGAGAAAGGGCATCATCGAGTGAAGCAAAGTCGGGAGGTGTTGAGAGGTTGCGTTCCGGTAGCTGGACAGAGTTGAATACGAGGTAGTCCGGCTGCTCATCCTCAGCGGGAGGGACCACAATAATTTGAAAGGGAGTGACGTTAAAAGGAGTGGAGTGTAGTAACATGGTGGTTGAAACTGCAAGTGGTCGTTGGCTAAAGATGTTCGTTGATCAATGTTTAGCCAATTAACATCAGATGTCAGCTGTCAATCATCAGATTATTGCTGGTGTAATATCATCATATTCAACAAAATAGTAATATTGAATATGCAAGGGGCTATGTGTATATTGCCATCGTGCTCTAGTTGATATCAGCTCTTGCCCTGTGCCTCTAGTGCCGCCAAATCTTGAGTCCTGCAGCGGAGTTATATCAAACTGGACCCACCGGCCACCGATCATCAATGTGTCATCATCTCTGACACTGCCACTCACAACTTCCTCACCCTCGTTCAATATGCGCACTCCCGCTCTACTTTTGCTAACTCGCGTCGCGTTTGCATCCCCACTCCTTTTTACCGCGAAAAAGAAAGTTCACGAACACCCCGAACTCTGGTCTCCAGAGTTCTGGGAGAAGATTGGCGTCTCAGCTGTGCTCGTTCTACTTGGAGGAGTCTTCGCTGGGTTATTCCACGTGTTATGGGGTTAAATGTTTCTCTCTCTAAGCTCAGTCACAGATTAACCCTTGGCCTGATGGGTCTTGACGAGTTACACCTTCGGGTTCTGGCCACGTCCTCAGATGATCCAGTCGAACAAACCAACGCGAAGAAAGGTGCAACATTGTGTTCTGGCTCCATGAGAGTATGTATGTACTAACGTTGGACTACACAGTCCTCAAGCTGATGGAACATGGCCGACATTGGGTTCTAGTCGTGTTACTACTCAGCAATGTCATCATCAACGAGTCTCTTCCTATATTTCTAGACAGTGCGGCAAGTCGACTGTTTTATTCCCTCATAGGAAGCCTTGACATCTCGAACAAAGATTGGTGGTGGCGTAGCAGCTGTGGCACTCTCTACGACTGCGATTGGTGGGTACAAGCTATATTCTCTCTGAATTCGTTCATTGATTCTTATTTTCTAGTCATCTTCGGGTTAGACTTTCCTCTCGCCGCAACTCATATTTTGTTTAACATCTGTGAAATAGAGAGTATGTCTTGGTTCTTGCAGCGCAGCTTATGTAACATCAATACCTCGCAGAATCATTCCACAGGCCTTGTCTGTGAGATATGGGCTGAAGATTGGTGCAACATGCGCCCCGTTTGTGTTGGGTGCGATATGCTTATAATTATGACTACGTGATCAACGCTGAAAGCTTTCAAGCTGCAATGTATATTCTTGCCCCAGTGGCTTATCCAATTGCTCGTCTTCTGGACTGGGTTTTGGGCGAGGGTGAAACACACACGTATAAGAAAGCTGAACTAAAGAGCTTCTTACAGGTGCGTTTGTCCCTCAAATGCTTGATCGTGGGTCGATTTGTAGTTTCATCGGACCGGTGAAGAGCCTCTGCATGATGAAGAGATCACCATTCTGAACGCGGTACTCGAGTTGGGGGGAAAGCGGGTGGAAACGATAATGACGCCGATCAAGGTATTCCGTTCCCATCCAATGCCAACCCAGGTCTCATTGGCTGATCAGGATGTTGTGACCCTTTCCGCGGATGCTATCTTGGACGATAAACTCATGGAGACGATGTGCGTGGTATTGTTCTCAAGTGCCCGGACAATATCCAATCATTTCTCTACAGTCTTCTCAGTGGGTATTCGCGCTTCCCAGTGCATGAACCCGGTAAACCAGGGGCCTTTATTGGATTGCTATTAATAAAAAAGGTGGGACTGCAGATTGTTTCGCATCATCACTGAACACCCATATCGTAGCTATTGCGATATGATCCTTCTCTTGCCCTTCCCGTCTCCAGCTTTTCGTTGTCTATCTTGCCCGAGGCGCCACCCAGCATAAGCTGCTTTCAAGCTCTTGACTACTTGTAAGACATCCATCCATCCTGCTGTTATTTATAATCACTGAGCCTTGGTAGCCAAACCGGACGTGCACATTTGCTGCTGATCAGCCAGGCCCCGGGAAAGGTTAACGGTGCGATTGGAGTAATCACACTCGAAGGTACCTCTTTGTCTTGATCCCTGCCTGCGAAAGTTCAATTCCTCCAGATATCATTGAAGTACACCTTCATTCTGTTTTCTCCGAACAATTGACGGATCAACTGCATAGGAAATTCTCTCAGAGGAGATTATCGACGAGACGGATAGGTATGAGGACAACGTGACCAAACACCGCGCCAGTCGTCTCGCCACTGCTGCAGTGATGCGAGGTATTGTTGAACGGCGAAACAGAGGCACGTCGCTTGCATCTGAGCGCACACCGCTTATGGATACCGAGTCTTTGTCGAGGGGAACTAGTGTCACTCGGGGCGAACAAAGAAGTATATACGGAAGCTTGAGTTGAGTTGATACTTGTAGATGTATTGCCACGACACTTAACTTGGTTCTAAGTGCATTGTCAGACCTCTGGGAACAGATCTAATCTTTTTTGTGAAGCAGTTAAATAAAGCAGTGGTTACTACTTATTCTCGTTTCTTTGATGGATCACGGTTTTGCTTCTTGAGCTATATGCTTTGTAAATAATAAGCCAATGCATTTATTGCACAACATACTAGCGCCTCCGCGATCTAACCGGCCGATAAATAATCGACAGTAGAAAACAAGCAGAATCACACCTTACCAAGCTCACTCCTGTACTGCTTACACTGCCTTTCGGCCTCAACCTTCTCCTTTGCGCTGGTGTGGAGAGATTGAATCTGGTCCTCCGCAGACAAGACATAGCCTCGGAGTCTGTGTTCAAAGCCGAGGAGTTGTTCCACTGTGAATTCGTCGAGAGTGGTCCAAACTGGAGGATGGAGGGCTTCGATGGCGTTGTCGTAAAACCTCTCGAAGAATTCCATAATGGTCATGGTCAAGGAAGTGATGCTGTGCAACGGCAGTCCAGCCCCTATTGACATTGGAGAATGCTAGATCTGAGCGCATATCGCTTATGGATACCGAGTTTTTGTCGAGGGGAACTAGTGTCACTCGGGGCGAAGTATACGGAACCTTGAGTTGATACTTGGAGTTGTTGTAGATGTGACTAGCAATTACTGTAGGCTTTGTGACAGTATGCTGACACTTTATCCCAACATTCACCACAGTAGAATTGTTGCACGTCTCTCCAAGCTATATTCGACCATGGCGGCGCGTCGTACTATGTCCGTCCAGTTTCTGGGTACCTCATCGGGTGGTGGGCCCACGGAATCAAGAAACTGTTCCTCTCTCGTTATTGATTGCCTCGGCAACGACACTTTATGGAGTCGGTCACTCGTATCTCAGTCCCGACTCGGTGCTCATAATCTTCTGACCATCCAGTGGTTGACTGTGCAGAAGGAACAACACGACAATTCGCGTTCCAATCTCCCGCAACGCCCATGTGGCTGAAACCTAATAAAGTTGCCAAAATGTTCATCGTATGTCTATTCAGCAATTTTATTTGATTGGGCCTATATCCATCCACTCATAGACACATATGCATGCTGACCACGTCATGGGTATCATACCTTTTCTTCGGCATATATTGTACCCACCGCCTGTGAATCCATCCACCTCCTCAAATCATTCGGTGCCCCAGCCTAAAATCGAGATTTTTGGACCCGCTGGTCTACGATTCTTTGTTCGCTCGATTCTCAAGATGACCCTTACACGCACCTTGGACAAATATGTCGTTCATGAACTACTCCGGGCCGGTGAGTCGCAGCATTTCGTCGAGCTGGGGTATCAAGTACTATTGCTGTAGACGACACCCCGACCACTTGTAATCCAGCAGAGTTACATTCAAGCGAGGTAACACCAACACAATAATTCCTTACCTTGTCTAACGCGGCTCCTTGATACCTGGCAATGATATTCGCTGTTCTGAAGACGGGTTCTGGAGAGAGCTTACCCGCGGTCATGGTCCAAGTGTTCTTGGTGATATCATAGTCGATGCGGGTCCGATCCTCCATCGTGGTTCGCTCTGTTTTCACTTCTGAATTAAAAAGGCCAACATATTTCAGACCCATGTCTAGGATACACCTTTACTGAAGAAGACGGACTACGGCGACAAATCGTTGTTCTGGGAGATACTTATGATGCCTCTGCTATCATTCCACTTTGTCGAAGTCCGTCGCTTGTTATTCACGAAGCCACCGATGGGCACATTCCGCACGAAATCCAGCCCTCAAACAAGCGCACACCTGAGACGGTTCAGATGACAAGTCTCGCTCGTGGTCATTCTATCCCTGCAAACGCCGGTCAGTTCGCCAAAGCCGTTGGTGCGGAAAGACTAGTCCTCAACCATATTGGTGGCCGGTTAATACTGCGTTTCCCGCTCTTTGAACGCTTCTGAAATTGTGGACAGCTTTCCAGTTCCTCGGCACGACCGTGACCCGCGGTTGCATATAATACGAGAACTGGAGCGTCAAGCAACAGAAAGTTGGGGGTCTGGCCAGCGTGCTATGGTTGCATGGGATTTTTGTCGAGTTACTCTTCATCACCCTGAAGAGGATTTACACGTAATGGGTCAAGGTACTGATTCACACACGAAAAAGAGACGCAGATGGTGACGAGCAGCAACTCAGCAGCAAATGTACTTGATCATAAATTATCCCAAACATAGTAATATAATTATAATTATTGATGGCGGCCGTCGCTTGAGTCACGTGTGACATTATCCGCTCTTCTCCCTTGAATCCTTCACTTGTTTCTTTTTTCGCACTGTTTGTCCCTGGTGGTTGATTCAATGTCCAAAGTCTCTTGTGTGTAGTCCCTCTCTTGCTTGTCTTTCTTCTTATTTTGCAGCCATCGACGATCCCTCTCGTGTTACAACAGTCGCCGCCAACGATGGCAAGACTGGGTCGGCCCGGGAGATCAGCTACACAAACTACAAGGTCATTGGCAATGGGTCGTTTGGTGTTGTCTACCAGGCCAAACTTGTCCCTACTGGCGACGAGATTGCCATCAAGAAAGTCCTCCAAGACAAGCGTTTCAAGGTCCGTCTAATCGCCATTTCCTGTCGCGTCTGCTTACACCAGTTCAGAATCGCGAGCTGCAGATTATGAGGCTCGTGTCTCATCCAAATGTCGTCGATCTTGAAGCTTTCTTTTATATTAGTGGTGAAAAGGTGCGCCTCGTGGGCTCGAACTTGGCGTTGTCCCGACTGTTTTGTCAGCCTGCACAGAAGGACGAGGTCTATCTGAATCTTGTTCTGGAGTACGTTCCGGAGACGGTCTATCGTGCGAGTCGTCACTACGCCAAGCTGAAGCAACCGATGCCAATGCTCCAAATCAAGCTGTACATGTACCAACTTTTGCGTTCACTCGCCTACATCCATTCGCTCGGCATATGCCATCGAGACATCAAACCTCAGAACCTACTCCTCAACCCTTCGACTGGTGTACTGAAATTATGTGACTTCGGCTCAGCCAAGATACTCGTCGCAGGTGAACCCAATGTCAGCTATATCTGCTCCCGATATTATCGCGCACCGGAATTGATATTTGGTGCCACCAATTATACCACCAACATTGGTCAGTGGAGCTCAAACGTCCTTTCTCGTGACCTCACTTGAGATTTTAGACATTTGGTCAACTGGGTGTGTGATGGCGGAGTTAATGATGGGCCAGCCGTTGTTTCCTGGAGAGAGTGGCATTGACCAGTTGGTGGAAATCATCAAGATACTCGGCACACCATCGAGGGAGCAAATTAAGACGATGAACCCCAACTATATGGAACACAAATTCCCTCAAATTCGCCCTCATCCCTTCTCAAAAGTGAGTTGAGTATGTCTGTTGTCATCTCAAATTCTCATCGGGTCTTCAAGGTCTTCCGACCACGGACTGCGCCAGAAGCGATTGACCTCGTGTCGAAACTACTGGAATATACTCCTTCCGCCCGGTTGAGCGCTGTTGAGGCAATGGTCCATCCTTTCTTTGACGAGTTGCGCACTGAAGGGGCTCGGATGCCCAACGGCAAGCCCTTTCCGCCGCTGTTTGATTTTACACGCGAAGGTCAGTTGAATTTGTCGTCATGATAATGTCACTGACTACTTGGCGAACCAGAGCTCTCTGTACGACCAGACCTCGATAGGAGACTTGTGCCGCCTCACTGCGAGTCAGAGTTGGCGACAAGGGGAATAGTTTTGGATTCTTTTGTACCGATACCGCTGGACGAGCTCAAGATTACGTTGGACTGAAAGTTTCAGATATGGGGTTGAATCTGTGCTGATCCGGGTCGCCCTATATATATATAATTTTTATGTCATGTTAGCTTGTGCTGTGTTCATTCCGTGCTATTGCCTCATGATGCGCAAATCACTCTTGGTCAACAAATTATTCCTTGCACTCCTACTGCCATGACAAGCACGGGCTACGTTTGCGACACCATTCCTCCTGCCCGTCTTGCTGGGCCAGACGACCCTTTGCCTTGTTCCCTACTCGATGACCCCGAGCCAGAACCGCCCCAAATTCAGGCTGATGCACCTCTACCCCGCAAACTTTGTGTCCGCCACCAGCGAATGGCTGACGAAGGCACGAATCTCAAGTTACAACAGGCTCGTCTTTACCTTCTAGCCCTGCTTATCGATTCATCATACTCTCATAGTCATTAGACGCCTTGCCTTTGGATGAACGGGAAAAAGTCAGCACGATATGGGCTAATTTCTCGTCTTCATCGCACCCCCGACGGGAGCTCATACTCCATGGACTTCTCACGATGTGTTGCTTTTCGCAACTCTCACTCCTCACTGAACAACTGGCCCACATTATTCGCATCGACCCTTTCGTTATTCTTCCGCGAGAAGTTTCCCTCAAAGTTCTTGGTTATCTTGATGCAACCTCGTTGTGTCGTGCAGCCCAAGTTACCAAGAAATGGCGACATCTTGCTGACGACGATATCTTGTGGCGGGGAATCTGCGAGCAGCATATCGGGCAGAAGTGTCACAAATGTGGATGGGGTTTGCCGCTGCTGGAGAAGAAGCGGGGTCTTCCCAAGTCACCGTCACCCACACCGCCGCCAGCAACACCAAACAATAGCAAACGCCCTTCGTCCGACAATATCTGTCCCCGACCACTAAAACGACAACGCTCGGATCCACCACCTTTTGATGATCTCACACGCCCATGGAAAGACGTTTATAGCGAACGTCTAACGATTGAACGCAACTGGCGGCGAGGTCGGTGTAGTGTCAGGACACTTAAAGGCCACACAGACGGTGTCATGTGTTTGCAATTCAGCGAAAGTATGTCGAACCCAGACTTCCCAGTCCTCATCACCGGCTCTTATGACCGTACCGCGAGGGTATGGAATCTGGAAACAGGGGAGGAACTGCACTGTCTGAAAGGCCATGCAAGAGCTGTCAGAGCCCTCCAGTTTGACTCGGTCAAACTCATCACTGGCAGTATGGACCATACGCTCAAGGTTTGGGACTGGCGAAGAGGCAGGTTGATACGAACCCTCTCAGGCCACACAGAGGGGATCGTTTCTCTTAATTTCGACTCGAATTTGCTTGCAAGTGGCAGTGTCGATTCCACCATTAAAGTCTGGAACCTGCGAACTGGGGGGGCTTTCACACTGAGGGGCCATTCAGACTGGGTCAATGCCGTCCAACTTTGGGATAAGAATGCCAGTCCCCTTTCTGCTCCGACATGGGACGACCAAGGCCAACAAGGCCCACCCCAGATTGATCCGGGGAAGATGCTGTTTTCGGCTTCAGACGACGGTACAGTCAAGCTCTGGGATCTCAATACGAGGTGTTGTGTCAGAGTCTTCACCGGCCATGTTGGCCAAGTGCAGAGTATGAAGCTCTTGTTAGCGGAGGAATGTGAAGAGGAGGCTGAAGAGTTGGAAAGTCGGCCAGACCAGACACCAAAGAAACCGTTGCTGATCACTGGGAGCCTCGACAACACAATCAAGTTATGGGACATCGATACAGGCGAGAATACGTCGACATTCTTTGGCCATATTGAAGGCGTCTGGGCAGTAGCCAGCGACAAACTACGACTCGTTAGCGGTAGCCATGATCGAACCATAAAAGTTTGGTCACGGGACGAGGGTAAATGTACCGCAACGCTTGTTGGACATCGGGCTGCGGTTAGTTGTTTAGCGTTAGGGGAGGACAAAATCGTGTCGGGCAGTGATGATTGGGATGTTAAAGTTTGGAGTTTCAGTGTTACATAGTCAAGTTGTACTAGATTTCAGCCGTTCTGTCACCAGTTCGCTGAATTCTTCGCGGAGAATAGCTTCCCGTCGTTCCCTCTCTTCCTTCTGCAACTTGAGAATGCCGCGCTTTTCCTCGGCACTAATGACTTGGTTTTCCTTGCGTATGCGGACGGCATTCATCCGACGATGACGACTGCCACTCATGACATAGCCCACATTCTCAAACTGCGCAATTTCATCCGATGTTAGTCCAATCTCCCCTCGTCTTGGTATTCGTGATTCCGTCCCATCTTGAAGGAAGGCAGCCATTGCACTACCTTCACCACGGAGCAAAGAGCCACCATATTCGCGGTCGTCGATACGTCTGAAGCCGGTGGCTTGCTTTGGCAGCGGTTGGGGCCCAAGCCAGTCGTCTGAGTCTGATTCGCCATCCGAAGTGGTGGTCGCCAGGACAGGCAAAGGAATTGGCGACACACCAGCTACGGATTCCTTGACTACCCATTCATCGTCCAAATCCTCCTTCCCAGATCTTCGTTTACGCTCTCGTTTCCTCGATTCTCGGGCAGACGAATCGCTCGACTCCGAGCGGCTGCGTTTAGACTTCTTTTTGTGTGCGCGCGCATCTCGCCCAGGACTCTTCGGCGAAGTTGGCCATATATTGACGACTATTGTGTCTCGTTGTTTTCTCCGACTTTCCATTGAATCATAGCTTGGTCGAGGAGCTGATCGCGGCTCGTCGTCGTATCGTGGGCTCGCGCGTCGTGGCCCCGGCACCAGCGACGCACGAGAAGGATGGGTGAAGGACATTTATGTAGACCCAGAGACCGGATAAAATTCGAAACCAGTATTAGCAAGTAGCTAGCTTTCCTTTGGCACTGTGCGGTTCGGATCAAGTCTAGATAGATCACGTGTCAGACCGCGGAAATCTAGACTCGAGCCAGTCGTTATTGGTGTGACAGTCGTATTGGTGTGACAACCAATAACGACTGGAACAGAATCACTGTTTGGGGAGGGGCAGAGCTCATGTCATTGATGGCATGAGTGACGGTCTGTGACCCGCTCTGCCATCGGTCGTCAAGAACTGATCACAGTGCAGCAGCATCTACTGACTGAGTTCACACCCGAAAAAATCTAAACAAATTATCATAGCAGCTCATTTGTATCTAAACAGCTTGGCGGGGAAATTTTCTTGAAGGATTCATGTTAACTTAGTAAGGAGCCATTTTCCTGGAAGAAATGAATGCATGATGAGGAATTATGCTACGGTTATGATATTTTTGCCGCCAAAAGACGCTCCTTGATCTTCCCAGTCGAACGAGCATCTTTCCGTGGATTTCGGCGGATGTCAGCGGAAGCAGTTCGCAGACCGATCACGCATCTGTGATTTGACAGCAATGTGCCGTCACTCACTCACTCACCCACTGACTTCCACCTTCGTGACGTCGACTTGCTCAACGCGTCCATCGACCGAACGACCACATAGGCGGCGTCATCTGTTCGGGAATGCCTGGAAGGCCGAAGATTTCGCTTGCGCGACAGGCCGTATTGAAGAGGATGCAGCAGGATAATCGGGAGAGGCTGGGAAGGGTGGTAGAGGCTGGTGGGGAGGCAGATGATGAGGGAGCGGCAACCAAAGCTACGTCTAAGCGTTCCAAGGGCCCTAAACGACCTTCACAGCTGGCTCTTCTGCGTGCCGAACTGCAAGACACACAGTCAAGGCTGGCTCAAACGGAAACCGAGCTTCAAGACATGGTAACGGAGCTGGAGGCTGCGCAAGATGCTATTCGCAAACTGGAACATCAGACAGAGTCTATTCGAGCCAAGCTCTACGAATCCTCTACCCACCTCGACTCTCTCTCCAGCCAGCTCGCAGAAAGCGCCGATACGGTCAGAAAGACCTCAGCCCAAGTTACTCGACTCAAGCGCGGTCGAACGATGGCTCAAGGCGTCTCCAAGGCTGCTCAGACGCATGCAAATGCCCAAATCTCGCACCAACAAGTGGTCCTTGAAGCAGAACGCGCTCGAAATGCTTCTCTCGATGCCCAGATTGCACAAGCGCGTCGGGACCAGCAAGACCTTCGTAAAGCGTATGAGAAAGCCCGACGGGAGCGAGAGATGTACAAGAAGCGCGCCGAACGAGCTCAACCCGTCTTGAAAGCGACGCAGAAAGCACTGAAGACACTGCAAGTCTGGAATCCGATGGACGGCAACATGTATAGTGCGAATGCTCGGCGACTCTTTCGACGACTGGATGCTGCTGGAGTTTCGAGCAAGCGAATGCCGGCTGTTCTCTCTGTTGTCTTCAGCGAACTTGGAATCAAGATGAAGCGCAAGCCGAGTCCGAGGCTGATACGAATGGTGGTAAAGGAAGCGGGGTTTCTGAGTAAGGTTCAGCTGGGGCTAGAGGTTGCGAGTGCAAAGGGTGCAAATTAGCTCTAGCTCTTCGATTCCGACTAACTTGCAGTAGTCATTGGTGGTAGTAGCGATGGGACGACAATAAAACGGTGGATATGCGGTCTGCGTATCATGGCCCTATATGCGATATGCTCGTGGCGGTGGTTCCGAAAACGGCGGCCTCATCAACATTCTCGACACAGTTGACTTTCATCGCTCGCTCGTACCTTTCTGTCGGAGGCTCGCTGACAATCCCGCCATTCTCCTTGACTCCAACACGCCAGACACCAGCCTCACGATTGACGGCCAACCTTTCATGGACGTACTCGTTATTGCCAAGATTCGCGAACGAGCATCTGACCTCCCGAGGCTTCAAGAAGCGATCACAGCCGTTTTTACTGGCGCTGTCACCGGCTGGACAATTTTTACTGAAGAGTTTGCAGAGGGCGGGCCGATCGATTTGCTAACAGAAGAGGAGAAGGAGGAAATGAATGTGAACTCTACAAATGACCCAAATGAAGGTTGGCGGTCTTCTAAACCTGAATCATTACTCACTATCGTCCCAGGTGGGCTTGGCTACCTCCGACAACAGAAACTCAAGAACCCATCTGCCACTATCGACTTGATTTCAGCACGGGCCATGTACCGCCGCAACGAGACTGAAGACTTCATTACTACCCACGCCAGTTCCCGCGACATGACACTATATGCTATGCGGGAGGCACGGAAGGCCGACGGTGCAGGCTCGCAACAACGATTTCGAGCTGAACGTGCCAAACGACTCATTGCCAAAGCGACTGAAAACAAAGGCACGACGAGACAAGCACTTACAAGAAGAAGCAGCGCGTCGCGCAAAGCTCTTAGCGACTCCAGTCATCACTGATACACGAAAACTCAATACACTCAATATGAAACAACTGACCGAGCAGATGCGAATCCATTGGAAGATATTCAAGGACCCCGTCTTGGCTGCTATTCCCAACAAGTCGGTTCTCTCGTGGAAAGCAGAAATGCTGAAGGCTGTGAAGGAGGCTGTGGAGAGATATTTGGAAAGGTAATGGCTTCTTGCTAGGTCATCTTAAGCTTATCTCGACAGGATGGATGTCGCGCGTCGCCATCTGGACTCTGACAGATCCGAGGTTGGAGACTGCAACTCCGATGTGTACTCAGAATGGGGCGGTATCACGCAGGGCGGCGCTGGAGATGACCTTGGCATGGAAGAAGTAGAAATCACTGGTTGGACTGCTGTAGATGAGTCGGAAACCGGCTTGACAATGGATGTTGATTAACCATCAAAGATGAGCTGATGGCTTGCGCTGGCGAGGAGGAAGGAACGAAAGTATGTTCAACCTAAGTTGTTTTTTCACTACTTTAGAGTGCGATAAGTACCTCCAGAAAGTTTCAGATTTTTGCATGGCCGTGGTCCCAAGATCTGAAGTCCCAAACATTCATGATGTTTTAAGTCGACTGACTTGGATAGACAGGGCTCTCTAGCCCGCTGTTCTGACTCGCGGTGTTCAATTGCTCAGATATGTGTAGGCTAGATCACGAAATGAAACCTGGTTTTTGAATTTCAATAATCCGTACAGGGAATATCAAGAAATGGGCTAACGACGCCAACGACCGGCTGATGTCACGCTGACAACCGGGTCACGTCCCGTCACACATGCCATCAGCTAATCGGGGATGCCCCTCCCCACACTGTTGGCTTAGGGAGATCAGTGTTTCGGCCGTTGAATTTCTGGCTCGCCGGAATTGACCCTCCCCAAATCGCGAAATTTTAGTATCATTCGATAGCCAGCAAAATTCTAAGAGCCACTCCGGCAGCTCAAATAAAATACCAAATAAAATAGATTTGACATGTGAGCGAGTGATGTAACACTGTCAGCTAGCTGGTGTGACCTGCACGATAATCAGTCGGAAACACATTGTACGATGCCTCCAGTCCTCACATTGGCCCAGACAACAACAGAAAAGGCACGATGGGTGGTTCTAATGCTGCTAGCCATCATCCAATATGTGGTTTTTGGCATTGCCCTCTATATTCATCCACAATACTGCAAGACAGAGCTACATACCTCAGCCCTTACTGGGTGTGCATGGCTTGATGAGCTGCTAGAAGGACATCCTGACCGGATTTATATATCTCTTGGCATGTGTCGCATGTATTTCTTGCACTAGTTCTCAAGTTACGAGCCATGGGCTATCTGGAATCAGAACAGTCTCGTATCCAGCTTGATGAATCTCTGGCAATCTTTCTTTATACTTGTGTAACTGGTCTTGGGGTAGATCATGTTGCTGAATGCTTCCAGCACTCCCACACCACAATATCAGAGTCTATATATTTTTTTTGGTATCAAATAATCTGATTTATCTGTTTTAGACACTTTCAGAAAATACTTGATATCTTATCTGGTTCCGTGTTCTATACAACCTATGTCCGCCTCCCCGGCATCAATGATGAGCCACCAGATGCCATTCACAACAATCCCAAGTGGTGGCCCTTCTTCAAAGATGTTCTAGGAGCCATCAACGGGACACATATTGCATGTACACCATCAGCTGAAGATATTCATGCTGCACGAGACCATAAAGGGGGTGTTTCCCAAAACTGTTTGGCGGCAGTATCATTCAATATGCGATTTCTCTTTTTCACTGGTGGTTGGGACGGTTGTGCTGCTGATGCTACAATGTATAGCAAAGCACAGCTTTGTGATTTTCCAATTCCTGCTGGAAAATGCTATCTGGCAGATGCTGGCTTTGGAATCTGTGATACCCTTTTCGTTCCTTATCGGAATGTTCGATACCATCTAGCAGAGTGGTCAAGAACCAACCTACGGTCTGTCCTTTCTTTCTATTATTATATCTGGACTGAAATGTTTCAGTCCAAAGAATGCTAAGGAGCTCTATAATTTACGACATGCTTCAGCCTGCAATGTTGTTGAGCGGATCTTTGGTGTGGTAAAAAATCGCTGGACCATTCTTCGACATGCATCCCACTACAAGATGGGAATCCAAGCTCGAATTCCCTTAGCACTTGTGGCATTACACAACTTCATCATAGAAAATGATTCCGCAGATCTTGATCGATGGATTATTGACGAGCAAGCTGAAGACCATCCGCGGGGTTATATGCGCCCCAGAATTATTGATTTTGGATTGGTTTCAGCTTCGGAAAAAGTGGGGCACCAAAAAAGCATCGAGTAGAAAGCCAGCAGGATGCTATTGCTCAAGCAATGTGGAACGATTAGCAGCACCTCATTCGTGAGAGAGCATAAGAGGTAATGGATATAGAAATGCCTATTGCTCCATTACTAGTAGACTAGAAGAACAAATATAATTAACTAAGTAGTAAAATGAGACTAAGATTGACAACTTGGATAAAAAAGAGTGGATATCAGCCTTGTGTAAGT